TTTTTTCGATAGGTCTTGACACCGCCGGTTCCATGTCGTGAGCACAAGTAATAGAATGTCGCCTTGAAGGTATTGCCATCACCGTGAACAGTCTTTGAAAGTCGCAACTCGACTGTTTTCTCCGCTTGCTCACGCTTCAGCCAAGAACCGAACTCTTCCCAGGTTTCCCATCTATTGGTGAACTTCTCTCGAGCCAAGTCATATTCAAGACATCCTAAGGCTGGTATCGAGGAAGGGGGCGGCGCGTGCACTCGAAAGTTCAGGAATCCGCTATTAGAATCCAGGGTAGAGAACCGAGAAGAAGGAGCACAAGCCAGCCTATTAGACAGATTATCGGTGAAGGCATTTGCGCCAGGTGACAGCAGAGGTGCAGGCGCGAGCGTTTGTAAGGGCGAGCAGTCTGTTGGAATCCCTCGGATGACAGTTGTGCGGGGTTTCAGAGCATCGATGTTTTGCGGAGACCTGTCCTGAGCAGTTGATGGTGGAACAGAATGGGCGTTATGTGGCTCCAACCGTGAAATTAACAAAGCGTGGCCAATGGCTGGTGGGAAGAGAGATTCAAAAGATGGTGACTCAAATGGGGGAGGCGCAAGTTTGAAAGAGAGGTGCGACATGATTAAGAGGAATATACAAATAAAGGGAAGAAAAAGATAGAATACATAAGGTATTGCTGAGGATGAGGATGGGCGGGATGGATGGGGTTGCGCTGAGGTGGACGCGTTCGACGCGTCTCTTCGGAGTCTCTCAAGCTTTTCGCCGGTCATGTGATGTTGATCCTTTTTGGGATTACGGTTTTCGGCGGAATCTCAAAAGTGGGCCGCGACGATGCGATGATTTACTTTACCACTTTTGTACCACGTGGCTCGCGTTGATGATGGCTTAGGTAATTACCCCAAACGTGATCCGCTTCTCCATGCACCGTGACTGATCATGATGCTTCGGAAGCCCTTGGCTTCCCCCCCATGCCCATAGCGGCGCACTTTGGCCCCGGTTGAATCTTTGACGCGCCCCGGTCTTGCCAGGTGCACACTTTGCTCAGATGGTAATCTCGAGAGGTGTGGCGGTCCGACGGACCGCGGAGTTTAAAGTCGGAGGCAAAGAAAACACAAGCACACGACCTCTCTAGTCTTATCTCCCCTCCTGCAAAGCGCTTCATCCTGCCCTATAACGTCGGGAACGAGACTACTCAGATGGAACCACCTGCTACAAGACCACGCGGCCCATCATGCCGCCTGATTTTTGCTTTCGTTGCGATCTTGATATTCGCCTCCGTTGGTTATCTATTTTTATCAGGACAAATCGAATTCGAGTATATAAACCAACGATTTTATTTCGGGTCCCGAATTGTTCATCAGCTTCAAGCTCTTCCTCTTGCCAGCATGCGGTCTATCTCGCTGTCGGTGCTCGGTCTCTGTTCTGGGATTTTTGCTCAGTTGACCACAGTCCAAGTCGATCAATATATCGCCACTGAATCCACTTCTGCAATGGAAGGGTTATTGGCTAACATCGGTCCGTCTGGTGCCAAATCTTCGGGAGCAAAGGCGAGTGTGAGCCGCCAAACAGGCTTTCTGGCACCTCATCCATTGTCCTCGTAGCCTGGCGTGGTTATCGCGAGTCCCAGTACCACTGATCCAAATTATCTCTTTACGTGGACAAGAGATTCCTCGCTGGTTTTCAAGACCATTATTGATCAGTATGCAAGAACGTCCATCATTTTAGTCACCCTTTGATGAACATTGTCACTCAAGATTTACGCGGGGGGAAGATTCAAGCTTTCGAACACTCATTGATCAATTTGTTACCGCAGAAGCTCAGCTGCAACAAACGCCGAACCCGAGCGGCACAATATCTACAGGTGGATTGGGCGAACCAAAGTTCAACATTGATTTGAGTGCATTTACGGGTCCATGGGGAAGGCAAGTGTAAATTTAACAATCTTGGGTTATCCTTTTCACGCGTTATGTGTAGGCCTCAGCGCGGTACAAACATCCTCCCATCCAGTCTATTTCAAAGTTGAATTTCATCCTAGATGGTCCCGCTCTCCGCTCCACCGCCATAATCACCTACGCCAATTGGCTCATCGCCAACTCTAACACGACATTTGTGACAAAAACTCTATGGCCGATTGTTAAACTCGACCTTGACTACGTCTCTACCTTTTGGAATCAATCGGGGTACTGTTATGCGCACTTTTTAGCATATTTTAAATACTAATTTTTATGGAACAATAGTTTCGACCTCTGGGAGGAAATCAATTCAAGCTCTTTCTTCACCACCGCTGTTCAGCATCGTGCCCTTCGTGAGGGTATAACTTTGGCCCAGAAAATCGGTCAAACTTCCGTGGTCAGCGACTATACCACTCAAGCTGACAACATCTTATGCTTCTTGCAAGTGCGTATGGCCCACAATGGGAAGACCCGTCCGATTTACTATGACTAGTCGTACTGGAATCCATCCAATGGCTATATTACCTCCAATACAGGTGGTGGCCGATCAGGAAAAGACGCCAATTCGGTATTGGCGTCCATTCACACCTTCGACTCTTCAGCTGGTTGCGACGCTGCAACGTTCCAACCTTGTTCGGATAAAGCGCTTTCGAGTTTAAAGGTTTACGTCGACTCGTTCCGTTCTATCTATTCCATCAATAGTGGGATCGCGGCCGATGCTTCTGTTGCTACTGGTCGTTACCCTGAGGACGTGTACTTCAACGGCAACGTTGGTAATTTACTTTTTACTATGAATATCTTCACTAAGATTCTTTACAGCCGTGGTACCTCACAACTGCAGCCGTTGCTGAGCAGCTTTACGATGCCCTCATTGTCTGGAAGGCGCAAGGTTCCATCGAGGTGACATCCACCTCTCTTGCCTTCTTCAGACAACTCTCGCCTTCTGTTGTGACTGGGACATACTCTTCATCGACATCGACATTCACAACTCTCATCAATGCTGTTCAAACCTTTGCGGATGGTTTCCTTGCCATCAATGCGAAGTACACTCCCCCGAACGGCGGACTTGCTGAACAATATAGCAAGATTGACGGCACCCCTCTGAGTGCAGTGGACTTGACTTGGAGTTATGCGTCGGCGTTGACGGCCTTTGCTGCGAGGAAGGGGGTTGTGCCTGCTAGTTGGGGTGCAAAAGACCTTGCGGTTCCTTCCATCTGTAGGGCCAATACTGGACCTATTGCTGAGGTCACCTTCAACGTCTACGCGACCACTCAGTTCGGAGGTGAGTGCTTATGTAAATGATGCTTGTAAGGTTACAGCTGACGCGGGCTATAGAAACCATTTTTTTGACTGGATCTGTCGATGCGTTGCAGAATTGGTCTCCTGACAAAGCGCTGGCGCTATCTTCCGCTAACTATCCTACCTGGAGTGGTAAGTGCACCTGTAATGTTGTGTTGGGTGATGGCTGAGTAATTTGCGCAGTCACTGTCGCAGTCCCCGCCAACACCAACATCGAATACAAGTACATTCGGAAGTTCAATGGGCAAGTGGTATGGGAGTCCGATCCCAACAATGCATTCACGAGCCCTGGCTCTGGGCAATCGGTTACACTGGGTGATACCTGGAGGTGATGACGTAAGGGTGACAAATAGTGATTAGCACTCGCATCCAAGTTGTAACAACTCATATCCCACTACATAGTATAAACATATCCCGTTCCTTTCTTCTCCGTAATCATGTCCATGCTCGATAAATTCCGCAAGGGTGCACAGAAAGCTGGTATTCAGGCCACAGCTTTCGTCCAAGCCAGCTCAACCAAAGTCGCCAGCGGATCCCGCGACTTTGTCCAAACGTTTTCACTGCCAGGAGAAGCGGAGAAGGCGGCGAAGATTCTTAATAGTTTCCTTGGTGCGCTCACCGTCATCTCAATGCGCAATACAGTTTAATGACGATAATTGTAGCCGATCCCTCACACCCTGAATCAGCTCTGAACTCTATACCAAAGGCTGTTCTGCAACGAGCTCGAGGTGAGTCTACAATCAACTCCTCTCAAAGAGATCCTTAGGCTAATTCGACGCAAATTAAGGTCTTGCCATCTTCCAAGTCCTCAAAGCCGGCTTCGTCTTTTCAGGAAAAGCCGGCTCAGGCCTCGTCATCGCCCGACTGCCCGACGGCTCTTGGTCAGCCCCCTCATGCATCGCTACCGGAGGTCTTGGCTGGGGTTTACAGATCGGAGCGGACATCACCGACTTTGTCATCGTCCTGAACAGCGAGGATGCCGTGCGCGCATTTTCGTTGGGCGGGAACGTCACCATTGGCGGAAACATCAGCGCTACTGCGGGTCCGATTGGCACAGGGGGAAGTGTCCAAGCGTCATTGGCCCACCCTGCACCTATGTTCTCGTATTCCAAGTCCAAAGGTATGTTCAAATAGGGTGTTGATCCATTTACCCGTTAAACTCATACATTGGATGCAATTAGGACTATTCGCTGGCGTGTCGCTTGAAGGGACTGCGCTCATTGAGAGGAAAGATGCTAATCGTGATTTCTATGGATCGCCTGTACCCGCCAAGGACATCTTGGGCGGTCGTGTGCCCCCTCCAGAGGTTGCATCAAGACTATATGAAATTATCGAAGCTGCGGAGGGACTAGATGAGTCTGGTTTGCCAGAGGCAGCGTATGTACCATCAACAACGGGCGGGCATCTCGATTCTACACATGATCAGATGGTATTTGATGCTGATAGCCATTGATGAAGGCAAGATGAAGGGGTTAACGCAACACTTTATGATTATTCAAATGTCTCTCACTACCCTTTGTATATGCACCTAAAGTTATGTGGATGGGTAATTCTGATACGTCCCGGAAGAAATAATTACAAGAAACTAAGTTGTGTACAATAATTATAAGTGAAGAACCAAGAGCCCAAGATCACAAATATCTATCCCAAAACCCAACAGTGCCATTATTACTCGCTGCATCGGCATCGATGCCCAAAAGCTTGATAACTAAATTGTAGACTTCGACGTTCTGGAAGCGCTGCATGATGTACGTATCGTCCGAAGTCGAATGCCAATCGTGCTTTGAGGAACGTCGGAAAGGAGCATACTTGTTCCTTTTCTGGTGTTGCACCTTGGCCTCAAAAGAAAAGGGACCATGAGCGACAAAGATGGCCTGCATTGAAATCTCATCGTTGTCGTATCCGTGATTCTACAGCAGGATGTGAGGGGAAAAGGAGGCGTTAGAAGAAAGGACCACTTACCCCCTTTGACATTCCAGTGTCTCCTTCAGCTTTTGTCGTCAACACGTATCCAATTTTTGGCACAACGTAGATAGGCGCAATCCGTTCGTTGTGCGCAAAATGGTAACGTTCTGGCATCGTATCCTTCGTATAAACATCAAACTTTTCGGGGTTCTCAGCCGAGGCTTCCAGTAGTGCCGAGAGGTAATGCGATGCATTGGCCTTTGGTTCAAACCGTATACCCATGGAAGGCCAACCATCTTCGTGCTCAATATCATTGAGGCCTTCTTCGCCAAGGATGTCGTCCATGTATATCAACTCGGGATGACTTGTATCCGTCATCCCATGGTCGCTGACAAACACAATGTCAACAATATCGGTGAGGTTTCGAGCTTTCAGTGATGTATGCAGATCCTTGGCAAATACGTCAACTTCGACGAGAGTTTTCTGGAGATCAGAGTTAGCAAAATTAGATGCACAATTGGATGAATACCAACGTTGACGAGTTTAGACGCAGGCCCCGTTTTGTGGCCAGCTTGGTCCAAGGAGGGCTCATACGCTGGAACGTTCTGGTTGGAGTATGGCGAATGTTTGATATTTTGTCACTAACCCATTATCAGTTGTGGCCTCTGTTCCAGAGGCAGATCGATCCAATGAAGAATTTGATCAAGCTTTTCGTTCAAGGGCACATGATCCTGAGTGAAACGGTAAGAATAGAGAGACATTTTCAGGTCGTAAAATTACACACCTTCCATGGAACGAAATAGCTTGATGATGCTCCTGACGTCGTCTTGGGTGGACCAGGCCTAAGCTACACTAAATTCGGGACAGATGGCAGAAGTGGGAATACCCACCACATCAAGTTGGCGGTGATGACGCCAGCTTTTTCTGCTGTTTCCCACATCTAAAGTCATAATTACATTAGTCATCACAGGCAAAAAAAGAGATTGCCGCACTGGCTCGCCACTCCACCACGAAGGATTCCAGCAGGATTTAACTTGGTTGTAATGAAATTCTTGTTTAGATACAGGATCCCAGAAGTTCTGTGAACGCGCATAAGTCATGAGGGGTGGATTGGGAGCAGGGACTCACATTCGCTACGATCCCATGAGATTCAGCATAGAGGCCTGTCCTACGTAATGTTGTCGCTTAAAAAGAAGCTTTGAACAGCAAAAAGTCTAAATGCCCACATCAAGGCCCAATGATTTCTGAAAGAAATAAATTGCTTGAGTCACTCAACAGTTCCCATAAGGAGTGGACATACGGGAAGGTAAGGGTCTGAGACGCAGAAGAATTAATAGTGAAAGGTATGCAAAGCTAGAAGGCAACGCACTGGAAATATTGGTTTCATCGCCTTCGCCCTAAGCCCCTGCTTGCTGATATCCAATAAATGAGGCGTTAGGCCGCGGTCAAGATAGTCTGCCCTGTGTGCAATGTCATTGCGAAAGCAAATGATTCAAAGACGGTGACCAACCGCAGGCCGTCGATGGAAACGATGAGTACGGTTCGCTTGAATTCGTGTGTCCCATTCGAACGAAGAACTGTCCCCGTGAAAGGATGCCGTTGGGAAGGTCTTGTCGTTCTCAAGAGTGCGCGTGCAATGACACCAGTAATGAGTAAAGCAATGAATATGAAAGCAGTGAAGACAATTCTCTTCCGTTTCCACGGTTTGGCGTCTGAATGATCCTCCGGCCCATCGTCGTAGTCATCGTCTGTTGTAGAGAGGAGCCCCTTGCGCTCCTCCGGGTCGAGCACCTTGTCAGTGGTGGAGGTTGACATCACGTTATATTATATAAGCACGGCTGTTCCGGTTCCGGTATCACGCGACACGAGCATCCGTCGACTTGTAGACATCATACTTTGTCTGTCCTCCATTATCATGAATACCGCCCTGTCCCGACAAGCCAGGCGTGCTTTCAGCTCCTCAGCTCGCAGGTTCCAGGCTGTCCCAACACAGAAACCTGTCTTGGAGAAAGAATTCAAGATCTACCGCTGGGTAATTCGTTTTCTTCCACCACGATTTCTCCTGACTGTGTTGTAGAACCCAGATGAACCAGCGACGAAGCCCACCCTTCAGTCCTACAAGATTGACTTGAATCAGACTGGGCCTATGGTGAGGAAAACCCTCGGGCCATGACGCACTTTCCCCTCACCCCTGAATAGATTCTTGACGCCCTCATCAAAATCAAGAATGAAGTCGACCCCACTCTTACCTTCCGTCGTTCATGCCGTGAAGGTATCTGCGGCTCGTGCGCCATGAACATAGATGGTCAGAACACCCTCGCCTGCCTCTGCAGGATCGACAGGGAACCTGCTAAGGACACCAAGATTTATCCCTTACCTCACAGTCCGTCACTATCCTTCATTCTATCACCTCAATTGCCATATGCTATAAACAGTGTACATCGTCAAGGATCTTGTCCCCGACTTGACCCTTTTCTACAAACAATACAAGTCGATTGAACCTTGGCTACAAAACGACAACCCTCCCGCTGAAGGTCCGTCTCTTCCTTTAAATTTGCACCTTTCCGCCTCCAACAACCTCCCCAGGCGAGTTCCTCCAATCCCCGGAAGAACGTAAGAAGCTGGATGGAATGTACGAATGCATTCTCTGCGCTTGCTGCTCCACCTCCTGCCCTTCGTATTGGTGGAACCAAGATGAATATCTTGGGCCCGCTACCCTCATGCAGGCTTACAGGTGGATTGCCGACTCTCGGGTAAGTTTTGGTAATCTCTTCCACTGGATGGCGTGTCTAAAACCTTGAAGGATGCCAACGGCGCGGAGCGCAAGGAACGCCTCCAAAACGAGATGAGTTTATACAGGTGCCATACCATCTTCAACTGCTCTCGAACGTGTCCAAAGGGCCTCAACCCCGCTGCCGCTATTGCCCACATCAAGATGGAGTTGGCTGCTGACTGAGGGGAGGAAAGTAAGAGGAGAGGGCCCATCTTCAAAAGGAAGAATAATAATATCAAGGCTGTCGCTCGTCGGACAGAAGGTAATGATGAAAAAGTAGAGCCCTCCTTGTTTGAACGATTACACCTAGTCGCACACACATCCATTCGTAGTGATATTATATTTGTCACGCTCTATACAAGTTACATCACATCCAGATATCGTCCATCAAGAAAAAAATACAGACAGCCTTCTCACTCCTCCGAAATCCGCTCAAAGAACTGTTTCAACGTCCCAGACAACACCTCAGGGAGGGCCTCCACGTTCCGCAACACCACATAATACTCAAAGGGAAAAGAGTCCAGATACTTCTGCAGCTGTACCTCCATCCGACCATCAACCATCTTAAACTCTGGCTTGTCCATCAAGAGAATAGAGGATCCATGCTGCTGGGTGGAAGAATCACCGGCAGTCGTGTGCAAGGAATCAAGGATGATAAAGACGATCATGACACGTTGCTCTTCCGCCCTTCTCAACACAGTGCGCAGCTTCTCGTGATCCTGACACATCCCGTCTGAAATGATGATCTCCAGCTGCCAGAGGTCAGCAGCAGATGAAGAGCTCATGGACCGGCGTTCTCGAGCTCTCTCTAGCACCTTCAAGCTCGTGTCTACCAAAGAGAGGACGTCAGTGGCCTTTTGCTTGAATCTGAAGGCGCTCATGATTTTGGTTCCAGCTTGATCAGTGAACGGTCCCTCGTCGAACCCATGCAAAATATCGACAGTTTCACCAAACTTGGCTATGGCGATGTCACCAGCCTCAAGACGACCCAAAGCTTTGGAGATCAGGGCGAGAGTCTCATACGCAAGATGAATGGAATGGGATTCGGCCATGGAACGCGAGTCATCGAGCGCGATAAAGACTTGATATTCACGCTGACTCGGCTTGGTCCGACGCAACCAGATTTTATCCTTGGTATAATCACTTGCGATGTAAGAGATGATCTTCTTCATGTTCAACCGCTTGCCAGTACGATAATCACCCTTCAAGCGAGTCGCGAGTGTGGGTTCCAAGATGAGGCGCAATTGCTCACATAACGCGTATGCGAGGTCATGTGTCAGTGATTCATATAGTCGCCAGATATGCTCTGCTCCATCGTCAGGGTAATCTGTGGCACGCCAGTTCCGTAGTTCAATTTCCACGGCATGATCTGTGGTGTCATCCATTTCAATGTCAGCCCTTGATGTCGACGAATCTGGGAAAACGGAGTTTTCTGGAAAGCGGTTGTTCGTCGTCTGGAGGATAGCTCCTTCGACATCGTCGCGTCGTGTCGAGGACGAGGGATCCTGCTGGAAAACGGACTCTTGAGTGGGTTGTTCATGTTGCTCAGGTGCCGCCGGTGTATCGATGTCCATTGCAGTTGTATTGTCCACGGCCATATCATCGTCAATGAGATTCAGTTGATCAAGCTTCGCCACCTGTTCTTCGCCAGCAGGACCCAAAGCTTGCATGACATTGTCCGCGTCCTCAGGACGAAGGTATTCAAGCTGGGATTGGCCGTCACCAACATCAATACGTTCACGAGGAGCTTGGTCTTGATCACCGTTTAGAATTTCGTCGAAGCGTTGACGGATTTCTTTCAGTGTGTCTCCAAGATCCCGAAGAGGGTTTGATGCTTGCGGTTCCTCACTCTGCGACGGTGCCTGTCCTCCCTTACTGCCAAAAGTGGCTGAACCTTCTCCTGCGTTAGGTTCAACGTTGTGGGGGTCGATTTGAGGTTTTAGACTTTCGGAATGCCTTAGAATAACGGTTGTCTGTCAGAAAGAAAGAAAAGAGAACTAGATTGAGTTGTACTCACCCTTCTTCATTGGCAGTTTCGTTTTGAGCAGTGGAGGATTGACCAGTCCTGCTCTCAGAACTTCCCATTTCCCCAGTTGTTGTACTTTCGCCAACGTCTGGATTGGCTGACTGATCTTGTTCAGCTGCTGCACCTTCGCCCGCGAAAATATCAGGTTTCGCGACGACTTCTTGCCCCTCTTCAGCCTCCCTGTCATCCTCGTTTTCGTCTGCTTTGCCTGCTGTAGAATCGTTCTGGACCTCCGGCGACTCAAAGCTATCGTCTGGCGCTGAGTTTTGGTCTGTAGCTTCCTCAACCTCGGGTCTAAGATCGCCATCTTCCATCTTTTCGTCCTCACCGTCCTCCGTTCCCATCTCCTCTTCCTTGTCTTCTCCCCCCGGCTCCACCCCGTCCTCTCCCAATTCCATATTATCCGGCAAGTCAAGAGTATTCGCTTCTGGAACGTAGTCGTCCATAGGGGCGCCACTCACATTCTGGTCGTTTGCGCCGTCATCCTCACCCTCCAACCCAGGTTCATCTTCCATCATCGTGTCATCCGTTTCTTGTTCTCCCTCCTTTTCTTTTGATTCCTTCCTTGCCTTTCCTTCTTTTGCAACGACCTCAGAGTTGCCTCCATGCTGCTTAGAGTGATCCTGGTCTGCCTGCTCTTCGTCATGTTTTGGATCATCTGGACCTTTTTCGTCACCCCATAGCTTTTCGTCAAGCACAGAGGGATCTGACGCATCAAGATTTCCGAGCGTCTCGTCTGGGTCACCTTCACTCCCCTCGCTTGGATCGGCATCATCTTCAGAGCCGCTGTCGAGCACGTCTTCCAGATCACCTCCAAAATCGTCATTCATCTCGATAGCTTCGCCTTCATCGTGTTTTCTCTGAGGTTCTTGACTCTCAGGGGTCTCACCTTGTAAACCCTCTACCTGACTCTCGTCTTCAATCTCTTTGCTAACATTCTCCGTACCAGCCCCATCTCCTAAGCCTACTCCGCCAGCCACTTCCGAGGTCTCGCCATTAGCCTCTGCGTCACCAGAGTCGGGCGGCTTGCAGAAACCCTGATGGGAAAGTGTGTGCATCACAGAAGATAGAATGAAGTCAAGTTTCAGAAGAGCTTTTGTCCAGTGGTTGTGGGCCGCCAATTGATCGTTGACAAGTGATATATATACGTCGAGAAACGGGACGATCTTGGGCAAGTTGAGGCGTAGGTCGTCTTGTGTCTTAATAAGGCAAAGAACGCTCGTCAACGCTGAGAATACACGATCGATGCTGAGTAGATGCGTAAAGTCCCGTATTTGCCGGTATCCTTTCAATAGGTACTGCTCTTCCTCGTCTTGTTCATCTTCTTCAGAAACAACATCACGGCAGTGGGGCAAGAGAGATTGAACACTGATTAAAAATGAGTTAATGAGTTGCTCCGTACAATCGTAGCTTGACGAAGATCCCGTCATTGGTGGTAAGATAGCTGGGGAATCTTGGGTCTCGAGCCACTGGGTGATGGGTATTATAAGGTGGTTCAACCGAGGGTCGTCCTTTGACCATTTCGAAAGCAAGCCCGCCGTCCGAGAAATGTGCGCCCAGGCTTCGGAAACCAGTGTGAGTTCATCTGAGGTATTTTATTAGCTATCGATTAATTGTCACAAGGACGCCCATTCTTACCCTGCAACAGCACTGGCATGACAGTTAATCTCACTGAATCCGGTAGATCCATTATCTTTGCTTTGAGAGAATCGCTTTCCCTGAGGAAGAGCGATATCTCTTCCAGTAGAACATCTGCTATAGTTACCTTCGGCGCAAGTTCATTCAAAGTTACGGCCACCCGTAGGAGGTCAGAGAGGGCGCTCGAGAGCCTGCAAAGAAAAGCCTTAACGCAGGAGAGATAATGGCCCAAATTGGACCCCGTTACAACTGTGGCGGAAGAAGAGAGTATCCTCAGGCGGCTGGCTACTCGTTGGAGCCGTTGATGTATATCAAGGGCATTTGCCAATCTGATCAACATAAAAATGATGTCAGGCGGCAAAAATGACACGGGAGTCTCAAACTTACCGAGATCGAAGGTCCATCGCCATGAAAAACCCAGATTCCACGAACATAACACCCCTTTGAAGCTCGCGTGTCGTGAGATCAGCATGATGGTTGGAGATCGAGGAGCGCAAGGCTGGAAGGGACCCAGAAAGTTTGTCAAAGTAATTCTCGACCAAAATAGTTTGAGGATCCGTAGCAGACAAGGGTGGTTGTGTCCGTATCCAAACAGGATCCATATTCTGAGTCAAAACATCCGGCTTGAGGTTGCTCGATAATCCCGCCTTTTTGAGCTCCTTGAGTAGGTCGCTCCAAGCCTTCCTCTTGCGCACCAATAACCCTTTGTGATATTTTTCGCGCTTCTCCGCTTCAAGACCTTCGGGCGCGGATAGACTAGCGAGCTTTCTCGTGGTAGTTATGACTTCAACCGCGAAATTATCCACTTCTCGAGCTGAGAGAGACTGTACAAAAGGTTTTATCTGTGTCGCAACCAAGTGGCAGTACTTCGCGTAGGTTTTGTTCAGAAGATGAGAATGATTTGGTGTTGCATCAGGGTCATTGTTGGCCGGAGACGACGCCCAAGTTTGATCAAATGACAAAGATGAAGGTGGCTGGAAATGCAAAGGAATGGTTTCAGGAATTCCAGCAAGTTGCGGTTGGATAAAATTTGAGATTGACTGCCGTAGGACTTCGCGGAATTTTCGTACGATCCTGTACAGATGGCGGTGAGTACGTTGAGCACTTTGCTTCAGGGCCTGCACATTAACATCCTTCCAACTTGCAAGCTTGATGAAATCTCTGATCTCTTTTTCCAACGCAGCCTTTTTCTCAGACAAGTGGGTAAGAATTTCTGATGAGAAGAGACTATAGTATTGATGAACGCTGTGCAAAATATGTTCAATGCGCTGCAAAGCGGATCGCTGGGGGTCTGATTTATTGTTGCCAATATAAGCCAGGAAGTGTTCGAAGCTGCGAAGAAGTTGCATTCGGGAAAGAAATTCGCCGAGTGGGCTCTTGACAATGAAGTCTTCTAAGAGCGGAAGAAGATTGTGCAAGTATTGAGTGAATGCTGTGGATTCTGTCGATTGATCCAAGGTGCTGAGGGCGCCACGCAGAATCACATCATATAGCTGAAACCACCACTTAGATACACCTTCCGTAGATTTCTTGGCTTCAGAATCAAGAAGTGTTTGCCAACATGACAATTCGAGGCGTCGCCATTCGACAATCAACGCAATGAGCGCCTCCCGATGAACCTGAATGGTGTTTTGACGATTGGCATACATCTCCCAGTCATCGGTTTGCAGGAGAAGTTGTTCAATGGCAGAAAGAATCAAAGCAACCGGACTATGAAGTCCAAAATTAAGAACAATATCACACCGATCCGCAAGGTGTCGCAGAACCATCTGATCTGGCCACTCCTCAGAAAGAACCTGAAGTCTGCCACGAAGGGCACCAACGACCGATGCAACCTTTCTAACCTCTTGCACGTTCGGGTCCAAGTAAAAGTTGTAGGGCACATCTACCATGATTTGAGATCGCTGTAGGTCACTCGATTGATTTCGAAGAAGGGAAAGCTGGAAGTGTAGGCTCTCGATATCTAAACTCTCCGGGAGTCCTCCTAGATGCGATCTCACAAGAGAATCGACCATTGACTGTCTGATTCGAGTAAATTTACAATGTTGCAGAGAGGTCGAACCGTTGGCTGTTTGAGGATGCTTTAACAAGTCATGATGGATTGCCAGCAGCAAGGGCATCTCGGGATCCAACACAAATTCGGGTTGTTGGGGCTTTTGCTGGGTGTTGGTCAAAGAAGGCTGTTCCAGGATGTCCTCGAAAGCAGGGAACAAGGACAGAAATTCTTGTTCCTCCAATTCCGCGTCGCCCACAGCGTCATGTTCGAGGGTAGTGTGACGATATAAGGACCGAGAGGCTTCATCCATCTCTTTGTCCTTGGTGCGGTCTATGAGCCAAAGTCTGAATGCTTGTTCATAGTATGATTCAATCAGCTGGGTTTGTTGTGCCATTTCAATGCCAATGAACTTTTCCATTGAAATCGCTGCTAGGCCGAGCAAAATGTGGCGAAAAGCTGAAGTCCTTGATTGTCCCGCAGTGGTCGAGGTCGCCAGAATAAGCGCGGCACTACGGACCGAAGGGAATGCAACCAACGATGATACCAGATGGGATGTGGGGTCCTTTCTTGTTTGCGAGATTCTTGAATTTTGAACGACAAGATGAAGTCCAAGTCTAAGTTGAAGAATGCCAAGCTTGAGAAGGATATTGATATCTGCAAATTCATCATACGCGCTGTCTAGCCGCTGGTAGAAGCTAGCTAATGACTCTTGAATCACCCGTTCACGAGGAGCTGCGATGCTATCTCCATTCTTCGCTAATTCAAGAATGCTCTCAACCCTTGGAGTGGAGGTGACGCTACTTCGAAACTGCGAAACCTCCGACCAAAATTGGCGGAGACGAATAACACTCTTGCGAGGCGGGAGGGCCGGCACATTATTTAACTGGGCACGGATATCTTCCTTGCACTTTTCAAGGTGGACGAGGACACCGTTGTTTCTGTTTCCTGTCGTGAGTTCTTCGAGTTGCCTGTGGAGCTTTATTTGAGACAACAAGTCGGCCTCATCTTGACGTAATCGATCAACAGTACACATCTGGATGGCAGCAGGATCAACGGGGGAGTTTGGGATGAGTAGGTCGAATAGCAATTGACTGAGTGCGATCCAACACAACCCAAGGTTCGAGATAGGATCGCGGTCGGACCATTGATCGAGAAGCGGTCGAAGAAACTTGACGATTGCTGCTACGAGAGGAGGGTTGCTGGACTGCTCCAAGAGGGACAAGAGGCCACCAATCGAGTCTAATTGAATGACAAGAGACCGCTGGCGAATGTTCTCATAAACGTCAAGGCTGTACGACGAGGAAAAGCAAGTTATAATCTACAAATGCTTAATTGCATGCGCAGGATGGGACGGCCAGTAACTTACCGTGACGAGTGATTGATAGAAAAGCCTTTGTAATTGTCCAAGGCGGCTTCGGTCAGATTCGCATTGGAAGATGGCAATACGGACCTGACGACGGACTTCTTTTTCGTAATTATCCAAACGAATTAGCGGTACCGAAGTCAAGTCGCTGGGTGGTGTTAACTGCATTTTCTGGGGCTAAAGACGTGGACGGCTTACCATGCTGAGATGGCGGCGTGCAGGTGCGTTGGCTGGAGGAGTGGTAAAGCCCCAAAACAGTCAGAGGGCCGCGCACTCCAAAGTCCTTCCAAGTAAGAAATTTGAGCTTGTACCGCTAATGACGAATTTTCTGTTTGTTTTCATTAGAAAAGGAAGGAGACAACGCGAACGAGTTTAACACACCTTTCCTGGTCTCTAATGTCCATAGGAGGTGTTGGTATGGAACCAGTCGAAGCAGTGGGACCCTCATACTTTCGCAAGCTAGATCAATTACTTCTTTGAGCATGTGAAGCTTTATAATTTGAGCAAGCCATCCTTCTGAGCGGGTTGATATCCACATACCTGTGAATCATGTTGACACTCAGTTAAAGCACCTAGCTCCAAGATGAGCGACTGAGGGTCTATATGATATTCCAAGTGGGTTTGAGGCAGATGGCTCGCAAGCAGACACTGAAAGTAGTCATTGGTTCTACTGGAGCGTAACGAGAGAGTATAACTGACACGTTCTAAGATTGTCTTGAGATCCACGATTTCAGATACATGTATGTCCTGAGTTTGCACAGTAGTTAAAGCGACCAATGCCATAACCTTGAATGCTTCGCTCCTGAGTGCTAAGAAAGCATAAGCGTTGTAATATTCGTCAAAACAACAATGCATTGCATACCCAGAGAACGGGTACATTCCTCCATGTGGCAAGAAAATTCTTCGACTTTCTTCAACTCCGCCCGAGCTGTTGCTGGCAGATTGCGCATATAAAAGTTTGACCACATATCAATCAATCCAAATCCCGTTGAGAGTGATACGATCTCGTTAAGAGTCTGGACGGCAATAAATAGAGGCCCAAGAGAAGGGGGATGATCATCTAGCGAATCCTTTAGCCATCCTAAGATCGCGTGGACAGCAGAGAAATCGAAAGCCCCTGCGTCCACAGCCCCGCGCAAGTGTCGACCATATGTCAAAACAGCTATCGCCACTTTGGCGTCCACCTGTTCAACAATGAGCATTTGACAAGACCATAATGTAGACTACTCCACCAGTTTTGAAGCCGGTTCAACAACTAAATCTTCCAATATTTTATATCCGACAGATTGAATTGCTTCTAAAATTTCTTGGATCTGCTTTAAGGCACTCTGCCCCATCCCGTTGACGGCAAGTATGTCGGGGATAGTCCATGAACGCTGATCGAGCTCGTTCAGGAAGAGGAGCGCCGAAAGATCCAATGCTTTAACTATCGCGTCATGCGAGGGAGGGCCATTGACCCCGTCTTCGAAGATTGGGCTGTTCAAGTGGAAGTCGAAAGGCTAATTTTTTTTTCAACAAATGACAGCCATTAATGCGAAACGCCTTTTATAATGAAGGAGGTTATCTAACCTGCGCTAAAACGAAATCCAAGGGAACTCCGTTTTGACTGGCGAGTGTAGTCCTGAACTGACTGAGAACTCTTGAAAGCGCAGCTGATGGGAAGCTTTTAAGAAGGTTTTGAAGAACACCCGCGAGACCATTACTCTCCCGAAATGCGTCTAAATGTCGGTTGAAATGGACTATGTAGTTGGGGGTGAGACAGCGGCATAGGAAAAAGACGATAGAGTCGAGAGGCTCTGCAAGTGCCGAAAGGGCAAGCATCGGTGCATGATCCACTAAACTGGAGAGGGCGGAATGCTGATCTAGACTGCGGCCAGTGGAGGCAATTGAACGGAGACCACAAGCAGTGTTTGTCAATAATCCTCGTCGAGTTGCATCGAACAGAACCAACTGGCTTGACGACTTTTCAGGTGTAGCATAAGATAATGGTAGCCGAAGGTGGTCGCATAAAATTACGCAATCATCTGCAGCAAGCCTCGATAATAGTGCAATTTCCATCCCACGATTGCGCATTGCTCGCGAGAGCTCGCCATAGTGTGGATCTACAGACATGAACAACCTAAAATTCGGATGGGGTTTAATAATTTGGACCTCTCCACTGACGAACCCTCTTTCGCTGAGAGTCAGGCAGCCATCGGGCTCGCAGAGGGAGTTCAACCGGTCAAGCACAGAGGGACTACATAGGTTAGCGTCGTCCATGAGGATCCACCGGCCTTCCTTCATTGCTCTTATGAGGGGACCATCAACCCATTCGAAGCGGCAAGCGGTATCTGAGGCCAAAGAAAGTTCCTGGACTTTACCCTGCAGCACTAGATAGTGGTCTCCTCCGTCAGAGGTTGACTTAATTAGTTCGGAGAGAAGAAGAGAGGCTGCTTGAAGTAAATCTCGAATGTCTAACGCCGCAGTCTGTGCGCGGGTTTGCTGAAGATGTAGGACATGTTTTTGAATGCTAGAAGAAAGCTTCGAACCCGAAATGGTCCGCAAATTGTGTTCAACGGCATTAGCGACCTCGTCGACAATGGAAAGCATCCGCCCACGAATATCAAGTTGTTCGAAGCTACCAAGTAGATCCATAGTGTCCGTCGCACTATTAATAGAAATTTCCCATAAGGAATTTCCACTTAAATCTGCTAGGGTACGAACAAGATCTGTTTTGCCACTTTCCCGTTCACCTGCCAAGATAGCAAGCCAAGATTTTGAAATGCAATTGCCCAGGGATTCCAATGCAGATAGTTGACTCTTCAAAACTCGGCCAGGCCGACGATGAGGAGCCATATTCCGACGTTTCAATATGGCATGACCAATTTGGATGTGAGTGGCTGAAATGGTCCATCCAGGCGCGTCTTCGACCTCGCAGGAGTCCGCAGAAAAAACTGCGTTGAAGATGCGCTGGGCTTCAGAGCGATCTTGAATCGTCCGAAAGCGATGGAGGTAAACGCTGCGCAGATACGCTAGAGGTTTTCGGGGATGGGGTGCACCCAGAAGGATTCCCCAACGTATGACGTCTCGTAAATTGAACTCCCATGGGGACCCTTCACGAGCGAAGGTGCGCTGGACGCTGACCTGTTGATTGAGCTGAATATTATAAGAAATCATGGAGCGGAGCGTTTTCTCTTCAATATCGGGGAATAGATGTTGACAGACTATAAAGAGGTCATCAGGAGAGAGCTCTTGGATATACACCTTAGTAAAGCGGTTCACGAAGGACTTTGGGAGACCTTTGCGACCACCACCTTGATTGAGCGGATTTTGGGCAGCAAAAATGCGGAAAGAAGGATGACATGTGAATGACCGACCAAGCTCCGGGATGTAGACCGTCCCACGATGATCCAAGACGGCATTTAAGCCTTCCAACACCGACTGGGGAGCCAGATTCATCTCGTCTAGAAGAACCCAATGCCCTTCTTGCAATGCTTTGAGAAATTCCGCATCTTTCCAAGCAAACTCTCCAGGTGAACCACCTTCCACCGGAAGATCAGAACCGAAAAGGTCAATGAGGTCAGTCTGATCAGAAAGGTTTATACGACAGAGGTGGTGACCAGAGACATCAGCTAGGGCCGTAACAAGACTTGTTTTTCCTACTCCTGGGCTTCCTTCTAATAGAATGGGTTTTGATACCTGAAATGCCCTGACAAGACGCATAGCATTATCCTTAGAAGTGGGCGCTGTTAGGTTGAACGATTGGCGCCCTCGAGGCCTGGATCCCGTCTTGATTGCAAAGCTGCCGAACTGCACAAATTGCTCCTGGTTATGGATCGGAACCGTCGAAGAAAGAGACTCCTGGAGAGGAACGAGCTCATGAAGTTTAGTCATTGCATCCTGTTTGAGTCGTATCAGGGCCTCAGCAGAGTATCCTGACAGCTGGGGAAGGGAACTGAGCCCGTCCAGGTAGGTCATATGCACGGCATGATGCTACAAAGAAATGAGTACCTAGGAATGAGAAGACGGGAAAACTCACGTAGATTTCATCGGGAGGTATACTAGCTAACGTTTCCGACTTGTACGCGGCATTGGTGAATGCAACCCAGGCCTTTTGATTAAGTTCGTGTGAGGATCTAATTGACAAAGAGAAACACATACAAGAATGTCTCGAAGACTTATGAGCGAGCGATCATTCACATACATGCACAGCCAGTCCACAAAATCCAAAATGGATGCAGTGAACTTACGAAGGTGCTCGTGCTGCCACAAACTACCAACAATAAGTTCCAGATCATCGCGATCGTCAACTCGAGGAACCCAGATTTCTGTAAAGCGATTGCGAAGGGCTGGAGAAAGTTCCTTCTTTCCATAATCGCCGCCTGGATTCATCGTGGCAACAAGTTTAAAGTCGGTGGATGCTTGGATGGTGGGAAGTTCAAAATTATCTCCCCCACGTTCGGCCAGAACAATCGTACGATCAGGTTCAAGGACGCTGTTGAGACGCTCGAGAACCGAGTCATCCGCCAGCGATATTTCGTCGAGCAAGAAGACATCGCCATTTCGCATGGAGTGGATAAGGGGCCCATCTTGCCACTCAAATATCGATTGAAGGTGCGAGACTCTCTGATAGATGCCTTCCAGATGAGAACGCGCTTGTGTGGTTAAGCCAGAAGAATCCTTCAATGCTTGTACCAGTGCATGTGATATGGCTTCGAATGTCGGAGGAATGTTGGAGATGCCTTCGCCTTGTAATGCGGAAACAGCTTCTTCCATGGCCTTGGTCTCTGCTGCATGCCGGTTGCGGACTGGCCTAAGTCCCCCAATCAAGTCCGCAGTCTCGGTATTTTGATGACAATTAATACCATGTAAATGTTGCGAGGTGATGTCGGCGTACACTTGGCATACAGATGTTTTCCCAGAACCAGTCTCCCCAACGAGAAGGACAGGCTCATTGAACTTGAGCGCTCTGCAGGTCAAGACAAACAAACGCTGCATTGCCTTCGTCCAAACGATGGCGGACGAGAAAGGAGTTGGACAACCGAGATAAGACAGCATATCAACGTCTGGCCTTTGTAAGTTGTACATGACAGCCTCGTCGATTTTGACCCCCATGATTGATTCTATCACTTCCTTGACAACAACCTTGTCGTCATCACGTCTAGTTCGCTCTGCCAGTAACATATATCCGTTCTCAGCCAGCTCCTGATAGCCAACAGCGTCTCTCCCAGCCCATCGAAAGAGGTCACGAAGTGTGGCGAAGCCCTGTTTACTCTCAAAGACACGTCCTGCTTGACGACGTTTCTGAAGCTCATGAAAGACACTAACAATTTTTTTGCCATACGATGGGGCTATTTGACATCGTTGACAAAGAATTGTTTCCAGCTCTGTCTGAGGGACATCTTCGAAATGGACTTCAAGGAAGCGGTTGCGAAAAGCGCGTGATAGAACTTTTCTTCCAGCATAGAGCCCTGGCGGATTCTGGGTTGCAAAAATCATGAAATGGGGATGAGGTCTGACGACTTCCTGCGTTTCTGGGATGACCAATTCGCGATTATCGTCAAGCAAACGATTCAATGCCTCCAAAACATCGGTTGGTGCCAGATTGAGCTCATCGAGGACAATCCAATGTCCGTTACGAAGCGCTTGGACAAGGAGACCATCTTTGAAGACCAACTTTCCTGTTGAAGGATCGGATACATATGAGCCAATGTACTCTTGAATGTCTGTATGGTCATGATTGTTGATGCGTACAAAATGATGGCCTGTTCGTTTCGCAAGGTATTCGACTGAGCTTGTCTTGCCACTAGAAGTCGGACCCTCGATAAGGATGGGAAAGCGACGTGTCAAAATTATCCGCGCAAGGTCAATAAGTTTTCTGTGGACGGAGGGGGTCATGATGTAGTTGTCGACGGGATCTTCAGGAAGGGGCCCCTTCTCAAGATAGAAGGGTCCGAATTTGACATAATTGTCTGGAGGACTGGGTGGGTTTGGATCTTTCGTCAACATTGATTTTGGATTCCGCACACCCACCAACAAGTGCTTGCGAGCCAAACTTGTGACCAGTTCGGCGCTGGCCGAATCCAAAACCATTGTGAATGCCATCAAGCAGCCTTCCCATACCGATCGCCTCAAGCTGTAAGAACTCGCCGTCTCGGCTGCAAATGTCAATGCCCTCGCCAAAGTACGCATGCTGAAGTGGGGTCTGTGATTGGCACCGTCTGCAATCTGCCGCTTTTCTGAGAGTTCTTTGACTGCGACATAGAACTCGGCGATGTTCATGATGACCCCTTTGTCTCCGACAACATTAGGTCCTATGTATTGTGTAATGATGCTCAGCAGCGTCTCCTTGTCTGCGTCAGGAGGAGGGACATCGATTTCGGTGAAGCGGGATCGGATATTAGGTGGTAGATCCTTCTTTCCCACATCTGTTGCAGGATTCATACAAGCGAACAAACGGAAATCAGGGTGCCTAGGAACAGGTTCAAGCGAGCCCTGCTCAGAGAGGGTGATCGACGCTGTGGGACCGTGAAGAAGCCCAGATATGCATTCAAGCGTTTCTGGACTTGCAAGGTTGATCTCATCTAGTAAAATCCTACCACAAAATCAGCGCGAGAAATGTGGAAAGTTGGGCATCCTTACCATTCCCCTGACCTCAAAGCTTTCACAAGTGGTCCCTCAACGAAACCAAATGCAAATTTTCCTTTTCCATGGACATGTTGGACTTCAAATTCCTCCACATCGCGCAGGAAGGCTATCCATCCCTCTTCAGAAGAAGTTTTCATGTCTTGCTCAACTTTTCGTCGCTTTCTTGGGGTTTCTAGGTCTATTTCCCGAGAAACGACTCTAGCAACAAGACGTCAAAATGCTTGCCCCATCCTGAGCTGATAGAATAAACATACCTATTTTCTTGCTCCCTCTTCGAGCGAAACCGTTCTTGTGCCAATCTCGTACTTTCCTTCCACAGGCCCACCGCTCGTTTCCACTTCGCCTCATTGACAGCCTTTCTAACTTCCACTTCAAACTTTTCATTCTTCCTCCTGCTAAACGTAGCCCCAAATAGCTCCAAAAACTTTTCCTGCAGGATAGAACCTGGAATTCTTGCATCCACCGGCTTGAGACCACCTATCAGATCCGAAGATTCAGTTTGATGCGACAAGTTCAACGAAATCAAAGGTCGATGCAACAGTGTTGCAAGATGTGTTATGACGCTGGTTTTCCCGGTACCAGTTTCTCCGGTCAAAAGAACAGGTTCCCCAAGGGCGACAGCTGTGGCTATCCTGGAAAGCAACAAAATAGCTGGTTTGTGCATTGCAAATGGGCGTGGTATCGATGGTGAGATTTCCGATTTTCCCTGGCGAGCCTGAAGGTATGTACGGCCTATGCACAATGCAGTCGTCCGTCCGTTAATGTCTTTCTCAACCTCGAATTCTGGTGTCCTTCCAAAGAGGATCCACTGGCGCCGGTCGGAATCCAACCCAAGATGTTCACCAATTATGTTTGCGACTGCCTCAATATGAGCTCGTGCTGATGTTGTCGACGCTCCTGCTCCAAAAAACACATCACGGGCTTCCAAATACATGTCTTCACGAAGAGTTGGATTGGTGAAAATGGCCGAAAGTGATGGTACTGATGTCTCATCCGTTACAACGCACATTGGTCGGTGTGACGGAGGCAAGAGTCTGTCAATCCGCATACAAAATTTGAGAACTTGTCGTAAGCCGACCTCGGGTGCTGAAGCTGATGAACCAAGTCGCTGGACCGAATCGCAAAGACGTATGATAGCTTGGGCGGCACTCCCAGCAAGTCGCGGAAATCGAGAGTCTATTATTGTCTGCAATTCTTGGGTTGTTGGTGACTGCAGTACAATTTCATGGAATTTGTGCGCTCCAAAAAAACTGGGTTTTGGAAAGATTCCATGTTGAGACGGTAAAGAGGACCTCGTCGCGAATATCATGAAGTCGTGATGCGCGACGACCCGGCCACGGCTGGGGATGTTGAGGGAGGCACAACCACCAATCCATTTACCGGCACGCAAAGACTCCACAAGCGGCTTGATCACCCCCAGAACTTCACTACTCCCCCGGTCAATATCCTCAAAAACAACCCATTTCCCTTCCCGCATGGAACGCACTAGAACTCCCTCCTTCCACTCAAATGTACCAGATCGGGTTGTTGAAGAAACATATGAACCCAACAATGCCCGTGGATCTAAGGAGGTGTCCGCGAGATGAATAGTAATGATGTGATTCCTGGATGAATGAAGGAGACCGGCAAGATGGGAGAGTAAGAGAGCTTTTCCGGCGGATGGCGAAGATGTCATGAGGGTAGGTATGCGGAGGGAAACATGCAGAGCGAGAGACTGGAGCCCTTGGATTGATGTTGGCGTCGGTATGAGGGAGGACTCGTGCTGTAGGGGCCTTGGCGTCCGCAGAAGAAGAACACCATAGATACTAGCAATGTAGGGGCTACGATGCGATTAAAAGTCATCAATACAACTCTGAATTATTATTTTTTGTGGACGCACCTGAGGTCAGACGACTGTATGACTTGAGCGGAATCACCATCTTCTCGCGTATAGTAGTCATGAGGCTTTGTGACAATAGAGTCTCTTTCTTCCTGAATCCTCCGTACCTCAATTACGGGCATGATCCATCCATCCACGTTCTTTTCAGATCCATCCTCATTCTGACCATAACCCAACAAGCAGTCAACCCCACACGGCTCCCCTAGCACTTCTCTCTCCAACTTCTCTCTCTCCTCCTCTCCCATGCCACTTTGTAGTGCGTAACAACGTATTGATAACAGTCGTGCGGCATTGTCAAGATGAGGCATCCATATTATCCTAGATAACGGTGCCAGAGGCCAAGAAAGCTGCTGCGGAAGCTCACGATTTGCTTGCAAAATTCGGTAATACGCGAGAAGGAGCCAGTGTAGGCGGGCGACGTTTATTGATAAGAGTGAGGGTGTTTCGTTAATGAAGGAAAGAGGGCCCTCTTTGTACGACGTGCAAAGGATTTCGTATAAAATGCTGGAACAACTTTAGCTGACATATATGAAATGATGAAAAAGAGTAGCGACGAACGGAAAGAGCTCTTCATGAACCTCCAAAAGGAGACACAGCGCTACGAGCTGCTCTTCTTTGCTATCATCAACCTCTATCCATCGGGCACACAGATCGAGTAGAATAGGTCGGTAGTACGTTGCTATCAGTTGTGTGTAGGCGGGAACGGTTAAAAGCCTTGAGAGTGTCGCGAGAAATTCGCGCGTTGTAGACGCGTTTTTTATGGCCTCAGCATACTCGGATTCGGAAGGAATAATTGAGAGTAAGTGTCGAGTTTGCCGGGATAGGTTTATCTCCAGTGGGTCATGAATAGCACTGGTAGATGACATTGCCTAGATAATAATGAGGAAAAAAGTTAGACAAGCTTTTGCGTTGGCGTAAGCCAAGCGTCGCGCAGACCCAGAGGTGGAAAAAAAAATACTAATTGTATCACATCACAAGATCTTATCTAATCAATGGGCCTACTCTTCCACATCGACTCCACTTTCGTCGACGTTCACAATAGATTCCTGGCTCGAGCACTCTTCCCCCTCTTCTTCTTCTTCTTCCTCCTCCTCCTGTTCTTCTTCTTCCTCTTCCTCCTCCTCCTCCTCTTCTTTCTCCGCCTCTTCTTCTTCCTCCTCTTCTTCTCCTTCTTCTCCCTCGTCAAAGGTCTCCACTTGCACAATGTCCCATCCTTGTTCACCTCTTGACTCTACTCGGCATCCAACATCAACGAGCTCGTCCAATTCCAAGTCTCTGCCTCTTCGTCGTTCATTCCATCCAACAACCCATCTAAGACCATCTCCCGAGGCCGTCAAACCCCTACGTAGCCGTATCTCCGATATTATGCTAATCCCAGCTATTCCTGAAACCTTAAACGTTTGCAAGTGTGGGAGTAAGGCACTTTGGTCCTTTTCCCAATAATAATCTCTTTCGTGTTCATCTTCGACCCGACGGAGCTTGAGATTCGCTAGCGAAGCGAGGAACGAGTGTAGCGTTAGAATAGGGTCTTTGAGCGAACGAGTGGTGCGGCACGTGCCGTTTTCTCTTCTTACCACCACCTCGTTCGCCACACAGAAGGAGTTCATTAGCTCCTTCCTCATTTTTCATTGCCTACTACACTCTTTAGAACTACACACAGTAACATTCCCTACTACACATCCCCATGCCGCGAATTCTTCAGGACCCGACCAATGTCCCATGCCCGGATTTCGCAGGAGCAGGACACGCCGCTGTCAGGCAAGTCCTGTCCAACAACGGCCAGGTAACCAACGACCAGGCTATACAACAACTAACCACTGCTTGGAACCAAACGCACGAGCTCGAAGTCGAAGCTTGGAACCAGCAAGTGCAGACAGAGCTAGAAGAGCACCAGGAGCAGGCCAGGCTGGTGGCAGAAGAAGAGACGAGACGCCAAGAGGAAGACCGACGCCTAAAGGACGAGGAAAGGAAAGAGCAAGAGAAGAAACGGCCCAAAATCAACGACTTCGACGAGGGCAAGATAATCGCCGACCACGTCATGGCTCGTCCGTCACAGTTTGCCATCGGAAAGTTGAAGTCATTCAGCTATGTCGAGTTATGGTACTTTACTGACGAAGGATGTGCTGAGGCACAGGACGCCAGCAAGGCCCAATCAGATGACGCATATGGCATCACCAAGGTCGACGACCTAGTCGCGTTCAAGCCCGTTGGATCCTTCAAAGCATCCCGGAACGTTGTCCCAGACGCTAACCTCACCTGGACGCAGATGAACATCGCGAAGAACATGCTAATTCAGTACATGGGCTTCTGCGACTGGCCCCAGAAGCATATCCAGTCATTCGCGCATTTCTACTTCAACCTCGAGCTTGAACCGATACGCTCACGGCCCCACGGTGAAAAGGTGCTCATTGTATACCAAGCCAAGGCCAGGAGACTGTGGCACGACGAGCTGTCGAGAGGCACAGGCTTTAACATCGCGCCTATAAATAAGACGCTCCTCAGCACCGTGGCTGAGGAGGTGTGGGACATGGTCAGGATGGATTCCGTCAAAAAGGTCAGTTATTCCCCTCCTTCCCCCCCGAATTTCCAACATACGCTGACTGCTTCTACCCACCCTTCCCCCCCACCCTTTTTCCTCCACGTCTGCCATACCATGCCATCCCGCCACCTTATTGCCATCTGCCATGCCTTGCCATCACGCCAAATGCCCACAAAACAACACTATAACACCTGAATCCGACGCCTCGCGATGCCACTATCGACAACAACCATGCCTCGTCACTCCACACCACTGACAACCATGCCACGCCATGCCACTAACGACATTGCCATTGCAGCATGATGCCATAGCCATGTCCCCAGCACGGGACCGGGACAGGAGAAGCTCCAGGATGGGCTCATCCTCGTCTCCATCCAAACGAGGTCGCGCGCAATCCCCCTCACGCTCGCGCTCTCGCTCGCGTTCGCATTCCCCTCCCCGCCAGCGCCGTCGTCGTTACGCCTCGCCAGAGCGCTCCTCCAGAGATGCTGGTTCACAGGGCAGGCGCAACCGTCAGGCCACAAACGGCAGAGGCAGAAACAGAAGCGGCAATGCTTCGTTTTTTCAAGGGGGCACAGCGGGACGTGGCTCCTCCGCCTGTGTCGTATGCCTGGGACGCCACGAGCACGATTATGCCAAATGCTCCGCCACCAAGCTATGGAACGGGGGGAAGGTCTGGGTACGAAGAGCCGACAATGGGCGACTCGTCTCCATCGACGGGCTCCCCATTTGTTTCAGCTTCCAGACCTCAGCAGGATGTTCAGACACTGTACACCCCTCTCGGCACACCTGCTCAGGGTGTGGGAAGTCAGGGCACGGCGCTCAGCAATGCCCTCAGGTCCAGAAGAACTAACCCCCGCACCCCTTACAAGCCAGAGGCATGGCGTAGTCAACTCGACAGACACAGTCTCGACTCCCGTTATCCAACATTATACCACAGCCTTACGCACGGCTTTGATCTCGGGATTCCTAATATATCTCAATCATATGTTCCAGCTAATAACCCGTCTATTAATAAGTTTCTTGAAGAATATGAGGAAATTGTGGAGAAAGAATTCCGGAAGGGCAGATACATTGGCCCCTTCTCCAGGGCAGAACTGGAATCTGTCATTGGACCCTTCCAGTCATCCCCCCTCTCCCTTGTTCCCAAACCTGGAAAACCGGGAAAATATCGCGGGGTGCATGACTTCTCCCACCCGCGTCAGCCATCGACAAATCCAATCTCATCTATCAATTCTGCCATCAATGCACATGATTTCCCCTGCACATGGGGAACCTTTTCCACGATATGCCTCATCATTTTCCGACTACCACCCGGCTCCCAGGCCTCCATTCGAGATGTCGCTGAGGCTTACAGGACCATACCTGTACATCACAGTCAGTGGCCAGGTTTGGTTGTGCGACTACGAGGTGCAGACACCTTCGCCGCCAACACATGCAACAACTTTGGCCTCACCTCTGCAGGTGGGGCCCATGGACTTCTTGCGGATGCAGGAACGGACATCTTCCGTGCGAACGGAATTGGTCCCTTATCAAAATGGGTCGATGACCACATTTTCTTTCGAATTCCCCGCTCCTGCCTCAGCGTGTACAATGCCCAGCGCCAATCCTGGCATCAACTGGTCAAAACCAATGGAGGACGCCTACACGAAGGTAGTCGTATTTGGTACAGAGGCGACACCATGCCTGATGGGCGCCCAGAGGAGTTTGACGAGGACATGGCCAGCCCCATACGCGATCTCTCGAGCGTATCCGCACATTCTGCCAATGATGCTCTTTTTACATACGCTGACGAAGATATTGATCTTCTTTCAGATGAATTGGGCATTCCGTGGGAGAGCTCCAAGACCATCCCCTTTGGCTCAGTGGTCCCATACCTCGGCTTTGTATGGGACCTCGAGGCGCGCACTGTGGCCATCCCAGCGGAGAAGAGGCGCAAATACCTCAACGCGATTGAGGAATGGGGGAAAAAGCCAACACATGCACTGGCAGAAGTACAAAAGCTATATGGTAAGTTGTTGCACACTTCCCTCGTCATTACTGCGGGGCGCGCGTACCTTACGAATTTGGAAGCCATGCTCTCAGGTTTCAATAACAGTCCTTTCGTGCCACACACCCCACCCCGCAATACAGCTGACGACCTTCAATGGTGGACAACACGCCTCCAATCTCCCACCCTCTCAAGGGACATTCCTGGCCCAGTACCACTCAAGGACCTCGACGCCTTCTCTGACGCTAGCTCAGGTTTTGGCATCGGCATCACGATTGGAAAGAGGTGGCGCGCCTGGCGTTTACTCCCTGGCTGGAAAGCTGACGGACGAGACATCGGTTGGGCAGAGGCAGTCGGATTCGAGCTCCTCAGCCTCGCCATACTGTCATCCGGCGACAGAAGTTCTCACTTCAAGGTTTATGGAGATAACAAAGGAGTCGTCGAAGGATGGTGGAAGGGACGTAGCCGAAACAAGCAGACCAACATCGTCTTTAGACGTGTTCACGCCATTCTGGAGACCCGGCAGTGCACCATCCACACAAGATATGTCCCGAGCAAAGATAATCCCGCTGATGAACCATCCAGAGGAATATACCCACGTCTTACACATCTCCTGCCCCATATTCCCATCCCCCCAGAACTGCACCACCTCATCGTCGACTTCGACTCTGAACTCGCCATGGCACGCTCTGGTGAGCACCTCCTACCAAATGCCCAACGCAAGCCCCAACACGAGCTTTCAGAAAACGAACGAGCCTCAATCAACGCCGAGCTTGATCGCCGGGGGGAGGAATTCCTCTCCTGTTCCTCATACGATTAACCAGGAACGTCGAGCCTGGAATGCTCAGCTCCCAGCCCCAGCCTCGGATAAGCGTCCACGACCTGCACCATACCGCAAGAATCTTACTCCTCTCCCTTCACCCCTTCGACCGCATTGCCCAGCCAACCAAAGACTACGCCTATGGCGCCCACTAGTGCCTCGTGCCCAGAGGTCCGCTCAAATGTCGGATGAAGACATCAAGCGCATTGAAGACGTCCTAGCCTATGCATGGGAGTTGGATACACACGCAACATATGCCTCTGGCCTCCTCAACTTCATGGTTTTTTGCGACCAGAAGAACATCCCTGAAAAAGACAGGGCCCCAGCCAGCCAAGTACTAATCATGTCCTTTGTGTCTACTCTAGCTGCTGCATACTCTGGCTCAGCAATCAGCAACTATGTCTACGGTGTACGTGCATGGCATTTACTACATGGTGTTCCATGGAAGATTGACAAACCCGAACTGGAGGCCCTTTTGAAAGCAGCTGAAAAGTTAACCCCCTCTTCCTCCAGGAGAAAGAAGCGGCGACCCTATACAATTGATTTCATGCTGGCCATCCGGAACAACCTAGCCTTGGACACCCCCCTCGGAGCTGCCGTCTTCGCCTGCCTAACGACCTGTTTCTTTGCAACCGGTCGCGTTGGAGAATTCACAGTCCAAAAGCTCGACATCTTTGACCCCAGCATACATGTCTCCAAGGCCCGTGTCAGCTACGACCAGAACAGAGAAGGGCAACAAGTCACGGTTTTACACCTGCCACACACCAAGTCAGCGCCACAAGGGGAAGACGTATGCTGGGCAAAACAGGCAGGGCCCATAGACCCGAATGCGGCGTTAGCCCATCATCTCGAGGTCAACAACCCTCCCCAGGAAGGCCACCTTTTCGCATACCGCCACAAGAACAGCCACCGGCCGCTCACGAAGTCCAAGTTCCTAGCGGAACTGGCGAAGGCCGCACGTGCAGCTGGCCTGGAGCCCCTGCAAGGGCATGGCATCAGAATTGGCTCTACACTCGAATATTTGCTCAGAGGCGTGCCTTTCGATGTCATGAAGGTGAAGGGTCGTTGGTCCAGTGACGCCTTCACCCTGTATCTACGAAAACATGCACAAATTCTCGCCCCATACATACAAGCAGCGCCAGCCGTACACGACACGTTCGTCCGTTTGACCATGCCAGCAGTGCGCTAACAAGGTAAGCATCCGAGCTTCTCCTAATGGGTTGGGTCCGAGACTCACTCGCCGCGTCGAAGACTCCAGATGCCATGGGTGTCGCAGATCGCCTCGGACCCTCCGGGAGACTCTTTGCCAGATCGGAAAGCGCTTCGCGCTTTCGCCCACTTGCTTGCCTTTATCTACATATTTATTCATTCGCTATTATCGCTCATTACAAATACTACCTCTAATCAATCGATTTTAAGTGTCATTCCTGCATCTCCATTTAGGCTCAATCTCTGTGCAAACACACAGTGATACTCAAAGATTGAGATTCGCTAGCGAAGCGAGGAACGAGTGTAGCGTTAGAATAGGGTCTTTGAGCGAACGAGTGGTGCGGCACGTGCCGTTTTCTCTTCTTACCACCACCTCGTTCGCCACACAGAAGGAGTTCATTAGCTCCTTCCTCATTTTTCACCCACCCTCCACTCCCAAAACTTTAGCATTTTGACTGGCAACATAGTCTTTCGGATGGCCCGAGTGCATCCGCAAGACGGGCCCACCCGCCCGTCGCAGATCGCCTCGGACCCTCCGGGAGACTCTTTGCCAGATCGGAAAGCGCTTCGCGCTTTCGCCCACTTGCTTGCCTTTATCTACATATTTATTCATTCGCTATTATCGCTCATTACAAATACTACCTCTAATCAATCGATTTTAAGTGTCATTCCTGCATCTCCATTTAGGCTCAATCTCTGTGCAAACACACAGTGATACTCAAAGACCCGAAATACCTTCATGCTTTCCGACCAAAACGTCCCAAAATCGCCTTCCAACTTTGGAGAAATCGGCTTCAAGAACCCGCAACCCTTCCAAAGATCGAAGTAATCCGTACCAGCTCTCCAGACTACATTCAAGCGCCCCAATGATTAATATTTCCAGCTTTTGGAGGAATGGAATAGCGCATCGACTCAACGGCGGGTCAGAAAGGGCGGATATTGTGCCGTCTCCTCGTAGGGTTGAGCTCGTCATAAGCTCAATGAAAGGCGTGAAATTCTGTTCAGGAAGATCGAGACTGATCTTCGTGACGGCAGGTAGAGACACCCGTCGCATCAAGTTGCAGAGGTAATCAGGGTCAAGGTCTGTCAATGATAAATGTTGCAGGTCTTTCATGAGTATGACCTCCTCAGTACTCGACCACTTCAACGACGGATCCCCAGTTTCTGCTCTTGGACCAGAGTAGTGCAAGCAAAGACTCTGCAAATCTGGGCTCATGCGCAGCATTCTCTCCCACGACTCATAAGGAGGTCGAATATTATCCGAGTGCAACGCTAGCTCGAGATTATGCAGGTTCTTGAGGTATGGACTTTTTGCCCAGGGAAGATTAACACCGATTAAGGAGACGTTCTTTAGGTGAGGTAAGGAATTATCGAAGACGATTACGGGAGGGCGGTAAGTTGCCAAGTAAAGGTTTTGTGGAGTCTGGTAGTCTTCGAAATGATAGAGCTGTAACGTTTCAAGCCTTGGTGCTGGTCCACATGAGCCTAAGTAATGCCGAGCCTGGCCTTTGCACTCATTGTCGCGAATCTTCAGGTGAAAGGCACGCCAACGTCTAACATGAGGTATGATGACCTCAAAGACGTCACGGATCTCGTCCTTGCAGAGCGTGACGCCCGGTAAGTGATCTTCTTGTGCGACAGTGTCAACAAGGATGTCGAGGAGATGAGTGCCGGTAGTCGTACAGCGGTTTAAATACGCTTGAGCACGGGAAATGTGCGACGGTTCGCGGAAATGGAGTGTGGTCCAGAGAGACGAGGTTCGCAGGGCGATGCGCCGCCAATGGCTGCAGACATGGGAGACGAGAATCTGAAAGTTTGAGCAAGGAGCAGGATGGTAGTCCTGGTCTGGTTTGAGGAGGAAGGGAGAGAGGGAATATGGGTAATCGAAACCTGCACCAAGAACAAAGATGCGAGTAAGGAGTTCAACAGGTAAAGAATGTACCCCCGTAGGATGATTTGAGAAGCGGGGTCGGGCCATAACGAAGTTGAAGGAAACTGTTGAGCTCTGTAAACAGTTGGGTCATAGCAGAAAATACTATTCGACAAAGTGGACATACAAGGTGGCCGAGGAGGTTATTGCTTTAGCCCGCAAAGACCGAAATCAGGGTAATGCGGGCTTAGTACGAGCAGGAATACGTACAGTACAAACTCTATTAATAACTCATGTGCAAATTAATCCATCTCCTTGCCTTTCTTGGTCTTTCTCTTGCCTTTCCTGGCCTAACCCACATTACGCAAAGTACATCAGGTCATTCTTCTTCTTGCTTTGCACTGTAACGCAGATCAGGTGAGTTCTGGTTCCTGCACATCTCATTGATAGCTTACCCTCTGATATGCCACTCAGGAAATGCTCGTGGCTCAGTTTCGTGGCACCTTCTCTCAGAGCAATCATTCCAGCTTCCACACAGACAGCCTTGAGCTGCGCCGCATTGAATTCATCCGTGCTCCTCGCTAATTCTTCGTAGTTGACGTCTGGTGATATCGCCATCTTGCGTGAATGGATTTGAAGAATACGAGCCCGTGCTGTCTCATTTGGTAGCGGGAACTCAATTTTTCGATCGAGACGTCCAGACCGTAGAAGAGCAGGATCCAATATGTCTATCCTGTTTGTCGCTGCAATAACCTACAACGATGATGATTGTCTACTTGATATGACTTGATATGAGTGAAGCTTACCTTGATCCGGTCATCACTCCCAAATCCGTCCAGCTGGTTCAGGAGCTCCAACATCGTTCTTTGCACCTCACGGTCACCACTCTTCTCCGAGTCGAAACGTTTCGTACCAATGGCGTCGAGTTCATCGATGAAGATGATAGCAGGGGCCTTTTCTTTGGCCAACGCGAATGCGTCGCGAACAAGCTTGGCACCATCACCGATGAACATTTGGACCAGAGAAGGTCCGGCGAGTTTCAGATAACAAGCTTTTGTTGAGGCGGCGCAAGCACGGGCGAGAAGTGTTTTGCCCGTCCCTGGAGGTAAATATGGTTTGATTTAGTCACCAGAACGATGTCAGTCATGGCATACCAGGTGGCCCATACATCAAACAACCCTTGGGTGGTTTTATGCCGAGCGTCTTGAACTTGTCAGCCTGCTCCATAGGAAGAACGATAGCTTCCACTAATTCCTCAATCTGCTTCTCCAGGCCACCAATATCCGTATAAGTCTCCGTTGGCCGTTCATCAACCTCCATCGCTTTGACGCGTGAATCGAATTCGGCGGGAAGTGTATCAAGAACCAGGTAGGAATCTTTGTTGACACCAACAAGGTCACCGGGCGTGAGTTTCTCTGGGGGGACAAGGCCGATCAAGGGTAGGAACACAGTTTGACGGGTAGAGGTTTTAATGACGGCACATTTTCCTTTACGCATCGAATCCAAGTCTTGATTGGCACCATCCTCCTCGACCTCGGGGTCAACATCCAAAATCTAAACAGGTTTAGCCCTTTGCCAAAACGTGGAGGTGAAGGGTTACGAACCTCGACAACGTTTCCAACAAGATAGGGCAAAACTTTGTTCTGTTTGATCTTTTCCCCGTTATCACGAATCTTTTCCTTCATAACACTCTGTTCATGCTGCAATCGTAATGTTTCTGACCTCATAACCTGTGCCTCGTTAGCTTCTACATCATGCTCCACAGCAGATTTGCGTACTTTGATGTCGTTCTCAATCAATCGCGTTCTCGTGTTAATCTCATCTGTGCTCAGAGCCATGATATCTTCAGGAATGTCGTCCCATGATTCCTCAACTGGGGCGTCTGGTGTTGTGTCCATGGCTGTTCCTTCAGCAGCAGCTGAAGTCGAGGGCGCAGAATCCTCTGGTTTCTTCTCTGGGTTACCAGGTGGGTTGCTCGGCGGGGGTGCAGATGACATGGTGACAAAGATAAGCAGAAGAAATAATTGAAGTTGTAACTGTGCGCGTCAAGGACACGCGTACCCCTCACCCTTTTGGAATCAACAACACCAAATAATATCTCAGCTCTAGCCTCTCATCCATGGCGGATGTAGCGGGCGCACCGTCTGCAGAAGACAGGGCTCGCTATGAAAATCTCAGAAAGGAGCTTATGCAGGCTCTTCCAAGGAAGCGTGTGACAGACAAACAACTAGTGCGCACAATCCTTTTTTCTTGCTTGTTGCTCATCGTTCATGGGTTTTGCCAGTAGGCTCAAGTTGAGGTCCAGATATATAACCTCGAAGCCACATATCTCACGGAGACGGCTGCGCATAGTGGAGGAAACATTATTCATGGTTTTGAGGGATACTTGAAGAACCAGAGCACCGGCAGGAGAAAGTATGAAGTGAACGACCATGATCGCGTGTTCTCGAACAGCAGCTTGACTTATCAAAGGGTGCGTTGGATTGTTGTTGGAGCTCCTCATTTCTTTGCTAATTATCCGTCATATTTCCAGTCTCTCGAACTTATGGGAGAGGGGGAGGAGTCAGCCATGACCAATGATGAATATGGAAAGCAGTCAACAACCGGTGTTACAACAGTTGTGGTGCCCCCTGCGACTAGAAATCAAGAGATGTCTGTCGCCCAACAGAAGCGTATCAGAGATAAGGAATACCAGCGCAAGAAGCGGGCCAGTGTTAGCCTTAGAAGCACGGGGGAGAGCGAAGAGGAGGCAAGCATTTCTTCAAGAAGGCCAACGAAGAGAGCCCGCCTCGCTGATGAAGACTAATTCCCAACCACTTGCAGTAGTTTCAGTGTATTCTGTGTAGTACTAGTGTACACATTACAATAAAGATACCCTTACATAGTTACACGTCCAATGTATCCAACAACGTTTTGACCCCCTTGGCATCCAGTCCACCACCGTCGGGATCGACAGCTTCAATACACCTCACGATAGCAATTACCTGCTTGATCTCCTTCGCATTCACCCACACGCGTCCATTCAACCCCACTGCTACCTCGAGCGGAAAGCGACCACCCAGTAGAGGCAGTAGGAAATGCTTTGTATCTAACAGGCTTTGGGGTGTGAATACAAAGTCAAGAGATGTGGCTGTTGAGGGAACTCACTCGAGGCACATCTTGAGGCCGCAACGAACTACAAAGCCGCCTTTTAGTTCCCCAAACCCTTCCGATTTTCGCGTCTGGGCATCGAAACACTCTAATTCTGGTTCCATATCCTTATGCGCTAGAGAAACGCGAGCATATACGAGACATCCCACCTATACTTACAAAAAAAAACACCATCAGTTAATTGAATATGTTCGCGTCCAAAGGGCTTGCCTTGAGATTAGGTTTATTGCGCTTTGAGGCACCTTCAAATGCCAGGGAGTCGAGGGATGCATAGTGGGCCGCCCCGATATCAACACGGTATCCTTCTCCCAACCTCTGTGTAATCACCCCTACAACCGACTCCTGAGGTGCAGGAACGTACTACAAGGGTCTTGGATCAGCCTTTCCATTCTGCTGAAAGTAAAACTTGTAAAAAACGAACACGTTTCGAGTTGCTCTCAACCCACCATTTGCTTCGATTTGCAGAATGATTTAGAATGCCGGCTCTCGTTGAAATGACTGTAGATTCCCGTCCACTCGAACCAGCGCCAGGTACTTGCAGTAAACCTGGCCCGAGTTTGAGGTTAACGTGCTGGGCTGGGACTTCCTCGCCAGGAAGGACGACGGACATGGTTGTCAAACAAGTGCAGCTCCTGGCAGTCACAAATGTTGACTCCGAACAACGAACTCGAACAGGACCGGGTTTCTTATTGAACGGCTATGGCGACTCCTCTGCAAAGAGACTTCCCCGAACTCTCTCATTTATCGTATGTCTACAGCGGGCGATGTTGTGCCACCGTCCTGATGTCCATACAGTCGTGAAGACCTTGAAGATCTGCTTGCGGATCCCATCTACTTTCAGGCGATCTTTCACTCCTTACATCGAGTAAAGAATCTATACAGAGCCCAGGCGGAGCTGGGAATGGCAAACGAATCTATTGCGAGTAGGCTATCCTTTCCAAATTTGGGGGTCTAATGGTGGCTTATTGTAGGCATTTCGCAGAGAACAATTTAGGTCTACAACAATCTTTGTACCACCTACGTGCAGAGACACAGGAGGCATTCGATGAAGCAAAGAGGTTAGAAACGAGGTGGCAGGAGTTAGAGAAGGAGCAGAAGGAGGTTTACCAGGTTCGTGTTTGCCGCAGCTGGATACACAGCGGTGATCAATAATTCAATTCCAATTCAGCGTTTCACGCCTCAATTTCTTCTTATGCGCTTGCGGCACAGCATGACAGCTCAAGACGAGGCCTCTGAAGCGCTTGCATCATCTTTTGTCCAACAGCAACCCAGCCTCCCCTCCCTCCCAAGAGGAAACACTTCAGGGACTGGCACGCCAAGGGGTGGTTTAGAGGTCGAGGAGTTTATCAAAGAGTTCAAGGAAATGAGAAAACAGTATCACAAGAGGGCAATGTGGGGCGAGAAGTGGGCCAACGGTCAAGTTGCGTGGAGAGAAGATTGAGGGCAAGATCGCATACCCTTCCAATAACTTTGTGCACATCCATTTCCTCTTTATATATTTCAAGGTCATTGACGAATTTCGCTTCCTCGCGACAAAGGTCGTATGCATTATCAAGTAACAATCCAAAGTACATTTTACAATGATTAACAAATTCCAGACAGGTAGATCTTATAAACCAAGGGCTAAATGGGAATCAATATCTTCCTGTACGCAACCATACGAGAATGAGGGTAGAAGGGTGTCAAAAATGTCAAAGACATAAGCGACGAAAATGGAGGCCATATGGGTAGATTTCAACCAAAACAGTTCAACACCCGGGGGCAGTCACAGGTATCAGTCCAGTCCAAAAAGATATCGCGAGTAGACAACTGGGACGATTGACCATATTCAAAAAAGCCATCACGCTTTGAGATGGAGTCGGGAGAAGACGAAGATGAAGGGTATGGCAATGGGTATCAATGCTGGTGGGGCATTTAAACGTCTGCGACGGCGTTCAACAGTCCCACACGACCAGTGGCGCCGAGATTCACGGTTTCATTGCCGGACTCGCTTTGTACGACGGGGTGGTTGACCAGCTGGCTAGAAACGTCACTCTGGAGCTGCATCGGCACGAAGACGACCTTGCTATTAGCAGACTTGGCCATTTGTTGTACTGTTTTAACAGGCGTGTAAGCGAAAAAATAGCGAAAAAATAAGCGATATACGAACAGGCCTCAAGCTGCCTAATCTGCATAGCAGCGGGACTGGCCAAAATATCTGCAGCCTGTCTCATCAAGCGGGCCGAGTCCACTTCTGCCCGGGCCGCAATGACCTTTGACTCTCCAATCCTCTTCTGCTGAGCTGCAGACGACAAAGATGCGGAGACTTCGGCGCTGAAGATGATATCCTTGATGAGAATGCCCTCAATGGCGACACCCCACTTGTCCGCGACGTCACCGACGATTTCTGCAATTTCAAAGGCGATAGCCTCGCGCTCGGTGACCACGCTCTGGACTGCACGGGCACCAACGACATGTCGGAGTGTCGTTTGAGCACGTTCAATCAGGGCCTGACGGAGGTCAGTAATTCCGAATGCCGCGCGATATGGGTTGCAAATCTGGAAATAGATAACCGAGTCGCTGAAAAAGTGACCACACATAAGTAAAGTGTAAGGGAGGTTAAGACCACACACGGAAATTCACATTTCGACATTGACGTTATCACGGGTGCTGTGGGTAACATGGTAAATGATAGGTCAGGTCAAAAAGCAGTTGGGTACGAACATAACCATCTGGCGGCCAATGGGACTGATCTGAATTTTGACGTCCACCACGCGGAGAGACTCTGTGCAAACGTTGACCTGGACAAGGCCTGGGTCCACAGATTTGTAGAATTGTCCGAATCGTGAGACCAGACCGACAGAACCTGCATAAAGAGTTAGTGGTCCAAAATAGTGCCTTGGGAAGTGCAAAAATGTTAAATACCCTGTTGGACATTACGGAAGGGGTTGGGGCATGGGCAGCAAGGGAAGGCTCCGACGAAACCAACCATGCAACCGAGGCCTTGGAGGAGAGAGCCATAGATACCGTGGGTGACCTCTCCAGTTCCAAGATCTTGGGCATACGAAGGCTGGTAAACAGTCGTAGTTAGCAATGGATTCAAGCCAATGCTCATTTTAGGGGGGTCTCACCTGCATTTCGCTTCGCTTTAACGGTTGCACCTGGATCATGGTGCTCTTTCCAAGGTCTCCCGCTCTCTTTGGACCTGCTGGAAGCTCATCAGTCACTGTGTAATCAAAGAAAGAGATGAGAGCTTGATTGTAAGAGATAATGTGAAGAATACTTGCCATTAGCAGCATGGTGGTCAACTACATTCCCGTGTCCGCTGGATCCGCTGGGCGAAGCGCGGCCCTTGATCATGGTATCGAATCCGCCGTTGTGTGACATTCTGTGCCGAAGAGGAAAGTGAAGCTATTGACTTGTGTGCTCGGTTTTTATATACAGTATGTCATGGACGAAGGTGTGCAGCTCCGCAGTACTTGCGTACACAGCCCCCCGTCGATGTCATGCCGTCAAGTAATTTGAAACTCCCGACTCGTCTGTCCTCACAAAATTGAGCGGAGCCAGGCGGAATTCAATCTGTGCCTAAATCTCTCATCAAACGTTGGTGACTGCGCAACTGCCAACCACTGCTTGAACCGCTGACCTCGGTGGTCAAGTGTGCATTAATCACAAGCGCAGCATCCAAATTCTCTGTATCGATATCTTCCCATCGAAATCGCCAAATATACAACATTGCGTTTCAACGTAAAAGCAGAACAATTCGACAATGCATACATAGAGTCCAAAAATCAATAATATCACCTATACAGCATGATTTCCAGTTTGAATGCCTTCATCTTAACAGATAAACATAAGGTTCGTATCCTGAAATCATGTCAGAGAGCAGAGAATATGGAAAGCGTTACACGCACCATTGGATGAGAGCTCCCGAGCTTGGATAAAGATTTGATATCAGCTTGAGTTTGAAGAACTTTGAACAACTGAAATAACGCACCTGAGGTTTCTGATCGTATTTGGCTCTCAGAATTTCTCGGATGCTGACCAAAAGTTGTTGATAGCTCTGCCGAGGGTTAGCGGCTAATAGGGCGAAGGTCAACGTCAGACGTAATTTCACTCTAAACCAACACGAACTAAGTGCAGAAATGAAGGCCTAAATGCATCGAGTAATAAGAATACATTCAAGCAGGATAGACGTTATGCTTACGAAGCTCATAGCACCGGTGGCTTGACCTCCTTCTTGCGTATCGGCACTTGTCTGAGAATCTTTGCAACCACTCCACGAAATCTAAGACGATATGGGCATTAGCATTCTTCTAATCAGGCTTTGACTTGAATAATAAAACTAACAACATCAGCGGGACTAGTCTTCGTCGCCCGAGCATATTTTTCTGCTTTCTGCGTGCTCCCACCTGCAGTCTTGTAGAGACCGAGGGCAGACTTGAGCACACCGCCCATGTCTCCCCGTGCATATGATGTAACGGCTGATAGCAAGCCCTGCCCCGCTTCAGCAGCTAGATTGGGTTCTTTGAGCTTGCCTTCTGTCGAATACTGAGATGAGGTATCGTGAATATGTGGAGCGGAGAGATAGAGCGTAGGCCATACCATATAAGGAAGATCGAGAGCAGATCCCGAGTGGCAACACTGTTAAGAAAGTGGTAAGTCTCCTGAGAGTAGATATAATGAAGCACTCACGTCGAAAATAGCCGTTAAACGACAGCCAGGGGGAAGCGTCTTCACCATAATGTCGTGCATCAACTGAGGGCCAGGCAAGTCAATAAATCGTCAATTCTAAAGTACTCCTCTCCTACATCATCGACGATATGTCCCTTAGCTTCATGGTCCATCTAGAAATAATGAGAAATAGCAAGCTGCTGATGCAACAACCAAACTTACAGGGTAAATCACTAGACAAAATTGAAGGGGGGTGTCAGGTTGAAATGAATAAGTTTCATAGGCCGATACAGTACCTTCGTCAAAACCGTCCGCCTCATCACCATCGAGGTCCTTGGTCTGACCTCCGTGACCAGAATCTACGTCTACGTTAAGCTAGGTTCTGAAACCCGACCGAAGCTGCTTACAATGAAAGAACAAGGAGTCGTTTGGAGATGCGTTCCGAGTCAACCATTGCATTCCGTTGATCTGAACAAAATGAGATCAGTGGGAAGCTCGCTTACGTCTTGACGTACAATGTTTTCACGCGTGGGCATCATACGAGGATTCTTGGCATCATCTGTGAGCATCACAATATCTTCTTTCTTGTAGCCAAATTGTGCTGGATGGGATGTGAGAGCAAGTACGAATGAAGGGAGTGTGGGACTTGCTGCAAATAAAACGCTGGACGTTCAGAGCATCGTTAATACATCCCGCCAATTCTGCACCTTGGCCAAAGTAGTTGATACCGATCTGCGATTCAGAAAATGAGATGCAGTATAGGTAGAGTTAAGCAAGTGAAACGCACGCAAAGAGCTTTTTTCTTTCCTGTACACTGAGAATACTGAAAGAATGGTTGCGCATCTCTGTGGTTTGCTCCTTCGAAATGTGGTCCGTAATGTTGCACTTGGCTGGGTGGCATCGGAGGAGGGCCAGCTGAAAAGGTTTGCTTTAACCCAAAATGAAGATTCAATTGACGAAAAACATACGGGGTGGCTGGTAAACATTAGCGTGACTGGGAAGAAGTTCATATGTATCCAATACAAAAATGATAAGAATAATACATACAGAGGTGGAGGTGGACGATACCCTTGAGAATTTTGTCCGGGATAACCGCCCTGTGCATGTTGACCTGGGTATCCGCCAGGTGGGGGGCCAGGAGGACCATGGGGAGGACCATGAGGAGGAGACTGGTGGTATTGCTGACCAGGATATCCTCGGCTAACCGGGGGAGGACCTGCGGGTGGACCATATCTGTTACAATAAAGGGGGTCAAAATACGAAGCAGGGAATATATTTCTTGCGCAGCTCTCACCCATGGGCTTGAGGAAATCCGAACCTAATACTTTTCTAAGCCTTGTGAATATTTTTGACGAGGATTACTCACCCAGAAGGTGGTGGTGGGCCAGAGTTTGTACCGTAGCCAGAAGGTGGCGGACCTGGAGGGGCCCCGTACCCAGATGGAGGCCCTGGAGGTGGACCATACCCAGATGGAGGTCCTGGGGGTGGACCATATCCGGACGGTGGCGGACCAGGAGGTCCACTTTGAAAATTGATGATTAGCGACCCGTTATTTCAAATATTGTTTCAAAACGAATGAAGGAGAGAAGTGGGGGTAAATCGATTTGGAACGATAGATACCTATTCGGAGGGTGACCGCCGGGAGGGGCGTATGAAGGCGCATATCCAGGATTGTAGCCAGCTGGAGGCGGACCCGGTGGAGGGCCACTAGATGAAAAGATGTCTTCTCTCTAGGTGCTCTGAGATCACTGAATACGGTCTTACGAGTTTGGGAACGATGGGAAGCTGAAATTGAGCTGTGAGCGCGAAATTTGGTGAGCGGTTTAATTTCAACGTACGTGGGCGGTGGCGAGCCATATGATTGCTGATTGTTATTCCACATGGAGAGAATGCTCGATAAGAAAGTTCGTTTGCGGCGGTGAGCTCTATAACGGCGGTCGAGTTTAAGTATCAATCTCCCTCATCGCCACCGCAGGTGACTCATTTAGATGCCGCCGATTATAATCATCTGCCTGCAGTGCATTTCCTTGCATTCTTTAGGTACCAGCTAGTAGCCTCATGTCATTTTGAAGGCGACGTATGATGTACCCGAAATTTCCATGAAATTGATCATGAAAAAAAGTATTCAAGAGAAGAGAGGTAACCTGGGGCGATGCGCATCGCCTCTGAGTTATCCCATTTTCGCACCGCTGACTGTGCTGGGGACGTTGTCCTTGGGTCTATTTGCTTGGGGGAGTGGGAGGCACGTTATTAATCAAAACCTAACAAGATACAGGGAGATATAGAAAAGGTTGTATTTAGTTGCGTCCGATCTGATAGCCTTCAAGCACTTCGATTTTTGTGGTACAGAGAAGCACGGAGAACGTTTTTATGTGGCTTAGATGGACCAAGAAAATGAAGGTAAAGCGCCTAAAAAGATGGTTAAATATTGAGTGTGGACGCCCATGACCGCCGAACCTGATCGGTAACAAGTGCTTTCGAGTTTGTTTAAACAGAGGTGCTGGCGTGGGCGGCATCGAGTAAGATAAGGTCTGCGTCTGCCTCGCCTTCAGCATCGGCCTCGGCATCTAATTCGTCTTGATGGAAACGAGATAACGTTATACAAGGTGACTTATAAGATGGAACAAAACAAATACCAATCTGCAGAGCAAGAGCCGGGTCATTCTCTGTTGAAGATAAAAAACTGCATCAGTGATGGCAGCAAGGAAATCGTTTAGATTAACCTTTGTTAGACCCTCCAAAATTCGATGAATCGCCCTCTGGGTTGGTGAGGAGATGGTCCTCAAGGAGTTGCTCCTCATCTTCGCCGTCGTCATCCTCGCCATCTTGCCCCTCTTCGGGGCCTGCGGCAGCCTTTAACATGGCGCGGGGTGTGATGAAGACACCTTCAAATGTTGGCTTACCACCCCCGTCTGCTCGTACAATAGGATTCTTCCTGGGTCGGCCCCTGCCGCGCTTCACTACGGCGCCAACGGGAGGTTCGCTTTCCTTGAGATGTCCTCGTCCCCGCCTGTACTTCACTGGAACAGTCGCGTCTTCAACGGACGCTTTTCTGGGCGGCCCCTTCCGCGTTTAACAGCGGAAGTAGTCTCGTCAGTCACCTGGGCGACGTCGCTTTTTCTAGGGCGTCCCCTTCCCCGTTTAACAACGACCTTTGGCCCTTTGGCGCTAACTGTAGGTGCGTCACTTTTCCTTGGACGGCCCCGTCCGCGCTTCACAGGTGCGCTCGCAGCTGCAATTGGCTCACTCTTTCTTGGACGTCCCCTACCACGTTTCACAAGTACGCTGGTATCGCTCTTTCTTGGTCGGCCTCTGCCACGTTTGACCGGTGCGGAAATGGATGACGAACCCGGACCAGGATCCGACACACGCACTCGCTTCGCGCCTTTGTGTCGCGTATTGTAACCAGGAGTTTCCCCTTCCTCGTGGACATCTTCTTCTTCGTCATCCTGTCTTGTCCTTTTCCTGGTGGTAGGTGTTATTGGTTCCTCCCCTAACGATTTTTGAGACGCTTTAAAACGGGAGGGTGAAGACTCCAGCTCTTCGAGAGTAGCGTCTACTGTAGGGATAATATGTAAGATTACAGCCGTGAAATGTGGGGATTTTCTCAAGGAAGAATAAATAAAGCCACGATGCGGGCAGATAAAAAAAATGAAAGGAAAAGGGCACACCCCACAGAAAATCTGTCATGAAAAAAGATCATAAAAATGAGACTGACATCCATTTTTGCTGACATCCTGTAAGAATGTCAACATTTCCTCTCTGCGTGCAGGCACAGCAGAGCGACGACCAAGTTGGACACAGATAAGGCGAAGACAATCCGCTTTGAGCATATCCCAGGGAAAATTTCCGTCATTGATGGAATTTTCAGTAGCAGCCATGTGGATAAATGTGTTGGCGAAAGTTCAAGCCAGGAAGCTGGGAAAGCGAGTTACGAGCGTTTGAGACAAGGAGTTGGATGAGCAATTCGTGCCTTTCCCACGTTATTCAACAATGTGCAATTTGAACTCACCTCAAGAGTCATTTCTTAACAACCTTTACCCAATCTTCACCTCATCAAATGAGTAAACTTTCCTACATCAAGGCTGACCTTTTTTCAGCGCCTGACAATACCATCCTTGTTCATGCCTGCAACACCGTTGGATCTTGGGGCGGTGGCATAGCTCTAGCTTTCCGAGAAAATTACCCCGCCCAATACAGAATGTATAATGCTTTCTGCCGAGAACACGGGGATGAATTAATTGGGACGTGTTTTCTTATACCTGGAGAGAGGCATCATATCGCTTGCCTCTTCACATCGCGGGCGTACGGTCGGCGGAAAGACAAGCCTACCGAGATCCTTGCGGCTACACGTCTGGCGCTGCAAGATCTCCAACGGCAGAACAAGGATGGAAGGAAATTGCATGCTTGGTATGTCTGTGCATGCATTTAATTTTTGCTAAATTCTTGGTCACTAATAACTATCCTTAGTCGCTTCAATTCTGGAAAATTTGCGGTTCCTTGGCAAGATAGCTATTATCAAGCAGCTTGAGATGGAGATGGTGGTGTACGATCCCGTCACCACCTGAGTGTTATTCTCCGCTGTGAAGGTAAATTTCAATATGTATTCACTTTTCATCGCACCCTCCCCATCCATACCACAGAAAACCAATACCCACTATATACCAATTATGTCTTTTCTACAAAGTATGTACTACTACCGACAGAGTTGAATTTGATACATGTAAATACTATCATCCTCTTTTCCATGAAATATCCCGTTGTCGTGCTTCAGACTAACCGACTTTGCTCGACACGTCCTAACCAAACAACGCCTTGCTTTCAGATCTAATGACAACATTCCAGCAAGCCCAAGCGGAAGGCCTCTGCCTGCGCTTTCCCAATAATCTCGGTAACCACAGGGAGATCAATTATGAACATGCAGTAGAAATGCTCCTCCGAGCTGTTCCCACATCTCAAAACACACCTTTTGTGTGGGGGTTCATTGACAAGCCTGCTGGTCCGTCCTGGCATTTGATTTCAATTGCAAACTTGATCCCGACACATATATCACAGATGGCCAGATTTTACTCCTGTTTCTATCGACACAAGCGCCATTTCCAAATGACGGCATCCGCTACCAGGATGCAGAGGTTAAATACGCCATGCCGGTTGGAACCACCCGTGTGAGTGGGTTCACCCACCCTTTCAGTGAACGCGCATTTCTCATTTGTGTATTAGGAGCTCGAGGTACACGAAGCAAAGTGCGGTTTTATTCCAGGTTCACAGGATCAAAACGCATCGCGTGTCCGGCGACGATACCGTCTCGTGAAAGGCGGACACTCTCAATTAGTTCTCGTACATTACACACGAGGGCAACCAGCACGTAAGTTTGGCGCTTGGATATGTAATATGCGGGGGGCGAGCTTTGTGGCTGACTTTCAGCATTCTCTTTTGAAAAGCCATCGCGCCCGCACTTGTAAATCAACCCGTACGCGCTTATCCACTCAGAACCATTAACGAGCCGCCAATGTTTGTCATCGGTGACAAAGCCGGGCAGAAAGTCTATCCCCCAGGCGGCTCCTCCATGCATGGACCTCCATCTGCCCCGCCAATGCCTCCAACCGCGATAGGCATGGGGATGAATATGAGCCAGCAGCAAGCCATGTTGGCGCATCAGAATAGCAACATGGAGATGCTGGAACGTAGACGAGAGCGTGAGAGGGAGCAGCAAAATCGGAATCGGAGTGGGAGTACCGGTGTGAGTTGAGGCTCCTATTGATTTTTCTCTCAAAATTCTGATCAAGCGCGTTTTTTTAGCGTCCTCCCAGGCCTGAAGATGATGATTCTGGGGGTGAGTCATGTATGGTTATGATTTTTGAAGTACTGAAGTATAATGTGTTCTCTTAGATGATACCGAGCAAATAGCCACACGAACTCTAGCGTTTACCAGATACAAACGCAATCATGATTTAATGAATGACGTTTTTCGTCAAGCGGCGTATGGTAAGTTTGCAATCATGATTCCCACCACGTCCAATTTAACAAGAGCTCTTTTTTTTATGCAGGCGATAAGAAGGAGCGACCTTACACTAGCCCATACTCCATTTTCAACAAAGACGATTTAGAAACCAAGGCTGTATGTTTTGATATTTAACCATGGCGCAGTATCTGTGTTAATTTTTTAATATTTGTAGGCAAAACTGGAAGCTGAAATTGAGACATTAAAGCAAAAGTCCGCGTCACGTAAACTCCAAGGAGCTCCTGATATATCCATGGAGTCTTTTGGAGATCCCATTTCTGCGTAGCTACCTCTCCTTACCTCTATATATACCTCTGTATCCTTGGTTTTCTTTTTCCGCTCGATGGCAACAAGGTGACCATTAATTGTTAATCATGACATTCGAGTGGGGATGAGGCAATACAGACACATTATTGCTACAATAGGGTATCATGTACACAAGATGCATTGTGTCACCACATATGCAGGAAGGAATGTGCGAAGGGGCGAAGACAAGATAAGGGGAAAGATGTTACAGTACATGTAAATCGGCGATACTGAACGAAGGCGTGATGAGTAGGAAATGAAGTGATCGAAATGATAATCCAACAATGGAGGCATAGAATGTGGGTAGAATGAACAGATCGAACGTTGAGGAAATCAATAGATAAGAGTATAGCCGCAGAGCTTCGATAGATAGCGATGTGTGGTGATGGAGATTGTTGTGTTTTCTTCATTCACGATCCATGCTTCTGCCACGATTAACACGGCCAGATGCCGGCAGTCCCCTAAAATGTTTCAAGAAAGATTCCACAGAATGTTTCTGAACGAGTGGAGCCGCGATAACCCTTTCCTGATCTATTGCCCAACTTTTGGTGGAGGAGGGGGGTTGTGCACTGGCGGGACGTTTCCGTCGAGACGGAGCCAGGCTGGAGTTACGTGACGACCTTGCGCTTCGGCGGGCATGATGGTTAAGTTCATCATGCCCGTTTGACGAGAGCGACACCTGATCTTCTGGTATCGGCTTCTTGCCCAATTCCGCCGACCAATCAGACGGGACGTCGCGCGTATCTTCCCTCTGGTGTACGGCAGAGTACAAATCTCCGTGTCGGATAGATCTTAAGCTCCGACCGTTATCTCTGGGTGAATCTAAGTCGAGCTCATCGGGTTGCTCGAGAACTGTTGGGGGATGGAAGAGGGATTCGATGTCCGCCGGCGTCGTAGGCACGATGCTGGGACTTGGTGAACGTGAGGCAAAGGTGTGGGATTTGTTAGGCTTTCGTCCGCGCTCAACTGCTGACGAAACTGCTGACGACGGTGAACTCGAGAATGGAGATGAAGTGGTCGAAGAAAGGTTCAAGATAGAGGTGCTGATGGAAATGTGAGATGGTGATGGGGCTCGAGAATGCCGTGACATGCTTCGATTAGACGCCCTCGCAGACGAGGTCACGATGGGCGCCCTCGACTGCGAACGCTTGGCCCTAGAGGAGGACCGTCGTGAAGCAGCATCAAGCGCTGGCCTTGACCTTGGTTCTTCGTGCTGCCAGTCAGAGATATCAGGAATAGAAAGTTCTGCAGGACGAGAGTGAGAACGAGATTGTGAAGCTGATGCTCTTCCGCATTGCAACTCCAGATCATCGTCTGACTCGCCGTGGGTGGCGTCGTCACCTTCTGCGCCCCAACCGACACCCCATGCTATTTCGTCGACCATGGCAATAGTCCATCTGTTTGAGATCTGGCGCTCGAGGCAGCCTTTCAAAATTCGCTCGGCGCCCCGACCTATATCTGTGGGGACTTCGTATTCACCTAAGGCCAGTAAGCAACTGCGTTATGAGAAATGAAAAAAAAATTACCGTTTAGTATTTTCATTTGAAGGCGAGGCTCAAATGAATCCGAAAAGGGCAACCGTCCTGTTAGCAAAGTGTAAAGCATAACGCCGAGCGCCCAGATATCCTGACATGGATGGGGTCGCATGGCATCTGCCGTTTGAGGAAGGAGAAGCTCGGGAGGTGCATAGGGAAGGGACCCTGGCTGGAATACATGTGCAGGATCGATGTTAGATGTGGAATTACGATGACGAGTGCTGCTATGGCGTGCTACTTGATGTAACTGGAAACTTGTCCTTCGCTTTGAGGATGGGAGAGCTAGAGACACAGCACGATGAACGGCAGGGTGGTGCAAATTGTCAGGAGGAGTGTCGTGTTGCTCGGCCTGGAGTTGATCGTCTTCATCGATCTCACCAATCTTCCTTGTCATTCCAAAATCACCGATTCTGCACACACCCATCTCATCCACCAGCACATTCTCTAGTTTCATGTCCCTATGGACGAACATCGCAACTTCATGCAAGTATCGCAAACCTCTCACTACCTGCCTGAACATCATCCCTGCATCATCCTGTGGTAGCGCCAGCCGCCCATCTCGCTTCAAAATATCGAAAAGCGACCCAGCAGGACATAACAAGGTGACAAAATAATCAGCGTAGGAAGTATGAACGACAGAGAAGAGAGGCAGGATGTGTTCATGGCTCAGAGAGGACCAGATAGACGCTTCATGCTGCAGACGTTTGCGTGCTTGTGGAGCGTTTCCAGCCTTGACAAGATCCGAGCGGCGAACGATCTTCACAGCTACGACGCCGCCAGTAGGTGAGGACGCTCGCCGTATGATAGAAGAAGCTCCGTGGCCAATGATTGCGCCAAGAGTGTAGCCGGCAACGACTTGGCCCTCATCGTCTGGTAAAGGAGCATAGGTCGCCGTTGGGCTGCTGAAGGCGGACAAGAATAACGCTGCGGGTGATGCTGAAAGGTTGCTGCTTTGAGAAGAGCTTGCAGACATGAAAGAGGGGAGTTGGTAGAAAAGACAAAGCAATGTGACGTTTTTCTTGGGTTTGGCGAAACTTCGGAGATTGAGACTCAGTTAAGGCAAATGGAAGTCCAGATCTTGACCTGATGATACAGGAAAGTGGCAGTGAATGGCAGTGACTAGATCACTTTGGACAACAACTAGCAGCACGCTAGCCCAAGTCAAGTCTAGTCAGAGTCACAGTGTCCACACGACCTGGCTCCGACAGGGCTCGACACCTGTCACTTGTCACACCTTGTCACCCAGGTGACAAAGCTTATGGACAGCCTAAATTTCATGTGCCCTTTACATAACTAGAGGTTGACTTCGTCAACAAAACCTCGCTTCTGTATTGTAAATACATTAGTAAGAGTTCTTAGTACACCCTCAGCTTCACCCAGCGAAAAAACTTCCAAAATGTTTGAATTGAACTCGACCATTTTCCTTAACATAAACCTCATTTTTAATCTTATCCTTTTATTTTTTGTTTCTTCATGAGAACTCTGTTGGAGCATTGAAGTTGAATATCTAGGTTGTTGATGGAGGCCGCTGCTCGTCGTCCGGCCTTCGGCCGACTCCTCGCAGCGGCAACGAGCAGTGTTATCAACTGTAAGCATATAGTGAAGTCATATTATTTGCACCATGTTTGTGGAAGAGTGAGATGTTTGTTCCAATCTTGAACAATATGACCTCCAGCAAGTCCTATTATTTGCGCCATGTTTGCGGAAGAGTGACATGTTTGTTCCAATCTTGAACAATATGACCTCCAGAAAGTCCTATTATTTGCGCCATGTTTGCGGAAGAGTGACATGTTTGGTTTGCTTAGAAATATGAAGCTGGGAGACCTAGCTAAAGCGAGGTGACTCTGTCGTAACAGAAATGATCCATTTGATAAAAGGAACAAAACTGTTAGACAATGTTCATAAATACCCATATCACATTGGAACCGCCCCGGAATTCATCTATCTATGTATCTCTTATCTTAAGCATGTCCCACTGCCGTATTTAACACTGTTGGATTCGAGCCCCAAAAACCGGCAGGTCAAACCCAAGTTGAGACCCGACGTAGGATCAATCAATAAATATCCCCCGAACTCCCCGACTTTCTGGGAGCGCGCTCAAGCTCATGCCGATTACAACTTATAATAGTTCAAACCACGTGATGTTACACGTCTTTAGATCTCCTCCCATAAACATGTCTTTTATAAGGTCCTACCCCATCCTTCACCCTAGTCCTTTCATACTGACAATGTCATCTACAGGCTGGCCTTGTGTGTCGTCGGTGTATATTCTATGTTCCTTGTCAGTCGTACACTCCATATATATCTTTTCTCTTCTTACTCACTCACTGCCAGCTGTGGGCTATTGCACAAGAACGATGTATGACACCCTCGTCTATTTCTTCACCAGCTAACCAACGCATCGCTTCAGTATCTGCCCCATTCAAGTCTATAGATGGCACCTCGTCACATAAATTTAAATCCGCCCTTTTCATGGGAACCTGCCAAAGCGCGCTCAGTTCAATATCAGCCCTCATATATATCCTCTGTCGACGCAAATCGACAGATACACTGCTACAGAGTTTGGGTCTTCAACACGTAGAACCAGTCTCAAATGGCGTCGCGATATCCAACGGAAAGCATCATCGTCATCCTGAACACCCTCCAAAACCATCCACTCGTTATTCCCACAAAGCACTGCTCCTCAGCTATCTCCAATGTTCGGTCTTCATCACCTCCGCAGCTCCCTTTGGCTTTGCAGCACTCTCTTACATGTCATACCCCGCCATGGTTCTAGGCAAGTCCTGTAAGCTTGTCCCCGTGATGATCATGAACGTCCTTCTCTACCGTCGCAAGTTTGCACCTCACAAATATCTTGTCGTCTTTATGGTGACCCTCGGCATCACCATTTTCATGGGCTTTGGGAACGACAAGAAAGGAAAATCGCGTGCCTCAGGTAATAATGGCCAGACACAAACTCCGTACGCCAACATCATTGGAATCTCATACCTCCTCATCAATTTGGCTCTCGACGGCGCGATAAACTCGACCCAAGATGAAGTCTTCACTCGCCACAAGGTAACCGGGCAGCAAATGATGTTCTGGATAAACTTGTTCTGTACAATTCTCACTTCCATCTTGTCAATCCTTCCCCTGCCGTATATCCCTGTCATTCACCCCTCCACCGACGGTCAATCTGAGCTTTGGGGCGCCCTTACATTCATTCAAAATCACCCCTCGATTATCGTCCCTCTGGCACAGTTTGCACTCACTGGTGCCCTTGGGCAACTATTTATCTTTGAGACCCTCCAACATTTCGGGTCACTTACACTTGTGTGCGTTTTCCTCCTGTTCTTCGAAGGATTTCGCTGATCTTAATTTGTAGGACTATAACCTTAACGCGTAAATTATTTACCATGGTCTTATCAGTGGTTGTTTATAACCATACACTCACCACGGGACAATGGCTTGGTGCTGCAGTCGTTTTTGCAGGGATCTCTGTCGAGGCGTTTGTCAAGCGAAAGGGTGCGGAAGACAACTGCTATCCAGAACTCAACTGATGACCCCTTTAGATGTTCATGCGAAACGCGTCATCCAAGAAAAGGAGAAAGCAAAGATAAAATCATTGTGATATTAGAGCGATTCACAGCAAACGATACATGGGTAGGGTATGAACATAAATAGAGAAAAGAATCTTGAAATGCAAGCGACGGAGGGATAGGCGTTGGTGTAGATGTTCAGGATCATGACGTCTCCATCGCATTTGGATCAAATTCCTCAGAGTCATTTTTTACCAACGGCCGCTTGCGGTCCTCGTCCCTGGTGTCTTCGTCGTCGTCATCGTCGTCTGACCGTTTGCGGCGCGAAACACTCCGTTGAACGGTTGGGTAAGATGCGACGGCCAGACTTGCTTTGTAGATTGCCTCATATTCCTGAGGAACGTCAGCTTGCGGATGGATTGGAGAGAAAGAAACAAATGTCTACGACGAACCTTTATTTGCGTTAAAAACCCACCATTGGGTGATATGCAATAGCGGCGATTTTGAACCATGTGAAGAGCATCCTCCCATGAAAGTTGATAATGTTGCATGACGAACATCACCACGAATGCTGGTGATAAACTAATTCCTCCTATATAAAAGCATGAGATGAGCCTGGTGATGACGTGGGCGACTGCTCACCGTTACAATGAACTAGAACCCGCCCTCCTTGAGCAATCGCCGTGTCAATGAACTGCTTCGCTCTACATGTCCGTCAGGCTGTCCGCCCAGAATAGGAGGAACCAAAGGGCAGCTCACCCCGGAAACAGACGAATCAGATTCTGCTCCTCGTTGTCCTCCACGTCTAGCGTCAAATAGGTAAAGTGTTCCGGAAACCGGGGTTTGACAGAGAAAGCCTCCTTGGCATCGCGTATGCATACGCTGTCAGGTGTCAGAGTTTTCAGACAAAGAAAGACGTAGAGCGAGTGGCGTACATGTGTGAGATGTTGAGAGAGCGGAGGGTTGGAAGAGATTTTGATGCGACAAAGGGACCCAGTAGAAGACCTGGGAGAATCTGTTGGCATTCTCTGCGCATCTCGTATCTTGTTAGGAGCAGGATCAGATGGGGGCATAGAGCATCACTGTTAGAAGTGGTAAGGCGCACCTCCATTCGACGTCGCCTGGACCTTGGACGACCTGCCTCAGCTCATCGTCTGTCATTGTCACGCTCTGCATGATCTAAAAAGTGTTTGAAGATACAAAGTTAGCTTGGGAGTTGTGACTTGGAAGGTGTGTCTAAATTACTGTCACGTGCGCGTAGTTCCACTGAACGCCTCCCATGCCTCGCGAAATTATCACACTTCAGCTCGGACAATGCGGAAACCAAGGTGAGAATGCCTCAACAAAGTGGTATATGTGTGCTAATACTACATGGTCCAAGTGGGCTCCGCATTCTGGCAACGATTGTGCGCAGAACATGGTATCAATAAGAATGGGATTCTCGAGGAGTGGGCGACAGACGGAGGTGATCGAAAGGACATTTTTTTCTATCAGGCCGACGATGAACTATATGTCCCTCGATCCATCCTCGTGGATCTGGAACCTAGGGTATGAGTTGTGGTACCTATACGCACTGCGAAGCTAACTGCACCTGTACGCAGGTCATCAACAACATCCTCACATCACCATATTCGCGTTTATATAATCCAGAAAACATTTTTGTATCAAAGGATGGTGGTGGTGCCGGAAACAATTGGGCTCAAGGGTATGCAGCGGGAGAACGGATATATGAGGAAGTCGTGGATATGATCGAGAGAGAGGCGGAGAGCAGTGATTCCTTGGAGGTGTGTGGTATACTATACCAGTTGTTCGGCACATTGCATCTCGTCAAACTCTTAGGCTTTCGTTGCCGTACACTCCATAGCTGGAGGAACGGGATCTGGCCTCGGTTCCTTTTTCTTGGAACGATTAAACGATAGGTTCCCCAAGAAGATCATCCAAACCTACAGTGTGTTCCCAAATACCCAGGAAGGCGACGTCGTCGTGCAACCGTACAATTCATTACTGACTCTAAAACGACTCGTCGATCATGCTGACTCTGTGGTGGTCTTGGATAACAGCGCTCTCGCTCGTATATGCGCAGATAGACTGCACTTCCAAACCCCGTCCTTCGATCAGACCAATCAGTTGGTGTCAACCGTTATGGCTGCAAGTACGCAGTCTTTGCGATATCCGTCGTACATGAACAATGACCTAGTGGGCATATTGGCGTCCCTAATACCCACCCCACGTTGCCATTTTCTCATGACATCTTACACGCCTTTCTCAACCGACGAAATTGACAAAGTCAGATAAATTTCTTTGCCTTGTTCTGGCTTGCCAATATGCTAACGTTACCGGGAAAGGCGAAACCTATACGTCGAACAACCGTGTTAGATGTTATGCGTCGCCTCCTTCAACCCAAGAACCGCATGGTCTCGACCATATCCTCCCAGATGTCGTGTTACATCTCAAATTTGAATATCATCATGGGTGATATTGACTCGGCTGATGTATGTCCCTTCCCCAGCCACTGCTTCAGACCCTATTGAGTCTCCTAATCAGATACATCAATCGCTTCTTCGCATACGTGACAGGAATTTGGCAACCTTCGTTCCATGGGGCCCCGCTTCCCTCCAGGTGGCGCCAGTGCGAAAGTCTCCCTACGTCAGCACTAGCTACAAAGTGAGCGGCCTGATGTTGGCAAATCATACGAGCATCACGTCGGTAAGCATTTATATGTGAATAAGTTTGCTACTCTGTTGAGAGTCATTTCATTCTAGTTGTTCAAACGGATGCTTGATCAATACGACAGACTAAAGAAGCGTAATGCGTTTATGGAGATGTATAAGAAGGAAAAAATGTTCGAGAATGGCTTGGAGGAGTTCGACATTGCACGGTATGTCCTTTCTGTGTGATTTTTGAACGATGCGCCTCTCGCCAACCCTTTTATGCTAGGGCCACATGTGATGACCTAATGAAAGAGTACAAGGCGTGCGAGAGCCCGGATTATATCTCTTATGTGGGTTACTCAGCTCGGGATTGTGGGGTTTGCTGACTCATTTCAAATGATCAGAGTGCGGGGGCCTAGCGAGGACCTGATTATATTTATTGTTCAACTTCTCTTCAAGTCTCCTAGTCGTATCATTCGTACGTGTCATGTCGAGGGGCGTCGTACATCTCTCAAGTTCTTATCTTTATTTGTGACTACAATCGTCAGAGAAGATGTAGCGACCAGTACGTGCTAGTCACTAACACCCAGTAGCCTGATATACGACACCGAACAGGATCGAAACGTTGAAGAAATTCACTTTGCACATAAAGATGTGGTCGCTTCATTTGATATCCGAGCATCCTTCGTTCAAGTGAATTGCTAAGGCATTATCGCTGTTTTAGGCTCGTATAGCGTGGCTCGTCCCTCGACGAGACCCCGATTGGGAACGCACTTCCAAAATGGAACTTGAAGCCGCCTTATTCTTAGAAATGCGCCTCAGCGATTTTGTCGAAGTCCTGCGGCTCGACATTCTAATACGAGATATCGTATGTTTCCTTGCAGCCTTAAAGGAGGTTAAGAAAAAGAGAAGAGGGACAACATTTTTGAGCAGGAATCCTTGTATTCTGCTGCAACCAATGTGCCAGAGTTATGGGATAGAGATGTCATCTAACAAAGCTTTAGCTTTAGCTAAGTTTAGCAGTGGACATGGTGACAGTATAAATAGATGAAATGAACTGCCTCGCCATAGAAGCTCCGACGATTTTCGCATTTGGGCAGAGATTTCTAAAGCTTTGTTAGATGACATCTCTACGAGACTCTACCCCATAAACTCATTAGCTGACCTGTTTACTCCCCTTACCTGTAATTTATTTAAGTTATTCTCCTTCCCAACTCCTTCCTTCAAACTCATTAAGAACAAAGCGACGCAAACAAATTGAAGAACCAGTTTCTCCTCTCCCGGGCCATGGACGAGGAAATTCCAGAACTTATACCTGCTCTAGAGCTTGCAGCCCCTGTAGCTCTGTTGCACACAAAACATGTACCGCTTACCATCATTTGTGGTTTCCTCGGTGCAGGCAAATCTACGTTGCTCAAGTGCGTGTTCACTGCGTATTGCCTATAAAGTACTTAGCATACTTGACAGACGTATCCTCACCGAACGACATGGCTACCGAATTGCTGTCATCATGAATGAGTTTGGAGACACTGCCGTGAGATATGACTGATGTAAGAATTAATCCAGTTGCTTATCGTCCGCAGGACATAGAGGGTTCGTCTTCTCCCTGCAAAACCATGACTCGCCATTGAGTTCCGCGGCATTAGCAAAAGCAATCAACGTCGCTTCCCCGGACGCAGAACAATCGGAAGAGTTTCTTGAGCTGGCCAATGGATGTCTATGTTGCAGCATAAAGGACACAGGGATTGCCGCCATCGAAAAGCTCATGCAGCGCAAAGGGGCTTTCGATCATATATTACTGGAAACAACGGGTCTGGCTGATCCAGGTATGCTTGCTGCCCTTCTTCCATTGCATCGCTTCTCATCAAGGCGACGAATAGGGCCCATTGCGTCAATCTTTTGGCAGAACGAAGAGTTCGCCACGGGACTCGGTCGCGATATCGCTCTAGATGGCGTAGTGTGCGTCGTGGATGCCGTCTTTGGAAAAAAAGTACCCAGGTCGTTATCTAGTGATGGGTGCTAAAGTCCTAATCAACGTTATAATTATAGCAAATGGAAGAAGATCATTCCACCGATGGTGTCAACATCGGTGAAAGTCTTCGGTATGTAGCCGTATCTCCACACCAATCTTTACGTCACTTTTTTTCATAGGCAGATCGCAGGAGCCGACGTTATCTTACTCAACAAAGCCGACCTTGTTGCACCCGACGATCTGAACCTCACGGCGGAACTAATATGTCGAGTCAACCCTGCTGCTCCCGTCCACAGAACAATCAAAGGCGAGATCGATCTAAAATATATCATGGGCATCTCTGCCTACACCCTGCCACCAACAACAACCCGGACATCGCTTACGATATCTTCAGCTGACGATCAGCACGTTCACTCAGAGGAATGCGATCACAGTCATGACCCTTCAACACACTACGAGGTTCGAGGGATATCCAGTTTGCAGGTCTCTTGTCCCGTTTTGTCGCAAGCACAGTTTGATCGACTTGATGAATGGATTCGCTTGGTTCTATGGGAGAACCGAATACCCGAAAAGCCAACCGAGTTGGAGCTCAAGGTTCTACGCTGCAAGGGGGCGTTCACGTTAGATACTGGTGCTACATTTGTATTGCAAGGCGTACAAAGTATGTACGAGATCACCCATCTAGAAGGCGGAGAGGTCATGGGTATTCCGGAATCCGGTAAAATCGTACTCATCGGGAAGGGACTAAACAATGATGTCCGTCGGAGCCTAGAAAGCATTTTTCAATGAGATAAAGATAAATGTTGTGCAACTGTCAGCTTTCCAGCTTGACGATTTTGACCGTTAATCTCTCGTTCAATTTTCCCATACTTGTGCGGCCCGCGATGTCAATCGTGGCGTATGATCCTTTGCTCAAGAAAGATGGGTTGATTGCTGCTGTGGTATGGACAGTCTGAGGAGGGTGTAAGTAGGAATCTTCAGCCAAATACACAAGCCAACCTTGGTAAATTGCTTGAGTCTACTCGGCAAGATGAGAATATCCGGTGCGTAGTCGAGATCACCATCGTCAATCATGCTTATCGCATCTGAGTGAGTGACATCGAGGTTCACCTCGTGTGAAGAGTCCGCAGGGACAGGAAAGAGGGGGTAGAAGCTGTAGTTGGCAAATTAGTTCTGGTAAAGCAGTAGTGTCACCACTTACCTCCTCTGTTGGAGAAGATGGCGACAAAGATTCGCCATAGCGTCCGACGGCACGTCGCCTTCTAATGCTGGTAAAGCCTCAACCTCCACTCCCCTCTTAATATATTCTTGTGTACGCAGATGGAAGAGAACATCGACGCTGCTCACAGCAAACGATATGTCATTTATACTGAACCGAGCAGGGTTTGGAAGGAGGTGGATCCGCTTTCAAAAAGGTCGTCATTTGGGAAACAAAAGTGAATAAACGGCGGTGATAGCCTTACGGGGTCAGCAGGGAAGAGGTCCCAGTCTAGCTCGGGTTGTGGAAACACGGCGTGAGTGCTGACGAGATCGCGGACACTCGGTACAACAAGCACAATACTTTCAGGAGACGCCACAAGAAAGGCACGTATGGAATCAGCAATACGGCCCTTGAAAATATTCGCGGCAGAAAGATCAGAGTCGCCAGCTTTAATTTTCGCATGCGAAGAGTCAATAAATGGGCCGACCTTGGCTATACAATTAATATTTCTTGGAGCGAGAAGGAACGGAAAGACATACTAGAAGGAGCACGTTGGGCTTCGTCGCATTCAGAGTTGGCAATAATGTACGCCACGGCTTGAAGTTGAGATCTGCATCAGAGGTGTACGGCCCACAGACAACACATATGGATACAGGGTCATTTCCCATTTCTGGGTCTTGTTTGGGGTCCAATACTCCGCAGCTGGCCGGCGAAGCTTTGAGGGGTGGTATCTAAATCATAGATGAAGGGTCGCATTGTACATCCAGAAATCGTATCTCCAACTCACTGAAAGAACCTCTGTCGCCAAGAAGTAGCCTCCGCCTCCGTTTTTACCCTTCAAAGCCACGATAGCTCCAGGAAATAGTCCTGTGCCACCTGCCCCCTGAACGGAGCCGCGAATTCGTAGAGCATGGTCCAAACGAAGGGGCACGCGAGCGCCATTTGATATCGCGCGTGACGATTCGATCATCAGAGTCGACTCCGTTAATTTAGCCGATGCCGACTCAGAATCTTGAGTCAACCTCCCGATGATGGTGACCTCTTCCTGGCAGATTATGTTGTTGATAACAAGACATCAACATAGCAGCAACGCGACATACATCGGTTGCGGACGAGGGATCTGCAAACTCGGGAATGTTATAATGGGTTTGAATAAGGTCTGCGAAGTCTTCTATGAGTTGATCCAGAACTAGAAAAGTCAAGTTGCAGAGCATCGTTTGGACCATTGTGTAATAAATACCTTCACTCCGTTCCAAGATCTTTTCGTACATATAGTGGTCTGACGACATTGACGAAAGTAAGCACCACCAATAACGCGCTGCAAAAGATAGACTCACATGCACGGCTTTTCTTTTTTTCTGCGTCGTATGAAGGGCCACTAAATACAAGATGGCTGGGACCAGGAACGCTTGTCTCGCCAGTCTCCTGCTTGATTGGTGTGGGAGGTAAATTCCTCACCATGTTTTGAGGAAATCTTGTTCGGTCGACTTTAGCAGTATTCCCTGGTTTCGGCTTGGTTTGAGCCCTCTTAGTGCTGGCCGTTATCATATCCCTCTGTATCTGAGCCTTGAGGGCTCCCAAGGTCTCCAAAGTTATCGGAGCGATGCCAGAGTGCGTAGCCGATGGGCGATAGTTGAAGGCTTCAACTTTAAAGAACAAGTCTTCTGGCTTGAGATTGTACAACTGACACATCGAAACACCTGAGCACTCATGTTAGCGACGCGTAAGAAAGAGGAGGGGTGCAGTACATTCTGCCAAAAGCGCGTCATCTGAGGCAAAGGCAGGCCCAAATGATTTTGATACTTCGTCTCGCCAATCTTTATCCATCGAGTGTAATTGAATTCAAGAGTGGCTGGTCACTGAACGCGTGACAGGCGCGTCTTTGGCAAACACGCGCAAATAAATGACGACGAGGACACATGTTTCAGCCTGCTTTCACAAGCAGTAACTTAGAGTAACTTTGAGTAAGTACTAGCAGGTACTAGCCTAACCACAGCGTATACTAAGACTCCAGTTCCTCGATCGGTGGTAATACAACCTGCAAATTCCAAAAGATATCAAAGTATAGGAATAATATCGGGCGTAGGCATGCACATTGCACGATGAAGATGTAGATCCGACAATTTGCGCTCTGACCGCCCAAGATGATAGTCCTTGACTCTTCAAGGCAAGACAACTCGTACCATAAGATGTGTGATGTGATGCACGTGCAATAGAAGTAGGCGACGGATTGTGTGCTTGTTGAACCAGGATGTCCAGATGATCATTCGGTGGCGTCGGTGTCAATTTCAGTGCGCTCCACTGAGTTTTCGAGCGCTACTGTGGGGGAAGCATGAGTGGTCGTTGTTGTGTCGGTGGTGGAGTCGTCCCGCGTAGGTTCATCGTCAGGGACATTAGTGTTGTCGTCGTGTGCAAGTCCGCTTTCCTTGTTCACTGGGCTCATCGAATTAGTGGGTGAGATAGACAAGCTCTGATGGCCATTATTGTGACCATTTCCACAGCTTGAGGCGTGGGGAATGCTACCAAGGGCCAAGCGGTTAGGAAGAAACGATGCTTGGCGATGGATGGAAACGCACTTCTCGGGATTGGGAATTGCTGTGCCAACAGTGTTCTGCGGTGCAACTCCAGCTTTTGAAAGTGCATAATCGCCAGAGTCAAAGTATTTACGATCCTGCATAACATCGTTCAAAAAGTAGCAGAGAACCTGGGATCAATGACGAACCTTCTGCATCTTCATGAGCACGTTCTTGTGCGTTGGGAGTTTTCCATACTTGGCGAAGAGCTGTTGCTCTTGCGGATTCAGCTTCTGTGAAAAGGGCCCCATCATATCAGTATCCCTCTTATGACATCTTGGACGCCCCAAGGATTGGTACTGCTCAGAAGACGTACGCTGATGTCGATCTTGTTGCGCTGAGCGGGAAGCATCGCAGGCGATGTCTGGAGCAAAGCCAAAAGCGGAGGAAAGGCGGCTGAGCGCTAGGATGAGGGCAAAGGGCAAGCTTGACGATGATGACCTCTAACCAGAATTTAGATATCAATTATGAGTGTTTTACGCATATAGCGGAGTTGTGTCGGAGTCTAGTGTTTAATATTTAATATTCGCATTTATTATTCAAGATCCATCCGTGTCACAAAAAATCCAAGATCAAAAGAGCATCTTCAACATCGTCCTCCATTCTATTTTGTAAGGGGTGGATATTCAATTCCATAGGCCTTTGAAGATAATCTTGTGAGGAAATTGCAGTATCATCAAACGGTGGATCTTGAGGCCGTATGCCAGATACACCGATTTCGGGTACGTCGGATTCGATCTCTTCGTCCGAGAGGATGTCAATGTCAATGTCGTTCGAAGTAGTCATATGAGCTGGGAGGCTGTCTGGTTCGACAAGATCGTTAGTAACGGACATCTGGGAATAGGATCGTTCTTTTCCGCGAAGCAGGGTCGAAGCTTCTTGCGAAAAACTGTAATCATGTGTTTGGCACTCAAGTGGGATCAGAACGGCTTCCGCTTCAAAGAGAGTGGGTGAGATGCGGTCTGTGGGTGGCTGATCATAATATATTAGCAGGTTCAACGTTAGAAGCAGTGTCATGACCTGGAAGAAGTGATCGTGTGACTGATTACGCTGAAAGTTCCAACACAAGTCTTGGAAGGGCTGCTCCGCGCTGAGATCCAGAAGTAAACCGTCTTCAAGAATTTCGGGCACTTGAGACTTGAAGTCAGGCAGCCAAATCATGGAAGATGGTGTTTCCTCTTGAGCCCGATCTTCTACATTCTCCCATAAAAAGTCAGATTCAGAGTTGGTTCGAAGACACTGTTCATGAGGTGACGACGTTTCCGTAGGATGGACTTGAGACGCTTCACCCAATTGTTCTTGTTCGAAAACGTCCTTCTCGCTCCACTGACAAAAATCTCTCCGTTCGCCTGGCCTCAATATCAGCGTAGCATCCAGTCAAAACCCGCGTACCTGATGGGAAGGAAGGGACCAAATCTGCCTCTAATAACTTTGCGGAATGATTCAGGTCGGGTCCACCCCAGACAGCGTCGTCATATAAATCTGGATCATGTGCTGGCTGTCGATGTTCCTGGGACAGCTCATCGTCGTCCTCGTCACTCCTGCATGGCACACGTGAGAGTCCCTACAATATCCGTACCATTAGTCCAGAAAAAGAAAGTGTAAAGGCGGGTTTAACCTTAAATTGTGGTATACGCAAACCAGATCGGTAGACGCGCTCCATTGTCGAAAGAAAAGCCTCGAGGTCCGTAGGTTCCGGTGCTGGCAATTCAACGTCTGGCATATAAGCTGACAGAGCTCGCAATTGAGCGGCCGAAATTTCCGCTGTTCGTGAACGCATGAACTGATTAATCAACATTAGGGTTTTGGGGGGTTTGATTAAGAGAGCCATTAGAGTATGACCTTGAATAGTTGTCTGCACCTGTCTCGGAAATCGGGATGAGGAGAGCGTCGGGCGATTTGCATGATTGAAGAAAAGATGGGAGAAAAGTATGTAGTTTCCGTGTAGAGTTGCTATGCGGTGGTCAGAGATAAGATACAAATTTTTGAGGCAAAATACCTTGCACCAGGAGCCAAAAATCAGGGGATAGCGACTATAACTTGTCACTAGCACCAGAGTGATAGGTTCCGAGGCAACACATACCGAACCAATTGCCAGGTAACGAATCTACCTATAACGTTGTCCAGGAGTGTGATAAACGGCAGTGATAATCGCCGAGAGAAAGGATGGTTGTTGCCCTGTATGTCCTTTTCTGTTAAAGTTGTTTGAGGAGATTCAGCCTTCCAATTGTAGGCAAGGTCGACGCCAACGAGCGTTAGATGGACAGGGAGGCAATCAAGCCTAGTTTTTGAAAATTGGGAGAGCGTCAACAGTACTGCATCATGTGAGTGAGAAAGATTGTTTTCGACAAAGGAGCATACATCTTGGGGTATTTTTCTTCTCGTCGACATATACGTCGGAGACAGCAGTAACGCCCAGTTCGTTGGCATTCTGAGTAAAAACCGAGTTACGCAAAGACACTGAGTTGGAATGTACTCGATGCATACAGTTCGAAAATAATCGACAAGATGGTCAGCAATTTGCGAAGATGCGATTTTTTCCGATGATATCGTTGTTCCATCCAGTTTCCCAGAAAGTGAAATAGCAATGCTAGATGCACCATAAATATTCAGCTCATCTAAGGGACGTGAGGGTCTTATTTCCAACGCGTTTGACAGCGTCCCAGCAACAAGGCGGTGTTGTACGTCCAACGTCAGTGAATAGCACTCTGACTGCGCGCGTATTCTGGTCTTGAAAGCGACAGTGGGCATCAGGAAGCAACGGTGGAAGACGACTTGATACGTAGAAATAAATATTTAGTTTTGAATCACAGCCCCTTCAGGCGCAGCCTCAATTCTATCATCGCTGCTAATCTCTTGTTCCCTCCAACATCGTCGCCTGCTCCCAGCGGCGTCGTTTTCACTGTGTAGACAGCTATGGTGATCTTTTTTCTAATGGTGATCCTTTCTTGATGCTGATGAACCGATTTCAGAGTAACGCCGAGCTTGACCAGAAGATTGCGGACACTTGGAAGCATATCCAGACCGAGCGCAAGATCTTGGAGGCAACGCAGCTTTTGCGCCAGGCTACCACAAATCAGGATGTCCTTAGACGAAATGAAGCCAAGATCAGGGAAACTGAGCGTTCTCTCGCTTATTTCGAAGATACCCTTCGCGAACTACAAGCTAGGAAAGCACAGCAAATGCAACGAGATGATCCCTCGCGATTTCCAGGCTCATCCACACCCCAGGTTTCAGCGAACCTCACTTCTTTCACCTCATTTGCTGAAACCCACATTTTGTACGCTACAGGTGCCCCCCAAGGAGTTCGATCCCACGAATCGTGGACGTTATTCAACCTCACCCGAAGCAGGGTACTCAATGGGCCGGGCAGCTCAAGAGAGTCCGGCAGCAAAAGCAAAGACGTATACCAATCTGGATCTGATCAAAGCGGACACCCCATTTACCCCGAAGAAGATTTCTCGAATGTTGCATCAACTAGAATTTAAGCACCAAGTCGAGATGCAGTATAAACAGGGAATCGACAAAATGGCAAAGCTATATCAAGCTGATGGCGATAAAAAGTCAAAGGCGGATGCTGAAAGCAAGAGAGTAGAAAGTGAAAAGAAAATCCAGCTCCTCGAATTAGCTCTCAAACGGTACAAGAACTTGCATATCTTGGACGATGTTGCTGAAGATGAGGAGACCGGTGCGTTTCCAAGCTTTCCCACCTAACATAACCCCTGAATTCGTGACTGCATAGATGGTCCGACCAATGATGGCGGGGAGCGCAAGGATAAACTGCGTTCGAAGCCCCTTTCAGGGACCCTGTATGTGACGGTAAAGGGCGCGCGCGAACTTGACCATGCCCCCATCGTCACCAGATCGCGCTCTGCGTCTAAGCAAGTCACTGAAACACACGTCTCCGTTAAGGTGGAAGGAACGCAGTTGGCCAGGTCTCACCCTTCCCGCACTGACCGATGGAATGAGGATTTCGAAATAACCGTCGATAAAGCTAACGAAGTCGAAATCGTGGTCTACGACAAACAAGTAAGTGAGCCTCACGCAGTGCCCATTGGGCTTCTGTGGATCCGAATTACCGATTTGGTCGATGCTCTGCGGCGCCAGAAAGTAGGAATGGAAGGGCAGGGTGGATGGGTTACGGCAGGAGCGATGCCAGGTGACAGCGCCGTGAATGCACCCATGTCACCAACGTTAGGAGATATGAATGCGCCACTCAATTACGGAGACGGAGGTCCCATGGGACAGGGAGCACCGACGACGACGGATGGCATTGATGCCTGGTTCGCCGTTGAGCCCGCGGGAGCAATTGCTTTGCACCTAGACTTCGGTACGACTCCACGCTTTCTTCGTTTTCCCGCTGGTTGACATCTAGGCCAGTCAAAGAAAATGTGCGCAAACGCCCGTTGGACGGCGGTCTTGGGGGACTTGGTCGACAGGGGGCTGTCCGCAAGCGCAAAGGCGAAGTCCATGAAATGAACGGCCACAAATTTGTCCAACGACAATTTTACCAGCTCATGTTATGCGCCTTCTGTAATGATTTCTTGCTCAATGCCCTCGGATATCAATGTGAAGACTGTCGCTATACTTGCCATAAAAAATGTTATGAGAAGGTGGTAACGAAGTGTATTTCGAAATCCAACACTGGGGTCAGTCATCATCAGTTTAACTTGTATTCACGCTCAAAAATAGAAAACAACTCTAGGAAGGTGACGAGGAGAAGATTAACCATCGCATTCCCCACCGCTTCGAACCCCTTACGAACATTGGGGCAAACTGGTGTTGCCATTGTGGTTATATGCTTCCTCTCGGGCGTAAAAATGCACGAAAATGCTCAGAGTGCGATATTACATGCCACGCCAATTGCGCCCATCTCGTTCCAGATTTCTGCGGCATGTCGATGGAAACAGCGAATGAGTTACTTCGCAACTGGCGCGATATCAACAGGGCTCGCGGCGACAAAGCGCAATCCCGCCCAGGTCCTCGTCAGCATCCCGAATATTCTCATACAACATCTCCATCACTTGACTCACAAATGGGAAACGCCATGGATCGTATGAGAATAGGCTCTGCTCCAGAAGTTCCCGCCGTCGATGCATACGGGAGACCTACGTCTCTCCCTGCTACTCCTGATCGATACTCCTCAGACCCTCGTTACAATCAAGCACCTTCACAGCCGTCTGTTCAATCTCCTCCCTTTGGTTCAAAACCTCCACCTGGAGCAAGGGTCCCAATACCATCTGGATACCCACAAGAAACAACACCACTCCCGTCGAGGCCCCCTCCAGGCGCTTATGATCCAAGCAGAGGCGACGGTTATTCGGTACAGTGGATACTTCTTTTCAGTCCCTTTGTATTATTGAGCATCTTTGGCAGCCTGTCCGACCACCCCAACAAGTGCCCATAATGAAACCACTAAGCACTTCACCTACATCTATTCAGCAACGGCTACCTGACCGCCAGAGTACCATACCCACGCCTCCTCCTCCGCCGCCGCCGCAGCGTATCCAACAGCTGCAACAACAACCTGTTCGACAGCAGACGCGAAAGAGAAAGGTTGGCCTAGATGATTTCAACTTTTTGGCCGTCCTCGGAAAAGGCAATTTCGGGAAGGTCATGCTCGCTGAAGAAAAGAAGACAAATGGACTTTACGCGATCAAAGTTTTGAAAAAGGAGTTTATAATTGACAATGACGAAGTGGAGAGGTGAGAATATCCAAGCATCGGTTACCAAATCTAATTTTGTGCAGCACTCGCTCCGAGAAACGTGTATTTCTGGCTGCTGCTCGCGAACGCCATCCATTCTTGCTTGGTCTTCACTCTTGCTTTCAAACCGAAACGCGTGTCTACTTCGTAATGGAGTATGTCAGCGGTGGAGATCTGATGTTGCACATCCAACGAAAGCAATTCTCTCTCCGACAAGCCAAGTTCTATGCATCGGAAGTTCTCCTCGCGCTTGAGTACTTCCACGCAAATGGAATTATATACCGGTAAGGAACACATAGCAAACGGAACGGGTAAAACTCAATCACATCTCAGGGATCTGAAACTTGATAACATCTTGCTTACTCTTGATGGGCACGTCAAGGTTGCTGACTATGGTCTGTGTAAGGAAGAAATGTGGTACGGCAACACGACGAGCACCTTTTGCGGCACTCCCGAGTTCATGGCACCAGAGGTGATATATCTCTTTTGCACCTATCCCCTCAGCTGGCTCAATGTCCTTTGCTTTTCGCAGATTCTACTTGAACAACGATATGGCCGTGCCGTTGATTGGTGGGCGTTCGGCGTATTAACTTACGAGATGCTTCTTGGGCAATCCCCATTCCGTGGGGACGACGAGGACGAAATCTTCGACGCCATCCTCGAGGATGAGCCGCTGTATCCTATCACCATGCCTAGAGATGCTGTGTCGATCTTGCAAAAGGTAGAGTGTGGATGACCGGCCTTTCTCTCAAGTCTGACCTTTCAACCTAGTTGTTGACCCGAGACCCAACACGCCGCCTTGGCTCTGGGAAAGAGGATGCAGAGGAAATTAAAAAGCAGCCTTTCTTCAAGGATGTGAATTTCGATGATGTTCTGAACAAACGCATCCCGCCCCCGTACTTCCCAACAATTGTGAGTCGTGCATTTGGTTACACTCAACCCATCCTCAATGCATACGAACACAGAATGGGAGTGCCGATACCAGTAATTTCGACGAGGAATTCACTCGAGAACAGCCTACCCTTACCCCTGTACATGGCCAGCTGTCGTCCAAAGACCAGGCGGAATTTAATGGATTTTCTTGGGTAAGCGAGTCCCTTAGTTCCTGGGCGGGTGAATGTCTACTGACTGGGCCTAAAATCTAGGTGGCAGCGTGGGCTGATATATAATAATTTGATCGTGGACTTTTTCTCGTTCTGCAATTCTATTAGTGTAGTTGATGTATCAGCCCATGTACTAAATTAAGCACGCAAGGTGGTTTCCTACAAGGATTGTAGTCTGCGGCTCTCTCGATTTTCTACTCGGAGTCAAGTTCCTGCGACAATATGACCCCCAGTACCAGGAAGTCCTGGCTGTCGTTCCTCAGAGCTAGGGCTATCTTGGCCTGAATTCTGCATAAGGCGATGGAAGGTGTGCCACAGCGATGCGATGGTTGTATATTCCTTAGACATGCCCAACACTTCCTCGAGTTTGCGGTTCAAGACATTCGTTGATGAAAGCAACTCCTCAAAGCCCTGGATCGAATGAATTCCAATGCATAAAGTAGAGCAAGCGCCTGGACTTACGGACGTGATTTCGCGAGAGAGCCTGTCACGTTCTCTCTCAAAAAAAGAGTCGTCTTCGTGAGACATTTGAACGTTTCTGGAGCAAGACCAGATTTAGACTGGAGTCAGCTTGAGCCGAGTGGACTGGATGAAGGCGCGCGGTGTGGGGCCCGACGTTCAACAATTGTGCACAGGGTGATCGAAAGAAGATGTCGGGAAACAGTCGGGAAATGGTCATCGATAAACAAATCGTTTAGCGGCGCAAGCGCCAGTCCCCGACAATAATGTAATTTATACATCCCACCTGAATAATGTTCTATATTACTATTAATGGCCTGCTCGTCGCCGAACCGCTAGCGTGGTTCGCTCCTCGCAGAGGGACCCAGGTTGTAACAAAGAACGGAACAAGCCGAAATTCGTGGGAAGCCATCACACAACTTTTGCAAGGAATGAGCTTTATCGTTCCGACAGAACCCTCTCTGTTCCAGAGTCGGGGATTAGCAAGACTCAAATAAGAATACATTAGCTAACATGCATTGGTGGGAAGCAATCTACATTCTAATAATACAATTGTTGTATAAGTAGTCCCCGTACTTAGAGCCGGTCTGAAAAGGTCTGGATAAACAGAAGACTATCATGATTGCAAAAGTGGTCACAGGAAGCCACTTTCCTGTAGCAGCCGAGCCATTTTCTCGTCCTCTCGCTCCCTAGGCTCTCTCTCCAAGCTGCGGGCCCAGAAATGTTCACTCAAAGCTTTTGTATCATTGTAGGAAGCCAAACATTCTTCGATGTAAGCAAGGACGGTTTGAAGGTGATGAAAGTTGAATGGCTGGGCCTGCCAACGTTTGATGTCACTGATGACCTCCGAAGCTTTTTGTCGTTTACGGAAATTGACGAGCCCACCGGGCAAATTGTCTGGATTCCCGTCTTGAATGAATTGCAGCGTCGAGAGGAAGACACCTACGACAGAAGGGTGAATGTAAGCAATTGAAAGATTGGAGGTTTCTTACCAATAAACGGAACACATGGCGGAGTTACCGACGCCATCAGTTGGCGATACTTGGTAAAGTTCTTATTACTGTCTATTGTCATTTCGCAAGCACCAAATTGTGCCATAAATCGCGGGTTAACTTGTTCCCATGTCCTTTTCAGGCGCCGAATAGGAGGCGTATTGAGGCCTGAGGTAATGGCGATCATACTTGAGAAGTTGTTTAATGTTCGACATCGCTAAACGTCAGGATTCAGTAAGAGAATAGAGGCATTCCGAAAATGCTTACGTCTGCCACACTGATGAGATGCTTCACGACTTGCGCTCGCTTCCGAGCATCTTCTTTGCTGAGAACGGCATCAGCAACCCAGCATGCAATCTGATAAAAGAAGTGAATTATTTTCTGTTCCATATATTTTGAAACCAAAGTTCATTACCCGATTGCTAGTTTGAATGACCGTGGTGATATTATCTACATGTTCGGTCTTCTGTTCGCGAGAACGCTGAAGGCATTCCATTGGCTTTATTTTCTGATAAAGCAGACTTTCCATGATGGTCAATTGCCTCGCTAGTTCCAAGGGATCGATGTCGAGAAGTTTCAACTTCTTGTTTGTCTTCGGATAAATTGGTGCAGGCGGTGGGCCTAAACTTGTGTTCACTAAGGTTTTCACGCCGTCACCTCCGCGTTGCTACAATGTTGTCAGGTGAGCGTGTGATTGCTCTGAAGCTGGAGTGAAGACGAACTGCTCTCTCAATGGTGTTCATTAGTTGCTTTGCAGCAGCGAAGCGCGATACCTCCTCTGACGATATGAATTCTTTCATTCGATCGAGGATATAGGCATCTTCTTTATCAAGAACATCGTCATCGACAACCATCGATTTGAGCGTATTGATGACTCTGCGAGAAAATGATGAGGGGTCATATCGAAGCAAATCAGGGAACATGTACCGCATTTGAATGACATGTTGCTTCAACTTGCCCCATTCCTCATATTCAGCAGGTGTCAGATTTTCTGGGGGTTGAATGCGGAAACGGTCAACCAAGGTGTCAAACAATCCATTGAGCGTTGTGAAAGACTTGTATGTCATGAGGAACGCCTTGGTGAACGTCGTGTCTGTAAGCTTTTTAGTTTGAAATTTACAAAGGATGGGCTAGTCTTACCTGCTTGCTCATGAGCGGTCAATCGTTCTACCAGAGCAGGAACGGTCCCGCCACGAACAGAACCATCGGGTTCGATGAGGATGTCCGAGGGGGTGTAATTGGGTCGGAGATACCACGGCCGAAGATCAGCAGCAACTTTATCTGCGTATTCGTCTCCTAAAAGTCTCTGAAGTTTGTTTGCCCCAGCTGCGCGAGGAACTTTGGCGGTGGGAACTATATGCCTTCAGTAGGGAGGACAAGCAAAAGATGTTCACCACTCACGATCATCATCGAATAATGGCCCACCATCAACATCTCTAAACTCGTCTCGAGCGTCGGAACCTGATTGCGACACCAACGTTTGATCATGGGATATTTCCGAATCTCGCGTAGCAGCATGGACGGAACTGTCGTATCCATCACCGCCGTTGGATAGAGTGCGATGGGAGTCGTAAGAGAAGTCGGTAGTAGATCGCTGTTTCTTCAAACCAGGCCTGTTGAAGGCAACTTCCATATCAACAACATCTTCGTTCTCATCACACGTGTCCGTTCCTTTCGAGGCGGCACGTTGCGCGCCTCCGAATTGGTTGTTAATGACGCTAAGGCGTGACATTCGCCATTCAATGGAACCATTGTAATCGCCCTGAGCCATTTCGGCCTGTTCGTGTCCAACTGCCAGCAGAGCTTCGATAGTTCCCTTTACCAGGCTCAAATTCGACTTGAGCGATGAAGAAAGGGTGTCCAGAAGGTCAAAGGCCGATTCCCGTTCACCTCGAGATGCACTTGTTTCAGCACCAGGAAGAGCTTGTGCGGTGAGAAGTAATGCAGAAGTATCGTCATAAACAACCTGAAGAGCAGTTTCTAGCGTCCTCACTAGACGACGGGCATTATCAACCGAATGCGAATAGTGATCGTTCGTGATAATACCGCCTTGACGGATGCCGTCAATGTCAACATGCCTGGCAACATGGATATCGGCGACCAACGTGAGGAAAGCTGAAATTTGAGTGACAACTTCTTGAACCCGGACACGAATTTGCTCCACTGCAGCAATCAAAGCCTGAGAAAAGCATGATACTAATATCTGGTCGCGCACCTGAATCCTCTTTTGACAATCTAAGAGCCTGTCCAAGCGTGGAGATTCCGCTCTCCAACCGTGAAAGATACGACCCGATCTCGACAACCACCTCAGTACCCAACACTTTTCGGGGAGCTTCAGCCTCATCGAGAGAGACCCAACCAAAACCTTTCCAACTGCCAGCGGCACCGGCCCCAACAAGACCCAAGCCAACGTTAGCCGTCGTAAATACCCCCTGCAGCCGTTTAGATGATTTAAAATCCACACCCGTCGGAGCTGTGTGCTGTGTGCGCTGCACTTCAAGCACAAATGAGAGAACCGCCCGTTCAAGCTCCTCCGCATCAGCTTCAATTCGATTCAGGGTATCGGCAAGCTGGGATCCGGAATCATACTGCATGGCTCGAGCACTCAAAACTAATCTGGATAACGTTGCAGTGACCTTCCGTTGAGCAGGCTTGAGCGGAGATTGTGAGGACGGTTTTGCTTCGCGTGCATCTCGAGGAAAGACATTGCTTGGTATGTGTCCAGTTGGGGCTGCTGAAATATAGAGAAGGTTTCTGACAGCAAGAACTACTCCGTGAATGAGTTCATCCATTCTTTGATCATCCTCAGCTCGTCTGAATCCTCCACCTGTCTGAACGTTGTCCACAACCGCTTGAATCGCACTCTTCGCTAAAGCGGACAAATCGGTAACAAACTCGGGAGGTGGGGGTTCTAGGGTTTGCTGCAAGGATTTAGCAATCCGTTCAGCGGAAGTTAATTCCAAGCCGTTGTTTTGCGTAGGCCCCGTCGTTGTTGTCGACTCTGATTGCTTTTCGGTGCCATTTCGATGGCGAGGACGAGAAGTTCGAAGGTGGTCAAATGGCTGGACGTCCGAGTCGTCTGAATAGACACTGAGCCTTGAGCCCTCAGTTGGCTGGATGGAACTTTCCGATAGAGACGTTTCAGTGTGATTAGATACTGAGGCACCAGGAATTTGAGCGTGTGGCCGTGCCCACTGCTCCCGGCCATCTGATTTGTTATAGTAATAATGTGAAAGCTTGTCATCTGCTAGTTTTCGTATCCATGGTTCAGGTGTCCCACTCGACCGTTCTTCATCGACGCTTGAAAGATCCTGTGTACTTCCGGATGCCTCTGAGCCGCTGAGCCCAAAGGCTAGGCCAGCAGCAGTACCAGACCGGGAACTGGACTGGGACGTCAGGCCAGCCAGGTCACCATCCGAAGCTTCGTCTTCTGTTTCCTGAGGTAGATCACGGGAACGCTGGCCAGTATGTGTGTTGACATAATATATCTTGAGATAGCCATAAGGTCAACTTCCAAAGATGGAGAGTTTGGTCATATCCTTACCTGGCCGTCAGGAGTGACTTCGGGCATCCAAAAATCACTGGGCTGCGTCGCATGCCGACCCGCGGGTTCAGGTTTAGTATGTGAGCCGTTTCGATAGGAAAGTTCGTTGTCCAACCACTCTTCGTTCTCCGCCTGGGTACCCCGCATCATGGACATGTCAACCATAGAAGTGTCCTGCTGTGCCTCCTGAATCGAATTCTCGGGATTAGATAATTCTGAGCCAGAGAAAGCCAACTCCGCCTCTTCGTCGGAAATTATAGTGACGTAGTTGGAAGGGAACCATCCACGCTCATCACCCAGTAAACCGTCCCACCAGCCCGACGGCTGCTGCGTAAGGACTTCTATGATGTCACCTCTTCGAAACGAAAGGGCAGAGGCATCCTGCGCCTCGTAGTCGTAGAGAGCCCTACAGAACAAAGAGGCATACTGCTCCTCGAAAACTTCCTGATCCTGCATCGGGGCACCCGCGGAGGTAATGAAGGTGGAAGTTGTCGCTCTTTGGTTGGCTTGTGGCAGGATATATGATGTTGAGGCCACTGCTGCCATGTAGATAAGAGAAAGACAGCAGAAGAAAGAGTTATCGACAAGGAGAGTAACCGAAAATTCAGGCAAGTTAAGAGCTTGGGCTAGAACTCAGAACTCTCTGCAATGCAGTCCCTGAGATTACGTAAATCTGATCTCACAATTGATTCCAACTGGTCGACATTGGGTCGACACCCAAAATCATCATGCCCCGAGAAAGAATTACTTCAAGGTCAAGGTCTCGTTCACGGTCGAGGTCTCCTCGAAGACGAGATGACCGACACGGTGCCCGTGACAATGTGAGAGAAGACAGGCGTCGCTCTCCACGTTCACGCCAAAGGTCATTGCCGCCAACTCACCGAAGGTCCAGAAGTAGAAGTCCGCCAGCCAAACCATTGCGGCGCCATGACTCCCGGTCGCATTCAAGATCAAAAGATCGAAGGAAGAGGTCCAGGTCGCCCTCAGTTGAACGCAAGGGCAAGAGAAAGCGAGACTGCTCTGTGTCGACCTCTTCGGACTCTGACAACTCCAGTTCTAAACGGAAGAGAGAGAAAAGGAAACATAGGGATGGGAAGCGTAGTCATAGTAAGGAAAGGAGGAGGGAGAAAAAACGAGAAAAGAAAGAGAAACGAGAAAAGGCGCGTTTATTCTTTGTATTTGAAAAATATGCCTGTAATCTCGTCGTTGTAGAAGAAACGCACTGGAACAGGTGCTCCCAATTGGGGAAAATATGGCATTATTTCTGATTCCGAGTGAGCTTCACCCTTAGCTTCTTCATATTTGATTGACAAGTTGGCGACGACTTATTCCAGTATTTTCAAGAGAAATCAGGAGTTCTACACATGGCTTGTCGAAGAGCGAAAAATCAATCCAGAGACTATCACAAAAGACCAGCAAAAGAAGGAGTTTTCTCGGTTTGTCGAGGATTTCAATACAGGTATGCAATAATTATGCTACTTTAAACAAATATTTTGAGCTCCTTCATCGTTCAGCGACCTTACCCCACGAGAAGTATTATAACATGGAAGCCTATGAGAAGCGCATGTCCGCCCTTCGCCAGGGCGAATACCTCCCTCCCGCGGATGATTCCTACGACCCAGAGGCTGACATGAAAGCAATAACGGGTGCACATAAACGCAAACCAGTCGAACATGAGAGTTACATGAGCAAAGAGCAGTTGATGCAGCTCAGGAAAGTGCAACACGAACGAATAGAGGTAAGTTCCAACCCTTATCCGCCAGACTCCTCTCAACGACATACTAGGCTGGTAAAATGAAACTTCTGGGAATGGACGTCAAACAAAACATGGGTGTTCGAATGGATGGGACTATGTTCGACGGTTGAAAACTTACCCTCGAGGGGAAATACAAAGCCGTGAATCTCGTAAGCCAAAGTTTTCGACAACATTTAGAAACCCCTGTAAGATGGGCGGTGGGTGAAAAAATGTGGAAACAAAGTTGGATATCAGTGTCCATCTCAGGCCTCTTGAGTTTTCTTGGTTCTCTTAAAGCGAGACGTGATATATTGAGTCAATCTACCGTTTGAGCGTCCTCTGTTTTTCTGCAAACTCGACAATTTTGCGATCGACAAAAAGTCCTTTACGATCTCGCACTCCATCCATGTAACCTTTCGCAACATTGGAACGATCGGCTTTCTCTCCCAAGTCCTCCAACTCTTCTTCCGTTGTCGGCGCCCAAAAAGGATCCTGATCCAAAAGCTCGTAACTAGGCGTCGATGTTAATACATAGCGACCACTAGGTTATTAAGGGGCTTACCCGCTAAAAATGAGCTGCGGACTCGCTGCACCAGAAGTACGTGTCCGGATATCTGAGGGTGCTGTTAATCATGAAATAAAACGAACAAAAAATGAAAATCTACCGTCGGAAAAGCCGAAACTTTCTACCACAGGTAATAGGGCAGTAACGTTGAAAAAGGATGTCCCCTCCTTCACTTCCTCAGCTACAATACGCCCACGTCGCTTGGCTACAACACCATACACTTTACCCAGGACATCGGCTTTACGGTGTGTTAGTTCACTGATATAGATGTAGGAAGATGAGGACTAACTTGTAGCTTGAATGTCACAAGTGTACATGGCCAACATGAGCCGTGGAGACCAGTCAAGCAGGCCATTTCGACATGCATCCCTGACAGCTGATATCACGGATCCTGTAACCTGCGCCATCTTATTTTGCTCTGAAAACAATATGAGTGAGGCGACCAAGGTTTGAGACTGCCAAGACTCACTCATCTCCTTCTCCAGTGCTTCCTTGTCTACCTCAACCTTTTGTACGAAGTATGCTATGCCCTGCACAGGCTCCGCACAAAGGGGGCCTTGGAAAGTGGCAAGCTGGAAACCTGTCTCTATGTGATTATCAAAGTCTCGTATGACTTTTTCGGATTCTAGCTGAACTTCATCGGATTTCACGTTGCCTAACCGGTGCTTCAACCTGCGCGTAGATTATTGCCATCATCAAAATGGGGAAAAAGAACAAAACAAACGATGCAATGTGATTTGATGACCTGTCATCTATGAGCAAGCAACCGCCAGCCTTCTGAGGGCCGAAAGCCCAAATCTTATCCACGACACCCTCCCATTCGCCACCCACCTCTTTACATTTATTGTGGAGGGCATCCCAAAACTGATCGCGATTTATATTGGGTTTTCGAACGATATCGCCATTCAAATCAATGCCATCTAGCTCGTTATTATCGCCCGTAAACTGCTCGTTGTCTCGTTCGCTTGTTTGATTTAGGTGAAGTTGCCTCAAAGTCGCCAAGTTTTCGAGGATGAATTCAAGTATCGGAGTTGGCAGAGGGGTGGCTCGGAGAGTGAATACCAGTATGTTGTGTGAACTAGCGCCGTGGACTGTGCCGCGAGGCGCACCAGGTGTCTTGGGCGGAGCCATATCTAGTGAGGGGATGAGTAGATGCGGTCACAACACGTGCCTCGCGCACCAGGGGCTTTAACGGCCGTTTCTCGAAAAGGAACTATAGGTTTTGAAGCTTGAATCTCGACGCGTGCAAACCGTTCTCTGAGATCCTTTAAACAACGCTGCAGAAACTGTATTAGTTTGGAAGGATCATATAGCGGAGGGCGAACTGACCTCTAGGTGAAGCTCACCAGCAGTGACGATAACATGTTCCCCTGTTTGTTGCTGGAAGGTTTCTACGCAGGGATCCGACTGACTCAATAATTTGAGGCCATGCACCAATTTGGATAAATCCGCCGGCATCGCTGGCTCAAGCGCCACTCTGACAATCGGGGCTGCCTAGTCTATCATGAGCGTCGCCCTACTTTTATATCCATGCACTCACTGATCGTCGTACAGCGCCCAGGTTAATGATGCATGGCCCAAGTTCCGACAGATTTGAAGTATTGTCAATGCCACTTTCGCCAGGTGCGCAAAGAGTGGCATTTCTCCACACCTTACCCTCTAAGCCTCTGATGGCAAAGATATTCCCAGCACGGACGTGGTCCACAAGAACTAATTCTCTTCCCATCATAATATATAGACCCTCGACATGCACCTTCAAGAGAAATTTGGCGTTATGTGGGTGCGTAGGTTCCAAAGTATTGTTGTATTTGGGCAAAACGGCGAAGACACACGCGCCTATTCGGAGGGTGCCAGAGTACAAGCGAGCAAAACCTAGGATTACTTCCGCATCTCCCAGAGGGATTTCTTTTTCTTCCGGTGGGTTTTCCTGAGAGTTTAATTGAAGAACGGAAGATGTAGCCGCTTCAGTTCCAGCAGACCCATTTGCGGCGCGTGCCTCGCGGGCATTCGTCCTGACAGAACCAGTTGTCATTGTTTTCTTATTCTCCGGAAGATCCTTCGCGGGAACCGCAAACATCTTGCTGACATACGCCGTTACACATGCGGTGGCGCTTGAGTTTGAAGAAAACAAGTCTTCTTCAAGTTTGTTTTTTGGTTGAAGCGTCGTTTCATACAGGTCAGGGTAAAGCATTTTCGGAACTCTGATCGCCTGAGCTACGTGTGGCGCAGGGACGATGTCGATGACCGCTTGAATAATGCATGTCGAAAGAGAGAGCCATTGGGTACAGATGAGGGAGAGGAGATGACGAGAATCTTTCGATTTGAGATCTCTGGGAGGTATCTTCAGATTAAGAGCCGCTACAATCTTCCCTACCTTCTCTGAATTTCTAAGCTGATGTCAGGTTAGGCAGAAATGTGCAAAGACTCGGGGACGAACGGGTTTAATACGGTAGCATCATAAACAGCCCAAAGATTTTCCAACACAAATTGCACAAAGAGCGGTTTGAGTGCGCGTCCTCGAAGGTGCTTATAACTGATGACTTTCTTCGTTTTGGGATCGAGAAAAAAATCGCCCCAGAGTACCCGACGAAGATTGGCTTCCTTTATACCCAGCTTCTGCGCATAAATCTGTGCAAACTTTCCGATCCGGAAGCCCCAACCATCAATGGCTGACGCAAATATCACGTTTCCTTTTTCTGGAGCAAAATATAAGTCTTCATCGTCCTTCTCCTGGAACTCGTGGGCTTCATTTATACTTGCGTCGGTCTCGTTGGCCTGTGCCTCCTTCTTTTCTTCAAGACGCCTCTCACGCTCTTCTCTCCACCGTAAGTCATCTTGCATCCTCTCGCCAGCAAAGAAGCTCCCCATAATGGCATTGACTTGCTCAATGAGCCGACTGAGGTGATGATATCCTTCTGTGGGTGCCAACTTTAACTCTGTGATTAGTCGGTCAACCTTGTTAATGACTAGGATGGGGCGCAATCGATCTTGCCATGCTTGCCGAAGAACAGCGATTGTCTGATCATTAAATCGTTAAATCCTTACCTTCTATATAGAATTTTTTTAAATGACCTGTGTGCAGACGCCTTCCACCACGTCGACCAATACTAACGCCCCATCGCACAGCCTGGAAGCAGTTGATACTTCGGTTGAGAAATCAACGTGTCCAGGTGTATCAATCATGTTGACGATGTAAGTTTTTGGCAACCTTCCTAAGCCATTTGGTTAACGATGTCCCGCCGAGTAGAAGGGCGTAGATACGCACCTCCATTAGCATCGCGCTCCATCACCTGAAACTTGAGCGACACCGCACTACTTTCCATTGTGATCCCTCGCTCCTGCTCGTCCTCTCGGCTGTCAAGGTATCTCATTTTCCCAACCATTCTCGAGGAAATGATATTGTTTGCGGCCAACAGCGCATCCATAAGCGTGGTTTTTCCATGATCAACGTGTCCGAGTGTCGTTATAATACGAACGTTAGCAGGATCTAGATTGTTCATAGCGGGTAAGAATAGATAAGCATAACGGCCTCGGAATCCCTGACTCCAATGCAAATTCCGAATCACGTGGAGGGCGTGTCATTACGCGATGTTGTGAATTGCTTGGCACCTTCACCCAGATACTCAAACTACTACGCATTGCGTCAATATGGGCAAGGGCGAAACAAGCAAGTCTTCTCACAGTTCTAGAGAAAAGGATTCAGAGAGAAAGCGTAAAAAACGGCGCAAAGACGACGACAACGATGAAGGCGGTCGGAAGACCAAGCACAGGAAGAAAGATTCAGGACGTAAGCTTAAGATTGTTGACGACAACCCGGACAATGAAGATATGTGGGTTGAGAAGAATATAGACATGGATGGTGAACGGGTAAGCCAGTTCCGAACTTCGTCGTTGTTGTCATTCATAATATCTGCAGGTCCTTGCAACAAGTATTCCAACCGCTGAAAGCCTCAAGCTAACCTCTTCGTCTGAGCCGGGTCCTTCTGCACCTCCCTTGCCACCTGCAGCAGTCACAGAATCAACTCTCAAACGCGATGACTGGATGTTGCTCCCCAACTCTGCAGCTAATGACTCAAGTGTCTCTCGCGTATCGGCACAGCAATCTTTCGCTGGCGACGAATCACTCACAGAAAGTTATGGTGAACCTTCTGGTGGTTCGCGCTCGGGGAACGGCATCGACTTCTTTTCCAACATGGGGACAGAGATTAAGAAGAAGAATCCCAAATTGAACAAGCCGGATCCTGACAGGGTATATCGCAGGCTTCCTCCCAGAAGATATACCACTAAATCAGATTATAGCCTGCAGTCAGTAATAGGGAGCTTAATGTGGAAATTAAAGAAGGAAGGAAGATAGATTTCGATTCAACACCCCCACCTCCTAAGGCCAACGTACCAGGCGGACCAGGGTCGCCGTGGCGCATGATGCGACTCAGAAAAGTGTATGAAGCGGCCAAAGAGGAAGGGCTTGATGTCGAGACGCTGGGTGCTGAACGATTTGGATCGTTGCAAGCATTTGAGGAAGCAAAAGAGGAACGGCGTATTTTAGACGAAAGGGAAGGGAAACGTGCAGAGCGGGGTCGTGTCACGGATCCATCTTCGCAAGGTGAAGCTGGAGAAAAAAGCCTTATGTTCACCGACGTCGGAGGAAGCGGGTCGTCAAGTCGCAGGTCCTCATTCCGTCGACCTGGTGGCATTCCTGGTAGTGGGCCGTCAACTCCTTCTCCGCCTGATACGCGCCCGCCAAGCAACCGAAGGCTTGACTCTCTGCGTTTGCCCTCTCAAGCCAATTCACCGCTTGCACAATCCCACACACCTGTCCCTTCCGTGATGACTCCAACATCAATGGCGTCTGGTTCCCGTCGAGCTCTTTCGCCCTCCTCACTGAATAAATTACAAGCCAAAGTCTTGCGAGCAAAGCTAACCGGCATGCCAGATGCTGAGAAACTCGAGAAGGAGTATGAAGCTGAGGCACGTAGGGCGAATGGCGAGCTCGACTCGGGCGGGGATGTTCGGAGGAAGGTAGAGGTATTGCCTACTCTGGATGCGCGGGGAAGGATGTATGATGTCGGTCATGGGAGGGGGGAAGAAGAGGCTCGACCTGGAAATAGGAAGAAGAAAGAGGAAAAGGTACGTGAGGTTTCATTGTCTGTTCTTGCTCGCCTTTACTCCTGCTCTCTTAGTTCGAGACACACGATCCCAAAACTGGACAAGTCATTCGCATCAATGCCGATGACGACACAGTAACATTGGGAGAGATGTTGAGGCAAGAACGCATGGGCGCAGGTATGGCGGACCAAAAGAATCTGGATGCACAGTATGCACGCGCCATCATGGGAGATGGCAAATACCAGGTAGAAACTCTCGAACTCTTTTCTTTTTTTTTTTTTCGTGGATTAATTGAACTAAAAGAACGATCTCGATTACATCGATGACAACGCCGAGAAACTCGGTCGACAAAAAATGCGCTCGGACGGCATGAAGCGTCAATTTGCTATTCACGGTCATTTGTCAACCTCTTCGTGATTTGCAATGCCTTACATTTTTTCTTTAGATTACAAAAGGACACAAAAAGTTCTGGCCTCTTGCAATTTCTGCTACGGGGAAGATGACTCGCCCCCAAAGGCTCCTGTTATTGCGATGGGCACCCGGGTTTACCTCTCATGTACTCTCAACGACGAACTTGTCAAAGGTCATTGTTTGATAGTACCAATCCAGCATCATTTGAATATGCTTGAGGGAGACGACGATGTTTGGGACGAAGTTCGGGTGCGAAATGTTCACCTTGATTGATTCTATAGTCTGAAATTCAACAGAACTTTATGAAATGCCTCATGCGCATGTTTGCAGAAGATGACAAGGGCGTTATTTTCTATGAAACTGTGATCACGCTCAAGTGGCAAAAACACACATGCATCGAGTGTGTACCATTGCCCTGGGAACAGTACGAACTCATACCTGGCTATTTTAAGGTACAAAGACTTCCCTTCGCCTCCACCCATAAGCATGATATTTACATTGAGTATTTAGGAATCAATCCTAGCATCCGAAGCCGAGTGGTCTCAGCACAAAAAGCTGATCGACTTTTCAACGCGACCTGGTGGTTTCAGGCGAGCAATGGTGCCCAACCTGCCTTATTTTATGGTTCAATTTGACCACAAGGGGGAGAGGGGCTATGGCCATGTTATAGAAGGCACTTCAGATGCAGCGGAGCATGAGAATGGTCTGGAAGAGGGCGAGAAGGGCGGTGGTGATTTTCCATCGCAAGTGCCGTTTTTATTGTTCTTGATCAATGTTGACTGAGCGACAGGTACTTTGCCGGCGAGATCATTGGAAACGTGCTTGACTTGGAGCCTAGGAGGTGGCGCCGACCCAGACGAATTGATCTCCACAGCAATAAGGAGCGTGTTAAGGAGTTCAAGAAGAAGTATGACAAGTTTGATTGGACGGGGATGATTGGGCGTGTAAACTAAATGTGGTCTTACGTAAGCTAGGGACTCCTTAGTATTCAAGTCCAGTCAAGTCCTCGACGTTGACCAAGTCGTTGACTCTCTCTCAACGACGTCTGCCTGCTAAAAGTACGTCGTTGTTGCCATGGCCCCAGCGGCTCCAACACCGCGCGAAATACTCCTTCTCAGTCTCCTCTTGTTCATTCTCTTAATTACTCATTCTTCTTCGTCGCCGAAATCTGGATTACCGAGGCCAGCGCCTAAGGACAACATATCCGCCGTTCCCCCAACCCTCTCACATTCCAAAACAGTTGACACCCAACTCAGATGGTCCACGTTGCCTGTTCCACAAACCAGAATTGTCTCTCATGTGCCCGGTAGATATCATGCTGCCATTTCCTTTAGCGTTTTGACGCCTGTCATCAGGCTGGACCATCTTCGACAGACTATACATTATGAAAGGGGTTCTGTATATAGTCTCTGACGAACCGCGGACGGTACCCGATATCCGTTTTATCTACTCGAAAGGCATATTCACCGAACCAGGACCTGAAGCTGCCGAGACGCGCATTCCTTCCGACGAGGATATCCGAATAGTTAGCAGTAGCGAAGCGAAAAAGCTCTTTGGGACGGGGGCTCAGATCATGGACGGTGTAACAGTGCGTGCCCTGCTTTTCGCTGACCACAGTGGTTGATATTTCAACTAGTGGCTTGTCAACGACCCCCCACAGTTGTACGTCTTATGGATCCAACTACTTTTTGCACATCTGATCCTCTACTCAAAAGCATTACACACTATTATCATTGGTCGGCAGAGCTATGGTTTGGATTTTGGCGGACTTACTCCTCCCTTGACACGGCCATCACCTCCGAAGGAAACACGACCCTTCCCGTTGTTCGCAGACTTATGTTCAACCATATTGATGCATTCCATTGGCGTGACTATGCATTTATGAACCAATGGGTCGTGCGATCTTCCTTCCCTGCCATTACCATGGAATTTATTGATGACTGGAGAGACCGTGCGGAGATGGGGCGTCCGTTCGTGTTCGACCGGGTCGTCATTGCTGATCGTTCGGCAGCAATGCTGTCCTATAATTATGCGCGATACCAGCGGACGGCGGGCGCCCCGATGGCACTTCCTGGGAGCGTGAACTGGTGGATGCCGATAAGGAACAACGTTGTTGAATTTGCTGGTCTAGGCCCTGCCATTGGCGGCGGTACGACGAGCGTCCCAGTCATAACGTACATCTCAAGACAGCAGTGGGGCAGACGTATGCTGGTACCCGAACATCATGACAAGCTTGTGAAAGAGCTTTATAAGTTGAGGGACCGATATGGATATGAAGTCAACGTTGTTAATGCGGAGGCTATGTCCCGCGTTGAACAAATACAACTCGCGGCGAGGACAACCGTATGTTGATCCATTTCTGTAAAACCAAATTGCACTTACTCATTTGGGATGGTAGATTATGATGGGAGTCCATGGCAATGGTCTTACGTCGCTTATATGGATGAAGCCCTCGCCTAGGTCGACCGTAATGGAGTTCTTTTACCCTCAGGGTTTCGCCCACGATTACGAGTATACAACGCGCGCTCTCGGAATGGTGCACTATGGTTTCTGGAATTCAGAGTACGTTCCTATTTCAAGCTCAAGTCCCGCAACTTATTTTCCACTAGGTACTTCACTAGCCCCGCAGTACCGATCCCAAAATACGTTGAGGGTTTTCAAGGAAATGCGATCCCCCTCGACGGCGAAGTAGTCGCCCGGTTGTGCGTGGAGAGGCTGACCCTTGCGAGCGAGGTTGATGATTGAACAGTGAACTGAGTTGTCGGTCACGGACTTGTATTTGTAGTATATATCTCTTAGAGGGGTCACGGTATGACCGAATATAATATTATAGAGTCAACGATAAGGATGGGTACAGTCTCATGTTCAAGAGCAAATCCGAAAAGATCATTTTTGTTTCAATGTGGGGTCATGTGTTTTACGAGCGATATAATTACAGTCCAAAAGTTCTCCCAATGACATCCTGGATGCCTTCTTGCACTCCTAGGTAGTCATGTCCCCCAAAAAGCGTCTTTACGAGCACAATTTTTCTTCCATCCGCCTCGAATGCATCCACACGTCCAAAGTTCGCCATGACTGTGGTGGTCACAAGCTCATTTCGCTTGTTCTGTCGAGCCGCCTGCTGAGTTGTAAAAGTATTCCACTGGTCTGTCGTCATAACCGTTGCATGATCTGGAGGGGAGACAGGCGGCAGATGTATGTCGAGGAAGGCTTCAAATAAAACATCCGAGTGTGAGTCGGGGATATCCCAATCGTTTTCTGCGTGGCCGATAAGGACAGAAGATGTGATGTTCTATCGTAGACTCAACCTCAAGAATCTTTGCAATGTTGCTTAGAACGACGTACCGGAACCGCTTGAAGTGAATCAAACTTGTGTATCAGTGCGCCTTCGACGAAACCTGATATTTATCCATCTATGAACGGTGATTCAACATTTGAGATGATAATTGGCTTACGGATAGCACCGGGAATAATGGCAAGTGGTTTAATCAGAGGTATAAATCCAAACATATGGTAAGTGTTCAACACCTCTCGGATACTCGAGAAAGGCTATTGCATCGACAGTTGGCTTGCTTATATCTCTTTGAAAAATTGCAGGACGTACAGATAAGAGCACGATTCCCCGACATTGAATCTTATGCAAAGATAATTCAACGCCCAACTGCATGGAGACTCCTGTTCCAAGGCTATGTCCAACAATTAAAATATCCTCTGGCTCTGCTCCGTTGTGAACCAGCCAGTCCCAGGCAGCCCTGGCGTCGCGAGTGAGTCCCTCTTCAGATGGACTTCCCGTGCTGTCTGCAAACCCGCGATAGTCGATAGCGAGGACGTTTGCAGCCAACCGCGAGGACAACGCTTGGTAATGGAGGATACGTGCATGAAAAGCGCGAGTCGCGGCGTTCCCGTGAAAGAAGAGAATGGTGGGCCGTTTCTTCAGTGCTTTGGTGACATGAACAGCAACATCAAATGGAACGGCGGGGAGAGAACGGTAGTAGGAATCAGAAAGAATGAACCATGCTCCAATTGTCTCGTTATCCGACGTTCGAATCTTTAGGTTGAGGGTTTTGTTGGCTGGGGGTTACTGTCAGATACAACACAGGCTCGGTTGCACTGCGACGTACGGGCTAAGCCATATTTCTCTGGGGTATTGAAGTTGGCAAACAGGGGAAGTCTTATCGAATTCAGGTATATGACACTAAATAATGTCAGACGAGGAGGATGCTTGGAGGACGCATACGCAACTGGCTTTGCAAGAAAGGAACGGCCAAGAGGAGGACAAGAAGAAGATACAGGCCGCCAAAGACGACGAGGTAGAAATGAACACGGACGAGGAAAGTCTGCGCCATCAAGGGACCTGTAGACTTCAAAGCTTCATCGATGTCATCATCTGCAACGTCTCTGCTAAAACGGAACACGTTGGAATTGCACACAGTGGTCGATCTTTGAGTTTCTTTAGAACTACATCAATACCTCTACCTTTACATAGGTAGGACTTTCTATGCAAGTGACAGACATAGAATCTACAACCTGTCTACCTTATCCATCTCACGATCCAGCTCGGATGGGTCCCCAGAAGGTTGACATCTCTCCAAGTCCACCAAGAAAATGTCACCGCTATCCGTTCTACAAAAGTTACGACGCGCGATATCGCCGTGGAGATACCCCGCATTGTGAATGTGCCGGAGAGCTGCCTTCATTTCCGTGCGAAGTGTTTGGTCGATTTGTTCATCTTCAGGAATGGCGTTACCGACAGGTTCAAGAGCAAGAAACTGCAGAATCCCCCAAACTTCATAGAAGCCATGCAGTGTGGGTATCACTTTGCCTTGGAGATCTTGTAGAGCAGCATAGGTACAGGCTTCATCATTTAGTGAACTTGCTGCATCGGCAGAGTGCAAGGCATCAGCAATTTTGCAGACAACATTGAGGTCAGGGAACCCAGCGGATTGTGATAGCAATGTCGCAGTCACTACACAACCATCCACTCGAGGACGAGCAGAGCGGGGGTCAAGGCAACATAGGTGAAAGTCAATAGGACGACGCTGGTAAGCACCATTGACGGGTTGCATAGAATATCCTCCAGCAACAGCAACGGCTGCCCTCCGATTCTTCCAGGCAGCAGGCGACGTTCCAAAGCTTAGGTTCAGAGGGGCAGGGAATAGGGTAGGGCATGGATAGAACCAGTCATCCTCAGCAAGCAACACCATGCCAACGAACACTTTGAGCATTGAGAGCCAGCCAGCTCTGTTTAGCTCAACCAGATAGTACTCAAGGGTCTTGCGATCGGGTGTTTCAGCGCGACGCAGGAACAAGGCATGCTTCCAATTGGTAAGGATACCAAATTTGTTGTTGTTGAACGCCATATACCCGTAGGTTTGTTGGAGGGCATGCACTGATTGTTCACTGAGGGTGTCATTCTCAGTGCTATGGAAGGCAGCGATGGGATTTACAAGGTCCGCGGCCCACCAAGCCTTGTACTCAACCTACACCAGCAGGGTTTAACAAGCACATATGTAAGAGGGGACTGATACACGCACGATAACTTTCGGGTGCCGCGGTGACCCAGAAGTCGTGATCCATGAAAAGTCTGGATCTCCTACAATCGCGCTAGTCCCACCGCCTGGCGTGACGAAACGTCCCTTCACCCCTAACTTCCGCAACACGGATGTAGCCGGTTTACAGTGCTTTGCATGTGAGATTGCACTCGAAATCTTACGAAAACCTGTTTGTACTTGTAGTTTGTGGCTGGTGTCATGCGTTCTACACCCAAAATCAACCGAAAATGGTTACTTCAGGTCACGAAATACAAGTGCAAACAAGTTTTCGTGGGATTTGCAGTGCAATCTCACATGCAAAACACTGTAAGTAAGGCGGCCACCGCATGAATATGGATCGCTAGTTCGTTCTCAACAACGCTGTCGCCGTTGTGACCATCGATGGGGAAAGGAGCTGCGTGAAGTAAATGTGCGGGAGTGGCTGCTAAGATGGCTTGGTGTATGTCATCTGGGAAAGAGGTCCAAGGCGTGAGGGACTCAAGATCTGTGCTAGGATACGTCCGTGGACCAGATTCAGCAGAGCTATGAATACCAGATGCGTCGAGAACTGCGTCTCCATAATCCGGAAAAGGGAGATTTGGGAGGCTCGTTTGCATTGTGCGAAGGCATCGAACCAGAGCTGGTGTCACAAATTCGGCGTGACGTAACGGTTATCCAATCCGTACACCCTACAAAAGTTCAATTGAACTTTTTATTTTCTTAGAACTATCCCGCCACATAGAAGCTGAAGTGCAGCAGAACATGACAAAAGTTTTATCACATACGAAAGAAAGGCAACAATCTGGTGAACACCGACGGTCAACGCTGACTGCCTTACGAACCTGGTTTAGATGCCTTGGAAAGGGCATAATCTTAGACTTTCGCGCAAGAGCACCTTGGTATTGGAGTGACTGGGTTGATGCCTGGAATTACCGCATCATCCCAGCCACAGCTCTGATTTTTTTTGCCAAGTGAGTCGCCTCTACGCTTTCGGCTCAACGCAGACTTTGAATTTCTATCCCCTTAGCGTACTTCCAGGAATTGCCTTTGCATTAGATTTAATAGAGACCACTGAACAATACGGCGTAACGGAAATTCTACTGTCATCATTTATGGCAGCATTTATATTCTCCGTCTTTGGCGCCCAACCGCTCACCATCGCTGGTGTTACTGGTCTGTTGACGTTTGCCCCTTACCTCTCCTCCAAACCCCTTATGCCTGGCTAGGCCCAATCACCGTATTTAACAAAACTATTTTCGATATTCTCAGTCGGGAAGCGAACCCTCCAAACTATCTTCAATTTATTGGTTGGGTCTACTTGTGGGCTGCTATCTTCCACTGGATAACCGCAATCTTTAACTGTATGTTTCATATATGGATAGAGGAGAGCGCCAGCTGAAGCTCATTCATAGGTTGCAATTTGTTGAAGTATGTGACTCTCTTTTCCTGTGACACGTTCGGATTCTACGTGTCCTGGGTATACCTACAGTACGGTGTCCAGGTCATCACTCGACAACACATAACAGTGGATAGCCCCCAATCACAGGGCTATTTTGTGACTATAATCCTTGCCCTCGTCATGCTTGTCACATGCTTCCTCTTTCAATCCCTTTCGCAGACAACCTATTTCCACCGTCATGTCCGCCGCTTCTTGGCAGATTATGGGATGCCTGCTTCTCTCGTAGCTACTTCAGCAATGGCATACTGGGGCAAGTTCAATGCGACCAACCCGCTGACACTACCCGCTGGTCACTCATTTCAACTTGCTGGCGGGAGAGAATTGCTTGTCAAATTTTGGCAGCTAGAAGGGAGATGGGTTGGCATTGCACTTCCGTTTGGACTTGTCCTTTGGATTCTCTTCTTCTTCGATCATAACGTCTCAGTGCGTTCATCGATGCAATTTCAACATATTCAGTTTTTATAATTTGACTTATAGTCCTTAATGGCGCAAGGATCCGAATTCCCTCTCCGCAAACCTCCAGGGTTTCACTGGGACTTCTTCCTTCTCGGAATCACCACATTTATTGCCGGACTGCTTGGATTACCTGCCCCGAATGGTCTGATACCTCAAGCTCCAATCCATACAACATCTCTTACGATTATGGGGCCCCCTTCGAAAGAGCGACAGATCTCTGGGGAAGGCTCGCACCACTCCCGTACTTTGTCGCGCTCTTCCAATCTATATGAAGATGATCCACAACCTCCGGATTCGAAATTCTTTTACCGTCGCGAGGTGCCAGTGGCAGTCGTCGAGCAACGCGTGTCAAACCTTGCACAAGGTGCCCTTTGCCTGGTCCTCCTCACCAGCCCCTTTCTGCATGTTTTGAGTCTAATCCCGCGAGGCGTCCTAGCTGGTCTTTTGTACGTTAATTTACCTGAGTTCTAGGTATCGTCTAATGTTTTGTGCAGCTGGTATATGGGTGCTAGTGCCCTACAAGAAAATGGAATAACCAAAAAGATATTGTATCTTTTTGAAGACAAGACCCTGACGCCCAATTACGATCCTCTCAGGAAAGTCCGCAAGTCACGTATCGTGTTGTTCGTAGGAGCCCAGATAATTGGGTTCGCAGCCGCATTTGCTGTCACCCAAACAATTGGTACGTTTTATTCCTTGAATGCTTTTACACTTTCAAACTAATCCCTTTTCAGCTGCGATAGGGTTTCCTGTCATCATCCTGCTGCTTTTGCCTGTTCGCACTCATCTTGTCCCTCTTCTTCCTTTCACTCGGAACGAGTTAGCGATCCTCGATCGCCCAACAGCATCAGCTTTTGTGAGTGGTGCTTTTGCCCCCTCGATACTAGCTCAACTCCCCACATTTAGACTATGGAATCCGTTGGTGGTACTCTCTAAGCAGCAAAGTAGAAATTACCTACATTCTGTTATCTTTTTACCTCAGGGAAGATAAGCACAGATAGAGAGCGAAGATCATTCTACACGTCGGTGACAATTCATAGGATCTTATCATCGAATCACTTTGTGAGATCGTACACCTCGGAAGATGATAGCGTCAGGCCCTGGATGAACTTTTATGCAAAGATCACAAGGTCGGCTCCTGTCGGCTCCTCCTTTCTCTAGTGGGCTTCCAAATTTCTACGTTCCTGGGCTGCCTGGTAATTGCCGAATGCCTCGCGGTACAAAAGGGGGGTAAGTATACGTACAAATAGGCTTGGCTGTTTGAAACGCCGAAGCCCCTCTCCCTTGACCGTTGATAATGTCCTCCGAATCTAATAAATTATTAGGCGTTGTTTTGCTTACCCGTCATGGAGATCGAGAAGGTCGGGCCATCATTCTTTGCGCACGTACCGTAATCTTCATCTTCTTAAACAAAAAATAGGTTTCTATCAAGACCCTACAACATACACACCATATAACACGGCCCTCACGCCCCTCGGAAATGTAGATTGAATCCCTTAAATTCGACCTACCTCTCTGACTCCCCGAGATCAGCAACAAGAATTCCAATTAGGGCAATTGCTCCGAGCCCGTTATCTCAATGCTTCGTCTCCTTTTTTGATTCCAGGCTTGAACACCACTCTCGCCAACGAGACCGAAATATCGATCCGTGCTGATGCCGGAGGAGAACCTGGTGTTATCTTTAATTCTGCTCTCGCTCTTCGAGTCCATCCATGATTCTAATTTTGTCAAAGCCCTTCCCCCAACATATCTCGCGCAAGCTCGGGATTTGGCTAATTGGCATGAATACAACATTTTCAGCTCTCCGCAACTCAATGGCGTTGGCAAAAGTACGTTGGCTCTCCGTCATTGGTGCCCACTAACCCGCGTGTATCAGTTGCTGGAAGGACTATTCTGCCATCAATTTTGAACGGCTTCGCAACTATCGCAAACCCTTCAGGCCCATTGAAAAATTTCTATCAAGCCATCTCTTACAAGCCCTTCATTTCCTTGTTCAATATGACTGGCATTGCCGAATGAATCCGGAGCTTGCAGGCATTGGTAAATCACTCGATGTTGTATCACATTAGCCAATATTTTCAAGATCTTTTTATCTAAATAAGTTACGTTGCGGCCATCGCTCTCGAAGTCCGCCAATTCCCTGGGGCGCCCCCGGTCTTGAGGTTCAATTTTAAAAACGGCACGGACGACGACGATTTCAAGACGTACGGTTCGTCTTGTATCCCGCACGGCTTTGAACAGTGCACACGCACTACAGCTGTATTACTTCATGAACGTCAGGATACGTACATCCGAGAGGATTTTACAAACGAGTGAAATACTATTCAAAATAGCTTGTGTCCAAGCTCACTGTACAGGACTTTCGCCGTTCCCCCGCTGGAGAAATACCATCATAAATGTAATCAGAGTCATACTCCTCACTTGAGACTTCACAAGAGGTTCCTTGCTCCTGTTCAAGACGGCTGCCGATCTGATTATACTCTGTCAGCCACCCATTCCTTCCCGACCACACCACATCTTGACCTTGAGCATCGGCGGGAGTCAATGGACCAATCTCCGCAAGTACGGTTCGGAGAAGATAGCGTTCGTTCTTCTTGATATGAATGGTTTCGTCGCAATCCTGCGGCTCAATTGGCTGGCCGGCCTCGAGAGATGGGCGGACAAGCTCGAGTTGTTTTTTGAGTTTCGTAAGGTCCTGTGAACCTTTGAGATGCCAACATATTGGACGAAGTCCTTCCTTCTGTTTACAGTCAGATACAAGCAGCACAAATGGTGACATCTACTGACCGGCATAAGATAGGGATCTATGGAAACGGTGAGTGTTACACAGGTATTGTAGATGTATGTGTCTGCAAGGGTCCACTTGGGTTCGACTTCTGGGGTGCGGGGATCACTGCCGAGCATAGATGCCTCCAGGGGTATGAATCGGCGTCGCATATGTTCTGGAAATTCGTGCAGGCCCGACCTTCGTAACATGAGAGGGTAAACCGACAGTGTCATCCCCTTTCTTCCTTTGCGGACGACAATGTCGCGCTCCACCGATGCGACGATGGCTGGTCTGTAAGGAAATTTCCACTTTTCATCAGCCATTGATGGAGGCTGCCAGAAGCTAGTATCCGTATTGACACTACTGAAGCGTCCGCTGAATTGAATGGTAGGCGGACCAAGGAGTTTGAGCTTGATGAAATCACCAGGGCGGATCGAATCAAGTAGCCTAAGCGTACTCTCTGCCACTGCTTGTGCAGGGCGGGCCTTCTTCGCGATCGGGGGTGCAAAATCTGAGAGAGGTTTGAGTGACTTGACACAGGTATCATACATAAGGTACCTTCGGTATCAGCGGCTGGGGACCAGTCAAAAGGTTCATCCGGAGAATACCCACGACGCTTCATGTCATCCATAAAGGCCGCCTGTAGACCGTCATAATCGGGTTCCTCATCAAACTTGAGTTGTCGCGCATGAGAAAGAAGGACTTTGAATGCATTGGGAATGTCGGCACAGAGTCTTTCGGGAGTCCAAGATCGTTTCTTTTCTCTGACCCTGTCCTCGAACTGCTTCGGGCTTCCGCCTATAACATTTCCCCATGGCAGGTCTCGCAAGCAATCGAGAAGGGAATATGCCAGGCATTCAATGTCATCACGCCGTGTCTGTGCTTTAGCAAAAGATGAATATACTTGACTATGAGTACTTGCTGAACCTCAACGACCCACCGATTCCGAAATGAGTATTGAGACTCGTGTAACGAACAGTGCCAACAATTGACTTCCCGTCAAGAAATGGGATATGGGCACCGTTTCGAGGATTTCTATACCGTCTAGCAATACCGAAGTCAACGATGTAAACACTAGTTTCGTTGTCTTTTGCTCCCAACAGCAAGTTTCCGGGTTTTATATCTCTGTGGACAAAGTCTTTGGAATGGATATACCGAATGGTCGGAATCTGACAGGAGATGCGAGATCAGAGAGAAACGGTGCAGAAGTCGAGAACACAAACGAGTCGAGTGGCTAATAGCAAGGTGGTCTTGATGCTAAACCGACCTCCGCACTTTTTACGCATGAACTGGAGATCAGCGCCCAATAGATCAAGGACCAGAGCTTTTGAGTGACTTGGTTTGTCGTAGCCATAATCTAACACGCGAGGGATCCGCGGAGAAACATTGACATCAGCCAAGATCAGCAAGACGTTAGCTTCATGTTCTGAAGGAGGTCGGTTTTTTTTTTTTTTTCGAAGCACGCTCGAGCTTTACCGCATATTGCGCTGAGGATTCAAGCACATCTGTTGCCCGATAAACCCGTCCTAAAATGACGGTTCCGAATGTCAGAAAAGCGACGACGTGTGTGAGTAAGAAAGATTACCGTAAGCTCCCGCTCCTAAACGTTCCAGAGCATGATATTTGCCAAGAATCGGAGAGTTCGAAGGTGCAATGTCAGTTTAATGCCGACGTCGTTGCTGGCATGAATTTAAGCACTGGAATCACTTTGAGCTCATTCGACGACAACAGGACCCCGGTCAATAGCAGAAACGGTCTGGTCCCGATCCGGACAAAAAATTTGGATTTTTGCAAATCGGCCGGGAGCCAGTCCGGACAGAAAGTGACCAAACGTTGAAACTAGCCAGAACCCCAGCCCGGACAGGATTGCTCAGGGCACATACACCCTCAGGCAGCAATCCGGACAGAAGGTCTCTTAGCTGAGTCGTGAAGCGCGCGATATGGCGTGTGTCGTCATAATGGCGGGTTCCAGGGGTAAGGAGGCATTTTGTAGGCCTCTGCGCCAAATCAAACTCCGCCAGGGAAAAGCAGTTGTTCACTTTCCGCCGAAAACCTTATTCTTAAAAAGGAGCGATATCATGTGATGCCGGAAACAAGGCGCGGTCGCGAACTCGCGGAAGTTACTAAGTCCTTGGTTTTATATTTCAGGAGGGAATTGCTCAATGGACAGAATATATAGTAAATGCACCCTAAGTTCTATGATGCCAACTAAAGCAAAGCCGTATATATTGATACTAATACACCTTTTGGGACAGTGGGTAAGTAATCAGTGGCAACTAACAATCGCGCCCACCTGGAGGTGTCGTTTCGCGCCCCGCCATCTGCATCCCGCCCTGAAATCTACCCCGTATGTTTGTCGTTGGTGTGGGACTCGCGCGGATGAGAGTTGCGTCAGGCGCTTGCAGATGAGCGATGATGTGAGGAGCGAAGCTCCGTGTCGTGGGTCGCTTGGATATTCCCCCGCCCTGAAATCCACCCGAGGGATGTTTGCCGTTGGCGTCGGGCTCGTGCGGATGGGGCCATGCCTAAGTGGTGTCATGCTCGTAGGCCGTGGCTTGCTTGTGCTTCACCGTTGGCGGCTTTCATTGTACTGTCGGCGCCGGGCACTTGTCGTCGTTGGGCTCACCTTCGTGCCCTCGCTGGGTGTGCTTTGTGTGGTCGGGGCGGTATTTCCGTTTGTGATACCAACGCCGGAGTGGTCTTGAGTTGCAGGGCTTGCGACATTGGCGGGGGAGTTTGAGAGCTGGTGGCAGAAAGATCATTTGTTTGTTTCGCGTCGTGTTTCCCCAGGTCATGTGACGTTTTACCATTTCGAGCAATAAGGTTTTCGGCGGAATCTCAAAAGTGGGGAAAAGCTCAGCGCCGCTGAGCCTTTTCCCCCTTGAGCTCCGCTCACCCCTCGAGCTCTGCTCACCTACCATGGGCTTCGACACCGATCCCTGACTCAGTGCCAAAGTTTGGCAGATGCTGAGTTAGGAGAAGTCATTGGTGTCGTTTCCCTCTCCTGTGCTGGCTCCCTCTCCTTCAGACCACTACCATCCAGCACAGGTAAGCGCTCCGCGCTCTCTATCTTTATGCGCCGCATACTCACACGAATGAGCAGTGATTCTCTTCCTAGGCTCCGCCTATCGTTTACTACAAACGCGCTCTAATCACTTCTCATTTGGTGAGGCATCTATTCTATTGAGCTTCGTTCACTTTCTTACATTCCCTCTGGTTCAGACTTCGTTTGCCAGATTTGTAAGAAGTATCGAAATACCTTCTCCAGCTCAATACTCACGTATCGTGCCTCTCACAGATTCTCTCTTTGGCTAACTGCTCGCTTCCCTCGCCATCCAACCTCCTTTCTCCAAGTGACACCGTGCCATTCGACCTCTTCATCCAGCATCCCCTTCTCAATGACCGATGTTAGTGCTGAGGCAACTCGGCAGCGTGCTCAAGGCTTCGAGGTCATCGTCTCCGACGTCGTCGAAGGACGGTTACCCCTTTCGGACTTTGCAAAACATCTTCAAGACGCAGGCGCGTCCCCAGCCGAAGGGGAGGACTACCTTCAACAGCTTACCCAACGACTGGATCAGCAAAGGAAGGATAGAGATGTTGAGGGACAGCCAGATGCCCAGTCTGGGGAACAAGTGGTCCGGGAATCGACTCCTGAAGGCCTTGACGAAGCTCAGGCAGTCGAGTTTCGCGCTCGGCGTGAAGCACTCCTTGAGGAGGTACGCAACCGAGAGGCAGCTGATCGCCGTACAGCAGTCGACACCGCTGCGTGGGCCGTTCTCAACGCCAAGCTCTCTCGTTTGGCGGGCTCACAAGCTTCAGATGAGACTACGACCCTTCTCTCGACGGACGATCTCGCTAAACTGCTCGGGGTCGAACGTTCAACCTCTCAGTCACTACCTGCTACTGTTCTCGCCCTTGCCCCGCATTTGGCTGAACTCTCGACGTCCACTATATCCGATCCCCACATTGAGGAGACTTGGAAGCTTCGGCAGGCAATCGGAACGGACAAGACCATCGACTCTCTCGTCAACCTTATGCAGGTGCAACCGCTCATCGATCCCATCCCTCGCTCCATCTGGCGTCTGGTCATCCAAGATCACTTTGTCGACTTTGAAAAGCTCTTCGCTTCGATGGACAAAGGGTATGACCACAACGACGAACCTCGCGACTTCGGTGGAGGTTACGCACTCATCAAGAAGGAGCAAGCATCAGCCAAGCGCCCTCTTCGCTCTGAGTCCGAATGGGCTCGAGTCTTCGGAGCTTGGAGCTCAGCTGTCGTGCTGGTCTATCGCCACCGCTCTTCAGAGCTTCAAGGGTATCAGCGGATGGTCACTGATTTGTTTCGCGCAGTGCCTCACGATCCATCGATCGCCATTGCTTTTGATGTTGAAGCTCGGGATCGCTACGCAAAGAGTCCTTTCCGTATGGATGATCGTACTCAACTTAACGTGCCGCTTTTGGCGCGTATGTTTCAAGGTTCTAGCCCGTCTTCCAAGAAGCGCAGTAACCCAGTGGCTTCGTCGAGCTCTCCCTCGAAGCGCTCGTCAACTCCTTGCCGAAATTGGAACATGGGCATCTGCGAAGCCCCTTGCCCGAATGGGCGCAGGCATGGCATTTGCTGTGAGTGCGAAGGTCAACACCGAGCAAAGGACGAACCTGTCTGCGACACTCTCCTCCAAGCTCGACAAAGAAAAGGAGCTGGCGGAAGCTACTCAGAGAGCAGCAAAGGCAAAGGAAGGGCCTAGATCTATCAATTCGGGGCTGAAGCGAAAGCTGGATACCCCACTCATAGATGTACCCCGCTTTCGACGACGTTATGTATGGTCTGATTCAACTAATAAACATCTATCCCCTGCTGCCCTTTACACTGAATCTGCTCCCCCTCTTCCTTCGCCACCCTCTCATCTCTTGCAAGATCCAAAAATTCAGGCGTCCCTCCTCACCATGAAAGACCAGATCAAAGTCGAAACACCTTTCGATGTCGACAAACTTGAGTCTATGCTCACTGATCACCCGAATCAACCCTTTGTCCAATCGGTCATGACTGGCCTTCGGGAAGGATTTTGGCCTCTCGATGACGGTGAATGGAAGGTCGAACTTGAAGAAGTCATCGACAACTACTCAACAGATGAAGGCGATCTGGACGCTATCCGCAACTTTCGAGATAAAGAAAGATTGGCTGGTCGTTGGTCTGACGAGCTCCCGAACTCTGAACTTTTACCTGGGATGAAAGTGTCCCCCATGTTTGTTGTTTGGCAAAACGGCAAAGCTCGCGTTGTCACCGACCACTCAAGCTCAGGGATAAACGATGGCATCCCAAAATCTGAAGCTAAAGTCCGCTACGACGACATGCATCCTTTTGGGCAATCCCTTCGTGATGCCCACACAGACAACCCTGGACGACGCATCATAACCTTCAAATCAGACGTCGCATCTGCATTTCTCAACTTGCCAGCACATCCTCTATGGCAACTTCGGCAGGTCGTTGTAGTCGAAGGAAAACTCTACATCGTCCGTCGTCTTGTATTTGGCAACCGCGCATCACCACGTTGCTGGTGCGCCATCTCAGGGCTTTTATGCTGGCTGGCCATTCGCAAACTGGGCATTTTTAGCCTTCATGTCTACATGGACGACTTTTTTGGTTGGGATTTCGAAGACAACCTTATCACATACCATGGAAAGCTTCGTCCTCGCCAACAAGTCCAACTACTCCTGTTCTGGGAGGCAATCCGATGTCCTTTTGAAGACAAAAAGCAGGAGCATGGAAGTGTCTTGAAAATAATCGGCTTCTGGGTCGATGCAAATCAAGGTTCTCTTTCTCTCCCTCCAAGCTCCCTCACTGACATCGTCGAGAAAATCAACACCTTCCTATCCACTCCCAACCGCAAGCCCCTCCTACGTGAATGGCAACGGCTGGCTGGTCACCTCAACTGGCTCCTAAATGTCCTCCCATGGGCTCGCCCCGCCCTATCAGCCTTATACCACAAGACCAGTGGCAAATCTCGCCCTCTTGGCGCTGTACACCTGAACGCGGAAGTCATTTCAGATCTGACCTGGCTCGTCAGTATCATCCCAAAAGCAGTCGGTGTTCGCTTCTTGGATGATGGTATCTGGGATGACGCTGCAGCTGACTTGGAGGTTTGGACTGATGCCAGCCTTACCCTCAGGATGTCCTTTGTATATGGAAACCAGGGCTTCATGTATGGGATCAAGGAGTGTCCCCCTGGTTCAAAAATAGACATCTTCTTCCTGGAGATGGTGGCTATCATGTCAGCCATCCACCATGTCGCCTCGTTTCCTTCACCCCCTCGTCGTCTTCTCATTCATACTGACAGCCTGGACTCCGTCGCTATATTCAACAGCTTACGGGTCTCTGAAGCGTTGCACAATGGCCCACTAATGGCAATAGCGGGTATCATCATCGAATCAGGGATTGACCTTCGTGTTCGACACATCCCAGGAAAACAAAACATCCGAGCCGACCTCCTCTCACGTCTTTTGCTCGACGAATATCGCGCAAAATTCCCTCATGACCGCGTCCGCCTTTTCTCCCCACCACGGGACCTCCTGCCGGCGCGATGGAGGGGGTGCTTTTGAGTGCCCTGGGCGGGTCCAGGCCATCGCGCCGGACTCGCCCAACAATGAAGCTATCCGATCTTGACAGTCGGGTCCTTCATTTACAGGTCAATGCCATCGAAAAATCGACAGTTAAAGGCTATGCTACAGGAGCTCGGGACTACATCTCCTTCTGCATGGCCCATCACCTCTCCATTGAACCCACTCCTGAAACTTTAGCTCGTTACATCGCATACACCTCTCAATTCATTGCCTCTGGCCCAAAATATTTATCTGGGGTCAGACACTTCCTATCCGACTTATATCCTAACTTTGACGCTAACCGCGCTCACCCACTCGTCACCACAACCATCCGAGGATCCAAGAAAATCCGCGCCGACCCTGTCCGCCGCAAACTACCACTGCGTCCCACACACTTACAAACTTTTCTACTCATTGCCCGTGGCTCTGGCTCCTACGACGACCTCCTCTTCGCCACTATCCTCTCCTGCCTCTTCTATGCTTGCCATCGTTCAGGCGAATTGGTGCAAAAGAACTCAAAAGAACTTTTCGACTGGAGAAAGATCATCAAGCGCTCTTCGTTAAAGTTTTCTCAAGGGCGAGCTCAGTATCACCTCCCTTATCACAAGGGAGACCCATTTTATCGTGGTACTGATATCTTATTCTCACAACAGGAAGTTGCCGACCCCGTCGCACTTCTTCAAGAGTACGTCGATCGACGTGATTCGGTTCATAACGCACGCCTGGCTCTCTTTCTACGCGAGGATGGTTCCCACCCCACTCGATCTTGGTTCGACGCCCGCTTCTTTGCAGTACTCAATCGAGAATTTGGGGGACACTCACCTCGTGCAGGCGGCGCCACTTTCTATGCCAGCCTCGGCCTATCTGAAGATGTAATCCAAGCCCTCGGCCGGTGGTCTTCTCAAGCATGGAAGATCTACATAAGGGACAACCCCACCGTTCGTGCCGAACAGCAGCTGGCCGCCATCGGACTCCGTCTAAGGCGCCGTTGACAATTTTTTCTCTAAGCTGCCCGCTTCCATCATCTCTCACCACCACCACCCCACATCAACATCAACACCACATCAATAGCCTACACTCCCCAGCCTAAAAAATTTTGGGGCTCGCCTTGCTTCGGCGACCCCTTGTTGCTGCTATCTTCACCTCGTGATCTCCATCTTTGAACAGCGCAGCAGAGGTCGTCATAATGGCGGGTTCCAGGGGTAAGGAGGCATTTTGTAGGCCTCTGCGCCAAATCAAACTCCGCCAGGGAAAAGCTCAGCGCCGCTGAGCCTTTTCCCCCTTGAGCTCCGCTCACCCCTCGAGCTCTGCTCACCTACCATGGGCTTCGACACCGATCCCTGACTCAGTGCCAAAGTTTGGCAGATGCTGAGTTAGGAGAAGTCATTGGTGTCGTTTCCCTCTCCTGTGCTGGCTCCCTCTCCTTCAGACCACTACCATCCAGCACAGGTAAGCGCTCCGCGCTCTCTATCTTTATGCGCCGCATACTCACACGAATGAGCAGTGATTCTCTTCCTAGGCTCCGCCTATCGTTTACTACAAACGCGCTCTAATCACTTCTCATTTGGTGAGGCATCTATTCTATTGAGCTTCGTTCACTTTCTTACATTCCCTCTGGTTCAGACTTCGTTTGCCAGATTTGTAAGAAGTATCGAAATACCTTCTCCAGCTCAATACTCATGTATCGTGCCTCTCACAGATTCTCTCTTTGGCCCTCCCTCCACTCCCTCTTTTTTCTTTTTTTCTTTCAATATGATCTATATTATTTTGTACTTGTATTCTTTTTTTATTGTCTAGTCTAAGTAGCCTACACTCCCCAGCCTAAAAAATTTTGGGGCTCGCCTTGCTTCGGCGACCCCTTGTTGCTGCTATCTTCACCTCGTGATCTCCATCTTTGAACAGCGCAGCAGAGGCCACTCTTCCCTGAGAATGGGTGTTCGATCCTTGCACTAAACATTTTGTGCACTTTCCTTACTTTTCACGTGTTTTTGTAGTTGTTATGCTCAATAAGCCCGGATAGCCTGTCAGCCATTCCAGGAACCTCATGGACTTTGTAGATAGATCGAGAATACTGATTCTTGTCTGTTGAAGCTCTGGGGGCGTCTCTGGACTCTTTGCGCCTACCTGGGCCGATTTTTACGCCCTGGAATGGCTAGATCTGCAAATCCGGACGAAATTTTGCCGAAAAACCCCTAGATCCACCAACCCGGACAAATTTACAAAATTTGAGGTAGGCCGGGTACAATCCGGACAGAAACTGCGAAATGGCGTCCGGACAAAACCCCCATTTTCGGGATCAGACCGTTTCTGCTATTGACCGGGGTCCTACGACAACGTTAACAAAGAGTACCAAATAGTTGATTCCGTGATGAGTAAGCTTGAGCTAAGTATAGGGCAAGTATAGGGTCACTTTTGAGTTTCCGCCTCAAACTCTAATCCCAAAACGGGAAGCCACGCAGAAACCAAACAAACCGATGTTTGGTTGTGATTTCGTGCTTGCCCCTGTCACCCTCCATGGTTCCAACGGTTCCAACTCGATGACGAATATTTACAGGAGCTCGCCAGCCTCATCCCCTACACGACCTCCACTGTAAAGTTATATCTTTGTCTTTCCCATATTCACTACTGCTACTAACGAGTTGCTTTCGGCCACAGATCATATTACAACAAATGAACATAATCCTTGCAACAAGAACCCGCCGCCTCGAATAACAAAACGCTAGCCCTTGACTATCATGCAACTTCGTAGAATGAAGCACTCGGAAGGGCGATACAGCGCGGGCGGCGTTTTGCCTCGGGCGGTGGGTTGCGAGCCTGAGGAAGCGTCGAGCGTTGAAGGGAAGCGGCTCGTGGAATGCTGAAGTGAAGGGCGAGATTCAGTAGGGCAGCTGAATGCACAACTGTAGGTGTGTTTTCTATGAGCTTCTTAGATCAACGTTCCAAGGCGGCGTCGACGGCCCTTGTACTTGTTATGAATGATACATCATGTCTACTTTGGTTGCAAGCAGAATACTAGACTTCCTGCTTGAAAATGTTGTCCCTCTTCTCCTTTTGAGCACATTTGAAAGGCTTCAGGAAAATATAATAGGTTGTATTCCAATAAACCCAGTGCTGAGCCACAGGACTTCGACAAAATCGCTGAGGCTGGCGTGTTTCTAAAAATAAGGCGACTTCCCATTTTGGGATTAAGGTTTGAGGTGGAAAGTGAACAAGCGACATCAATTCGGAGGTTGAAATTTTACACCATGTGAGAACTCAGCGGCCTTAGCCATCAGATCACTTTGAAATTTTGAGAGTCCGCCCTGTGCATGTGTCGATCTGGCAGCTGGCTTGGCCTATCGTTCTGCATTCAGCTGTAATATTTAACCCATGTTTCCCCGTTATCCCCAGCAGACATATAAATAAGCCAGGGCCGCAGTGATAGGCCGATGTGACGAGTTGTTGAACCGTGATCGTGATTGAATCTTACATAACACAGTACCATAATAATAAATTATACTATAAATACTGTACAGGGGCATACTTCTATTACTCTCCTCAGTGAACTTCTACCACTCGGCTGAGGTGAGTATTGTACCCCGCCGTTCTTTCACTATTAGTACTTACCCCCATATCTCTCATAGGATATTCTAGGTACAGTACTAATGTTAGTTGTTCTACCACTCGGCTGAGGATATTTTAGTCTACTTTCAACACAAGTGACTGAACAGTCGGTCCAAATACCACAGTAAAGTCGATCTGAACTTAGACAAGCCATTAACCTCTCAAATCATTATCCCTCAATCACCATCTCTCCATGGATTCCATTACCTATTCTCGCGGTGATGTCGTGTTTGCGATCCCTCCAAAAAACAACAACGATGGCATTCCTATTACGAAGACGAGGAGTGGCAATATTGGCGGACATCCTATCATAGTTCTTAGTGCCGATGCCTCCGCTAAAACCATCAAGGGTGTCATGGTGCAGATGTTCGATGATTGTCTCAACCTCACCGCTGTGACCGGCTTGGATGCCACCCTACACAAGTGGTTCCTCCCAGTCACTCCGGCGACAAAAGAGTCTATCCATGAACCAATCCCCACTCGTCCTGGCAGCGCCGGCAAGGCAGAATGGGTGAATCTCAAAGATATCCTTCCAATTCCAGAAAATAAAATTGTTTGTATTGGATTCAGTTTTGCTTGTTCGAGCACTAAGTGATCATTCTCTCGCAGAGAAAGGTTCTGGGAAACGTACCTGCTAGTACGGTCACCGCCATCAAAGCTGCCATTGTCGAGGCCAGAAAATGAGAGCTGAACAGTGAATCACCTTCGAATGTCAATTGATCACTGGCATTGTTATAGCCTCAGGCATTGTGTTATAATTCATGTTGTTTTGTAATTGTATCTCGAGTAATGAATCCATCTTTGGTGCTTCGAATCAGATATCAGTCCTTCAATATATTGTTTTCATTTTCTACCTTGGAACCACAGCCCGAATAAGTAAATCCAATACACAGGATCACCGTAATCCCCTTTGTGTCAAAGCCATCGACACCGGCCTAAGTGAACAAGAGATGAAATACAATTCGGTATGCGTACAAAAAATTACAAAAGGGTATGGAAAGCATCGAAAGTAATGAAAAACATGGAAAGAGAGAGATAGAACTTCTATGCAGCTACACTAACTGGGAAAAAAGAATGTCTGGTCATTTTTTGGACAAAGTTGGTGCTGTAACACAAGAACCAAACATTTTCAGAACTAAGCTCTGGTATATGAGACATAGCTAAGGAGGTGTAGATTGTACATACCAAGTCTGGGGATGAATGAATGAAAACTCAGGATAAGGCAGAGCATTCACTGTGACAACTTCCAAAAATGGGATTTGACAAAATAGGAAATTCTGAATGACTGCAACCTACTGAAAGCAATTCACAACTTGAGGAAGAGATATTTTGAACACTGAATCTCCTTGCTATTGTTATGAGCTTCATAAAGTCTTTGGGCTAGAAAATTTATATCCTCCCCTAAAAGGTAAATTTGAACTTGTTCTCCACTTTATGTATTTTTCACTCAATATATTTGTTGGAATGAGGAAAAATGACTCCCTATTAATGTTTGTAGTGTGTATAATACAAAAGGTAGGTAGAAATGTTAAAATGACCATTGCATGATGTCTGTAGAAGTTAATTTCCAGAGTTTTTCTGAAAGTAAACAAGTATCTACAACATTGGTCCTTCTTTTCTGCAAGAAGAAAAAATGCTACCACCCTTTTGAGTTAATCCATGGAGACTCAGGATGTCCTTTAAACAACACCTGAAGTATAATATGATAGCAAATAAATTTACACTGGGTATAACTTGAATAGTCCCCAAGAAAAGTACATTTTGCATAGAGCAATCGTCCTGGACCAATCCTTGACATTTTTCTTGGTGAATTGGGGCTGAAAATATTTCACAAGGCACTTCTCATACCTAGGAACACTATCCCAAGGAAATAAACAGAGGTCCAATTCATACAAGGATCTGAGACCCCCAGACCTTTCTAGGCCTGATTTGGAAATCTCTCTGTCATGCTTCAGCAAGCTTTGTGGGCCATTTGAGAAGCATCTGTGCCCAAAACTCAAGAGATAGGTAGAAGCACTTGGCATGGACATTTCACAACACCCATATTAACTGTAACCCCTTGGAAGCAGGGTTTCTGGGAGCCATATTGACTATATGTCTCTTAATTTTCACAGTTTCTTGAAGTTTTATTAGCCATTAAATGCTTTATTCCTGGCAATGTGGTCAAATCAGATCATGGAACAGTAATAGTTATGTATATGTACAATACTATGACAATAGATACCTTCTCCTATCAATCCTGGGCAATATTTGCAACTGCAAATGTCCAAGGAGGGGAATCAATTCAAATTCACTTTTTTGGGGAGACTATAGAATTTTATATCTCAGAGACTTTATGGGGCTTATGACAATAGCAGGGAGATTGAGTGTTTAAAATATTTCTTCTTCAAATTGTGAATTGCTTCGAGTAGGTTGCAGTCATTCAGAATTTCCCAATTTGTCAAATCCCATTTTTGGAAGTTGTCACAGTGAATGCTCTGCCTTATCCTGAGTTTTCATTCATTCATCCCCAGACTTGGTATGTACAATCTACACCTCCTTAGCTATGTCTCATACACCATAGCTTAGTTCTGAAAATGTTTGGTTCTTGTGTTACAGCACCAACTTTGTCCAAAAAATGACCAGACATTCTTTTTTCCCAGTTAGTGTACCTTGAGAATAAACCGCCCTATCACCGCTTTACCTTTCTGTAGATTAGCCAGCGAGATGCGTTCGTCAGGTAGGTGAGCTTGGTCCTGAAGAGTTCTCAGCAATCGTGTTTGCAGCAGATACGGTCTGATGCCTACCAAACTTTGCCCCATGGGAAGATGCAAAGCATGACACCCAAACTCCTTTTCAAGGTAAGGAACGGAAGGGATGGACTAACAAAAGAAGAGGTCAATTGAATAGCTGTTATATGCAGAGTACAAGGGCATCTCACTCCTCCTTCCCGAATATGCAAGGGCTCGGATCCCCACTCCTCTTGAACGGCACTTTCGAGTGCGTTAAACCACGGATCATCGAGACGCCCAAGCCACCAGTCAGCTGTGTGTTCGACATTAACCTTAAAAAATTGGAATGAGCACCTTGATGACGAAGAACTCCGCAATGCATACCTGTAGAGCATTTGTAGAATGCAACTCGTTGAATGAAGCTGAAAGGTAATCGCAAAGAGATTTGACAATCGTATCCAGATCTTGATCCGGCACTATGCGCAGCGAGACCTGTGACTTCACAGTTCCGGGAATCACTGTTGCGTCTACAGAAAAGGTTAATACCAGTTCTCAGCAATGTAATTTGTCACTCACTCTTGGGTCCAGAAATCTCAATCGTGTGAACCGTTAACGAGGGCTCTCTCCAACGAGCGACAAAGGAAGATGCTTGTTTTTGCGTGACATCAGACAGTAACTTGTATAGTTGTTTCTCTTCCTCTGTTTCAGGTTGGACAGGGTCATCTTCATCAAATGTCATAGTATTTCAATAAGAAACCTGTGAATGAGTGTGCTCACAAAATCCTGGTATCTGAACTTGACGATGGTTGTCCGTGAGCGTGGCTAACAACTTCACCCTTAAGTTGATGAATCGAATCGAGTTCACTTTTCATGTTTTTTTAATGACTTACATGTCAATCATGGGCTCAGCAACGGCTCCTCCTTCGATGCTGGAGTGAAGGTCCAGTAGATTGCTTGTTATCTACCCAAAGAATTGTGAGATCTTGTATTTTTTGAGAAGGGATGCTCACCTCAAGCGCACAATGCATGACACCTCTCAATCCGTACGTGATACACGGCTGGTCCTCTGCAATCCATGTCGAGTTACTGACAAGAGGGTTAGGTGTGAGAATCTGAGCAGAGTCCTCTTGACCTGACCAAAATGGCATCAATATCCCCAAATAAATTCTGAAGCATGATCTTTTTAGTAGCTCATAAACTTGACTTCTGTGACATACCTTGTGTTTCTGAACAGTTTCACCGAATCCAGAACTGCCACATTCCTCTTCGCCTTCAATCAAGAGAACCAGGTCGATTTCCAGTGCCCGACGAGAAAGGAGGTCAGCAGCTGCACACGCGACAGCCATAATGGGTCCTTTGTTGTCGGTGACCCCTCTTCCGTATAAATAGCCATTGAGACCCGAAACCGTAAACGGATCTGAGTGCCATCTATCCAGAGGAGCGGAAATAATGTCGTAGTGGCTTAGAAATGCAATCAAGATGAGCGACGACGTGGCAAATTAGGGCGTAATTACGCATAAAACAGTACTCTTGTTTTTCGGTGTTCCCTGACTGAACCTTCAAAAGTACCCAGTACTATGGGGTTGTTCCCCTCGCCTGTTGGCAGCTATAAAAATGGTCAGTTCAACGAGACTAAAGAAGAGGTCTATACTGACAAGCGTAGAGTGGGCACCCAACTGAACCAAACACCTTTTAAGCCATATTGCTGCTTGCCTGCAATCCTCCTTGTGTAACGGGTCGCAGCTTACGCTTTGGATGGAAACAAATTTTGAGAGCGCATATGTAACTGTATCTTGAATGGGTTTGCCAATTTAGCTGGATGACACAGGAAGGGCGCTCACAAACCTGATGCTAAGCCAGGGTCAGCACGAAAGGTTGTGCTCTCGTCCCGTGTAATGGCAATTGAAGAAGCCCGTGTTCTAGGCGAAGTCACATCCCACACCTAATAGCCTTGGTTACGATGGATATAAGATATATGAGCAGGATGGCATGTTCACCTTGATGTGGTCGTCATTACCTCCCGTAATAAGACGGAAACCGCTGTTCGCCGCTTTACCTCTCCTGGTAATGGCAGACGAAAGGACAATGTCGTGATGTGCGTCCCAAGCTGCTGTGCAGTCAACCGATGCAGACCAATGCTGAGGTTAAAATCAGTGAGGTGTTCGGAAGTTCCAAAACAAACGTTGGTGTATCCACCTTCACCCATGCGTTGGCAGAGCATGTGTAAAGGTCCAAGTTTAATATTGACATCGATATAATGTTGCAGAGAATATCCTCCAGCAACAGCAATGGCTGCCCTCCCGTTCTTCCAGGCAGCCAGTGAGATTCCGAAGCTTATATTCGGAGGGCCAGGGGATAGGCTGGAGGATGGATAGAACCAGTCATCCTTTGCAAGCAACACCATGCCAACGAACGCTTTGAGCATTGAGATAGGTTGGCCAGCTCAACCAGATAGTACTCAAGGGTCTTGCGATCAGGTGTTTCAGTGTGAAAGGCCTGCTTCCAATTGGTAAGAATACCAAATTTGTTGTTGAACATCATATACTCGTAGGTTTGTTGGAGGGCATACACGGATTGTTCACTGAGGGTGTCATTCTCAGTGCGATGGAAGGCAGTGACGAGATTCACCAGGTCCGCAGCCCGCCAAGCCTTGTACTCAACCTGCACCAGCAGGGTTTAACACATACAACATACCAGTAACACCAGCGATGGTGAGTGGTTGGGCGCCAAAGACGGAGAAAATAAATGCTGCCATAAAGGATGACAGTAGAATTTCTGTTACGCCGTATTGTTCTGTGGTCTCTATTAAATCTAATGCGAAGGCAATTTCTGGGAGTACACTAAGGGGATAGAAATTCAAAGTCTGCGCTGAGCTGCGAGCGTGGAGAGGCGACTCACTTGGCAAAAAAAATCAGAGCTGTGGCTGGGATGATGCGGTAATTCCAGGCGTCAACCCAGTCACTCCAATACCAAGGTGCTCTTGCGCGAAAGTCTAAGATTATGCCCTTTCCAAGGCATCCAAACCAGGTTCGTAGTGTTGACCGTCGGTGTTCACCAGATTGTCGCCTTTCTTTCGTATGTGATAAAACTTTTGTCATGTTCTGCTGCACTTCAGCTTCTATGTGGCGGGAAAGTTCTAAGAAAGTAAAAGTTCGATTGAACTTTTGTAGGGTGTGGCTACTTGCTTGGCAAGGTCTAAGTATTACCACGGTCATAATTATGTAACCCGTCCTGCTGGCCCCCACATCTCTTTTATTGACGCCGAAACATTAGAGACCGCTCTAGACTACTGCCAAACCTAACCATACAAATTCATCGTACTGGCCCAGACTGGCCCCCAAGGTCATATATCCCTTTTATTGATGCCGAAACATTGAAGACCGCTCTAGACTGCTGCCAAACCTAATGAAGCAAATTCGCCATCCCCAGTTGCGGGGACTCAGATATTTCTGAGAAACTTACTCAATTCACTGACTTCAACAAATTTGCTCAAACTCTGCAACTTATGCTATATGCTCGTTAATTAAATAATGGGTTTTAGCCTACAGTGCTCAAGGGCTCTACCGTGAGATATAGTACACTTTTTTGCACTATAACCCTTTTGCATTTGTTGTTGTGCCAGATTTTTGACTACTTCCAATGGCTACAAGGAGTGAACTGTGCAAGCGGTTCGGTGACGAGCAGCCAATAAAAGATCACAAACTTACTCTGAAAAAAATTCATTTCATTTTTATGTCATCGCTGTAGCAGGCTTTGCGCCTGTACAGCTCAAGTACAGCTGTAGGACTCAGTGCTACAGACTTACAGTGTTTTTTTTATTTTTATCTTGCATGAAATGCAAGCAAGGTTTTTGTTGACATTGGAACAATGTCAAACTCTATGGTAAACCTCATAAACATTATGTCATGCTGAATTTGTGACACCAGCTCTCACTTGAGACAGGGCCTCTGCAAAGTGTTCTCGCATGGAAAAGGCGGGTCATGTAGTTTTGTAGCAGATAATCGATCCACCAAAGTGGATCTTCATTCATTCTTTGAGTGAGGGAGCTGGTCGCTATTGTTGTATGGATGTTGTGTGTGGGGGATGGTGGAGGTAAAGAGGTGCAAGCGAGGGAGCGAGGTGAGGTGTGTTTCAAGGTTGTTGGTAAGAATGAAAATGTAGAGATGCAAGTTGTTGCTCAGCGTGAATGGTGGGATTATCCCGAATGTATATTTTCCAGGCTTGTGATGACCATCGTCCGATGGCCTGTATTATTGACTCAGAAAGTCCGAGACTGGCATAGTATGTCGTGCTGCCTGCCCTTGCTGAATGGCCCCCAAAATCACAGTCAAGCAATGCAAAGAATTTTCTATCAAACCAAGATCGTGTTGGAACTGAGCTGTTTTCTCGAATGAAAAGGGCAGGGCAAGCGCCATGGAGACGATCATGGATTGAGACATATTCTCGGAGAAGGGATACAGGGTCGGCTATGTCATGCTGAGTGAATAAGATGTCTGTTCCATGATAAAAAGGATTGGCTTTGTGGTAAGGAAGTCGGAATTGAGCATGGTTTCCAAAGAAAGATAGGGAGGCATGTTTTATGACTTTTCACCAGTCCCACTGTAATTTGTCGTTATTCCATACTAATTCACCAGAGTGGTGGCATCCATAAAAGCAGCAGGACAATAAGGTGGCGAAAAGGAGGTTGTCGTATGATTTCGATACATGTGCCACATGGACAAAAGCCTCAAGATGAGATGTGCGAAGGGGTAGCTTGTGACGAACAGGATCAGTGCGGACTTTCTTTGAACCTTGAATTGTAGACTGTACTAATGGATGAACACAATGCACATCAAAATTGGGATAAATATCTTGTAGAAAGTGGTGAGTGCCTGTCAAGTATTTTGGTGTGGAAGCAATGAATTTCGATGTATAGGCGATATATCTGGCTAACATTTGGGGTGTAGGTGTTAAAGGAAGTGAGAATAGAAGGCAAAAATTAATGTAATCCCATGCACCTGTAGCATAACCTTTCGCTGTGCTAATTTCGATAGCACTAGTTTGTAGATGGAGGGTATGCTCATCAAGGGCAGCAAGAGACATTGGTGGGTGAACAGTCTTTGAACGAAAAGACTGTCTGCCCAGCGCGCCTAAAAGCACTGCCTCCATCACGCTGGCAGCAGATCTCGTGGTGGATCAAAAAGGTGGACGTGGGTGGTAGGAAATCGACATGAGAATTTGTTGAAGAGAAGGCAAGACAGCATGTCTGCCTTAATGTTTGATTTTCCGTCAATGTGATGGACTCAAATATCTATGCCAGAGCACAGAATGACATTTGCAATGGCAAGTAGGACACCATTGTGGATGGGCTCTGCAGCAGATAAGCTGCTGAGAACACCAACAGAATCAAGACTGTCAGTGAATAGTAAAAGATGTCAGGGAGGCACTTGGAAGTTGGCTGCAGTGTGGTGAATAGCAGAAAGGATACCAATCAGCTCAAGGAAAAAGATGTTGACTTTAATGTTTGGTGGAGGAGATTGTATCTGATAGATGAAGCCTTCTTGTTTGTAAATGAAAGCGATGGCTTGAGTGAGGCTTGTGTCCGTCCACATAACGATGTCTGCTTCAGCATCTGGTCACATTCCATCATCAATGAACCAGACTCCTATTGCTCTTGGGATTGTGTCAGCTAGCCAAGTGAGGTCAGTGTGAATGGTGCTATTGATAAAAATTTTGGGGTTTCGAATTTTGCCACTTGTTTTTCAGTATAACTCCATCAATGCTGGCTGACCCCATGGCAAGACATTGAGGACCCAGTTCAAGTGACCTCTGAGACGTTGCCAGTCAGATAGCCATGGTTGGCAGTCAGGTGTGTCAAGGAAATCATGTATTTTTGAGATGATGTCCATAATTGAATCTGGGGCAAGTGTGATTGTTCTGTGATTAATGTCAATGAAGAAACCGATAATTTTTAAGACTTCTCCATGGTCTTGCTTCTTATCTTTGAATGGGCATGAGATTTCATCCCAAAAGGTGAGAAGCTGAACTTGGTGGCAAGGATGCAACCAGCCATGGTAGAATACAAGATTGTCAGCAAAGTCCCAACCGAAAAAGTCATCCATATAGACGTGTAAGCCAGTTATGTTGAATTTTTGAATTGCTATCCAGCAGAGCAGACCGGATACTGCACACCAACAACGCAGAGAAGCACGATTACCAAAAACTAGGTGCTGCACAATGTGCAGCTTGTCGTCAACAATAACTACTTGATGTAATTGCCACAATGGGTGTGCTGGTAGATTCAGAAAGGCGGATGCTAAATCTGACTTAAATGTAACCAGATTGCATTGTGGGTTCAAGAAACGTGCATCATGAAGCGCTTGACCAAAGGGGTGCATGTCGTCATATCTGACATATCCTTCGGTTTTGGGAATTCCATTGTTTAGACCAGAACTTTTGTGGTCAGTAACTACACGAGGTTTCCCATGTTGCCAAACAATGAACATAGGTGATATTATCATTCCAGGGAGTAAGTTGGAGATAGGTAAAGGTGGAGACCATCAATCCGCATTGAGTTCTTTATCCTGCAAGCACCGAATAGCTTGAAGGTCTTCAGGCAAGAATGTAAAATTATTGGGGATGTCATGTTGCTGTTCTTTCCATTCACCTTCATCAAATGGCCAGAAACCATTGCAGAGACCTTTCATAACAGACTGTACAAAAGGTTGATTAGGGTGGTTGTAGAGTAAAGATTCCAATCTGTCGACATTAAAGGGTGTTTCAATCTTGATGAAGTCTTTCATATATTGAAGAGAAGTTTGTATTATTGGATCATTGACAAGATGATCAGGTGGTGATTGGAAAGGGGGGGCTGTTTCAGTGTACAAGGCAGAAGGTGACATTGGATTAGCATTATTATTGGACCATACATAACAATGACGAAAGCGTGGGGGTTCTATAATGGTGTCTGCAGTACGTTTGGAGGAGGATTTGGGAAAGGGCCTAGGCCCTGCTGCTGTTGCTGCTGCCACCTTCTGGGCGGCTAGAGCTAAATCCCTTTCTGCATTGAGCTTCGAGTGAAGCAAGGCATGCTTCCTGGTCTCTAGCTTGGTGTCCACCCCCGCATTCAGAACAAGTCCCATGCTTGCGCCTAAAAGCGCAGGGATCTGCACATAATCCAAGACTCCAATTTTGGCACGGAACAGCTGCTCGCTTTGACGAATTGTAGGTATGGTCTGTTGCATTACGTTTACGAACATTTGAGTAAGTAGAGGAACATTAAGTTGGCTGCAATCATCTATGTGATAAGGGCTGTGAGAATAGCAGTCACATGCTTTGACATCAAAGTCAATAGCGATGGATGGGTTGGATGGTGCCGCGTGAAAGAGGTCAATGACCATCTTGTGATAACCTTGGAGCTCCTGAGAGCGGTAAGGGTAAAGAAGACAGACACCCTCTTTCCATGCATGGAAGATTCTGCTCCAGTCTGCTTCATTTCGAATAGGCTTCCGAGCTGAGTAATGATCTTTCCTAACCAGCGAAAATCCACCTGCAAACTCCTTTGGCTCATCTTGGTGACTATACCCTCTGTCCATAGATGCATGGAGCTTCTCAAAATCAACATAAACATCTTGAATGATTTGCCTCCACAGGGTATGGAGAATTGGATCAACGAGAGGCTGGAGTTGCATGACGTCAATGATAGGGTCAATGGCTTTGTCAGAAGCGAACGTCTGGCGTAGCTTCCACATAGATTGGAGGTGCGAGTCAATGAAGATTTGGTCAGACAATGTGGACAGGTGGGGAGCCACTGATAGCACAGACGTTGGAATAGTGGATGGCGAAGAAGGAGAGTTGTCAAGGAGTTTGATGATTTCAGCAATAGGAAGAGGGGGTTCTCAGGAGTGTGTACTGGATTGGAGCTGGTTGAGTTTGGCTTGAAGAACTGCCCATGCGACATCATCTGAAATGTCCTTTGGATCATGCGACAATGCAGTTTGGTTTTCAAGGAGTTCCTGATGACGTTTTCTGAAGTTGATGACCTGTTCAGCCATGAGCCCATCAGGTGTAGATGATCGTGATGGATGTGAAGAGGTGTTCCTGGATTGTGAAGGTCAGGTAGATGATGTTGCAATGTGAGCTGTTGTTCCAGGTTGAGAAGGCTGCATCGACGATCCCTTGCTACCATGTTCTCCTTGTTGGTGGATCCTTTGCTCAAGTTGCAGGACGTAATCTCGAGCTTCCTCCAAGGACACCCCAATATCCTTGAGGTTTGACAAAAATTTGTTGAGAGGTGACTGTCCATGGACCACGTCGTCAATAAGCTTTTCACAAGTGGTGGTTTTCTGATTAATGGCATCAAAGGTTTCAGCATTGGACATGGTGCTTAGAAGATGATATGTAGATGGTGACGAATAGTCGCAAATGCCATGAAAACTGATCACTAGTCGCAGTGGGTAGGAGTAAAATCTTCATGAATTCTTGTTAGTGTGCATGGAAACTAGTCTTTCTGTGAAGCAGAGATAGGCAGTGCCTGTAGACTGGGCTGTTCCTGGTTCTGCTGAGAAGTCCAGGAGCTCACCCAGGGTTTAAAAACCTTCCCCTCATGCCATATCGCTTGACTCAATGTCACTATTCAATAGCGCTAAGTCATAGCAGCACGATGACAAGGCTGACAAGCAGATTGAGTTGTGCTGACTGACGCTGACAAATTTGGCAGAGCCAAATAAACTGATCACTAGTCGCAGTGGGTAGGAGTAAAATCTTCATGAATTCTCGTTAGCTTTATGTTTCTGTGAAGAAGATCGGCAGTGCCAAAGGAAGCCAGGACTCACTGTGCACAGAAACTAGTCTTTCTGTGAAGCAGAGATAGGCAGTGCCTGTAGACTAGAAATCCAAAGAGAGGTGAGCCTGGTCCTGGAGAGGAGTATTCGTCGTGCTTACCTGGGCTGTTCCTGGTTCTGCTGAGAAGTCCAGGAGCTCACCCAGGGTTTAAAAACCTTCCCCTCGTGCCATATCGCTTGACTCAGTGTTGCTATTCAATAGCGCTAAGTCATAACGGCACAATGACAAGGCTGACAAGCAGATTGAGTTGTGCTGACTGATGCTGACAAATTTGGCAGAGCCAAATTTGTGTGGTAAGCGAGAGCTGGGCCCAGAGGCCTCCAAAAAAGCTCCTTACCCCTGGAACCCGCTTTTATGTTGATCCAATGTTTGATCTAGGCAAAGGTACCTCCATAATTGTCGACATAAGTAGAATAATAAAGCTATTGTGCATCCCAAAAACATTGATTTACAAATAACCATATAGTGCACCTTAGGGCGCAAAACCCGATACCTGATTTTCTTAACCTCCAAACACCATTCATAGTTTTCAGTTGTCCATGGAACTGCAATTCAACGACAGATCTGTATTAACTCTCAATGTGACATTTAATCAATTCATATGTTCTACAAGAGGCTGATAATTACCAGTGGCAGCAGTCACTTGCAGAGCACTGATTCACTGAAAGTTCTGTTCAAGTTCCTGACAATACCACCCAGTCTAAGCTCTACTACTTATGAACAAAACATTCCACTAAGACATCCTCTGTAACGGCGTGCTAGTGTATGCTACCACCCTTCCTGCATGACCTAGGATCATCGTATTTACTTGTGTTTATTCTCCATTATATAGTGTCTTGTACATAACAATAGACTAACTTGAGGTCTTTATTGTCCTCCACTGATTCCTGCCGGAATCCGGGCAATTCCTGGAATTCCGGAGGAATCAAATTTGGCAGAGGGCCCTGCCAAATTGATCAAACCATTCCGGCGGAATTTTGATGGAATTCAAATTCCGCCAGAATGGTTCCAGGAATCACCCGGAAGGAATGATCCCGGAATGAGACGGAACGGAATTCCTGACGCCCAAATCGAGTGTCGGCGTTTGCCGACGCTTGATTTGGGCGTCATCAACAAACAACTCCCACTCTCTCAACCACCACCATCATCCACGACGCCAACCCACCTCGCGACACCGCCACGTCACCAACGGCCACCACGACGCACACAACGACGACGTCCGTCGTCGTTTCACCATGACCCCAACACAACACCACGGCCACGACACGGAAACGACGCCCCAACGCCACGTCACCAGCCTCAGTAAACGAGCGCGCCAACACGTTGCCACGTCGCTATCAGCGACGTGGTAACCAGACGACGAACGACGCAAGTCGTCGTTCGTCGTCATAGGTGAGCACCCCCCATCCCAAGCTCGTCCCACCCAGCCTGCTAACACCAGGCACACGACGAGGGACAACCACGTCAACGCACGACCACGACCACCACGCCCACAGACGACGACACGCCTCACCACGTCAACGGAGGGCCACGCCAACAAACGACACGCCCACGACGACACCACCACCACGTCAACGGGCGACGACCGCGTCAACGGACGCCCACGTCAACGGACGACGACGACGTCAACAGACGACGAGCACGTTAGTGGACGACGAGCGACCACCGCCACGTCAACGGACCACCGCCACGTCAACAGACGACGACGACGAAGCCAACGGACGACGACAACGCCAACGGATGACGACGCCAACGGCCGACGACGACAACGCCGCCAACAGACGACAACGCCAACGGACGACGTCGACGATGCCAATGGACGGCCACGTCAACGACGACGAGCGTGTCCCGCTCCACCACGTACACACGGCGACGAGTGTTGTCCCTCCCCCTTTTCTTTCCCTCCCCCCTTCCTCCTTTCCTTTTCCCTTCCCCTGTCCCTCCCCATTTCCATGTACCCCTTTCCTTTCTCCTCCCTCTTTCTCTGTCTGTCCCTCCTCATTTCCCTGTCCCTACTCCCTTCCTTTTCCCTATCACCCTTCCCCCTTCCCTTCCCTGTCCCTACACCCTTCCCCCTTCCTTTTCCCTGTCCCTACACCCTTCCCCCTACCTTTTCCCTCCCCCTTCCCTGCCCATCCCTTCCTTCCTCCACCCCCATTTATTTCTGCCCCCCTTCTCCCCCCCTTCCTTTAACTTAGAATACAGTAAAATAATCTTTGTGTACCACTTCAATATATTAGAATTTGAATCTATATAACTGTTCTAAGAAGAAACTTGTGAGGTTATTATAGGACAAGATATAATAATAAATTGGCTGACTACATTAGACTTACAATAAATATGATAGGCATGAAGTCACATAGACTTGGGTTTGGATGAACAACATGCAGAATCTAATGTCTCTGAATCTGATTGAAATAAATAAATCCATGTAGTAGTAAGTAACTAGTCGGATGCCTTATGCCCTTGTTTAGTAAAAGATTTAGTGCTACAATTCTATTTGTCTGACCTAAAGAAGGAGATTCAGGGTCCAAAATTAATTAACCAGAAGTCCTAGTGTTCAATTTCTGTTGATTCCAGTTGGATTCCTGTCGATTCCGGCCGGAATCTAGGGATTCCGCGGATTCCAGTAGGAATCAGTGGAGGAATGGAAAGTATTGACTAACTTTGCAACCACATTATACTTTACATGTGGATAGAGTCACCCCTTCTCTATATGGCTAGGCAGCCTTATGCCTCCCCTCCGGGATACAAGAGTCCTGCGCCGGGTGACCGCGCCCCAGTTCCTGGGTCACAGGATAAACTACATGTGGTACCACTTTGCGGCACCACGTTACGAACTCTTTCACGTGTACCACGAATATTCTCCACCGCCATCTCGCACTCACACCTTTGTCGAGAAGTCTCGATCAGCCCTTCGGTTTCACAATGGTGGGGGCACCGCGGACTTCATCAAGATGAAGTCCGTGAATGCATAGGCACGGAGAAACCACTTAAGGCAAGTTGGATCAACAGATCCTGTCAGCTCACGACAGTTTCCAGACTTTCTGTTTCCCAAGCAAACCTAAACTCTAACAAAGGCGAGAAAACCATTGACCACATCTCACATGACACTCCCACACCCTCGTTAGCGCGAATACCTGCTGCTCTCAAGGGCGACAATTCCACGTCTACCATACCCTCGCCAGCGCGAATACCTGCTGCTTTCGAGGGTAACAACTCGGCTACGACTGACAACGATTCTACACCTTCAATAACCGTGATGACATTAAAGAAACAATCTCTCCCAATCGACACGAGCTATGCCCACTGCAGTTGCATGAAAAGCTGCTGTTGTCAGGACTTCGAAAATCGGTATTTCCCCTCGCAGACAAGCTCAAGGGTGATATCCCCTGAAGAATTCCCATCTGATCATCACCCTAATCACCAATCGCCACCATTTAAACCAGGCATCTATAACGACTGCCACAAGATCAAATTCTACAAACCCAACCGCTCTACTAGTCACGAAATCATAGTGTCAATCAGGACCAGGAAAAAAGGGAATAACCCCATACTCTCGATAGCGCGGGGTCCCGCAGCTTCCAAGGGTGACTATGCTACTCGGTTGATTGACGATCCTCCATGTGCAATCACGCCGTATGAAGATGAGTCCCTTATCGATCTAGTCAGCCAATCCATCCCGCAAGGCTTGGTAGCGCGATCGCCTGCAGTTTTCGAGGGTAACCGCCCAGATATGAAGGATGACCGCTCCGTACCTCCCATACCTGTGATAGTGCGATTACCCATTGCTTTCGAGGGTAATCTCCCTGTTATAATGGGAGACAACTCTGTGCCTTCCTACCCCACCTCATCATCCTCCATATCCATGATAACACGAACATTTGCCATTTTGGAGAGTAACGACGTGGCCATGATGATCCATGACTCCTGACAACGTCGAAACGACCCCTCCCTTTCTACTCGAACTATGCCCGCAGTAGTTGCACGAGGAACCGCCATCTTCAGGTCCTTGAAAACCAGAATCCCCCCTCGCGGACAAGTCAGACAACTGTACTCCCTGAGAAATTTCCATTCTGTCAACATCCTATTGTCTACACGAGCCCTCAGTTGTGTGAAGATGAACCAACCATCGACCCGGCCAGCCAATCCACTCCGGAAACCTTGTTAGTGCGAAACTTCGCAGCTTTCGAGGGTGGCTATGTCACTTGGCTGATCGACGATGTCTCGACCTCGACCATTCTGTATAAAGACGAGCCTACTGTCGACCCAGCCCACCAGTCCACCTCAGAAACCCCTTTAGCGCGAAACCTCGCAGCTTTTGAGGGTGGCTACATCACTCAGCTGATCAACGACCCCGCGTCCTTGACCATTCTGTTTGAAGTCGAACCAATCATTCCCTTACCCTCAATAGCGTGAATAATCGCTGCTCCTGAGGGTAAATGTTCGGCTATGAGGAATGATGTCTCTATGCCTACCTTATCCATGTTAGCCAGTACACTCGTTACTTTTGAGAATGATGACTTAACCGTGATGGTCGTCGACCCTACTCCCTCATTAACCTCGTTAGCACATACGATTTCTGCTTCAAGGGGTGTCCACTCAAATATGATGAATAACCACTTTGTGCCTTCTATACCTGCGATAGCACGATTATACGCTGCTATCGAGGAAGGTAACTTAGTTAGGATGGACGTCTTCTCAACTTCCTCCTCACCTATGTCAGCAAGAATATCCGTCATTTCTGAAGGTTACAAAGTAGCTATGATGGACGATGGTTCAGTGCCTCCCATGCTCGCAATAGCCTTGTTACCAGTGGCTTTTGAGAGATACCACCTCCCTACGATGGATGATAGTTCCATCTATTCAACGACCACGGCATTGTCAAAGCGACTAAAGGATGAGTTCTTAATCTCTCTGGGACCATTGACCAGGGAAAGCATCTCGAAAAACCCCTCAAGGAGACCGACTCTCCTGTCTGACGTGAGCTATGTCAGCAACAGACGCACGAGAGACTACCACCTTCAATACCTTAGGAACAGGAAACCCCTAGTTCTGGCTACCTTAGTGGCCGTATCTCTCAAGGAAATTCCTCCCTGTCGACGCCCTCATCATCAACTACCACCACCTAAACCAGGCAGACGATGGCAGATCGCCTTGCTACCTTGCTCGATGAGTTCAATAGCCCCTTCTGTAGGAAATAACAAATCCCGTTGTAAATTCTGCCAGCACCTTAATCATCGATCATCATTACTCAACCTGGATGACTATCGGCAAAACTCTCAGCCGCCTCGCAAGGGGAGCCTGACAATCCCACCTGCTAGAGATGACAGTCTCACATCAGCGACTTGGAGAAAAGGAGGAAAAGGAGTAACAATAAGTAATGAATCTGATTCTCCCACTATTCCCTCCATGAGCGACAAGCTTTTACCGCTACTAAGTCCTGTGCAAACGGAACCCTTTCAACAAGACACTGCTGACTTTGAGGGCTTATCCATGAACTCCAATGCCCATCAAAACCTGAGCTGACTGCCTATGTCAAGTAAGGACTCGATTAAGGCAGTCGCTGATCAGAAGAGCACGGACTACCTTGGACCAATTGCTCCCGGCATTATGCTTGGAGAACCCTCCTCTGACAGCGCCGAACAGCTGGCTATTGGAGGCGTCACTACGCGATGTAGAATCAAGAGCGATAGGTTACCAGAGCCATCGTCTATTCAATTCAATTCAAGAAAACAAGTCAGAAATGGCCATGATAGAACATGAGGTCTTGACTGGGTTTCATGAGATCTTCTGGGACAGGGAGAATATTACTCCCGCTGATCGCACCCTCATAGCTGTGCCGAGGTCCGATCTTCTGGATCCCTATTCCAGGGCTAATGTAGCATTCAAAGGAACACTCCCCAAACCCTCTATCCCTCAGAACGAGAACCAAATATCCATGTCCAGTGAAAATGCTGCTACAATGCTCACTGCTCATCTGAGTGTGGACTACCTCGATCTGAAGACCCTCATCAGACTAGTTCAGAAATCTTACTCTACCAACTTTGACCAGTCCGCTTCCATAGATGCAGCTATATATGCCAGCAACATAAGAGGTGGATTTCAGGTGTCTTCGCCAAGTCGAACCGAAGAAGAAGTTGAGTCGGAAACAATGCCAGAAGAACGTGAGAGCATGGGGAGCCCCTATACAGACCTATGCAGACAAGACCCCACGTCCTGGTCGATGTGAAATTAGAAAGGATAAACTTGAACCCCATTACTGCACCAAGACTCAATTACTTGACAATCCCGAGCGAGGGTGTAATTAATCTACATGCAACCCTCGCTAGCACAAATGGCAGTAATTTCAGAACAACCGGCCATAGCAAGATTGATCAAAGGTCTCCAACTATGGGCGCAACATGGCTCACTGCCCCAAGACAAGAATCATGGGAATTGCTAGTAGACTTTGCTCAAATGACTACAGGGAACGAGGATAAGCAGATGACGATCGCTGAATTGAGGTTCAAAGATAATGAAACCCAGACCCCCTTTTCAAACCTAATTAAAGTGTCCAATGAGCCAGATAGTGCTCAAAGTGAGCTCGAGGGGTCATTTAAGTTTAGTGTCATGTTCCAGGAGGAGGGGGAGGCCAAGGACTTATCCTTCCTTACTGCCATGTCAACCGGATTAACCTTTGGACTCTTCAAGTTCACTGTGAACAATATTATTCTGATCCCTCTAAGCATGGCTAACCAAGACCTTATTGAGTACGAAGTCCGTACAAAGATTCTGACAAGACACAACAATATGAGTGTCTCTTATAAAGTTAAACATGACCTACTACTAGAACCCCCACAAGTAGCGGCGACTGTTGATCAAGCTTTACGAGTCCTAGCAGGATCCGTTTGGGACTACTGGACTACATCTTCGCGACTGTCAGCTTCCTTTGTGAGCCAAACTGGGCTCTTCGTGTCTTATCTGGTGTTACGACATTATCTGGCTGAAGTCTCTAATCATTCATTACAAGAAATTAGTGCGCTGTCACGGATGTATGGCATAAACACCATTCTAAGAGCTATCGGATTCTGCCAGCCCTTTAGAATTCCACGGCAAACCATCTCTGGTAATGGAATTACTGGGAAGGACACTAAGAAGCTCCCTGCAAGAACAAAATACTCCAACAAAATGAAGGACTCAACTGAGGAGGCTGCACTCCTGTGTAACCAAGCCCTTAGGAACCTCCGAATCTCGAGGGAACTTATCTCCCTTTGCCCTCACAGAACTCGGAATTGGCAGGGAGCTGAATCAGAAGCCACTAGAAAGCCATTAAACCCCACCGTGAAACTGAAGTCCATGTGAACCCCTACTCCGAGTGAAGGGCAAGGCACTAGGTGTACCTTGATACAGTTACTCGGGAAGGAGATGACAGGGGTACTTGTCGCAGGGATCCAATTAGTGGAATTGACAACCTCGATTGACGACATGAAGGCCATAACTCTTAGAGGTGACAAGGACAAGCTGAGGGTGCCCGCTGCATGCAGAACGTGCATAACAAGCCTTAAGACATGGATCAGCTATACCCATCCGCTGAAGGACAATCAACCATGCACTGTGCATGCTGTGGAAGTAGTTCCAATGAAGACTGGGGCTGGTCGGAAAGACTGTTCATCAGGCGAAGAAGCCGATAGTGAGAAGAAGCAAAACAACTTGAGACCCAGCCCCATACTACTACTCGGAAGTGACCACGTACCCTTAGACTCAAGAGAAGAGATGGCTGACACACTGCTCCCAGTGATGCCAGTGGAGACTGTAGCTTCCACTCCTACTTTTGGGAGAGATCAATTATATGAGCAATTCGTGAAGGAAACACCTTTGCCACCGGAATGCTCAAGGGAGAAACTCGCTGCTGCAAAGCACGAAATGCCCACTGCGAGTTCGTGCGAGGTCACTATTCAAGTCCCATCATTACCTGACTATCTTGAAGAAATGAAGAAAAGGGGTCATGATGAAAGGTGGACTAAGGAATTTGAGTCAAATAACATTCCAAAGACTTTCAAACCTTCCTTATCAAGGATAAGGAACCGATTACGTGAGTGGGAACGAGAACTCCCGCTGACCATTGAGAGTCGACCAACACCATCAGAAAGAAAATCCCAGAAAACTGGAGCTCATCGCATCGAAGCTAGGGTTAACAGTTTGAATTCAGACCTAGAATCAACCAAGACTTGGCTAAATTCTAGAGCTCCCGTCACATTCAACCTGGAAGAGTACCAGAAGTCTTCGGCAAATGTGCCTCATTTACAAGAAAGCACTAGAACGAGGCTATACTATCTGACAAGAGGAATCAAGGTTATAGGTTATGTCGAAACTGGGCTTTATGCTTCGAAGCGTAAAGGACTGACCATCATCCTCCAACCCGAATTCTATGTAGTAATGGATACAGTCACTTCCTTTTCGATAAGCGGACATTGAAACTGCATGCGCTATGGAGTGTGGTGAAATGTTGCTAGGTTGGCCCGTAGGGCGCGCAATACCTGCAGCCTCTACCCGAAACACCCTTAAAGGACCTGTTAGCGGAACGTCTTCTGTGACATTAACTTTCATTCACAAGAGAATTAAACTGCCCAAAGTTGGTAAGGAGAAACTCAGGAGAGTAACGACCTGGGAGGATGCCTCTAGTTGCTCCTACCACATGCAAGACACAACAGATCACGCGATACTTGATGGTCGAGATAATGGGATAGTAAAGAATACCATCATAGCCGAGGCTAGCCCTCTCCTGCAATGTGTAAGGGCAGCCGAAATGATTGAATTCCTACATGACCTCTGTCTCGTGAAAGCCAACAACTTAACTCTAAATGGAGGACATCTCAATGAGATAGTTGCTTCCACCAGTGCATTAAATTCGGTTATGCTGGTGTCAGTTCAAGTTCAAGGCTCAATGATCGCAAAGAATCAGATGGTAAATGTTCTGGAGCGTGATCACGATTTCAAGAATGATCATGGTGAATCACGAGAATCTAAGTCATTGGTGGCTTTGAAAGATTGGTTAAACAGTGTCAGCAATGAGACACCCCTACCTCTTGAGCCCGGAATTCCTGAGGAGTATCGAGAACAGTTGACCGAGAAACTGCGCAGAAATGCTGCAACTTTCGTAGTTAACTGTTACATAGGGCTCTTAGAAGCACGAACCCGTATGCCGCTGCTTTTTGAACCAAACTCTGAATCAAGGTACGGCTCCTCATCCATGAAGGGAGAAGTTGTCCCTCAACTAGACAAGACTCGGATAAAGACTGGAGTAATCAAACCATCCATCAACCCAAGAGGATTCTGAGTCAGGCCAGCGATCTTCCGAGCTAGGCCGGTGATGGTCGTCTGCCGAAATAGCAAGACTGGTCTTGTCATTGAAAACTGGAAGCCCAACACAAGACTCATGGACGAATTTCCAATACTTCACCAACCGAAAATCACATGAGCGATACCGAAGACACGAACTGTACTACTTCCCTTCAACGCCTTGGCAAAACTCGCTCGGCTAGCTTTGCGCTATCTGGTAAGACTACGATCATCCAGAAATTTACCATTGGGACTCCGGAATGGATTCATGCTCCCCAGGCTCCCTAGGATCATGCGAGGAATCCGGACCCTAATCCTGTTGTTCTTCGCATCAAGACTTCGCAAGAATCGGCTCGAAGTCAAACCATTGAATGGAGGGGGTGCTACTCTGGTTGTAACCACTGGACAAATAGAACAAGTGGGATACAAAGTCCTCAGCAGGAAAGAGGATCTCCTCTGATATGCTGCTCAACTAGTCCAAGCGCGAATAAATGCTAATTGTCGAGTAGCAGCATGGGGGGGCTGTGTTAACCGCTCTCCCAGACCTTAGGATTTTACTGGTCTGGAGCTCTATTGTTGATCCCCTCTCATGGCCATTACAATTCCTGCCACTCAACTCTCCGTCGCACAACAACGACAACTATCAATTGGCAGGCCGGGGGGCAACGTCCGACGATGACCCAGGTCATAGAATCATAAACTGAGCAGAACAAGAGGAACTCATAATCGATCATGCTGCCTTAATCCAGGCACGAGTTTGCAGAGACCCCATTCATCGAATGGCAGGATGGGGGGCGGTGCCTGCTGTCTACCCCAACCTTGGAACTGTACATTGAACAGCCACTAAACAACAGACTGTCCATGCTCACTGATGTCCCAAAATCGCACTTGATACCAAGTGCGATACTGTTCATGGAGCATGTTCGCAATTGGATTGTTATGAACTTGCTGAGAAACATGAACGGAAGAATCGTTATACAGACATGCCATACAAAGCTGACTGTGTTACGATTGTAATGTTAGAATTCAATACTCCCCCTAGGAACAGTGCTCGTAACCTTGCGAATTCTACTGCTACCCACCTGTCATGGGCCAATCTGACTGTGATGCCAAAACCTATGCCCCATGCAGTGCAATGGGAAAACATTCAAAAAAAGAAAGTCTTAAATAATTACACTCGAGGGGAGCTCGCAGCTGAAATGAAGCGTGAAGCCCTGGCAGAGACTATAAATATCTCTCTGTTCTCCAAGATGGACCTCTGGATTCACCAGATAGGAGCTAAACATTCCAAACCACCTCTAAATGAGGATTGCATGAGACAATCACGACTGCACGAATCAGTAGACCTGTTATACCACAAGAAACTTAAAGAAAGTTATAGGGTGATTGAGCTTAGTTTCACCCCTCAATACTCTAGGGCACTATCCCATATGAAAACCACAACTCCTGTGAACTATGTACTTTGTCGGACACAGGAATCCTTAAATGGGAGTGCTCGTACAGGATCCCGCTGCTGTACAGCGCGATTACCAGAATTGTTTTCCCATATACCTGAATTAGAAATTGACAGTGTATTCCATAGGATGCATAGATCCTCATATGGGAGAACTCATACAGGACCTTGCCGCCTTATGGCGCGACTACCAGAAGTGTTCTTCTGCCCCTATAAACATGAGAAAACAGGAGTTCTACCGCCCATGCATACTCCGCCACAAACCTTCCCAATAATGACAATAGTCATGTCGACTGTGTTGCCAGCTGTTCTAGGGATGCTCGAGACTATCATTGTAGATCAAGACAAACTTGAGGCTATGATAGTACAGGGGAAATTAAAATTCTCAAGCTGCTGTGACCTTGGGGGGCATGCAATTACTCACTGCCCACAAGCAGAGGGACAAGCAGAAATTTTCGATACCACTGAGAAGCAAACACTTTGCACTTGTGAATTCCCAATTAATAAAGGTCGAACAAGCGAGCTCCATGTCCTAGTCTATTCGTACAATAGCCGATCTAATTCAAGAGCATCAATGAGCCTAATAGCACCCAAGAGCCGACCCCCTCTCCGACCTTGCCTGCTTGGCCAACTTGTCGAAAGTCTTATCGAAGCCTTGATAACCCATCAAGACATCAATAGAAGTGTTATTGCCTCAATCCAAAACCGACTAGCTAACACCTTCATCAAAGGAAGACAACCAACTCAAGAGCCTGAAGATAGAAAGCATGCCCTATCTGACCTACACTTTCTCGAAGTTTTAGTCATTCAAATCTCTATCAAGGAAAAAGGAGCGTCGACAATCTCACCTGCTGCGGGCGACCTGCGCAATAGTCCCGGGTATGAACTGACCCATTATCGTCGGAGGAACACCAAGGCCCCACCCCCAGATCCTAGAAGAGTTTATGATGGTGATATCATCGAGTTAAACCAGCTAAGCCCAGTACTAGCCGACAAAAAGAAGGATATTCTGTGCCAAATTCATGGAAACTGCGATCCCTCTGGCACAGCAAAGGAAGTCTCAAGGAGTGCAGGAAATCATCCTGCTGTTCCCGCTCCTAAGTTTATCAGATCCTTACGAAGTTTCAAACAAGTCCCGTTAGCTGTTGATCGGATTACTCAGAACCAAGGAGGAATCTCATTCTGGTTGCCAGATCCCAGTGCAACGGTGAAAAGAATGGGTGGCCGTTACTTAGAGAGTCTCCTTCACACCATGATGCGAGAAGCTTGGTCCTGTGAGCGCGCACAACACGCTGCCTTAAAATTGACAAACACCCATGCAACAAGGATCGCCACAGCTCCCATTCACTGCATCCTGACTTTCAACAACTCAGGATGGATTCGACCCCAATCTGAGATCAGGTCCCCTCTGGTAAAGAAGGCAGAACTAGCCTGTCTTATGGAGTGATGGCGCAGATCCCCCCGCAAGAAATTCTGCCTGGATAGGCTGCTCCCAGAGGAGTCTGCTAAAGACTGTATCAATTGCCAACCGCATGCCCCATCCAATCAAGAGAACGGCTACCAAGCGCTGTCCCTCCAATCTCTCAACTTGAAGGTCCTCGATAAACATATAGTGGACTCTAATGAGAACGATCGACCACGATTTGAAGACACTTATGAGAGATCAATCTGGGAGTGGTGTATCCTACCTAGTTCAAGAAATTGTTCAGAGCTCGAATCTGCAGTAATAACGGAGGGAACTCCCTTTATCAAACCCAAGGAACCGCCCTTCTTGAAGCCCCTTCATCTAACCCCAGAAGACGATAGCGGCCACATCGACGATTGCTGTCTAAGTTCAAGTGATGCCAAGGAGACCATTGAAAACCACCCCAGGAGAATCAATGTTCCGATTAAGAGCATGGTAGATAGGCCAACCGCTCAAAATTCAGAACGAGAGTCTGCTGCCAATGGCACGAGTACGAGCACAGAAGCCCTAGTAACCGAAAGGACCCGGTCTGGCCATGTGGATCTTAACCCGGCCATGGTAACTTGCATGGCAAAGTCAAATCACAGGGCTTCACTGTGGGAAGAAGACTTTACTACTAAAATAGTGAACCCACGAACCTCCTTCACCGCACTCTTCAAGAACTCTAGAGTTCGAACAGAAGGGATCGCGACCACCAGCCTTCCTGAATTCGCTTCGTCAAAAGGCTCCTCATACTATGGAGCACTCCAGCGAGCAGGGGAATCCACCTCCAACCAGACTATAAAGCGGAAAATCAGGATAGAACTACTGGTACCAGGACCTTTTACTGGATATGGAGACTTTGCAAGAGCTCTCCGACGATCTAAGGGCATATTGTACTGTTCCGCTGATGTGGAACGGGGCCAGGGTTCATTCTACACATTCGTAACTGAACTTCCTAGGAATCGCTCACTAGCACGTAAACCTTATAATAAGGAGCAATTCTATTTGTGTATTGAATATCACCCATCTTCATCACTGGAGCTTCATTGATGCAACCAATATTCACTGCTTCGACCCAGCCCTTGGGACTCAGTTCGACACACGAATCCTCGAAAGCATTCTGCTTCATCATGCCATGAAAAACATCCACCTTATGGCTGCTTCAGATTGTCAATTGTTCTTCTTCCTCAGCAGACTTCTCACTTGTGGTTATTTAGTCGAATCTCCAGGACTGCTCGAGTTCTGCCCCGGCTACTAATCTCCCACATTCCGACTACCATGGAACTGTTGCCCCAATCCCCGCAGCCTTACGGCGCAAAGATTATCTGTATATGGTCCCCCTTGAAGGATACCCCAAGTCCTATACAACTGTGGAGCAATGCAACAATGTTGCTCTCCCTACTGCCACTCGCAAAATTGGCTCCTAGCGCTCTATCACCAACATGACAGCTTGCAACAAGTTACTGGGCCTACGTTAACCTTGAATAATCATCACCCTGATATTTCAAATGAAATCAAGCCCAGTCAGGATCACCGTTCGTGGCTAAGTTCCTTGTTACCCTCCCTTTGTTAGGACTGTACTATGATGTATCAGCCAGACTAAGAGCAGGTGATGCTGGTATTTCCCGGACTGTTTGGAGCGGTGAATCGATCAGTAGCACGAGTACGGCGAATGACTCCAAGATTGAAGAAAACCTTACCATTAGAATACCGGTTCAAGTGATCACCAATATGGTAAATCCAGATTATAGGAGCAGTGAGGAGTGTTCACCCCTATGGACGATGCTCCAATCTCATGGGGGGGCTTTGTAACAGTGTGCTAGTGTATGCTACCACCCTTCCTGAGTGACCTAGGATCATCGTATTTACCTGTGTTTATTCTCCATTATATAGTGTCTTGTACATAACAATAGACTAACTTTGCAACCACATTATACTTTACATGTGGACAGAGTCACCCCTTCTCTATACAGCTAGGCAGCCTTATGCCTCCCCTCCGGGATACAAGAGTCCTGCGCCAGGTGACCGCGCCCCAGTTCCTGGGTCACAGGATAAACTACACGTGGTACTGCTTTGCGGCACCACATTACGAACTCTTTCAAGTGTACCACGAATATTCTCCACCGCCATCTCGCACTCATGCCTTTGTTGAGAAGTCTCGATCAGCCCTTTGGTTTCACATCCTCCCTGCCTGTCGCCGAACTGCTTTGCAGTTCACTCCTCACAGGTCATCTCGCTGTTACAAACCAATGAACTGAGGATTACACAAAGAGCTGGGGTAAGTCACAGGGGGAGACCAAACAAGACCAAAATTGAGATTTTTTTTCCTTTTTGGGTTTGGAGGTGAAAGACCCTTACTAATGTATCAGGTATTTTCAAACTGATAAACAATAAGAACATCAGCCACATTGACTGGCTAAATCCGTTATTTTATCCTTCAACTAGTGTTGCCGCAAAGCAAATTGAATTGAATCAAAGTGGGGAAGTGTGCTGACTTCAATTCACTTCGTGCTGTCGAATCAAATCGAAGCGAAGTCAGACATCACCGAGGTTCATCAGCCAATCAGATCACTGGTATTCTCAAGCCTCAGCTGCACGAAGGTATTGTAGAGTACCTAGACTACAGAATACAATAAAAAATGCTATATATCTGAAGTACTGTCATCTTCTGAGTTCCATATCAGTTCACGAAGTTCCTCAATTTTTCCGGCCTTGTAGAGTTCATCAAATGCAGCCTCCGTGATTTGACCAGAGATAGTATAATCTTCTTCACGTGCAATGAGGTCATCCACGAAACTGAGCTGATTCTTTTTGTGTGAAAACTTGAGAACTTGTAACACTTCGAGTAGCTTGGGGCTAATGTGGTTACGTCACAGTGCACAGGTTTCCTTACTGGAAGAAAAAACCCATTCACAAGGTACTGCAGATGCTTGTGTGGGGAGAACATCCATGGTGACGGGGAAAAGCAACAGGTAAACATTATCTTTTATCTGTTAGATAGTCAGGTTGCATTTTAGTACAGAAAATAGTCCAAAAGACTCACATTCCAATATGAAACCATGTCAGACATCTTTCCTTCAAATTTCTTGAGTCCATCCTCTTCGTAGCGTTGGAGCTCATGCAACGCAACCCTCCAATCCTCAGCATCGGCACGTTCCTCCTCTGCTCGTTTTTCTTCCGCTGTCATTTCACATGGAATCATTGTTGGGGCTACTTCTGCGGCAGTTGGGGTTACTTCTGCAGCAGTCAGTGTAGATAACGATGGAGCAGTGAGGGAGCAGTGCACAGTGACATCAATGGAGCAGAGCCGTCCAGCCCCATGGTTCAGAGCGTTAGCGGCGGTCGTGCCTACTGAGAACGAGCAGTTGATTTGTGTGTATGTGGCTGACATCCACTGGTGTTTTTGGTACTTCACCATCTGTTGAGTAACAAGTTGATTAGCTATCATGCATTGGGTAAATCCTGTGATACACACTGATTCTAAGACCCATTGCCGCGCATTCTGGTAGTCCTCTTCCAATTGGTTCTTTTTAATCCAATCAAATTTCATGGCAGGATTTACAACTGACAAATTTTAAGTAAACGCCATATTATGAGAACGGAAAAAAGGTATGCACCCATGGCGTGAACATAAATACAAGTTTTGCGAGCTCTCCCAATGTATTCTTCAAGTTTCGTGATTCTGACATTGATGTAGTGCTGCAATTCAGGTATTGTCATCTGTAATCCCTTCCACTTCGTTAGAAGGTCTTCATATGCAGGAAGGGCCATGGAAAGCGAAGGTGTGAGCTCTCCAGAAAGGAGTTCTTGAGCAGTGTGAGGAATTTCGAGAATTTGGTGGATGTGGCAGAGTACATTGATCTCATTATCAGGCAATAGATGGCTGGAGAGATCAAATTGCAAGAGATCAAGAAGAAATGAACGGATGGCCTACAAAATAAAAAGAGTCAATCAACAATTCCATAATGAAAAAGGGGAGCACAACTCACTGGGTATAAGACAAGGCCGTGGTCCACCATCAAAAATGTTGACGACCATCGAGTTTCACAATCTCGGAGAAGATTGACTGGGCACAACTTATCTTGGCCATTTATAAGCTTTCCTTTCCAGTAGCCTGACTCATTACCATCTTCAATTATTTGCCTGAGGTGCCGACGGCGTTGTCCTGATGATCGACATGTGGCAACAAGACTTCTTTTTTTTCTGATTGGGTTGGCGAGGATTGCTTGCTTGTATGCAGGCCAACTGGAAGAAGACGTTGCTGCTGGTGGAGTGTTGAGATTTGGGCCTATTTGATTTCGCTTTTCTTGAACTCCTCAATTATGGCTTGACACACAATGTTTATTACATGCAGAAAACAATTAGAAATTTTTGGTCAGCTGCGTTCAAATTTCGTCTTTTGAGAATAAAAGTTACCAGATACAATTACCATCTCTGTCAAAGGGTATTTTTCGTTGAAGCATAAGAGCTTCCAAACCCTCCATCATAGTATTATTGTTTGATGCATTATCCATTGTAATAAGGCTGGTCTATATAAATTTTAGTACAAGAGAATTCAAATAGAAGATATGGTGAGAAACAGACCTTATGCACAACCCCAAGCCCATCTATGATTTTGAAAAAATGCATGGCAAGGTTTACCCCCGAGTGGGAACCTTCAATGTGCTGGAATGCTATCTATCAATCCACACTGATATTCAAGTTGTCCAGTCTTTCTGCGGAACATGTAGTGCACCATAATCGCCATAAAGGAATCAAGATTTGGGTCACTCCATAAATCCGTCATGTATGAAATATGCCCTTCCACCTTCCTCATGTCTTGTGCAAAGCTATTCCGCTCCTTCTTAAACTCATCCAGAATGAGGCTTGTCATCTTGATCCAATGAGGGAGGTCCTTCTCCTCAATCTTTCCACTGCCTAAAAATAACATGAGCTCTCAGAATTCTGGAGACTCGAGAATGTTGATGGACTGCCAACGTCCTATTAATTAGTGTTTGGAAGTTAGGTTAGTTAACCGGAAAATAACCGAGACTGGACCGAACCGTAACCGATCAGGACCGCAAAAATTACCTAACCGATCCTAACCGTAACCGCGGTCCGGTTAGTGGTTAGGTGTCATCCCAAAATATTCAAGACCAAACAAAAACCGGTTAGGACCAGTTATAACCGGTCTTTGTGTCCTAACGTTACACACAAATATTCCCCTGTTTAAACGCTTTCTAACGATCCAAAAATCATATTTTTTAGTGGAGAATTGACATATTTACGGTGAATTGAAATTTAAGTGACTATTTTCCTGTCGTCACATGTGTGATAATGTGACATTGATACAACAATGGCGATCCATGAGAAACGCTCGCAGGTCGGGTGTACTCGACCTGCGAGGTTGTTTATGAAAATCGTGCAAGGCGGTGTTTCACCTACACACGCCTCGCTGGTGCATGCAGCATAATGCTTGTATTAGAAATATAATATAGGTTTGTAATTATGTTAGTACAGAGAAATAACCGGTTAGGACCGGTCATGTAACCGACCGCTAACCGTTACTAACCGATTATATCGGTTAGTAGCAGTCTGGTTCGGTTATTTTGGGTTTCGTGGCACAAGGTAACCGGTCTCGGTCTCGGTTAGAGCCCTTGAGGGCTCAATAACCGGACCGGACCGGACTTTCAAACACTACTATTAATACAATAGAAAAGGCAGGTAAGCTAATTACTTACCTGGTCGTCTGTTACGATCCACCTACATAACAAAAATTTGAATTTTTCCTTTGTGTATGGTGTATCTTTCAGCATTGTCGAAGCGCTGACGTCCTTCGCATGCTTGAGATTCTTCAGCCGTATCGTTGACTCATAAATTTCCTTGTGATCTTTTTTCAAGTGATTTCAGTAGCATGTACTCATGCCATCGCCGTGTACCCATGTCTTCCACTTGTTTCTGTTGCTGTGATCGGAATCAGAAGTATATTTTAAATTGAATGAAAAGACTTATGTGCAAAGTTTACAGCCTATAAACTTCATTGATGGCTTGGTCGTCAAGATTGGCTTGTTTGTGGGCAAGACCTCAGGTGCATTGGGTGTGTCAAGCGCACGCAGAAAAAACCAGACATCGGTTGCCGAGGTAGAAAGGTCATTGTGGTGGGACGGACTTGAAGCATTTCCTAAGTAATAAATAGTCAAATCAGCAATCGTGTAGTTAGAATGTTTTAAGTTTTAACTCACCTGTCAGTTGAGGAGCGAGCGCCAGAGGTGCAGCCAACGGAATAGTCGAAGGTAAGATGGATGGCCCAATACCACATTGGGGAGAAGGTTCAGGTTCAGGTACCAGTGCTTCTGGGACACACTGGGTCGTTGTATTTGTCTTGCGCTTCTTGCGCACATGCGTGGATGTGCCAGAGTCACTTGTTGCAGAACGCTTGTTTTGAGAACGAGCGGTGGAAGGAGCAGGATCTGGAGTGTTAAGAACAGTCAAACTAGCATTTTGAAGGGGTAGTGGAGATTGTGTCATGTATGCCGTGGGATGGAAATAGTTTGGACGCATCGGGACTCCATGAAATGGGTGAGGATTGGGATGTTGGCCATGGAATGTGTTATAATAAATCGGTGTAGAGGTCTGAGGATCTGAGGACAAAGCAAATGAGTTGGTAGTGGGATAGGATGTGTTGGCTTGAAGCGAGTCTTGAACGAAGGGGTCAAGCTCCAGCGGCGAGTGACTGTTCCAGGATGGGTGCCGGGAATGAGTTGAAAGAGGCATTTGAACACGGGTAGGTGCCTCCCAGCCTGGGGAATACAAAGTTGGTAAATTCATAATGGATAGAAATGAGGATGGCTATATCGCATTCAAATATGTGCAGCTGTTATATACAATTAGAAGAAAAAAACATCGTATGATTTGAGAATAAAAAGAAGTCATGCCTATAATTCAGGAACATATATAGTAAGGTACGAGTATTTGATTGGAAGTGAAAAAGAAGAACGGAGGGAGGAGAAAGAGGTGGATACTGGGAGACACGACGCTAATCTCGCCTCACGTGCGGTAACCTTCCATTTCTAGCGATTTCTGATGGCCATCAATAGTTGACTTCGACTCACTTCGACAGCCCGAACTGCCTCGAAGTGGTGTCATTCTCGAATCGAATCGAATTCACCTCGAATTCACTTCGATTCGACGGCAACACTACCTTCAACATATTCTTCAGCTGAGTGGTGTTGCTATGGCTACCAAGACTATTTCTTGAAGAAATTCTTTAAATATGTAAATTAAATGTGGTTGATGCTCTTATTGTTCTTCATTTTGTGATGTTGAGAATCAATGTGTTCAGTATCATTATGCACATTCGCTGCATTATTTTACAAGTGGCCACAAATATGGAGGTACATTTGTCCTGATTATTTATTGGGCCCTGCCTCAAGTGTCTGGTTCGATGCCTTCGCACAATGCAAACGAGCATCCCAAATCTCCCTTTTCCGGATTATGGAGACGCGGCTCTCGACGCATCTGGTATTCATAGTTCTGCTGAATCTGGTCCACGGACGTATCCTAGGACAGATCTTGAGACCCTCGCGCCTTCGACCTCCTTCCCAAATGACATACACCAAGCCGTCTTAGCAGCCTCTCCCGCACATTTACTTCACGACGCTCCTTTTCCCATGGTTACAACTGGGACACTGTTGTTGACAACGAACTAACGATTCATATCCATGCAATGGTCGCCTTACTTGTACCGGCTACAGACGTGTTGGGGAAGTTAGGGGTGAAGGGACGTTTCGTCACGCCAGGCGGTGGGACTAGCGCGATTGTAGGAGATCCAAACTTTATACGTCTTCTGGGTCACAGCGATACCGGAAAGTTATCGTGCGTGTATCAGTCCCCTTTACATATCACGTTTGCCCCTTACCTCTCCTTCAAACCCCTTATGCCTGGCTAGGCCCAATCACCGTATTTAACAAAACTATTTTCGATATTCTCAGTCGGGAAGCCAACCCTCCAAACTATCTTCATTTTATTGGTTGGGTCTACCTGTGGGTTGCTATCTTCCACTGGATAACTGCAATCTTTAACTGTATGTTTCATATATGGATAGAGGAGAGCGCCAGCTGAAAGCTCATTCATAGTTTGCAATATGTTAAAGTATGTGACTCTCTTTTCCTGTGACACGTTCGGATTCTACGTGTCCTGGGTATACCTGCAGTACGGTGTCCAGGTTATCACTCGACAACACGTAACAGTGGATAGCCCCCAATCACAGGGCTATTTTGTGACTATAATCCTTGCCCTCATCATGCAATCCCTTTCGCACTGCAGACAACTTATTTTCGCCGTCATGTCCGCCGCTTCTTGGCAGATTATGGGATGCCTGCTTCTCTCGTAGCTACTTCGGCAATGGGATACTGGGGCAAGTTCAATGCGGCCAACCCGCTGACACTACCCGCTGGTCACTCATTTCAACTTGCTGGCGGGAGAGAATTGCTTGTCAAATTTTGGCAGCTAGAAGGGAGATGGGTTGGCATTGCACTTACGTTTGGACTGAGGCTTGGACTCGTCCTTTGGATTCTCTTCTTCTTTGATCACAACGTCTCAGTGCGTTCATCGATGCAATTTCAACATATTCAGTTTTTATAATTTGACTTTTCGTCCTTAATGGCGCAAGGATCTGAATTCTCTCTCTGCAAACCTCCAGGGTTTCACTGGGATTTCTTCCTTCTCGGAATTACAACATTTATTGCCGGACTTCTTGGATTACCTGCCCCGAACGGTCTGATACCTCAAGCTCCAGTCCATACAACATCTCTTACGATTATGAGATCCCCTTTGAAGGGACGACAGATCTCTGGGGAAAGCTCGAACCACTCCCGTACTTTGTCGCGCTCTTCCAATTTATATGAAGCTGATGATCCACAACCTTCGGATGCGAAATCCTTTTACCATCGCGAGGTGACAGTGGCAGTCGTCGAGCAACGCGTGTCAAACCTTGCACAAGGTGCCCTTTGCCTGGTCCTCCTCACCAGCCCCTTTCTGCATGTTTTGAGTCTAATCCCGCGAGGCGTTCTAGCTGGTCTTTTGTCCGTTATATTACCTGAGTTCTAGGTAACGTCTAACATTTTGTGCAGTTGGTATATGGGTGCTAGTGCCTTACAAGAAAATGGAATAACCAAAAAGACAAGACCCTGACGCCCAATTACGATCCTCTTGGGAAAGTCCGCAAGTCACGTATCGTGTTGTTCGCAGGAGCCCAGATCATTGGGTTCGCAGCCGCATTTGCTGTCACCCAAACAATCGGTACGTTTCATTCCTTGAATGCTTCTACACCTGTAAACTAATCGCTTTTCAGCTGCGATAGGGTTTCCTGTCATCATCCTGCTGCTTTTGCCTGTTCGCACTCATCTTGTCCCCCTTCTTCCTTTCACTCGATGCTCGATCGCCCAACGGCATCAGCCTTTGTGAGTGGTGCTTTTGCCCTCTCTATAATAGCTCAACTCTCAACTCCCCGATTTTAGACTATGGAACCCGTTGGTGGTATTTTCTGAGCAGCAAAGTATAAAGTACCCACATCCTCTTATATCTTTATCTCAGGGAAACAGATAAGTACAGATGTCAGATAGAGAGCGGAGATCATTGATCTAACATGTTATCATCATATCACTTCCTGAGATCGTACGCCGCGGAAGATGATAGCGTCAGGCCCTGGATGAACTTTTATGCAAAGATCACAAGGTCCTTTCAGGTCCTTTCTCTGGTATTTCTACGTTCCTGGGCTACCTGGTAATTGCCGAATGCCTCGCGGTACAAAAGGGTACAAATAGGCTTGGCTGTTTGAAACGCCGAAGCCCCTCTCCTTTGAAAGCTTGACCGTTGACAATGTCGACCTCCGAATCTAATCAACTATTAGGCGTTGTTTTGCTTACCCGTCATGGAGATCGAGAAGGTCGGCCCATCACTCCTTGCGCACGTACTGCAATCTTTATTTCCTTGGACAAAAAATAGGTTTCTATCAAGACCCTACGACATACACACCATATAACACGGCCCTCACGCCTCTCGGAAATGTAAATTAAATCCCTCAAATTCGACCTACCTCTCTGACTCCCCGAGATCAGCAACAAGAATTCCAATTAGGGCAATTGCTCCGTGCCCGTTATCTCAATGCTTTGTCTCCTTTTTTGATTCCAGGCATGAACACCACTCTCGCCAACGAGACTGAAATATTGATCCGTGCTGATGCCGGAGGAGAACCTGGTGTTATCTTTAATTCTGCTGTCGCTCTTTTGCAAGGTTTATTTCCCCCCACGGGCGACTACAATACTACCCTTGCCAACGGATCTACTGTGAGCGGACCCTTGGGGGGTTATCAAACTGTTCCAAGTAGGCGTTCCCGCAGCTTACTTCGGCATTTTTCTCATGCCATCCCCAGTCAAGTCTGTGGACAGCAACAATGACGTATCGTTGGAGGGCTGGGTGAGCTGCAACGTGGGTCGCTTGTATCAATATGATCAACAATTCTATCATTCTTACCACTAACGTTCCAGTCGTTTGTGACAGCTACAAACGTTTTCTACAATTCCTCCGCGTTTGCGCAAAAAGCAGCTGAGCATGCAGACTTCATCAGTTCACTTCCAAAGTATCTTGATGGACGGCCCGCCACATTACAAAACATGGTCAGCACGACCCTCTTGTTACAAAGCTCTTTATCTTTGATACGGTATTCCTCTTAGTGGAACGTCAGTCTTCCTTGCAACAAGGCGGAGACGCAGCTTTGATCAACCCCCTGTAGATCTTCGACTTTATGAACGTCGAGTCCATCCATGATTCTAATTTTGTCAAAGCCCTTCCCCCGACCTATCTCGCGCAAGCTCGAGACTTGGCTAATTGGCATGAATACAACATTTTCAGCTCTCCGCAACTCAATGGCGTTGGCAACAGTACGTTGGCTCCCCCTCGTTGGTACCCACTAACCCGCGTGTATTAGTTGCTGGAAGGACTATCCTGCCATCGATTCTGAACGGCTTCGCAAGCATCGCAAATCCTTCAGACCCATTAAAAATTTTCTATCAAGCCATTTCTTACAAGCCCTTCATTTCCTTGTTCAATATGACTGGCATTGCCGAAATGAATCCGGAGCTTGCAGGCATTGGTAAGTCACTCAATGTTATATTACATTACCCAATATTTTTAACATCTTCTCATTAAAGTAAATTACGCCGCGGCCGTTGCTCTCGAAGTGCGCCAATCCCCTGGGGCGCCGCCGGTCTTGAGGTTGAATTTCAAAAACGGCACGGACGATGACGACTTCAAGACGTACAACTTCCTTAACTCTTCTGGGGACGTTCCCCTTTCCGTCTTTGTGAACCATGTGGCGGTATATACCATCTCAGAAGGCTCGCTTGATAGTGTTTTATGCTGAACTGAGTTTCTTATAGTCCAGCACGGTTAACGACACAGCGACTTGGTGCGGTGTTTGCCAAAACGCTCAAGATAGAGGCTGCGCTGCTCTTGCGGTTGCGACTGCAAAAGGTGCTGCGTCGGTACATCTTCATCAGGAAATTAGTCCCCTTGGTGCTGGGTTTCTCGGTGCTGGTGTCACACTTGCCGTAGTCGTGATGATGGTTGGTGTCCTGTTCTTCTTGGGGATGTTGAGTATTGGCAGGGCTAGAGGAAGAAAGCGTGCAGGATCCCTCAGCGTCAGTATTCCAAATTGCGTGCAAGACAGCATTCTGAGTAATTTTGCAGAATCAAAGTTCCGACAGTAAAGCCTGATGTCGTAAATGGACGTATATCACATGTAGGGATCTAGTTGTGTTAAGAGGTTGGAATTGTATCAATATATGCTGTTTTGTTGGGTGCTTTCTTTTCTCCTTCAGTACATGTCCTCGCCATCCGCGTTGTAACGCCTCATATCGTCGTGATCGGAATCTTCATGCCATTCGTCTTTAAGAAGGGAGGGTCATCAAACGACGGATATTTACAAAAGAAAAGTCATACCACTATCATCGGGGCTGTCTTGAGAATCACCGTCTTCTTCATCCGGATAATCGTTCTTGTAATACTCCTCCGCTATATCAAACCACTTCAGCGAGAGTGGGTAATTGAATTTCAAAAAAAGGCCCACCGTTAGAGTCCTCGTCGGCTTCATCCTCCTCTTCTGAATCCGAAGCGGAGTCGTAAGTATCACCAAACGAAGGTGGAAGACCGGTCCTGTGCATGTTGATTTAGTACGAATCTCTCGAAGAAAATCATGCTTACAAGGTTCCAACATTTGCAACTTCGTTCCATTCACTCAGAGTTGCTGGTCGGTGGTAGAAAACGTCCCAAACATAATCTCCTTCCGAGGATAAAGATTCTGGGGCTGCCATCGAGGTGTTTGTAACGGGACTTGGATCCATGTCATGAACTACCCAAAACTTGAGCCGAGTACCACCATGTCAATTGTGAACCCACTTTTCAGGTAATCATTCAACATAGGGAGGAACTTTTCCATTTCTGAGTCGATCTCCGACCTCTTGCTCGCCTTTTTTGCAGAGGGAATCGCGTCGTACATCTTAAAGTCATGACGCTTCGATTTCGCAGGTAGATCTTTCGCGGAGACGACTTTGGGCCTATTGAACAACGGCTTGGACGATGCCTATTTTTAAGATTGATAATGATACTCACGGGCTGGTTGGAAATCGGCGGGTTGGAACTTCAGGTTCCTCGTGCTCTACGATGGTATATCGACGAGAATGTTCTTCCTGTGGCTGGCGCGGAACAGCAGGGGGTGGAACATCAGATAAGGAAGGCACATCGAGAGTCTTTGCTTCTCGCGATTCGCGGGCGAGTTTGGATATTTGATCCTTAAATGACGAATGTTGGATGATGGTGCTCTCTGGTGATCAATCAAGCGTACCTGTATGTCCTTCTGGCAGTGTTCATCCTCCCAATCATCGACCTCCACCGTCTGTGCGTACTGAAATACTCCGATACCGCCCTTGGACTTCTTTCTGCGGACGCGGGACTCGACGACTGGAGTCGAACATCGGGAGACTTACTACTAGCGGCAAACAGAGGGCAAACCTAGTGCATCAAGAGGCTCTTCATTCCGCTTTCGTTTGATCCGGAGTATTGTGTATGTTGGAGAAGTAGTCGTTGCATTTGCCAGCTCCATCAAGTTGAGAGAACAACTTCAAATGATGATGTTATGAAATTACAGACGACTTCACCTCGTCACGTGAGTGCAAGCAATATAACAATCGACATAAGTAACATTTATTCAACATCTCCTACTGGGCCAACCTTCCCAGGACTTCCAGCAGTCCTCCAAGCTGCCAATACAAGGGCGACAACATCATCCACACCCTTCCCCTCTTTGACACTAGCAAAGACAGTCGGTCCATGGCCTCTCATTAATTTAGCGTCCCGATCCATAACTTCCAATGAGGCGTTGACGTAGGGAGCAAGGTCAGTCTGAAAATAAGCTTTTTTATCCACCGACAGTTACAGAAATATGCACCTTATTAATCACTAAGAGATCAGACTGAGAAATCCCAGGTCCACCTTTCCGTGGAATTTTATCGCCGCCCTACAGATCGATTAAAACTTAAACCAGAGGTGGTAGACTTGGCAAGCATACCGAAACATCGATGACATAAATAATGTAATCTGCAAGCTCCCGAGAGTAATTTGCCGCGAGGTTGTCCCCGCCGCTTTCGACGAACAAAAGCTGACATTCAAACTTGGCCTGCAGGGTTTCGAGGGCGCCCATATTCGCGCTGATATCTTCACGGATGGCTGCGTGAGGGCATCCACCGGTTTCTATTGCAAGAATTCTGCTAGTGGGTAGCGCACGATTCTTGATCAGAAATTCCTGATCTTCTCGGGTGAAGATGTCGTTTGTAACGGTTGCTGATAGTGTGCTTTAACTTGCCACGATCGCTGGAATGCGACATCTCTACCCACCAATGTTATATTCATTCCTGAGCCGTTGACACAAAGCAAGTGTGAGCGCAGTCTTTCCAGACCCGACGGGCCTTTATAAGCGTGGCGGCTTCAATTTTTGGTAAAAGATGACTTCCTTTCGGAACGCACCCCCCGATGCCGACCGTAAAACCACGCTCCTCAAAGTTGCGGGCATGGTAGTCCGGTAAATCGCGTTCCGAATACTTTCCTGTTGGAAACAACTTTAGTTTGTCTCCAAGTATTGTAAACTGTGTGTACCAGGGTGATCCAAGCGCTCATGGGTGTGGCCATGATCCTCTCCATGACTGTGCGAATGATTAGATCCCTCATCGTGAGTATGTCCCTTGGGGGCTTCTACATAAGTCGCAAGGCTGTTGATGAATTGGACGTTCATTGGAAGTAGACAATGAAGGAGATATCATTGATCAATAGCGCTAATTACAGCACGTGACAAAAATCAACTTGTCGCGACACGTCCAAGTCGACCGAATGAAGAGATGCTCTGCTCTTCTTGTCAACTATTCCAGTTCAGACGATGAGTCGGACAACAACGATTCACGTTTACAAGCAGGACCTGTGCCGAAAAAAAGGTATGCAGTTCTTTTTCTCTTCCCCAGCACTCTACCTCACTTGAATATAGAAAATTACCAGTGCTCCCTCTATCAATAGCACCGCCCGTACCCTTGGATGACCCATCTCTTCATCAAGGTCGAATCCGAACTATCCCGCATGTAGATGGCCAGTTTGCATCCCACATCTACATAGCGTTGCCGCTTGGGAGGGAACAGCCACTACTTCAACTTTTACGCGACATCCTACGTGAGGCGAAGGAGTCGGTACCCTACTTGTACGAGATAGGTTTTACCAGTGAAGAAAAAACCTCTGAACTTCACATTTCACTGTCTCGACCCATTTTTCTTCGTGTACATCAAAGAGAAGACCTCAAGAAGGCTTTAAGAGCGTTAGCAAGGAGGCAAAAAAAGTAAGCATCATTGACGGTACATTTCAGAATGTTCTTTTTAATCGTCATCGAATTCCAGGTTCACTTTGTCATTTGCAACGTTCTCAGAATTGGTCAACGATGAAAAGACAAGGACTTTCTTGACCATGGAAGTAGGTGCTGGTCATCACGAGGTAATTTGTTTCTTTGAAGCTCCATCAGACTAATATTGAATTCCTTCAGTTGCAGAATTTGGCGGAAGCCTTGTCCCCCGCTTTGCAGGGGATTCGTCAAAAAGAGTATTATACCAACCCACGATTCCATGCCTCCATTGCTTGGGCACACCTTGACCGACCCGGCAATGAGGACAATCTGGACCTTGTGACTGCCAGCCCTTCAAAATCCTCGAAGTTGGAAATTGCGTTGGATCTTGGCCCCGAGGGGGTTGAGTTGCACTCAGTTCCTCATCTTCCAAATGAGTTGCTCATGGCTCTCAATGAGCGATATTGTACAAGATTGGCTTCGCCCAAGATTGGGATGTTTGACGTGGAGAAAATTCATGTTAAAATTGGAAGGGAAGTTTTTTCTTGGTTCTTGGAGGGCATGTGAACCCAAGGCCAATAACGTAAATCACAGTCGTGGTTTTTCTGGTAATGACAACAACTTGCTATACGGAGTCTAAGATTCTAATGACTTCTTCAGTTCCACCTCTCAACTATCGCTATCGATTCCCTTTTTTTTTTTTTTTTTTTTTTTTTTTTGCAAGGCCAACACTCGCTCTTCGTGCTCTCACCGTTTAGGTTCGGTCCCGTTGAAGCTGTGTAGGCCCTATCATGGGTATGACAAGGATCAAACCTTCTCATCCGCTAGCGTATTGTGCCTCTCGTCAGCGATTAACGCGCCTAATAACTTGCCCAACATTCACTACGGATATGTAAGGTAAACGGCGCTCCAGCCTCAAAGCTCAATCTCTGGATCATCTTTCCTTATCAACACGCAATATCAGATTATTTTTGCGAACGTTGCTCATGAAATGGTCTGTCTTCAGGTCCAGGTGTACCTGCGAATAAACCTTGATCAGCCATTGATTCTAGGTTAGGAAGAATTGGGCCTCGTGCCTCAAATCTAAACGTTTTGAACAATCAAGACAGTTCCACCCAAGTTCCGCCTCCATTTCGTCCGTTCGCCAGCCAAACTGTGGGTTCTTTTTGGCGCTTTTTAATCGGGTCTTTGTGTCATCTTCGAGCATCTTCGACTCTTCGGAACTTTTCTGCACCACCTTTCGGGGTCGATCCCTTCTGACCTCATAAAGTAACGACGATCTTGCCTTATCTTGACGCGTTGATGGTTACTATCGGATTGTCGTCCGAATTGGACGGCCGCCATATGTCAGTCGCGGAGGTTGAGACCGAAAAGCTAAATTGTTTGGCAGTTCTCCGTGATTGATTCAGTCACCTAGGTTTCATTGACTCGCTAGGACAAAAGTGCAATGTGCAGCCGCCACAGATACGTGCCAGATCCGTCTTGAACTGCGCAACTGCTGTCTTCGTTAGCGGAGCGGATTCTCTCGTCGCCGGAAGGTAGAACAAGCCCAGAGAGAAGAACCCACGAATCGCGGGAAGAACGGAAATCAGGTTTTACCACGTTACGACCATGGGAGCGATTGAACCCATAAGCTCGTCGTCATTGATTGTGATAGGTGGCCGAAACCTGTGGAGGACCCGAAAGAAGTTCAATGACGTTGAGGGTCGCCCTAACAAGCCATAAAAGCGTGCCAAAGAATGTTCCATCGGTGAACGTGGAGTCGCCGTAGGCTCGTGACCATCCACTTTCGTAACTCGTTAACTCGTGAGCGAAAGCGGCTGGAATAACTGGTCAGTCACAAAGGCGGTCACAGAATTTACACAGTAGCGTGACGCGGGACTTAGTCAAATTTCTTTCAAAAAGATGGTGTTCAGCTAAAGGCATTGAGTTTCCTCCGTATGTACTTGGGAACACTTGTCTGATTCGTATCTACACAAAGGGAATACAGAATTTGACCTGTCGACGTGTCAAAAGGCTTAAAATTCAGCGTCTGAACTTGAGCTGCAGCCTGCTCGGAATTGTGCCCAGACGCGCTGCCATCATCGTCGAGATGCAGGTCAGCTTCGAGCTAGCTGGGTACACACACGATGCAACCCTCGCGCATTCAGACCTTCAGAGATCATCAATCAGGCTTTGGGTTCACATTCATAAGCAAGAGTCTTGACTTAGACGTAAATGAAGCAGTCATATTGCACAGAACTGTTCAGAACGGGGAGGACTGAGCAGTAACTTAGATTATGCATAGAAGTTGAATAGAAACGATCTTAATTGACACTGATAGAGGTTTCGAGAAATCATAGTGAAATCAACGAAATTTGACTAAGTCCGTCGACACACTTGCAGGCATGTCACGCCTCCGCCCAAAAGGGTCACGAAGTATTCCAGTCTGTTCGCAAGCTCGCCATTTTTCTCTTTTTGTCTATGTATTATGTAAGGTATAGTCTTACATAATCTATCATCGTAATAAACATTGCGTAGAGCTTGCAAACAGACTGGTCGCGAGTCTAGAGTCGCCGATATGTATCAGGTATTCCTATCCGCCCAAGATTTTCGTGTCCGATAGCCTGGGTTTGTTTTGAGACACATGAGAAATGAACGGTAGAATGTGGAATATGCATTGAGCCGTAGAGTCGCTAGCTACAGATTGCTTTGCTAGCCCTGCACCCCTTTGAAATAACCCAGAGATGGTGAGATGGTGAGAAGATGGATAAAGGAAGGAGAGCAAAGCGGTAAACTTGAGGGTGAGAAAGCAGACGTAGGGCATATGGTCAATGAGGAGCCTGAAAACCTGATGGACACGCCTCCTGATGAGTCTGATGCAGTGCGCCTTGCCCGTCTTGCCGACTTGCTCGCCGAACCGCTCCCCCAATCGCTGCTGCGAACACACCCGAATGATGTTGTCCTCAACGACCCACCCGAAGACTGGCAAGAGTGGTGGCAAGCTCCCCCGGAGTGGATAAGTGCTATCACAGATCCCAAGACGCTCCCTGGCTCTCTCGCCCGCCTCCTCCATGCCATCCGTGCCCTGCGGCTCACCCGCGATCCGACGCCAATCCATAATCCTCTCGCCCCCCCGACAACTAAGGGGATGTCTCCCAAAAAACAGCACGAGGTTGAGCGAATGATATCTTATATCCGCGATCTCTTCGTCGCTAACGGCCTCGAGCCATCGGCAGTCAGAATAGTTGATGTCGGTGCGGGCCAGGGACATCTAACTCGTGCTCTTAAGGGACATTTTCCTGACACCCAAATCCTTGCGCTGGACGCAGACGAGGGCCAAACTATTGGTGCACAACGATGGCAGGACAAAAAAACAGATGGTATCGCGCACAGAACCGTCATCATCAACCCAACGTCCTTACTTGACGTCGTGAATGAATGGATTCAACCAGAACCAGAGAGTGATGTTGTCGTTCCTGTGCTCTTTGTCGCCCTGCACGCATGCGGGTCTCTTACTCCAGATATCCTACGTGCATTTCTGCTCGCCTCCAGACAGCCACCAGCAACATGGAAACCTTTTGGCGTCGTGGCAGTCGGTTGCTGTTATAACCTCATGAACCCCAAAGGTGCCAATTCTCGTCAAATAAATTTTCTTTTTACTGATCTGAACAAGACTTTCCTCTCTCTCAGCCCATCGCAGACCTCGACCTCCCAATAGCGGCATACCACCTTGCAGCTCAAATACCCGATCACTGGCTTGTCCCTTCATCTCCAACACCAACACCACTGGCTTCCGTTACTTTGGCGATACGGAAAGTTGCCTGGCGCGCACTCCTCGCAAAGGCAATCCCTCACGCACAACTATCTACTACTCCAGTGCCTACGCCTGCCTCAAATCCCAATAAATCAGCAACTGTGCCCGCGCGCTGGTCCCGACTGCCGACTCTAGAACCTGCGGAAGTAACAAGAACGGGAGAAACACCCAAACTCCGTCGGCTGAGCCGCCTTCGTGGTTCGGCATACGATAACTGGGAAACGTTCTTGCGCGTTTCAAGCGATCGCTTGGGCCTTGATCTACATGCTACCGCAATTGACCCCGTAGTCGGCCGCCGTGTGGAACTTTTGCATGTCTTGCGATGCCTTCTCGGACCAGCTGTAGAAAGCACCATCTTATTAGATCGTTTGTGTTGGATGCAGACCGCGCTACAGCAAGATAAAAACTCTCCACACGTTCGACTTGTAAATTTATTTAATCAGGCGACAGGAAGTGGAAGAAACGTCGCTATTGTTATCGCACCAGAAATTGCCTCATGAACAATGCTTATCTTTGACTCCAGTTCGGAGCATCAACAAAGGACGTCACGGCTTACTTTGATCGGACTGCCTCGAGTCGGATCAAACAATACTGAAATCACGTGGACATGGCTGAGGACAAGGATTACTCTGGATTACTCACCGTAATTCACTGTGGTGTGCGCATATAGTCAGGCATGTTATCGTGATAGACGATAAGCTGGTGACTCGAGTGGCTATATGCGCATCGAGACACGGCTAGGTATTCGAGGGTTACCCCTAATGTACAATATTTGTGCAGTGTCTACATCTGGAAAGGCCCCTGAGTTCCGCCGACTGGCATGTATATTTCCCTTTAAATCGTCCTCTCCTCTTTCTTACCTCGTCGACGACCATGGTTGTCCACTCTCCGCCATCTCACTCTTCTTCCTGCCCACCTCTGGCGATGCACGCGCCACGACCTCTTGCTTCCCAAAGGTTCGACCCTCTCAACGACCTCACTGATCCACATCTCGCTCTTGCACGCCCACCCAGTCCTATCGTTTCTCCAACTGGAATCTTACACGTCCTCGGGTACACCCCCAAAGAGGGAGAGCGCGGTGTCCCCATCAGCGTTCGCATTCATTTCCATCCCGATCTTGCTGACGCGATGTATGTTCGTCTCGTCATTGGTCAGAAAGCCGTTGCCACCAAAGTTCGCGAACTTCCCGGTGTCACGTACGGTCGTTGGCAATTGGACGCTTCCGCCCCTTCTTTTGACAGAGAACAAAACTCTTCCTCAAAAGTTCTCATTTCCGTGCAAGCCTTAAATGAAGATGATGTAATACTCGACTCCGTAGTTTTCGGCGAGTTTTCGTATTGGACACCTGGTAGGCGATATTATTACTGGTCTCATCGTTTCCCATTTTTACGCCCTCTTTTCCCCTTTTGAGATGGACCCATGAACAAACTACCTAGACTCCAGATCCCAACAAACAACGCGTCACTCCGCCGCCGTTCTCTCCCCCAGCTCACCTCGCCTGCCTCTGCAACGTTCAAGGAACCGTCTCGAAAGACCCCACAGCGTAAAGTGCGCCTTCACCGCCGCATGAAGGTACAGTCCTTGATACATGCCAAGCATGCGCATTTGCCCGGTAATCAGGACGACATGCGTGCTCAGACTCCCATTTTGGACCTCGTCACCCCCTTAGCCAGTATATGCACAGGATGGTCGCCTGCGGAGCTTCACGCGGGTCGACGTCTCGTTCGCTTTTCAGAGGTTCAGGACGGCCGTAGACTCATAGTCTCTTGCGAGCCAATCAGGCAGGAAGACTATTGCGAGTCGGACAGCATCATATCTTGCATTTACCGCGAGGAAACAGACACCTGCTTCGTTACCTCCGTCGACGTCATTTATCTTCTAGAGAGGCTCACGAATGGAGAATTTCCTGTGGAAGAGAAAAATCGCATCAGGCGTAACCTGGAGGGATTGCGGCCCACCACCATCTCGAAGCATAAGACTGGATTTGGCGATTTCTTTCAGCGTATCATGGATTTCCCTGATCCTAAACCTCGGAACATTGAAAAAGATTTGAAGGTTTTCGAATGGAACCTCCTTGGGCAAGCGCTGGAAAAGATTCTTTCTAAATACGTGAGTCGCTATACCATACCAGTCGACGGCATCTTAACATTCCCATCTGTAGTCGATTTACACCGCAGCGACAACTGATAGCGGTGACTCTCCCACTGAGGAGACTTCCTCGACGGATAGTCCAGATTTCCTCGCTTTTCAGCTAACCTATCCAGCGGAAGATGTTGGTTCCAGTCAATATCTTGACCAACGCACTCGCATGACGAAGATTGAGCCTAACTCTGATGACTTTCGTTTCATGTCGGCGTCGAATGGCGCCGAAGTCTTTGGTTCTCCCGTAGAGAGTCCGTTGACTGCATCTTCGTCGTCGTCTGCCGCTTTCCCAGTCCTTGGCTGCGAAACGACCCACGCCGAGTCCGGTACCTCTTCCAATTGGGCGACAGATTTTAAGGCTGGTGAAATGATGGACAACTTCGATCTTCTAAACCCTTATGATGTCGAGCATCCTGCCCCCGTCCACCCTTTCGCCGACAATTCTGGGATAGATTTCAACATATATGACGACTTTACTTTCCACCATATCGCCGAAGACTCTTCGACCACCCTCACAGATCAGTACATCTAAGCCACTCCATTCCCGATGAGATATGCATGTTGTATTAAGCCCTCTTCTTCCTGACCGTTTTATCATTATTCCTTACTTATTCCGAGCTCACATCCTGTTGTAGCAGTAGTAGAATTCAAATCACTTTCTCAAACAAGAGGACCCGCAGTAGATTGAGTTTGTGTTTTAAAATGGTGGTAGGCAGCGCGAGTGACGCGTTGAACTTGGTAAGTGAAAAACCAAAGTTGCAGAGATCGCTATCCGGCTTGGCGCGTGTGGATGACATTGACAGTCCCGCCGGCCGACATGCATAATTGTGACGGAAAGTCTCCCCTGATCGACGGGTCTATCGCTGACAGTTATCTTCGGTAGTCTTCGGTACATAAATGATAATGACGACGGCTGTCATCATCGTGCCTCATGTTTTCCTGTAAATCAGCTTCCGCCTTCGCGGGTGCACCAATTGCAAATTTAGGTCTAGGTTGCCGACGTGGTGGGCGGGGTGACAAAGGGTGACAACGGGTCATTTTGCCGGGCTCCCTGGCCCCTACACCCAACCTTACACATGCCCCCTACCACCTTACGTTTCTAATTACTAGTCTACTTGCCGCACGTCAACTCGAGAAAGACGAAAAAAACGGAAGTGTTACAATGGTCCGTGCTCTTACACACCACATGAAGCGCCGATCCCGCTGAACGATTATTTCAGAGTCACTGAGTGCCCACGTTCATCTACTATGCTCGGTTTTATTCAACACGGTCAAGGAGATAGTCGCCCTGCGCATCAATCCGACTCAGGGGATGTCCTAAAGCCCGTGAAACGGCGTCATCCGCGTTGGATCAGACTGGTGAATACAGAATGAAAAAAGGGCACCATTTCGAGAGTTGTTCCTTTTCTCCGACTCAAGACCATAATATCACGCGATGCGAGTCGGAGCTTCTCGATTGGGTAGGTAGGGAGAGAGAACTTGTTCTATCGCGTACTCGTGACCAACATTGTTTTCTAGATGAGCCCACGTCGCAGAATGGGGCTTCCATCTCGGGGTATAATGGCAATCCCTAGAAATGAAACAACGTGCATTCCGGTGAGCACTTCGCATTTTCCCAGTTAAAACTCTAAGCCCTTTTCTGATGGTTTTCTTCTCCGCGCTCTCCTGATCATGAGCGCTGAGAAAACTCACGCACCCCTCTCAGGCTCCAGCACGCGTTATTCCTGGGGCTGTAGCTCGAATACGTTAACGTTCCTGAATGGAACCTCACTTGAATCTCGGTGGGAAGGGAGCCTACATCAGACCCAAGTTCGACCTCTTTGGGGGAGTGTGGCTAGCCGCTATTCCTATCTTGCTCATCGTCGTTCTTCGGTTTTTGTGCTCGCTCCGAAATCCCTAGGATGACGAAATTCCTTGCCCTGGTTCCTATGATTATCAGTAAGTCACGCATAATCAGGGATATGTGTTGTGAGACTTTGTTCTCCAATCGCCTGCGCCTTATTCCCTCTCATCGGACTCATCTCGCTTCCTGCTTCATTTCAAAATCACCCTCTGGCTTTTGTCATTTTCTGTCTTTCTTGATCGGGCCAATTTGCCTCCGTCTCGGCTCGGCACGGACCGTGTTATAACCGGTCAACATTTTGTTGGGACGGTATCGCCTTTTCATGCTCTAATTGCACAGCTTATGCATTTGGGGGTGCATTCCTGTGTGAATTTACCCTTGGGCGGACCACATTGCGATTGAATGAGTGATGCGATAAAGTTCAGGAACTTTTTTTTGCTCTGGTCGCTGGGTTTGGATCGATGGTGATCAATCTCATCTCCGATTGATGCCTTTCCTTTTTAGGCGCAGACTCTACGTCGCGCTCACAAAATCTCTCTACTTTCAAAGCATTGGAATGTTTCTTCTGCATGTTCCTCCCGGAGACGTTCATCTATTCGTCACTTCTTGAGAGGGAACGTAGGTCTCAAGTTCGGCTGTGAGTGAGCTCGTTTTTTATACATTTTCATTTCGGTCTCTTTATTTTCGATTATTGTTGAAACCCTGCTTTACTTCCCGCGCTCACCTCACTCATGGAATTCCATTGCGGTACGAGGAGTGGTCGCTCGGCTACCCCCCCTATTGCTTACTCAAAATTTCTTACCCTCGGCGGTCGCGTGAGATATCAGGACCATACCCGGAAGATCGGATGCCCTCAGGCTTCAGGTTGCACAACTCTACACATTTCGGATTTGGTACTTCATTCAAGCCTTAGTCTTCCACTGCCTCCTTTTGGTAGCAACAGACTCGCTTGCTTCAACTTTGGCCATTATTATAGGCTTCTATCACTCCACCTTACCTTGATGCCAATCAGCGTGATATCGGTAATAAAACGTCTGCTTGCCTTCTACGTTCATGAACTCACCATTCCGCTGACAATATCGACGGCGGTGGCGAGGGGCGAGTTTATTACTGATGCACGCCACTGAATGCACATCATATTGAGGACTTTGTGATAATTCTCGATGATTAGGCGAATGTGGGCTTCCACTTTCAAGAAAATCCCTTGATGGGGAGCCCCATCACGAAGACTGGAAGATGCGAGCAAATGACGATAAATTCCTTCTTATTCAGCCTCGGGAAGGCTTCTAATTCTTGCCGGTTCTGAATTATCTGCACTTTACTCCGTCAGGCTGCCGGCGATTTACCATAGCCAGTGTACCATCACTTCCTTGCCCTTTCCTCCGATACTTACACGCAGAGACAAAAAAAATTGTCCCGTACCGTGCTGTGTAAATTCCGCATCACAATATAACCATTCTCGTCCGATTGAGCCTCGAAGCTTGAAGGAGCTGATGAAGGAGCTGTCTTTTTATTGGTCCACCCGTCCATTTTGCTCGGAATGCTACTACCATGCTGCGCCAGGTGCCGTTTAGTCGCCGTAGGAGGCAGGCTGCCTTCAAACAGAGGAGCGATTAGTGCCCTTTAGTCCACCAAATTTAAGATAGGGCTTATTGGGCCACGTTGTTCATTCGACGGAGTAGTGGTAGCGCCTCAGTCGGAGGGACTGAGAACATTCTCATGGCACGCACAATTACATACTAGGCGAGATGTAGTTGTTTGTGAGGCACAATTTTGAATTCGTGTGAAGGACAAGTACATATTAACGAGATGATTACGGTAGATGGTCAGGGTGAGTCGTTTTGGGTCCGTGAAGCGAATGAAAGTACAAGAAAATCAGTAACAAGACAACAATCTAAGAGCGATTAGACCAGCACTGACAACACAAGCAAGAAGGTATAGCACAGGGTCCCCGAGTCGGAAATAAAAAAAGCTCGTTAGGAAAAAATAAAAAAAGACCGACGCGGAAGAAAGGGAATCCCGCAAGGTGGGGTGTTGTAATCGAGAAAGGGGCTGTCCACAAGCAAGTCCGTGGCACGTTGGACAACTAAGGTATAGAATTATGGTATGCAAGGAACCGTCCGCTGAAGCGGGAGAAAAATAATACAGAGAAAACACATCATGAACCTCACTGAGGTGTCGCGTAGCCAGACCCTGGCGCAGATCCAGTGTGGGGCTGATCCTCGTTATAATATTGCTGTGACTGATGCGAGGAAGAAGAGAGTCGGGGACTCGGTTGTAGGGACGGGTAAATATTTTGCTGAGACGATGTTTGTGAGTGATGCGATGAGAAGGGAATGTTGGACAATGATGGCGGGGCAGACAGTGGGACGTCGGGGGGTATATAGTGAGGTTGTCCGGGTCCACTGGTGTGGGGGCCCGAAGTGTATACTCCAAGATGGCGGTTGCTGCTATATTCCATCCCGCCACTCAAATGGTGCGAGGATCGGCCATGGCGCGAGCCATAATCTAGGGAAGAATGATGACTGCTCGGCATGGATTGGAGAGTCATCGGATGGTAAAGCTGGAGGGTGTCAGTTGGCATCGAAGACCGCCTGGAAATAGGATCCAGCAATCCAGACAACGAGGCGCTGCGACTTGACGGAGGGAACGGAGCGGTTGTCGTCGGCCCTGAGGCTGCGCGGTGCGCTGGTGCAAGGATGCGACGTCTTGCCTGTAAAATAATAGCACTTAGCAAGACTTTGAAGTGATCCTTAATTATGACTGACATTAATCATCCAGTTGGATACCTGACTCATACTCAGGCCTGTTGCATGACACAATTGCTTCTTCTCGTCCTCGCTTGGATAAGGGTGGTCAGAGTGACGATGCAGCCAAGCCTTAAGGTAATCAGTCGTCTCCTTGGGAAGTTTTCCCCTTTTGCGTTGAGGACGATCGACAAGCTGAGATGAGGATGTCGGTTGAAGGGCTCTCGACGGAGAATTAGAGGCAGCAATGGAGGGCGCAGAGGGCGTCATGGACGGAGAATATTGCGGGTTGTTGGAGGGAAGAACAAAGTCCGGGCTTGGGAAAGACCAGGAGTCACCCTTTGACCTGCGATCATGTTGTCCTGAAATTCGAGCCGAACCGTACATTTGTGCCTGAGAAGTGGGGGCGCTAAAGGAAGAATGTCGCAAGCTGTCATCATATTTTATAGGAGGACTTGATAGTTGGCCCGGAGTTGAGCTGGGACGAACGATGCCCGAAGGGGGGGAGGAATTCCAGCTTTCGGTTTCCGAGTAGGGAGAGAGAGCTGTTGGCCGATGATAATCGGACGGGGAATTAAAAGTTGCAGGTGAGAAAGTCGTGCTAGAGGGGGTAGTACCATTGGACAAACCGGAATGAGGGTATGCAGATTCATAAGAATTCGTTAAGCCGAAATTGAGGTCGGTTGAGAGCCTGGGACGACTTGAATGTTTTTCGACGGCATCTTCATTATTGGAAGGGAAGGTGTACGACGACAGCGTGGACTGATTCGAAGGTGAGTATGCTTGGCGTAAGCTCGTCGGGGGATATGGTGCATGTCGGACTCGACTTTCCGAGTGAGTGATGGGCAGAGAGGCTCGTCGGCTGTCGCCTTTGTAAGAATCCTCGAAGGTTGTGAAGATGGAGGGCAGTTGAACTTTAGACTGATCGATGCCAGCATCGGTAGAAGGTTTGTCGTTAACTCCTGTCGTTGAACGGCTAGATGGGGAGTCAATTTTCCAGTTGTTCTGGTCGTTCCGAGATCTTTTCGAAACGGGGGAGTCTGCTGGCGTTAGGGAGCGTTTTTCACCGCGAGAGGGAACGCTGCTGTCGGTGTCAGCAGTAGAAGTAGCAGAGCTAGACATGCGGCGCGCGTCGTAGTCGAGGGCGGTATCAGTTGGACTAAAATAAAAAGTTAGCCATGAGGTGTAGGAGAAATTTAAAGTGCGAACATGACAGCGGGGGAGGGTGAAGATGAAAGTTCGTGAAGAAAAGGGACGGCGTCGGGGTCGCACTTTGGGTTCGTACCGCTACGAAGAGCCGAGGGGAAGGACAATGGTCAGCTCTGGACGAAAGAAAAAAAATAGGAAGAGAAAGGGAGCGTCGGGGACGTCGATCAAGGAAAGGGAAACAAAAAAGGGAGATATCTTCGATACAGGGCCTTGGGTGACAGATGACAGCGGCTTATGCAATATACAATAACTCTGACATAAACTCACAGAGCGAATTGTAGCTGAGCGACGTTGTAGCTGTTGAGCTGGTCGTTGTCGTGGACGGCGTGCTCAGTCGGCATTGGAAAGGGAAGAGACGTAAATGAGAGAGGTTCTACAAGGAGACTTGTATTTAAACCAGGAACGAGAAACAATATCCTGCAAATCTGCGCAAGATCTCTCAACTAATCAACCAGATCCAAACTCTGATCTCACCGTATCTTAGGTAATATCCTTGTTTGTATGTACTTGTTGTTTCTGCCGACTGCCTTTCCTTTTCCGGTCAGCTTGTTATGGTTTAATTAGAAGGCACCCGACCAGTTCGATTGCGTCCATCCCGCTCAATTCCTCCGCCGTTGGAAACGGGTGCAAAAGTTCATCTGATCCCTCTTATCTTACGGCAACCCCATTCAATCTCAGTCCATAATGTCCTGCAAACAGGCACCATCTCCCAAACATGTTCCGATTCCTCGATCACTATGCACCACCTCCTACTCTCATCTTCCCCTTTGATACCATCGTCTTCCCCTTCCTCAAAATCCCCTGCAGCAAATGATGCGCTTTCATACGCTCCTTCTCAGACACCCCCACACCATCCAACATTCGTATTCGAGGGCAAGCTTGCATAATTAGTCCTCGGTATGCCAATCGTCCAATGTACGCCTCGTTCGGTAGATCTCGCCGGAATTTCGAATCCAGCTCTTGCCACCCTTGTGGCACTAACACTTTCTCGCTCTTGCCTCCCGACGTCCCTTCAGAGGGTTGCAAAGCCCCAGGCACGTCCTTGACGAGAAGCGGCAGGTACCACCCAAGTGTACACGGGTTCATCCTGTGAAAGATTATGTCAGAGCCAGTATCATCCAAAATAAAACCGAAATGATGTCAGCCGACCACCGCATAAACAGCTCCGTAGCCAACAAAATACATTAGAAACGCACCTAAAATCAAGCATTTCCACATCTGGCGTCCGTTGGAGTAGCCGGATCAGAGGCTTCGTGCTTTTCAATCGAGAGCCAATGATGGTCAGCTTTTGTAACCTCGTGAGTCCTTCTAGCAGCCGAACATCCTCCAGGAAGTTGTAGTTGAGATTCAGCACCCTTAGGTTCGGAACTAGCCTCGCCATTCCCTCGGGGAGCGCGGTCAACCGACAAGCGGCCAGCTCTAAATATACCAGGTTGTAACATGGTTCCTCCAAGAGGCTGGTGTTGAGGGGATTGCCTATGAAGTCTTGTAAATATCAACCAAAAACGAAATAGACATTGTTCACCAGAGAGGTACAGTCGCTTCACATCGCGAACATCGCGGGTCAAAAATTTTCTAATTTAAATGGGGATCAGCAGCATAATTAGATGCATCAAAATCTACTTACAGTCCTCGTCCACTCTGATTCCGTAAGCTGAGGTTTTCTAATTTGCTCAAGCGATCAACCTTGACTAGACTCGATAGCGCATTATTGTCCGCATAAAGCGTGCGAAGGTTGGGCACAGCGGCGACCTGAAGGTGACAGAGTCGATTGGCACTGACCCGCAGAATCCGTAGCCGTGGCAGAGGGTTCTTCATCTCAAGGTCCTTCAAAAAGTTGCCGTCTAGATGAATGGAGTGGAGTCAGACTCGAAGCACATAACGTGCGTGCTATCACGCACCGAGGTTTAGAGCAACCAATGATTGCAATGATGAAAGCCCTTGGACATTGTCCAACTGATTGTAGCTGATGTTCAGCATCTCTAAGCGGCTCCTGCAAAATGAGGGTGAATCTTCGTCAACTCCATAAGGAAACCCTGAAAGACGAACCACCGGCAATGGCCAAAATCAACGAAAGGAATAGAATTGCTTTGAAGGCTGAGTTTTACGAGGCCATCCAAATGCTCTAGTCCATCGATACTCGTTATATTGTTGCCGTCAGCCTTGAGTTCTCGGAGATGCCGCAGACAACCCAGTTCTCGACGTGCAGGGATAAGGGCGGGGTAGTGGTGCCATTAGGGGGGATTACTCACGACGCAGGGACTCAACCTCGTTATGACTTATGTCAAGGTTTTCAAGGTTGAGCAGGTGGCTGTACGATGTAAGTCCTGTAAGGCTAACAAATAGGGTCATCAATTTTACAGGACACGTCCAAACTCAGTTTCCCCACCTGTTACAAGCGACAGAAAGTGTCCTCAACGTCGTCGGAATTCCACTAAGCCAAGATAATAAATTGGTGTTTCTTGAGGTAATTTATCTGAAATCAGTTTCCAGCTCCGGGTAAGCGACACTAGAAGACTTACACATTCAGTGAATCAAGCCGCGGTAAAAACTCCTTAAGCCGCGCCAAACTTTCCAGCTTCCTATTTGACAAATTGATTGAACTGAGTTCCTCCCAATGCGGTTCGAAGGGTTGGATGTCTGTGATGACCTCCACTAGTCGATCACGAGCCACCCCGAATGAACATTCCGTCAAGAATGTTCCATTGGCCCTGGTAAAACTTCGCTTCGCAGGGGAGGGTCGATGCGTCTGGGATCTAGATAATGTCCTGCGCGGCGCATCAGCCTTGGAATTACCTGGGGTATCGTTGACCGGCTGTCGAGAAGCAAGGGGTCGCAATTCATCTGGCCTTCCGGCGCTACTTGTTTTCGAGGGAGAGTCGTCGTCAATCAAATCATCTGTTCAAGGCGTGAAGATTACATTGAGACGAATAGGATGGGGTAGACACTCACCCTCATCTTCCAGCGCGTGCATCATGTCCGCTATCCGCTTTGATCTGACTGACTGAACAACTCCGCTAGAACCACTAAGACTTGACTGCGACAATGCTTCCAATGCGCGGCTAAATTCTTCACCACTAGTAGAAGAACTAAGCCCTTGAATCGGCCCTTCATGTTTCCCATCAGAGAAACTCACAGACCGACGGTGACCTCGCTCATGCAAGGGTGTCTGGTACTTGTGGCGATGGGAATTCTTCAAGGCAGAGGTGGGTGTAGCGCTGTTGCTTTTTAGCGCAGATCGAATGACGGGTGTCAACGATGCTGGCGATGGGTTTTTGCGGCTCGGAGTGCTGAGATCTGGGACGTCGATACTTGGGACAGTCAAGGTAGCAACAAGCTGCGGATGATTTGAGGGTCTGTAAAGAGGACCTTGGAACTCCGGTGGACGCGTTTCTTCTTCGTCCGATTCAAAATCCCGAATTTCCTCTTGTGTCGCAGTGAGGTCCAAATCGTCGTCGGAGTCAGTGGTTTGGTCGCCATCGTCGAATCCAGTTGTGTCGACGCCTGTCATGATATCAACCACATGGGCGGATGCATCTGTTGAAAAGCTGGTAAGTTCCAGTTCTTCCGCGTCGTCAACCTCCGATCGTTCCTCTATTCGGCTCATTTCACCTCCGCCGCCAGGTAGCTCGTCAAAGTCCTCCGTAAATTCGCGAAGGTTGGGGTCCATCCCTCTTGAATCGTCGACTAGACTTTCGATATCGCCGAAGGGATCTTCACTCATTTCCCCAGCGGAGAAGCCAGTCTGGTCACCATCCATTGTTAGTTGTGTGCCACTCTTGATCCACCTCATCATAATTTTGTCAAAAAGCATATCTCCGTATCTATCCGGTAGAGTTGGAACATCTCCTGGGACAATTGTCTTCAGGTGGGCTGGGCCAGCATGTTTAATGAAGGAAGGTGCACTACACGCCGTGAGCGTCGTGCCGGATGCTGTGCTGGAGGACACAAATCGATTGAGGTCTTCATTGTTACGAAGAGAGGGATGTGCGGGAGGAGCTAGCGTCGAAGGCGGGGGTTGCGGTAACTCTTGCCGCGCAGCGCGTTGTGACGAGCTTATGCTTGGGGATGAAACTTCTGTTCGCAAGGAACAGTTAGAAAACTTATCAGCTAGCACTTGACTGCTATCATCATGTGGTTGGGCTTTTCGCGAGCTGGCCTTGTGCCGCGAAGAGTTAGATTTCGAGGATGAAGTGCGACGGTGACCTGGGGAGTTGATTGCACGTCTCGGATTTTCATTATCCTTTTGACTAAAGAAATCAGGATGAGCACAATGAGAAAGTTAAAATGGTGAACGCACCCATGTTGCCCAACATGCGTTGTGAGATGGGAAACATCAGAATCGCCAGAAAATATCCGCTTGTGATGTTTCATGTCTTGCTTAATCTGGTCCATCAATGCAGCAGCATTTTGACGATATGTAGAGGATGAATAGATGTTGACTTTCGATCCGATCGAGCTGGAGGAGGAATGGATGCTCTTGGAATTTCCTGGAACGGTTAGGAATGAATGGTTCGAATCTACGGTGATAAAGTTAAGACATATTTTCATTGAAAGTCATCCACGTACCTCTGTTTGTGGTAGATAGTCGAGAGTCGTCAGATTTGAGGTTAACAGGAGAAGTAGATGGAGAATCCTTTGGAGCACTAGCGACTGACGAAATTGTAGAGAAATCACGCGCCTGCTTAATCTGCTGCATGAGGGAGCGCGATTCTCCAACGTAGTCCTTTCCGTACAGCTTCGGACGGAGTATCGTGGCGCCTGCGCCTGCGCCTTCGCCATAGAAATCGGTGGCGGGACTAAGTTTAACACGTTTAGCACTGCGTAGATGATAGGTATTATTTGTAACGGAACCAACGGCCTCCGAGACACGAGACAATGCCTGGTCAAAGCTCGTGGGGGATGTCGTCGTCCCAGTCCCCGATGGAGTATTGATCGCGATTGAATCTACCATTGCAGATAAATGGTCCCGGGTGTATGTATCGTATTGAAACTGAAATAGGCGGAGACGGGGGTCCGTAGCCGGAGCACTGCGTTGAGGGAAAGGCGGGTTCGGGGTGCTTTGGGCTTGGGGAAATGCAACCCCGAGTCTTGAAGAAACATCCTTTGGCACTGAGAAGGTAAACTGACAGGATGCGCTGGCCTTGCGTCCATGGAATGAGTTCATATTGGGCATGTCTGTTTGAACTATTTCATCCCCTTTGTCGGCTGGTTGTGACGCAGGTGGCGGAGAAGATTTCACGCACGCAAGAGAATCAGTAGGAGGAGACGGTGGTTCGAACATACGTTCCAGAGGAAGAGGGGTGAAGAAATCTTTAATCAGGCCCTTCTTGTTCGCTCCTGGTGTTTTCAGTAGCAGCGGCAAATGCGCAACGTCATCACGGATAAGAAAGGTTCCTACGGCGCGAGATGTGTTGGCTGAAGGGCCACCATCTTCTTCGTAATCGCTATTGGTATGGATGTGTGCAGTTAGGGGGACCGTGAATGAGATAGACCGCGTGCCATAGGTTAGATCATTCTCATCGTCGTCGTTTTCGTTTTCAGGATCCAGATCTACCCATTCATCTTGTAATTCTTCGGTTTGCCAGCCTGGAGCAGACGATATCATAACTCCTAGCGGCGCCTGCCACAAATGAGGGCGCTAGAAACGGTGGGCGGGTGGTAAAGTGTGTTGAACTGTTGAATTTCAATTCGTTCAACGATGGTCACTTAGCCGACACGTGATCGTGTATCCCCTTGCTTGTTCGTGCTTGCCATTTGTCGATTGTTTATTGTTGACACTGAAGTTGCACTGAAGGCTGGCCGAGTCAAGTTCCACCAAGGTCGCTTGCAAGGCGAAAAGACGATGATACGATGATTTCTTTTTCTCGCTACAATCCCGGAGAACTTAGCTTTCCTTGAGACTCTGAGTGAAAGATGAACTTGCCGCAGGTAAGTCGAAATTCGCACTGTCTTGTTTCTGATACGGCTGATAACGAGGGCTAGTATCCCCCATAAATCGGAACAATTTAAGTTGACTTGAAGGCTAGCTGAGAGGGCGCGTTAACCGTGTCTGTAGCAGATACTTGCTGAATAATAGCGAGAGGAATTAGCACGTAACGTGGAGATCACGCAACTCATGTCATGTGTGTTCGTGCCAGGCGTCTAAATTGGTCATTGGTCAAGTCCTATCGATCAACCACCAAATTGTTCCAAAGGCTAGTGCTCAAGGGAACCATGTCTACCAGATCTTACGGGGAGGCTATCGATCTTTTGAATTCCTTGCAGTCCAATGCAGCGTCTCTCGAGGCCGTTCGAGCTTCTGGCGGTCGTTCGAGCCAGTTCGCCATACCAAAAATGCTCGAGTACTTGGAGAGGATCGGCTATCAGGTAGGTTTTCTATCGAATACTTTGGATTCAACACTCAAATGAGCACAAGCCAGATCAACTAAATGCACTCAACATTATACATATCACAGGGACAAAAGGCAAAGGTTCAACTAGTGCTTTCACAGATTCCATCCTTCGACAGGCGATGCCCGGATGGAAAGTAGGTTCGCACGTATCTCCGTTCTAGCATAGACCACTATCTCACATCCGACGCTGCTAGGATTATATACCTCTCCTCACATGGTTGCTGTGCGAGAGAGAATTAGGATCGATGGCGCTCCCCTCTCGGAGGTGCACTTTGCAAAGCATTTCTTTGAAGTTTGGGATAGGCTCAAGAAAAATGATACGGTAAGATGCTGCATAGAAATCGTCACTTGCTCAAGTAGTAATCGGGGCTACAGAGGGCGATGGAAGACACCCCCCTGATGCCTGGATACTTCCGATTTATAACGCTGGTCGCTTTCCGCGCGTTTATGGAAGCCAAGGTCAACGCAACAATTCTTGAAGTTGGTGTAGGCGGGACATACGACATCACGAACATCGTCCCAAAGCCTGTCGTAACGGGAGTCACCTCTTTGGGGTTGGACCATGTGGCTGTTTTGGGAACAACACTGACAGAAATTGCCTGGCACAAAGGCGGAATCTTCAAGGCAGGCGATTAGTGTTCCATGACATCTGACTTTCTGAGAATCTAAATCAGGAGGGCGTGCCTGCGTACACCGTCATCCAGCCAAAAGAAGGGGCTCAGGTGTTAGATAGTCGCGCGAGAGAACTGAAGGTACTATCTCCGACTGGATGAACGAAGTTGGCGAACTTGTCTGAATTATCTCCAGTCATCCTCTTTTACCATCGTCCCATTGAATCATGAACTCGACAAAGTAAAATTGGGTAAGTCAGTCACATTCCATTGCCTTTTCAAATTGCTCAGCCCTTTCAAGGCCTTGCTGGTCGACATCAGTTGCAAAACGCCAGCCTCGCTGTTAGTCTTGCTAAGGAATTTCTAAAGAAGCAATCATCTTTTCAGGACGATCAGGAATTACCGGAATCTTTTGTTTTCGGCCTCGAGAAGACCAGCTTACCTGGCCGTTGCCAAACCGTTGTGGATCCGAAACGCTCACAAGTGACATGGTATCTTGATGGAGCCCACACTGCCGAAAGTCTAGAATACTGTATTCAATGGTTCGCGAATCCTGGCGTTGGTTTTTCTTCAGATGCAAGCGGTCACAAGGACGACAAGTGAGGCTCAGCCATGGTTGCATGGCTCCACAGATTGACTTTTTGCCAGACAAGTGACTCGCGTTCTCATATTTAACTGCACAAGTGGCCGTTCTGGCGATAGTCTTCTGGGCACGATACGAAATAAGCTAATCGACCAGCTTCGGATTCAATGTCGCGAAGATCAGCCAGAATACTTCTTCGATCAAGTGATCTTCTGTACTAATGTGACTTACGCAGGAGGTCAGTTTAAAAGTGGTGAGTCTATTGTCACGCGTATGGAAAGCTGGCCTGACCAAACGATAGATTCAGACCTCGCAGCTACCGCCTTGCCAAACAGTGATCTCGAAGAACTCAAGACTCAACATCAGCTTGCGGTGGCTTGGTCGATATTGTACCCAGATTACCCTCCTGATTGCATACATGTCTTACCATCCATCGAGCATGCCGTGAAGGAAGTTGAAGGATCGAAATCGATTTCTGACAACTGGACCCAAGTCTTGGTTACTGGCAGCCTACATCTTGTTGGTGGCGTGATTGAAGTCGCAGGGCTATCAGAAGTGGCGTTGTGAACTAGCTCTTGCCTTCCATAACATATCTACTTGAGGTCATGACATTCGTAGTAATATTGAGCCCAAAGGATGGTAATAGATGGTAATACCGTGGATGATTGTATTGAAAGCCACTACCTGTTACTACTTCCAATTTGTTGAAGGTGAGCAGTATTTCGAATTGAGATCGATGAGTTGGCTGCAGATAACGGCCACGAAGGCAGATGATCGGAGGAGACGGAATCAAAATTTTAAATCGGGATCCAGATCGTCGATCTGATCGCCGAAATAGACCTCAACACGGAAAGACTTGGTGGGCCTCTGGCCGAAAGAAATTCATCCAACCATGGAAGGCTATATGGAATAATTGGTAATGATGGAAAGTAGTCTAAAGAGCTGTGTATAAGAAAGGCGAAGAAGTGCGAAGGTCCTTGCGATACTAAGTAACGACTCTATAATGGAATTCCAATGTTTAGTGCAGGGACTTCGACCTCGAAGTGGCGGATTTTAAAAGGGACTACTAAGTCTGCATTACTCGTCTGTCTATGGGGGACGAGTTGAGTGGCGGTATATAATTAAGTTGATTATCAGCTGTGGAAAAAAAAAACAAGGAAAAAGTCGACGAGAGTTAGAGAGACGTTGTCGTGCCACTGATGGAGCTTACATTTTAAAGTACTCTTGATTCATCCTCCCTACGTAGTCGTCCGATTCCCAGTTCACAGGTATGAGCGGAAACCCTGGGAAGGGTTCTGTTTCTCAAATCGCCGAAGCATATGAGCCTGAAAGTCGAGCGCGCCAGGGTCTGTTTCGGAATACGCAAGGTCACCTTCCTGGCTATCTTCCTTTCCTGGCAAGATCCACGGCGACGACGAGTACGAGGATCGCCTTGGAGTAGGGGATAGCCGTTCCGTTGACCGAGGTGCTGTGTTCGTCATTGGCGGTTGATTTTGATTGATGGGGAGAAAGCCAGAGATTTTGGTAGTCGGAGTGCTTTTGACAACCCCGGGACTTGAAGGCTTAGACCAGGGATTGGCATAAACACTGTAATTGGTTGGCTGCCGAAAGGTTGTTCGTGAAATGTGTTGATTGCTCCGGTCAGCCTCTGCTGGCATCACATCAGCAAGGCCGTATGGCACGCCACGACGGGGAGGGTGGGAGCCGGAATTCGAAGGACGTAAATCGGAAAAGGATGGGACAGTGTACATAAATGGTTCGTGATCTCTTATGACTGACGATGTTGAAAGCTTGAAATGATGGTTTGTGGATGGCGAAAACTCGGACGTAACTGGAGACATCTCAAAGAGAAGATCGGGCGAGAACTGACGTTCAACAGGGGAAGTGAGTGGCGAAAGAATTGGCCTACGTCGAGTGGGTATTTCTATGGGCACCGAAGGGTTGTCGCGGGAAATTGTAGGAGTATCATCGAGCCGCTTTAAGCTTCGGAGGGTCTAGGCGATGGGGATCAGAGCTATGAAGCATTTCTTTCTCGTGCGACTGACTTACCATGGTGTCGAGTCTGAAAGAAAGATACACAGAAAGGTGACCGGAGTTCTAACTGTGCCGATGAACGGGAGGCTGGGTATGCCGTCAGCCCCGACAGAGACGCCCGATGACTGTGTACTGTCTGAAAGGGTTCAAGCTACAGCAGGTCAACGGGAAAGTAGATGTAGAGTGAGGGAGCAGTGCCCGAACTCTATAGGCGTTCACACCAGCCCCACAAAGATGACCGACTGGGCGGTGTACGGTATACCGTGTAGTTGTTGGGATAAGTCGAGAGAAATAGGCAGGTCGATAGAGAAAGTGCAATATTGGGTTGTCGTAGACCACAACACAGAAGGGCGTGAACTGTGAAGGGCAGATTTCGTTCTCCATTTTAGTATTTGACATATAAATATTTTGCCTCCGATTGCATCTACTTTGCCTGCACGTGACTCAGTGTGCTTCACCAACTGTCAACACTCAATTGTCTAGGTGCATGGGTGTGATGTCTAGTACAAGTGTTTCCAAGACAGCGATGACGTTGGAACAAATCCACCTTGTTCCAGAACCTGCAGATAACGGCGTTGCAACACTTGTTGTAATACGATTCTATTGTCGTGATCATGGGAGTTACAGTACAAGGCGTCCAAATATAAGCAGGAACACATTATGTTCATGGTTATTCTTCACTGTGCTTGTAGAGGTGGTAGATTCAACAAATTTAGGCACGATCTTTTTTGGATCTTTTACTACAAAAACTACCTGAAAATCTGAGATAAATGCCCCTCTATTAATTTCAGAATATTTTTTGCGAAATAAAACATCAAGGTGTATCATTGAGTGGACTATCGGCTATTTTCGAGAAGGCGTTCATTTTAACAACTCCAACGTGATCGTCAATAATACGCTGCATTCAACTTTGGGTCGATGTGAGCTTTTACTACATTGTTTCGTATTGAGTGAGATAGTGTATCAAATGATTTTGTAGAAATTAGAGTTTTTGCTGGAGCAGTCAATGAAGTCACGATGATGTCATACGGATGGTTTACTACAAGATTGGCGAAGTGATTGCCAAGACACCTATCTCAAACCATCATGGCGTCCCATACTGTCAATGTCAGTTCTGCCGCCGACGCACGCACTCAATTACTCACCCTGAACATAGGTCTCTGGAATCGCACCATCCACTACACAGGCTCAATTACATGACTTCTTCACGTACGTGGTCTTCATGATCTTGATTATCGCGACCAGGCTGATCTTTCTTAATTTCGTCATAGTTTCTGTGGCAAGTAAGGTGTTCAGTCCAATACGCACCTTCATATCTAACATCCAGCTATCAGAATCACATCGATTAGCATAGAGGGTGAGAAATCGGGCAAGGCAATCATTGCCTTTGAGAAACCTAGTGCAGCAAAGACCGCGCTAATGGTAAGTGTCTATTTTCACCCATTGATGTCTTTTTATACTGAATGGTCGCAGTTGAATGGAGGTACTTTAGACGGATCGACTTTGTCTGTCACCTCAGAGGTCGTCCACCATGATGAGCCCCATGACGTAACAGGGGAGGGACATCCCATCGAGCAAACTGATAAACCACGTGCTGGCAGTATGTATAATCTCTAAGTTGTCGTTTTTTCAGCTGACGGAACCCTACCCAAGTCGCTGCCGAATATTTGGCGAAAGGATACGCACTTTCCGACCACATCCTTCAGCGAGCCATTGACATCGATCGTTCGTAGCGCCATGCTTCACAACTCGCTCATCTGGTTGAATGTTCTATCCACAGAAACGCAGGGGATTTCCAAACGCTTCCTTACCTATTTCCAGTCACTGGACAAGTCTGTAGGAGAACGCGCATTAGGGCCAGAGCAAACTATCTCGGGGAAGCTTCAATCGACCGTTGCATCAGCAAGCCAGCAAGCGAGGGCCGTTGACGAGCAAAAGGGCTACAGCAAAATAGCACAAGACGTAAGTCCGTTTGCTGCGGTGGGAATCTACTCTCATGCGACCTGACAAAGTATTATGGCAAGGCCGTGGCCTCTCCTTTAGGACAGAAAGTTTGGAACTTCTATACCACCACGACCAAGCAGGTCACGGACATTCACGAGGAGGCACGTCGCATCGCTGCAGAGGAAAAGGCGAAAGCAGCATCCAGTTCTTCGCCGCCTACCGAAACCCCTAAGGAGACTGCTTCTGCAGAACCTTCCTCTGAGAAGGTTCAAAGCTAATTTTAACGAAGGATACTGTGCATTAAAGTCGAAAGGCATCAACTTAGCGGGTAGTTATTCTTTAAATTGTAGGGTATTTGTAGAATGTCAAGCGTCACCATCCTGGTGAAAATTGTTTATAAATGGGCTCGTATCTTCCTGAAGAGTACCGCTGCATCGTCATCGTCTAACTCTTCGCGAGCTTCGAATTCCTTTTGATGCATGTGAGTCACTGTAAGTGGAGAAGAGGCCGTGTCGGGAAGCGACGACGACGACATCCCGAAGACAGGGGCGGGAATAATATGAAAATGGACCTGTATAGGCGTTCGATTCCTGAATTAACGAGTTGGACGAAATACAATGCTTACATGGGGAATGGCTTGGGCATATTCCTGATTACATACGACATTCAACGCGGTGTTTCCAAGAGCTGAGAATAAATCAGCTCCGTAGTGTAACATAATTCACGTATACCTTCAGTCAGCGCACGAGCTACCCTCGAGACAACTTTTCCCGTTGCCGCGGCAAATTCAGGAGGAAGGTCAGAAAGCCTAGAGATATGTGGTTTAGGTATGACCAATGTATGCCCCTTCCGCAGGGGAAGGATGTCTACAAGAACAGATGAAATGGGTGGATTTCTCTGTTCAAATATTCAACGTACCTAGGATGGCGATGACATTCTCATCTTCATATACCTTCGTGGCTAGCAGCTCACCACTGATGATGCGGCAGAAGGAGCATGAGTGGTCTTGTGTCCACTCGGGTGGAGGTGTACGCCCGACATGACTGCGTATGATGAACGAGGTCATAACTTCTCGTAGTGGGTTGAGCTCACGATCCGGCAGCATCCGAGCCACCTCTGTTCATCGTTTGCAACCATGTCGCGTGGTAACAAGGCCCCTATCGTCGGAATTCTCTCTTCTTCTATGCGAGAAAATTATGATGAATTTGGTGTTGAAGAGGTTCGAGAGATCATTCCGTTGAAACTTCGCCGTCTTATCGTACTCTTACTTGCCGGAACAGTACTATAAGAAAGTCGGCGCAACCTATCGGAATCCTCACTTTCCAGGAATACGATCATGTTTATTCATTTGGTTCAATAGGTATGCTTGATTTTACCCACCCGACTTTGTGTCTTTTTTCGGGGAATAAATTATTGCAGATGGTGGCAGATGGAACACCTAAATGTTTCCCGACAACCTGATAATCAAATTCTCCTCTTTGACATGGCGTGTGGTTCGTCTCGGCTAGTTTTATGCGTGCGCCAACTCACATCCACCGAATGGTTTAGGGAGGTATGTAAGCCTATCTACACCCTATGCGTTAGATTGCTCCAATCCCGCTGCGGCGTAGTGGAGAAGTGACATTGCCATTCGCGGAATGGTGGAAGGCTGGGAAACGCATCTACGCAGAATCGAGCGGTTCAAAGGAAACTCCGTTTATCGACTCACAACCTGCAACTGTACCTCTTCGAAGAAAGCCCCAGACCGTGACCGTTTCACTTGGACCGGAGTTCCCTCCACCTCGTGTAGCTGCTGCAGATCCCGTCAGTTTCAGATCCATCCTCTCAATGAACGTGTTAAATTAACAACTCATCAGTTCACGTCGGTGGCATACAAGGATCGAACGTCCCTTGAATGCTCGTCTCTCAGCTTTAAAGAAATTGCTGAAGGACATTTCCCAAACATCTACTCAGATATTTCCAAAGTTCCAATTCAAGTAGACAATATCCCAGAAAACGCCGAAGGCCAGCAATCACGGCGGTCCGTCGAAATGGTGATTTGCTCCTTTGCTTTACATCTGGTCGAAAACCCCTCCGAACTGTTCTCACTTCTTTGGGAGTTGAGTACATATGTACGATGGCTAGTCGTTCTAGCTCCCCACAAGAAGCCAGAGGTGAGCAAGCCTTATTCAGACGTTCAATCAATTCATCACGTATCTTCGTAAGATCAAGGAGGGATGGGGATGGTCGAAGTGGGACGTCGATACGTGGCAAGCATGCCAGGTATTGGAGAGTGCCGGGGAACTGCTTCGTGATCGGTTGGTTTCAGTTTTAAACTCGGCCAGTTGCATGGCTAATGTCCTCCTTTTATACAGAGTCCGTTGCCGCGTATATCGAAGCCTCAACGTTCAAAATGAAAACCAAACTCTGTGAAGAGGATGGTTTATCCATACACTCTTAGAAGGTGATGATGCAGCTTGATGAAACAGCAATAAATGCATTGATCCTAGGTGAGATGATCCATTACTTGATAGCAAATGAATTCAGCCAGTCGAATGTACGTCTTTGTCGCATCTCTGCCTTCCGTGGCGATCAGTTCCGCATCAGTGGTCCAACCATTGAGTTCTATAAGCAGCTTCCTCAGACGCGTCCAGGAAGTGCCAGATCCATTAATCATTGTTATCGGCCTATCAGAAGGCTGCCTATTACACCTGCCGCGAAAACACCAGTGCCTATCAACGCCAAGTCCCATCGTCTCTGAACAGTTTCTGTCAAAGAACTGTCGGGGGTAGCGGGCTTGTCCGCTTCATTTAGAGGCTGAGGAAGGGGTGGTATCGTCTCAGCCTTTTGGGAGACTATCTCCGTAAATGTCCGCAGCATGGATTCCTGTTCTGCAAGCCTCTTTTCGATCGCCTCCATGCTAACCTCAAGTCTTGTAGCATTCTCCTTGCTTAGCTCCTCAACCTTTCTCTCGAAAGTTTGTGCCAGCCTTCGCCGCTTCCAAGGCTCAACCGCCACGATTGCGATCACAAAAACAAGCAAGTTGAGGCCTAAAGCCGCCAGCTGGCCATAGGTCGATGCACTCCGGATTTTGTCAGACCAAACTTGCTCCTCGTGGTAGCGCGCAAGAATGCTGCGCATGAGTTGGCTGAATTCCCGTTCTACCGCATCTTCCATCTCGTTTACACCCGCCTTTGCCCGTGCTTCCTCCTGTTCGTAAAGGTGATCCTGCCGAACAATTGCTGTGAAGCGAACCACATCGCCGTCCGTCCAAGTGGATTTTCTTGAGAGGAGATCATTCACCTCTCTCTGGGAATTGGAGCGTTGGACAACAGCTTCTTCGTATGCAACTTTTGCCTGTTTTGCGGCTTTACGCGTGGCGTTTATTCGATTCTCTGGTTATAAAGGTTTATGAGATTCATGTAGCTGTTAGCAATTGAACTTGCCCTGTTCCACTACCTCTCGCTTGAGCGCCTCGATCGCTTCATAGCCTGTAACTTTGTTGAGCTGCGAACCAAGCTGGGAGAATGTGGTTTTCGTGGAGAGGGTAAAGTCATCCGCTCTATTTCGAATTGTGATGCCAGCCTGGTCAGTCCAGTCTCGAATGCGCTTTTTGACGAGCTCCAAGTCAGAAGGAGTCAGAGATTCGCGAGACTCAGCAGTTCTAAGTAGAGGGTCCGGAGTTGAAGTCTGTACTTCGTTGGATAGGTGACTGCTCCGTGAAGGTTCCGCGTGCCCCTCGTTTTCTTTATCCGGTAGTAGAGGTGGGCGGGATGTGTTCCGCGTCGGGAACGATGAGGAGAACTGACGGTGTGCAAGCAAGGTCCTCGACAAGCCAGTCCTCAGCATGGCTAACTGAGGAAATGTTGTCCGGAAAACGCCGACGACAGGACACTTTGCACATTTTAACCCTTCCATCCTCTGTCTTTCGCGTTCGATATGCTTTCAAGAAATCTAATCCATTGAATCTAGTAGTAATAGGACTGTACCGATGTCCAGGGCATAAGGATATTTTAAAAAATGTATGTACCGGGATGGACGTCATTAAGTGTAAAGTCCCAAATCCCCGTTTAGCTCCACACATCCAGCATGAGTCGTGAACGCTCCTTCAAGAGCTTCAACTCGGCCACACCCTCTACCTCACCTGATCCGCCCTTGGCCTCCCCAAGAATTCTCGCGAGAACTTCCTCGACTTGTTTGGCCATGTTCTTGGCCTCACCACAGATATAAACGTAGCCCTTGCCGTTGAGGATGGCATCTGCGATGTGCTCCCTGTCTTGCCATATCAGATCCTGCACGTAAATCTTGCTTCCATCCGGCTTGAACTTTTCACGAGAGAAAGCGCAATGGAGAACAAATTTGCCCTTCAACTCTTCAGTGTATTGAGGCCACTCGTCCTTATAAAGGAAATCTTCGGTGGACTTCCGGCAGCCGTAGAACAATGATATACGACCCCAATCAGTCAGGGCGTCTGGGCCGTTTTTCTCGATGGACCGACGGGCCAACGCAATGCGCTCTTGAACGAAACCGCGGAACGGAGCGACACCCTATGGCCAAATATTGAGTAAATCAAAGAATGGAGCATAGATAAACGTACAGTTCCAGGACCGATCATGATAACTGGGCTCTTTGGGTTTGTTGGGAGTCTAAACGTTGAGCGCCTCACGTGTATGGGAGCCTTGTAAACCGTGTCCTCCTTGTAAGCGCCACGAGGTCCTTCGACAAGGTATGCAGGAACAGCTACACGTTCTTCACCGTTTTCGCTGATAAGAGGGACAGCCTCTCCGTTGGTAGCGTGCTTGAGGTTAAGAAGGAAGTTGGATCCGACACCATGCACCCATTTCTTCTTGACGATCTCACTGGGAATGTTCTCGTGTTTGAGAACAACAACGGTGGCGTGGATGCTATTGGAATTGAGCTTAGGGCTGGATGAGATGGAATAATACCGAGGTTGGAGACGAGGCGTGGCGGAAACGATGATATCAAATGGTATTGTCCATGCAGCGGTGTTTTCCGGGGTAGGGATGAGGGTGATATCGTTACCAGCGGCCAATTGAAGAACCTCACCCAGTTTGAGGCAACCGTTAGCGACAACTTTGTGGTATTCCTCCTTGTTTGTGTTCAAATTTTTGAGGAATGCCTCGGCCTCGGGGGTAGGTGCAAACCTGGACAAAGTCCCAAGAATTTGACGACCAGCGACGGCACTGATATCAATATAATGCCGGACGACAGTACCGTATGTCGTTGGGACGGGGAAAGGAACTTTGGCAAGAGCCGGATCAAGTGATTCAATGCCAATAACGGTGTCCTTTTTCTGAGAAAGGCCGAGGACACAGAGGAGACGATCTACCTCTACGTCGGGGTTCAATGGCCACACGCCAAGATGGTCACCATGCTGATAAGTTATGCCAGATCCTTCAGTATTGAACTCAATGTGAACGCAATTGCGATCAGCATGAGGCTCGAAGAGCTCCCGAGCGACACTGATGGGGGCAGCGAAGGGGTTCTTGGCATCGTGAATGCCTTTGGTCTTAGTCAAGGCACGAGCAGAATATTCACCTTGGGAAAGAGGTTAGAAGCGAAAGATGGCAATCTCAGGAACGTGCTCACCGAGGTAGACCTTCTCTATAGGATGCGACTCCAGTTCCGAAACTGCAAAGTCGGCCGAGTCGCCACCCTGACCTTCCTCGACACCCATGGCCGTTGCGAAAGCTTCCCACATACCATCTTTCCACTCCAAGTAATCTTCTTCCATACTTTTATCGTCATCGCCCTCACCTCTTTCCCCAATGCGCACAGCACCCATCTCAGCCAAGGCGGCGTCGACCTTACGCCCAATGACATTGTAATGTTCGTAGGTTCTGTTACCGAGGCCAAAGATGACATACTTGAGACCATCGAGCTTGCGTTCTCCATTGGAGAAGGCAAAGGAATCGTCTTGGACGTTTTGGAGGAGCTGCACCGCATTATCCGTAGGCTCTCCCTCTCCGTATGTAGCCAACACGAAAAACGCAGCACAGTCTTCTGGAAGCTGATCGAGATTCTCAAAGTCGTGCTCCTCGGGATCACATACTAGTGAGGCGAGACCGAACTTGGACTTGGCTTCCTTAGCGAGGCGGATGGCATATTCTTCTGCGGTACCCGTTTGTGAGCCATAGAATATCACAACCCGCTTTTTCTGAAGATCAAATGATAGGAATTATGAACAACGGTTTAATATAACTAGTGGAAGAGCGCACGCACCCCCTCCTTCATTTTTGCGATGAAGTCCCGAGGATTACCTGATCCATTAGCGGCCTTGGCGGAGACTGCGGGGGCAGCCTTCGGTTTTGCCGCTGCGAAGAGAGTGTCGCGGAATAAATAAACGCCAGCTAGGACAACGCCGAGGCCAAGAATTATAACATCTGAAGAGGAAGAAGATGCCATTGTCGTTGCAGACAACGGTAAAGGTACAACTGGAGAGAAGGAGGATGAATTTGGTGCACTCATGATTGTGTGAGTGAGATAGTACCAAGTAGGGCGCTTTACCAGCCTGTCTTGAGGGGAGCCAGGGTGAATTTAAGGCAAAGTTTGCCGACGGAGAACGGATGAGCAGATGATGAAAGTTTGAAGTTAAGTTTGGACGTGGCCTTACTCTGGCCTTATTTATTATCTCATGTTTGGTTGCTCAAAGTCCCATGTAACATTTTACCAAGTCAAGCATGCTGCATCGTGCCATTATTGTGTCTGCGGCCGTTCTGCTCCGATAAACGTCAAAGACCCCTTGGTCCCCCGACCTCCATTTTCTCCCGTGTGCCCCAGGCTTGAGCCAGCGTTTTGTGTAATTCCAGGACTTGTTCACTATCGCCACCGACTTCGTAAGAATACCATTCAATGGCCTTCCGTGCCCATTCTTCAGTCGCGGTCTTACTGCGGAGGCGGACAAGTTTAACTGTTAATCGCTTCTCCTTCCTAGGTGTCCACTCACTCTGAATGGGCTGCGGCGATCCAAGCGGCGTCGGCTGCGAGACGCCCTCGCTCGCTCCAATACCCCTCTTCATCTTCGAGTGCCCATATCTTCCTGATGTGATCGATCGCTTCTTTCCCACTGATTTCGTGATTGCCCCAGGTTGCGAAGCGACCATATTCTTCGGATATCGTGGCTAACCGAATGTCAGAGGCGCGAGACTGCTCCTCTGGAATTGAGCAAGCACTGCAGGTACAATAGAAACCATAGTGCTCCGTGAGATATGCTCTTTACCCGAGTCCATTCATGTTAAGCCAATGACGAGAATAAGGACTGTCAACACACCGACGCTGTTCTCTCGGCCGTCTCAACTCCGTATAGGTAGTCAGTAGTTCCTGGAACATTGTTATTGGAGAATATTTTTAAAAATTGAAAATCAAACCTCTCCCTTGCGTATGGATTTCAAGGCGTAGACCACGAGCACGCCTTCCTTTTCTCTCCAGGAGTAAACAACGTTGAATGCACTTGAACATCCATGATTTAGGCGGGCCATCCTCGGAAAAATTCCAACACCATTTCCAGCCGCAACAGCATTGGTCTGAAATATAGCCAAAGCAACTTCTTCGGGGCTTTTTTCAGGCTCGAGGTGCTTCGGGAAGTTGACACAGGACAGGTTCATAAAAGCTGCTTGATCGGCAGAGTTCGTCTTTGCAAGAAGACCTGAAATTAACGCGGTTGGGGAGGAATTAACTGAAAACGACATTCTTCAGTCCTAAATTATACAGGGGCGTAAAGAGGACCTTTTACTTTGGAGAGGAACCACGAAAAGAGGGCGCTCGCGAATGACAAGTTCTCCTTGCTATTACATTGAGATTCAGAAGACTTTTAAGAGAGAGACCAATCACTTTTATGTCCCTAGCCGCTATAACCCCCTTTCCCTTCCCTGGAAGGTCAGCAACGAAAAACATCGCCCTACCTTCATCAGTCATCGGAATTCTTTCGGTTTGAACATCTGTATGTTGTATTTGCTTTGCATAGTACAGGACAGAAAGCGACGCTATGAGCAGCCCTATGAAGAGCAACCAACTCTTGAGTGATAGATCAGCGTAAGGCAAATGCTGATAAATGGAGTTGTGACTGACCTGACACCCAACTGGTTCCGAAAGTACTACAGACATTTTCGGCCCTGTATTCGCTCTGGATTTGGGACGACGTTGGATGGGCATGGAGCCCGGTGCTAAGATTAATGCGCCCAGGGATGATTGTGATTGTGAACTTAGTCTAAGTTCTGAACTACATAAGAGAAAGCGCGTCAAATCATGTGATATCGTTCAACGACCAAATTACAAGTAATCTTTGCGACTAAATAAATTATGTAAAATAGTAGTACAATGTAGATGGAGTCTTGAAAATGCACAATGAAAGCTGATTCGCCTTCAGCTTTACCTCGGTTCCAACTTTACAGCAAAAAGAATTGCAATGGTCAGCGTCACAAGGACTGTTAACGCTATTGCAATGAAACCTGTTGCCAGACGAGCAACGGGAAAGTAACCTTTTGTAAGTGCTGCTTGAATGGTGAAGTATCGTGCTACACCTACAAATGTCCTCTATTGTAATCACCTGAGGTCTAGAACAAGCGAGGTACGTACCAATCCAGAGAACCAATATCCCAATTGATACGGTAGAAGCACCGAGGGGCCGTATATATAGAAGGAGTCCATGTGGAGTAACTCCGTTTGACGAGGGAGCGGAGAAAAGTTGTACGAGGGCTGTCACATGTTGAGGATTAGCGCCATGGACAAACACCATTTGGCTCACCGACACCGGACGCGCTTATAGCTAAACTCGTTCTCATGTAGGCAAGGAACGTTCTCTCCGAAGCAAGGTGGTCTCGTGCGACACTGCCTGAATTCTCGAGGCGCAAAAATATGTTTCGAGGTAGGTTTAGCGGAAACCTTGACCGACGTGAGGTTGTCGTGTGACTGCTGCAGTATGGAGCAGGCTTTTGGGAGTCAAGTGGGTTGAAGTTTTGCCATCCCCCACCTCGATTGCCATGAGTATCAGAGTACAAAAGAGACGTTCCTGTGGAAAAATGGGGGAGCAGAGGACTACTCTCTGACTGTTGAGAGGAGCATGTCTTTGGTGAACCCTTGCCAAGGTATTGGAAGGGATGTGCTCTTGGCCGTGAATGATGGAGACCAAGCCTCGTTGATACTCTCTTCCTAGTCGCCTTAGGAGGACCAGCGATGAGAGGGGTGGACTCGATTGGTTGGTGAGGACGTCGGTGGGGGATCATGGTAATGGTATGTAGGCAAAGGGGGTTGAAAAAAGTTCAAAGGTCGCTGGCTGGTCGGGCCTCGAACGTTACTTGACAGACCAGTGATCATGAAGAAAAGATCATGAACCACGGGGGTCAATTGATCCTTCCACCAGTCTTCTATAAGCCTTTCATCAGTCTTGCCCCGGGGAGTAAATTAAAAAAATCATGTTCAAACTTAGCGCTTAAATATCTCCATGCCACCTCCCCAGGATCCTTCACTGGTGAATAAAGAGCAGTGCACAATCCAAGCTCGACTTTTGCTTGACTTTCATGTTGCTTCTTTGCTGGTCGCGGTCAAGATCCGCCCTTTCAAAATTACAAGATCCAAACGACACTGCGCAAATACAAACGTTCTCAAAAATTAAGGTATGCGCGCGTGTCGGACGCAGTTTGTCGTTGGCGCCAGTGGTCGGTCAAGGTCATGATAAGGGTCCTGAGACCTTTTTTGGAAATGACTTGCACAACGAGGCATCGATACAGACAATGCTACATATGCATTCAAGGTGGCCGTTTTTACATTTAGCTTATGGTTTATTAAAAGTATATGTGCTTGCCCTAGAAGATACATCCATGAGAGGTTTCTCGTTCGTTGACATGCTTTGGGGATAGCCGGTGGTGGCTGTACCCCGCCCCCGTCTCAACGTGCGGGATCGTTGTTGAACTACATAACTCCGTCGGAGCCTCTGCAGAATCTTTCACCGGTCAATAAAGAGCAGTACCCGACCCAAGCTCGACTTTCATGTTGCTTCCATTCTTCGCTGCTCGCCGTCAAGATCCATATGTCATATGACACTTGTGCAAATACAAAAGAATGAAATTCGAAATGTGTGCGCAGGTGTGCGCGCGCGTGACCGACGTGATCAAACCTGTCAGTGTCACTCTTTCAAGCTCTCATGTTATGTCGATGCTTGACCCATCTGATGAACAAGAGGAAAGGCCGCTGACCGAACCGCAATTAAACGCCAACAACCAATTTCCATTGGAAAAGGAGGCTCTGGTCAAGAAAAAACAAAAAAAGAAGCCTGTCGAGCTCATTAGAGAGCCTGGAAAGTCTCTTTTTCCAATCTCAAGAGTTCAAAAAATCATCAAAGCGGACAAGGCATTCTTACTTTATCTTTCATTAGTCACCTTGATTAACCACCGATCGACAGGAAATACCCATTGTGGCGAAGGATGCGACCTTTTTGATATCCCTGGCAACGGAGGAATTCATCAAACGCCTTTGCCAGGCCGGTCACAGCGTCTCTGAGCGGGACAAGAGGTCTATCGTGCAGCACAAGGACATTGGTGAGCCTACATTCGTCGAGATATTTGGGTGAACTTGAGCTTGCTACCAGCCACCGTTGTGAGAAGGGCCGATGAATTTCTGTTTCTTGAGGGTGTGTAGTTGATCTAGCGATTGGGATTTCTAGGTTCTCATGCAGGTCATAGAAATTATGCCTTGGACGACTTCAGGCGGACCTGCTAAACGTACGAAACCGAAGGAAAACACGGCATTGGATAAGTTCGTGGTGTCGAAAGGAGGCGAAGAGGCGGAAGATAGCGGTGGAAATGACATAGTTATGAATGAGGATGGAACGATGGCGATGGCAGTAGAGTAGAATCCAGGCGGAATCTGTGTTATGATGGGTTTGGTCATTTCGTCATCAACCTCTTCAACTGCGACGCCCAGATTATGAAGATCGTCACGACATTTCACCAGTCTTCTTCTGTTCTAAGCTCCTTCAAATGCCAACTTGGAACCAGAGATACCGAACACCTCGTCGTTGCCAAACTCAACAGATTAGATGTCTACTCTCTAAAGCCCCAAGGACTTCACCATGAATGTGGCGTTGAGATTTGGGGCAAAGTCCTCACGGTTAAAGCCATCCCACAAATTGTGAGCCGTCAACGTTCCCGATGACTCGTCCTTCTCAACGGTATGTCTGTTGAAGGGTTCGGCACGCTCAACGATTGTTCTTATGATCGCTCACCCCGATCCTGAACTCGTTTTCTTTACGTATATTGACCGTCAGGGAGACAATCCAGCATTGGAGGTTTCAAAGAAACTGTCATTGTTTGAGCGCATAGCACGCCCCGCCGAGTTCTTCAATGACGTTCTCGTCCACCCTTCGGGAAAGTTGGCCCTTGTCAGCTGCTACAGCGGAAAGCTCAAGATCATCCGTTTGAAGTGCGGAACATATGACAAGGATTACGACGTTCAGTGAGTAACTTCCTATCACCCCCTCTCGCTCCTTGACTCCTACACCCTTCAGGTTACCCGAGGTAAATGTGTTCTCGGTCACTTTTCTTTCATCTTTCAACGGCGAGTACGCCGTGGCAATTTTATACCTCGACTATCAAGAACGCGTTCAACTCGTTGCTCGAGATATTCTGGTCAATGGAGACGATATCACCGTTTCAGAGGAGCCATCAACCCTGCTGCACCCAACACCTATTTCGAATAAAACGCTTCCATTCCCTACAGAGTCTGTGCCACAGCTAGTTTCTGTGCCTCCCGAAGAGCTGGACGAAGACACGGACGTTGATGACGCATTTCTCGGTGGAGTCTTGGTCGTAGGGGGAAGGCAGATCCTCTTATTTGAGCTCTCGTCAGAAAAGAGCCAGGAGAAGCAAAGAGGAAAAAGAAAGAGACTGGAGAGCAGAAAGTCAAGTAAGGATGTGACGGAGATAGCCAAAGCGCGGGAAAAAGAAAAAGAGAGGGAAGGAAGACGACGGAAACCAAAATCAAGCATCGAATGGCCGTTTAGTGAATTAGCAGCGTAGGTTTCGTTTCTGCTCTTCCATCAATAACTTTTCTTAAACATTGCAGTTGGTGTGCAATTGATAAAGCGCCATATCGGTACCTTATTGGTGACTCTTTCGGGAGGCTTTCGATACTATCCTTAGATAAAGTACAAAGGATCGGTCTCGTTCTGATTCCTTTTGGAGAGGTGAATTTTCCTACGGTTTGTTAATCTTTCCTTACGTTGATATCATTTCAGGCTTCCTCACCCACGTCGCTGACGTACCTGACAAATCAGTTGGTCTACGTTGGGTCACACTCTGGTGACTCGCAACTCATACGTCTTTCGCCTCTACCAATTTCCTCGAGCGAATCTCCCACCCTTCCAATACCCCCTGAGATCAAAACGGTGTCTCCCAACCTTCTCGAAGCACTTGGGCACAGAAAAGGCAAGAGTAAAAGCGTTGCAGAGGACCACATGGACGAAGATCACGACGATGAAGATGATGCTTCGCAAGGCTACATTGTGGAGACACATGGCTCATTTATTGAGGTGTTGTCTTCTTACAAGAACCTTGCGCCTATTCTAGATGCCATATTAGTGGACACAGATGGTAGCGGTCAGGTCCGCTCTCTTCTGCCAGAGGTTATACCGGCTCTAACAGATCCCTGAACAGCAACACATTGTGACATGCTCCGGTGCTCGGAGCACCGGCTCCATAAACATTGTAAGGAACGGCGCGGACTTTCAGGAAATCGGTCATGTTCCCGGTCTTACTGGCGTGGTTGGAGTCTGGTCTGTTCGTACCATGCTGGAAGATACGTAAGCGACAGTTCATAATTATTGACGAGGATTTTTCACACAAAAGCTTTCATAGGACCGACAGATACATTTTAGTGTCCACAAATCGTAGCACCCACCTTTTTGAAATTGATGACAGTGGCTCTACCAGCACCATCACACCAGTCGACAGTACCACCATTCGGAGCCTGGTGACCACGGAGGCGACCCTTGCATTTTCGAATCTTGCTAGACGGTCCTCTGTTGGCGGCTCATCAGTTTACAAGAATTCGCCCCTTGCGGTCCAGGTGGTAGCTAGTGGCGCAAGGCTGCTGAAATCAAATACAGCTTTTGGAGGCTATGAGCTTGTTGCTCAATACTCAATGCTATCCAGTGTCCCCTACGGCCAGAGACCCCTCGAAGTAGTTGCTGCCAGTGCAAATGCCAGTCAACTCGTGATGGCGGCCAGTGGAGGGAAGCTTACTTTGTGGAGACTTGGGGAGAATGTTGACGCCCTTGAGATGATCGCTGGGTGCCAGAGGAAGGAGGGACCCGAGATATCTGCTGTTTCGTGTGCTCCACTGAACACTACCAAGCGAACATCACCGACAATTATCGTCTCGTACTGGCAAAGCAATACCATTGAAATATTACAGGTCTCACTGAAGGGTCTTGAGTCGGTATACAAATCTCCGACTTTGCCGGCTCTGGTCCGCTCGGTTTTGTTGTACAATTTCGGGTCGGATACGAACCCTAAGGGGACAGATCACCATCCTTATCTCCTCGCTGGACTTGCTAATGGTACAGTTGCATCCTTCCGATGGAAGGATAAGCAGTTGACGGACAAGAAAATCATTCCTCTGGGACACGCCCCTGTCAATTTGATGCCTTGCCAGGTGGAAGGCAGACACGCTGTATTCGCCGCAGGGAATCGAGCGACTGTCCTTTCGTTTGAGAATAAGCGCCTGGTTCACTCGCCAATCATGCTCAAGGCAAGTCACACCAATTTCTTGGGAGAATTCGATATTCAACGAACTTCTAGGACATCTCTTCTGCGGCGCGTTTGAACACTCCAACGTTTGCATCATCCTTGATTCTGTCTACGCCAACGGGACTTTTCATCGGTCGGGTACAGGGTCTAGGGAAGCTGCATATACGCAGTGTATGTGTTGAATTCACTTGTGCCGAATTTGACATTGACCCCTTCGTTAAAGATCCCATTTGGATTTGATAATCCTCGCAAAATAGCACATGAACCTTCAATCAAGGCTTTCGGAGTTGCTTTCACGACTATGGAACCCAACAGGGTTAACGATCCCGAAATATCAAGGAGTTCCTTCAAACTTTTGGACGATACATCCTTCGCTAGTCCTGTTTTCTTCACTTGGAGATGATGACATTCTCTGAGATGGTTTACAGATCTCTGCCAGTTCAATTGCGACCCTGACGAGGAGACGACGGCCGTCGTATCTTTCTCTCAAAAGATAGCAGGAAAACCCATGCCCTTCTTCTGTGTTGGGACTTACGTCTATAAAGCAGGCGAGGTGGAGCCCTCAGCAGGCCGTCTTATGATCTTTACTGCAACAACTTCAACCTCCTCCAACCTAGCACTCTCTTTGATGGCGTCCACAAAGGTTCCGGGCTGCGTATATGCACTCACGGTTGTACAAAACCAGATTGTGGCCGCAGTCAACTCTTCGGTCTGCTGTCTTGTGACATGTCCAGACCATAGCTGACACTCTTGTTTCAGGTGATGTTATTCAGGCTGGAGAGCTCCTCTGATTCTTTGTCCCCTTCTCTCATTAAAGTGTCGGAGTGGCATCATAACTATCTCGTCACAAGCCTCGGATCTTATGCTGACAGGGTGGTCGTTGGGGACCAGCCCAGCTCAATATCGTTACTGCAAGTCACTCAGTCCAAATTGATTTCCCAGGCAAGGGATTACGGGCCTTTGTGGCCCGTTTGTGTGGAAGCTTTGGACGAAAGACACATTATCGGCGCTAATGTCGGTCCTTTCATTTGGCTTCTGCTCCTGCATGGCATATGCTCACTTTCTTTCAGGATTCCTTGAACCTTTTTACCTTCTCGTTGGAAAAGGCGATGGGAAGGTCGCGTCTTGAGCGTGATGGGTGTTACCATGTCGCGGACCTGGTCACAAAGTTTTTGCGCGGTAGGTTTGACCTCGAGTAGGAAAAGTCACATCTGACTTTTCCTTAGGCTCTCTTTCCTCCTCGGACGCGTCAACCACGTCTCCCCTTACATCCGAAGCCATGTTTTTTACATCGTCTGGGCGCATTGGGGTTGTTGTCGATGTGAAGGACGAAGAGCTTTCCTTGCAGTTGACAAATATGCAACGGAACCTGGCGAATGTCATACAGGGTGTCGGAGGTTCCAGCCACTCAAAGTGAAGACCCTCATTACTATACCCAAGGATCTCGCTCACTGACCAAACAGATATCGAGCTCCTAAAACGACGAGGGGTACGAGCGACGCTGATTCAGGCGCCATTGGGTTCCTGGACGGCGACTTTTTGGAACAATTCTTGACCCATGTGCTTTCGCCTCAGCAGTCAGAAAAGGTGATACAAGGACAGAGTCCCCCCGAACGACTGACGATCACCCGGGAAGCGTTACAAATGGTGATTGAGGATTTGCAGAGTTTGCACTAATAACAATAAAGACGGAATCCTAACGATGTATGTACTAATATTTACGGGTCCAGTGCAAGGTATGAAAAGAGCAATAGAGTGATGTGCAAGAGGTATATCGATCTGAATAGAGAGAAAAATGCAAGGCGGGCCAGAAGTGTAGTCTATTCGTTTGAATATCACCAGATAGATGAGAGATACCACCGAAGGCTCTGCAGGAAAGTTAATGATGGGAACTCTCGGAGTGGCTGAAGATGGCCTTGGTCGATGTCAACGGCAGATGGGGGTGCAAAGTAGAAGCCAGACGTCAGCACAAGATAGCTGTCCTTTCATCAGTCAGGAGATTGGGACAGGCTTAGTTGACTTACCTCAGAATAAGGATACTTCCTCGATGGTAATTGCTCTTGGCTTCAATATATGTATATGTCATCAAAAACATGGAAAGGATGATAACAACAACGTCCCATCTCGGGAAGATTAACCTGAGTTGGTGCGTCAGACAAGACACTAGGGAGTGAATCCAAATCCTTACGAGAAAGTTTTTGCCACTTCACCCATGTTTTCAGGATTGTACCAAGCGGAGAAAGCAACCATTGCCGGGATTTGGAGGAGACAAACTTGAAGTGCGTATGCTGAGCCGATCTCCATACTACAATGGGGGTGAAGATTGTCAGAAGACAGACGGCTGAAGCCGACGGAAAAGCATGCCTAAGTGCGATATTTCCGTTCAGAGCGAATGAGATTGCATTCATAAACTCCGTGGTGTTTGGGACAAGAGCGAATAGAGTAACACCCAGGAACTTCTCGTCGATGCCAGAATCTTCCAAGATAACGTCGACGACGTCAACCAACAGTTCTGGACATAGAGGGTATAAACATCCATCCTTGCGAAAGTCAAACATACGTACCAGCAATTATAGCGTAAAGAAAAGTGCAAGTCAGCAAGACGCTGGCGCTTGTCGTGCGACTCCAGGAAGGCGCATCATGTCCCCCATGTCCCGCAGCTTCACTTTCAACCCCTGCAGATGTTCGTATTCTACCTGGAGATTGTGCATGGGTTTGTTGGTGACGAAGAGCACTAACTGTTGCAACCGCAACCGCACGGGTAAAGTCATCCGTGGTCATAGATCCGGGAAGACGAACATTTTCCAAGTCGGTGCTTTTCACAGCGTGTTCAACACTCTCCATCACAGGTAAGAAACCGGGTTGTTGAGAAACAGCATAAGAAACTCTTCTCGGGAGATTGGGTGATGCTGGCCCTCCAGGGCGACCTGGTTGCGGAGTTGAAGCAATTGGGATTGATTGCGAACCTTCGCGAGGTGCAGGTGTTTGTGTGCGTGATGGTGCATTGCTTCCCACATTTGTTGCGTTACTTGCTTTCCGATGCAGAGAAGCAGGGGGCTGGCCAGCATTTTGATTTTGATTAGCAGGTTTGTGGTAGAGGGACATGCGCGTATGAGTGGGCAACTCCATTGGATGCAAGAGTTGTTGAGGATTCTGCCAGATTTGGGAGGCATGCGTGCGGAGGGAGAACCAGAGACCAATAAGATACGACTAAAAAGTGAATAGTTGGTCAGCGAAAAGGACGAAGAGGCCCTTGTTGTACTCACGAAAAGGAGAATTGCAGCACAAAAGTACATCAAGCTTTTGACCGTCGACTGGTAGAAGGGATCGTCTACCGGGTCTGGATGCTTGTAATAACAGTGGTCGCAAATCCATGGAGCATCCCCGGGTCCCCCAGGCAGAGAAGGACACCCGCTGCAGATCAATTGGAACTAAAATTCAACTGTCAAAACACAAGATTCAAAGTACGCGGGGAAACTCACATTGCCATATGTTTGATAGAATAACGTTGGAGCCAGAGCTCCTATAATGGCCATGATCAACATCATGCTAGTGACACCAGCACTCTTGGCGTTAAACTTCTGTTCCTTTCTACGCAACGCACCACTACACATGCTCATTCCAGGCATCAGCAAAACACCTGCAAGAAGACTGCCAACGATGGAACCTTCAACCAGATGACCTTTGCCCTGAGTAAGTGCAATGGCGTAGAGAATGATTTCGATAATTGAACCAAAGGTGGCATTTATGACCGCACCCATTCCAATTGACGATTGGGCTGATATAGATGCTACTGCCATCCCAATGAAATATGAAAGGGGAATCACACTCGTAAGACAGAGCAGGAATATAAGCCCTTGTGATGCTATAGCGGCCAAGAAGGCTGGGACGTGCTTTTTTTCGTGTTCAAGGCGTTCAACCATAGGCAGGAGGACAAATCCGTCAAAGATGACAAAGAAGACAATCGGAAGGAGGTTGACAAAAAGAATGTTCACTCCGCCTACAGTATACTTGTAGTACTGCAAGCCGACTGCGCGGTAGGTACACAGTAAGACAGTTGATGTAGGAGACCCCGACGGAGCTGCTTGTCCTGCAGAAAGCCTGGGGTGTTTGACCGAGAATTGGGTCGCAGGTACAGGGGCTGTTCCATCGGCTGCCTGTGTGGCGGCCGGGTCGTTTGGTACGGTTTGATTGGCAACCACAACAACAGGAGGAGCTGCGCAGAAACGGATAGTAGTGGGCCGTTCGAACATATATTTGATCAGTGCCCAATTCAGTTTTGCCATAGGAATAGTGACTACCAGGGCCCAACATATGAGGCATACAAGAAGCATGAGAGGCGCGATGATGAAAACGAAAGCGAGCCAAAAACAAAATTTCCCGAGGATGTCGCTGGCCTTGAGCTCAGATACACCGATTGCACTTACGGAAGAGGTCGTAGGCAATAAGGTTGCACCGTAAGACTTGCTAGGAATTTGAGTTTGCAAAAGACGGCAGCCCTCCCCAGTAGAGCTGGGCTCTGATCGCCACGAGGAGGTCGGCGCGTGTTGCGCCGCGGCGTATGTGTCCGGCATAATGGTAGAATGCTGCGAGAGTGGCGGGTGTCGGACAGTGCTCGTTGGCGAAACCCCGCCTTGAAAGTCTGGTACGGGGGGCGAAATGCCACGGACAGTGTGATTACTACCGCTCCAACGTCTGGTATGAAGACCCTCCTCCTCCGGTTCATCGTCCTCGGAAGCAGAGTCATCCCCTTCAACATATTTTCCAAATGGCCATGCGAGATACCACCCCAGTCCAAAGACCAGAGATGCATACCGTTTCCCTCCTTGTGGTATCACGTATAACACTGCAGAAACGGAAAAACACGTAAGTCCCAGCCACCAACCGAAAGCTAGAACCCAAAACAAATTTCCAGGAAGGAGATGTCGTTCGGCTTGGGCGGACGGGACAGAGTGGAGGGCCTCATCTGCGTGACGAGTAACCGAGCGGGTCTTCTTGTACAACGCGGGTTTCCAAATCGGAAGACCGAAAGGATGTTGGACGTTGATGAGGGATTGGCGCTCCTTCAAGGTAATGGGGTCATCTTCTCTACTAGTACCCTCGTCGTCGTCGTCGTCCTCCCCATCACCGGTATCTTCCTCTGCCTCAACCGCAGTAGCTTTTCCACGCAGATGACGACGCTGTCGCCCAGCAATTGCGTCTTCATCCTCATCTGCATCTTCATCTTCTTCACTCAAGGCATCATCATCGCGATACCCACGATTGTTAGCCGAACTGCTAACGCTTGTGCTTCTCGCACCACGTCTATTTGAGTGAGCAGAGCTATTCCGGATGAGAATGGGGGGAGGTTGATTCCATGAAGTCGGGGGAGAGGGCTGAAAGTAGGAAGTCCCTTGATTATGATGCAGGGGAGTATCTGTGGCAGACCATTGGGAACCACGACTAACGGTTCTGTGTAAGTGACTGAACGGCGTTGGGGTAGCAGACAAGATGAGGGAGTCGGTGTCGTCAGTAGCTGGGGAGGGAAAGTTGGACATTGGGGACAACGACGAGCTCGGTGGATAGCGCAATGGTTAGTAAATTTGGTCGTCGACCAGCGCAAGTCACCGATTTGGACGCCAAGGGCGATTGAAGGGCGCACGGCATTAACCGAAGGATCTAAATATAATTCTGTAATACGCTATCCCAAGTAGCCATAACCCTGGGTATATGGTGGTATACCTCTATCCTAATTGCGGTCCAAGTGGCCGACATACACCCTACACAAGTACAACACCATATCCCTACTTCCTCAAGAGCTTCTCGTGCAACTGCGCGCCTTTCAGCTTGGCTCGCAAGTACTCCAAAGGAAGATCCTCTGCACTAGTACTCCTAGCAAGGCTAACATTTGAACGGCTTGCTGACTTCCGGGAATGCGACCTCCCCTGGCTTCTACCATCTGTATTGTATCGCGTCTGCAGCCACCGAATAGAGAAGACGCTTGGCGCCGTGAGCTGACACGGATCTCACCTTGACCTCATGGAACGATAAGCGCCTCTGCTTACTAATTGGGCGCTCGAACTTGCTGAAGGAGCAGAACAAAGATGCTGCAGAGATGAACAAAGTCCCAGGAGATGAGGTCTAGTGTCAGGGTGTGTCGCAACGCGGATTACGTGTGCTGAGTTGGGTGTTGCGGGAATTTTGGATCTCAGGGCTTTGCAAGCCCTACCAATCGGCGTTTATTGGCCAGTGCGCGCTGGCCAGCGGGAACATGTGGCAATCTATGCCAGGCATGTTTGAGCTTCCGGGTTGGGATGAATTGGAGAGATAGCGACTGTTGGAGTTGTTCTCATACCCCGACGACTATCAGATTTCCTGCGGTCTTCGTTTCGCGTGCACCATCGCTCTTCCTCTTCAACGTTATCTACGACCTTGTTGGGCTGCCGGTGGCCTGTATCTATTTAGGAACATAATCTCAATATATAGTAAACGCTCGATCTTCTCAGCATAATCAAATAATGAGCACATGAAAAAAGTCTCTTCTAAGCTTGCGTTAGTTTTGAAGGGAATCGTCTCGCATTGATCCTCCACCTGCCCCTAAATACGGCCACTCAGATCACATCCAGAAAGGCAAATTTAGGAGCATTTCGGGGTAATGGGCCTGGGGGAAAATGTCTTCCTGAAAGGATTATTCGATTTCATGCGTGATGGACCGCTGGCGTAGGAGGTGGAAGTTGCGGAGTCAAATTTGCTTCGGGGATGGGATGCTGGCGTATAGCCCTCGGCAGATAGTGCATAGGCTCCATGGGGTTTGAATCCTTCGCCTTCATCACTATATATATCATCCCCAGGATATGCGTCTCCCAAGGCCCAACTTGGAATTTCTTCGTCCCTGGGATCCACCGGGTACGGATGAAATCCTTGGGGAGTTGGTCGATAACGTGCGCGATCTTGATATCGACGGGCGCCTCCGGGGCGCCCATCTGCGGAGCGTTGGTAGTCATTGTAATGATGTTCTTGTTCGCCGTAATAATGTCCAGCAGGAGGGGCGGAATAAGCATGCGGTCGAAACCCCCGGACCCTACTTCGCTGGTAATTGTGGCTTTGCAGGGCATATGGTTCCCTTGAAGGCATGGCCCCTCGGTGATCGTTTTGGTTGATAGTCAAGTTCGATATCAGATAGGCAGGAACTACGACATTGGGGTGTGCACCATAGTCTGCTCCCGTGTTCACATCCTTTGCGCCGTTATAGTTGTTGACCGTTCCAGCATGATAGTTATGCGCCATGACTAGAGGAAAGGGTTTTTGTTGATCAACTTCAGTCGGATCCAAGGATTCAGAAAACTTACTCCCGCTGAAGTCATTTCTCGTGGAATTCATTGTATTGAACGATCCACGATTTGTTGTGTGGCTGCTGGAATCATTGATAACCATGTCTTCAGAAACGTCGTCGAAATTACCACCAGAGAAGGTGACACCCGTAAACATAGGCATGGTATTTTTGTTTCCAGAATTCGTGTCAGTGGCGCTACTGAGAGAGTACGAAGTGACTGTATCCCCTCCGATGTGGGTCGCAGTCACGAAAGGTTTTGACGTTTCGTCCTTCAGAATAAACGGAATGGATACCACTGGAGCAACTGGTACATTCTCTTCGTCGACCGCGGCGGGAACAGGAACGCCACACCCTGTATAATCCGTTGTCAGAAGTATTTCTTGCTGGAGCAACGGATAGTTATTGCCTTCATATTGCTGGTGGGAATTGTCGCTATTGGAATTCGTAGTCGTTGTGATTGTGATGTTTCCAGACTCCGTGTTGGTGACGTTATTGAAAGAGTGAGAATCAAATTTGTCCCCTCCAATGTGGGTCACAGTCACGGAAGGCTTTGGCGTTTCGTCCGTCACAATGGGCGGAAGAGGTGGTAGCTCTTTGTCGACCGCGGCGGGAGCAGGGACGGAACCACTTGCCGCTTCGGAGTCCTTCTCTCTATCGCGCTCAAGCTTCAGGAGTGTCTTCCGCATGGCGACATTAGACTGGAGCTAAAATGTGGGGTTGAGTTAGAACATCATAGTTCTCACGCATTACTTCAGACACACCACAAACTCATCCAGTGGTCGTCGGAGCGCATCGCGATATTCTTGTATCTGTCCTAGATCGGACTTGCACCTGAGCAAGCGAACCGCTGGTCCCCTGGAGACCTCTTTGCACAAGAAACGCTTAGTCGACGATAATGCGCTGTAGGGGGAGAGGGTCAAATTGATTCGAGGGGGGGGGGGGGGGGGGGGGGCAATCCCTGCTCACTCAAGAAGGTTTTGAAGGTTGTCGATGAAGCCACAATCCTCCTCAAATGCTTCCTCAGACATGCACAACACCACGTACATCAGCTCGCACGTATCCGCGGCAAGTTTCTGGAAGGTGTCCCTGTTGTCTTTTGCCCCCTATAACCGAGCAACCCGCGACTGTGAGGTGCACAAGCAAAGATGTATGATCTCAACCCACCTGGACGATGTTTAAAATCCCCAAGGCCAGCCCCGCTGCTTGCTGGAGGTACGGTACGGGTGCCATGCTCGCCAGATCGTTCAAGGTCGTCAAAACAACGTTGGATGTTTCTAACGAATTTTCAACAATGATTTTGACTTTCTTTCTTTTCGAAGCCGACAACGAATCCGCTGCTCGTCCCATTGTGGTGATGTTCGGGTTTGCGGTGGTTTAGCGAGTACGGAGGAGAGGTCAGAGCCTGTGGGTCGGAAGATGGGGGTTATATTTGACGAGGGGTGGTCAGAAGACGTGAAACGCCCAAGATTGTGTTCTGTGAATGGTACTATATTAATGGGGGTAGAATCCTTTTATCCATTAGAGAAGAGAGTAAATCGTTCGCGGTCCGACATTGGGGGATGGTTCACAAATAGAATCCCAAGATGACCCGTACAAGCATTCAATTTAGAGTGTGATCTGGGACCCGATCGTAATCTCGCCCCGACAAATGTCATAGGCCCGTGGTGGACCTTAGAACTCGTTGCAGGGGAAAGCAACCCAAAAGATTAGCACGCGGGAGAGAGAGCGAGAGCGAGCGACCCGTTGTGACCCTTAGAACTCGTTGCAGGGGCAAGAAACCAAAAAGATTAGCAGGCAGGAGAGAGAGCGAGGGCGGGCGACCCGTTGTGACCCTTAGAACTTGAAGGCTATGTAAAGCGGCCAAAAAGCCGGGAGAGAGAAGGAGAGAGAGCGACCCATTGTGACCCTTAGAATTCCAAGATGACCCGTAAGTACAAGCAGTCAATTTAGAGTGTAATCTGGGACCCGATCGTAATCTCGCCCCAACAAATGTCATAGGCCCGTGGTGGACCTTAGAACTCGTTGCAGGGGAAAGCAACCCAAAAGATTAGCACGTGGGAGAGAAAGCGAGAACGAGGAGACCCCAGCGGGGTTCTAAGCTGCCACAGCGAAAGCGCCTGAGAACGAGCGACCCGTTGTGACCAAGTTGTACCTTTAGAACTCGTGGCAGGGGAAAACAACCAAAAAGATTAGCAGGCAGGAGAGAGAGCGAGAGCAAGCGACCCGTTGTGACCCTTAGAACTCGTGGCAGGGGAAAGCAACCAAAAAGATTAGCAGGAGTTAGCAGGCAGGAGAGAGAGGGCGGGCGACCCACATGGCATTGTGACCCTTAGAACTCGCTGCAGGGGGGAAATCAACCAAAAAGATTAGCACGCAGGAGGGGAGCGTGGCCCGTTGTGACCCTTGGAACTCGTCGTAGGTTAGGTAGGTTAGTAAAATGTGTACAAGTATTATTTGTTGCAGACGATGGCGTGCAGGTGGACTAAGTATGGCAGACCGCGATACTCCATTGCTCCTGGACGCTCGATTTCACGAACTCACGTAAAACTACAACACGAGGCCGACCAATGTCAAGCTCCTCGTCTAGAGTGATATCCCTCCTAGACCCCGGGTTTCACGAACTCACGTATAACTACAACATGAGGCCAACCAATGTCAAGCTCCTCGTTCGGAATGATATCCCTCCTAGGCCCTGGATTTCACGAACTCACATAATACTATAAGGTGAGGCCAATTAATGTCAACCGAACCGTTTCCGAATGATAACCTCTTCATGAGTCGCTAGGGTCAAAGGATTCTACTCCACCCGCCATAAATGCTCACATTCCCATTAATATCGTGCCATTCATAGAAGACGTTCTTGGGCGTTTCACGTCTTCTGACCACCTCATCGAATATAACCCCCATCTTCCGACCCACCCAAGAGGCTTTGACCTCTGCTTCGTACTCGCTAAACCACCGCAAACTCGAAAATCACCACAATGGGACGAGCAGCGGATTCACGGTCGGCTCCGAAAAGAAGGATGGTCAAGAACATTGTTGAAAATTCGTTAGAAATGTCCAACGTTGTTTTGATGATGACCTTGAACGATGCGGCAAGCATGGCACCCGTACCGTACCTTCAGCAAGCAGCGGGGCTGGCCTTGGGGATTTTAAACATAGTCCAGGTGGGTTGAGATCATACATCTTTGCTTGCGCACCTTACGTACAGTCGGGGGTTACTCGGTTATAGGGGGGCACAAGACAACAGGGACGCCTTCCAAAACCTGCTGCGGATACGTGCGAGCTGGGTGGCTAGTCTACAGTACTTTGCATGTGAGATTGCAGGTCTACACCCAAAATGAATACTGTTTTGCCTTGCATTTTGCAGTGCATACCTTACAATCAACCTTTGCAATTTTGGCCCCAATGATTCCAAACGAGATGAGTTAAGGTTTGACGTGTAAGGCCATGATACAGAGAAAGGCACAATTAAGCAGCCATAGCCCTTGTAACTTTGGGTATATTGTGGTATACCTCTATCCTAATAGCGGTCCAAGTGGCCGACATACACCCTACACAAGTACAACACCATATCCCTACTTCCTCAAGAGCTTCTCGTGCAACTGCGCGCCCTTCAGCTTGGCTCGCAAGTACTCCAAACGTGCCTCGTATCGAACGCTGACCTCCTCTCGACGCCGTCGAATGTCCTCCATTTCGTCGTCCTCGTCCTGTTCCAGTCTCAAGGTATCTGTGCCGGACATGGATTTATCCTCCTCAGGCATAATCGGAAGATACCCTACACTACTCCTGGCGGCAAGGCTAACATTGGAACGGCTTGCTGAGTGTAGATGCATCATAGGCAAGACAGGCACTGGTGGAGGTTTCACAACTCTGCCACCCCTTTTTTCCATAGACGTGACGCTCGAAGATGAGTTCTCGCGACGCAACGAACTTGGTCTCGATTTTGAACTCATGGACAACAATTGGTTGGGGGTAGCCTTAAGTCGGCCAGCTTTGCGGACGGAATACGCAGACCGCGACATGGAGGAAGGATCAAATGAGGGGGAGGTACCTCCAGATGTACCCGATTGAACGGAAAGACCATCATTATCGAGAAGGTCAATGCGAGACCTCCCATTCGAACCCGTCCAATTAGACTCTCCGGTACTTCCTTTGCCCCATTCTGATGACCTTAGAGTAGGACGAATGTGGTGTCGCTGGTTCTTTGTCAACGTTGTCAACTCCAGCCCACTGAAAGCATCCATAAGCCGCTTTGCTTCAGCTTCGACTGCCATTATCTCGTCCTTTATTTCTTGGGAAGTCTTGAGATTATCTTCGTCGAACACGTTATAAATATTTCTTGAAATTTTAGGCTCCTGCCCTATGATCCGTCCAGGGAAGGAAGAAGGTGGAGTGGCCATTCGCCTGATGCTTGCAGCCGTAGACCGCGAGGTTGGAGAAAAATGGGATGTGTCTGAATGGCCTTGACTCGAGCTGGCGTGCCCTCCTCTGCGGGAAGATATAGAGATGGTGTCAACTTGAGCGCGCGAGGTGTCCGTTCGCACGGAGGAAACGCTCCCTTTTCTTGAGAGAACGCGCGGTAGCTTGAATATATTGGAGGCAGTGGATGTGGCTGACCATACACTGGAGGTGTCGCTAATTTCTTTCGTACCAGACGACGCTGTTCTACCTGTAGCGCGACGAAAGAGATCAGCTACTCCAGATGCCATGGAATTCCTTGAATGGATCGAAGTCGGTCGTGGAACGTCTATGTGAAAATTTGACAGAGGACGAGACGGAACTGCAGAAGCTGAATCGTCAGTGGTTGCTTTCCATGCATATTATGTCCTACCCTGTCCATCCGGTGAAGCCCCAGTCTTATTGGGTCGGGGGCGAGCAGCTGGAACGACTGGGTTTTCTGTTGGGACTGCAGTGCTAGTCGCGAACCTCTCGAATAAATTTTGACGCAATAAGCGATATTCATCGTCGCTAGAGCAGACGTTCATTCCCCGCACTCCAAGAAAGCCACAATCACGTACTTTAACAGACCCTCTGAATTCGCAACGGCCAGCTCGTTGAGTCGCTCCGCCAACGTAACCCTGCATTATTGGTGGTGTACTAAGAACAAGGCTGATTGAAAGGCACTGTTGAATAACATACGTAACCGTATCTGTCGTTTTTCGAGGAACGGCGCTCGTAGCTTTGAGATGGGCGTCATCTCGGACTCGGGTTGTGGTGATGGGGGAAGACAATGGTGACGGCTTCTTCTTTGAGGGGGTTGACGGCAGGGAGTGATCATTTTGGTTACGTAGTACGCTAGGACCCGCTGACCTGTTTGAAGTACTAGTTCGTGGAGCGGAGGGGGAGGCGCTAGTCGCGGGGGTCTGAGCCACGGAGGCGTCAGGTGAAAGATATGTCGGTGGTTCTTCTTCGCGTTCTTTGCCCTTCCGACCGTACTAGAGACGCGAAACATGAATATGTGACAGCGAAGCGCATAAAATGAAAACGGGCGTACGAATCTTGAACGAATAACATGAACGACAGACTTGTCACCTGTGCCGCCGGTGGTTGCAATGACATAGTTCTCGTTGTCTTCGGCTTTCCTGGACGAGAAAAAACCCATGTCTTCATAACGCTGGTCACCGTTTCGTAGCCGCGTGATTGGGCGGGGGTGGAGATAAAGCTTCGCGGGCTATAAGAGTTACTAGCAACGACTGAGCTCAAAGGGTCCAGTATAGACGCAACACGAGGCAATATGGTATCATCACTTTTTCAATGATCGTCGCCACCAAAAAACATCTAAATCATGATTCTGTGTTCTACATACCTCGGTTCCACTCATGTTCGTGATGAACGCGGATGAACGCTCAACTACCCTCGATGAAACTCAAACCTTAACTTACAGTTTTCTCCTTGAGTTATTAGCGAGCCTCTCATTGCATGTTAGGGTCCCTTTTACCCTTGTAAAAGGATCCCATTTCCTTTACAGTCGGACCGAATCCATCCCTGACAATGAGCCCACTTCCAATCCATTTCGGCAGCTTGTTTCGAATGGACGCAGTCGCGTACCTCCGATCCAGAAGGAGCAGTGATGCCCAATCGCCCTTATGACGCACTGCTCGACCTGTGTCCCAATGTCAGTTGGTGGACTGCAAACTTGAGGGAGTGGATTCCTGCTCACCAATACTTTGATTGACCGCATTCATGCACATATTCTCATACAACTCGGCTGCAGCATCCTTCAGCCCCCTTTCCTTCTTTGTGACTCCCCGTTTCTCCTCCAGCCTTTTCACGTACTTCATCCGCTCTCGTAACTCCGGCGATGCAAGATTCGCGAAAGGAAGTCCGACGATGACGACGGCACGCGCAAGGTCATCGGCAAAGTTCAAACCTTCGGAAAGCTTGGCTCCAATTACAGCGAAGAGGAGTGCTCCTCCTTTCTTCCCCGTTGGACTTGAGATCTGGTAGCCTGTTCAGTGGTCGCCAGCATGGTGATCAATGGGAAGGACATACTGTTATGGATTTTGCATACTCTTGAAGCACTTTCTCAACATCCACCGATTCTTCTGGCTCAAAGAAGGTCTGCAAAATCACCTCAGGCTCCAGAGTTATTCGTCAAAAGCTCAACCTACGGTTTTCTTCAAACCAAACTTCTCCAGCATTCCACTCTTCGTCCACGCCGCTTTAGCCACGTTTAAAAAGTGATAGGATGGGAAGAATACAATCATGCCAGCTGGCACGAGGCTTGCAAAATTAAATAGAATTTGACCGAGTTCAGATATCTATGAAATGTGTCATCAAGTATCTCGATCTCTCGTCGGGCCACTCACAACAGCAGGATCACCCTGTTGAGCAGCTTTAAACTCGAGATCTCCTCCACGGGGTCCCTTGCAAACCACTAACGCCTGCAGGTTTATTGCTGGAATAATATGCCCACAAGAAAAACTTGTTACCCTGGTAGGAGGCAGATGCGAAAAGAGTTGGTTGACAACATCTGAAATCTATTCGTCGATGTAAGTGAAATCCCAAACAGAGCATTCGAGCGTACGGGGGACATTGTTCCGCCGGCAAGAATCACAGCTCGAGCTTCATCCACAACTTCTGTGAAGGTCGGAGAAGGGTTGAGAAGTTGGTATTGCAGTTCGACTGTGTTTTCCCCATTGAGTCCAGGTGTAAGAGTAAATGTGACCCGCCCATCTGTAGAACGTCATCAGTCACTGGAGTCTGAGTAGGGACCGATAGTATTATGCACCATCATTTGTTCTGGTAAGCGAGACCATAAAGTCTTCCACTGCATGAAGCGGTGGGATCGTACCCTTGTTGTTCTGCTTGCGAGTGGAATCTGTATAGGCGATATCAAGGGATGGTCAGGCTGCTCAATGAGTACTTACCAGCCTCCTTCTCAGCTTGTTTATCAGAGTATCCGGCGATCTTCCGAGCGACCTGCAGGGAGGCGGCCGTCGTTGAACACCTATGTTTCTCCGGGATTCCGATAACTCAGTGCACCTTACTTCGCTTCAAATAACCCTCGATCTCCAGCAAGTTCATGCCCGCGACTTTCTTTCCCATCTTTTCCATTAGTTCAGCCACCTTCATTACTTCCGTCTTCTCTGAAGGTCCTTTTCCTTCCCTGGCATCCTTCCATTCCAAAACATATTTCTTCAATGCATCCAAGAATACAACAAGTCGTTTGAGATGAAGCATGTTCACGGCAGAAAGTCGAGTGCGGAATCGGGACACGTATGAGCACACTTGTATCAGGGATGTGGCAATTATCGAGTAGGGGAGACGGGTGGTGGAGAGAGATAGAAGGGTGGGTATCAAGTCTACCGTCAAAGAAAATACTAAATCGGTAAATGGTCAAAATGGTTAAAGTGGATCTCGTACTGTGCGCTTCGTCGATTACGACAATTTGATCTTTCAGATCAATCCCCAAAGCTTCCCGAGCTGATTTTTGCAAAAGGAGGTTATATGGTAATGTCACAAGCTATTCGTGTTGAACAAGATTAGCAGACTTATATCACAATGGAAACAATTCCGCACTTCTGCTTGAGGAATGGCTCGCCTGGATCCAAAATATGGACATATGTGAGCGTGTCTCCCCGCGGTTGCAAGATCTTCTATGTCTTTTGGATATGCCTAGAACAAAAAGCGTAAGTGGCGCCAACTCTATAGAAAGCAAGCGCACCAATATTTGATCCCGAAAGTCAAGCATTTTAACGTCCTCTTCGATGCGAGGAAGGTATTGACAACGCTTCTCAGCTTTCTCTGGGGACGGCGAGTTAGCGAAATGAGATGAAGCTGTGTCAAATTCCCTCACCCCCAAGTAGTTCTCGACATGACTCGTCCAAATCACGACTTTTGGCTCGGAGCTCATCATTGATACACAATTGCTTCCTAGAACCAAGAGAAACCGTCCGTGTAGATGGCGGGGTGGGGTCTTGAACATGTTCTTCATCGCCAGACGGCCGCTTCTGTGGTACATGACATTGGGATGACTCTGAGTGGTGGTTTTGTACAGATGATAGAGAATGACGGAGTTTGAGTCGACTGAGCTCGGGAAGAACTTGCGCAAGCTGGGAATGTGTCCGAGATGCGTAATATATTTTGGTGCACGTAGCCTCTTCGTCGTCGTTTAAATGACCAGGACGGCGGACGCGGTCAACTCTACGGGTCCAAAAATCAGAGCATGTATCCATGACAGTCCCCAAATAAGACTCAACTTGTCCATTAGAGCGCGAAGAGCTGCAGATACGTTGATTTCCCCATCTACTGAGGTTTGGGCTTGATCTGTTTCTGGAAGAAACTGATCATCGTCCTCTGGACCTTCATCCGGTTTTGAGTTGTGAGCGTGTTTCTAGCCAGAATTTCACTCAGAAAATGTCAGAGAGATCGAAAAATGCCACTACGTACAGCCTTCTTTACCACTCGCGCTTTGGCCATCCGTCTCATTGCCTCTTCTCTCCGCCTTGCCTCGGCCAAACGCTGCTCATAATCACGCTCATCATCCTCCAGATCGCGTCGCATTCGTTCCATCGTTTGTTCTATGACCCAGTCTTTCGCTAGCAAAAAATAGAGTGAATATAACAATCAGCAGAAGGAAATACATAAACTTACCACCCGTTCCATCGTCCGCTGCCGCCTTTAACTTTCCCCTTCGTGCGCGTTCCTTCTCGTCTGAAAGCCAAGTAAGAGCGGCACAAAGCAGAGATAGCGTTTTGCCCTGACTCGTTTGAGCTATTGGTCTACATTTTGAAAGAATGAGACTAAATAATCACCGTTCCTGTTGGGCTTTCAACGATAGTGACAGCCCTCTGCTCTATTGAGGTATAGAGATGGCGCATAAGATCGACCTGAATGGAGTACGGGGGATCATAAGGGAACGCGGGGAACGCGTCAGGAGTATCTAGTTGAAGAGACATGCTACTGGGACACGCTTCATTGAACGCGTCAAAGGAAGATTGGCGTTGGTCACGTGTCAAAAACAATTAGGTCGTCAAATTCATAAGGCCTTGAAAAAAGATACGGCACGGCTATAACCTTGATCAGAGAATTATGAGACCTATTGTGTGCTGCGGCTGCGGGTATCAAGCTACTATCACCCTTGAAGCTTCACATCATGGAACAAACACCAGCCACGGACCACCTTCTGCAGCATCAGTTTCGCCCCCTCACCGACAAGCGCCATGCCATCCTGTTAATCGAACGCTGAGCGGACATGATGCAACGGGGCAGGTTTCGAATTCTAAAACCACTCGAGTGTATGTTGGTCCATTTCATCTTGCTCCACTTGTTATATTCCGTACATTCCATCCATTCCTTGTTTGTGTGCGAGCACTCATGTCTCGTCTGGGTGATCATCGTACCACTTCTTCAGCCATTTTTCTGATGCCGAATATTCCTTCTTAACCTGCCCAAGCAGCCTCTCGATCTTACCAAGTGCGTCTTTCGCGGAAAGATCTACGTCGGCATCTTCGTCTCGAAGCTGGCCGTAATGTTGGATCTTCTCGCATGAATCTTGCACCTTTGAGACACCGAGCGCTGCCGATGAGCCCTTCAAGAAATGGCCAAGGGACGAGAGCGTCGCCAAGTCTTTGGCTTGCCTGGGTATGCCATCAGTGAGTCACTTGAGATTCACATAAATGACATCACGTACAATGCATCGTCCAAGTTGTTGAATGTCTCCTCTGCTTGGGTGAAGTAAGCCCAAGCCATCCCGCGTGAAAAGTCGTGATTTCCGTCTTCGTCCAGATCGAGTATCTGGGTAAAAGTTTCCATATCTATCTCTGCCTCTGGAATGTCATCCTCCTGGGCAGAAAGCGTCAAGGATGGAAATAAGCAGTGTAACTTTGCGCCTTGCCTCTTCTTTTGCAGAACTTCGAGAGACATCTGACGGTGGGCTAGTTGGTCTTGGAGGAGATGCGGGAGGATTGGTATCTAAAGGTGGCGACTTTGGGGACGTGGGTGAAATGTTTGGCTTGGGTGGAGAGCTAGATGGGGTTGGGGGTGGACTGATGGGCTTCTGTGTCGGACGAGGAGTTGAGGGTGAATGGTGAAGGAGAGGCTTGGTGGACATTGACAGTGAGCGGGATGTGTGCAGCAGCGATGCGATGGTATTGTACAGTAGCCACTCAAGTTCTTTCGGAGCGATTCAATGGCGATTCGTCTGATCACTCCAACTGATTATCAAAATTGGCTTCTTCGTCACACCCGTGACATCAATCTCAATGACATCATCACTAATGACAACACGTGGCTAGACCCCAGCCTAGATAAGTAATCGACCTCTCTCGAAGTGATTCAATTTCATTCCGGCAATATCCCAATTCTTCTAATACCTGCCATGCAAGGGTCGGTATCTTTACATCTCATCACAAATTATCCTCTTACCTCGGTCGTGTGCTCCGATAGCCAGGGAGGCGGAAGCCGCACCGGCATCTTTTGCCCATTGTACGTGACTGGGGGCGAGACCAATTTGATTTTGCCCGACCGGGGGTGCTGCGACAGGTCTAGTATAAGCGACGGGATATGATGGAATACAAATAACTCACGTCGACCTCCACTGTCACCTGCCTAGCAATCGCCTAAATGCACATATCAACCTGGTATCCACTGAAGCAATCTAAAGCGTACCTGAGGATGTTCAAATGTCTGCTTTATATTGTTTATCGGCCCAAATGGCACCCTGGGCGGCTGTTGTCAGCAAGTTGCTATCAGGCGTTCCGGTGAGCAAGGTCTGGCTCACCCCAATCCGCGGAATCGCTCTAGCCAATGGTCCCTGTCCCGCTGCATCAGAACATCTGTAATGATTTTTACAAGCTCCGTCCGGTTCTCAACCCGGGCATCGTTTGTCGAGAACTTGGGGTCATTCGCCAGTTCGGGATTACCCAGAACACTCTCAGCTAATATCCTGAACTTCGAGATCACACGACAATAAAAACAAAAGGTTGCATGGTGCGTGCCAGATTGAGCGAGACTTCTACATTTTGGATAAAAACGAAGAACCATTACCTGCTTGTTATTGCCTGCGCCGATCATTAAAAATCCGTCTCTGCATGGGAATACTTGATAGGGCACGATAGAAGGATGGGCCGTGCCATGACGTGAGGCTTCCTGACCTGCTATCAGATAGTTCGAGGCAATATTGGCTAGCCCAGCAATCTGATCTTGAATCAATATCGACGAGAACGGACTTTCATGTGGACCGACCTGTGTTTCGAACAAATTGCAATCGATCCAGACCCCTTTACCCGTTTGCTGGCGAGAGATAAGGCCAGCCATGATCGCCCCATGGGCATATAATCCCGTTGCGATATCCGTGGCAGCTACGCCGACTTTGCAAGGGGGTCGGTCTGGCTCTCCTGTGCTACACAGATTAAAGCCACGTTAATGAAATATTTGTGATAAAAGTGGTCCCGTGAACGGACATGTGCATTAAACCGGCTTCACCCTCGATGATAACATCGTAGCCAGCTGCGTCTCGATAAGGCCCAGTCTGGCCATAGCCTAGTTTCGATTAACGAGTGAGTAAACAGATGTTCAAGAATTCTGGAACTCACCAGTAATAGACGCGTAGATAAGACGTTCGTTTATCCGTTTACAATCCTCCCAGCCCAAGCCCATACTGGCCAACTTGCCAGAAACGAAATTCTCGACAAGAATATCCGCCCGTTCCACAAGTTTGTGAACGATCGCCAAACCCTCAGGAGTCTTGAAATTTACCGTCATAGAGCGTTTATTACGGTTCGCAGAGAGAAAATACGCTGATTCAGGGGGCTGATGGGATGCTGCTGACGGCGCGGTTGGAATCGTCGGTGCGGAAGGGGGATGCCATGAACCTTGTGGGTGAAAACGAACATGAATACTTTTGGAAGTTCAAAACTGTATAGAGGCGAGATTCTTGACGTTCTTCGTCGTATGCACTCACGAGTATCATCTCCACGGGTAACTTCCTCCACCTTTATGACGTCTGCCCCGAGATCCGCAAGGAGCATCGTGGCCGTCGGACCAGCCAGAACACGGGTCAAGTCGAGGATTTTGACTCCCTTGAGTGGTGGTGGGATTCCTGGTCCATAAGGAAACGTAGAGGCTGGTGAAGGTTTAGTAGGTCCAGTTTCGATCCAGCGTCGACTGAATGCAAATTGGCTCAGTTTGGTGTTTCGAGAGCAAAGCAGCCGTAACATGATTCAAGGAGATCTTCAGTGCGATACGTTGACTTGAACGCCTGCCGGTGAATCCGAATCGCTGCAGGAAAAGAGATGTTGCTCTGGACAACTCCCGGCAACATCATGGCCGGTGGAAGCGAGCCTGGCTCTTCAGTGTAGCGATTTGAATATGTCATCCAACATCAAAAGATTGGAATTATCATGACGTCGGCCATATGCACTACTAGTAGCTTGATACCGGACTACAATACGAGATTGAAAGGGCAATCGGACTAGCAGTGTAGCACTCGCAATTACAGGGCCATACGTACGATACACATTTCATTACAGTAAACAACTTCAACAACTTGAGAGACGGATTAAAGAGACAAGGGGGGAGTGCAAAGATCTAAATCTAGCATTGAGCTGGTGGGCCACTTGAGTAGAAAAGGGGACGTGACGTACCTTTTACACGGGTTCCAAACGATTCCGGTGGTTCGACTGTGACCTCGAGCTTTCGGAAGAACCTCTGGAAGACTACAACGGAACCTCTTAAGCCCACGAACTTCAGAGAAGAATGGTCGTATTTCACCATCGAAAGCTGAGATTTCGTAGAGTCTGTCGAGCTTCGACGACTGTGCATTGTTTGTAATTGAATCACATTTGGTCGATTGCATGATTCTGGATCGACGAGAGATGTATTGAGCATGATCGTGAAGGCGTCCATTAAGGATGTCAACGAGAAGACGGAGGGCATGACGGTCGTAAGGCAAGTGAAGTATTAAGGAGAAACCTGGCCCCCACCAGTAACTGAACAATTGTTCTGAACCGAAGTGACGTCACTCCAAATGGATTTCTTAAGTGACAGGTATAATGATACAAGTGTGCAAAAAAGTCCAACGACCACCACTTCCGCATCCTATGAAGGCGTCGCCGTTGCGCTGGAGGCGCCAATCGCCTTGGGCATCTTTTTATCACCAGATGCAAGTTGTTCAAGATCAGCAGGTTTGAAGTAATGGGGTGCAACTGTAATGTCGTTTCTTCAGTTAGTGTCCATCATGCCTAACCGCAAATTACTGACCTTCAAGCAACCACGAGGGTTTGATTTCCATAACCTGTCTAAGAAAAGGTGTGGTTAATAGAAGATCATTCGAATGAAAGTAGAAACCTACCGCATGTAAGACTTTGTCGTCATGACAAGCTCGTAATACAGCACTGTTTTGACTGGGGGTTGATGCTGGAACAACCCTGACGACGGATGAATGTAAACCGTGTGATTGGTTTTGAGCGTGCGGTATGAGTCCCCGCTCTTTTGTAGTTGGGCCTGAACATGAATTGCATGTAAGGATAAAACAGCGATGTGATGATTGCCGAAAAGCTTACCGTATTATAAAAATACCCAGCTGTCAGAGCTTTTTGTACAGCGGTAATGTCGTTCGAGTTGGGATTTGATTTGACAACCACCTCCACGCGCTCACAAAGGCCAGCGAGTTGGTCTCTGATATCTCGAGCTCGACTCAGGCTCTTGAACTGCAGGAATTGCTCGTAACAGAATTGTTGAGAATAATTCGTTTCCGCCCACTGCTCCCACACATTCAAAAGCGTGAAATGATCGCCACCAGCTTTAACGAAATTTTGTCGCGCTTGATCGGCATGCATTTTCTTGTCTTTCGGTCGATAGAAAAGCGAACCAGATTCTGAAAGCATCGAAATGATCGTCAAAACCTGACGATACAGTTGTTAGTCCATAAAGAACACTTTGCCTGTGCCGAAAGCCTACCTCGTCCGTGACAGAGTACTTCTCGCTTGAAATGATAGCTTTTGACAACATTGGATCCACCGGAAACTCGGCCATCCTGCGACCGAGCTTCGTCAATTCCCCCCGATCATTGAGTGCGCCTAGGGCATAAAGCAGCTCTAGCGCTCGCATCAAAGTTTCCCCTGGTGGCGGGTCGAGAAATTCGAAACCAATCAAGTCATTGATACCCAAAGATTTCAGCAAGAGAACGACCATTCCTAGGTTTGTCCGCTGAATTTCGGGGACTGTGTTTGCTTCTAGTTCGTTTGCGAATGCCCATTTAGTGTACAACCGGAAAGCTTTCCCTGGGCCTACTCTCCCAGCTCTTCCAGCTCTTTGATTTGCCGATGCACGGGAACACTGCAACGAAATATTATTTTAGCTGTAGTCCTAGATAGAAAGTGAAGAAACGAACAGGGACAACGATGAGTGACGACATGCCGGTCCTCGGATTGTAAGAGTTTTGCTTAACAAAACCTGGGTCGATGACAAAGACGACACCATCGATGGTGATCGATGTCTCCGCAATGTTAGTTGCCAAAACAACCTTCCGTGCGCCTTCTGGAGTGGGTTCAAAGATTTTGGCTTGCATATCACTGGGCAAATTGGCATAGATAGGACATATAATCAGTTCTTTGATCTTATTGCCCAAAGCGCGGGAGGTTTCTTGCAAGTTTTCGTGGCAAGCTTCGATCTCTTCTTGCCCCTGAAAAAGGAGGTTCGTCAAAGTGTGATATAGGAAGAGAAGAAACTCACTGTGAGAAAAACAAGAATATCGCCCTTGCCTTGGGTGGTATGTATCTGGAAAACCGTGGTGATGGCTGCATGAAGATAGTTCGCCTCGGGTTGCGGTGTGTAATGGATATCGACAGGAAACTGTCGACCGGGTACTTATCAAACAAGAAAAGTAAGTCCCAAATCATGGACAGCGACGGATTGTCCTACCATAGAAAGTAGGAGCACCGTCAAAGTACTCGCTAAACTTTTCAGCATCCATCGTTGCACTTGAAATCAGTAGTCGAAGTTCTGGACGAAATCGGGCGATATCCTGAACGGCGGTAAATCAATAACCTAAACATACAAAGTCAGAGCTGATACCACGAACCTTAACGAGGGCAAAAAGAATGTCCGTACTGAGTGTCCTTTCATGGGCTTCATCGATAATTAGCGCAGAGTACCCTGCCAAGTCTGGTTCTGTCAGGAATTCTCGCAAGAGCATTCCGTCAGTCATATACTTCAAAACGGTCTTGTCGCTCGTGCAGTCCTCGAAACGTATCGAATAACCGACTTCATAGCCGACCTTTGTTCCCATTTCTTCAGCCACACGTGCGGCAACTGACATGGCGGCAACTCGGCGGGGCTGAGTACAACCGACTTTCATACCACCTGCAGTAAAACCCGCCTCGTGAAGATACTGAGGAAGTTGAGTGGTCTTTCCCGAGCCCGTTTCGGCCACGACAATAAGAACCTGGTGTTCCTTGACAGCCTCGATGAGCTGTTCCTTGTAAGTGTAAATAGGTAACGACTTTCGCGTCTCCTCTATTGTTTTGGCTAAGATGAAACATCAGAGAGCTTGCAGAGCGACAGATAGAAAGCAAATACCTCTCTTCTCCGCGGCGTCTATCTGAGACTGTAGCAACTTTTCAGCAGCAGTCATACCGACTCCCGGCAACGAAGATTCCATCACAAACTGGATAGTCTGACTTTCGTCAAAGACATACTCATAATCGTCGTGGACCTCCTTTTTATCCATAGCACCAGTCTTGAACGTGCTATGTTGCGTTTGAGCAGCTTCCCACTGGTCGATATCCGTGACGAATTGGTCGTCTTTGGGCTTTGCCTCCTCATAACGCTTGTACAGGGCGTTCTCCTTCTTCTTCTTGTCAATTTTCCCTTGTTCTGTTATGTAGTCCTCCGGAAGTTGATATCCTTCGTACTTGTCGTTAATCTTGAGCCTTTCCTCGACGAGCTTTAATAACTCTTTCTTCCGTTCCAACTCTTTTCGTTCGCGCTTAGTGATTTTCATCCCGCTGAAGAGAGCTTCATCGTCTGCTATCTCCTTCCTCAGTAGTTCAATCTGTTGGATTTCTCGTTTTGTCAAGTATTCTTGGCGCGAATGCAGCCGTAAGGACGGGAGAGCAACGCCCCGTGCTTCCGAATCGTCCGCCAGTTGACGCCTCTGTGCGGCCTCAGCAGCTGCTCCTGCATTCTTCGACGAACGATCCTCAACGATTTTCTTCGTCCTCTCCCTATCCCGATCTTTTACACGCTCCGCGAATGCGTCCCGATCTTTCAAATCCTCTAATCGCTCCCGTTCTTTCCGGGCATCCTCGTCCTCCGGAAATTCAATGTCCATGTCATCCCGTTGTTCCGTGTTCTCTTCCTCCCCCTTCCAGCGCTTCCGTGACTGCTCTTCCTCGTCGCTCTCCCATTCCTTCCCATCATAATCTCTCTTCCGTATGTGTTTGTCCCGCTTTCCTTTCCCCTTCTCCTCTCTCCGCTTCTCCTTCTGAAGGGGGGCAACGTCCTGGTTCTCATCATCTTCGGGTAAAAACCCAAACTTTTGCGACCTAAGAGCCTTGGAATCTTTCTCGGCCTGTTTTCGAGCGCTATCCGCCGCAGAGTGCTTGTGTTTATGTTTGCGAGGAGCCCGTCGGAAAACCTCGTTAATGAACTCGTGAGCGTCTGGTGTGTCAGGTAAACCGGCGGCATTGAGGGTGGTGAAGAGTGCGTCAGGGGTTTTAGAAGACGATGCTATATTGTGGGACGTGTGTTAGACATTTTCTTTGAAATAGTGTGCAGCTGTGAGCGAACCTGACGCTACTACGAAGTCAATCATGCTCCTGTCCGCCAAGTCAAAGAACTAAGGTTGCGAGTGAGTGGTAAACATATCATTAACAAAAGTCGACTTACACGAAGGGTATTGTCGCTAACATATCTGTCCAAGGATGACGACATGAGTAGACGGACGATAGCGAGTCAGAGAAGAGTGTCGGAGTGGCTGTGCATATTTCTAACCAGTGACGACAATGTTGGCTGCTCGATCCACGAGTTCGTTCAAACGTCGGCTACCAATACATCCAATCATAGCACGAAAATTGAACACATTGCGGCGGTCCTATCTCTATGTTCCGTCGTCGTCTGAACGTATGCTTGAGAAATCCCTCACCACCAATTCAGACGTCATCATATATGATTTGGAGGACAGCGTACCCCCTGATCCTTCGGACAAGACCAGAGCTCGGTCAAAGCTCAAAGATTTTCTAAGCGTTCGTAATTTCTATACGATTATAGACTCTGAGTGCTTACTCTGACTAGAAGGAGCGGCACCCTGCTCCCAATCACATCGCCGTTAGAGTCAACGACGTCACCACACCCTTCTTCCATGCTGATATATGTGAAATTGTGATGGCTTGAACTGGATCCCAGGCGAATATCTGACCTCATCCCATTTGTAGGTCTCGAATCCGTCTGTCACGACCCTCGTGCTTCCAAAAATACATTCAAAGGAGGATTTGGACTACGCCTCTGATGCAGTTCAATCAGCTTTGCTAGGTTGCCATCGGGACAAACCACTTAACATCGTTCCCAGCATAGAAAGTGCCAGAGCGATGTGGAATTTGGGAGATATTGCTAAATGGAAGTCCAAGCATGGTCCACAGTGTGGAGGAGAAATAAGCGCATTGCTGGTACGTTCTTGTAAACATAAAAGCAGAGTCATTGACGAGATCTTGTCAGTTTGCGGCAGAAGACTGTGAGGATTGGCATCTGTCACATTTCCATGTCTTACGGGAGTGACCAGTCTGCGCCGATACATCGATTATCCGCACACATTCTCGGCGAGAGTTACTCAATCCCCGCTCTCAGATTGTTATCGCTGCCAAGGCTTTTGGGCTGGATGCTATTGACATGGTCAGCACATTGATCGTTTCTGTGCGGCGTTTCGGTAAGCCCTCTTTTCTAGGTTTGTGTGAATTACAAGGATTTGGAGACATTGAAGGATGAATGCCGTGACGGGAGACACTTGGGCTTTACAGGGAAGGTACAAAGGTTTTGGGCCTCTATCCATACCGACTTCTTATCTTCGTTTCTGCATCAGCAAGCTATCCACCCATCTCAAGTGGAGACAATCCAAGCCACATTCGTTCCAACACACCAAGGTCATCATTATTCAATCTATCGGCGTTCTTTATCTGAAACTGTCGTTCGTAGAGATTCTGCGCGCCGCTAAAATCCTGCGATCCATGGCTTTGGCACATGCTTCCGAAAAGGGCGCTGTCGGACTGGAAGGAGAAATGATTGACGCGCCGATGCTCAAACAGGTACGCATGCGAAGTATAGCAGGACATTAGTAAATGTCTGATAACTCCAGCAAGGCACAGAAAATAATCCTGTTGGCGGAAGCTGCAGGTCTCGAGATTCCGAGTTTACTGGAGCCTGGGTTCAATCCACCACCAAGTGGAGCAGGGTACCTCTAGTGCGTGTGCTCACTTTTCGCTGGTGGGTAGTTATGTACAAAAGGTCTCTAAATATACATTGCGAGCTCGGTTCTGCACAAGTGAAGTATTTTGTATATACATGCAAAGGTGATGGTCCTGTAAATGATGGGTAAAATATATTTAAAATGCAATTCAGCCAACAAGGGGAGCGTCAGGATATACGAGCTCGAGCCCAGACAAGGAATCATCATCATCATCGTCTTCAACGCCTTTGCCAACAAAATCAAGATCGAGATCGAGGTCAAGCTCCAAAATCGTGTCGGTGAAGCAGCCAATTGGTATGTTTTGCGATGCAAGAGTTGAAACTGGGGTAGACGGTCCAGGCGAGTCTTCCAAAGTATCCAGACTGCTGACCGAGGTGTCTTTTGATGTGTTCGAATCGGGGGAAGTGTTAGATCGCAAATGGGTTGCTGGTGGCTTGAGGTAGTGACCAGACAAGTGTGTGTGGACTGTGAGGGGTGAAAGACCAGAATCAAAAACTGGTGTTTCTGATGTTGCGAAGGCGTTATTGGTTTCCGGTGAACAAGGCGCGGTGGGCTGTGGTGGTGGAACTGGAGAGACATGTCCTGAGTAGGATGCGGGCATCTCCCCGCTTTCTTGTGCTGCAAGTGGTGTGGTAGGTTCTTGAAAATAACGAAAAATTAGCAATGTTAGCAGCAAAACGCAAGAATAGACTCACGTCTGAGTTCCGCTAACATTTCTTTCAAACGTAAGCCCTCAACATAGGCTTGTTTGTAAATGACCGCAGTTTGCGAGGGAGAACACTCTTCTTCATTTAACGCGACATGGTTGTTTTCGTAAGGGGATAAGGGGACCTGTGATGCTGAGGAAGTCATCCCCTCTTCTTCCTCCTTCGGCTCTGGATGACTGGAGGGTGGGTGTGTAATGGGAGAAACTGGTTCATCGTTCACGACGAAGAGGGATTCAGATGCGCTTCTGAAAATGCTGTTGGCAAAAAACAGTGGTGCATGGATTGGAGGGTGGGACGGTGTGTCGGAATAAATGATATCGAAGCTTTGTCGTGGCACTGAACAAGGAAAGACCGGGATCAAAACCTTGGTGCAACTGTCGGCAAGGGCTTGATCATAAACCACTTGGAGCGGAAAGACAGGTTCTGTTACGAGAGGGGAAAGCTCCGGTTGAAAGTGATTTGGAGGAGACATTAGTGTATCAACAATCTGCTCTGGCTCTGGTTGCACTGGAGCTGTTGTCCGCATATCATATTCCGATGGTGATCGTAGAACTTCCCCAATGACAGACGAAACGGGAGACAGTGCGCGAGGAGAATCGTGTTTATCTAGTCGACAATGTGCGGGCGCTGGCGCCGACGACATTTCATCGTCAGTAGATAGGATAACAAAAACGTTATCCTCCATTCGCATCCGCACTGGTCGACTAGGAGAAACGGGAATTTCGTCATCATCAGAACATAGATCAATAATGTCGTCCGGGTCCGCGACGGGACGCTGCTTTGTTGGCTTGGGGCGACTTTTCGACGAAGACGGGATGGGATCGTCTGAATCGGACGAGATGGAAAATGAGTCCAAAAAAAGTGCGGAAGGTCTGCGTGAAGCTGCTGGAATTTTGTGATTCTTGGGCGAGTCCTTTACTACCAGGGCGGAAATTCGCTGGATTAGCAGGGCCACCGAAGAATACATTGAGTAGCATATTGAAATACACACGCTTTGCGATTGCCTTTCTCTTAGAAGGTGTTCGAGAAGGACCTGGTTTTGCCACCTTGGGCAGTGGTATGATCGAAGAAGGTGGGGTCTTATCGGAATCCTCATCCGTTGAGGGGCTTGGACTCTTGGCTTTGCGTTTCTTGGAACGAGGACGTGCTACCGACGACAGACTGGAAGGACCTGGGGTGTCGTTCCGTTGTTTCGGCTGAGAAGCGCCTGATTGCGACTTTAAACGAGGAGTAGACGATGTTGAACGCGTTGCTGAAAGAAATTAGTCTTTGGACACTTGTAATCGAACGAATGGCACACCAGTTGGCTCCTCCGCCAGACCTGTTCTTGCCTTCTTGGTAGGCCTTCCTTTCCGCGGTGGCTGATTGGTGGTAAGTTTACGCTTTTTCTTCGGACGGTCATCAGGCATAGCGGAGAGCAAGCACAGTGAGTGATGGAAGGAATAATTAGTGGCAAATACATATTCACAAATTATGTCTCCCGTCTCCGTCCAAATTGCGCCATTACAACTGTTCAGCACGTCCATTGACAAGACTCTTGTCTCCACTGCCACCAACAAATCCTTCTTATATCTTCATATATGCAAGACGCCCGCTGACCGCCTGCAAACGCCCTGCTCCACCCCAGCTCCCAACGTGACTTGGTTCCTGCCACTTGTCCCTGAATATGGCTCAAATTAAAAACCATATCATACCTCATCGTATGCTAGTCGATTAGCTCGCCTCTCTCCTTTGCTGATGGCGAGACAAGCTTCTCTTAGTCGAGATCTTCAGTCGGGTGCTTCTGGACCTCTTCTCGTGCATTCTCTGTACGAAACACGAAGCTCGGTATTGAGTCTAGCCACGAACGACACCTACATATTCTCCGGCAGTCAAAATCGGGACATTTCTGTACGTTTGCAAGATTGGATGCATCCGAAAGTGTCTGACAATATGCAGGTTTGGGATAAATATACCTTCAAATTGAAACAGACCTTGCTAGGGCATACTGGAAGCGTGCTAGCGCTAGAGTATGCGGGGGATAAGGAATGGCTGTTCAGCTCGTCAGGTACGTTTCCGCGTCTGTTTTGTTTGACGCGCGTTTATTTCCATCCAGGCGATAGCACAATCAGAGTGAGTACCCACAATCATGTCATTCTAACGCTAAAGAGTGCTAAAGCTTGTCGTGATGTCCAGATTTGGTCGACCATCACGCTTGATCCCCTTTACGTTCTCGTGCCCTATTTAGAAACGGGTGCCGGGGATCTGTTTTCTCTCGCATGGTCTTCGATACTGCAAACAATTTTCATTGGGTGTCAGAATACCTCTCTCCAATGGCACACCTTTCACGATCCTATCTCTTGCGTTGGGTCGTCCGCATCCATATCTGACATTTCGTCATCCGTTTCCAGTGCATCCATACCGACTGGTGCCCGAAAGGCACACAAGTTTTTTGATAGCTACCCACAACACGAGCGCAAGCCAGCTGACATTTTCGCAAATAATGGCGTTGTTGGACGCGGCAGCCCAGATTCGGATCGCTATTCAGATGCGCTTGCTTCGCAGGCACAAGTCTTCATAGAGGCGTCTAACGTGATCGATTCCGCACATTACGGATATGTTTATTGCATGACAATACTGGGTGCTGGCGAAAATGTGCAGTTGGCCACAGGGAGCGGCGACGAAACTGTTAAGGTTGATTTTCCCCTCATCACTTCATAGTGATTGCTCACTTGAGTGTAGTTGTGGGATTGTACTGTGGCAGGGCCTGTTTTTGTGCATGAATTCACTTGTAATCAGGGCGCGGTTTTGGCACTCGTTGCGAAAGGCGACACAATCTACGCAGGCTGTCAAGATGGGCATGTCAAGGTTTTTGATCTTGAAACTAAGACGCTTGTCAGGACGATTATCGTTCAGGAGGTCCGATTCAGTAAATAATTCTTTCAGTTGCTAACATAGAGGTTACAGGGTATTGACATTATATCGATGTCAATGTTGAACTCGGACCTTTACACATGCTCCGCCAACGGATGGGTGAAGGTGCATACACCAACGTTTGGTTTGGAACCCCTCACTGAATTCAGGCCCAGCGTTGGTCTGCATCGTTTGACTGCACAGCAGCTTGGGACGCACATGACGGCATTGTCCTTTCGTCTACCATTACTAAGAGAGGTAAAGCGGAGAACAGCGGTTTCCGTCTCATTACGGGAGGCAATGACGACCACATCAAGGTAAATATGCCATGCTCATATATATCATATCCATCGTAACCAAGATTATTAGGTGTGGGATGTGACGTCCCCCAGAGCACGCGCTTCTTCAATTGCCCTTACACGGGACGAGAGCACAACCTTTCGTGCTGACTCTGGCTTAGCATCAGGTTTGTGAGCGCCCTTCCTGTGTCATCCAGCTAAAATGGCAACCCCATTTTAGATACCCTAACATATGCGCTCTCAAAATTTGTTTCCATTCCCAGCGTAAGCTGCGACCCGTCACACAAGGAGGATTGCAGGCAAGCAGCAATATGGCTTAAAAAGTGTTTGGTCCAGTTGGGTGCCCACTCTACGCTTGTCAGTAGACACCTGTTCTTTAGTCTCATTGAGCTGACCGTTTTTATAGCTACCAACAGGCGAGGGGAACAACCCTATAGTACTGGGTACTTTTGAAGGTTCAGTCAGGGAACACCGAAAAACAAGAGTACTGTTTTATGGGTAATTACGCCCTATAAATATGCCACGTCGTCGCTCAACTTGATTGCATTTCTAAGCCACTACGACGTTATCTCCGCTCCTCTGGATGGATGGCATTCAGATCCGTTTACAGTTTCGGGTCTCAATGGCTATTTATACGGAAGAGGGGTCACCGACAACAAAGGACCCATTATGGCTGTTGCCTGTGCAGCTGCTGACCTCCTTTCTCGGCGGGCACTGGAAATCGACCTGGTTCTCTTGATTGAAGGCGAAGAGGAATGTGGCAGTTCTGGATTCGGTGAAACTGTTCGAAAACATAAGGTATGTCACAGAAGTCAAGTTTATCAGCTACTAAAAAGATCATGCTTCAGAATCTAATTGGGGATATTGATGCCATTTTGGTCAGGTAAGGAGGAATCCGCTCAGATTCTCACACCTAACCCTCTTGTCAGTAACTCGACATGGATTGCAGAGGACCGGCCGTGTATCACGTACGGATTGAGAGGCGTCGTGCATTGTGCTCTTGAGGTGAGCATCCCTTCTCAAACTATACACCAGATCTCACAAGTCTTTGGGTAGATAACAAGCAATCTACCGGACCTTCACTCCGGCATCGAAGGAGGAGCCGTTGCTGAGCCCATGATTGACATGTAAGCCATATAAAAAACATGAAAAGTGAACTCGAATCGATTCGTCAATTTAAGGGTGAAGTTGTTAGCCACGCTCACAGACAACCATCGTCAAGTTCAGATACCAGGATTTTGTGAGCGCACTCATTCTCAGGTTTCTTATTGAATTTTCATGACATTTGATGAAGATGACCGTGTCCGACCTGAAACAGAGGAAGAGAAACAACTATACAAGTTACTGTCTGATGTCACGCAAAAACAAGCATCTTCCTTTGTCGCTCGTTGGAGAGAGCCCTCGTTAACGGTTCACACGATTGAGATTTCTGGACCCAAGAGTGAGTGACAAATTAACCACATTGCTGAGAACTGGTATCAACTTTTTCTGTAGACGCAACAGTGATACCCGGAACTGTGAAGGCACAGGTCTCGCTGCGCATAGTGCCGGATCAAGATCTGGATACGATTGTTGAATCTCTTTGCGATTACCTGTCAGCTTCATTCGACCAGCTCCATTCCACAAATGCTCTACGGGTATGCATTGCGAAGTTCTTCGTCACCAAGGTGCTCATTCCAATTTTCAAGGTTAATGTCGAACACACAGCCGACTGGTGGCTTGGACGTCTCGACGATCCGTGGTTCAAGGCACTCGAAAGTGCCGTTCAAGAGGAGTGGGGATCCGAGCCCTTGCGAATTCGGGAAGGAGGAGTGAGATGCTCCTCTTCTCTGCACATTCTAGCTATTCAATTGACCTCTTCCTTTTGTAGTCCATCCCTTCCGTTCCTTACCTCGAAAAGGAGTTTGGGTGTCACGCTTTGCATCTTCCTATGGGGCAGAGTTCGGTAGGCGTTAAAGTCCGTATCTGCTGCAAACGCGATTGCTGAGAACTCTCCAGGATCAAGCTCACCTACCCAACGAACGCATTTCGCTGGCTAATCTACAGAAAGGTAAAGCGGTGATAGAGCAGTTTATTCTCAAGGTAGCTGCATAGAAGTTCCATCTCTTTCGTGCCATGACTGTTGTCCTTCATTGCTTTCGACGTTTTCATACCCTTTTGTAATTTTTTGTACGCATACCGAATTGTATTTCATCTCTTGTTCGTTGTTTGACCGGTGACGATGGCTTATGACAAGATGGGGATCACGGTCTATTGGATTTATTCACAATCTTGAGGATCAGTCAGGGGCCCGGGTCTCCCTTCTGTCTACTTACCATTACTTATGTCCAGCGCAGAGCCAACGTTTCAGAAAGCCATTCGCTGGCATCCTCCCTCATATGACATCAGAGTCGAGTCGATCCCTGTCCCACAGTACGCTCGCGATTCAAACTAGATGAGAATGTCACTGATAGCTGAGACAGAATTCAACACCCGGACGATGCGATTGTCAAAGTCACAGTAAGTTATCCTTCATTTTCACTTGTATGCCTCGAAATGATACTTGTGAACAGTTGGCTGCACTTTGCGGTATATCTAACCCTCGGAGATAGCACAATCCAATTGATTGATTCTTGACCCACAGGAAGTGATCTACACATTTACAGGGGTCATGGTGGTGTAGACAAAGTGTGCGTTACGGAATCGAATGCGTCAATCGAAGAGGCTCATAAATTATGACAGACACACTTGTGGCCATGAGTTCATAGGCGAAGTTGTCTCGCTTGGGTCGAATTTCGGTGTCGACAGTGCCAAAGGAAGGCCCGCTTTATATGCTCAGCTGAAAGTCGGAGACAGGGTTGTATCACCGTTTACTGTCAATTGTGGCGAATGCAGGTAAGTTAAAGGACTAGATCAGTTTAGCCCTGCTTCACGTCGACATCACAGTGTATGCCGACTTGGCTACACAGGAAGATGTCCCGAGGGTCTCCTGTTTGGATCACCGAACCTGGAGGGCGGTCAAGCACAATATGTCCGCGTACCAAAGGCTGGTGGTACTCTTTTCAATCTCAGCGACCCCTCCACATGGTCCAGCAGCATGTCCAAGGACGAGAAGGAAAAGGCTTTGATTAAGCTCACCGACAGTTCTCTGCTCATGCTAGCTGACATTCTCCCCACTGGCGTCTTTGCTGCGCTGCAAGCGATTAACCACCCAAAGGTCGCGCCAGTAATAACAGGTCGGCCATGGCCACTATGTTTCTCTCCCCCTCTGGAAGGACTTGGAAACGAGGTCGGTTTGAAGGCAGAAGACAAAGTGTTGACCGTCGCCATTATCGGTTTGGGTCCCGTTGGCGTTTGCGCCGCCATCAGTATGCTCGACGCTCTTACAATACGCCAAGTCCCGTTCCGAATTGTCGCCATCGATCCCGTCGAGGCACGGCGAGAGAAGATGAAAGCTGTGTACACCACGATTGTCCAGGCTGGCGAAGAAACTGGGGAGTTTGTAGTTTTATCAATCGAAGAAGCTAAGGAAAAAGTTGCAGACTGGACAGGCGGTGTTGGGTGCACGACCGTTCTTGAGGTTTGTTTCCCGGTGCCAGCTTCCCACAAGCAGGTCTCCTAACTTGGCACAAACAGGTTGTTGGAAACACAAGTGCACTCTCCCTTGCTTACGACCTTGTCCGCGCCTTTGGAATAGTGGTATCCGTGGGCGTTCACGGACCACCGCCGCTTCCTTTCACTGGTCGCCAGTGCTACAACAAGAATGTTTCATTGGACTTCGGAAGGTGCCCCGCTCGTGCGATGTTCCCATTAGCATTCGATCTTTTAGGTTTGTCGCAAAGCCTGCGAAATCTACCTATCATTCACGTTTCTCTAGTCAAAAGGCAAGATGTTTTTGGAAGCATCGGGGAACCGGCAAGCTTGATCGACCGAGTCGTCGATTTTACAGAAGCAGCCGATAGCTATCGCGCATTTGATAAGGGTGAGGTGGGAAAGGTCATTTTTGATCCATGGAAGTGAACGACAGACGGATATTGCAAAACGGCAAGAGATCTTGAAAGTTGCTATAGTCATTAAATTTCTTGTCGTTGGACTTTTTGTATCATCATGTGAACCTGCTGCGCTTGATCATCCCTCGTTCCAGGACTTTCTTGGATCTTAACTTCTATCGGGGGAAACACATGGGGGAAAGTAATACAAGGAGGCGTCATGCCACCATGTGAATCAATTAGAAGATAGCTCAATCTCCATCGCAGCCCAATCCGGTGAAGAGATAATTGTCGGTAGTTTACACCAAACTTCCTCTCGCAACACAGACGCGTCCTCTGAGAATTCTTTTCGACAGGTATCGCAAATAGTGAAGTCGTGAGACACTTGTTGGATTGCTTGCAGCATATAGTGCAAAGGGCCTGTCCGCATTGACCACGATCTATTCAACTGAGAGACCAGCCGAGAAAAGCGGGGCCCACACGAAGATACATTGCCGCACTTGGGAGAGGTAACCTTGTCGCCACAAAATCGGCGAACGAAGTCCAGGATAACCTGAATCCGATATTGAAACATCAGAGTGTACAGAGGGATGTCGTCAAGACTCAACACCGATGAAGGCTTTGAGGGGCGATTCGTAAGTAGTTTAGGGTGGTTGCCTGCCAGGATATCAGCGAGGGGATACAGGGAGAGGAAGTATAATGCAGAGGGGATCAAGATGCCAGCATTGACTTCTCTTGCAAGATTCAGGACATGAAGGGGGTGAACATATGGGTAGGTGAAGTCGTTGATTAATGGAGAGACTAAGGCGGTATGCACCATCTCGTCGTGTCCTTTCAGGGTATAGCTCCACGTTTGAGCTAGGTGTTGAATCGCTTGTAGGCGAAGGCGACCAACAAAGTATTTAGTCGCCAAGCGTAATATTCCAGCGGTATAGAAAAAATCAAGGGTATCAAAATTTCTAGTGACAGAAAAATTCAAGCGACAGTGGGAGGGGTTTCGTGAAACGAAGACTCACGGGCCATCGTAGAGAGCATTGATAAAAGTGGATAATTCGGCCGGGATATCGTACATGTAAATGACCTGACAGCCTTGGAATGTTTCCTCTTCAAGATGTGTTTGTGGCCCTTGGGGTATCCCAAACATGTCCCTAAAGATCTCGGAATGTCTTGACTATTGGGACGAGATTGGTTAGAACGATATTTAGATGACATCGAGAGGTTCTTACAAGAACACCGCGGTGCAATCGGAACGCGGTAGGATTTTCTTCTGTGACAAGGATGATATTCCCATCGTCAAACCAAGGCTAGATGGGCCACTGGTAATGGAAAAGGAAGAAAGCCAGGGAATGATACCTACATCACCTTTGATTACCTCCTTGGCAGCAATGAAAAGGGTGGCCATTTGAGAAAGACGAATTTGTCTGTATTTGCTACAGGCTCTACGCCGCTATCATTCTCTCTCGTGCAATGCTACATACTCCTCGGTCAAGAACAACGTCCCTTGCAAGACCGTCTCCATCCAGGCTAATTGTCCCCCCTGCATTGAAGCCCTCACCGTCCCTCTCAAATCTCAACATCCACAGCCATAATCCTGGTCCTTCTCAACCCAATGTCCCCGACCTATCTCCCCCTTCACTTGCTCGCAACAATGTTCTCGATAGCTCGGCGTCCTCTGTCATCAGCGTAGACATGACCGAAGGAATCTTAATACAGGACATGGATGCTGATGTCGAACCAACAGACGGCGAAGATACCACCGTCCTTGCTCAGTTTGATGCAAACCAGAGCGAAGAAGGGCCCAAGAAGCATCTACGGGATCAGCTTAGGAGGACATTAACTAGCAAGGCCTTACAATCAGGTTAGGAGTACAAAACTATACCCATCCCTTGTCTTATCTTTCACCCATTCAAGACATAATTGCTTCTCGTGCTCGTCAGAAAGAGATCTCTGTAGACCTTCATGACACGGTATTCGAAGCAGGTGAGGAATAGTACAAACCATTCGTTTATCATCTGTCAAACCGTCACAGTTTCTAGATATCCGCCACGGGAATACTTCATCCTGACTGACGCCGGGAAACCCGTCTTCATTAGGTTCTAATCTCAATCAGTCGTTGTTATTGGCAAGGCTAAACATTGCTCTTAGCCGACCAGGAGGTACAGACCAAGATAATATGGCCTCCACCGTTGGCGTCATGCAAGCCTTGATCTCCGTTTTCCTAGACGAAGGCGACAAATTGCGCTGTATCAACGCTGGACGGACGAGGATCACATTTTTGCTTCGTTCTCCTCTTTATTATGTCTGTGCTTCTTCATGGGGAGAACCAGAGTCTGTCGTATGTTTTTCCTTCCTCGCTTTCGCAGCTCGTTATCTGATATATCAAATGTTAAGAAAGACAAGAGCCCATTTAGAATATCTTCACTTGCAGATTCTTAGTATTGTCACGGCGACGCAGCTTCGTCGCATTTTTGAACGTAGGACAAACTTTGATTTGAGGCGACTATTGAATGGTACTTCTTCACCTTCGTTTTTTCTTCCTTTTACTTTCTAATACGTCTTTGCAGGGGCAGAACCCTTCATGACTTCTTTATTGGACCGGCTTGAGGGTGATTTGGCAATGACCACAGCATCACTGCATTGTCTCAAATTGGATCCGAATCTGCGGAAACGCATCGCGGATACTCTTGTCCCACACTCCAAGATAAAGGTAGCTTTGTGCGCAACCTTGTTGCTCACTTGCTAATCGATGCGCAGGATATTCTCTACGTTATCCTCATTGCAAAGGATAAGGTAGTGACCTTGATACGACCGAGGAAGCATTCAATCCATCCCGCAGGTAACCATCAATCAGTATTCTTTGACCTTTCTTACACAACCTTAGACTTGCACATCATTTTGAATACGCTCCACTCCCCTTCGATATTAAACTCACCTGCTTCGGCATCTTGGATTCCTTTCTGTCTTCCCAAATTCAATCCGAGTGGGTTTGTGAACGCATTCATTGCGTTTCTGCGAAAAGACGACACTGGCGCACAAAGTACTCACAATGCACCTCCCACAGAACATCTAGAGAATGCTGCAGAGTCACCAGGTGGATCCAATGAACTTAATGAAGCTGACGTGGCGCTAGTCTGCATCACGGGAGGGGGAGATTTTGAAGTCATCAGGGGATGGTGTGAGACTGTGATCACTGTGAGGTCAATCCGAAACTCCCCTGTGGCCTCACTTTTACCGATTTTAGAGGCTCAAAGAAGAAGGCACTCTGCATGCGCTGGTTAACGCTTTCGAGTCTCGAGAGACAGAGTACTCCGTTTCGGAGTTGGGCATACCTGGCCTTCGGCACTTCGTCTACAAGTCTCGGGCACAGGTGCAAGTAACATTGCCTTCATTTGAAGATCCTTACGATAGCACGCAGGAGAGAAGGAGGTACGCGCAGTTGCCCAAAACAAGTTGCTCTCCCGACTGATGTTTGGGAAGACTTGTGACACTTTATCAGACGCTGCATGACGCTATTCACGCGAGATCAGGGCAAGAAGGGCCGCTTAAACTGCAATACATACGAACGGAAACGGAGAGCGTTATGGGCTGGGTATGTGGAGATCCTATTCTGTGGTCCGATCTGCTTGTTCACGTTGTAGATCCTAGATCACGCAGCCGTTCGAACTGTACATTGCGTTGTCTCCTCGATTACCCAAGAGTGCTGCTGTAGGCGCTGCGAACGCCGTGGCTCGCTGGGTGAAGAAGGAGGAATCACGGTTATTTCTGCAAAATGCACCTGTATTTTAGTTGTAACATATCGCGTGACGTCTAGGTCACGCCTCTACGGAAATGTGACATTGGCATTCACTTCATTTTCTGTCATGTCTTTTATTGGCACGTCTGCTTCCCATCTATGCTCAGCAATTCCAAGGCTGTCGCGCTCTCTGGCCAGCGCTGCGGCCACTAGGCCTATTCCGCCGGTAGGGGGTAGTACCATGCTTCCGCCAGCATTGCTTCGCCAACGACTCACCATACCATCCGCGTCAGGTTCTATTGCCACCCCCAGCGACTTCCTAACAGCTATTGGCCGTGCTTCCGAAACTAAGCTTTCGGTGGAGAGCTGGGATCAGCTATGGAGAATGACTGGTCCGGACATGCGTAAAGCTGGTATTGCCGTTCGGGATCGAAGGTTCGTCGTTCTCCTTGTATGTATAGTTTCTTCCGCCGCGTTTCTGAACCCCTTTGCTTTTACTAGGTACATTTTATGGTGCATGGAGAAATTTAGGACTGGTATTCCCATCGAAGAGTTCGCGCATGAGCCTCAACCAAAGAAAACAATTAGAGGGTTTGTGAGCAACTCAAATAATGGTGTTCTTCGTTCTCATACAATATCGCAGATGGGGACCATGTGTGCAGAACGGGAAACGGATACGGTCGCGCCGGCTGAAAAACAAGTAGTTGCAGCGAATGTGATACCCACTTTACAATAAACATAATTTGTTCTAATTCCCCTCGGGCGCCTGAGTTCAGCCCAAACTGCTTCAAATTAAACTGGTATGTGTGATTAATACAGCGGGGTAGTACATAGGTGTAAGATATTCTGCAGAGGCAGGAATAGGTATAGCTATACAAATGGAGGGAATAGATATTATGGTACATGGTTAAGTAACCGAGTTCTGGAAAGCGCTGGTGAGATGATGACGACGAAGCAACAAAAGAAGAAGGGTGCTTACCGAACGAATTTTTTGTTTTTGCCCAAGGAAATCTACTCTTCTTGACCTGCTGCGCACGGCGTGCCAACGCATTGGACATTGCCGTTGTCCAAGTGCCGCTTCAAGGCGTCGCGACGACTGAAGGTGCGCATGCATCCCCCAATCCTCTCTTGACCCAAAAACATGTATGGCAGAGCGTCGCGGGGGATTTTTTTGTACTGATCAACGTTCTCGAGGAGAACTCCCTTGCACCACCAACCCTTGGACTGGTCGTCTTCAGTTGGGCGCGTATGGGTCTTCATGTGTCTCTTGAAATCGGGCATCCGCCTGTTTGTCTGCTTCCAACCACATTCTGGGCAGATGAAGTTCATTTGATGGCATGAAGCGACCGAAACTGCTTCGCGAATAGCGACAGATGTGGTGGAGGATGCTTGCTTGTTGCGAGATGGAGGAGACACGCGAGCACGCTTTACAGAACGGCGATTATGGTGGGAGGATGGGGACGGGGACGCGTTGTGCCTGACGGAGATGGAAGAACGGCTGCGTTTCCGGGGGTTGGTCTCGACGAACGGAAGGTATTCGTCGTCGTCGTCGCCGTCACTCTCACCGTATGCATCTTGATCTGAATCGTGAGCGGACGGGGATGCAGCGCGAGTGACGCTGAGATGGCGCAAAGGTGTCAAGACTGGAGAAGAAGCAGCAGAGTCCAGGTGTGCTTCCAAAGACTCCGGCGAAAGATTGAGTGAAGCATAGAACGACTTCCAAGATCTCTTGCGATCAGCAGTGGGAAAGCTGAGTGCAATGTCGTTTGACCTAGTACAAAGGTAATTAATATACAACCCGGGTGAAAGGGAGAAAAAAAATTCACGACTCGTCCTCAGCTGGAGTATCCTCACGTTTGGGCAAAAGCGGAGTACCCGAACGGTTGGGATATGGAGTGTCCTCACGCTTGCGCCAGAACGGGGCGTCAGGATGGGATTCTTGATCACTGCAGTAGTCAATGTCTGGCGTAGTAGTGGATCGGGTCGAGTTGGAGCTGGATGAAGATTCATAAGGTCCGAAGAGGGTGAGAGGAGATGCGTCGACAGGGTCGAGTTTGTAATGAAGAGAGAAAGGGTCAATGGAGTCTATGGAGTCCATGTCCTCTAGGTACGCTGAGGGTGTTTCGGGGAAGCCAAGGGTGTCGCTGAAGGGGGTGTCGAGGTGAGCGTAGGGGAACATTGTGGAAAGAGATGTGCGAGGATGGAAGTAGGGCCATGGCGGAGGTCTTATTATATAGGTTATCGACAGAGCAAGACGCGTCGAGGGCACCCCGCGTTATTATCACGTCGTGTTCCCCAATTTGGAAATGTGACAACCGAAGACAAAGAGCCTGCATAGCAAATTTACTTGGAAACGCAAAACGCTTGGAGACACTTCACAACGCTTCAAATGACCACAACGGCAATCTGTCTCTTTGGTCTTTTGTCGTATCTCTCAAAGCACTTTTGTTCTACTTTTTCTTTTCGAATTTTCAGTCATTTTCTTACTTTGTGTCTTTGTCGCCAGATTAGATTGTGAAGAGTGTGATATTAACGAGGGAGGCGGCACCTCGTGCGTTATCAAGGATCCCTTCCGATTATAGTGCAAGCACAGAACCCTGCAAAACCCCTATAGATAACATGAGACAATGGCTCGCCCGCCCAGATTCATCGTGCATCTGTCGGAGGAAACCGACGAGCGTTCAGGTACCATTACATGGATCTATCGAGACGTGGCATGAGAACAATTGAAGGGTCCTCGTAAGTAATCGTAGAATGCCAGAATGAACGGGACAGGCGCGAATCGCACAAAGAAAGATTGAGATCTGCCCTCGGAGCCTATCACGAGGCTTCATCATGAAGAAGGACGTATTCCCTCGTCGATTGTCCAAACTTGATGACTTTACAAAAGTCAGAATTGAATAATCCATACATCGTGAAACTTACCATCGCCAGCCTTGAGCTCATAGTATCGTGCTGCTGGAATAGCCTCGTCATTGACGTGGGTTCCATTGGTTGATTCAAGGTCAATGACAAAAGGCCTTAAATTTTTATGAGAGAAAGAGGTAATTGGGGAATAAAGCAACTGACTTGACAATTCCTTTAGAATCGCCGAACTCGTCTTTCTCCCGGACATAGCGATCTAACAAAAGGATAAGCAGTTTTCTTCTAGAGACCCGGATCAACGCACATTGTATCACGGCATGCTGCTTCGAACACGATGGGTGATCTATAGCAATATCTGCAACCAAGCGGTCCCTTCCAATGAGGTATGCACTTTGCCGGTGAATGTGCAGTAATTCTATTGAAAATTATTGAACAACGGCAAGCGGGCATTTTGGAAAATACACACACCCAGTTGTTCGCTTCCTCTGAATACGTAAAGTCTCCACCCCAGCACTGGCTTTCTGGCTTCGGGCGGTTCGTTGTATTTCAGAACAGTGCTCGTGCCATCCACGGCTTTGACAGTATTAGTTTCCGCCGCAAGCAGTCCAGAGGGAGCAAAATTGGGTTTCGCCATGTCAATGGGAGGTTCATCTCCCGGGGATTTCGAGCCAGATGCTGCATCGCGTGGTCTGGAAGTTCGAGATGGGGGTGATGCGGACCGACGGCGACCATTGGACGAACGAGCGACATAATCTCTGTCGTGCCCTCTATCTCCCTCCCGTGCGCGATCATCATACCTCTCCCTGTCTCTATTCCTCTCTCTCTCTCGATCGTCCTCGTGATACTCGCGACGGTCAGGCCGCCTCTCTTCTCTTCTTGGCCGTTCATCGTCTCTGCCCCATTTTGATTCGCCGGTTTCTCTACTCCTCCGTTCGTATCCACCGTCATCCCGAGTCTTCTCAGCTCTGCGATAGTCGCTACCCCTTCTTACATTTCGATCTTCATCGTCACCCCGCTGGCGACGTGGTGGAGAGCGTGAGTGGCGTACCATTTGAAGGGGGGCTTCAATGGCGTTATTTTGTACGCAGTATTGGAGGACCAGCACCGGGTACTGTTCAGTATCTTGCTTAACAGGCCTACTATCTTTCGAGAGTGAAACGAGGAGCAAAAGTTATTCGAATTGGACAAGTTGAAGAGGTTCGCCTTCAGGTTGTAACAACGCCAAACACGACTTACATAAGGTAGAGGTAGAACTTCGAACCAAGAAGGTCTTGATGGTATATTCATGAAGATGGACTCAGTAAAAATTCAAAATGGGACTATTGAAAGTATTCAAAAGCTATGTACAAAAATACAGGAATTAAGTGCTATTATGAGGGCAGGGATTGGGTGACCGGGGGACATTTTTTATCTCCAACTTTCAAGTTATATGTTACTCTCGCTTTTCCCCCTGCTCAAGCAATACCGATGTCATTGTCAAGAAATTATGCTCAAACCTCATTAACTACTCGAGTACGAGTAGGCATTTTTTATGGATGAGGTCAAACTTGGGTCAAACGCGTTTTTCAAACAAAAAATTTAAACGGGGAGTGGTCACCACTTGGGAGAAACCGAACGACGACCTCCATCAAGGCTCCATGCGTCTCGCACTTTAAAGAATGCCGATCCGTGTGAGTTATTTGGGTGAAGACTTGGTAACAACTTCTAGGTTTTCCGATGAGAGTGTTGTGCGGTGGTTTTACTCGGAGAATACTCGTCAACCTGACACTCTTCGTCGTCGTCCAATGTCCATAAAGTTCTGTTCATTGACCGTTGAGTAAGTACTTCTACACAACGTATATAAAAGTGGGGAATCTTCGGCTTGCTATAATTTGCAATTATGAAGAATGATGGCGCTGTTAACGGTTTCATGCTGTTTCAGGTCGTTGCCTGTCGTTGCACATCTAATAGCCGTTTAGTTTGACCCTTGATACGTTTACAATATGTTGACTGCCAGGTACCGGGTCTAAGTTCCATGTCGCAAGGAGCGAGCAAGGTGGGGTGACAAAACTTGCTTTATTCGCAGCTTTGTGAACACTGCGGGACCCGCGAATTAGTAGTGGCGGGTAATTCGGACGCCGCAACTCGCTACCAAACTTACAATCATCACATTGGCTAGAAAAAGAAGTCGGTCGTAGCCTGGAGACTACTTTGGCAATCCACTAAAAATCTGGGCATCTGATGCATAGTAGATTATGCATGTTTCTGAAAGTCAGGTGAAAGTGTTCCGTTTTGGTAAGAGAAACGCGACTCGGAAATTCCTAGGTGATAGATATCAGCAAGATACTTCTGCAACAAGAAGCGCCGGGGGACCGGGGAGAAAGACAGAAATGAACATTAACAAAGCGGTCGGCCGTCGTTCTAAGTGAATAACAAGTCCGCGGATCTGAACGGGTCTCCGCAAAGACGAAAGAGAAAGCGATAGAAAAGCAAAGGAGCGAGCATCGCTTGATCCGATTCGCAAGTACGAAAAGTATAATATCCAAGAGCAAGGAGAAGCAACGCCAAGTGTCTTGTCAAAGGCGTGCTGTAAAGCGGGCTCTCAGCGATGGTCGACAGCATCGGCGAGAAAATTGAGATGTCTTTTTGGCCAGCCACGATAGAGCGCGTTTTGAAAGGGTTGGAGGCGATGACTTTCAGCCAATTTGTGATGATGATTTATTATTTTGAGGAAGTGATGACGCGTGCGAAAAGTGCGCGTGAAGAGGGGACGAGCGGCGTAGCGACGATCATGTTCAAAGATTCGTGTTTGAGCGGACGGTGGAGAAACCAGGAGAAACCTCGCTGAGATTATTGAAAAGAGCCTAAGAGAAATAAAAATAGCATGTCGATCGAGGAAATCGCCGGGGGTGACAGGAGTCTTCACGCCGGCCACGTGAGCGCCACATGGGTTTTGGTTGAGCATGTAGACGGAGTGGGTGTGGCTGGAAAGAAGAGGAAGAGAAGGACGATGGAGAAGAGGTTGGCTACGAAAGGGTACATACACATAACGGTGTTGAAAGGAAGAAGGTCGAGGACGACTTAAGGGGAAACAAACAGGCACCAACAACTGCTGGAAGTGACGTGTGTGACCAGGGGCGTGAGTGTGTATGGTCACTTGGAATCGCAATACTTAAAATACTAGAATGATAAGTAAGTTGTCTCCAAGCTCTTTCCTCGTTACTCGAATATTCTCTTCATCTGCCGTCTCTCCCGCCGTCAAGCCCGCCGTCGTCCACATCGTTCATGCCATTGTTCTCAACCATCTTCGCATCTCGCCATGTTTAGCCTCAATTCGCGTCCGCGTTCCCACTCCCAGTCCTTCCCCTCCGTTCCCTACCGTGCTCAAGATTACTACCCTCACCCAACAGACCACATCCAAATCACTTCGCCCGCCTCTCCACACACGTTTGCCGCAGAACGTAATGATCTTTTTGCCGGTTCCTCTTCCGACATTTGTGGAACCTCGCGTCATTCCCATGCTCCCTACGATAGCAGAGAGGACTTTTCTGCGCCGACCCCATACCATCAGCCTTACCATCGGGGTAATTCGAGTCCTACGGACTTGCGTCTCCCGTCCAGTGCCACTTACCGCAGCCAATCAGAGGAGGATCATCGCTCAGTCCTTCCAAATCTGCCTCAGCTGAGCCGAGGTGAGATATTTACAACATTCCACACTAATGGCCATGGTTCGCCTCATGCGACTTTTCTTGCCGAACCAGAGTCCGCGTTGACCGCCCACTCAGATCACTCGGGAGATTCAGAATTCTGGCCGACTGCCGTTCAGGAGCACGCTCCCGATCCTCCTCGACCGAAGAAGGCTAGGCGTGAAAAACCGCGTATTGAACTCGCACCCGATCAACCCCCCACTACGCAGGGGAAGCCAAGGGCAAGGGTTTATGTTGCCTGTTTACAGTGGTATGCAAATTTTCTATACATGAATCTATCCACAAGTTTAACGATGTACCTTTTCAGTCGAACACGTAAAATACGGTGTGATGGTGCAAAACCTGTTTGTCACAATTGTAGTCGTCGCACAAACGCAAACAGCGAATGCAACTACGACCCAGTTCCCAAGCGGCGTGGGCCCGATAAGACACCTGGAGCTCGACAGCGAATGGCGAGAGATGCGAGGAATGAAGTCAATGGTGACATTCTTTCAACGCGTCGTCGCCGCAGGACCCGTGAAATGTCAATAGCAGAGAACCCGCCTCAACAACACATAGAGCATAGGCAGACTCCCGATTCCAATCCAATGCAGCTCCTGTCTATACACCCCTCTATAGCGAAGATCGAGCTACCCACTGCCGAGTTATCCCCCATGTCGAATCTTGTGCGTTCTTATTCTCCGGAGTGCGGCTGCCATGGGCTCATTCACTGTCCTTTTATTATGGAAGTTGGCGGCCCTTCCGGTAGGAAGTCCTCCGCATCTGTACGTCTTCACCCGGAGAGCTCCCTCCACAACTAATGTAACGAATATGTAGCTCTCGCCAGATAGTGACGCATATGATCTCACAACAATGATTCCCTCATATAATGCATCCACAACCTGTGGAAGTGAAGTCGATGAAAGTGGGACTGAGCGATCAAACTCGTACGCTTGTGAAATTGCTAGCGAGCCGTCTCTTACCTTTACCCGCAAAATTTGGTGGGATTCTCTTCTGTCCTTGTATCTCTCCCCCGACTATTCTCATCCGCAAATCTTTACAACTTCTCAGCGAGATGCTGCAGCCCGGACAGTCAGCGCAGATTTGCGTTTCATTTTCCGAGAGTCGAATTATTGGTTCTCGTTCTTCCATATCCCAAGTTTCTATGGAAACTTTTTTGATCCTGCGCGAAGAGAATGGGTTCAGCCAAGTTTAGTTCTTGCTTTACTGGCGATGTCAATCTTTTGGCAGAGCTCAGAGATAGGCCTGGGGAGTCCCGGCAGGGAACGTGCGCTTCGTTTTCGTGATGAAGCGCAAAGTGCCCTGGAAGCAAGCTTCAACGCTGGGTGGATCGACGAGACCCTGGCTCAGGCGGCGTGGGTGAGCTTTTAGTTTTGAAGGGGCTCTTTGAGATAAATTGACTATCTTGACAGTTATTGGCTCTTTTTGAAGTTTGTGCCCATCCCCGCCATTCGTCTGAGCGGTCAAAATCAGCCATGATAATGCTCGATTCTATAATACGTAGCCTGTCATTGACTCTGGTCGACGCGGATGATCCGAGTACGTCGGTGTTTCCACCTGGTTCCGTCCCCACTGTCAGATCACAAAAGTTTCTGCCGAGTACAGCACGGTTCTCCGACCAACCTCCCATTCGCATCTTACGGGATAATTCCTCAGCTCAACATACCTCGCTCAATAGCAGTCATGGTGGAGACGACTGCTTATGCAACTCTATGACTCTCAGAGAGTGTTGGCCAACGTCCCGCGAGCACGCCCCCTTGTGGGGAGCCACGCCAGCTTGGAACGAAGGCTGGAGCGAAGGTGAAATTCGCAAAGAGTCTTGCCGGCGGCTCTGCTGGAGCTCTTCGATTTTGGCAGCTGGTCATGTATCTTATACGATGGCTCATCGATCCAAAGGTCTTGATCTCTTCATCTCCAACCCAGCCAATGTAGGTTATCCACTTCATATGGTTACATCGTTTTTACCGGTTTTTTTTTCAGTATGCTCTCCTGTTTTCCGGAGAATCCGTTGCCAGATCCCCATTTTCCTTTCTTTCATGCTCCTCAAAGGATACGATTTGGGCGTTGCACGACCGATGTTTCTTGCTGTGGCATGCATGCATTCACACGCGTCTTGATACGCGCGCGACGGACTCTGAAAAGGCTAACTTTGGCGTTAAGGCGTGGTTGGAGGCTGATGCTCTTGAGCTGGCTTTGAATAAGCATACGTGCACGATCGAACGAGCCTTTATCTTCCAAGCTCGAGAATACATTTTCAAGTATGTTCGTCAATACTTGCTGTTATCATTACTGATAACTACTCAGCATAAGGATGTGTATATCTTACGAATTCCGGCGCTTCATCCCACTTGCTACTGCGTATGTCTGCTCATTCTCTGGGAACCAAAGTAATTCATGATAGAAACCCAGGAATATGAACGGTTTATTCCATCGGAACAAAGCAAAAGAGTGGTGTACGCCGGTCCAGCTCATCCCTGTCCGTTATCTGACCCTGAAGTCGCTCAGTAACACATCAAGCGGCTGTTGCCCGACGCTTCATGCTTGGACTCCGTACCATCACTGGGAACTCAGCCAATCTGCTCGCTCGCCGCCCATTCTTTGTTTTCTGGTTCATGGGACAAATTTACCGGTTTGCAGTCTTCTTGTTTTTGGTTCTGAAAGTTGCTCACAGCTTCGGCAGCGCATTATCGTTGTGGCAATGCGACAATACCCTGTTAGTTGCCCTGGACGTTTGCAAGGCACTTCTCCCGGCAATCGACTATTTGACTGCGTTGTGGCCTTGTCCTGGTAATATCTTTTATTATCGTCGCAGAAGATTTCACACTCAATCAGCATCAGAGCAACGATGTCGCTACGAAAACCTTCGCAAAAGGTTGGACGATGCCTGCTATTTTGCTGGCGTCAGCCTCGCACCTCCCTCAAATCTCACTCTCCCAGACCCATCCTCGCCTCAGGATCTTGTGTAAATTATCGACCGCCGTTATTTCGACCTTTTGGGTCCTAGATGTTTCTCCTGGGAATTTGCATAGTCTATCATTTCTTATTGACTATTTCACTCCGTCGCCGCCTCTTGAATGAGAACGCTGTAACAACCCATTTCGTGTATCAATAGTTTTACCAAACCATTGTTTCATAAAATACTGATGGGTTTGACCGGCGGAAGTTGTTAATGAGGAATTTCCAAAAAGGGGAGGGTGCTTCTAGCCAACACCTTAACTGTCTTTCGCCACTTGACCACAGCCATCCCGCCTTCGAAGATGAGCGAAAACGACCTCCCACATTTATCTGAAGTTCTCAAGCCCTTCGACGTAGCCCACTCGCAACCTCGAGACTCTGCCACCTTCACTACACTCAAACGACGAGCCTCACCATCCTTTGAGGATGTCGCAGATATCAGTCGGAAGAGATTGAAGGAGGCTGGTGCTCCTGAAATCGATAGAACCGATGTCACTGATATGTCAAGCTTTCCGGACGAATTGGCTCAAGACTTGCAGTGCGGATGCTGCTCGGAGCTCGTCTACCGACCTGTACTTGTCATGCCCTGTCAACATTTCTTTTGTGGAAGGTAAATGGTAGCGCTTGAATGCCCCGCAATGTTGTGATTTACCCTTCACCCTTCTCCCAGCTGTTGCGTATTATGGATTCGTGTAAGTCTCCGTCGATTGAAATTAGCACCTAGACATCATGCCCTGGCACCTTGATTTCTTGAGATCTCGACATCCAAGTCTTCTATCAATGCGTCCCCTTGGATCCCTTTCAAATTCTTATGTTAACCCCATTCGTCTGCAGAATGGAGGCACGAATTGCCCAGCTTGCCGTGGTCAATCAACAATTGTCAGCCCGTTCCGTGCATTGCAGACTGTGGTCGATACCTTGCTTCGCCTTGCACCTCATAAAGCTCGCACGGAACGTGAACGCGAACAAGCAGATGAGTTGTATAAAGTTGGACAATCCTTACGTGTACGTTTATCTAGCTCCTTCATATCATGATCTGACAGGCTGAACATATTTAGCTGCCTGCACCGAGAGAAGCTTCGCCCGAGCCAAATATTAACCAGAGCACTGATTTTGCCCACCCTTGCCCTCATTGCTTGCCAGGTAACCCGTACGGCTACAGGTGTCCGCAGCCTGTCCCCGATCCTAATGTTGATGCCGAGCACGCCTGGCCGCTAGATGATGGTCTGCCCCCAGGTCACGCCCATTGTGGCAACTGGCAAGTGCCCTTTGAAATTTTGCAAACATTGACTAAGACCTTTACAGTGAAAATCTTCTGGCTGTTCGGGCCCCTGTAACGACCAGATGCGATATGTGTCAGGTCTTTTTCTGTGGGATTGGTGTTCAAGGCCGCTGTTTAGCGGCACCAATTATTTCACAGCATCCTCATGGACTCTCAGCTGTCAGCGACCTCATCCAGAGTGCTGACGTCTATGAGTGCTTTGATGGCAACACCGTCGAAGTCGATATCATGCTTGACTACTTAAACTCGCAGAGGTTAACGCCTAGGCATATTTATCGCGAGGTTTGTAGCTTATCTTTTCTTGGGGACACTTTTCACATTTGTGATTGCAGATCGTCACGCACATCCAATCGCAGCCTGGCGGTTTCCAACCTTTAATCGAACTAGATTTATTTAGTGATATACATGGTGTTGCAGCGGGAGCGGACGCAGCCGTAGAAGGCACTCGTAACAGAATCTGCAGGGTCTGCGCGACAGAAGTCCTTCTATGGGGGTTGAAAGAATGGTGGATACGTGAACGTCAGAAAGGTTTTCTTGAAGAGGCTGTCACGAATCGCAAGGACTGCAAAGATGGAAGTTCGTGCACCCATCAGAGAGAGCTTGGTATGTATACTTTTTGTTACCTTGCTGCTCACGTTTCACTTACTTACCTCTCGAACGGTCTAGCACACGCACGAGAGTGTAAGTAAATGTCCAGTTATAGGATATCAGGTCACTGACATGCGCATCATTTTGTTCAACAGTCAATCACATCTTCACTTATCCCGAACCCGAGCAACCTGCCCCCAATCCTCAAGCAGTATCAGAGCCTCCTGAAACTGAATCCAACGAAGTCCCTGCATCTTTAGAAGCTGATACGATTCGCAACAATGAACCTCCCCCTTCCACTAATCATTCGACGCCAGATCCTGATTTTGCTACAATTCTGGATTATCATGCACCACCTCCACACTCTATGGATGTAGGCGATGTCTTTTTATGAACTTCATGACATATTTTACTTTTATGATAGACATTTTCCATGTTATTATAGTACAAAACAATTATTATCTTTTCGTTCTGATCAAAATTATATGTACAATGATGAGAAGCTAACAGTCAAAAGATGAGTGTTAGATGAACTACCAAGGGCAGATAGTCTTCCATGACTCCATTTCAATCGCCAGTTCATCTTCATACTGTGGAAACACCGACTTAAAGGAGTTGAACCACGACAGGTAGCGCTGGCGACCCCACAGCGCTGTCGTGAAATCCCAGTATTCAGGCATCCATGCTGCACATTGCCAATCAATGAGTCCGACTGGTCGGAAATGATCATCGACAAGAATGTTGTTCGGCGACAAGTCACCGTGAGTGAAGCACATACGGTAACGTTTTTGTCGCACGGATTCAGCAAGAGCCACGATTGCTGGGTCAGCGCTAGGCTGGAGCGTACAGAATGGCTCCCCATGGAATATATCTTGGGATTCAAAAGGCCCCACGCGAGCATCGCAGTAGATTCGATAGCTCAAGAAATCGCCTCCCAACAAGCCGCAAATTGAGCCATCACCAGGCGGCGTTAGGGTTTGGAGTTGGTGAGCCAATCATGCTGGTGTTGGCGAATACTTAAAGTTGTTCTGGGGATGCCATGTTGAGACCACCTTGTATGTCAGCGACCGGATTGCCAGGGACTCGTGTCATTAGAAAAAGGGTGCCAATGTGAGTCTTGACGATGTCGAGGACGGTTGGAACGGGGATAGAGGTATTAATCGACACGTATTGTGTGGCAAGCCCTTCCATAATGTTCGAATCGTTGCCGACTTTGGCATAGAGCCCGAAAGGGAGGCGGAAGACTCTAGGAGATGAAGTGGGTGTACCGGCGCGTACCCCACATCGGTAGATGAACATCCTGAGTTTCTGAGGCACGCAAAGCCACAATGCCCGTGACATGAAACCAGTTACGGTTGGTCGTCTGCTAAAGGTCAGGAATCCGTGATACATGACATTCTACAACTCGGAGCTAACCTTCGATAAACGAACTCGGTGGGATCGATATTTGCCATGGATGTTGGTTTAGAGAAAATGGCAAAACGGGTGCCTCGAATCTTGATGTCTTCCGAATCTCTGCCTCCTCCGAGTCCTTCATTTGCCCTCACCGCCCGCTTTAGCGTCCAAATATTTTATGCAAGGGCGGGGGCCGCGGGGCTGCGTTCGAATGCAAACACACCACAAGATTTGATAAAGAAGGGTCTGTATAACTTGAATAAATATCAAAGTTCTGGAAGCATACTCGGAGAACAACAATCCCACTATTCAAAGTGTGTGCCCCTCTTGGGATCTGCTCTCCTCTTCTCAGCCGCCTTGCGTATTTTTCTTCCCGGCCGCACAACAATGACGGGTACAGGCGAATGCGAGAGACAGTATCTGCAGAGAAGCCAGACTTTCCGTCGGAACCTCGCCAGAAGTTAAAGTCGCGATTGGCTGGAAACAGAAACTCAGTATCGCCACCTTTCTCGATACGCTCTTTCCGAATCTTGAGCGCATCGAGACGCAAGCAGGATCTAATTCAGAGCAGTGGGAATTTATATATGACCTGGTGAAGATGTGTCAAACCTCCATTCCGCATCTTCAATGGAACCAAACCAAGAATTTTGCGAAATTCAGAAAGGGGCACTACATAAATTGTATTTTGAAAAATCAAAGAACGTATGACAAATGCAAGAAAAATTAGAGAATAAAAAAGCAGAGGTGCGAAAATGCATGCAAAGGAAATCAACCCAATGACATCAATTTAATGACACTAACTTGGGTCGGGTGGCGAAGGTTTGAACATCTCGAACAAGGGTTTTATTTGAGGTAGGACGTGCGTCCGTCTTCCTTTTTCCAGGAGAACGGTTGGTCGCCGCTTTCACCCATGAAGGCGACAACGGAGACAGGGATGAGAGCTTGAGCGAGACAACGGAAGGCTCAGTTAGGGCCTTTTGGAAGCTTGTTCCTTTTTGAACGATGATGGGGATAAGAATTTGAGCAGCGGAATCAGTATCATCAAGGGATGGAGAGGAGGGTGTGAGGGGCGAGGCCCCCTCATTTGATTGAGCTGATGAAATATTATCGGTGCTGTCTATTTCAATGAGAGGCGGGCGTGGTCTAGGAAGATGGAAAGGTACAAAAGGCAAGGTAGTTGGGTAAGCTTCGAGGCGGGCTTGTCCACGTCCAGGAAGGTCTGTACTACTATTGGTAGACAGACCACCAGGTTCTGGGGCAGGGGAAGACGGTGTAGAAAGGGAACGGTCCTGCGACGCTGTTTGGGGGAAAATATTCCCTACAGGCTCTTGGCTAGTCGGGTTTAGAATAGGTTGCTTCTTGATCGTCAGTCCAAAAATTTCACCCGCCAAGATGGGATGTTGTGGGTGCACCTGCTCGTTGGAAGGGATGGTGACCACTGAAGGAGGGGATATTAGTACTTGCGGATCACTTCTTCGGGAATCTTTGAGGCTCAAGCTGTTAATGTGGGTACAAGGTGTACATTTTGGGATGAACCTACTTACTATATCCTGAACTACTTGCTCCATTATCAGTCAACGTCCGCCACTTCGCGTCTGATGTTCCACGTGGTCGTGAAATATACCTGGAATTGTTTGAAGGGCGTCCACCTGCGGAACCATCCTGGGAAGATCCACCAGCATCTGGCGGTCGACCGCTACCCCCACCATCTTTTTCTCCTTTCGATCGAGAAGGGCGCTTCTGGGTATAAGACTGCAAGATGGAAGGTAAATATCAGATCTCGGAAATCGTACCGGCACGCACCATAACAGTCTTTAATGCTCTGATCAAACCTGTCAAGATCTGATGACAGAGACAAAAACCAACGACATACCGGATTTGTAAACTACGACAACCGCACAAGGTCGCTACTTCATATACGCCCACAGATGTGGAGTTGGAGAGGGCCCTGTGCATCGCATGCTTCACCAAAGCCTCTAGATGCGAGATGCGGTAATTAGTGGATAAAACCAAGAGCTGGCTCAAAACGGTGGGTGCGTGTTGTAGGGGAGTAATGAGGGCTAGTGAATAAAAATATTGCAGCAAAGCCAAGGTAACGGGATAAGATTCAGAAAGACGGAAGGAGCGAGGCGTTAAACGAGGGTCAGCTCGTGGCTGGCCAACTGGTCCTGCCGTTTCGGGAAGCGGAACATGCATAGCCGAAGTGGGCAGAGTTTGGAGTGTTGAGTCGGCAGTTTTCAACAGTTGTTTCTTTTTTTCTTTGAACCATGGCCAGCGCTCTTCCAAAATCTTTCGCGAGCAGGGGATTTTACGACCATCATCGCAAATTATTTCAAAGTCCGTTAATACGCTTTCTTCGAGCGCGGCCAGCCCAAGTTCCTGCATGCGGAGATCAAGCTTTAAAGGAGGGGCTTGATATATACCAAAAGCTTCAAGATCTACAACTGCGACGTTATCCCAACTGAGAAGTCGACGATTGTAGTCATCAACAAGGTTACCGTTGCGATTTCCGAAAATAAGGAACTTGTTTGCCTCTGGCCACAAACAACCGCGAAACCAAGAACCAGTTTCCACGGCTTTCCCGGGATCGATGCGTGACCAAGTCATCGCATTCAAGTCCAAGACCCATATCGAAAAAGACTGGTAGCTGTGGGCCAGATAAGTACCTGCGATGATTAAATGATTGCCCAAAATTGCTCCAGTGGGAAAACGTAGTCCAGGAGGGAACGTTGAGCCCGTCATTGCGGTCGAACGGTCTTGTATTGTGAAGTCGACATCAGGTAAGGGGGAAAAAACTTCAAGTTCACGTTTGACATCAGTAAACTGATATAAGACGTAAGCATAAAGTTTGATAGAAGGATGAAAAAAGGGATTACATTATAATTGCTGTAAAGGTAGATATCGCTGGGATGATCTTCCGTCGGGGCAGCTGAATATGGGAGATGGACCAAACCTTCAGAAGGTGTCACATCCGGAGTAGGGTTATTTGCTTTCCCAGAATGAAAGCGGGTCCCAGGAGGGCCGATAGTGGAGGTCGACAGCGAGGCCTGTACTTCCTCCTGGGGTGAACGGATGATAGATTGAGATGAAACAGCTACGCTGCGGTATGTTCCGCAATGTCGAGGGTAATCGCGCCGTTGCACCCAGGTTTTGGCAAAAAGGTCGTAAACGCAAACATCGTCCAACCATGTATTGAAAAAATCTTGGCCACCGATAATGAATAAACGATCGGAGGTTACAGAGGATAAGTGAGCGTATCGAGCGCGTGGTATGAGATTTTCTGGAGAAGAGATGGAGCCGTGTAAATCCGGTAGCCAGCGTCGCGTAGGAATGTCGAAGAAGCGGACGTCGTTCAATACACAGAGCTCGTCGGGGTTGGGGGAGTCAGGCTGATTGCTCATTCCGCCAAACACAACCAGTTGATTGTTCCCTGGGTGCTATCAGAGAAACAGCTGCACATGTGAGTAGAAAAACTCACAAGTATCGGCACTATGAAAGTAACGCGCTCTAGGGACATCATCTTCGGCTAACGGTGGAATTCTCTCCCATACGAAGGTGTCCAAATCAAAGATGTATAGATCATTCACCATTCTTCGTTCGGTGACTAGTCTGCCCCCCTAAGAGGAGATTAGTTCGAAATAACACGATAATAAGCGTATCACATACAAAAAGGTACATCTTTGAGCCTACAACCGTCGTGGATGCACCCTTGGACGAAAGAAATGTGACCTCAGTGATGAAAAGTGTTGACTAATTGACGTACAACAAGTTTTGCGGGCACATTTCCTGTCGTCTTCCTACAAAATGTGGTGAGATCGTAGATGGAATGTAGCATGATCAGTACGCCGTCGCAGACAATGAGCAGGAGACATTGTGAGAATGGTCCGCGGTTCGTCGGCGATTGCCGTGTTGAGGAAAGATCTAATCTAATCTCCGGCACCTCTTATGATTCGGCCTCGATTGCTTGCGATATCCATTTCACCTTTTTTGCGTAGATCCCACCAACTGAGCATGGAAGCAGTCATCTCGCAACCAGCACCAGATAAACTACAAGTCTTACCACACACTCAATATGTTACACCAGACCACCTCACCCCGGAAAACGCGCCAGCATCTCCTCTTGACCAATTCAAAACTTGGTTTAAGGAAGCAGTGGAGGGTGGCGTCGTCGCTGAGCCAGAGGCAATGTCTCTTTCGACCGCAACACCCAATGGAATACCATCAGCCCGCATCGTGCTCTTCAAACAACTAGATTCCCATGGCTTCGTATTTTACACCAACTACACCTCTCGCAAATCTCGGGAACTTCTATCTAACCCAAATGCGGCATTGGTATTCTACTGGAGGGAGGTTCACAGGTCTGTCAGAATCCTTGGGAGGGTAGAGAAGCTGACACCGGAGGAGAACGATCAATACTTCCAAAGCCGACCTCTGGGAAGTCAAGTGGGAGCTTGGGCGAGCAAGCAGAGTAAGGTTATAGGTGAAGGAGATATAGCCGCCCGGTTTAAAAAGGTGGAGGAACGGTTTGGCGTGCATGAAGAAGGGGAATTATTGGAGGGCCGCATCCCGACTCCTGATTTCTGGGGTGGGTGGCGAGTCGTTCCAAAGTGCGTCTTTTCACCGATACTTCGAAGCTCACGCTCTAAGTAACCCAAACATATAGTGAAGTAGAGTTTTGGTGCGGAAAGCCTTCTCGTCTGCACGATCGTATTCGTTACCTTCGCGTCAACGGCGCCTCGGAAGATACCCCACAATGGAAAATAGAGAGGTTATCACCATAATCTGTGGCCAGACATTGGAACTTAGAGTCAAATACTTGTGTGGGGGCCAGACTGGATATAAGATTACATTGATACTTCGCCTTGCCTTGTTGTTGCTTCCAAATGCCCTCAAGCAAATCTTAATGCAGCCAAATATTCTGGTTCAGTGATCATTGCGGAAAGTTGGCAATCCAAAGCAGGGACCTGGCGAAGAAAAGTTTAAGTTCCATAAATCCCTTTGAATCCCGCAGAACTCGGTCAGAGACCGTGCATCGCTTCGTTGTCGTGCCGTCGTCCCATCCGCGTTGGGAAGGGCACGCTTATCAGGGGATGATGCAGCTTGAATAACATGTTAGAGCAAATGATGACTCCATGGAAAGTCACGACAACTGGCATTGACGTCAAGTTGAACTTCCACTTATAGTTTGATCGTCCAGATTCAACGCAAGGATAATCATTGGTATCAAGAGAAACAGGTGTATGCGATAGTTAGAATACGCCCGGTTTGAAGACAAGGCGTTTGTACTCGATTTTCACGAGCCCCAAAAAAGTAGGATCCGATCGCCTTGAGTGCCATGCCTGGCAGATACCGCGGTGGGTGGTGTGTGGTGATCGTGATCCGCCGCTAGAAGGCATACTGGTTGAGTACCATTGTCTTCTGGTGCTTTCTGGAGACAGATATTGTGCTCAAAGGTCATCCCAGCGTAGAAATAACAAATGGGTCCCTTCCAGGGAGGACACTGAGCGATATACACTCCCTGCAACTACAAGGCTGAGCAATAAATTTCTTGGCGTTGAATTATAAAAATCTCACTCGAAAGTAGTGGTCGTTCTTGGGTTCATTGCCTTCAATAAGCAGCGTTGGACCCCGATGGCTACAGACAGTGACCCCTGAAGAAGGAGCGATGTGATATGATATGCGTTCAGCGCTCAGTGAGTGGGCCCCTCCACTCCTGAAACAAAGGGAGGGACGTAAGTTACGAAGGCGTAACCTTCATACTGTGGAGTCGACGAAGGCGTGAATCGATGTCTCCTGTATACTTGTTTAGAAAGTAAGAGCATAGCGAAGAGAAGAGCAGCGCCTTGAACTTTCATTTTCTTTTATAGGGGAAGACAGCTTGAGAAGTTGAGAACGGACTGGCACTTTTGTTATGAATTTTGAGAGTTGACTGTTGCGGTCAGGTTGCAGCGGCAACTTCCGTTCCTCTTGTGCACTTACCTCCAGATTTCAAGGAGACGACGGTTCTCAGGTTTAGCTCGGTCGACCTACATACCACACTTTCAAGTTCTCTCTCATCCTTCTCCCTTCGTTGGCCGCCAGCTCAGCTCCTTAACAGGATGATTTTTGGTCCGCTAAATCGGCAACACGCTCTCGTCCTCCAGCGCAGATTGTCCACGAGCCAGAGGTTATCGGGGGCTCCTGTGCATAGGATACCCAAACCCGAAGGCGAAGATTTCCGACCACCTTGGGTATACCTCATGTCACGTCTAGTTTCCTTGACGGTGATACCAGGTACGTCTGTTTTTTGATTTCTATCTGAACCTACCTTACAATACCTTACGAACTTTGCAGCGGTCGCGTTCTACTCTGTGTTTTTCTACGACTTTGGGGATCGAGAGCATGTTTTCCAACCGGTGTGTGCCACCGAAGGCAATTATCCTTTTGAGCTGACTTTCGTTCGATTTAGGCCCGTAGGTGGGCAGCAAGATTGCATACGTCGTTCGTTACCCTCTCACCTGCGGAGGAGGGTTTGATAAAAGCCGACGACGAAACGGGGGACAAACCTCTAACTCAGAAAACATAAGTCAGTAGCCCTACTGTGATCATAGCGGTCACTAATATCATCTTTCCAGGATGCGCAATTACGACGCCGCAGCTAAGGAACGTACCCTCTCTGGGTTGAAAGACTCGGAATCACCGACATACACAAGGAAGCAAAACGTGCTTCGTGGAAAATAGCAGTGTACCCGCCGATCTCAAAAACTCAACGACTAGAACATTATATATGGGGCTTGGAAGCTTTTCATCTTTCGCCACTGAGCGGCCAAGTCTTAATGTGACTGTCTATAGGAATTCAATCAGTTTCTATTATTGACTGACATCACAGCTTCTTCCGGCTTCCGGCCCACTTATATAAGTTTTGGTCTGTTGGATTCGGAGTAGAACTAAACCTCAACGTCACAACCTAGGAATCAACATCATGCCAGACCAGTCGCCAACCTTGCCTACAGAACACTTCTCCCGTTTGGAAGGTCTGAAACGACAAAGTGACCAACTTGCAAGTTTGAGCGCTATGCTCCGGGAGCGGTCTGAAAGATGCGAATTGGGTTGTGATTCTTATGGTGCAGAGAAGGCCAAAGGAGTAGATAAACGATCACGGGAGCAAGACCGCGAGGAGGTCCAAGAGCAGTTAGCAAAGATCATGTCAAAGCTGGATGAGCGTCGTTCTGGAGAGAAGACCCTTGGTCAGTAAAGATGGTGATTCAATTGAATTGTATTTGATGAAGGGTATCCGCAACTCAGATGCCTTTAGTGAGAAGGTGTTGGATATCATTGAAAAAAATCATCGATCCCGGATGACCGATATGATGAAGATATTGGAAAGCATGTTGGAAAGTGGCAAGCATGAGTTTGGACAAAGTCACGCCACGACGGGGTCACGTGAAAGCTAAACGCCGAACCCATTGCTCGTTCTCGCTGGTTGCCTTGTATATAATCTTTGCTACGAGCCAATTTGAATGGAGCCTCTACCAATTCGCAAGTCTATAGAGAAGCCCCCACTTATTACCCCGTCCGCGTCCCCTCCTCCAGTCCGCTCATTCTTCCCACAACCATACAGACTCACCGACTCTGCACCACCTCTAAAGAGGCAGCGTTTTCTATCAATTTCGCGACAGTCTTCGGTCCAGTCGTCCTCCCCAGCGAAATCTACTCCAGAGCCACCTCTTGATCTTCAGAAGGAGCGCGAGGCATCGACTTTGCGTTTACTCGATGTTTGGTCGCAGCTCGCAGAACGCTACACCCGAAGATTAGATGAAGATGATATCGTGGACATAAGGACGGGTGAGATCGTCAAGGATAACGGCGTCATTCGAAAATCGCGGAAATTGGAGTTTGGTGCTGAATTAGAGCCGAAAAACAATAAAGAAAAAGATGGAGCTGATGCAGAAGAAGACGAGGACGATATCGACGAACTCGACCTTTTTGCTCAAGAAAACGGAGAATCTGATGAGGTGCACTCAGATATGGATGGAAGAAGGGTGCCACCGGTGGCTCCTCTAGACCCCCGTGATGCAGAGGACTTGAGACAGTTCTTGGAGGCTGAGAGAATTCGGAAGGAGGCTTGTGGAAGCGAACCCGAGGACGATATCGAAAGCACTCCATCTTTCGAGGAGGAGGATGAACAGGGGGATACCAGCGACTCCGAGAGGCCTACCTCTGATGATGCCGAGGAAGTGGACGAAGACGAGTCGAGGCAAAAGGGGGGAAATGAGCAGGACGACAGGCCTAATGATCCACCTTGGGATCATTCTTTGGCTGTGGTTGACGACTTAAGCTCCGACGATGAACTCAATAACTGGGAGGTGACCAAAGCAAGTATCGTCTATCCAAATCCAACTACGAAGAAAGAGAACGCAGACCGTATAGTCCCACCAAGTGACAGCGACAGTGATGTTGAAATAATTGAGCCTCCCATTCCTACGAAGGCTTCTCGAACTCCGAAATTCATCAAAGAGCCGTCGCGGACACAGCTACAAACTCCTCCGTATTCCAAATCTTCCGAGGATACAGATATCGGTTGCTCAAGTTATCTTGTTCAACCATCAGCCAGTCCCCCACCAACATTATCTTCACCCGCCTCACATTCGAAAGCCTTTCCACCCAAGCGGGGTCGGGGGAGACCCCGATTAAAATCTAGTGCCCCCTTGGACTCAGCAGAAGATAAAATCCCCATTCCGCGTATTGACCTGGCGAAATTGTCAAAGGACAACGCTCAGAAGAGATTGTCAAAGAAAACGACAGCGGAGGTTCTAAATTCAAAAAACGTACCAAGGCCTGAGCTTGAAATTTCACCCCAAAAGGTCCCTCGACTGATACCGGAAGTGGTGATCGTAAAGCGACGCTCCTTTGGTCAGGAAATTAGACCAACCCATGCAGCCAGCAACGTCGATGGCAAAAATGAGGTGCCACCGTCAAAGAACGGTAAAGGCAAAGAAAAGGAAATTGCGCCCGATGTTCGCAAACGCCGTCATAAGACCCCGATTCAGCCTGATATTCCTGGGGAGTATCAAGAAGAGGACGATGACCCCATTATCAAGCTCTCATCTTCCTCGGCGGGGCCATCGAAAATGAAAATACAGTCTTCCAATGGAATACGAGCTGTTAACAAATGTCACAGCCCTGTTCCAGGATCGGCTGAATCCCACAAAGAGGAAGTTGAGATGCCAGTACCAGCCGACACGAGATCTGGTCCATCACGGCCATCGGGTTCAGAAACCAGTCCGAGGAAGCGGAAACGTGTCGTCTCCTCGTCTGAGGGCGATGCATTACAGGATGAGACTACCCCGTCGACAGTGGAACCAAAGGCTGCCAAATCGAAGTCAAGCAAGCAGCATAGGGAACTACCGCCTCCCCATCACAAGCTAGCGTCCAAGTCAGACTCTGAATCCCCTTCTGGTGCGCATCATTCGCTTGGAATCCTCTTCTTCCTCATGCCTTGTTTCAGATTCGGAGGTCAAACGGAGGGATACCCAGAAGTCTGGCCAAAAACGACGATCAAAGTCAACATCCAGGCGGTCTCCTTCTGCCTCTGGCTCAACCCCCCCTGAAGTTCCTTCTGGTGCGTATGATTCGTTCGGAATCCTCTTCTTCCTCATGCCTTGCTTCAGGTTCGGAGGTCAAACGGAGGGATGCCCAGAATTCTGGCCAAAAACGACGTTCGAAATCAAAACCTAGGCGGTCGCCTTCTGCCTCTGGCTCAAACTCTGAATCAGAGCACTCTGACACCAGCATGCATTCTCGAGCCGGTCGCTGTTCGAAATCACATCTGAGCTCCTTTCCGCCCCCGTTTTACCCATATCCATTACCTATGTACCCGCCACCTCACCCTCATACCCAACCCTCCAATGTTTTCTCACCCATACCAGATCCGCGTGCACAATTTATAATTTCACAAGCAATGCACCAATTGTCCGCACTTGTAGGCGGGCCCTGGCCCGCGCCTGGGGTTCCATACACCCCTTCTCGCCGCCGTGACCAAGGTCATCAACCCATGTATATCACACCCACTCACCACCCGCATCCTTACACGTATGCGTATAACCCTGAATTCTCAAATGCGACTGCGCCTCCTGATACTCCTGAAGCCATGTCGTCGCCAGGTGAACCGAAAGAAAACGGTCGGAGAAAGTCATTGGTTGAACGAAGCAAATCCAGAGGGAGGAGGGTTTCCTTCAAAATTGAACGCGAGGACGTTGATGAAGACGCTATGGATATTTATTCCAGTCCGACGGGTAACAACGCGAATCGTGGGATGTCGGAGCGGGGACATAGTTCTGAAAGTGATGAACCGTCACCTTCACAGGTCAAAACAGAGGGGAAGGGGAAGGAGAGGAAACAAAGATCGGGGATTGTTGAATCCAAACCCAAACATGGGCTCGAGGGTGGAAAAGATGGGTCAGTACAGAGAGTGCTCTTTAATAGAGGGCAAACCCCAGGACCGTCGACGCGAGACAAATCCGACGACTCGGCGCATGAGCCTAGCATTTCCAAGAAAGCAGCGGCGACTGACAGAGGACGTAGGCGCTCTAGGTGTTTATGATGGTGTATGATTATCTTTCGAGCTGGTAGAAATCTTATTCAACATGTTACTGCCTCTATTTCTTGGTTTTGTTGGCACAAAGAGGCCTCTCAAATACCGCATATGTTTTGGAGGACATGAATAACCCTTGAAGACTATACCTCCGTCTGTGGCTGAATTCGGAAGTTTATGCAACTGTGCATACCTTACATCGTTTCGCGATGGTTTCGCGCTTTGCACATTGTTCTCGTCGGGCATTTCTGGCGTGAAGTTATCTCAATGGCTTCGCTGAAGCATGTACCCGCGCCGGTTGTCGAAGTGAAAGCTGCGAACCTGCAAGCCTCATGTTTGATCGGTACAAAAGGATGTCGGAACGTGTTCCATACACGTGTACATTGTTCAAGATTGTTCAAAAGCTGAAGCGCCCGACCAATATTTTCTTCTCAACCCCCTCTCTCTCCGTTTTTCTTCCCTCAGCCAACGAGCTACAATTCTAATGCCTGCAAGCACTAACGACGTCTTCTTGGCAGTCAGCCGTCATCCTACATACTACATTCAGGGAGCTGACCTTTCTTTCCTCGTGAGTGGGCATGTTGCTGGATTTTTACAGACTTTGACGTGGCATGTCTCCAGATTGAGCATATCCAATTTCGCGTTCATCGATACTTTTTTGAAAGAGAGTCTCTATACTTCCGGAATTATCTGACGGTTCCAGCCTCGCCTGGTGCCGTTCGTACAGGTGTCAATGATTCAAATGCGATTGTTCTCGAAGAGGTCAAGCCGGCGGAATTTGAGCTATTTTTGTGGGTATTTTATAACCCGTAAGTACCTCTTCTTTTCGGTTTTACGATGCCTCTAACGATCACTATCGTAGACGATACTCCCTGTACAACCGAACGGTTGAGGAATGGGAAATCATTTTAAAACTTGCTCATCGGTGGACCTTCCCTGAGGTCAAGAACCTGGCGGTACGGCAGCTCGAGAAGCTCGAGTTCCCTGATCTTGACCGCATTGCCATCTACCAAGAAAATGCCGTCGATCGTAGGCTCCTTGTCCCATGCTTTGCCCGGCTCTGTGAACGTGAAGAGCCCTTGACCCTACCAGAGGGCATGAAGCTTGGCATGGAAACAACGCTGATGATTGCGTGCGCCCGCGAGGTTTCCAGGGGGAGTGTGTCCCCAACTGGTGCACGAAGCCCTACCTCGGCTCATGTCCACGGCAACGAATTACATGCCATCGTTTGCGATCTCTTCAAGATCGAGCCTCAACCTGAGACTCCAAATGGTGATGAAAAAGCTACTACTCCTCTGCCAGGTGGATTGGTGACCGTCGCCTTATAACCTTTTTCTTCTTATCTTGCTGATCTCTCTTCTAGGAACCAAGGAACCCAAGACCCCCGTTAATACCTCAGCAACCAGTCAAGCCAGTCACCAAGAAGACAGCAACAAGGTTAACGGCACAGCCAAAGGAAAAGGTTCAAAAGAAAACGGAGACACCTCCAACCCCGAGGACGAAACCAATACTCCAACTGGAGACAGACCCAATACCCCCTCAAGGGGAGGGAAAGGCAACAGGGGCGGTAGAGGTGGCAAAGGCAGAGGCGGGGGTTAAGGAAGCGTCGCTGGTCGACGCCAAAGCGGAGGGGGAAGACAACGGAGCGACGAACGGGGAGGTGAAGGATGGAGGGGTGAAGAGCGAGATCATGGATGTTTTAGAAAGCGGAGCGACGTCAGAGGGGGACGTGGCGGGCGGTGGTGGGCGCGGGGTCGCCAGTGATGCAGCGGTGGCAGATGTGACGAATGCGGGGAACGGAGAGACCAAGACGAGTGATGACGAGGATGTGGTCACGAAAATCGACTTGGCCCAAACGCCGTTGAATAATGCCCTTTCTGGATTGGACAATAGTTCTCCTGTTGTTGCCACCACTGACCCAACCATGCCTACCAATGATACCTCACCACCTGCTGGCAGCGACTCAAATGAACTTCTGATTGATATTACTGGTACTGACGGGGACAAGTCACTGTCGCAGGGTCAAATCCCTTCTACTTCTGGAGTCACACCCGGATTTGAATCTTCAAACTCGGATGAAGTTGCGACTTCAACGGCCAACTCGCTTTGGGGTGATCCTTGGTCTTGATATCCTTTTCCTTTCCTAAACACTTGTATAACATACCATTCGATACGCTCATGCTTGTACACAGGACAGACCATTCACGCGACTACTTACGACATGTATGCCCTCGGTTATCCTTTCTTTTTCCGCTCCACTATAAAAGTGTATCACGAACAAAATGGTGAGTGCATTGAACGCATGGGTGAGATACGCGGTTTCGCTATGTAGCTTGGTCGACGTATAAACGCCTAATAGGTACTGGGTCTGTATCAGAGCAATCGAGACGTATAAACACGACTGTACTCACTTTCTCATCCATAAATCGAAACACATAGGTTTACTTCGTAGATATGACCGTGTTTTGAGTTAAATTTCCTTTTTCACTAGAAATGCCACACGTCAGCGACACTGTCCGTCAGACGTAGAACGTTGTCTGAAACTCACGGGCCTCCATATCCCTCTTATCCCATTCACTCACGTCCGACTCCTTCCCAACGACGGGCTTCCTACCCGAAAAAATGTCACTCCACCGAATATGCGGCTTCTCCTCCTCAGGAAGAGGCGCGCTCGCCAGTTTTTTTAGTCGGGCGAGCTCATCGCTCGACAGTGGCTTATCAGAGCGTAATTGGTCCCTCACTGACTCGAGGATAGATATTTGTGCGTTGACACGAGATTTTTCTTCTTCAGAAGTTCGTCGTTGATTTACGAGGTGGATAGAGATGGAGGTTAAGGCGATGGCGTAGATTGTGTGAGGCAAATACGGGCTTGAGAACATGTTTGCTGACGTAATTGTTCCTGACCTGATATTTTTCTCACTCGAAGAAACCTCCTCCCTGACAGAACGGGAACCATTGGAACAACTCAAAAATGCCGCCAGGTCAAGTGAGAGAAGCATACAACGCAAAAGGACGGAGGTCAACAGCTGGTTCGAGGAAAAGGGGGAAAAGAAAACCTGAAAATCAACCTGAAGAGCAACCTGACCCAAACGCCGAGATACTGTTGCTGCAAAGTAAGGATGCAAAGGCAAAGGAAAGAAAGGAAAGGTTGAGGCAGGAGGTCCGTTTACCTTATGCCTGTATGTTTTGAATCTGAATCTGGTTTAGTTGATTTCTCAAACGGAGTCGAAATGGACAAGCAAGAAGAAGAAACGATTAGACAAATACATCGTACGAGCACCTCATTCTAAACTCTCATCAAAGACCTGACCTTAACTCCTCTTGTTAATAGGAAAAAAAGTTGAAGAAGGATGAGCGCGTCTTGATCTTTGAAAAACTCGCGTATGTCTTTTTCCCTGCTACGGAATTTAAGCTTGACGATTCTAAGTCAAAGTCAGGCCGTTTTACCTTCGTCCTTGCTTCAATCGTCGTCTATGCTTGGTACTGGGAAGACTTTGACACACCAAGAGCTTCAGGATAGGTCAGAAGATAAGGAGGTGCGGAAAGCGTTAGATGGACGCAGCGGGAAGCGGAAAAGGCACGAGGACAAGTTTGCAGTCCATGGGTTAGACACCGAAGATAGCCAGGACGATGAAATCCTTGCGGCCGAAACCGTCACCCGACCTTCGCATCCCCAAGTTATCTTTGACTCAGCAATTCCCCCTCCAAAGAATGAAAGCGAACCATCTGCCGTAGGAAGCGCGCTAAAACGAAAGTCAGATGGAAGCGTCGTGATGCCCAAAATTAGTAAGACGAAGCAGGTGTGTTGTATGCATTTTTCTCAGCAGTACACAGTCATTTTACGTTGCTCTGCAGAGTAGTTGGGTTCGGAAGCGCTCCGCGCCTGCCAAAGAGGAATCTGATACCTCGTTTGACAGTTCAGATTCAGCGTACGACTCGACGGACGATGCGGTAGATTCATCAGGTAGTGATGAAGACTTCGAGACTGGGTCGGAAGATGAGGATAAAGAGGACGCAGGGATTTTATTGGAAGAATCTACACCCCATCTGTCCGCGAAGAAGAAGCTGGGTTTTAAAGATTGGGCTGTCAAACAACTCAGTGTTGCAAAAGGCTACAACCTCCCAACACAAGAGACAGACGTCATACCGCCTGTTGAAACCCCTCCCACAAAGAAACGAAAGATTGAAAGTTCGACCGATCTCCCCACCATGCGTGGTCCTCTGGGAGAAGACCTCCAAATCCCAAAAACCACATTGGCAGATCAAGTCCTGGGTTCAGAACAGCAGGCCAAGGCAGCCTCATACGTTAAGGCTGTTGCTGTCAAGCGGCCTCCATCCGTCGAAGAAGCAAGGTTGCTGCTCCCGATTGTAGCGGAGGAGCAACCGATTATGGAAGCTATTTTGTTGAATCCCGTCGTCATTATATGCGGTGAAACAGGAAGTGGGAAGACCACCCAAGTTCCCCAGTTTTTGTATGAATCCGGCTTTGGTACTCCAGGAAGTGGTTAGTATTTACCCCTGCTATTTTTGGCTTTCACTGACCCAGACATAGAGAACCCTGGGATGATCGGTATAACTCAACCTCGTCGTGTTGCTGCTGTGTCGATGGCAGCGCGTGTAGCTTATGAGCTATCATTGACGTCCTCTCGAGTATCACATCAAATACGATATGATGCAACAGTTTCACCCTCAACCTCAATCAAGTTCATGACGGACGGAGTCTTGCTTCGAGAGCTCGCCAACGACTTTATTTTGTCACGGTATTCTGTAATAATAATCGATGAAGCCCATGAGCGAAGTATGAACACAGACATTCTCATCGGCGTTCTTAGCCGTGTGGTCAAGCTACGAGAAGAGATGTGGAAAGAAAGAAAGGACGACGTAAAGGTCCGTCGCCCTGTACCACACCTGTTACGCAACAATGACATTCAAATCTTAGCCATTGCGGTTGATCATCATGTCTGCTACCTTGCGAGTAAGCGATTTTGCCGATAATACGACGCTTTTTTCCTCTCGCCCGCCTGTCATCAATGTTGCTGCACGCCAACATCCAGTCACGATCCATTTCAGTCGCCGTACTTCTCCAAACTATGTCAACGAAGCAGTCAGGAAAGCAACAAAAATTCATACCCGCTTACCCCCAGGGGGTATATTGATCTTTTTAACTGGCCAGAACGAGATTATTGGTGCTTGTCGAAAACTGGAGGCTAAATTTGGAAAGAAGGCGCTTGACCTAAAAAAGAAAAACAGATCACGGCCGAGTCAACAGGAGGGTTCTGGCGAGGAAGGCTATGACATCGAAAAGAGGACCGCGGGCCCCTCGCAAGGTAAAGGCGATTTCTTTTTGCTTGTGTGACGCTAATATACTCATAGCTGATGTTGAGCCCGAGGATCTTGACCTGGGAAATTCTGATCAGGATGGTCTTGCATTCGATGTGGACGAAAATATGGACCAGGAAGATCCAGAAGCGCTAGACAGCGAAGATGAACAGAACCTAGACGAAGAACTCGGTTTGGAGGAGGATTCCGATGGTACACATCTCTACTTTTGTTCCCTGGATATTTTACATTTCCCATCCGAACAGTGCCGATGCATATTGTCCCCTTGTACTCCCTCCTACCAAGCGAGAAACAAATGCGTGTCTTCGAGCCACCCCCGCCTGGTTGCCGTCTTGTTGTGGTCTCTACTAACGTTGCCGAAACTTCGCTCACTATCCCGGGTATTCGCTACGTTGTTGACTGCGGCCGGGCCAAGGAAGTGCGTTCTCCAGCGTCAGTTTAAGGAATTAAACTTATTTTGCTTCAGCGACGCTACGATATAGCGAATGGGATCCAGGCCTTCCAAATCTCATGGGTATCGAAAGCATCGGCGGCCCAAAGGGCTGGCCGAGCGGGCCGTACAGGTCCTGGTCATTGTTACCGGCTTTACTCATCTGCCCTTTTCGAGCACCACTTCGAGCAGTTCTCGACTCCAGAAATACAGCGGATGCCGATCGAGGGTGTTGTGCTTCAAATGAAGAGCATGCATATCGATGCAGTTGTCAATTTTCCGTTCCCCACGTCACCGGATAAAGCCGCCATGCGGAAAGCAGAGAAAACGTTAACACACCTCGGCGCTTTGACTTTTGCGACACCAGACATTAAAAATGCTCTGTCAAGTGTCGGTCAAATCACTGACCTGGGAAGAACCATGGCGTTATTCCCGGTTTCACCGCGATTCTCTAGGATGCTGGTAAGCGGACAACAACACGACTGCTTGCCATATGTTATTTCCATAGTCTCCGCCATGTCTGTCGGCGACCCTTTCTTGTATGAAGAGGTTATTGGACAAGATGGCAGCGATGGGGAGAATGATGTCGAATCAAGCCTCATGAATTTGAAAAGTGACTCCGTCAGGGCCAAAGAGGCGCGAAACTTGAAGCGAAAAGCATTTTTCCAGTCGCAACATGTCAGTCATCTCAACACTCTGAGATAAGTACTCACATTTTTTAGATGCACTCTTCATTAGGAAATCATTCCAGTGATGTTTTCAAAGTACTCTCTGTTGTTGGTGGGTATGAATATGCCGGTGGCGGACACAAATTTTGCTCAGAGAATTTTGTTCGACCCAAAGTTAGTTTTTTGTCATTTCATCCTCTCTCTCCTACCTACTCATCACCACTATAGGCGATGGAGGAAATTCACAAGCTGAGAGCTCAAATCAACAACATAGTGCAAACCAACTTCCCTGGTGTTGACACTAAATTCGCTCCAAAACTTCCACCTCCCAATGAGCGTCAAGTATGTACACAACACAATACCTTGTTTTCATTCAATACCTGACATCCAAAAAGGTGAAAATTCTGAAGCAACTCCTAACTGCGGGCTTCATTGATCAGGTTGCCGTTCGGAAAAATCGCGTTGAAGGGGCGGATGGAGTTCAAGTATCAACATCAAAAGGAGTTCCCTACAAAGCCATGGGGATCTCGGAAGATGCTTTTATCCACCCTTCATCAGTGCTTGCCAACAGTCCTCCCCCAGATTACATAATTTTCAGTGAGGTCATTAGATCCTCTCGAATCTTTTTGAAAGGCAAGCACTCTCAGTCCTCCTCAACTCAATGCTTTACACTTTGTCTAGGAGTAACGGCTGTTAATCCATCCTGGCTCTCAGCATTAGGCAAGCCTTCACTATGCTCCTTTTCCAAGCCCCTCAAAAACAACGTTGGAACCCTTGTGATGATCCCTCAATTTGGGCCAGACAAATGGGAACTTCCCGCTGTGAAAGCGGAATTACGGTAATATCGGAATCCAGAAAATTATACCGAATGAAATCTAGAGTAGCCCGAAATCTAGAGGAAGAGAGAGATTATAATAAATTAATTGGATCGTTGAGCGATGCTAGGGTCTTGGCTGCAGTGTTTAGTTAGTTTGCCATTCACTTATTTTGAGTGGCATGACTACCCACCTTCTTCTTGGCTGGTATAAATATGCTGGGTTGCTGTTTGGGACGTTTAGCAGGAGGTGGTCGGGCCCTGGCTGGAGCTGGCTCGTGCGAAGAACCTGCAAGACCAGTTGGCGGAATTTCCTCCTGTTCGGCTGGTCGTTTGATGCCAATCGACTGTTCCAACTCAACATGTGTGCTGGATGTAGTAGGACCATCCGGTTTTGACACCGTCATCGGAGACGACACGTTTCTATTTGATGCTGCCTTGAGCCCTCGAGGGGTCGCAAGATCAATGGGTACGGTAGCAGCAGTCGTCGAAGCAGATGATATCCTTGGTTTCTTCTTTGGTGGTTCGGTTGACTTTGGTGAGCAGGATGTGCTGGTGAAGAACGTTGTGTCTACCTGGAAATCAAATCAAAGCCTGTCACGCTACAAGATGCATGATCACTCACTTGTAAGAGGGCCAATCTTGATCGCGCGTCCACCACAATCTCCCGCCATGTGTCGTTACTGCGTTCCAACGTTGGCGCGTTCCCAAGAATAAAAAGAGAAGATTTTGCACGTGTTAATGCAACATTCATTCTGCGAACATCTAAAGATGGACGTGTAGATGATCGAGAGTGGAAAGGGGGAGAACGAACCTGACAAGAAGCCAACTGATTGAAGCCCAGGTCCCGATCTAACGCATGAAAGAATAATGACATCCTTCTCTTGTCCTTGGAAGCCATCCACCGTGTTGAAATCGATTCGCCCAATGATATCTTTTCCGAAGCGTTTTTCAAAATGACGGCGCAGCTCCACTATCTGAGCCCTGTACATCGACACCACACCTACCCGAGAGTCAAAGTTGAAAGCTTTGTACTCTTGACAAAGACGATTGTAAAGTGCAACAGCAACCTGGCATTCCGCCAAGTTCTTGATTGACCTTCCACTTTGCTCTTCTACGCCTTGCGAAACGTTGAAAAATTTGTATGTACCGAACTTAACGTGGGTATGCCACGGCTGCTTCGTCACCTCGTCCATGCGGGGTCCATCTTGAATCTTACTTTCATAGAAAACGCGGCTTGGAAATCGACTAATGTCGGGATGCATACGATACTGTATACTGAGAACGAATCAAAACCATTTCCTACATCAACGAAAATTGAGCGTACCTTAAAAGATGGACAGCGTTTGGGCACCGCTTTTGAAGCCGTACAAAGAGTGATTGGTTGTAACTATAACGACATGCCTGGGAAGAGTGAGACCAAAATTTTGTATGAAAAGAGAGTTTATACCTCCTGCGACAAGACGGTGGGGGGAAGTTGTTGTGGATCTCCAACCAATACACACCGAGCAGAGTTGTACTTCAAAGGTATAAGTGAACTGAGCTCAATCGCTTGGGCAGCTTCATCGATAATGAGCATTTCGAAATCGTGCTGCGCCAAAGTGTCATGCCCGGCACCAGATAAGGTGCTGCAGACCACGTCTGCTTCGTTAAGGATATCACGCTGGATGCCGCGCCGCAGTGTATCAAGTGAACGCGTGTCGGATTTGAGCTTATCCTTCTTCTGATTTAACTGGGTTACCAAATCTTGTCGTTTCGACCCTAGGTTCTGGACTTCGCTCTCAAGCGTTTTTGTTCTCGCACTGTTGTCGCGAACGGCTACCAGATCCTGTAATTTTTGTTGTCGTAGATCCTTTAGGGCGGCGATGTCGCGGTGCAAAGATTTGATCTCGTTCCCGATTTCTGCCAAAGGAGTTGAGCTATAATCCAATTTTTGTTCAACGAGAGAATCGAGAGAGATATCTCGAACGCTCAGGTTCATTGATTGCACAGCACCTATTCGGACAACTCTCAAACTCCCTTGTCCTTTAATTGAGCCACTATAACCGCCTTTCAACCTGTGAGCTATTTCGTCAATTGCTGCGTTACTTGGCGCACAAATGAGAATTTTAGCAACGGATGGCTTTTCGGCAGGTGGAGCGTTCCGACCGATGACAATAGGCACACTCGGTCGCTGTCGTCGAGAAACAAACCGTGCCACAAGCCCACAAATAGTGGAAGTCTTGCCAGTCCCTGGGGGGCTGGAATTATCATTTAGAATTGTAAATGGTCGGCATGGCGACACCTACCCTTGAATGAGGGAGAAGCCTTCCGCCTCCATTGAGCTTATTATGGCCGCAGCCTGAGGCTCGTTGACATTGTAGGCGGTCATGGTCCGCTGTAATTCTTTTTGGTCCACCTTGTTAACTTTGGCCTCGAGGCGGGGTCGCAAAATAACATCACAGTAATCATAATGTGGTAGTGACAGCAAGGCCCCATATTCTCGATGGAGGGTACTGAGGCTGAAATACATCAGTTTGGGGATGTTAAAGTCGCAATATATATATATACCTGAAAACCTTACTAATTCTCCAAACTGAGCTGATCTGGAGGCCTGGATCTAAACTTCCGGCTTGGATAAAACAGCGGACAACGATCAGAATTCCACCTTGTGACGTTGTGTAAGACAATGTTTTGGCAAGGATGGATTTCTTAAGCTCTGAGGACCGAAGCAGAACAATATCTGTCTCTGCCAAATACCAATCCTTTTTAACATCTCCTAAGAGAGATAGATCAATATCCATCCAATCGCTGGAAAACTTTCTTGAAGTAATTTTGCACTGGTAAATATCTTGAGGTTCATCTTTGGACTGCATGAGTTGCGCCCAACATTCCATGAGCAATAATGGTTCGTAAACCCGGCGGTAGTGACTGTAATCCTGAAATTCAACTGGGACATTCAAAGGCTTGATGTTTTCGCCCGGCGGTGAGGGACCATCACAATCGTAATTCCATGATAAGATGACCCTATGGAGACCAGAAATATCCGGTTTCAGACGGTATGCCAAGTTTGCCCCAACTTTATTTCGATTAAGCCTCTCTTGGATAGCGCTTTTCTGAGTGGGTATTTCCAACGTCTTGATTTGCCTGCGTTCTGGTTGTTTCGATCGAACCTTGGGTGACTTTGGGAATCGTCCCAAGGCGGCTAACCCAACACCAGGAACATCGCCCTCCTCGCTGTCGCTCCCGCTAGAATCTGACTCTGAACCAGCAACTGCAGAAAGGGCCTCGTTTCTGGGTTCAGTGCTGGCGTGTTTGGACTGAGGCCAGGCGGAGGGTCTGGAAAGCGCGGATTGTTTGTTCGACGTTCCCCGAGATGTAAGGTGAGAAACATCCGAGCCCCGCCGTTCTGGATCCTTGTCACTCCAGAACTTTGAGCTTGACGCCTTTGAAGGGGCAGCATCAAGGACCGGCGTTTTCGTCTCCCGACGAACGTCCTTGCTTGGACGAGACTTTTCAATTGCCCGCGTTTCCGGTGCCCGTGGCTTCGGCACCTCTTTTTCGCCGCGAAGCTGAAACTTTGGCGCTAATGTGTGAGATATGATCTCCACTTCATCTTCAAACGAGGCGAGAGTATCTTCCAGTTTGGACAATCTTGTCGAGTCAAGTCGACTTTTGGACTTGTTAGTGTCCTTTCGGGCATCACTCACATGTTTGGAGAGTTTTTGTAGTGCAGTTTCCGACGGCTGAATCTGAGTTTCCTTGAAGATCTCCAGAAGGCTCTGTAGCAGCGAGAAGGACTGGTGGAGTAACTCCTCGTCTGTCAGACGCAGCCACCTAGCCAACTCCGTCAAAACGTCTTGCAAGTCATTGACCATCCTTTCGCCAACTTTGGAGGGTTTTCCAGATAATCGCTGATTCGTAAGTGCTTGCTGAGAAGAAAGGGTAGCGTTCTCAATGACCCGCCATTGGCTCAGCATATCTCGCCCAAAGATAAGTGCATCTCTCATCCACACAATCATGTCTTGATTTTCAAAATAGACAGACCAGTTCGGTGTGCGCTTGAATATCACTGTCAATGCCTTCGTCATGAGATGCCAAAGTTGAGGTATTCGAGATGCTGGGCCTTCTCCGTCCGTGGGGCGCAAAAAGTGCACGTTTAGGAGCAAACCATTCGGGCTCGCGCATAACGCCTCAATAATATCCGTAAAGCACCGAACAAGAGATTGCGAGAGGCTGCAAGCCTCCGGTACCTTAATGGCGTACTCTCGAAAAATGGAAAGGAATTCAGTTATTCCATCGAAAGTAACGTCGGGGATGTTCTCTAAGAGAGCTCGGAAGCAGTCAAGGCGGATATCAACATCAAACGCAAGCCCAACCAAAGTCTGTGCAGCCACTTGAAAATCCGCGATTGGTGACAGTAGAAGCAGAGTAACTGCCTTTCCAACTCCAGGACATAGTAAAACCTCGAGAGCAGACGACGAGATACCATAGTCTGCGAACCTGGATATAGCATGCAAGAATCCGTCATGAGTAATTTTCAAGGACGTATTGACCTCATCCAACGCCCGTTCGACAGACTGATGCTCTTCATCTTTCGACATTTTTAAGATATCCTTGAAAGTGGACTTGTTGACAACGTCTAAATGAGCTGATTTTGCGACGATGCAAATGATGCTTGCAATCCCGGAGGTATCCCGCGTCTGGATCGAAGAAAATAGCTGTGACCACACTGGTTTACGGATCGATAATCCTAGTTTTTCAGTACCATCCGTACGACCCTCTGCAATTTTCCCACCCTTTTTCTGAGCGAGAAGAAGACACAGTCCAGAGATGGCGGTAGATATATCCTGAATATCGGAGACGAGTGCTGATGTAACAAGGGTGCGGGCCGACATGCGAAGTTTCTTCCATTTTTCGCTATTGTAGTCAGGGCTGTATGCCACACCAACTATAACTCCTGAATGAATGTCCAGTGTATCCAACACCGCACGACGATGCCGAAAGCTTTTGTCGCTTTGAAATTTGTGAAAGACTGACGATAATAACTAAAGCCATAACAGACCGTTAATAATGGAAAAGTGAAGCGCTTAAGAGACCTACACAAAGTACAGAATCCATGATGACAGGGCGGGCATCCTGGAACCGCTCATGTTGTACCTCCTCACACAGAAAGTCAACGATCTTTGCAAAGACCTCTCCATATGTATCAAGATCACGAATGGTATGCAAGTACTCTGCAAACCAGGCAATAAACCACGGTCGTTCCCCAGAATTGTCTATCCGTTGTAGGAGATGAGAAAATGAAGGGTTATCCTTGATAGCATCGAAAACAATCTGAGGGTATTCTGGCCCTTCGCCAGTCCAGAATGTGCTTTCCATGCGTTTAAGGACGAGGAGTAAGGAGCGCAACACTTCTTCAAACTCTGGAAGAGGTCTTTGAGACGGATAGGTCCAGAAACAAAAGAAAGAAGACTAACGCGGGCCGTTATCGTGTAAGTGTCCTGACACGATACGCCAGAGACTAATTTGTTGATGTGAGGATTTTAGCCTTTCAATAGGGACAAAACGCAGAAACAGCCGAAATCCAGTCCATAACTGAAGAAGATCTGGCGTAAAAGAAAACGGAGCCAGCTCTGGCGATTGCGCCACTAAATGGGTTGCAAGACTGTCTTTCGGCATTTGCATAGCGCGCCCAATGACTTCCAAGACGTTAATATATGCTCCAGTAAATTTACCATTCGGCATCGGTGTAAAGTACCTAGCGGCATGATTTTGCGCCCATTGACGTATTTTGTCATTGGAATCCATCAATAGGATGAATAGTCCCGGGGCAAGATAGTCCTTTGGCCAATCACCGGCGTACCCAGACAGTGCGAGCTGACGAAGAATGGAAAACGCGTTGGGGTCGGTAAATATCGTCCAGTTTGATGCTATGCGATAGAAGAGTGGCGCAAGAGCATTTGGCAGGCCCTTGCTTGAAGTAAGACTGATCGCCGAGAGGTCCGCCGTGACCATCTTGAGCTCCCATCCCTCAAAACTTTCGAAGAACGCCTGCACCGTCGCGTGTTCGAACGCACCGAAGTATCTGGCTAGAGCATGACAGCAATGTGGTAAATAGCAGTGAGACGACTCACGTTTGTCTGGAAGATACCTTTGCCTCTTCGAGTTTCTGGACGCAACTACAACAAGACGACAAACAGGCATGCAGTTTTTCCTTCCATGTGTCCACTTCACGGCTAGTATACGCGAAGAGTCGAAGCAGAAATGTGGCAGCCGCCACTGTCGTGGTATTTGCACGTTCACAAAACCAGTGAATATCGTCTGGTGCAACGTTGGTAACATCCATTAAATATGAATGTATTCGGCCTAGCACAGCGTCAGAGGTACCATTGCTGTCGACGGGAGTGTCGCGAAGCGTGATGAGCAACTTCTCAACATCGCTATAGTTGGCAATGCTTTGCATAAGTCAATGACGAAAAAAATTGAGGCTTAACAACGAGTCGACGCTCGGTGTGGGGCCCTGCCTAAGCAAGAAAGTCGAGGCGTAATTGGAGTCGGTAAAGTAAATGCACAAAGGCATGGCATTTAATTTTCCATTATTATTCTCACGTTTGTTATTGACGACGACAAGACCCTTATCTCATGGACCCTCAAGATTTGGAAACTTTGAATGTTCTTCTCGATCGCGACGTAGAGCTACGGGAGGTGATTTCGATTCGTGCATCCTTGCGAGGCCTCGAACAGATCTTGTCTGCAGAACATCAAAGATCAAGTTAACGAAATTGACAAGAAAACGCGAACAATGGTCGGGCTACTAAACAAAATTCATTCGACGCCTTGGGACGCAAGTCAGTCTCTGCAGCAAACGTCTCCCCTCCAATGAACGACTTACTATGTTTCAGTGAAGTGCCCAGCCTTCTGGACTCCGTAAAGCCAGTCTTGACGAGCTGCCAAGAAGTCACCGCCGCCCTGGCCTCTATCGTTCCTCCCAATCAGTTTTGGCGATGGAAAGACCTTTGGTCAAATTCACTTAGAACGGCCGTTTTTGCCGCTGCCCTTATTGAATACCTATCCAACCGCAGGCTCATCACGCTGCCCAAGGTAGCCGAGACCCTAGGGTGTCAGTTCACTAGCGTCAATGCATAGTCGTCGTGCTTAATGCTAGTCATCCAGTAAAGAACGAATGGCAGGATCGCGTCGCTCTACCAGCTGAAGACTACCTGCATGGCATCATCAGCCTTGTCAATGAGTTGGTTTGTCGCGACATTTTGATCGCAAGACACATCGAACCAAGACCTTTACCCTTCTAGTCTCGATTAGCAGTCAACGCAGTGACTTTGGGGAACTTTGACGAGCCTATCAGGATATCCATTTTTGTAAAAAATGTGTTTGCTGGTTTCTCCATGGTGAGATGTGTCAATTTCATTTTACGGATCTGAATCACTCACTGACTTGACATGCAGCTCAACCTAAAGAATGACACACTCCGCAGACGGTATGATGGGTTGAAATACGACATCAAAAAAATTGAAGAAGGTATTTGCGAAGCCTTTCCACTGACTTTCGACTTACCGTATCATTCGTTGTAGTCGTTTACGATGTTTCGCTTCGTAGACTTGCTTCTTCAAGTTCTGTTCAATCAGTACCGTCCACAGCCCAGTAAGCCACTTCACATATCAAAGGTTGTACATGTAAAATAGTTATGAATCTCGATTACGGATGAATTTCGCCCTGTTTACCTCAACCAAGTACATTTTCGAAACTCATAAACATGGGACCCTGAATAGCTTTCCATAAATGGTAGTAAATGGTATGCTGGCGGAGTTTTAATCTACATGAACAATCTGGGTGGCCAGTAAGTACAAGCCACAACCACGCAGAGTCTCGCAGATTTGTGCTACCATTGCTCATGACAGGTGGTTGCTTTTCCAAAGGCAGTCTATAGTTAACGTTTTATGGATCGGCGGCGAGCTATCTCTACCCGCCCTGCTTCTTCTGAAGGTGCGTTCCAAATTAGGAATTTTGTAATAAACCATGACTCTCAGAATTTACGCAGAGGTGGAATGTTGGTCCCATGCAGCAGAGTCCCTAAAAATTCTGGCCAATAAATTTACGACTACCAGCCCTTCTGATATAGTTGGTCGGGTGAATAGACTCATAACGGCTTGGGATCCCGACGACCTGGTTTCTGTTCAGGGCTGGGAAAGCTTTAAGGACGTTTACAAGAAATTAAATTCGGGCCTGGAAAGTATCAGGTCTTCAGCAGAAGAAGAAGCGAAGTAAGTTGTGTGTTTGGGCGAACTTAAGAGTACTCAAACATGAGATTGATAGAGCTATTGACGAGGCCATGGAACGTGTAGGCGTTCTCATCGCGTTACGAAAAGCACCAGAAGCTCAACCACAAGGTACGTTTTTTCCTGGAATTCCCATGCATTCGATTAAATATTGCTACAGAAAAGAGGAACAAACGTCCACGGGCGCTTTCGCCGTCTGGCACGCCTGTTCTCACACCACCTGCGCCAGGGAATAACCGCACGATGTCCATTACACTACCCGCGAGAACCAGCTCTGTAGGACCTTCAGCCCTAGTCCGAAAACGCGATACCAAGCCACAGCCTCTTCAAGAGAGAAGAAAAGTGGCATTTCATTCCCCTCCTGCAAAAGGTGATACGGACGAAAATACATGGATACTGGCGCTTGTTACGCGTTGCATTAACGCTGACAAAAACAAGTTAATTTCTTTTTTATTCTGCTGCTTTGACATTTATTCTTACCACCCCTCGAAGGTATGAAGTTCAAGATGCTGAGCCGCAAGAAGACGGCAGTCCCAATACGTGAGAACATCTTGTGAATGATAAATTGTCCAAAAGTTAAAAAGTTGGGGATACAGGCTCTACATCACATCTCAACGAAACATGATACCTCTACCAGACCCAGACGCGGCTCCTGGCAGCCCAGCACACGTCAGCTCTTACCCCGAGTTTGCCCCTGGCTCCACCGTTATGGCCTTATATCCCGACACGAGTTGCTTTTACCGTGCCGAAGTGATCCAGACGCCCAAAGAAATGCAATTGTCGAGCAGGGTGAGTGGTTGCTAAATTTGTAAAGTAACTTGGAATCTCAAACCACGCAGGTGTCTTCGTCAAAATACATGCCTACCTACAAACTCAAGTTTGAGGATGATGACAACCAAGAACATTCTGTCTCTGCACACTGGGTCGTTGATTGGCCTGGGAATTGAGCGTAGCGCCATATTTTTTGTTGTAAATTGTTTTGGATAGGAATTGCTTTGTCATACAATGACCTCACCTTTTTTTTTATCACGAAGCTACCAGAAAATGCACTGACGTTCGAGATCGCATTCCTCTCATATAAAAGTGAGTTGAAGCAATGTATTCAATACTTCATTTATCATGTCTATCGCTCGCCAACTCTTCCATGAATTTCGTCCTCTCTTCCGCATGTTGGAAGAACCTCTGACTCGTCCACAATTTTATGGCATCCCTTCTCGTGCCAGTGATCCGTTCAATAACTTCAATAACTTCAATGCCTTCCTAACCCGTCCCGCCATTGACGTCAAGGAGGAAGGCGACAAGTATATTCTTGATGCCGACCTCCCAGGCGTGAGGAAGGAAAACGTGGAGGTGCGCATCGGTGACAACGGAAGGAGTGTCACTATCGAAGGAAAGATTGTCGAAAGGGGAAGGCCCGAGGCAATCCAGACTCCTTCAAGTGCAAGTTCTTCCGAGACTTCTGGTATGTTTTCATTTTCTGTGGCCGAGCTGATCGGGGTTAACAAGTTACACAGACTCTCAATCCATCACTCAGGTGGACGAGACAGCTACCAACATCACGACGGAACGACCTTCCAGCTACACCAGAAACGCTGTGTTTTCGCGTACTATATGGCTGCCCCGTCCTGTCGACACACAGAACGTCTCCGCCAAGTTGGATCACGGTGTTCTGACCGTGACCGTCAAGAAATCTCAGGACAAAGAAAGCACAGTGATCCCTGTCGAGTGATGACCAGTAATTAGTAGTTTCTAAACATTAGCATTGTATCATAATTTTTTTTGCATTTGATATGGACAATTGGAGTGAACGTGACTGAAGCAAGCGCGAGCTCCGTCAACCCAAACCTGAAAGATGTGCACATCTGGATCCTTTGCCGCGACTGCATTTTCCCTGCATCCACTTCTCATCATCCATTCATCAACACCTTCCCAGACTCCTCCGCCACGGCACGAGTAGTCGATGTCGTCCCCCGTTGTCGAACTCTCGACTTCAGAGCAAACTGATCAGCTTTTAGAATATGAATCGGACGTGGAGGCTGACCTCGAAGTTGACCAGCTGGATTCTGATACCGACGCTGAGACAGATGCAAACGCGTCCAAGAAGAAAAGTCCTTCTGGAGAACGTATACCTGGCAGCAGTCTCCTACCTGCAATGCGGTTGGAGAACATCATTCAGGCCGAAGGTATGTAAGTTGTCTGGCAAAGCATTCTCCCTCAACGTCTATCCAGGAGTCACTGGAAACCTTGCGTTATCAAGGGAAGGCCTCTTCGTTCTTTCAATCGCGACGGTATGTTTTTCTCATCCTCCGGTTTGTTATCTATTCATCATGAGAGCCTAGGAGGAATTTATCCAACGCCTTGTGCAAGCTGGGCATCTTCAGGCCAGTTCGCAGCGCAGGAACATGGTCAGTTATAGTGATATGGGTATGTTGCCATCAACCAGTTCTCTTTTGCCGTCATTCATTCGTGTTCAGCTGTCACAACTCAACAATATCAAGAGTTCATGTTCCTTCGTGGTTTGTGTTTCACTGCATGTCATCTTCTCTTCTTCACATCTTAGGACACAGATACCGTCCCTCCTCCCGTTTCTCTCAAAGATGCTTTGTTATTGCGCGAGGCAAAAGAGAGAGAGCTCCTCGAGGAAGATCCAGCCATGGCAACCTCCTTTCCAATACCCTCATCAGCTCCTACACCAGATGCCAGATCAACCATATCGAACGTCTCAAACGCCACAGCATATGCCAAAAGCAAGAGTCCCGTTGCGAATGGAAAAGAAAAGCAGGTCAACGGGGATGCTCATGAAAGCGCTAGTTACAAACATGAACCTGCGAGGTCAGGACCGAGCTCTCATGTAAACGCTGGCGCTCAGTCTCTTGTCGAACCCCAAGCCACCGGACCAACGCTTTCTCTGCCAGATGTGAACCACCGTGGAACCTCTTGTATTGGCAATGGGAGTACATCAGGCTCAACCTCGCGATCTTCTCCGTCATCTCTTCAACAAAACGAAGGCGCCTTACAGCCCACGCCATCCCATTCCCTCACCCCTCCCCTTTTGCCGCCACAAGAGGAGTCGGCACAGTGGCCTGCGCAGTTCACTGGGCCAGCGAGCGGGTTTTTGCAAGGGCCTGCGGCGCCTTTTGGTCGTCCAACGCAGAACCCTGGTCGCACAATTTATACACAGACTCATCGTCCAGATTAAATAGGTAGAGAATCGCATGGCATTCATTATAATGTTGCATTCAAAACGCGTATCGGTGATGCCGCGTGATCTCCCAGGATAATTGAACTCGGTGGTTGTAACATATTTGGCAGGCACTCTAATGACGCCCGCTGGGACAAGCAGTCTTCCTATCATTGACATATCTTCTTTTCTTGACAATGAAACACAGAACACAGATAAACGCGCCTCTGCCGCCGCAGTCCTTCATTCTGCGTGCATCGAGTATGGTTTCTTCTACCTAAATATCGAAGCCTTCGTCGATCTTTCAGAGCCTGAGGAACTTACTCGGTTAGCATGGGAGTTCTTTGCATCGCCGCAAGCAGAGAAAGACAAGCTCTCCCTCGCGAATGAAGATGGGGCTAGGGGTGTGTTCTGCGGTGATCTGGCCTCACCAATTACTGATACTAGACGATGTCCCTAGGTTATGCCAGGCTCAAGGAGAATGTTACCAACGGCAAAGCCGATAATCACGAAGGGCTCGATCTCTACAAGCCAGTAGAGAACCCTGACAAAACCAAGCCCATTTGGGGCGAGAATCAGTGGCCAACGATCCCTACTTTCAAAGAGAAGTATGAGTCGTGGGTGGAGAAGATGAAGACATTGGGGCTGATCTTGATGGAAGCGTAGGTGGAGGTTCTTTACTCCTTACACCACCATCTGAATATGTGCTCTTATGACATCAAGAATGGCACTCGGTTTGGGTCTCACACCCGAGGAATGGGTGGATCTTCGCAGCCAAGTAGACGATAGCTTCTGGGTCATGAGAGTGATAGGTATGAGATATCTCGTCTCTCCGTAATCTCGATATGAAGTTCACACAAACTCAGGTTACCCACCTCTCCCCGATGAACACGATGGCTTCTCATGCGGTGCCCACAAGTAAGCGTAATGTGTTGGGGAGGGAAGACATCATTTTGAAGATCAAATCTCTCAGGGATTACGGTTGCCTTACGTGCGCCTGACCCAAACTCCATAACACCCTCCCCATGACGTTCAGTCGTAACAGGTTCTTATACGCCGATCCTACCAAGTCCGCTTTGCAAGTGTTTTTAAGACGCCCTGGTTTAGTCGGAGCAGACGTGCCTGGATTACCCCGTGAACAAGGCGAGGAGGAAGGTATCTGGATCAACGCGGATCCCCTCCCTGGTTGCATTGTATGCAACATCGGAGAAAGTAAGCTGGCCCATCGTATGAAAGGGGAATCGTTGAAGAGACGCTTGTTTGCAGTGTGGGAGATCTGGACGGATGGGCTATATCGATCAACGCTTCATCGTGTGGTCCACCGAGGATCGAATTACAGGCAAGAAGCAATTTCTTTCTAGCTTGATTTCGGTTGACTTGTTAACTGCATCCCTGGTTGTCGTTCACAGAGTTTCGTGCGTAATCTATGCTTGACTATCGTTCAAACATGGTGATGCTGACCATTCGGGCAGCATCCCCTTCTTTTTTGAGCCCAATTTTGACGCTCTAGTGAAGCCGTTGTCCGCTGCATCGCGCATTAAGGGGAAAGAGGCAGCTTATGGAAATGCGGGGTCTCAGCGGAATCCAGTTGTATATGGGGAATTCCTATTGCGCAAGGTTGGGAACAATTTCTCAAGTGGCGGCAAGGGCAGATACGATAATTAGGGCAATATTAATGCAATCGTTGGTGGTTGGTTGGTGGAATGTTATGTCCATTGAGAGTTTAGTAGCCAGTCACGTGCGCGACTCTAATGAATGTTTTTCGATCATTGACTCGAGGAGCACTTCATCGATCCCCCCCAAGACTATCGATATCGACGCGAACTCGACTTATGTCTTTCCAAACGTCTGTAGCAAAATTGTCTGCACCAGTCGGTGACTTGGTGCTTGCTGTGACGCGAAATGGACAGGAATTACTCGGGGAGTCCGAGAGCGACCAGGCGGAAGTTATTAACTGGATCGAGAGGTCAAGTCAAGAGGATCTGACAAAGGAGAGCAATCTCAAAGTACGTGTATCCGTTGCCTAGCTGTAAACTTTGCTTAAACCTCCTTCATTAGGACCTCGATACCCTGCTCATCCCAAAGACGTACATCGCCTCCAATTATCTGACGGCTGCAGATGTAGCACTTTATGGATCTCTTCATCCAGTAGTTGTATGTATCCTCCTTCATCCAAATGTATCTGATCCACTCTGACCTGTGGGTGTTAGTCTAAGCTGCCGACCTCACAACACTTTACGCATCCCTCAGTCACAAGATATTTTGACCACATACAATCATACCCCCCTGTCAGAGCTTCAGCAGACATCCTCGGCGCATTCGAATTTGTTTCATTTGATTTAGAGAATACACCCAAAGTGGAACGGAAGACGGAACCACTGAAGAAGAAAGGGAAATCGGCTGCCGCAACGCCAGTTTCTGGATCTGGAGTTGCTACGCCGACAGCCAATACAGAAGTCGAAACTGCTCCTGTCGCACAAAAGGACCAGAAGAAAGAGAAGAAGGAAAAGAAGAAGGGCGGAGGTGACGAAGGGAACAAGAAAGCCGGGGGTTCAAAAGCCACTCCTCCCGCTGCTGACGAGGGAGAACCTGTCCCATCTATGATTGACCTTCGTGTCGGTCATATTGTTGACGGTACGGTAAAGTCATTGTTTTTGTCCCGTTGCTGATGTTAGTTTAGTCATCAAGCACCCTGACGCGGATGGTCTTTACGTCGAGGTATATATGAATCAGTTATTCTAGAAGATGGCTTCCATAAAACAAATTCACAGCAAATCGATCTTGGAGAGGAGACGGGTCCACGAACTGTCGTCTCTGGATTGGTCAACTACATTCCCATTGATCAAATGCGGGACAAGTACCTCGTCGCTGTTGTGAGTCATCTTTCTTTTCTTTGGTTGGCTTTCCCCTCATGACATATTCAAGTGCAACCTTAAGCCCGCCAACATGCGTGGCGTGAAGAGTTTCGCGATGGTGCTTTGTGTAAGGTTCTTGCTCTGACGTTCATTTCGGGATCTGAAGCGCTATGCAGGCAACGTCAAAAGAGGGCAAGGATGGAGGGATTGAACTCATCCAGCCACCAGCGAATTCCAAACCAGGAGACAGGGTATACTTTGAAGGGGAAGATTACGAAGGTAAGAAATATGCGTCATACCTCCGTTTCTGCAACCTTATATTTATTTCTCAGACACGACGCCTTTGGCTCAACTCAACCCAAAAAAGAAGATCTTCGAAGCGATCCAGCCTGGTGCGATCATTTACATCCCTGCATTCTTTGTAACTAATGGACGCTTGCAGGCTTCATTACACTTGACTCGAGGGAGGCTGCATGGGTCAATCCATCGACGAAGAGCGTGCATAGGATCCGTACTAAAGATGGTGTATGTATTGCCCCAACTCTAGTTGGAGCTTCTCTATCATAGAATTGGTGGTGATGCTTGGTAAACGTGTGGAATGCCACATACTTACTTTGAGGGTTGGTTCAATGTGCAATACATAAGACAAAGATCCTTTTTCGTGATATAAGTGTGCACTACATGAGCGTACTTTCCAAATTTCATGCCTCCCCACCAAGAGCGTTTGTACTTATTTGCCCAGGCCTTCACCGCTTTTGTGAAGGATTGCTTGCTTCGAAGTCATGATTACTCGGACTCCACCATTGGCCACGCTTGTCCGCTGCTTCAGTTCGACTGCCAGGGCACAGAAACATGTCTCTCACATAGGGCGAGAGCCTATAAAATATCCTACAAAAGTCACCCTCACGCCATCATTGACAGCAATCACAATTCAAGGTCCATTGGGCACCACTTCTGTCCCTCTACAGCCTTACATGAAAATAGAATTCCCCGAAGAAAACACCGTAGCAGTTTCCGTGGAGGATGCTGAAATAAAGGCTCAGCGACAAATGTGGGGAACGACGCGAACTCTCATCTCGAACGCCATTATTGGCATGACGGACGGGTTCACTGTACCGCTCTACTTAGTCGGAGTTGGTTACAGGGTAGCCATTGAGACGGACCCACGCGCCGACATTGAAGGTGGAAGCGGCCAGCGGCTCAGCATGAAGCTAGGCTACTCACATACGGTCTACGTACCCATCCCGTCACATATCAAGGCGGAAGTACCTTCCCCTACCAAGATTATCCTTTCGTGCACGGACAAACATCTTTTGGGACTATTTGCTGCAAAGGTTAGGGGGTACAGGAAACCGGAGCCATACAAGGGCAAGGTAAGCTTCTTTTCTGTCTGGACTATGTATTCTGTCTCAACAATGACCAGGGCATTTTCGTTGGTAACGAACAAATCCGTATTAAAAGCGTCAAAAAGAAGTAATAAATTATCAAAACAATCCAATTTATTGCCTTTCAATCTTGGTTAACTCATGCCCTGGTATGGGGGTTTACCCTCAAGCAAGTTGCCATGGCCAACTGTCTTCCCTTTTCGAACGGTGTGGATTACCCCAGGAAGGTTATGCAGATGACGCTTGCAACCTCCTTCCGAGTCCTCGAAGCACCTTGGCAAAATACAATGAAGTGCACTGGGATAAGTTTTCGGAGCTGAAATCGAATATCCTACCCTTCCTTGTATCCGCTCATCGAAGTGACCTTCAGACTGATTTATGCACAAAATCGTCCCAAGTGTCTGACGATCCTTTTGAGCGACTAATCAGTGATTCTTTGACATTTTTGAGTGCAATTGAGTGATTCCAGAAGTTTCGATGCAACAGCTGTTTGGGCGTCACTATTGATATATAATTACGCGGACTACTCGTGATACTCCTCCTTCATCCTCCCGAAGAGCATTGTTGCGAGAGGGCATAAAATCTCGCGTCCTTAACCAACTGCACTCATCATGCCCCTGAACTACTCAAAATGGGATCAGCTAGAGGTGCGCTGCCGTCGTTGGATCGATCGATTGCGTCGCCTACTACCAACGTATAGCTTTCCGACGACTCCGATATTGAGGGTCATCCAAACGTCGACAAGAAATCGCTTATACGGTATGCCTCACCATCATGAATTTTTGTCTATTCACGGTGCCCCCTCAGGTGGAAACAACGCGATATCCACGAAAAGCGCGAAGCGCGAAAACATCGCATAAGTCACCTCCGTGCCCAGATAGCATGCAACAATGTTCTTCTATCCCGGATAAAGGACATTACTGCAAGACTTGAAGATCCATCCGCATCTCCACCCGTGACCGCATATTTTACCTCTTTAGTTGAGCAACTGACCACGAAACCATCGCCCGACTGTCCCCCAGGCAATGACCCAACGAAGGTGGAGCAAACGTACGACGGCATGCTCCTTAGTTTGCTGAGACAAGTCAGCGAAGACGCGAAGGCGAAGTTCAAGGATACGGCCAGGTCGGAGAAGGACGAGAAGATCGCTAAAGAACTGACGGTATTGATGGCTGGGCATGTGAAATATCTTGGGGAGACCATTAAGAAAGACGAAGTGGAATTGGAGAAAGAAGATCAAGAGCAGAAGAAGCATATTACCAGCGACGATATTCACGAAGGCTTTGAAAGCAAGGTATCCAACTTTCGCTGCTTTCTAGCATCCAATAACCGTACTCAACAACAACGCAGTACGTTCCTCCCAAACCAGAGCCGCCCCCAGTACCACACACCAGGCTGGACACGCAAAAAGAAAAGAAGAAAGTTACTGAGTTTGAGGTGCTCAATCCAAAGGCCTCAGCTTCGTCCACAGCCGACCCCGAAACCGAGGAGGATGAAGAAAATACCGACCTCCCAGAACTTACGCCATCACTGGAAGCGTTTTCCAAACTCCCTCTCCACAACTACGAACAATCTTTCCATTTCATTCAGGCTCACCGCGATGTCTACGTTTCTGGTGCAACTGACGCTCTCCTGGTTGCCGCTTTCCAAGCACAGAGCGAAGGGAAATCGAAGTACGCAAAGCAGTGTGTCCACCAAAGTTTGCTCCTGCAGTATTGTGAAAAATTGGGCCGCGATGGTGTTGGTGTATTCTTCAAGAAGTACGTGCTTAATTTCCAGTTTAATTGTCGTCCTTTCGTTCACGTTATTTTATTACAGGATGATAGCTGGTGACAAAAGGGCAGAGAAAGTGTTTGTGGAAGATGTCGAGAACACTTACAACCACCTGGTCAATCGAGTGAAGATCTCGCAAGAACAAGCACAGGGCAAGGAGCAAATCCAGTTAGTGGCAGAGAACCCTGACACAGAAATCCGTTTCAACGTTCCGGACGGTCCTCCTCCCGAAAACATTGTTTTAGAGGGGCCCGGAACGGAGGGAATGAATGTTGAGGAAGTGAGGAAGGCACTACAGTTCCGATGGGACGTATTCCAAGGTTTCCCACCTGCTCTGCAGGAAGCTCTGCGAGACGGGGGCCTCGACAAGGTAAACAAGGTTCTAGGAGAAATGGACGTGCCGGAAGCAGAGGGCATTGTTGGAGACTTGGATATGGCAGGTATTTTGAGTTTTGCAGAAGGCGGCATTCGTGATGAGACTGGCGCAACTAGTTCCACTTAGATACACCCCACTTTCTGCCTTTGCTTGATCTCGCAACGAAATTTATAACAAATGTACAACCAGCTTATTCTGCCATCATAATGACTTCAACTTCGCGAAAAGATCTCAGAAATTAGTTGGATTTAATGTAAGTACCGATTACGATACACATGGTAGTCGATACGGTTCAGCGTCTCTGGTTCTGCGCATTTAACCACGCCTTCTCCAACTGGTTTCGGGTGAACTGCAAATTATGCATGTCGCGGGACTTGGTATGGTAACCCCGTTCACTGCTCGTGCGCACAGCTAGCCTCAACAGGTCTGAGAACTTTTCCTTTGTGAACTGCAGCCCCCGCGCATATCGTACCCTATTGAAGAAAGCGGGCCAAGTTTCCACATTGTAGATTTCCTTGATTTCGTCCACCATGCTTTCAGGCAGTTCTGGTTCCGCAAACCCGTAATTCTCATCAAGGCGAGAGATGCCAGTCTGACCGTACGTCTTGATGAACAAGTCGACGAAGGTGATTTGGAACATCATGAGGCGGAGGCTGGTCTTCGATTTGGAAAAGGTGGTTGCGAGGCGGTACTCGCTGACTCCTTGTTCAAGGACTTCCAGCTGCGGGGCGTCCTTGAGAACCCATCGAACGTTGCGGATGATCGCTTCTTCCAGAAAAGGACCATTGAGAATAGCCCAAGTGATGGGTGGTCCTTGATCGGCAGACGGGAGGATGAGGACAAGCATAACCAGGACAATGAGCTCGCCCAAGTCTGGAACCTGGGCCTTGATGCGGGATGCAGGCTGGTGGATGAAGCGTCCGAGTCGAGCTGTGGCATCGCGGAGAATGAGGGGATTCTTGCGGCAAAGGCAGATAAGCAGGTGGAAGAGATGGCAGTAGGAGATGACGGCCTTTTCCGAAGCGTGAAGGAGCGTCGGCTGGGCATAACCCGACCTGGAGCGCGAAGTGATCAGGACGTCGTCGCAAGACTTCATCAATGACACAACTATGTTATTCATCATTTTGTAAATGATACCCACGGACTCGTGTGGTTGACGAGGAACAGACGCCTTTGGCCTTGAATTTTTATTGTGCTTCGCCTGAATGCGTTCCTCAACAGCACGAACATTGTTGTCCAGGGCAACCAAGTGAGACCAAATGCTGCTATGTGCCCGCTCAAAGTGAGCGCGGTTGAAAGCTAACGGAAGGAAGTATTTGAAGGCCCTCTTTTCAATACTCATTCGAACATTGTGGCGGTTGAATGCCTCCATGCTAAGCCAATCGAAATCGGATGACAAAATGCGGGGACCTTCATCAAATGCGACACCGACACCGAGGACGCAATCACGGAGTGGAATTCGCAAGAAGAAACATCGTAGCTCTCGGCTGAGAAGAATGTGGTGAGATGAGACAAGCTCTCGAAAGCGGGGGTATGCTTTCCCGAAAGAAATGACGGATTCCGAAGTTAGTTGCGAAGCAATTTCGGTCAGAACGTCGTCGTTTAACATGCCAAGTTGACACACGGTGGGAGGCCTGGACAAGGCGAAGAGGTACGAGTCGTCCTTTGAGCCCTTTTCCAAACCTCGCTGAAGGTGAGGAAAGTCCTCTGAACCATATGGGCACTTCTTACATTGCCAACAAGAGATTTGTGACAATGTAGACGACCAGAGCGGGTTAGGCTGCTCGAATTTATGCAACCTGTCAGGATGGGCACTGCTTCCCTTCGTTGTATGAATGACAGGTCCAGGGATCGCATATTCGGCGAGCTTGGTTTCCGGAGTGTTATTGGCCTTCCAGAGCCTCTCCAAAGCCAGCTGATCGGTTTTCAAGCCACCACACGAGCAAAAATATTGGTCACGGCAACAGCCTTTCCAAGGCATTATGCTTCTCTGCACCATCTCGCTCTCCTTCATGTAGTTCGTGAGGATGTGGTCCCCAATCTCAACTGGATCCCCACCATAGTCCTGCTCGACCTTGGTGCTCGAGAAGAAGGTTAAGAATTGAAGGAAGAGACCACGGAGTGTCAACGCTGGAGAATAACCTCCAGTGTACCCAGTCCCATAATGATAAGATGTTTGCGGTTTCAACAAATCGCAGCAGATATAACTTCCAAAAAGGTTGGGGTGGTCTATATCATGCACACTAGATGCGATTCTGGGGGGAGATGACGGCTTAAAAATAATTTAGTCAAATCGCTATGCGCAAGCAAGCGGACTCACCCATTGCTCTGGTAGTTCAACGTCGAAATGCAACGCTAGGTCTTTCCAAGGGCCGCTAGGTGGGACAAGCACGAGGCAGAATTTCCGGAGGTTTGCATCGTCAGTGAAGACGACAACGCCTGGGTACGGATTCTCATGAAGTTCGGCGAGGTCCTGGTAAAGTCGAGAGAGGAGACGATGTTGGGTGGTGGTCATCGCCACCAAGCCTGGCTTCCACACTGCAAATATAGGTCTTTTATATGCCAACTGACGGGACCGTTTACAACTGACCCGTTGACGGCGTGACTCATGATGGTCATTGAATTGCTTTTTGAGTCACCCTGACTGTGAAGAGCAGGGAAAGTGTCAGAACGCAACAGGTGCCAGGAATTCCTCACGTGAGCTTATCCTTCTCACATCAATCGGGCTTTTGAGTGCTCCAGTTCGAGACGAGCTCCCGTCCATATACCTCATTCGTTCTTTTTCTTGAGGATGTCGTCCGGGAACGACCAAAGTTGTAGGATTCTCGTCGTGTCGTCATCTCTCCTGCAAGCCACTTCGTTCATCCAAAGTTTGTCACCCCCTGAACGATCCAGACGATCACTCGAGCGCGTTTCCAACAGGTCTATCAGCAATCTCTACCAATAAAACATCGAGTCCTTTTCTGTTTGAAACCCTAGATCTGTCTTCAACATCACTTACAATTCCATGGTCCATATCCAATCGATACTACACCGCAGACGTCCATTTCGCGGCGCATACATTGGAAAGTGTAGCCAGCCACCACGTCCACGGTGTCCCAGCTGTGATATTTGTATGGGCTGATGGCGAGGTCGGTCACCTTCATTCCCAATGCCACACACACTTTCCTTTCGTCTATGTTGTGCATCTTTGTTTGCGGGCTCTATACTAAACCAGGTTACGCGTAGCCGTATGAACAATACCTGGATTTTCTGTCCCATGTCATTAAAGAAGCGGAACCCGAGGTGTCTTTAGCTGTGAGGATCCAGCGGGATGGCGTTGTGGACGTCATCGCAAATGGGACAACAAAGGATGAAGAAAATGCGAACATTGATGGCATTCTCATGTCATACGGATTTGAGTACATCGATGCCACTGGATTGATTCCGCCTCAACGGAATACTAGAAATGTTGATCGTGACGACATCGAGGACGACTCCGATGGTGTGTTTTCTGTCTCTTTCACGTCCGCTTCTTGACTTAACGAACCAACAACACCCTTGATTTAAAAAATCAGACATACCACATCTACCCCGCGTTTTGGATGCGCTGAGCACGATAATGTGGACGTCAATGACACAAAATAAATCTCCCGGCACCCCGGAGGCCATGAAAGGCGTCAAGTATAGAGGGCAATATTCTACACTTGAAGAAATTATCAACCGAGATCCAGCCGACCTCATTGCTGCCTTGGAGGAGGTGACGAACGAGCCGATTGGCTTGAAAGATAAGGATCTGGTTAAGAGAAACGAAGCATTGCTGGCCGAGCTTCGGGCCACGTCGGACACTTGGCAAAGTGCTGGTGGCGGTGACGCATGGCAATACGCTGCTAGCTCAGGGCATATCGTGTCGTCACCCACTGATATGGAAACCATGTCCCCGTTTGGAGTCCTGGCCGAAAGCTCACCGAATGAAGATCGCAAAGTCTCTGTAGGATTCGACGACGATTTTACGGTGTTTGTTTCTGCTCCAGCACCATTAGAAACGATTCAAGAGGCATCAGGACTGTCGACACCAGAGCTATTCCATGGTCCGTCAAAAGGTCTGGCGCCCGTTGACGCTGGCGATTTTTACCGGTCATTGGGCTCCGTCTCCGACTTTGGGGGTAGTGAAGACGAAAGATACACGGAGCTAGATGACAGTAATGATTTCGATGATCCCAGCGACTTGAAGACCCCGAAATCCAAAGACGATGATAGTATGCCAACAGAAACGGAAATCAGAGAGACATCGTTACGAATATTTGGAGCTCCCGTCCTTTCTCGCTTGCATATGCAACGGGTTGATGCTTCAACACCAAAAGCTGAAATTGCGGACTCCCTCACGCCTGAACAATTTACCTCTGGCATTGACGATCCATACGATATGGAGTCGTTTGATCTTACAAAGGTGCTAGGGGCTTTGCAGCAATTCAAAAGTGAGATAGCTGGAATGGACAACGAGGATGAAAGGCGCAAGGCTGCAGCCAAAGTCGCACTTGGGTTGGTCTATGGACTCGAAGGGGGAATAGAGCAGTAATTTTTTACCCTTTCCAGCGGTTCCTGGCGATGACATGCCGCTTGAGGTTGGCGATGTTTTCCGATGCCATCGTGCAATTGATTATTGAGGTAATTTGGCAAGGTGTTATGACGGTTTTCGGCAGGAACATCCAGGAGTGATGGTCTTGAAAGATATAGGAACGACATACTAAGAGTGCCAGCCTGCAAGTATAAGGCCTGATGTTAAAAGTTTGTGAAGAATACCAAATCCGGACTGTCCGGACTCCGGACCGTGATGAGACTTGCCTGATAAGGGAACTGTATGATCGGTTCCTCTGGTCAATAATGATATGATGGCTCAAAAGCACAATTTCTTCCAGGGATCAGACGGGATCCAGCAATCAACGTTAAATAATCAACTTCTGCAACGGTCTGCCATGTTCTTGGCCGACAATCTCAAATTCCCTTATTCCTCTTCATAGCAATCTACTTGTCGGACAACAAACTTCTGCTTCAATCTGGAGCAACCTCGGCAGTCCCTTTATCCCATTCATTCCTAACCCATCACTTTTTCTCACTTTTCTACTGCTCCTCCACCATAACTCTTCTCTTCGAGCGCCCCTGTCTTGCGAACTATCGTTGACATGTTATATCATGGGTCACTTTCCAATGCGCTTCAGTTAGAATCTTCATCCCATCGTCCTTCTAACATCATTTCCCAGAAATCATCTCGGGCGCCTTCTATCGAATCCCTTCAACACTCACAAACCTCTCAAACACTTAGAAAAGTACGTTCGACGTATGCTCTTTCGCATTCGCCCACTTCACCCCCTGATCCCACCGCAACATCCCAACCTCTTCCCCACAATTCAGCCCGTGCAAGTGGGTTCTTTGCGGATCCAGGTCGTAAATTTAAGACAAAGAGTCGGCCATCTACTGCGACTGGTTCGCCGGAGGAGCTACCTTCATGGGACCGTCATTCAGCTACGGCCGAGCGTACACGGTCAACTGCACCATCCATTCGGTCCAGAGCTTCGTCTACCGCAATTAGCTCCCTCTCAACGGGGCGAGTGGAGGATGTTACTCCTTGGGAGCTTCATCCTGGCCCTATGAACCACCCTGGTTCAACACCCCTTTTTACTATGCCTAGATCGACCTTGGTGCAGTCAACTGGACCTACAGAGGACGTCACTCCATGGGAACTGCACCCCCTTCCCTCCGACTCAACACCGGAAAGGTCTCATAGCGTATCTTCTTCCCCGCCGCCTTCTGCCGTACGGTCTGCTCGGTCACCCTCCAATGCCACCTCTGTGTCTGTTCGATCAATTCGTTCGACCGTCACTGGGCCAACGGAAGATGTCACTCCATGGGAGCTCCATCCTGGGCCTATATATGAAGAAGACTTGCCCGCTCCTGACTGGCCCTCTCCTATGCCCTCCATCTCCCAACATTCCTTTCACACGCCATCTGTGCGATCTCATCGCTCATCAACTGCAACAGGGCCGACAGAGGAGGTCACGCCTTGGGAACTCCATCCTGGTCCTGATGAGACGATACCCGAGGATGACCGCCCCCTTTCCCCACGCCTTGCCCGCCCGCTATCTAATCCTCCGTCTGTTCGCGCACCGTCTGTAAGATCGCATCGGCAGTCAACAGCTACAGGACCCACAGAGGAAGTTGCTCCATGGGAATTGTATCCGGACCCGCCAAGTGATGCGACGTATTCTACCCCCACGCATCCACGCCTCCCTCGCTCTACCGCACCATCTCTTCGATCTCACCGTTCTGCCGGAGCAGGATTTACAGAGGAGGCTACACTCTGGGAAATTCACCCAGGCGGAACCATACATGAAGAACCGCTGAGTATGAATTCAAGAAAGGCATCCTTTGCAGGCTCAGCAACAACACCTTCGGTTAAATCACATCGCTCGACAGCGACTGGCCCTATGGAAGTGGTCACTCCTTGGGATCTTCACCCGCCCGGAACAATCCCCGAGGAAGAAGTGCATTTGCCACCGACATCTGCTTCTACGCGTTCACTGCCAATCAAATCCACCGCTCCCTCTCTCATTTTTCACCGCTCAACAGCCACGGGCCCTACCGAAGAGGTCACTCCATGGGAGCTTCATCCAGCCGGAACCATACCCGAAGAGCCCACCCAAGGTGTCACCCCTTTGGAGTTGCATCCTGTTGTGAGTTCAGAGGCGCTCAAGAAAACAATCTCGACTCGCTCACTGACAGCACTTTCTGTAACATCACATCGCTCTACAGCAACAGGCCCAATAGAGGATGTTACTCCGTGGGAGCTTCACCAGCCGGGGACAATACCTGAAGAGACCTTCGACACGTCTGCACCCACTTCCTCCTCTCCACTTGATGAGAAATCCAATGTATCAGGACCCGAAGAGGGTGTGACGCCATCGCCAGGCTATTCAGAATCTCCTGGTCAAACTATCGAAGAATTTCCCTTGCCACCACAGACCATACCGCCCCAACCCGCTCGTTCTATGACACTTCCCTCTCGCTCGACTACTACAGGACCTAAAGAGGAAGTTACCCCTTGGGAACTTCATCCCGATCCTACTTCAGAACAAGGTCTTGAGCCACCGCCCAATCTGGACCTCATAGGTCGTTCTCGCAACTCGCTGCAGATGACGGTGGCTCAGCTTCAGGAGGTTACGCCATGGGAGCTGCACCCTGTGCCCTCAACCCAGGGAGGTCAAAAGGCGCCAGAACCTGCCGTAAGTCAATCTATCTATTTTTCCGTTACGTTGCTCGCTTTTTGCACAAATATGGATGGTTGTTGGTTTGTCCATTTCCGGACCGCCGGCATGTTGCTCATTCTTGTGAAATTCAAATCCCGGAGTTCTTAAAGCTCTAGACTTCTATCTTGTCTGTCTGCTCATGGCCACGCTAATCATTCCCTCTTTTCCCCCTCGTTCCCTCCCTTCACAGGCTCGGGCTTTCACCTCCACAGCGAGCAAGTCCCCTCCAGATCCCGATCTAGTTCGAAGACGCAGTACTAACAGCAAACCTCATAAAGCCAGGACCCACACACACCCAACCAACGAGTCCCATCAAAAGGATGCTTCATCTATAAAATCGTTCAAGGCTTCCACCAGCTCCTCATCACACGCTATGCCCCTGCCAAAGACACAAGCTACTGTGCCCCAGATGCCATCGAAAAGCTCATCGACCGAGGGAAAGAGTAATGAACGACCTGTGCACTTTGTGGTCAAAGGTGCACGGCATGCTTTATCTGATGGGGGGATAAGCCCTGGACAGAAGCACCATGCATACCCCCGTGAGGTTGTTCCTTACCCGAGGAGCTATGAGCAGGAAGTCATTGATTTGTGAGTTTTTCTTGCGATTCTCTTATCTTGGAGCCATTTTTAAGTGGCGGTACCTGATCGCATGTGCCTGACTGCGGGGTTTCCCTGCGATTATAGTCTGCCCATTCATTCTTATCTCTCACCTTTTTTTTTTTCGCGTAACTTTCGCCATTGGCTTTCTCTACCACACATGGCCGATTTCACATCCACCTCAACGTCACCTTATACTGACGTTTTTGATGGTGGCGTGCAGAGACGTATGGGAAACGGTGTTTTGTCAAGACATATGCGAGAGCCTCACCTGGCATGTGTTTGAAACACCACCAGAAAAGGTGTACGTTCTTTCCATAGCTATCATCTAACGCATCAAGTTTTGACTTGTTTCCTTAAATACCTATTTAGCCTTGAGATTGGATGCGGTGCGTCCCAATTGCTTTATGACGACACAGGGTCTGATCGCCTTGCATGTTTTCAGGGACTGGTACATGGATATTAAACTGCGCAAGGTCTTGGAAGGTTTGTTCCATTTCTGGTTGTCCGTGTTCGTAGGAGCGCTGATATAGCTTCGCGTTGTAAAGGATACCAAATTCGTTGGTAAGTCATCCGGTAAATTCAAATGTGCGGCCTCTTTCATGATACCCGTAACCCATAGGCCTTGACATTGTTCCCCTATTTCCCAACATGCCGCACATTTACCCACCTGACTTGGAAAAGAGAATCACATGGGTGCAAGGAAACCTGTACGTCGTTATTATTTTGAACTCTGCAGCATTTGCTCAAAATTCAAATTTGAAGTCTCGCAGGACTTCCTTTCCCTGACGGAGAGTTTGATTTCGTGTATGTGCTCCCCATTGCACTTTTTTGTTTGTCTTTTTATTTAAAAGTGTGTCAGGCATATCAAAAGGATAGCTCTCGGAGTTCCGGAAGACAAAGTGGGTCATTTGCTTTTATCTTCTTCTCTTCGTTCGTGTGGTGGCTTACTATCGTACCCAGTGGGATGCTCTCTTTGATGAAATCTCGCGTGTGATGAAGCCTGGTGCTGCTTTCGAGGTACAGCAATCATTTTGAATGATGGGGGAACCCAAACTCAAGCTTCTATCTTTACTTGCAGATGATTGAGGAGGATCTGTTTTTCCCTGGAAGACCAGCCGACAGCGACGGAGAATCAGATCGCGAGAGCGAGATTGACTCGCCAAGTTCTCGACGTAACTCAGTCGGAGCCGCAATAACCAACGGCAAAGGCACGGAGGAAGTTTGTGAAACGTCAGGGTCTCCTGCTACGCCTACCACGGGTACACCCCAATCGCCCCTGCGGTCAGGCTCACTCGCCCAATCGCATTCTACTTCGTTCTCGAGCAGTGTAAAGAAAGACAATGCAGTTGCGTCCACTACTCCTCCCAACTCTCCACCAACCGTTATGACCATGGTCCCACCGCACTCCCGCTCAAGCAATCGTCCCCTGCTATACGTGAAGACAGCGAAGCCAAATCATAGTCCTTACGGTCACCTCCAGCTCGTGGGCTTAGGAGCCCCACGACATCAATCGTCGTTGTTCGGAGGATCGGCTATTTCGCTAATGGGTTCGATGGGCCATGCTTCTTCAGAGACAGATAGCCACCTTTTTAAGCGACCGAGATCGTCCTCGATACTCAATTCTAGCACTTCCACCAACCCGACGATGAATGATTCTAACTCGCCACAAAACTTGCGGTCACCGCCAGTTGCGGAGAGTGTCAATGGTACTGGCCCTTCAAAGGTGGCACCCTTCTTACTTAGGACGCTATCCAAGGCACCGATGAATCCAAGAGACCATTCCCTATTGGAAATTATTTATAATGAGATGCTAGCATCCAGGTTTATCAATATTTCCCCGCTTTCGTTACTTACGACCTATCTAGAATATCATTTTAAAGGTAAGGTTCGAGCCCGACTTTAGAAATTCCTTATCACATCTTCGTTACAGATACACGGACACACCCTCCTCTGCAGTATACATTCCCCCCCATGCCTGTCAAGCCCTCTGACACCTCAAGCGTTCAACGGGATGCGAACTCTGATGATTCTGACCTTGAAGAGGAAGGCAGTTCCAATCGGTTTCAGTCATATAGAACGAGAAACTCGCCAGGGCCAGACCCACACAGTATCCATAAGTTATCTAGTCAAAGCATTCTCCACCACACATCACCCTATGTCATTCTCGACGAAGCACGCAGCCCTGCCTACTCCCCTTCGACCAAGGCCGTTTTTCCGACGAAGAAAAACAATGATTGCAAGCTGGAATACAACAGGAGAACACAGTCCAGGCTTCCCAACCAGACATTACATATCGATCTCAGAACCCTCAATCTCCACCTCGCTATTCGAGCGAAAGAGATCCTCGCATGTTCGGAGTCTATGTGGGAATGGGTACTAGAGTACCAGGCGAAAGTTCAAGCACAAGAGAAACTCGGTAGACCTAGGCCAATTTCATTTGAAGCATCTCATCCTGGCATGTCACAAACCTCCATCGTCTCAGGCAATAGTTCCACTTCGACTGAATCAACGAAGAGCGCTCTTTTGGAGATAACTCGGGACGATTTTGACTACATCCTGAGCAATTTTGAGCTGTACGTTGTCTGTGGCCTCGTTTGTTTCTATCTCACTCAAATTTTATTGCAGAGATATGCAAGATCAGATTTCGCTTGGCCATGCCCTCAAAGAACGCTTCTCTTGGTCTGTTCTTTCGTCATCACCGTCTATTAATCGCAAGGCTTTTGATGCTGCCTGTGAAAAGTATGATCAGTGGGTGGCGCAGCAGCGACAACAAACGTCTTCCCACTCTTTCCGCCACGTTCATGATCACCACTCAAGCAACCTCCTCTCTAATTCTGACAAGGTTTCAGACACTCCCAACACAATCAGCTCTCGGGAGGGCATGGCACGCAACCAATCCATCTCGTCACATACGGGAGAGGGAGAATCGTTGAAACCTACACCCTTACCGCATGACGCAACCGTCCATTTCGCATCGCATTCCCCAACGGCAAGCGGTCAATCGACCGTGCCTTCACCGACGCAGAGATTGAGTCGGTCCGTGCGCGTCTTTGTCGCGTGGAAGGCGTAAAAATGTGTCATCACGTCCGTAATGGAGCTTCCTCAACGACTCGTGGACAGACGACATGTGTCACTTTCTTGCGATCTTGGTTTTATTGCGCGAGAAAAGGAGCAATGCCTACTTTTGCCAAGGGGAGATCCAGGGATTTCCTTTCCTTTTATATTTCGACTGTGGCCGTCGTTTCAGGATATTTTATGCAACACGATCGACAACTCAGGAAGGTAGATGCATTTCCTTTCTTGATTATCCTGCACATTTGTTGTTTTTATGCGTGCATCTCAGTTGTAGCAACTATATCAACGTCACATTTTTATTTTAACGTTATCACATTGCACAGGCTCAATCATTGTAATCCATCATGCACATTGCAATCTACTTCTAATCCTGGCCCCTTTCATCTGCCCATTTTTTCAAGCTCATCCAAGTCTTCAAATTCCATTCATCACCTTTTCAAACGTCGCGAGCCCCCCACATCGTTTGACGTTCCTGAAGTGCTCCCACATGACCTGGCCATCATCAAACGGTATGTTCTCCCTGATGCTGCGGGTGCATATTTTGATTGACTTTTACTTAGCTCAGTTCCACTTTTCTATTAATCCGCAGAGTTTTCTGATTTCCCTTGGCCCTCTCTCTGATGATATAGCACGCAAGTTTGGTGTGTGGCCCCCAACTCCACCGGCGTGTCACATCCGCAGCGCAGGTTCCACTCGGAACTTGTAGAGATACCTGGGACGTGCGGCACGACTGCCAGTGACGCGCAGGTTCCTACAAAAACGTCTGGGAACACACGCACGAATCGGAAATTGACGACATAGATCTTAAGCATCTAACGGGGCGCTCACATCTTTAGATCTGTTTGCATCTTTCTCACCAGCCCCGGCGAAATTCCGCCACCGATTCCGAGAGGCTCGCAAGCGGACTTGAAATCTTTGGACATGGGATTGATCGCTGAGATGATGCAGTGGGTGACAAAAAATAAGCTTTCCATGGCTGAAGCGCGCGGTTATAGAGTGCCTCAACTTCGGATCGAAAGTAGGAGGACAGGAGGACAATTGATAAGGAGTTTGAAGAACCACCACCACTTCGTCAACGTGTCGGGGATCCCTGTGGTGTTAACAGTCGTGCACACGACCAAGACTAAGCGAGAGAGCCAAGGCGACGATCGACTGACGTTTGAGATTCAGGGTGAACACCGCTTTTGTCTTCTAGATCTGACCCAAGGGTTTTTGCTCTTGCTCAAAGTCGAGGTAAGAATACAGTTTCAACATACTGATTGAGCTAACGTACACGTCTATTCAACACTACACTGCCAGCTAAAAAAAGATATCGTTAGGAAGAGACAACTAAATTTGCAGAAGTATGTACACCAAAAAACAAAGCCCAATGTCCATGCTGGGTGTATCATACTATACCTACATACGCGTGTCGAAAAGAGTTGAGATCGTAAGGCTTCGTATCAAACAGAGGCAACGGGTGAAAATTACACGATCGACTTGTTAATCAAATGATAGAGGCGGGGGGAAGCATAAAGAGGAAGAGAAAGGCAGAACAGCTAAAGAAATGGTTAGAAAAAAGTGGACTGATGCAAAGTGACCCAGCAACAAAGAGTAATGAAAGAGGAGTCGATTCTTCTTATCTCCTCCCATAGTGACCCCCTTGGCTGACTTGTTGTTGAGGAGACGCCCAATGCCCATGTTGTGCAGCAGCAGCAGCCAGTCCACCAAGTTGTTGACCTGGTGCACCTGCAGGTGGTCCACCCGGAGGAGGGTAAGAGTAACCACTTTGAGACATCATATGGGAGCCATACATGTTAGCGTCATGTTGCTGATGATGTTGTTGTTGACCTGGGTGGTGGTAGGAGCCCCCTGTGTACTGTGCTGGAGACGACGCCGGAACTTGCTGGTGTTGTTGCTGAGGGGACGTGGGGGACGCCAAGGAGATTTGAGGTTGTGGTGGTTGCTGTTGTTGGTGAGCAGGGTGGGGCTGGGACCCCTGCCCACCTGGGGGAATTGATAACGGAGGAGGAATTGAGGAATTCGGTGAATGAGGTGACGTGGCCCCACGAGCGTTTGAAGGACTTGCGGAACTAGGGCCAGTAGTGGAAGACGCACGGCGACGACGCTTGTCGCCAGAGGTAGGACGACCGCTGTGCGCAGCAGCAGCGTCGTCGTGGTGGTCATCGTCGGCGTCGTCTTCCTTGACGCTTTGACCAGCAGAAGTGCCACTGATAGACAGACCTCCAGGAAGGTTATTAGCACCTTGCTGAGGACCAGGAATGCTCATAGCAGCCGATGTGCGACCGAGAGGGGGACCGACAGGCATATTGGATGGCAAGGAGCCATGGGGGGCGTTGAGGCATGCTTGGATGAGATTTTTGCCCTCTGGCTGTGTGACGAGAGGCTGAAGCTTTGCAGTAGTAAAGGTGTATACGAGGCCCGTCTCTGATACGACGAGGAGCAAAACCTGGGTGCCTGTGAGAGTGGACAGCTCATAGGCCTGATTGGGTTAGGGTGAGCGGTGTGTGTGAATGGATGAGTTGGGAATAAGTGTTACCTTTTTCATAATGCCTGTAAATAGACATGTGAGAAGCTGAGAGAGGCAGCTGGAGGAAAAGAACATATACCTGCTTTCCTTTTGGAGAACGTTATATGACGTCGAGATTTATCTTGAATAAATTCGATCTTGATCTTGCGTCTGCCCGCCTTCTTGTCAGACTTGGGTTTGTCCTCGTCCTCGTCGTCCTCACCAGCACTGTCAACCGCATCATGGTCGTTGATGAACGCGTCGTCCACTACAGCGGGTGGGCCGGACGGTGGAGGAGGGTGGCCATCTGCGGGTGCTGGGTTTCCAGGGTGCATGTCGAGGGTTCGTTGGCGCTTGCGCATTGTTGGGGAAGTGGGTTGCCCTGTGTTCTGCAAGGCGTCAATAGATGGGTGGTGGGATCCGGAAAGGGAAGGAAGAGAGGTCGCGGTGTTGGAATACGAATGACCGTACGATGATGGGACATGGCTGGAAGCCATGGGAAAGGGCAAGAAAAAACGGACTAACAGGAAAGGGGGTGCGCGAATACGCGGCCGTCGTGATGAGTGGTGCCGGGGACGTCTGTAAGAGTGTGGAGGACGTCAAAGACAGCGACGAGCTTGGAGTTACGGAGCCTGACCGGAAAAGGAATTGTGTGGGAGGGCGAAAAGGGAAGGTTGATCAGGAGCTGTTTTTGAAGACTCGAGCCAACATAAACGACCATCAACACGACAACAACAAACACAAACCCGATATGGTCATACATGTCACACAGACGTGTTATAGTCACAGGCACTCCTCACGATTCCCGCTGTCGTCCGTAGCTGCAGAGAGTGCTGCATCCAGGGGGATTGCTGTTGACTACAGAGGACTTTACCAACCACATCTCATTGAGGACCAGCTGAGGCAACCGATAATGCATGGCCAACGGCGCCCACGGTCAAGCAGCGTGACCGATAGCCTCACAGCCCTCATCGGCTGATGCATCCTGTTTAGGAAAGTCCAGATATAAATCTGGAACGATCCCTGCCCTTATCTTCATGGCGATTGCACACTCAACGCCCTACACAATCGTCTCCCCGCTCCCCTCTTCCGGTCACGAGCGCCATACAATGTCTCCATTGCCATCTCACGCACTTCATAAAACAGCTTCGTTCATTCATTTTCTTCTATATCGAATTCTTTTCGGTCATCTCTGTCATGTTTTTGATTCCGCTTCTCGACCCTGGAATTATGTAACACCTTAGGAACACATCCATCCCATTCTGTCCCTTACTTTACTCGGCTTCTCCCTCCGAGCTGCCACCCACGCAGGCTGGAAGACAGTTTGCCGAGTAATTCGAAGCACAAGATGAAGTAAAGCCATTCACCGGCTTATGATACGCCGACATTAGCTTCAACAAAATTTTCACTACAAAAAATACATGAAAATTTGTTCTATAACTGTGCCAAAATTCAGAACGACTTAAACACCTCTGCTGCGCTGGTGGTACGGTATCATTGGCTGGTGGACGACTGTCTTCTCAAGAACTAGAAATTTGCGCGACGCCGAGATAAAACTGAATCCAATCCCTTAAATTGTTTCTACAGATATCATCGAAGCCCACTCAATACAAAACGTAGTACACACAACACCGTCGTCAATCCCGTCAAACTCAAAGCACACAAAAGAAACCCCAGTAAAGCGACAAAGGACTGAAAGGGAAGCGATCCTTGGCGCATTCTCTGCTTGATCTGCCCCATATCCCCCACCCAAAGTCTCCTCAGCATGCCTCAAGGTTGATGGCGCCACAGTTGCGCTCTTTACACCCGCCACCAGACTTTTTTTTCAATAGATTTCAGTTTCTCCCAGGATCCTTTTTTTTTTTTTTGTTTCTACACAATCTTCTCCTTCATCCAGCCCAAGATGCCATCATTCCAACCGGCCTCCATTCGCAGGAGTGCGGGCAAAGAGGGCGATATTGGCGAAGTCTTCACCTTCTCCGTTCTTTCAAGATCACAAGGAGCACGGCATGGTCAATCAGTCGGTCGGTCCAGGGCAAGTCGGCGGGCTCGATCCGTCCAGTAAACATGGTCCTTGAATAGAGCGTCCAACTTGGTGACATGGAGGCCATTTCGGATTCCGACCACATGGCTACCTGGGTGGAGGCGGGGGCGGAGGCCCCAGCGTGGTCAAAGCTTGTGCGACACGCTCTTCAAAAGCAGGCCGTGGTGTCTTGAGGTTTGCTTGCTGGAGAGCTACAGTGACCTTGGCAACAGAAACATTGTACTTGGCGAGCCAAAAGTCTGGCAAAACGCTGCACAGAAACTCAGCTGTGTCTTGATCTGGAAAAAAACGAGAAGATTGGAAGAAAGAGGAGAAAAGAAAGGGAGGAAAGGTTGGGAAGAGTGGGGCGGGAAAGAAAGAAGGAAAAAAAGAAACGCAACGCGACCGCATGAGCGAACCCCAGCAACAGGAGCCAACCCACACGACGTACCGCTCGGCTCGACGCCACCCATCGAGATTAACCTGCTCAAATGTAAATCTTCGCATTCCTCGTCCCGACAAGTCCCACCTCCAGGAACTTCGTATTGACAGACTTGCTTGGTCGGGTCAAGGACCTTGCTGGCTGTAGCTAATTTTAGTGGTTTCAAGGTCGGGAGAGGAAAATATGTAGGGGTAGTATAAGAAGAAGAAGACGTAAGGTATCCAGAAGGATCAGATGGAGAAGATGATTGGGAGGCTGAAACAAATTGAAGAGGATCTTGATAGGCTGAAGTCATTAGAGGCGAGCGGACACATAATAGAGGGCACAAGTCGAAAGGTGAATCGTAAATCGGAAACTGTTCATGTCTTCCTTTTACAGCTTCTGAGTTTACCGGGAGCAGATTTGCGTCTGGCTTTTGGCGGGCTGATTTCGGGTTCCGTACCTAACAGAAAAGAGAAACATTGTCAGAAAATGCGAAGTTCCCTCGCAGGAACCTGGAACAATGGGTCCCTCGCCTGCGACAAAGGGAAGGTAACGAACTCCTGGGACGCACCTGTGCCGACGAGGACGATTCCGGGTCAACGTCGACAGACTCATCCATCTGTGACTCCTGTTGAAATTCCAAGATCGACGATTGAGAGACCTGTAATGGCATCAAAGGAGAAGACGTATCGAGCACATCGAAACATCAAGATGATGGGGGAAGGGGGGATAAACAAAATGATTGGGTTAGGAATGCCGTGCCTTGCGGCGAGAAAGAAAGATTCTTGCCACTTCAATGTCCTGTCCCTCCAGCTCAGAGTCTGGTATTGTCAAGTAGGAATTCATAAAGGGAAAGGTGTTTAAGAAATCAATAACGGGGCACGAATTGAAGGTAGTGGCATCCAGGATATGTAGGAAGTTGAAAAGAGAGAAAAAAACAGGAACGCACATCGCAGCGCCACGGGTGGGATTGACGTGTATGATGACACACGAGGTAAAGGGGGAGCAGTTGCGCAGTCGTTGAAGATTCGGGAACACAGAAGGATTGAACGACGGGATGAAATAATATAGGAATGAGAGACAGCAACACATCATGGTCAGTGGAAGGAGCCGATGCCGAAGGACAAGTCAACGAAGAGGAAACTTGCCTTGTTTTGCAGGTATTGATCGTGGACTCGCGGGAGCTTGTAGGTCATTATCATCATCATCATCATCATCATCTGCATATTGAAAAGAAACAGATCATCAGTCGGGGTCCAGGAGCAGTCAGCGGAAAGGGGACCATCAGGAGATTTGCTTGGGCTTTCACGGGCCTGCACACCTAATGACGGAGTGCGCTCGTCGGATAGAGTGGACTGTTCTAAGAGAGATGTGAATACCCCTAATCACCAAACGAGGATCTCGACACTCACGAGGGGTGGTAGAATGCGAAGAATGGTCGCTAACGTTATTAATCGAATCCTCCCCAAATCGAAAGAGTACAGATGATTCATCCTCTTCCTGTTTGATGGGAGCCAAAGATTCGCTGGTATCCAGATTGGACATGGATCGCGAAATCTGGTAGTGGGACTGGTTAGAAAGGAATCATGTCACAGTAAGAGGCATACTGCGAGTTTCTTGAACCGACTCTGCTCCCGTTCGGCTATCAACTGTTTCATTCGAAGAATTTCGAGCTCCTTTTCCATTAACACAGCAGGTGACATGTTCCCTGAAGGAGGTCTCGTTGGGCCAGGCGATGCAGCCAAACTATATTTGCGCTTCATTGGTCCGCGGTGTACGTCTCCACCCGCGTCTTCCCCTTCGCTGTCGCTCAGGTCGATGACACATTTTCCCGGTCGAAGGTTTGTGAAATTTGCACCTCCAGTTCTCCGTCGCGTGAGTGGGTAGCCATTTGCGTGCTCATGTCCGTTTCCCGATCCATTGCTTCGAGGGGCAGAATCAAAGTCGACAAAATCTGCGGCGACGGGCCGCTTAGCTCCCCTCCGTTGAAAGCCATGAACGTCCGGTGTGGAAGGCTCACTGGGGCCAACATCAGTCATTGATAGTCCTGAACCAAAAGTGGCAACCAAGTCGGAAGAAGGAGCACGCGTGGCCCCGAGTTCCATTGGAAACTTGGGTATAAACTCTGATGGCACAGCAGAAGATTGGGTACGTGGACCGTCTCGAGGTGCAATCCCCAGGCCAGGAATGTCATCTACATCCATCTCAGCCGCTTCTACCTGTTCTGCGGGGCCAGGAGTGCTACCAGTGGACGGGATGGGACCAATGCTGTTGAGAAAGTCGTCCACACTTTCCGTAGGCACAGCAGACATCATTTCCACGTCCTGATTTATCGCACCTGTCGTGATTACGGAAGTTGCATCCGTATATGCCAGTTGCTTCAGCTTCCGTGAAGCCTGAACTGCTTTACGAGCCATGAGTTCCTGACGCCGCTGCCGCTCCATGTCGTGCAAGTCTCCGGCAGTAGGACTTCCAGCGGAAGAAGGCGGTGATAGAACTGCCATTGGTGGTGTCCGCCTCTTTTGTCGAGGGTCCGTAAGTGTACTGGAAGAAGCTAGAGATGAACCCGACACAGAACGGCGTATGGCCTCCGGAAGTGGAGGAGGGGGCATCAAAGTAGGACGGCGAAACGCAAGGACGGCATCAGGGGTGTATGGAATTAGGCCAGTGATATCAAGGTTTTGCGGAAGGCGAAGATTGAGTTCGGTGAAAACATAATATATTATTTCACGAGTGAGCCCACAATCAACCAAATATTCAGGTGGGACACCCCATCCGAGAATATCGAGAACGATATCCTTTGCGGTGTCGTACTCAGATTGTGTAACTAGAGCATAAATAAACGCAGTGAGCCCCTTTGGTCAGCACGGACAAAACAAGACAAAGACTGACGAGGTAAGCCAGGGCGAACTTGATCAGCACTGACAAGGACTGAAGAGTTATCAACGTGGTTAACGCCTTGCAGAAGAGGCTTCGATGGGGCAGGTTGATTATCGTGAGATGCTCTAGATACGGGAGAAAAATTTGGAGTCCGGTCCGCAAGTGGTAGACGTGGTAATTCTGCAGCAGGCACCCGCCTTGGCGATGTTAGAAAACTCACGTCAACATTCTTAGAATATACTGGAGATGGCGAGGGCTTCCCCTGTGTCGGAGAGGGATTGGGAGCTAGAGATGGCAGTGAGGTTTCCTCCTCGTCGCTTATCTCGCCCTCCTCGCGCATCTGGAGATCTCTATTCTTTGTGTCTGGAGGCTGAGCGGGCGACACCGGCGGTGAATTTGCAGTGATGTTCGATGGCTTGGAGGTGTCCATAGAGTGATCGGGTGCATCCCCTTGACCATAATCAAGCTGGAAGGCGTCGCTTGCTGGAAGGGGCCTGGAAAACGAAGAGGACTGTTCAAGTGCAGGCTTTCGACGCTTAGCCTTGAGGGTTAGAAGAGCAGCAGCGCGGAGCGAAGATGGGTCTGCTAAAGCCAGGGATGGTGACTGAGAGTCCATTACGGCTAGGACGATGAGAGTAGATATGCAAAAATAAAAAGGGCTCTCAAGGACGTGGGCCCACAGCTGAGGAAAGGCGAGGGATGACCAAGGATAAGTAACTGAGGTGGCTTGGAGCTGGCAGAAATCACCCGATTACCAACTACCTTTTCGCCAACATACGTGGGAACTACATCTTGTGCACGGACCCAACGAACTTTGGACTTGATATTTGAATTTCCATGTTCTTTCTTCAATTATCAAAATCGGAATCAATAATGGCAAAGGCGTACGTACGCCCAGATGCCGTTCGGGGTGTTCATATTCATGCATGCTGCCCCCTTTCACGAGCCAAGTGGGTGTATCTATATAAGGTCGGACGCCATGACCATCAAACTCGATATTCATGAGCCACGCTTATTCTCTAATTCGGGAAACTTTTCCAGGGAAATCTACATTCAGTGTAGACGACATCCCAGTTTTGTCTGGCAAAGTCATCATCGTCACAGGCGCAAATACTGGTGAGCATTGATTTTGTGTTTAATGTGGTTGCTTATCCTTCGCAATAATGTCTAGGAGTTGGAAAAGAAACAGTCAAGGTGCTGAATCCTCTCAACGTGAACAGTCACCGAGCTCTAACACAAATTAGGCTTTACTTGCACACAATGCCAAAGTCTACATTGCTGTACGGAGCCAAGAAAAGGCCGAGGAGGCCATCAAGGATCTGAGGGAGGAAACAGGCAAAGACGCCCACTTCCTGAAACTTGACCTTGCGGACTTGAAGTCTATCGAGGCCGCGGTAAAGACGTTTACAAGGCAAGGACCCACCACGGTATCTCAGTAGAATGGCATGCTTAAACCTCGGATAATAGCCAGGAGAAAGAACTTCACGTCCTTTACAACAACGCGTTAGTTTCGGCTCAGTGTTAAAGCACTTGAAGCTAACTAACACGGTTGATCAGCGGAGTGATGGGTCCACCCATCGACCAAGTAACAGCACAGGGCTACGATCTCCAATTTGGAGTACACGTTCTCGGTAAGATCTCTTTCTTCTGCGAAATCCCCATTCTCATTCTGTATCCAGGCCCATTTTCCCTCACCAAACTTCTCCTTCCAACGCTCATCGCCACAGCCAAAAGCAGCCCTGACGGCAAAGTGCGGGTCATAAACACTTCGTCCTCCCTTCACCTTCTAGGTAATCTCAACTACAACAAGCTAAAGGATGGCCCCGCCAGGCGAAAGTCATCAAGTCTGCTTCTTTACTGCCAGAGCAAATACGTTAGTAAAATTCCAAAAGTTTTACTTGGTAATATGAACATCCCCATTACAGGCAACCGTCATTCTATCGAGCGAACTAGCACGCAGATACGGAGATCAGAGGATTGTTTCTGTATGTCTGAACCCTGGGACTTTGCACTCCGACCTACAACGGCACTTGAATAAAGTGCAATATGCAATCCTGGTTAGTCGCTTTGCTTCTATTGAAGTCCTTCACCCCAAATGATGTACTGCAGAACCTCATTCTTTATCCAACACCGTTTGGCGCCCTAAGCGGACTCTGGGCGGGTACATCTGTTGACGGTGCAAATTTGAATGGCAAAGTAACGTGTTTTTCTTCCCAATGATTAGTCTATGACCCTAACTATCGTCAGTACGTCGTTCCGTGGGCACGCCTTGGTAGTCCCAGAGCGAATGCGCAGGCTCCAGCAACTGGCGAGAAACTTTGGGAATGGATGGAGGAGCAAATCCATTCCACGCTCACGGCGAAAGAGAGCTGAGACGTTAACGTTGTTGGAATCACCGTCGTTGCATTATCATTATAACATGCAAAGCTAACTTTCACCGTTGTTTAGACAATTGACCGTTTTGCCAAGACGATAACCGGACGAGTACTATTCAATTTGCTACTGTTCTACCATCCCTCGTGAAACGCGTCTCCTAAATGCTCCCATCCGCAACCTTAGAACTGCCACTATCAGAGCACAAGCTTGCTTGTTTTCCAACTTGAGTTTCAGGAACCACATTTTGGGTCACTGGTGTTGGAGTTCCACAGGTTCGCGTTGGAGAAGTGTCAGCGTCGCTAAGTTGATGCGATTCAACATGAATGAATATTTCAGGACGGCTGATCCCCCGCGAGTGGAAGACGTCGAGCTTCATTCACCAAGCAATTAATTCAATGCTAATATGCAAAGTCTAGTGGCAGCGACATACCGGCTTCATTAATCCAGAGGTGCTCGATTGGCTAAACCCCATCTCACTGGCAGCAATTGGAGGCGAACGAACACCGATGGCGAAACCATCTGAATCCATTGCGGCAAAGTCCCTGCTTGATGAGAAAAATCTCCAGCCAGCGCGCGCGTTCAGGCTACTCATCAGAGAGTTCGTGTAGAGTTTGCAGAGAGGAAAATTGAAGATAAGATGGCTTTGGGATAATTTTCTCAATTGGTGGGGAAGAGAGAGCGAGAGAAAGAAAGTACTCACGTTCCTGCAGGCTGTCAAGTATCAAGTCAGAGCATCCCACTCAATGGGATTCGGAAACTCACGTCGTGGAGAAAGAAGATCAAGTCTAATGTAGCCACAAGAGAGGTAATCAGGCCCGTTTGCACCGTCACTGCAAGGCCGTGAGTATGACGCGAATCTTCTGACATGTAACACTCACGCCGTATAATTCGATCAATCATGAGATCTGAGCTCTTGAAGCCTGTTTTGTGCTTCCTCTTCGTAAGAAATCAGGGACGCGTTCACGGTTGGCAAATCTTCAAATACTACTAACCCTGGAAGTATCACAGGTTTAGCTATAAATCAGCTAAAAGAATGTGAGTTTTTTTGACTCACAGATACCAAACCAAAATTGAGGTAATCAGAAGGTCACCAACGCTCTCTGCAGCTAGCCAAATAATGACCACGGCCTAGAATGTTAAACATCGTCACACATCGTTGAACAAGATATATAAACGAAAAACGCTTACTTTGAAGTGTCGAAAGTCGACGAAATTAGGAACTGTGCCAGTTTCATATGCGGTGACGATACCGGCTACTACGAACGACGAGGCCATTAAGGTGTAGTTGAGGTCTCTGTTTGAAATTTTTTACCTCCGCCCGAAATTGCGCAGATGAAGACAAGACCGACACATAGCCAGTTATGCGTAAGGACACGAATACGCCAGGCAAAGAAAAGCTGCACAACGCAGGCGATGATACCCTAGAAAATTTGATGGGTCAGTCGGTGATCAACTATAGTGATGTGCCATTAGATACCGTCAAGGCTGGGTCTGATACGTTTGAAAAAAATCAGATCATGACCATGTAGCAAAAAGCGTTGCTGACCTGTAGCAAACACTACTCGGCAGATAAAAAACGAGAAAGATTACGTTGTATGCTACCTAGAAGACACGCAACACTCACGCCAATCAGCTTTTGCCAGAAAAGCGCTATCACCTTCAGCAATATATGAGTCAAAAAACGAGATCGTACGTGTGAAAGAAACCCACCGAAATTGATGATCAACGATTTATAGAGGTACAGAAAGTCAAAAACCGTGTTAACGGTGTCGGCAACGAGCAGAAAGACAACCTGACAGTTATCAATGAGATTTTAGCATCAACCACAGATTTTTGGGACTCGCAAAATATTTCATCCATGTCCTGTCTCTTTCAATGGTACATCAATCGAAATGACGACGAGGGCGGAAGGGTGGATATACACACTTGTTGGACGACGTGAAGTATATGTACACCTGAGTGATCATAATGCCATAAAGGCAGGCGTTAAGCGTGAACCCGACGAGCATGGGTCCATGACTTCAGGTAGAAGACGTGAGGATAGGAGTAGTTCCTAGCCCAGCATCACTTACGCGACCTCTGCAACATTCTTCATTTCGTGATCGTTTCGTCCAATCGAACCGTGATGAAGGCAGCGACGAAGAGAGTGGGAAGAGTATTGGAAAAAGCACAACCACGAAAGGGGAGAAGTACAGTGTAGAACGGGTCCACTCTCGTTGAATGAGCCCAGCTTCTGTGAGCTATATATAAGCCTAGCTCGTCCTGGCCTGGGGGCGAAAGTAGATCGATCCAATGAATATCCCTAGGCTAAGAAGCGTTTTGCCGCTGTCGATCTATTAGTCCGACTCGAACGAACCTCCATGTTGACAAGCCAGAGGACGTTGACGAGTAAGTTGGCGGCGGGACCGTATTTTAGCACTGTCCAAGAATGCAAGGTTAGAGAGAACAGATAGGAGTTTGACGTGCTGTTGTACGATGACATTGGCAGAGGCGACGATCTCAGTGCGATAGCCAGCTTGTTGAACACATGGGGTCAGCCACCTAACCCAAATAACTCAAGACATGCTATCGAACGAGCTATATTGGTAGCCACTGTTCAGGACGCCGATTTGAGCCAAACCAGCAATCATGGAACCTCGAGGACGTCGTGATATCCGTCTCTGTAGTGTGTTGACCTTGAAGAAGTGGTCCTTGATTCGGAAAGTGACAATTATACATTTGCAATTCAACCACGAATTATCACACTAACAGTGACGTCTTGCCCTTCTTATTTTCTACTGTCATCAAGCGCCAACCTGAGCGATGGGAATGGTGCTCCCCAGCCCATCAGCATACTGAAATTCATCCGAATTTTCGTGCTGAAAGGCGAAGGAGGGTTTGAAGGGCGCGTGACAAGAGAACAAATTCGAAACGCACCTCCCACATATCAATTGCGACCTGACAACTCTCCCTGACGACCCTTGGAGCATCTTCTTTGGCCATCCATTCTTGAAGATGAGGAAGGACTTCCGGTGTGGCGATCCCGCCGAGCGCCTCGGCTGCTTCGTGGCGCACCATATCAGATTCTGTTGTATTTCTTAGGACGTCTAAAAGCGGGGGAACAGAATGTGACGACAAGAGCTGGCCGAAAACGAAGGCTATTTCATGTCTAAGATGTGGTTGATCTATCAGTCGTTCCAAAGCATAGAGCTTAGGTGAGTACATACTTGAAGAGAGCACTGTCATCTGAGAAACCAGAAGCAAGGGCGTCAACGGCGGCCGGGGTACCGATATTCCTTAGAGCGAACATGGCGCGATAGCGCTGGAATAAAGGTAAGGACTTATCTACGAGCTCCTTTTGTAGAGCAGAAACCCCATCTCCAGACACATCCTCTGGTTTTGGAGTCCCTTCGAGTAAGCCAGAGCTCGCGGGGGCGGGGTCAATTGAGGTATATAGACTTGTCGTAGTGTTCAGCTCAATAATATAGCAAAGGGATGGACAAGGACCCACGGTCTGGTTGATTCGTTCGAAAGTTGGTGATGTCTTTGACCCTCCTCTGAGTTGTCCCATTCGATTTTAGCGATTGCAATTTCGCATGTTTCCCGAACAGTTCTTTCGGGGTCGGAGAGGAATTGCTTGAGGATGGGGACAGATGACGAGGCAGAAATTGCGCCCATAGCCTCAGCTGCCTGGGTGAACGTCAGATCAAAATGATCTTGTCTGGTATCAGACAAAAACGCACCTCATGCCGTACCATTGGGTCCTCGGATGTATCCTTCAGAACGACCTCAAGGGTGGGGAGGGCCGATGTATTCTTCATCTGCCCAAGACAGTATGCTAGTTCATGCTTGAGCAAGGCTGATGGATCCTTAAAGCCTAAAAGAATTGATTGAAGTTGGACGCTCTGAGTGGACCACATACCTTTTGAGATTATGGCAACAGCATCATCGTTTTTGAGGGCTTTGAGTGTGAATAGAGCACGAAACCTGGTGTGCAGTGGAGCATCTTGGGAGGTGTTGAGGAGACAAGATTCAAGGTTTTTGAGTTCGTCAAGTGAGATGGCGGCGACCATGCTTATCTATGCGAAAGTGATTACTTGGCGGACTTCCAAAATTTATTAGTCTTCACCTGCACTTAAACCACCATGCCCAAGTCAAAACGCTCAAAAGTCGGCAAGTTGAATTTTTCTGTTCTCGATATCAATATATATGATCCAAAATTTCACCAGTGTCCTTAACAAAAGTTTCCAAAAAGACAAAGGAGCACAAAAATGCAATGATCAATGAGGTTCGTTCCAGCGGTTTATTATCATTGAGTTGCCTGACTGCATCGCCATAGCTTCAAACGAACGCAGAGAAATGGAGATATTGCTGGTTATTTGAAGTGGGAGCTATGCGGAACTCGCATCTCAAGACAGTGCGAAAACTATGGAAGGAGTACGAAAAAAAAATGCAACTCAGGAATTTTACGCATCTAATTCATCTTTAGCTCGGCCCGAATGTTCTTTGGTCGCGGGGCAGTAATGGCAAAGGCCCTTGGCACGACGTTGGAGGAGGAGCATCGTGTGGGCTTACACAAACTTGCCAAGGTATGGGCATAACCGATGAAAATACTGCCTTTAATAACAATCGGTTGCAGCAAATAAAAGGACAAGTGGGGCTGTTCTTCACGGACACAGAACCTCAAGAGGTCATAGAGTGGTTTGCTGACTTTCAGCAACCGGATTTCGCCCGTGCAGGCAATATCGCTAGCCGGACGGTAATCCTCCCTCTTGGACCTGTAATGCGACACCACTCTGATCCACCAGAGCCATTCCCTCACAACGAAGAACCCCAGCTACGAAAGCTGGGTCTCACCACATCGATGAACAGAGGAGTGCCTACCCTCACAGCACCTCACAAACTATGCACTCAGGGCAAGGTTTTGACGGCTGAACAAGCACAGCTGTTGAAGCTAATCGGCGAGAAAATGGTTGTCTTCCGAGTGGGTCTGATCGCACGGTGGGATTCAACAAGTGGGGAGGTGGAACAGATCGATAATCCGAGAATATCGTCAGATGAGAAGATGGGGGAGGAGACAGAAGAGGAGGGAGATGCTGCTACGAGTGAATAGAGAAGCTCATTAATATTGTATTCTATACTATACGAATGCTAGCTTTCATACCCTGTCTATGAAGTCTTTTAGACTTTGTTGACAAAGTTATTTATAACAAACACCTTCAACGTAGACGCTTGTGGCCGGAGCAGCCATGAGGTTCCCGTTCGCTTTATTGGGTCTTGCCACCCAAATACCCCTACAACCCCCCTCCCAACCCACGCCGCACACAATGACCACCCCAAACCAGCGGGATTTTGCGTTTAAAGAAGGACCGGACACGTTCTCGCCAAAGGATCTTGTTCGATCATCCTGCCTCTTCAAACCCCAAACAATCTTCTAATACTTGCTTGCAGGTTGGCTTAGGACGACCCGGCACTGCCGTTGCGAACGTTGCGGGCGATCTTGCGATAATTCCATTTAGCAAGTACTCCTTCGAGGAAAAGAAGTGAGTTCAACTCTGGTCCAACGCGTGACGACTGGCGCTAATTCGAAGACACTAAGAAATAAGCATTCCGTGTTCGTTGTAGCCTTGGAGTCACCCGACGTGAAGCCTTTCGAAATTCATGTACGTCTCTTAGACAATGTCGGGTTAACGAGACCACTCACTGTGCGACAGCTTGAGAAGACTGGCGACGTCTTCTGGATTGATTCCCGTACAATCGCCAACGTTGTCGCTGGAGACGAACATTCCGAAATTTACGCCGTCGAAATACAATACGATGTTGCCAGCATTGAAACCGTCGGCTCTTCCAAACTCATTGGCAAGCTTCCCACTACGACCGCGACCAATTTCCGCTTCAACGCCAAGTCCTCCCGTCTCGTATTCTCCGACAAAGTTTACGCAAATGGAAATTTATCGACGGTCAATGAGCAAGACAAGGCATGGGAGGAGCGGGGAAATACTGCATACGTGTATGATACAACTTATGTTCGTCACTGGGACACCTGGCAAGGATTGAAACGCCCGCAGCTCTTCAGCACCCGCTTGTCGCTAGACCCGGACCGCAACTGGCATCTTGGTGAACACTTCAACGCTCTTTTAAAGGACACAAAACACGTAAGGAAGTCCACTGGCATTCATTTTCAAACGCATTACTTACAGATAGGTCAGTATTCCCCAGTTGAACCATTTGGTGGCCTGGATGACTTCGATGTATCGGAGACATATATTGTGTACACCACAAAAGATCCTGAACTGCCAGAAGCGTGGCACACGAAGCAAAATGTTTGTTTCTGAGTTTGTTTCTGTATGGTTCCGACTTGACCTTACCTGCAGGTCTACATTGTCGATGTCGGGGGAAATTCACGGCCCAGAGAGCTCACCTCTGGTAAACAGGGCGCCACACACAGCCCAGTCTTCAACACGGCTGGAACCAAGGTCGCCTGGTTAGAAATGGACAAGGACGGATATGAGAGCGATAGGTACGTAAGTTCTGGTGATCAGTGCTACTAAGATTGATAGCGCCCTGCAGGTCGAAAATCGTTATCTACGATCTTGTGAAGGATGTGAGGTTTACTCTCACTCAGGATTGGGATCGCTCGCCCGACGCTCTGGCTGTAGGTGATCCTCTGATTCTTCCTTTGCATAACACTGACCCCAGTAGTTCAACAAAGATGACAATTTCATTTATTTCACAGCTGGTGACCATGCAAAAGTTAAAGTGTTTGCCCTCCCTGTGCCACCTACACCTCATCAATCTACGACGCACCCCATTTTGGATACCAAATACACCGCACCAGTGGGGCTCACCCACCACCATGCTGCTTCCGGTATCCAAACGCTGTTCAACAACCGGATCTTGTTCACGCAGTCATCCTTCACCTCCCCGAACGATGCTTTTATCATTGGAAACCTCGACCAAGTGGAAGCTGCTATTGCAGAAGGCAATACCGCTGCTACTGCTGGAATCAAACCTGACAGGCTCACGCATTTTGCGAAAGAAGCGTTAGAAGGGAAGGACCTAAGCGAGGGTGAAGAAATCTGGTTCAAAGGCGCTCTTGGCAAGGATGTGCAAGCGTGGATATTGAAACCAAAGGGGTGGAAGGCTGGCGAAAGGAAGAAGTGGCCCGTCGTTTTTGTGATTCACGGAGGTTTGCTCTTGCGGTTTACATATTCCTCAGACTCGGATCTAATTTCTCGCTGTACGTGAAGGGCCTCAAAGTGCCTGGGAAGACCAATGGTCTAATCGCTGGAACCCAAATGGTATGTAGAACTGCAAACACGACTCAAGCTCCCAGGTGATCCCGGACAGTTTTTGCTCAACAGGGATACTTCGTCATTTTGCCCAATCCAACTGGTAGCACTACGTTTGGCCAGGGCAAGCCTTCTGTGTTTCTTCTCGTCAGCGTTGTTCTGAATGATCTTTAGAATTCACGGATGGTATTGCGGAGGACTGGGGAGGCAAACCCTTCGTTGACATGATTGCTGGCTGGAAGTATGCACTTGAGAAGTTCCCTGAGGTTTTTTTTTTTTTCAATTTGTGTATGAAGGAATTATTTTTATCTCTTACTAGATCGATCCAGACCGGGCTGTTGCTGCTGGCGCAAGCTGGGGTGGATATGCTATCAAGTACTTTTCTTACGTCAGACATCGCCTGTTGCGCCCTGACGTTCATTTGCAGCTGGATCCAAGGTCATCCTGAATTTGGTTTTGGCTTCAAGGTGAAGATGGCCGTTGGCTCTCTCTTGTATGCACTTTGACCTTTCGTTAGGCTCTCGTTTGTCACGATGGCGTAAACTTTTTTGCTCTTCTTCGTGTCTACGATTAGCCTAAACCACTGGATTAGGTTTTCGACTCCAACTACAATGGGTACTCCACTGACGAGCTGTTCTTCGTACGTTTTCAGTAGCCGGTCTAGTTTTCCGTCACTTAGGTTTTGTTACAGTTCAACCACGAATGGGGAGGAAGGTCGGTTCTGGGTGATAGTCTACGGGTTCAAGCACAACTAAACAAAACTGTAGGCCATGGGAACCAAAAAGCAAGAAGCTTTCAGAACTGTAGGTTTTTTTCGAGCTGACTGAATGGCCATCCTACGGCCGATCTGATGATGTTCTTAGGTATAGCCCGGCGAACTACGTCAACAAATGGTCGACACCGCAACTCCTCATCCATGGGAGCAAGGATTATCGTTTACCAGAAACAGAGAGTATTGGCGCATACCATGCTTTGAAACAGTTCGTTTGGCCATTTCATGTGATAATAACTTGATACCAAGGTCTGTCTCTCCGTAGGTTGGGAGTTCCAAGTAGACTTGTCATCTTCCCTGATGAGAATCATTGGGTGCTCAACCACGGAAACAGGTTAGTAATCGTATCTCATAGGTGCTAAGACTGAACTAACATGTATGAAATTTAAGCCTCAAATGGCATTACGAAGTTTTTCGATGGTTCGACCAATTCGTTGGTGACCATCTTGAGACGGCATAGACCGTTTTCTCGAGTTTATAACATGTCCTATTAGTGGAAACCATCAACCTGGAGAAATCGTCTTGGATTCAGTTGTGCACGCCTAGAGACTCAACTTTTTCCTCTGCTCCCCGGAGGACGTTCAACACTCTCTTGGGGGGCTTGTGGTAAATTCAAATTCAAATTCGACGTCAACACAGCACAACCACATATGAGTGTCCTCGATATCCCACTACTTACTACTTAAGTATGCACGTCTGTCTGCAAAAAATGCAGTCAAAGAAATATCTGGACAACCAAGATATTCTCTGATTTCTTTTGGTCTCTGGGTCAGGCTTGAGTCTTCTGCTCAATAAGTCCTGGAGGTGTGTAGTCCGTGCCAGTGCCTCAAACAATTGAGTGTATACTGGCATGCCAAGTATTACATGAGTACGCTTCCTTGACACAAGCGACACATTTCGAGAAGACCTGTTCTTCTCGAAACAACATTCGAGCCTTCCAAATTTAATACCCAGCGTTTCTCTCTAGAAAAATGCCAAATCAGTATCCTCGTGAGTCATAAAAAGCCAAAAATACAATCCGCATAGCCAGCAAATAGATGGATCCCTCGAGGGCGCTTAATGTTGCCTGAGTTAAAGCCCCGACAAGAACGAGAATCATGAAGCTTGAGCGGGAAAGCCGGGATGATACAAACATTATTCCTCTATGTGTCGGGAAAACGCTGTCATTTCCCCCCTCAAGCGCCAGGACCCATCGTTTATAGTCGGAAAAGCAACAGAGCAACATTTTTTGGAAAATGGGGGGAGGTCGAAGGGCATTATGAATTCAAGCGGATAGAGACCAAGCCGCCACCCTCAATGTGTTGGGATGGGGCTGTCATCCCCCTGGATCCACGAAATAATACACCTTCAAATCTGGGTAAGACCGTTGGGTGAATTTCATGGACGCTAGCTCAAAAAGCGGCATTGAGGACCCATGAAAAAAGGCAGTGGAGTCACTGGAGTGGAGGGATGAAATTTTCATAAAGTTTCTGTTACCCTATCCTTATATATGCCCGCATACGCATGGGCCATTGGGCCTGGCGAGCATGAGCGCTTTGCGATTATATCAGGTTTTTACATCATACACAAATAGCTACCATCATCATGGAATCCGAAACAGAAAATCTTCCGATGCCTAGTACTGTGATCACATTTTCGTTTGGTAAGGAGGCTCAGCGCTCATTACAGTTGCTCTAACTTTTCGGCACCAATCTCTCATGAAAGTACCTCGGTCTTGGCCGGACTTGTGATCTAACAGTGTCAATCTGGCCAGACCGCGTGTTTCACAGCAGTTTACAGCTTGTCATTGCGGCAAGAATATCAGGTAATATCAAGGCTCATATGTCCGATGCAATCGTGCTCTAGGTCCACAAAGAAAAGTGTCCCACATCTGATTAGCGCTCTGGACGATTAAAGGGGAAAGAATGAAATCAGAAACGCCCATAGCCTCTTTTTACCGCAATCAAGCGCCCAAAGTAGTCGAAAACGTGCATTTTTTTCGCATCGGTAACTCGCATGATACCCAGACCCATTCTACACAAATCCCCCAACATTCCACCCCAGAATTGTGCCCCAACACCGCCACATACGCTCAACAACCCGCATCTTCGCATCTCGTCCAAGTTCTGGGTCTTCAAGATCCGCAACATCCTCCAAGAATGCTTCTCTGACGGGGAGCCTTCCCCGAGTAAAGTAACCTGACGAGGAGGAAGAGCCCGGTAGATAACGCTCTCCATACGTCCGCAAACGGGTCACGGACAAAAGCAAGAGGCCGGTGGGCAGTGATGGTAGGGGTGTCGTGGGCTGCGTGATGAGCAAACGTTCGATCCGCCTGTCAAGGAGATTCCACATCAGAGTTCTGGTGGGTATTTAACAAGGATTGAGATAATACCTCATAACGTTCCACACCTCTCTTCTACGTCGAGAACCGCCGTACCTTCCACGGCCGCCGATGCCACCCAACAGTCCCCCAAGCAGCCCAACCACAAGGTACACAATGGCGAATGCAGGCGCGACACCCACAAATGCAAAGGTTAGCTCCTGAGACTTGAGAAGCCTATCAATGCCAGAAAGCGCTTGATCGATGTCCACCTGTGAGCGTACAATCAGAGAAAGAGGGTGAAAAGGCCGTAGTGCAACAAACCTTGGCTTTCTGAATTTGGATGAACAAGCCCCTCAATAAAGAACCCATCATGGCTGATTTGAGGGGATGCCTGATGTCTTCCTCATATATCTCCATGATGGGAGTTAAATCGCCAACCCTTATCTTTTGAGCGAGTGCATCAAGTTGTTGTGAATCATATCGCAACTCGTCGCGAGCAAGCGAAAGCGTCATGCGTTCCAACGACTATGGGTAATCTAAACATCAGCAAAAGCAAGAAACGAAGGGAACGCAAAAGAAAGATACCTCCAAGTCTGCGATCACCCCCTCCTTGCTGACGATCACGCCAGCCTCTCCTTCCGCCCCGCCAGCTCTGACGGTTTTCAAGACTTCTTTGAGCGGTTCGACGAGCCACCCCTTCACAAAACCTTCCACCGTGTCTCTCGCATCTTTGAGCATATCAAAAAGCGTCACACGCGACGCGTACCCAAAGCGCAAAGCGTACAGGGCAAGCGGAGGAAGAAACAACAATTTAGGCCAGAGTAGGGTAATCCGCGAAGGCCGTAGGAGATGCTGTGACTTCAGATAATCGACATGAGTGGGACCAAGGGAGGGCAAGGATATTTGTGAAAGATATTGGATTGCTCCGAAGGTATCATCAAGAGCTGTGGAAGTCACAGTTTCTGGTGTAACGACACTGTTCAACAACTCCAGAAAACCTAAGAATGAGAACGGTTCTTGGTGGCTGTTATTAGGGCTCGGAGTACCAATGAGAGCAGCGAGAGGTCCGCGAAGCTGAGCGAGCCTTCCAAGCGCATCTGCACGCTCGTCTCTAATTTTCTCGAGCTCCTTTCTATTGTATCTACATTCCTGTTGCGCAAGGAAAGTAGGTAGTGTGACGTATGAGAGGGCTTTCTTTATTGCGGATGAAGCTTCGGTTTTCGGAGAGAGGATAAATGCAGAAGAGGTAATGGAGAGTGGTTGGGGAAAGAAAGTAGTCACAAGGGCCGAAGGGTGCAGTGAATTTGGACTTGGAAAGAGTTTGCGCAAGGACGCAGGGGATAGAGTTGATAATTGCAACGGCAAGTCTTTGGCTTGAACGGTTTGAACGATGATGCGTGCAACATTCAGAAGGCGACCTGGTAAAGCTAGTCGTCCCGATTTATCAACGAACATCTTTTCGACATCAGTTAAGTGAGAAAACAAACTTTGCAAAAGATACCAAGTGACATTGAGTCGAGAGCGCTCAATATCAGCCCACCATTCAGCCTCCGCCTCGACTTCCGTCGCCTGTGTCAAATACGTATCTAGGGCTTCCGCATAGACAGCCACGACAAGCTTAGTAACAATAGCATGCTTCAGTGCCTCCTCTTCCGGATCGTCTGCATTCAAGAGGGTAGGTGTATCAAGACTTCTGAGAGAGGTGACCGTGTTGGCAACCACGGAAGAGGTGATAGTTTGAGTGTCATTTAGCGAGACGAGCAAAGAATGCAATGCATGTTTTTTTGAGGAGTCTGCGCTAGACAACGCGTCTGTGTTAGATTCTCCGGGTAATGGGAACGGTGGTTTGAAAACGAAGGAGTGGATGAGTGGTTTCGTGAACTGGCAAACGAATTGAGAGGGCATTGGTTGTCCACGAAAAGTAACGGTCGCGTGACCTCAATATTGTAATTTGTCACAGGGTCACCTAGCCAAACAACGCGTACCCCTCACCGATCAAACGAAATACAAGTTGAAACTTGGTTGAAACTGGTCAATCCTCTGTGGATAAAATTCTGGTATTACGGTAACCTTCTTCCAAGGAAAACGTTATTGTGGCTGAAACTCATCCCACAACCATTAAATAATAGAAGCTTGAGCTTGAACGCCAGTGACGTGAAAGCTCTTTTACAGCTCTTTCATTTCATATGACGGGCTGTTAAATTTCATATCTCCCTGCTTCCAGACTCCATGCAAGCAGCCAAATTTCAATTGGTTCATTCCATCCAGGGTAAATAGCTCACCACCTTGCTTCCACACTCCATGCAAGCTGCCCAGATTTAATTTGTTCATTCAATCCAGGGTAACCGGCTCTCCACCTTGCTTCCAGACAGGACCCCGGGCAATAGCAGAAAAGGCCTGATCCCGAAAATTGGGTTTTTGTCCGGACGCCTCTGCACCAAATTTGTCCGGACTGGACCTGGCCTACCACCCCAATCTCAAAAATTAGTCCGGACGGCCAGATCAGGGTAAATTTTTCTCTACAAATGTCCCACAATTATGCCCAAATACCGGCTGGGAGGTTTTTTTTTTGACATCTCGTCGATTTTGTCCGGACTCTGGCTCTGGGCAGTTTCGAATTTTGTCACTTTTTGTCCGGATTGGCCCCCAGCTGTAGGGCCTAAAATCCACATTTTTTGTCCGGATCGGGACCAGGGCTTTCCTGCTATTGCCCGGGGTCCTTTCCAGACTCTATGCAAGCAGCCAAGATCAAATTCGTTCCATCCATCCAGGGTAACTAGCTCTACAACTTGGCCTTATTAGAAACAGGACAACTCCCCGAGGCGCCAACAACCCGCGTCAAACCGCCAATGATCTCTGCCACCTGTTTCTCAAGCCTCTCTAACAGCTCCTTACATGTTGGTATATCATCGATCAAGCCCACAGCTATCCCAGCTGACCAGATCCCATAATCTGGGTCACCAAGTTCATATACCTTCCTTCCACGAGCGCCAGACACCAGGTCCTTGACGTCCTCAAATTTGGCTCCTCCGGGCCGACGCTCGATAGCAACAACTTCCATGGCTACCTTGTTCTTGAAGACGCGGGCAGTGTTGTGTAGGGTGCGGAAAATGTGCACGGTGTCGCGCTCAGTGGATGCTACAATTTTTTCTTTGATGTTTTGGTGGATTGGACTTCAAAAAAATGTAATTCAGTATAACGATAGGATATTACCATATGAGGATATTTGCCTTTCAACGGTACACATGAAACGCGTGCCTTGATGCAGAGTTGTTAAAAAAAGGCGCTATCAAAGTTGTAAAATGGAAGATAACTTACCCATATTGACGCCCTAAAGATCCGACGTTGAGTTATGATTCACAAATAGAAGAAGATGTACACTTACAGCAGCGCCTAATGCCAAAGCCGCAGCAAATCCTCGAGCGTCAGCGATACCTCCTGACGCAATGAATGGAACCTTGAGTTCTTTGGCAGCACGGGCCATCTACGCGCTACTTCAGCGCCACTCCTAGTGATTGAGATCCTGCCGACGTACTAGTACCAAGCCACCAATATCATCCTCTCCCGGGTGGCCAGCACCTATTTCAAGCTAGGAGTCAGTTCTGGCCAGCACAACAATTTGTGGACGTACATTCCAACCCGTCGATGCTGATAACATCAACCCCCAATCTCTCCGCGCTCTGATAAAGCTAATAAGAAACAAAGTACCGACACAAAAATGTAAGCAACGAACCTTGGCGTGTCTAATAGCAGTGCACTTGTGCAACACAATACACCCATTACTCTTGAAATATTTAATCAAAGCACCCGCTTCGCTCAACCACATCAGCTGCCTATTCCCCTCGAAGCAAAAACACAAAAATACATACGATTATTTCCAGCCGTCTCAAATATCCTCACACCCTCCTCAACCGCCGCCCTAGCATACCCTTCGTAGTCCGGGGGATTGATGCTGGGGAGGAGGGTGATGTTCACGCCAAATGGTTTTGAGGTTAGTGTTCGGGTTTCACGAATGGCAGCGCGCAGCGCTTCGGGAGATGGTTGGGTCAATGCGGTGAGTACGCCTGCAGTACATGGTGAGCTCAAGTCTCAAGATAGGTGTGGGTCCAGAAGGGAGTGCACACCGAGGCCACCAGCTTCGGATACGGCTGCTACAAGTCTTGGGACGCCGACCCTAAGAAAAGTGGATTAGTCGATAAAAGCTAATGCGCGTTGTGCTGGTACCATTGCATTCCACCTTGTACCGCGGGTCTAAAGGAGAAGAACAGCGCTGAGCAAACCGCGCGTGAAAGGGGGAAAGAAGACAAACGCACATACGAATCCCGAGCAACTTTGTGAGGGGAGTTGTCAACATCTTTGGGTAATTCTTAGGGAGAGACTAGAGTTCGTGAGCGCTGTTTAATGGTATCAAGCGGGGTAGCATGAGCAGCTGAAAATTGGCTCATTTCCGGCATATCGTAACAACCGAGCTTACATAATACACTTCTTTAGAGTCCGTTTCTTATGCAGTCTCTGTCCCTTCAAGTTCTTCTTCTCCGTCCAGTTTATCCAACCACTTTTCAACGAACTTCGAATGAGCACCATAGTTCATCGTCGCGTCCAGCGCATCTCTGTTTACCATTTCAGTCAACCTCGTTCATGATTTGAACGAACACAAACCTGACTACCCCCTTCTTATCAACGATGAACGTCACACGCGCAACCGCAACGAACCCGTACATGCCCTTGGGGATTCCATACGTCTTGAACACTTCCTTGTCGACATCACTCAGTACTGGGTACTATCATCAAAGTCAGAATGCCAATATATCAGATTGCCGGGATCTCACCGTTAACCGTTCCTTCTCAACAAATGCTTTCTGTTTCTCAACAGGATCGGGACTGATACCGATGATTTGCACTTTTCCAGGCTTAAAAGTATCTTTCTCTGATCAGACGTCAGAATAGATCGTTGTCCGTGTAGTAGGCTGTACCAACCAGCTATAGCATCGCGGAACTGGCATGCTTGTCGTGTGCACCCCATTGAGCCTGTTTTCAACGTCGATCGCGTGAATCTCAAACTACGGCTCATAGACGGTACCTGATTCTGGGTAAAAGAAGAGCGCAGTGGGCAACCCCGTAGCGCCTGGGGTGAAGGTGTAATCTTCCCCATCGTAATTCTTCAGTGTAATCGGGGGCGCAGGCTTGCCAATGAGGGACTGGTAGGACATGGTGATGTGGGTCCAATTAGATGGGTTTGGAAGGAATCAGGTATTTATATGTTTTGACGTACGTCACTGTGCTAGAAGACCACTGGCCTCGGCCCTCGTGACACTCGTGAATAGAGATTGTTTCGTCGTGACCTTGGTACCATGCCTGTTGCATTTTACGGTAGAACCTCATGAAAGAATGCAGCACAATCCGACACAGAGAGAGAAATGTTTTAATGAGCATGCGGCATACCATGAAGATTAAAAAACATGCTGGGGGATCATACGTGAGCGACGATGGTAGATAGCAGGCGTCGGCCCAGGTGATGGGTGTAGTGGATTGCGCACAACGTCGTGACACATCTACTCCTCTTCCTCCTCCTCTTCACCTTCCTCCTCCTCCTCTTCGTCAGATTCCTCCTCCTTGGCCGCCTCGACCACAGCAGTAGCAATTCGGTCCAAATCCCGTTGCCCATCCTGAGAGATCTTACGGCCCCCATTGTCTGATTTTTCTAGCACGCCAATCTTCTCCAATGATTGGCAAATCTTTCGCTGCACGGATGCGGAGGAGTCGGCGTGGTGTGAAGGACGATTGCCGCGCCTGTTGCGGCCGCCGTGGAGTTTTGTCAAAGCGCCGATACCGACCTCTTTGCGGAGGTATATGTGCCGTGCGACAGCAGCTGTTTGGAATGATTGGAATGATTATATTTCAAGTAAAAGATAAAAGAAGACGGACCTGCGCGAACATAGTACCAGTCAGGATCATAAGGAGCAAGTTCCTTGAAAGAGCCAGTCTTTACGAGATCAACCCATGTTGGTACCTCGAGTTTTCCAGAACGCTTTAGATGTGAAGCGTATGCGGTGATGAAGGCGTCCGCGCTGAAATGAAGCGTCAGCTTTGAATATTGACGAAAGTATTGCAACGGCAGCATCTAACCCAATATCTCGTACTCCCGGCATGTTGGATTTTGATTTCTTGAGGAGGGGCGGGCGTTGACGTTGACGTTGACGACGACTTTGTGTGGATCACTTTTGGTGGCGGACGGCATTTCCCGAGAACTGTACAGCACATTCAGACGGAGATGCTGATTAGTCAGCAGCGAACCTCTTCCCTCGAATGCCAGTGATGGGTTTCCTGAAATTGCTCATAATTGCTTTTGAACAGCATGCATAGCCAGCAGATAGTTCGAAGCTGTACCAGACTTCGAGCTCGTCGAGGCTGGTACTTAGAGGTTATACGAGGCGTTCATGCAGGTGCCTTGTAATTTCCTTGCAATTTCCTGTTTTGTAATATTTCTTGTCCAGCCCAGCTCTCCCACGATTCCGTCCCGCCATTTATACATACGGTCGCTCCCATCGCTGCTCCCATCGTCGATAACATGCCACTCTCAACTATCGATGTCTTGCCTCCGGAGTTATTCATCCAGATATTCACTTATTGTGTCTCCAACGATGCACTCGCACCCTTGAACCTCCGGGCTGTCTCTACTACATGGAAAGATACCGTCGACAATTCACCTGCCGTCTGGCAACTCATCTCTCTCGATAGTGATGCTCGTTCACCACTTTGTTCTCGCCATCAAGCAGAGTTCTGGGTAAACAGGTCCCAGCCCCTACCCGTCGACGTAGAAATCAGCGCACACGATCTCGACCTCTTCCTTCCCCTCATCTCTCCCCTTCTTCCCTCGATAGACCGTTGGCGGACGTTCAGTCTCACAGGAAGACGAGAGGAGTATGTTAACATGGAAGACCTTGATCTACCCCCAGACTCTCTCAAGCGTCTCCATGTCTTCTTACACGATCACGATTTCGATGACCTTGATGAAGAAGTGATGTCCCCCCCAAAGATCACATTCACCCGCACCTACCCAATGTGGCCGGAACCATTCACCATGAACATCTGGCTCTCCAAACTCCCCTGCCCACTCCTACTAGCTCCCCTCCGATTCACGCATGTCACTATATCCGAGGGACCAGCAGTCGGAATACAAACCCATCCGCAGCCCGTCCTCGAGTTCCTCACCGCCTGCCCCGAACTCGAATTCTTCTGCTTCTACGGCTGGCCGCACGACGATCAGCCGCCCCCAGAGCACCTCCCAGTAGTCCACCTCCCGAACCTCCGCACACTCCGCCTAAAGAGCACCTGCTCAGCCCGTGCCCTCCTCTCCTCACTCAACACACCCCGACTGCGGAACCTCTACCTCGCGCACCTGAACGTCGATTTCATGCTGCAGCAGGCAGAGCACCGCGAAGCCGGGGACAGCGACGACGACGCGCGGGATTACTCCCAGTCTCCATGGAGCGACCACGCAACGGGCATGGGGCTACGCAAGCTCATCAACCAATGTAATCCCCCCATCCGAATCCTCGAGATGGATTTCAGCGACATGCGGACGAAGGATTTCCGGTATGTGTTTGATCGGCTGAAGGACTTGGAGGAGTTTAGGATCGTCGCGTCGGATATGTCGGATAAGGTTATTGCCTTGTTCAAGCCGGTGTTCAGTGTAGACGGTACGACCTTGATCAGGTTACCCAGATTGAGGCATCTGGAGCTGTATAACTGTCCCCGCCTCACGGGGGACGCCGTCGTCAACTCTCTGGAGCCTCGCGTGGTATATACTGATGCTCGAAATACGGATGGCAAGTTCATGGAAGTGGCGGTTGTGGGTTGTGAGGGCTTCACGCTTTGGCATGAACATTTGCTGTCGGAATCTTTGGGCAAGCGATTGCGGACACATGATTGATCGTTTGCTTTCATTTATTCATTTGTATTACTTTCTTATACTGTACTAATGTTTTGAGGATGTACACCATGTAATGAACTGGATATACTCTGGTGGAGCGAATCAGATTTACCTCTAGACCGCCACAAAGGATGGACGACAGAACTGAACGTTGTACATCTTGACGGAAAGGGGACCTTGGTTTCCAAGCTGAAACTATGGAGATGTTCCACGTCCTTATGACAGTTTTAACGGACGCCCGACTTGAGATAACGACATGACGCCCTCCGAATGTAACGCGATGTCTGACTTGCATGGCACAAAGATGCTGGATGCGCCAGAGAGGTTAACAACGCCTTGGATGCCGTCGTCGAGGAACCTAAGGGGGAGGGAACAAACCCATGACATGGTAATGGCCGTCAACCTTGTAGAGTACGCTATGGTACCGAAATGAGCGAGGCTAAGCATTTGAATCCCCGCAGTCCCGCAGAGGCGAAACGTAGCCCGGACTGGTTGTTTTGGCAGAGGGCGATCCTCGGGGAATTGAGGACGTTGGTACATGGGACCTTGCGGACCTTCCTGCTGGTGCTAACCTAGTTGGGTCAAAGTGGATTTTTCGGGTGAAGAAATATGCAGCCAGACAGGTCGTACGTTTGGCTGCTCAAGGTTGCTTTGAAATAGAAAACAAGTGAAACTCCAAGCCAAGTAAACTGTAAGTAAACGCGTTCACCCACTCACCGATGATCGTGCGCGCGCGCCCATTTACGAGATGACGGCACTTTCATGAAGTCTCTCAGATTTTTTTTTGTGCACTGCAAATTTCTCGTCATTGTAGCTTGATAATGTCGTCCCAAACAACAAGGTAAGCAGTAAGTACCTCATGAGAAAGTTGAATGATTAATAACTATGTCGCATGCGCGCCCATGTCATAACGTTGTCCAAGGGGGCGGGTGTTTTGAGATTACGATATTAGCGATTTAGATCAAGATTTCTGAAACCTCCAGCGCTCCCATGCTCACCGCATCAGTGCCTACGTCGCACAGCAGCCGCGCAACTCCATGAGTTATGCTGGGGAACAAAGCAAAATTACTCAACCGACGAAGGGCGGTTCACAAAGCGGGAGGAAACACCTCCGTGCAATTGATTCGAGTTGGTGTCTGGAGGTCTCCTTTCCTCTGGGAATCGGTCCAAGATTGTGTCCATGTCGTAAATCGCTAGATTGAACAGAAAAAATGAAAATACTCCCTCGACACAGGCCAGTGAAGATCCCCAATGCACATATATAGATACGCTTGTCCGTTAAAAGCACCGCCTTTCGGTGCCATTCGATGCGAGTGTGAGGCACAAATGAGTGCGGTATCCCTCCCGTCCTCAATAGTGCCTGGTCAGTGACCCGCGCAACCCGGAAGACAGAAAAACCAACGGCAAAATATATATTTCAGAACTTCGACGAAAGAAAGTCTTCCATTAGGGTAGCCCAAGGAAGCAAGCGTCTCCGCAAGGTGGTGAGAATTACAAACGGTCCTAACGGATCGTTTGTTTTGACTGAAATGTCACGGGATACAGAGGCGCTAGACGCAAAACATACATTCTGGAAACATTGGCAAGTTTGACATCTTCCATTCCTCAGGGCGTTAAGAATAGGTCATTTGCTGTCACTTGGCGATAACAAGTTGCACAAGTCCGCCAATTTGCAGTCTGGGCAGTGGAAGGCAGTGGACCATTTTGGCTTGATTGACTTCGACGCTCTCTCATGAGCTGAAGGCTTCGATTTGATGAGAGCGATCAGCGATCACCAACATCCACGAGCGCCTGACCCTAAAGAAGGCTTTGCGAGGAATGCTTGGTGGTGAGTGCTTGGATTGGGTAAATACAATTGAATGCATACCGAGGCAGGTGGCTGGTTTTCAGAATTAGATGGCCAGGAGTAGACGAAAGATTGCTCGATAGCAGTCCTTCGTTGACTCTGAGGGGTTGATGTGGAATGCCAATATGCATTTGGGATTAAACGCGCTTGCTGAAGGCTCGCAGCCATATTGAGATTACCTCGGAGATAGGAACGATACAGCATCCGATTCGGAGTGGGATCATGGGGCACAAGTACTCGTACTCATTGTACTCGCCTCGACTGTCGAATGGCCAGGATGTGAAAGTGGGAGAAAGGCTCATTGATGTATTTAAGCAATTTGGCTCGCAATGTTATGGTGGGGTATAAGTCGAGGGATGGATCGGATATCGCCGACAGCTTGACTTGTTCGGTTCGGTGTCAGGAAAGGTTGCCGTGCTGCTTCCGGTGCAGGTTATCTTGTTGTACTTCTATCATTCATCCATGCTCTTTCTCGCTCTTACTGTCACCCACCCATCCATTCCATCCCCTTCCCACTCTCTGGTCTCGCAAAATGGCCGCCCACCCCAAGAAACCGAACATTCAGACCCAACCAAGGACGTATCAGGTCTCCATAAAATCCGTCCTCTCTTTTCCTGTAAGTTTTCAACCATTGTCGAAGGACAAGTTCATCGACTCTTTCGTTTGCCGCGTCAGATTCGAATGTGCAACCCACCGCCCGCAGTGGGAAAGGTCAGGTCATGTGGTGGTACGCATGTCCAGATTTTCCTACACGTTTTTACCTCACTGCCATTTCAGTGACGCCATTGTTTGACGTTCGTTTGGAAGATGTATTGGATAGAAAACATCTGCCACCGCTAGGTTTGTAATTAAATTATTCTTACTGTGCAAACTATGACCTCATCGTGCTTTTAGGATTGAAGGACTTCGAGGTCTGTCGGGCTCAAAGATTTTTTTTTGGGAAGTGTTCCCTAAATCTCTCCTAGGAATGGCTTCTGTTCGTGGAAATGAGTCCAGAAAACCTGTGAGCCGCTGTTTCGAGTCTGAATTTCATTCTGGTGCTCACTGTCATGTTAGCTACTTCACCCTCTGGCTCAGAGAGTATAAACTGCGGTACAACCAATGGGCTGCACAAACACGATTTCATCGAGAAGCCTCCAGTGAATTTCGGACGAACTGGTCATCTCATAATTCTTCGCAGTTGGCGATGTTCTATGCAAGAGCGAAACAGACATTTCTTACCCCAAACTCTGATTATGAACTCAACCTTCCTTCCAGCATTCTTGCGCCATTTCATACCTCTATGGAATCACCACACCCCGATCCTGCCATTTTTACTGATGTAGATGCTGAGGTATACCAGCTACTAGATGATAGCCTCCGACGATTCGTCCACGCGCAGTTCAACAATGTCGGAAACCACCGCGTACTCTGTGGTATTGTCGCCGGCTTTCTTTTCTGTCTCATTGGATCAATACCGTCCATAACTCTGAACCTGGTTCGTGAACAATCACGGTGGATGCGTCTAACAGCCTTCCCGGGTTTATTCATTGGCCTGACGATTGCCCTTTCCGCATTGAATGGTATCTGTCTCGGAGTATACATGTTTGGTGACCTTCGACAATTGAGGAAATTCGAACTTTCCCGTCCACCAATATCTAAACCCCAACCTCTGCCGGCTTTTAAGCGTCGATCTCTGAGCTCACAGCGATCACCACAGCAAATTAACCCCGTCCTTCCAGTCCAGCATCCCCGTAAATCCTCTCAGCCCCATTGTCGACCAAACAATTTATCGCGCCCCGCTTCCTCATCGTCCCTAGGCTCCCAGTCCAGTCCCTCTTCATCAGGTTCAGTTTACATTAACGCAGACCTGGTTATTCACATTTCGCCGGAGTACTATGATACGGACCCCGTAGATGGACCTGCGACCACCCCCCCTGGTCCAGACGCCCCAAACTATACCTTTCCAGAAAAATCGGTACATTACGACGAGAACGCCAGCCCCACCGATTCCGATTTTACAGCTACTGCCACATTCATTCATCAATATGATTATGACGACGACAACGACGACCCTGATCTCGAAATGGGGCTTGAACGCTTACCTGAACGACACCAACCCATCTCCCCTTTCGACTTTGATGCTCTTCCTCCTCGGACACCCAACGGCGACCCTACCCGTCTCTCTACACAATATGAGAGGGATTGCTGTACTCCAACACCCACAATTCCGCCTCCCGAAGCCTCCCCCAGCCTCATGGCCCGCATCCAATCCCGCTGCGACATCAAGAGATGGCGACTTCAGACAGGCTTCCTAGAGCCTGATCAAACTTCTTCATTTGCGTCATCAGATACCGCGAACCCTTATAATTCTCACATCCACACCTCTAAACATAAACTTCGACTACCACAACCCCACAGTTCCAGCTCCGAACAAAAGATCCTCCCGCCCAAAGAGGAGAGAGTTCGAAAAAGGTTCAGATTAATTCAAGCCGTGCCCGCCTTTGCCGTTCCTCTCACTCGAGTGCTGAGCCCTGTAATTGTTCGTGGGCAGTGGGAAATCGTCGTACGATCAGCAGCTATTGCCTTCCTGATCAGTTGGGTGTTAGTGGGGATATTCTTGGCCATTCCCATACCAGCGTCATCGTGATTCGGAACTGAGCCTCCGTGATCTGCAGCGTTAGGTCTGGTGACCGCCATCCTTGCTTGCACACCCTTTTGGAGAAAGCGTACTCGCCATTCTTCAATTATCATTATTATCGACCTTGCACTCCTTTTAACATGTGTTAGCAATATTGTACTTGATCATCGAGCTGGACTTACATCTCAACACATTCATTCCTTGTACCTTACTTAGTATGTATGTAGCTCATTTTTTCTTGACGGTCAAATTATTCGACTAGCGTATACCATGGCAACTACTTCTTACTCGTGTACGGTACTTCGGGTAGTAGTCCCACTTTCACGCATGCATTCGTTGTGTTGTATTCAAGTCCATTGTTGACATGTTCGATAAGATTTCATTTTTCAGCTGATCACAGCCAAGGAGCCAGGCTCCCGAGACGACCCTGCAAGCCTGGTGTGTATTTGTTTGATCGACGCAAAGTTTAGACAGCATACATAGCAGATTGGCCATAATGACGACAGAATCTGGGCTCCATAAAACCAAATCTTGGGCAACACCACGAGCCAAAGTCAACGTTAGATTGTCGCTAATCGCAGGGAATCACGCCAAGACCATGTGATGAAATACCCAGCTAGTTAAAGAGGAACATAGCTTCCTAGTACTGCGAGCCTCGAGGGTGCTATCATCCCGGGATCCCGCTAAGAAATAGTTGAACGCCAAAAGCGCACTCAGGGTCCAGAGAGCCTTACGGCAACAACGCGTTATCGACGTTGCTTGCAGATAATCAGAATTTCAAATCCATGACTTCGAAAGATGCAGATGGTATAGAAAAGTTTGCGGAGGGCCAAACGAAGTCTTTTCATCACCCCTTTCCTGCGTTCATGTCCGATTGTGGGAGAGCTGACATAGAAGACTGTCAATCTTCTTCGCGGGACTACTCCGATCTTGAGGCGTGAAAAGTCGCAAGTGCGATGTTAACGCGAGGTCGATGGTCGACGATTCCGCGTTACTGAGAATTGACCTCGAGACCGCTCGGATGCCGGGCCAAGATAAGTTGATCGTCGTAATGGCGGGTTCCAAGGGTAAGGAGGCATTTCGTAGGCCTCTGCGCCAACTCAAAACTCCGCCCGGAAAACGCTCAGCTCCGCTGAGCCTTTTCCCCTCGAGCCCCGCTCATCAATCATGGTCGCGACATCGATCCCTGACTCAGTGCCAAAGTTTGGCAGATGCTGGGTTAGGAGAAGTAATCGGTGTCGCTTCCCTCTCCTGTGCTGGCTCTCTCTCTCTCAGACCACGTCTATCCAGCACAGGTAAGCGCCCCGCGCTCTCTCCCTCTATGCGCCGCATACTCATCCAAATGAACAGTGATCCTCGCATCTAGGCTCCGCCTATCGTTTTCTACAAACGCACTCTAATCACTCTTCATTTGGTGAGGCCTTTTCTTCATATTGAGCTTTGTGCACATTCTTACATCCTTCTGGTTCAGACTTCGTCTGCTAGACTCGGATTGTAAGAAGCTTCGTAAGACCCTGCTCAGCTCAATACTCACGTATCGTGCCTCCTGCAGAATCTCTTCAGATTTTCTCTGGCCATCTGCTCGCTTCCCTCGCCATCCAACCTCCTTTCTTTCAGTCACACCTCACTATTCGACCTCACCCGACATCTCCTTTTCAATGACCGATGTTGGCGCTGAAGCAACTCGGCAACGTGCTCAAGCCCTTGAGGCTATCGTTTCCGACGTCGTGGAAGGACGGTTGCCCCTCTCAGATTTTGCGAAACGTCTCCAAGACGCAGGCGCATCTCCAGCCGAGGGCGAAGACTACCTGCAACAACTTACCCAACGACTGGAGCAGCAAAAGAAGGACAGAGAGGCTGACGAACAGCCGGACACTCAGTCTGGAGAACAAGCAGCCCGAGAATCGACTCCTGAAGGCCTTGACGAGGCTCAGGTGGTCGAGTTTCGCGCCCGACGCGATGCGCTCCTGGAAGAGGTTCGCGCTCGAGAAGCCGCTGATCGTCGCACAGCGGTTGACACCGCTGCATGGGCCGTCCTCAATGCTAAGCTCTCTCGACTGGCGAGTTCACAGGTCCCCAGCGACTCTACGACCCTTCTCTCAGCTGACGATCTCGCAAAACTACTCGGAGTCGAACGTTCAACCCCCCAGTCCTTGCCTGCTACTGTTCTCACTCTTGCTCCGCATCTGGCTGAGCTCTCGACCTCTGCAATCTCTGACCCCCACATTGAGGAAACCTGGAAATTGCGGCAGGCAATTGGAACAGACAAGACCATCGATTCCCTTGTCAATCTTATGCAGGTACAGCCGCTTGCTGATCCCGTTCCCCGTTCTATCTGGCGCTTGGTCATTCAGGACCACTTCGTCGACTTCGAGAAACTCTTTGCCTCGATGGACAAAGGGTACGACCACAACGATGAGCCTCGAGACTTCGGCGGGGGCTATGCACTCGTCAAAAAGGACCAAGCTTCAGCTAAGCGCCCCCTTCGATCCGAATCCGAATGGCTTCGTGTCTTTGGAGCTTGGAGCTCTGCCGTTGTACTTGTCTATCGTCACCGCTCTTCAGAGCTTCAAAGCTACCAGCGCATGGTCACTGACCTATTTCGCGCAGTACCTCATGACCCGTCGATTGCCATCGCTTTCGACGTCGAAGCTCGCGATCGCTATGCGAAGAGTCCTTTCCGCATGGACGACCGGACTCAACTTAATGTGCCGCTTTTGGCGCGCATGTTCCAAAGTACTGGCCCGTCTTCCAAGAAGCGCAGTAATACATCACCTTCGACAAGCTCTCCCTCAAAGCGTTCAACAATTCCTTGCCGAAATTGGAACATGGGTATTTGCGACGCCCCTTGCCCGAATGGGCGCAGGCATGGGATTTGCAGTGAGTGTGAAGGCCCACACCGAGCAAAAGACGAGCCCGTCTGCAATACTCTCCTCCAAGCTCGACAAAGAAAAGGAGCTAGCGGAGGCTACTCAGAGAGCAGCAAAGGCAAGGGAAGGGCCTAGGACTATCAACTCAGGGTTGAAACGAAAGCTTGATACCCCACTCATAGATGTACCTCGCTTTCGACGTCGTTATGTATGGTCTAACTCAACCAATAAACACCTCTCCCCTGCTGCCCTTTACACTGAATCTGCACCTCCTCTCCCTTCACCTCCTGCTCACCTTTTGCAAGACCAAAAGATTCAAGCATCCCTCCTCGCTATGCGGGATCACATCAAAGTTGACACACCTTTCAACGTCGATAAACTCGAGTCTATGCTCACTGACCATCCAAACCAACCTTTCGTCAAATCAGTCATGACAGGCCTTCGGGATGGATTCTGGCCTCTTGACGACGGAGAATGGAAAGTTGAACTCGAAGAAGTCATCGACAACTATTCTACTGACGAAGGCGATCTTGATGCCATCCGCAACTTTCGAGACAAAGAAAGGTCTGCCGGTCGTTGGTCTGATGAGCTCTCAGACTCCGAACTCTTGCCAGGGATGAAAATGTCCCCTATGTTCGTCGTTTGGCAGAACGGTAAAGCTCGGGTTGTCACAGACCACTCAGGCTCTGGAATAAACGATGGTATTCCAAGATCTGAGGCCAAAGTTCGCTACGATGACATGCACCCCTTTGGCCAGTCTCTCCGTGATGCCCACACTGATAACCCAGGTCGTCGCATCATAACTTTCAAGTCAGACGTAGCGTCTGCTTTTCTCAACCTGCCGGCGCACCCTCTATGGCAACTCCGTCAAGTTGTTGTAGTTGAGGGTAAGCTCTACATTGTGCGTCGTCTGGTCTTTGGGAACCGTGCATCTCCCCGCTGCTGGTGCGCTGTCTCTGGGCTTTTGTGCTGGTTAGCTATTCGAAAGCTGGGCATCTTCAGCCTTCACGTCTACATGGATGACTTCTTTGGCTGGGACTTCGAAGACAACTTAATCATGTATCATGGGATGCTCCGTCCACGTCAACAAGTTCAACTTCTCTTATTCTGGGAAGCGATCCAGTGCCCTTTTGAGGATAAGAAACAAGAACATGGGAGTGTTTTGAAAATCATTGGCTTCTGGGTTGATGCCAACCAAGGCTCCCTCTCTCTTCCTCCCAGCTCCCTCATCGACATCGTCGAGAAAATCAATGTCTTCTTGTCCACACCCAATCGCAAACCCATCCTTCGTGAATGGCAACGGCTCGCTGGCCACCTCAACTGGCTTCTAAATGTTCTACCATGGGCTCGTCCCGCGCTTTCAGCCCTCTACCACAAGACTAGTGGAAAATCTCGTCCTCTTGGCGCCGTACACCTCAACGCCGAAGTTATCTCTGACCTTTCTTGGCTCATCAGCATCATCCCAAAGGCAGTTGGTGTCCGCTTCTTGGACGATGGTATCTGGGACGACACTGCTGCAGATCTGGAGCTCTGGACCGATGCTAGCCTGACAATTGGCATGTCCTTTGTATACGGAAATCAAGGCTTCATGTATGGGATGAAGGAATGCCCCCCCGATCGCAAGGTCGACATCTTCTTCCTGGAACTGGTGGCTATCATGTCAGCCATCCACCACATTGCCTCTTTTGCCTCACCCCCTCGCCGTCTTCTTATTCACACTGACAGTTTAGACTCAGTGGCCATCTTCAACAGCTTACGCGTCTCTGAGGCATTGCACAATGGTCCACTCATGGCAATAGCTGGTGTCATCATTGAATCTGGCATTGATCTTCGTGTTCGACACATCCCTGGAAAGCAAAATGTCCGAGCCGACCTCCTCTCACGTCTTTTGCTTGACGAGTATCAAGCAAAATTCCCTTTTGACCGCGTCCGCCTATTCTCCCCACCACGGGACCTCCTGCCGGCGCGATGGAGGGGGTGCTTTTGAGCGCCCTGGGCGGGTCTCGGCCATTACGCCGGACTCGCCCACCAATGAAGCTACGTGATCTTGACAATCGTATGCTTCATTTGCAGGTTAACGCTATTGAGAAATCAACAGTTAAAGGCTACGCAACAGGTGCTCGCGACTACATTGCTTTCTGCATGTCCCATCACCTCTCCATCGAACCCACCCCTGAAACCTTGGCTCGTTACATCGCCTACACCTCCCAATACATCGCCTCTGGGCCAAAATATCTCTCAGGTGTCAGACATTTTCTATCTGACTTATATCCTGACTTTGACAAGAATCGCGCCCACCCACTCGTCACAACTACTATTCGAGGTTCCAAGAAAATCCGTGCAGACCCTATTCGTCGTAAGTTGCCTCTTCGTCCGGCACATTTACAAACTTTTCTACATATTGCTCGTGGCTCTGGATCCTACGATGACCTCCTCTTCGCAACAATACTTTCTTGCCTATTCTACGCTTGCCACCGTTCAGGCGAACTCGTCCAGAAAAATTCAAAAGACCTCTTCGATTGGAGGAAAATCATCAAACGCTCCTCACTCACATTTTCTCAAGGGCGAGCTCAGTATCACCTCCCTTATCACAAGGGGGATCCTTTTTACCGTGGCACTGACATCTTGTTCTCACAACAGGAAGTTGCCGACCCTGTGGCACTTCTCAAAGAATATGTCGATCGACGTGACTCTGTTCACCAGGCCCGCCTCGCTCTCTTCTTACGAGAGGATGGCTCCCACCCCACTCGCTCGTGGTTCGACGCTCGCTTCTTTGCCGTGCTCAGTCGGGAATTCGGTGGGCACTCAGCACGTGCAGGTGGCGCCACATTTTACGCCAGCCTTGGCCTATCTGAGGACGTCATTCAAGCTATCGGTCGCTGGTCCTCTCAAGCATGGAAGATCTACATAAGGGACAACCCCACCTTCATTAGCTTACACTCCCCAGCCTAAAAAATTTTGGGGCTCGCCTTCGGCGACCCTTTGTTGCTGCTATCACCACCTCGTGATTCTCTCCACCTTTGAACAGCGCAGCAGAGGTCGTCGTAATGGCGGGTTCCAAGGGTAAGGAGGCATTTCGTAGGCCTCTGCGCCAACTCAAAACTCCGCCCGGAAAACGCTCAGCTCCGCTGAGCCTTTTCCCCTCGAGCCCCGCTCATCAATCATGGTCGCGACATCGATCCCTGACTCAGTGCCAAAGTTTGGCAGATGCTGGGTTAGGAGAAGTAATCGGTGTCGCTTCCCTCTCCTGTGCTGGCTCTCTCTCTCTCAGACCACGTCTATCCAGCACAGGTAAGCGCCCCGCGCTCTCTCCCTCTATGCGCCGCATACTCATCCAAATGAACAGTGATCCTCGCATCTAGGCTCCGCCTATCGTTTTCTACAAACGCACTCTAATCACTCTTCATTTGGTGAGGCCTTTTCTTCATATTGAGCTTTGTGCACATTCTTACATCCTTCTGGTTCAGACTTCGTCTGCTAGACTCGGATTGTAAGAAGCTTCGTAAGACCCTGCTCAGCTCAATACTCACGTATCGTGCCTCCTGCAGAATCTCTTCAGATTTTCTCTGGCCCTCCCTCCACTCCCTCTTCTTTCTTTTTATCTCTCTTTTTTTCTTCTCATAAATGACTTTATTCTAATGTACTTGTATCCACATTTGTACGCGTAGTGTAGTGTAGCTTACACTCCCCAGCCTAAAAAATTTTGGGGCTCGCCTTCGGCGACCCTTTGTTGCTGCTATCACCACCTCGTGATTCTCTCCACCTTTGAACAGCGCAGCAGAGGAGCCGAGTAGATCCGCAAATTCCACCAAGATTCCACGCCGCCAAAGTTGAAGATGCTCACTTTTGCTTGTTCTATAATGATGGTGTCAAACCTATGATCACGATTACAGTCAGCTCTTTAGGGAAATATGAAACTCGGACTAGGGTACGATCCCAAGCGGTGGTCAACTGCGCAAATGCTGTTATAAGTGTACACCCACATACTGAACATCACATTGCAGAAAAAAATTCCCGCACATGAACCCGATGATCAACTTTTGCACGCATAGTGACGTCATTCTCATCGGTTTTTGCTTTTTATGTTTTCTGGTATAACTAGCTTTGGCTGAACTAGTTGCTTCAACAAAAGTTCTAGACGTCCTGGCGGGATTCAGGGTCGAAAAACGGAAATAAGTAACTCGTTCCAGAGCCTTGCCCGAAGATGAAGCTTCATCTTCGGCAAATCTTTTCGATTATTTAGAGGTATCTGTTGGGCAGGTCGGGATGACAAGAGGCACCTCAGTTCAGCCCAACATGGCCTTAGCAGGGTGTGGGTAAGAGTCGTCAGTGTACCAGAAACCCATAAGGAAAGAGTGGAGACAAAAAGAGTAAAGCATGTTGGATTCTGCAGTTCTTTGTTGAACAAGGAAAGGGGAGTGTTAGTGTTCGGGCGGCTTAGGCCATGCAGCAAGGTACCTACAGGACTCGGGGGGAAATAAGGGGTTGCATCCGCCGTCCGAAACATGATTTGTCTTTGACAGTGCTATGGCAAGAAAACGGGTTGGCGTCCAAAGGTATCTGAAAAGCCGTCGCTCGGCTGAAGGGCTCATTCAAACGCGTTTAGATCTCAAATTCCATCCAACCCACCGCGCGCTGGAAGCAAGGCCGTCTTGAAGCGTCCTACGCGTCGCAGAATTTTTAAATCCCGTGAAGACCCACATGTATTCAGTTGCATTTTGGTCATTTGAAATACCCATTGGCCCCACCACCCAGGCAACACGTTGCAGCTCGTGGGCACGGCGGTGAAATTATGACCCCCAAAAATCGACAAAATATCGCGCTTCGTTTAAGAAAGGGAGTCGAAACGCCACGTCCTCGCTTCAAGCTTCCATATGGGCCTCGATCTGCCTCGATGAATTATTGCGATGAATGTCTTCCGTCCTGAGAGATAAGATGCAGGGTCCGAAAATGAGGTAGGCGCGCAGAAGTCAACCTTTGACAAGACATGATATTGAAGTCCGAGAAACGCAACGATGAGAACGTTTGACGGTGAAGATGGTGGCGGTCAGAGGGAAACCAACATACGTCAACAACGAGGTGCATGTTCCTTAACACTGACAGACGTGACACTGACATACAGGCTTTCTCCGACTCCTTCACCAAGACAACCAGAGACAACCTTGTTCACTTTGGTACATATGATTCACAAATTCCCATCGCTCTTGCCTTATTCTCTAGCTTCTGGTACATTGGGATCTGGTCAACTCTGATTTAACAATGCTTTTTGGAGTCTGGACTCGCCCTGCGCTGAGACGTCAAACGGCGACCTCGGGATGCTTGTCCTTCCTCATCGCAATGGCTCTTTTGCAGCTTGCTCTCTTACTCAGCTATGTATTACCTCTCAAAATGGATATCTAGAAATCTGGGAGATTTTAAGGTTTTTTCTGACATGAACGGTTCCTGTGGCTTGAGATTTGATCTGTTATCTTAGAGCAAGTCACCACCTCTGGCTCATCCTTCACCTCGACAAGGACTTGACTTCCAGGAGTCACAATGCATGGTGCTGCTGTTGAAGACGATCGAATTTTACGAAGTGACCGCAGGTTCTTTGGGCAGACTCTGCACCGTAAAACTCTGTCCGCTTTGGCGCCCCGTCGACCGGACATCAGTGGAAACGCCAATCAATTCATTTCTAGATCTGTCACACACGTATGTAAGTGGGTCTCAAGCCTTCCCGCGACACTCTCCTTGTGAAAACAAACGGAGATACCTCTGTATTCGCTGCCGTCATGGCCTACTTCCGTTCCGATAATTTTAAAAGCATGGTGCGCCAATCGTTCCGAGAATAGAAACGCTTACAATGAACACACAGTTTTTTTACGAAGACGCCGTTTCTCGGGTTCTGGCAGCAAAATTCCACAAGGACGAGAGATCGTAGCTTATCATTTCACTCCGCCTTCCCGATTCAGTTGCTCACCATGAACCCACACGTTCGCCTGCCTCACCAATAATTGACTAGTGCGCCAAGAAGTGACAAGGCTGGGGCGTCGACATTTCAGGGATGGGCACGTTTGGGGGTTTGCTGCTCGGTGGTAGCAGCAGTTGCTGCCAGATTCTTTTTCGTAATTGAACGCCTGGAACACTGTGTCCTTGATCTCTATTGTGCAAAATCTTGGAATCTGTTTGTTTCATGAGCACCCGTTTGGATTTTCCTTATTCAATTAAGAGTGGGTGATTGTTTGCGTGAACGACCCCAATTTATCTTTGTCTTTGTAGTTTCTTTTACTAGAAAGATGCTATGTATAATGCTGTAGGCTAAGCAACTAGGGTACGGTCCAACTGTCGGGTATACAGTTCAGAACGAAATAGATTTGACCTATGAAGGTCCGCATGCCCATGAGTGTTTACTGCAATACTGTAGTACAATGCTGGTCATTGCGACAAGAAAGCCTCCTTCTCGTAAAGCGGAAGATAGGCGTTGAGGTGAATAAGAGCAAGACGAGAAATTTTCTCTGAGAGTGAACGTATTTCATTGGCCAAGGGCTCCATACCAGACATCATCCATGCAGATGCGCCTTCCGCTGACTTAGGGGAAAGAGATGACAAGAAATCGGCAGTAAGCATGGTTTTTCCGGTCGCAGAGTCACGGCTGGGGTAAGCCAAAGCTACCACCGCAGTGAAAACGACGTCACGCAAGCGGCTATGCAGCATGGTGCTCAATGAAGAGCCCTCCTGCATATTCAACTCTGCCCAACACTGAGCAACATTCAATACCCGCTCGTCAGGAGCGTCACCAACAGGGGAAGAGGGCGCCGATGTGGACAGGGCGGTCCGATTACGAGCATCATTGGCTCGTTTGGCCACCTGTAACACAATGTCCTGCTTGACGATGCGCCATCGTTCGGCTTCCTTGTTACCAACTTTGCTTTCCATATGATCTAGAGCTTGTCGGGTAAAACAGCACCCGAGACGTGTAGTGCCAATGTCCCGGATCTCACGCTTCAGCCGTGCGATGTCAGAATCGTTGACTTTCGGCGGGTCGGATGCTGCTGCATCGGTCGATTCGGAGAAGATCAACTGGCGGTAGAGGAGTAGGAACATATACAAGGCCGTGGCGTCGATTGCATCCGAACTCAGAAGCTGGATGCGGGAGGTGTCAAGATAGAGAGTTTCGGGAAATGAAGTCAGCTGAGGTTGCGTTGGCGCTGTAATCGGCGAGCAGAGAGGTGTATTCGTGGGTGTTGCTGACGTGGAGTTGGACAGTGGTGAGTCGAAAACTAAGTCGACTATTCCTTTCAGGGTGGCAAGATATAATTGCTGGTTCCCGGACAAAGCGGAGGGTTTGAGGTATTCAGGGGGGTATAGCGGGTGGGAGATTGGTTGGTTGCGTGTGAGCATCGCAGTATGAGCGGCATGAAGCCATTCTTGCGTCACACGAATGGAACCGTGCCGGTTTTTTAATGTCTTGAGTTCGTATTGCCCTGAAGTTCGGATCAGGAATGGCCGTAAGGTTTGCAATTGATGGTTCGCGATATCCTAGGGCGAACAATGAATATCGTATGGTTGAATTCGACGAAAAAAGACTCACAAGCTTCATCAATTCCAGAATTTCCATGCACATTCTTAACGCTTTCACCGCGTTGGTACCACTGTTGCCATTTTTAACGCAAGTGTGAGCGGCTTGGACCATCGACTCGACGGCAGAGTCCCTCATTGGCGCACAGTGTCCTTTCAACGTTGTGCCGATAGCGCGGAACAAGCCTGAGGGGTCAAACAGACCACGCTTGAGCTCCTGCTCGATAAGAACTGGATCAAAGATTGATCGTATGTAGGCCGCTTGAGCAGTATGTTCCTGCATCTGTGCTTTGAATGTGTTTGGATTCACGTAGATGCCAGATATTTTAGAAAGCGGCTGGATAACGAGGAGGAGGACTTCAAGGAATTCACACAGGAGGGTAAGAATCCGGGACGGCATCCGCAGTGTGTAAACTTTGGCTGACAGTTGAGAAAAAACTGGATGCTTGGGCGAGGTGGGCGTCTGAGCACAAACGCATGCCAAGCGATGTGGGTTTCCCTGCGAATCAAATGTAACACAGGTGCAACCGGTTTCTACTTCTCGCATAACTGCGGCCCAATATTTTTCGGCGAGGTCGCGCTTTCTTCGGCTACACGTTGGTCGAAATTGTAGACCAGGGTCAAACAAAAGATCATGGCCTGCCGAGAGGAAGATATCAGGGGTTTGACTGTGAATATAGCGCCGCATCACGCACGAAGTTGAGGGTTACGCAGGATAGCATCTAAGTCTAGCTCTTTCAATGTATGGCGGTTGATCAGGGGTTGACGCGGAGGTATGTGGATCGAATTGGGGTCAATGGGTATTATGGGTCTGAAGGGGTGTTTGCACGACTCGGGGGAAGAGGTGGTGCGTACGCGCAACAAAGAACCGCTAGACGGCCCAGGGTCAGCTGTTGACACAATACCGATGTCCTCAATATCGCTACCATGCCTGCCCATAGGCAACCGGTAAGGGGCACTTTTGCTGGCAGTCCGGATCCGCGGTAGTCGCCTTGTACCATTGCGAATGGGTAAATCTAGTTTTTCGAGCCGAGGGCGTTTTGTTGGATAGTCGTCCAGAAGAACCTGTGAAGAAAGCGGACTGGACACCTGCGGGGAGGTGGGCGATGTCCAAAGAGAGTTGTCGGTCTCGGAGGTTATCCATGGCTGGCGCGGCGCATTAGATGGCCCAGCGTTCGCGATAGGAGTAGAATCGGGCAGTATGGTATCAGGCAAACCCGAGGACGAAGTATCCTGGCGGCGGTCATCGTTGTCGGCCTTTCTTTTTCTGTGGTTCATGGGCAGGTCATCCATTGTCGATATGGGAAGAAAAGAAAAATAGGGCGTCGGAGGGGGCTATATAAACGCTATAAGCAGTAAGGGGCGAGGACGAACACATGGTAAGAGACCAAGACAAGGTGCCGTCCGCATGTATACAAAAAAATAGAATACAAGTTTGATACGAGATACATCTCGATTCTCATTTCATCAAATGCATGCTCTCTCATGCCCTGACATGCCTGATCTCCTTCTTTGTCCCGTCTTTCCTCGCCACCGGCACCGTTGTGGCACACGCCAGTCCTAATTATTATGTCCGAGATTCCTCTGGATTCGTTCAATGTGGGTCATCCTCTTCCAGCCTACCGTAATTGTAATTATAGCCGTACATCCCACATTCAAGGCCTTGACAGTGTTACTTGTACAATGAATGGCTATCATCTGATCGCTTTGAGCTGCCTTGAGGCGCAACTGAAGGTCCTCAAAGGGTCCAATTGCCTTGATACCCCTCCCACTACCTCTTTAAGCATTCCTAACTCTGCTACCAGCATGACGCTGTCGCCAGAAGGCGCACGGAGATGATCGTGGTTACCCCGTGGTACTTCCGAGTTACCTGGTCAAAGTGACGATTCGTCTTTTTCTCTTCTCTTCATACAGGCACTTTACATGCGCTCCTTCAGGTTGACCATTTGATGACTATTCTCCAGGCTCCGACTGTGACTTTATAACAAGGTTCACCTGCTTCATTTTAAGTACGTAAATGTCCCTCGTGCAAACCGACCGATTGCTTAAGTCCTTTCTTCAAGTCGTTTAACTATCAAGGAAATCGTTGTCGCGGTTTTGTTCTTCGAATTTCCATTTTGATCTCCACCGTCGGCCTCTCCCGTGCTTCGTTTACAGCTCTTCTCCAGCAGCAGAGCAGAAACCTGATTTTCATTCGCGATCGGTGCCCGAAGTAGCTGGTCTTGCATGTTTTAGAACGCAGGTATTCTTCAATGCCGGTTTATTTTCTCCTTTCCAAGCCAGTGTTGTTGCATTGATCAATTCGAATCACGGTTTTGTACCTCCGTGTAATCGTGCCGCGCTACTTGATCCTAAGGCAGGGTGTATCTTGCAATCATCTGGGCCTGGTGGACGGACCACCTCTACTTTTTCCTGCCACCTGACGCCAAGGTCCAATTGTGAGGTTGATATCGATGTTATAGTATTCATTCGCATGTTTTCACGTAGAATGATGCTCGTTTACTCAGCGGCCGTGTTACGGATCTGGCATACGCACTCTGTGATCAAATGAGAAACTGTAGCATAACCTCGACACTTGCCTACTCGGGACTTACTGGCTGGGCCGCTCAACTCTTTAAACGTGGGTGGTTACCTCTCCAACGGACCGCGCGTTGAAATATCATCACCGTCGTGAGAAGGCCGATGGACGCGTTCACTCGCCTTATCGCCTAAACGTCACCCTTTTACGAGGTCTTGACATCCAAGACGCGGTTCATTCAAGGTTCACGCGTAAGACACTACCTTGCAATAAAGTATACGTACTTGCAAGGGCCCGGGAGCGACATACCCATGAGCATGCCATTCCTAGCTCATCTTGATGGCGAGAGAATTAAGTTCTAGAACACCCTCTCAGAACGCTAAGATTAAGCAACGAAATGGTAGAAAGTCTTAAGCGAATCCATTATAACTATCTTTACATGTCAATTAGTTTCTCCTCTTGTTCCTCCTCTAAGCCATCAACTTCGGCTCCGGAAGTGGCTTTCTTGCTTGGTTTGCGGCGGTAGAATTCTGCAATGATCTTGGGGTTGATCCGATTCAATTGCTCCTTGGGGAAAATGCGTAGTAAAGACCATGCTAGGTCTAAAGACTCGAAGATAGTTCGCGATTCATAAGCGCCTGTACCACACAAGATCTTTTAGTGAATCGATATTAAAATGGAATCAGAACACTGACCTTGTCCTACAAACTGATGCTCAAACTTGTCAAGGAATTCTAGGGCCAACTTGTCTTCCGATGATAAGGCTTCCTCGCCGACAACAGCCTTCATGGCGGCTGCGTCACGACCTATCGCATACTTGGCGTACTAGACATCGCTTAAGTTAGTAGCTGGACTAACTGATTGATGACATTGCGTACTAGCTGGTTCGACACGTCTCCGTGATCTTTCCTCGTGAGCTTCTCTCCGATCGCGCTCTTCATGAGACGCGATAGAGAAGGAAGGACGTTGATCGGTGGATATATTTGTCGATTGTGCAGCTGTCTATCAACGAATATTTGGCCCTCCGTGATGTATCCGGTCAAATCGGGAATAGGATGGGTGATATCTGAGAAAAATGAAAGGTAAGAAAGGTGAGTTGTTCGAGTCTCCTTCCACCGACATACCATCGTTAGGCATTGTCAAGATGGGAATCTGGGTTATCGAGCCATTGCGGCCTTGCACTCGTCCTGCACGTTCATAGATGGTTGATAAATCTGTGTACATGTAACCGGGATACCCGCGACGACCAGGGACCTCTTCTCGCGCAGCGGAAACCTAAATGAGCCCTCAGATTGGCCAAAAAGCACGATCAATTGATGGATGAAGACGAACCTCACGCAACGCATCTGCATACGACGACATGTCAGTCAGAATGACAAGTACGTGTTTCTCCAGCTGGTAAGCATAATATTCCGCAGTTGTCAGGGCAAGTCGTGGTGTGATAATGCGCTCAATAGTAGGATCGTTGGCCAGGTTTAGGAACAAGGTGACACGGTCCAGACTACCGTTAGATTCGAAATCTTCTTTGAAAAAGCGTGCTGTCTCCATGTTCACACCCATAGCAGCAAATACAACTGAAAAGTTGTCTTCATGTCCGTCGTGCACGTCCTTCGTGGGCCGCTTGACAAGACCTGCCTGTCGCACAATTTGAGCAGCAATCTGGGGCGGATATTTAAAGTTAAACAAATTTTCGGATAAGATTTATGACTGGAATCAAACCTCGTTGTGGGGTAGACCGGCAGCTGAGAAGATGGGGATCTTCTGCCCCCGAGCAATCGAATTCATAGTATCAATCGTTGAGATGCCAGTTTGGATCATTTCTTCGGGGTAAATGCGCGAGTACGGATTGATCGGAGAGCCTGGCAGGGTGTTAGAACATAGTAGGGCGTCAAAACAGGCGTGCTTACCATTGATGTCCAAATAATCCTCCGCAAACACCTTGGGACCTTGATCAATTGGATTACCTGAACCGTTGAAGATACGGCCCAGCATATCTTCGGCGACAGGCAGTTTCATACTACTGCCAGTAAATTCAACATGGGTAGCCTTAACATCAACTCCCGAAGTTCCCTCAAACACTTGAACAATTGCTTTCTTTCCTTGGACTTCAAGAACTTGGCCACCGCGTTTTGATCCATCAGGTAGCGTAAGTTCGACAATTTCATTGTAAGACGGAAACTTCGGGTGCACTTATGAGAGGAAAATTGTTGAGTACTGAAATGGTTACTAACCTTGACATTATCCAAGACCACCAGAGGACTAGCAAATTTATCTAAGTGAGGATGTGAAAGATTAGATAGATCGCCATTCACCCATTGATAGCAGATACAGTTCGGTAGTCTGAAGAACAAAGCGATAATTAAAAGACTAATTGCGCCCTCAAGAGATTCTCAAGATACGTACCGAGGTGCGGTTGAACGCGGTATTCCTTCGTTACAGCTGCGGCATTGATATTTGCGAGTTCCCTATCGCTCAAACGAGCGTCCGCCATGTCGTTGGAGATTTAGCCTTGGTTTATCCCAAACCTAGCTAGTCTTATCGCGTCAGGTTGGCACCCAGTTGGTGGTGGGGGTCGAAACGAAATGACGAGTGTAAGTAATGTTCCCACGCATAAGTACTACAAGCATTGTAGAGCAGGTCTACTTTACAGGGATTCAAGATCATCCTGCTACTCCGTCCAACAGAAATATATGCAGAATTCGTTCAGTTGCCTCCTTCGCTACTGACAGATCACTGGAAGACCTAAAGAGTACCGAGGATGAGATCTAATGCTTACGAGTAGATGAGAGAAGATCTACCACTCGGTATCCAGAAGGATATTCTCCACCTCATCGGTATCGATCTCGATATCGGCTCCTTGAAGAGTTAGATAAAGATACTCCGCAGCGTCCGCGCGAATCTTACGTCCTATCATTGAGGAATTATCCAGAAAATGACCAACTATTACTCACTCGCGGAAAGGGATGGGATAAGAATTCAGAGAGGGTGGAAACATTCTTCGCAAAAAGAGCTTCAAATGTCACAAGGTTAATGACACTATTCCAACTTAGCTCAACCCCATGCAGAAGCTATAACAACGCACATTTTCATTGACCCATGTATTCGCTGAACGCTTTTAAAACGGCTGACATTCTTCGAGGATATAGAAAGCAATGTTTGAAGGCTACGTGCGTAAGATCCTTTGTGACCACATCAGAAGCTAGAAAGATCCTTACCTTTCAACTCCCTGTGGTTTGTCCGAGAGTCGTCGGAGGCCGTCTGCTTCCAGTAGAACTTCGAAAGTTTGTAAAATGGGGACCACAATCGTATTAGAACTCAGGTTGGGCTTGATGCGCTCAATCAAGCCATTGACCAGGTCGAGTAGGCTAAATGAGTTTGTTGAGTCACTAGAAACGGGTAACTCTTCAATATAGTCCACTAAGCTCTTCGCTATTGGCCGTCGCTGTGAAGGGGTGTCGTCAGCAGATTTTCACATTACGAGGGGTGCGGCTGCTTACGGTGCTGTCCGTCTTACTACTGAGACTTAGCAGGATACCGCTCAAAATATCTTGGCGATATTCTGGAACTCCCAGCAGTCGAATTGCACGTGGGAATAGCCAAGCACCATCGCTCCAGCTCAAAGGTTCATAGCCATTGCTGAGTTTGCAAATTAAGTATTCGAAGGAATCTATATGAAAATCACTTACCTCTCGAATAATTCCTTCAGAAGCTCCAGACCCGACAAGGACCATTTCTCCTGATCGGCGACAGATGGCAATGGAAGTCTAAGTAAGCGAATGAAGCAACTTCCTGCTTCTTGGCGAACATTGTCGAGTCTTTCCACGCCCTGCTTGAGAATCCCAGAAATAATTGCATGGTAGTTTTCTGGTGGAAAGTAGCGCTCGAAATCGGGAATTGAGGTTGCATTCGTTAACATCAACTCAGAAATCGAGGTCAATCCTTGGATAGATGCAACTCTGACCCAGGACCCAACGTCGCCACGTTCATCGATTGTGTAATCATTCAGACCAGCGCGGAGTGCGTTCACAATTACATTCACGGCATCACTCTTGAGGTCTAGCGAAAGGTTGTAAGATGTGTGTCACATATGAAAGATTGACATACGCATCGTCAAATGGGGCAGAGCATTCGCCAAGATAAGGGGTAGAGAGATATAACAACTTCTTCGCACTTCGATAGTGGATTTGACCTTAAATTAATGAGCTATATGCGGTGACTCGATATGGCAACGAGAGCACTAACAGATGTAGTCATATCCAGAAGACAGGAAATGGCCACCGACAGACTAGCTGGATGCGAATCATAATCGATCATGCCTAACACCCTCGCAAGACTTTGTCGCATTATGGACGATCCCGTCTTCATTTCTTGAATCAACGTAAAATAAAATGAATTATTAGTTCCACATTGAGACATTTATCCGTGATATGAACTTATCTTTGAACAGTGGAGGAACAATCTGTCAACCTAGAAATTTCTGCCATAGCCTCGGCAGCAGCCTTTTGCACATTAGAGTTTCTGTGCTTCAGTCCGAAGTCCACGATCGTTCTCCAGTTAGGAACAGACGATCGTTCCTTGAGCTCTATTTCGGCGATCGTCAGGGAGCGGGCAAGAAGACGACAGGCCGCTGAAGTCACAAGGTCGTTCCGGGGTGTTGTCAGGATGGATTCGGGAATGTTGGCAAGATACTTGAAGATCTACGAGTAAACGGAGTTAGGAAAACGGGGTTACGACATGGCGGAATTTCATTTACGCCACGGAGCAGTTGCTCCCGCAGATCTGCTTCCTTAATGTTACTTCGATATGCTTGGGCAATTTCACTCAGTACCAAAATGCCGCCATGCAGATCTATCAGGTCAGCCGACTCGAGAAGACGTGCCTGGAACGGGTTTTCAGTAAATTACGCAAGGAAAATGGCTGACTTACAGCCTTCGAGGTAGCTTCTGGTCCAAGCTTCGTAAGATCCAACAGACAGATTGAACGCAAAGACTGAGCTCCAAGTTCTCTCATTGCAACGTCCCAATGGCGCAATACGACATCCAACAAGTGATCGAATAGAAATTGACGATATTCAGCATGTCTGCCCGTATGCGATTTAGCAAACTTTCATGCATGTCCGAGCAGCACATACTCAGCTACCTGGGAAGCAGCAACCAGATATGCATTCTTTCTGACACTGACGGCATAAAAGTCAGCTTTCGCCAGCACATCGATTCCATGAGGAAACAAGTTCTGGGCAAGCAAAGATCGATCAATGTGATTAAATCTCTGCACAAACAAGTACTCACCATCCTGCCAACATGTTCTTGAAATGCAGCACTTGCCGCTCGACGAATGTGTACCTCGCGATCAAACAAAGCGACTGCAGCGAGACGCTTGGCTAGGTTACTCGCATGTGGTATTAATGCTGCAGGTTCTTGAGTCCGCGCAAGTGCCCAAAGAACGTACGAGGCGGCGTCGCGAACATTCGACCCGATAGAATGAGCCCCCTTGCGAAGATCGAAATAGAGCGCCTTTCGATCAAAATAAGAATAATATTAACTTACATGCAGGTGTGCGCACCTTGGACAACCAATCAATTAGTGCCGGAAGGTGCCGCGATGGTACAAGACTTCTGCGTGCCATCTCTGCGCAAGCAAGACACGCCCCATGCCACGTGCTTTCTGCTATAGCCGGTAAATCATAGAGACTTGCGGCAGCGATGGAATGTATTGAGAATAGCTCAATGATCGTCTCCAGAACTTGTCTGGCAAAATCGGGAGGAAGGCGTTCAGCAATTCTGGCAATACCCTTCGCAGATGACCAACGGACTATCGTGTCCTGTTAGAATTATCACCTCAATAAACATTGAGTCGCAAAAATAAACGACAAGACCTTGTCTTGCAAACTTTGCAGAAGTTGCTCCAGGATTAGCTCGATTTCGTCGGGGATCTCCTCGTCAGCAGAGCTAGGGGTGTTCGTATCAATCTCCTCTCCAGCTAGGGTTCGACCTACAATCAGTAAAATTAGTTCTGATTAAACCACCTGAGAGTAGGGATAGCACCTTTGCGGCGCCCTATGTTGATACTCCCTGGCAACATCCGAAGGCCAATCCTTGCAACGAGCTTCGTTTTGTATTTTCGAACAAGTGAATTGCTGGAAAGGGACTTTCTATCGTTGATCAAGGTGGCCAAAGAAAGAAGACTGGATTCTTCGGTCTTAATTTGCTCTGGTAATCCGGATTTCACAACGTCACAGACAACTTGTAGAAGGCCAATCGTCTGGGGATCATGCTCAGCGACCGAACGTCATCTTAACAAGGGGCTGTATGCACCGTGAAAATATCGTCACTTGTTCTAAGCAATCCCTGAGACCATTCTACAAATGCGTGGAAACCAGAGCCTGTGTCATTTCTGTATACCATTAATGTTGTCGTTTGAACCCGAAGGACATAACTTACCTCATATAAAAACGGGATAGCAACATTGCAGCGGCATCACGTTCAAGTCCAGCTTTCCCTAGATGCTCCTTGCCCAGTGATTCTATCAATGATGCAGTCCGACCAATGCTGGCGGGCTCATCAAACTGCGATAGATCAAAGGGTATTATGCAGATAAGAGACAACCACAGCAACACGCCATATCTCAATGCCCAATGATGCTTGTCTTGGAAAAGGGCGCCAGGTGTACGGGTATAATCCAGCGCAATTGTAAGGTCCACGATTTCGTGTGGGAAGAACCTAACTGAAGGCCTTCATCGTACAGAGTTCGTATGAGACGGTCAATTTGAGGTCGACTAACTGATCGTTTTGCACCCACGGCACTTGATGTAAGAATAGAGCAGCATCGCAAGACGATCTACGCGCCACATCGAACCAGGTTTATTGGGATGAAGGGTGGCTTCCTTTGCAAATTCTTTTAGCCGTTCAACTACTGGAACGACCAATTGTTCGAGGAAGGGGTCGAGAAGGTATGATTGCTCTTGATACTCATTGAGCTAGCAGAGAGGTTTAATATAGACTAGAAACACAAAATCTAAACGCACGATCGCGGATATTTTTCTGAAGGCTTCATGTTCCTCCCTCCCATCCTCGGTCGGCTCCTCGAAAAGATCTACAGAGAGCAGCACAAGTTGTGCACTCGAGAACTCTCCGTGGCGTTCGAACGTTGCAAACAGCTTTCTTTCATATAGTTCATGGTCGGTGGCGGGCGAAGCATTGGTACCTTCGTGGTGTTCGACTGTCGCAAAGAGCGTTTTTTCGTGTAGTTCCTCTTCCATTAGCCCAACAGGGGTGAAGTTGCACACATGAAATGCATCCGAAATCTGTTTGGTATGTCCCTTAGAACATAATAATGATTCAACGGTTGACCACTGGCAGGACCTTGCCAGTTGCTTGCCAGGACCTCCAACCAACCTCCAACAACACTTTGTCGAAGACGCGCATCTTCCTTGGAAATGACTGAGGAACGTGGCGTGAAGCGCAAGCGTTATGAACCTCCTCAAGAGGTCTGTCATCGATGACCCTGAATGACTTTTCCAACTTACACCCTTCAATCTCTAGGAGCTGAGTGTTAGAATCAGCAGAAAGCTGGCACGTTTCTGTGATTGTATTTCATTCAATAATCTCAACCCCCATAACAGCACCACGATATCAAAGAAGTTCATAAAGCTTCGAAGAAGGCGAAAGTGTTTGAAACTCAGAAGCTGGTCAAGAGGTTGAAAGATTTACGGTTGGGAAAATCTCGTAACAATTTGACCCATCATCTGAACCATTTATACATTTCCTCAGACGCAAAGGAGACGACCCCAAGGCTATAGAGGAACACGAGGAACAATTAACATTACTCAAGGTCATCCCATTCGTCCTGCATTTTGGTCGTTCCTAATGCGTGAAATACAGTCTGTAGATCATGACACAATCGGAAACACTGCCTTCAAAACGAAGATACTGAAGGATAATAGTCTCCGAGAAAATGATTTTGTCCAAGCGGCCCTATCCTCCGAGGTTGGGGAGAATGTGACCACCCCTGCGAAGCCCGGCACGCCTCTCGCAAAGGTGCAAAGCCGCCTACTCAGCTCAAAGCTCCTTGCAGCACAAATTGTTGTGTCGATCGAAAATTTGAGGATGCTTCTCGACCCAACGTTGCGTGGACCTAAGGCGGAAGGGACGGAGGAAGATACCGCGGTGCCTGCACCCAAACGGAAGAAAGCGCCGACTTTATCTGGGGAGCAATCTGTTGCCCATGCAGCTATGGAAGATTGCGAATCAGATGGGGATGAGTGGAAAGGCGTCGACGATGAAAATCAAGATATGGCCGATGCGGCGATTGGCGATGGAGTCGATGACGGATGGGAATCAGGAACAGTGGGCGAAGGGGATGACGTTGCGGGATCCGACGGTTGGGAGTCGAGCTCCATCGGTAATGACGACGATGTCTCTGAAGATGGCGATAGGCTGGAACTCCATGCCAAGCCCGCGGTGAAAAAATCGGCTACAGCAGCGCTCAAAGCCAAGGCATCGGCTTCAGGGTTGCAATCGACTTTCTTGCCCTCCCTGTCCGTTGGCTTTGTTAGAGGAGGGTCAGAGGAGTCAGATTGGAGCGAAGAGGGCCGCGTTGCTGACATTGATGTCAAAAAAAATCGGCGTGGTCAGCGCGCTAGACGAGCGTGAGTTTTGACACTTGAATAGTGCAACTCACATTATTGACGTCGTCGCATAGTATTTGGGAAAAGAAATATGGTCGCAACGCGAATCACAAGAAAAAGGAAAGCGAAGAGAGCACAAAATTCGGTTCAGTCAGGGGAGAACCACCCCGTCCACGACAGCTTCACAATCACCCACCATCTTCTGGTGCGTCCAGGAAGATCAAACCGACTTCACAACAGCGTCAACCTCCTGACATGGGCTGGGGACAACGTCGGATTGGTCCAAACAAAATTCCACCATCAAAATCGGAAACAAAAGCAGATCAATCTCTACATCCATCTTGGGAAGCGAAACGAAAGCTCAAGCTGAAAGAGAGCGCAGGAATTATCCCTAGCCAGGGAACGAAAATCAAATTTTCATGATTCTTTTGGGTGGCGTGATTTAGTTTGTATGGTATGGTATACATGAAACTACAAAAAAAAACGGTACTGAATCGTACAAGTCAGAAGCTACTACGGCGCGTTGTTGTTCGAACCACAAAAATGCCGTCTACCCCCCATCAACCGACATTCCCTAGAGCACCACATATTCTGACATTTACCACAACGGGGGAAATCTTGACCTGGCTTTTTACACGTCGAGCAGTAGTCTGCTTTTGGTGAGATGAGCTTCGACTTTCTCTCTAAATTTGCCAGGACCGGGTGTAAAGTTGTTTTGGCTATGTGTGGCTCGGGAATTTCCTGAACGGTAAAGATGGCTGAGGAAGTAGGGTGTGGTGAACGTTGGACGGAATGGTAGGTCAAAGTGCGGGTAATGTGAGGTATCGGCGACGTGGGTGGGGTATCCTCCGAGTCTGGGTCATAAATTGGCATGGTTAGGCGTTTCTCAAACAGTGTTACTTTGAGGCGTTTAGGATGTGGTTTTGAAACTATCTTCCGCAATGAGACGGCGGCCGAATTCATGGGTACGAATGAGCCCCAAACATCATGTTTTTCTGAAGGTTCGACGACGATTGCGGTTGGTCGTGATTTGACTAGCTCGTGGGCAGTCCGAATGGATATACCCGAGGTCGTAGATAGTAGAGACGATGCGCGTGTTCGCCGGTAAGCTGGGCGAGTTGGCTAACAAGAGGTAAGCGTTATCAGCTGCTGGAGTTGGTGGATGACTGTAAAAATCATACCTCAATTGGCTCAAAGGGTGTGTAGGCAGTGGTGGCTGACATGGAGGATGGGTAGATAGATAGTACTAATAGGAATAGAGTTTGGCTCCCTGGGCGGATTCTTATATACGCTCCGCGGGAACTTATGATGGGAAATGTTGAATAGTAGTTCCGTACCAAACCTGCGGGGTCGAAGTCCAGTTGATCAGGCGACGCAAATGCGGGTTCACTAGGGCGGTTGATAGTCGGTCGTAGAAGGAAGTCGTAGCTGTAATATAGGAGATGGTATGTTTAAAAATGAGGGTGTTACCACAACAAATTTCGTGTTTACGAGAAACCAAACGAGACGAAACCTTGCTCGATCATTCTCGCGATCTGCAGATCTGGCGATTTTGACCACGCGAGAAGCGGCAATACTCGATCAGGATCAGGAGGTCCTGGGAAAGTCCTGTTGACAAATTTTTTTGTCCGGACAAAAAATCTGTCCGCACCAAGGGGGGTACACAATTTTAATTTAATATATCATGCTGATTTTTTTTGTAAGGCCACTATGGCGGGACTAACTAACCAGCGTGCGAATAAATTACCATATATAGGTAAAGTCTATAAATAGGTACCGTGTTTTGGGCGTCATTTGGGTGTTGTGTCAGCTGCCACCTTATCTACACTGCATGCCTTCGTTTGCCGCCCCTTCCTATGCTTTTTTCTACGCTCTTGGATGGGTCACAAACCCAGTCGTTGATACCATGATCCAGTCCAACGCAGAAAAGATGGTACTGCATAGTTAGTGGTGAGTAGAAGGCAGAAAATGACATTAAAAGAAATGACTTACCCACAATGTCTTACAGCCTTTTCGTCTGCAGATAATTATTCTGCTTTTGTCGTTGTCCTCAACTTTGTCTATACTCTCACCACAATCACACTCTCTCACAAGCTTTCATTTACTGGTGTTCCTCAAACCTTCTCATAGGCTTCTCAGGTTGGAGTTTGCAGAGGCGGTGGGTATGTTGAGATCTATAGCAAATTTGTGAGTTTCATGCCCATTCCCACTGTTGGTTCCTGTGTTGATGGCTTCTAGCTCATCTGCACGTAGGCCAACTTTTTGTGTGATGACGGCTGAAACAACTGCATCAGTCGCATCAAGCATCTCGTCTGCAGGTAGCCCAACCTCTTGCACAATGACAGCTGGAACAACTGCATTGTTCGTGTCAAGCGTGTCTCCATCATTGGAAGGACAACGGAACGGGTAAGTAAGGAGAGCTTGTCAAACACGTCAGGGAGTGCACCAGTCTAATCTAAGCTCATCCGGTCCATAAATTACCCGAAATTGGTACTTAAAATAAATTTAATTTAACGGCCTGGTGGCCGGACTAACTAACCGGCCCCATACTTATGGCAAATTCAAATCCTGCTCCCCCCTTGGTCCACACCATGGATTAGGGTTTGACTTTTAAAAATTTTTGTCCACACTGGATCAGGCATTTAATAGGTAATAAATTCAGATTTTCCGCTGCGCAGGCTTCCAGAGCATCTGTAGGCTACAAGGGTAGATGTATATGTGTTCAGCTTTAATTGTTTCATGGTCCTCTTGTGTTAGTGCGAGCATTGAACAATCTTTGGTGGTGCTTGGTGCATGGGACAGGCCATGATGCGAAGGAATTGGAAAGGAGTGTGCAGAGCAAATCTCGAGCTTGTTACTCATAAATTACATTTCATAATTAGAGTTACAATACGTGGCTTTCAAATGTCGAGCAAAAACTGTGTACAGTCATCCACCCCTTAATGATACACCACCCCCATTTGATACACTTTTGACTAGCATATATCTCGCTCAATACTAGACCAATTTTTACGAAACAAGTTGTAACAAGTAGTACAAACTCATATCTACCACTGTACATAATTTGGATGCAATTGAGGCAGAATTGGCAAAGCTGTGGAGCATACAAAATGGACTGTTTTTCGGAAATAGCCAAATACAGTCACACCACTCAATGATACACCCATAATCTTAGTTTTTCTCTGTGAAATGTGGGTCAAACATTCTGAAAGTTGGTATGGTCATAGAAGGGCATTTATCTGAGATTATCATGTAGAGAAAGGTTGTGCTCAAATCTGTTGAAGCTAATTTCTCATTTTGGGTGTATCATTAGCAGGTGGATGACTGTATACCATGAAAAAGTCCATCTTTTTGACCAATTTTTGACCGGAGTGGATTAGGCTTGGGATTTTCAAAAAAAGTCCAACATTCTGTCCGGACAGCCAGGCCTCAGGCCTATGAGGAGGAAAATTGAGAAAAATTGAGAAAAAGCCTGAGGTCAATGTGCGGACAAAAATTGCCTGAAATTAGGGTGGCCTGATCCAAGTGCGGACAAAAATTGGGTAATGAGGTAATTCATCCCTTTTTCTCGGCCAATTTTGTCATGTGCATGTGCAATACTTGCAGGGCAATTTTTTTCACCAAATACCTGAGGCATATCCGGATTTTCGTTAAATTTTTGTCCAGAAGCGGATCAGGGCTCCAACGGGCTTTCCCAGGTCCTGTAGGCCGTACGTACTATTTATGTACTACTCTTCAAATCCGCCGCCCAACAGGACCCAACAGTTTCCAGTCTTCGTTGTTGCCAGTCTTCGAACCACCTTGCCCAGTTCCAGACATACCGATACACACTGAAGAATACAATTTCCAGCATTGTTCAAGATCCTCGGCTCTTCGTTTTCACGATTTTTTCTCCCGAATAATCCTGGTGCCAAGTCAACAATTTTGCTCCGAGCGCCCGCTCGCGCTTTCACGCAACTTTCACGTTCACGTTCAGTTCAGTCACCTGCTGTCACCTGCGCTCATCTTCCTTACGGAATATCTGTCAGTGTCAGTGTCACCGGTTCCGTAGAATGTTGACCTGTTTTCTACATAGGTCCTAGGATGTCCAACTTTGATTGAAGATTCACCTACTCGCCCCCACTACTGCTCGCGTGCACTAAATTCCCCGGTCCCGGACCGAATTCAAGACGTCCACGACTCTATTTCAAAATGCGGAGAATTTCCCTTACTGCCAAAGGGACATATGTTCCTTGTTCCCCGGAATCAGGCTCTCCCCACCATGTAAATTTTATACATCACATGGCGGGTCAGAAGGTAAGGGAGAGAAACCACCATTCTATTGACATCCTGACACTCACTGAACACTAACTGTCACTGCTTAGTACGCATCGGTCAACCCGGGTATCACTTGCACCTCCGCATATCTAATAACCCCGTCTAAAGCTTTTTGGCAGATGCAAATAACACACAACTTCAGCGAACTTTAGCTGGTACATATGTCGCAACTATGTGGCGTCCTGTCGCCTCTCACTACGCACACACATCGACAAATGGCCAGAGACAAGCAGCATGTAGCTGCGATACTATTCGCCGAAGAAACCTTAATGAAAAATACCGTGGTTCGATATCGGTTGTTATAACTTACAATCAAGTCGGGGCAGGTGTCAAGCAGGTGTTTCTGTGAGAACCATGTGCTGGGTTCGCCTTTTGCACCTGTACCCTATTCATCGATGTCGTGCGCCCTGGTTCCCGCTGTCACCGCTATTATTCATCAGAACGAAGTTTTCTTCACCCTATTTTCTGTAGGTGCTGCCCCATGCGCTAGGGCTTTTTGTTGCATCCGGCGACATGTATATCTGCATTATCCCACCAGGTCCCGCGAAACGCTTCTATTAGAACTTTTAGCACTCAAGTCAGAGCCTTGTGCACCACCTGACATAGCTTAAAGGTATGCTTCATAGGGATCCATATAAAGTATGCCGTCACTTTGCTAACTTTGGTGGAGGGTTTTGTCGTGTTCCTCATCGTTGAACAGATTACAGGAGATGTGTGGGAGTAAGATCTCTCAGTGTTTTCAACAGTCAAACGACATCTTTCAAAACTTGGTGACCTCCGCTGCTCATTGTGCATCAAGTTACAGTTCACTCCGTGACTTGTAGCATGGATCCTGTGGTAAAGACAAGTGCATCTTGTCTGGCGCTTAGGTTTTATGAATCGACAAAAGTGAATAGAATCCGAAGAAACCGGTTCTTCAAACGGCATCCATGTGAACGAGGGCCGTCTCCTCTTTGTTTGTCGGCCATCGTTATATGGAGGCACGGATCTTCAACCAAGCCCCGTCTTGCGGACAGACGAGTCTGTACAAATCGTTCTTCTCTACGAAGGATCATGAAACCTCGGATAGGCTTATATCTCCCTTGAAATATTTCAGAATCGAAATTTTGGTCTATTCTATCATCGACGTTCGTACATATGAAAAAAGTAAGGCTTTTCACTTATGCGACTTTATTACAATGTGAAGTTCACCTCACATGTTTCTACTAGCATTTTTTAAGAATGGTTGCTTCGCAAATGAACTCACTTTAGATTTTTTGCCCAACCTCGCTCGACTTGGTTTCTCAACTGAAGGTCCAACAAATGATCACAAGTTGAGAAAAATAAACCTTCCGCTGATTGATATTTAACTCCAAGAAGAAAAAATGAGCCGCTCGCTTCTAACGAATGAGTATCTTGAAGATTTTTTCAGTCGATTGGCGAAGCAGAAATACCTTGTCCGGTCAATCTTGTGCCACGGCGCACTCAAAATCCTGGGATCCAAATAATCGAACAATCAAGCAAAATGGTGACCATGACTGCTGATTACTTACTACGATATCTCGTCGGCTGGAGCTCGAGGCTCAAAGTGTCGGAAGTAGCCTAATCATGATGTTCGCGGGAACAGTGCATCAATTCCAACTTTCATGTGCATGTTTGGCTCCTCTCCATTTCTCAGTCCCGAATTGAAGTGAGGCATGTCTACTCGCGACGGAATGCATCGCTTTAAAAATTCCTCTTAAGATCTGTCAAGGCTCTGTTCCAGAGTTGAGGATGTTTCGTCTTTTTTTTGGACACACTAGTAATCTCTGGACCCCCTCGCTACATTACCTTGGTCGAATCAATTCTATCACAATCATCAAGGATAGTAAGTTTCAAGCTTACGGACAATTTTATTCAAGTATGACCATCAGATTTTAGTTGCTAAATTTACTGCCACAGGAAAATATGCACTTTGATGTGTATATTTCCAATAAAATCCAATTACTACAACATGTGAACTGAAATTTAAAGGAATCCCAATCGCTGTGAGGCGCGGCTCGCAGGACAACTCGGAAGGACAAAAGTCCGAGACGTATGGTAATTTCGGGAATTGTTGCGACTTGGAGAGCTTGATGAATTGATCGATTACTGGTATAACAAGGGTAAACAGTGCGATTAGAGTCAAGTTGCGGTTTAGGGTTATACCACACGACCATTCCACTCATTCCTTTGAACGTCTAGTCTGCTGCTTTCTTTTCTATCTCACAATCATCGCAGTTTCTAGTTGAGAATATCAGTGCTCTTGCACGACGATCAGCGGACCATGGTTTGTCCTTTTACCCTTCTTTTCATTCTGTGTTAATGTCGCATTGCACAGGGTCAAACTCTTTCATCTCCAGGTCAGCCAGCCTGTGCAACGTACTGAACTTTCTCTTAATTGCTTCCATTAGCTACAAAGAAAACCTCAGAGACGGGGGGAAATGCTCGATTCTTTTACTCCGTATCAGAAATGCAAGGATGGAGAATCAGTGAGTTTCATTTTTAGCGGCAGGCAGCACAAGACCATCGATTAGCGAAGAACTCAATCCCTGATGTTTTCCCCAGCCATGGAGGATTCTCATGCCGCCGTGTTGGACTTGGATGAGGGGAAGCCTGAAAATGAGACAAATACTTTTTTTGCTGTATATGATGGGCACGGCGGTGAGTTATCATCTACTCTCTATTTGAAATTTGACTAATGGCTCTCAAGGCTCTACTGTAGCCAAATTTGCTGGTTCAAACGTACATAAACGACTGTTGTCGGAAGAAACATACCAGGGGAAAGATTACGAAGCGGCGTTGAAGAGGGCTTTTCTGGGAACCGATGAAGACCTGCTGGGAAGTGAGCGCTCGTTCCAACGTCCTGTATGTTTTTGATCTCAATTTGATTCAGATCCTGCCCATACCCGGGATCCCTCTGGTTGTACGGCTGTGGCAGCGCTAATTACGGCGGATAATAAAATCTACGTGGTGAGCTCATTTTCCCATTGGGAAGTATGTATCAGCCTCACTATTCAAGGCAAATGCGGGCGATTCTCGGTCAGTGTTAGGCATTCAGGGTAGGGTAAAACCGCTCAGCTTCGATCACAAGCCAACTAGTGAAGGTGAGACCCTATGACGAGGCTAGCATCTTTCCCTTGACTCTCCCCCTTCTAGTCGAAAAGAAACGAATTTCCGGAGCTGGAGGCTACATTGAGTATGGTCGTGTCAACGGTATGTCTTCACCTCTGGTGGTAGGACGATGCTTAGTCTGGAATAGGAAATCTTGCCCTTTCCCGTGCCCTTGGAGATTTTGAGTTTAAAAAGAACTATTCTTTGTCCCCTGAAGCTCAAATTATAACTGCTGATCCCGACGTAACTTGTCATGAAATTACAGAGGAAGATGAATTCCTTGTCATAGCATGTGATGGTCAGTCGTCCTTCATACCGCGTCCTTCTTTCTCTCACGACCATTCTTTGCAGGTATTTGGGACTGTCTGAGCTCACAACAAGTTGTGGACTTCGTCCGATACAAGGTTTTTGAAGGCAAGAAGTTATCCGAAATTGGGGAAATGATGTGTGATCACTGTCTCGCACCTGACACATCTTCGGGGGCTGGGATTGGTTGTGACAACATGACCGTTCTTATAGTCGCTATCACGCATGGGCGAACGAAAGACGAGTGGTACGCCTGGGTGGCAGACCGCGTAGCGAAGGGTGTCGGTTATCCGACGCCCAGTTCGCCCCCGCAATTGTATGCAACAAGTCGCCTTGCGTCCTTCCGAGCACGGAGAGAAGCTCAGGAGGCAAGAGACAGATTGCAGTTCCAAGGAGTGGATAACCAAACCAATGGCAACGACGATCTTTTCAAGAAATACGGTTTAACTGTAACAACTATTTCGAGCAGTGGTGGAATCTCTTACAAACCTGGCAGTGACATCGTCAGCGACACCGGAACCCTCATGTTTACGAATGACGACAGCGATGAGGATGACAGTGAAGATGAGGGACAGACTGGCCGCTCGTTTTTCACAGAATCCATTGGACTTGGACGATCAGACTCACCCGACCCAACAAAGAGCCTGAAGGCGCAGCTGGACGAATTTGAGAAAGGCATTCAAGATGAGGATACGGACCAAGATGGGGATACACAGATGGAGAGGGGGCTGGCTGTTGCTTCAACGCCGTCATCTACAAAAACGTCTGACGGATCACACCCTCATTTACAGGGTGAAGCGCCTCCACCGCCAGGACCCCTTCCAAACGGCGACGTTACATCACCTCCCGTACAGCACGAGACCCTGCCCAGCGGCGATGCGCCTCTTTCCGTCGTGGGTCTTCTGGATAAGAGCGAAGATCCACTCAAGGCTTAGGCAGATGCCCAGTAACGATAATTGTAACATCTGCAGTTTTCGCCTCCTCACCCTCTCCCTTTCTTTCTCTCTCTGTTAGTCGGTCTGTCCATCTGATTATCTATTAGTGCACCCCGCTGTCATTGATATCCTACCGAGTACATAAAACCCTTGCATATGTACCCTGCACCCAATGCATCATGCCCTGACGTAGACGGTTCACGACACGTATCATATCGTACCATACATCTCCACCTCTCATGTTCATTCCATAGCTGTTACGTAGTGTACAACCTGTATATATATTACAGATAACGATTTCTTTCTCCTCTTATCAAACACCTGTTATCAAGACAAGCTCGCCCTCAGTCAAGCAGACTACGATGCTTCGTCCATCTGCGTGTGCGAGAGCCCCAACGCCAAGAAGAGCCCCTCCACGGCCGTCGTCAACTTTGAGAATAGCTTGTTTGGCCCAATTCTCCTTGACGGATGCTGACCGGTAGATGTATACATTTCCACCCCGGTCACGGACGCCGCTTTCGAATGCAAGCACAGCGGTGGACGGTATATGGTGTGTGAACCTGGTGTCCTGCTTTGAAGCCAACACGAAAGCAAGCGCGGAGTACGTCGAGGCGTGCACCCATCGAGGGACAGGTGTCGCATCTTGTTGTTGCTGTTGAGTGTCCAAGGTGTAAACTATCCCGTCAAGGTCGTTCTTAACGATCAAAGAGATGCCAGAGCTGCCGTTGATTTTACCTGGAAGGGGCGTGGAAAGTAGTTGGAACGGCACGTCCTCAGCGTCTGTCCATGGAGGAGTCGATCCGTCCCCTGTTACCCAGGTGAGATACGCCTGTCTCCCTACATATGCATCCACATCTTCGTCCATTTCGCCGCTTGCGAGACTAGGAACGCCCTGGCCCAACCCGAGCCCACTGACATCCTCACCAGTCTGTAAAGCGGCTGTGTATTTTTCAAGCGATTCACGGATATGCCATAGCTCGGAAGGGTCAAGGGTTTCCGGAACCTCGGGATCCTCTATGCCAGTGTTGGCAGAAGAAGCGAAGACCTGCATCCATCTTGTACCTTCGTTTCGTTTCGTCAGGTAGAGGGTCAGTAACCCACATGTGTGCTCGGCTTCTCGATCCCAGGTCCAATAACTGGATGAAGACAAGATTCCATCCCAAAGTGGCTTGTTGAGATACGATGGAGGAGGAGCAGCCGTTGACGTAGTGATGTCAGTGCTGAGCGTTAGTGCATTTGAACTGAAGGACACGTGTATTTGAGATTTTAGAGTGTCTGACGGGAGGGGGAAAGCGATGGTAACGGAATTGGGGGTTTGGTTCCAAGAAAAGGGAAGAGGCCTCGGTACGTCGAGGTTCTCGTTTGGCCTCGGTATGGGTGCAATTTCATCGGCTGATGGTTCGTATGCTTTCAGTGTTGAAACGTTGGGGTCAGGATAGGTACTTCCACCAATGAGAAGATGCGAACGGAGGGAGTCGACGTAAGTCGCGAAGATTGGGACGTCCTGACCGCGTCGATGCCAGAGGACATCAACGTGGCGGGGTTCCGTGCTGGGTTGCAAAGACAACAGATTGATATTGACAGCCCATATATCAAAGTCAGTCGGTTGATGCTTCATCCCCCGAATTGCCTTGTCGGCGCTTTCCCCGTAGAACCTTGAGGATAAAATGGCAACAGCAGACGTTGGCGATGTTCTGTGAACAGTGTGGATCCTAAATGGCGCGGATGTAGACCCCAGAGGTAAGGTGTACACTCCGATCGGCTCTGAGCCGCCATTTTCTCTGATTGTGAAGATATACAGATACCCGTTACCGTCAGCAACAACGGCCAGCGTGGGGCTTATAAAAGCCGCCGATGGATATTCCTTATTAACTACAGGGGTAGCCTCCGATCGAACGGGCGCTAGTAACTCATGCAAAATTCGGAAAGAAGGTGCGAGCATGTCCTACTTGAGGAAAACGCAGTAAGCAGATCACGCCAACGAGACCAAGGGCGATCGTACTCACTTTGTTCAAATCAACCAAGATGATCCTGTAGCTAGAGTCAACATATATGGCGCGACCCGAGTCACTCTCCACAGCGAGGTGGTTGTGAGTGATGCGACTTTGGACCTCCTGGAATGAGAGTGGCGTCCCTCCTGTCACCGTCGCTTGGGTTGGGGTGAATTGTAGAGAAAAGCGAGATACCGCATTTTCCTGTGCGATAGTCTCGAGCTTGTATCCATCGAATTTATAATTGATAAGCCTCTTGCTGGGTGTAAAAGTGTTCATCTGTGCTGCAAAAAAGATATCTTAGCCGCGTTGTTTCTCGGTGATATCATCCAACTTGTCACGTGGCTTAGATGAGCCTTAAGCAAGTTCAGAACGTTGAACCTGCTGGGGCCGCGAGAATCTGAGAACCACGGCTTACCCCGAAGGCTCCAATGCCAAACAACCCACACTACATACACACTACCTTGACACTAACAACAACCCATTCCCCCTCCCACCCTCGTATTCCGAAAGCGCGCACTTTGTCCGACAATGGTGGCCCAGCCTACTGAACATCCCACGTGTAAGGTCCACAGTCGTCTTATTGGCGGAACACGACCAAGTGAGCCATCGTCTGCACTTCGTGCTCGCGCAACATTCTTTTCGGGTGCCGGTCAATCACGATAACTACAATTCGTACAGGACTGCTTCTGGGCTTGGGGTGAACTGCGTGACCCCTCCTCCTCTTCGCCCTTTCTCTTCCTCCTCTTCCGGATCTCAACCTCAGCCCCCCACCACATCCACATCCACATCCACATCCACCACATCGTTGAGCACCCCCACGCAAATAGAGCAAGACGACGGACTGATGCACCTCTGGTACGTCAGGTGTTCGACGCGATCTTTGAAGAAGACTACGAGGATAGAGGGACGCCTGATCGGCCTAGACCGTTGGTGGCTGTTGATTTTGGACATGCCGTTTGGATTGAGTATGTTGGTGGGAGTGTAAGAGGGATTTGAGGGTGAGTTGGGCAAGTGGGGAAGGGGAAGAAGGAAAATTCAGGGAGTGGTTATTCTTTCGGATAAGGATGGGAGGATCTTTATTTTGTGTTATGAGTGTGCTTTTCAGTTATTCCGGAAGATGTCGATCGACGCGGCTGACCATCCAATTCGACGATGGCCAGCTGCCCAGTCCTCAACTACCTAGAATTAACATTATCTGTCTGTAACACCTGCCTCAGATTATAACCCTTCCGTCTCACAGAAAGTGACACCTTGAATCATTGATCAAGGTTCCCCTCCGAAATTTCGCATTTTTCTGTTCCTCAGGACACCGCCATTTGTAAATTTAATGTAGATTGACTTAAAACGATGCTTAGTTGCGTAAAATACATTTTTCACAGTTTCTAGCTTTTTCCCCCGTGGTACAGGGGATGAACTATGTTTTTGCTGAGTTTGTTTACTAGTATTGAACAACAACTTCCACAACCCAGCCACAACCGGCCAATTGCGGGTCATCAGGTGATTATTCTCATGAGAATATTCTCTAGACTCTCCCAGTCGATTCAACGCCCTCAGCAAGTTTTTCAAAACCAAGTACCAATTATGGATTTGAACTATAAATCCTCTGCGTGGAAGCGTTTACTAACGAGATACATTCAAGTTGTTTTTTGGATTGGGAACTTGGAAGACTGTCAATGAGTCCATATTCGATTAATGGCGGCAAGTGTCCCCGGCACTCCCGGCCCTTGTTTGACATCATACTTAAAGTACTACACACCATCCTCCGGTGACCCTGAACACACCAAATCCTTTTCTATTTTTGTGAACGGAGGTCAATTTTACCATCTGGAGACTGAGAACTTCATTTTGAAGAGAATACAAGTAATCAATTTTGATTTATGTAGCGGTAGATCCCGAGCATCATAAAACGTAGGGTTGTTTATGCCTTTCATCATCTAACCATCTTTCTCCATCGGACCCAGCTTACAGGCCTTTCTGGTTTCATTTTCTTGGGCTGTTCATTTACCTGTGGCGCGCCGCGCCTGGAAATTGCAAGGGTAATCGGCGCAGGATGACCTTTAATTACGGTTTTTTTGCCTATGGCAGAATATTGAATCCCACATCTAGACAGAACATGTCTCACTCGACACCATCTTTCTGCAATGCTGAGTTGGAGAGGGCTCTCAAGGAACAGGGCTTTGCTGTTCACAGCTACGCAATTACGAGTTCTTCACCACGACAAGCTTCGGCTTCGGTGGTTCTGCTAGAAGGTCGCCGCCTTACGATCACTTTGACCACCCAGGGATACTCGGTAGGCTATAACATATTCTCATCATCCAAACGACATATTGACCCGATTTTTGGTAGATCGACAATGGCAAAGCCAGCAGCAGAAACGTCTACGAGACGCTGGAAAATCTGCTTCAATGTGTGAGCCCTATGTACAATCAGAGGCGACAAGAAGCCTTGTTTGCGGCCCTTGAAAAGCTTCAATGAGCGTGAAGCCTTTGCGTTGTTGACCAAATCGGTAAGTGGGAAATTCTGTTCTAGGGATGTTGCCAACATTACCTGATAGCTATCCCAATGTAGACCGATGGATTCCATGCGTTGTAATATATAACAAGCGCTGTAAACTGAGGACCACAAGCGTCATTTTAGAGCTTGATCACCCACCCATTTCTGCGTTATAGACCCTGCCTTCAATCCACCTTGTGCCCAGTCCGTCTACTTTCCAAATATTTCTCGTACTCATCGCGGGTGAAGGTGAACTCATCTGACTGAAGGCGAACTTTTCTAATCGTCTCCCCGATCCACTGTCTCTCTTCGTCATTTCTTATACAGTTAGCCCACCACCTATCCATGCTGCTCCGGATCCCCCGCGAATCCAATTCCTTCCACTCGCTTTGCTCATTAAGGATGTGAAGAAGAAATCCTGCATTGAGGTGTTCCAATCCAAGCTCAGAAAGGCACTTCAGGATCCGGGATATCCGAAGATAATTGTGCGATGACCCTTTGCGCGAGAACGAGAAAAAAATTAATCTGAGGGGTAGATGGAGGGTAGTTTGCACGTACGAACAAGATTACGGTAACACGTTTCAAAATTACGGGGCGGCAAAACCCGATCCAATAGACCTGATTCTGCAGAAATGAGTCGCATGCCATAGAAATCGAGCATGAGTCTATATGATTGAACCACGCGTTCAATGATGACTGGATTAGACTTCATGGCTTGAATTTCATGAGGCTGAAGAGGTTGGCTCTCATAATTCATGCCATACTCCCGTATGGGGAACCTGGAAACGAAATTAGAGGATCGCATGGTGGTGGGAAAAGGTCCAGCCTTACAGCCACTGGATAAATCCATGCTTGAACTCTAGTTTGGAGTAATCACCAAACCATCTGTCAACGCGACGTGAGCGGGAGGAAAAATCCATTGGTAGAGCATAGTAACTGGTCGTGGATCTCCTCAATGAGGCATCTATCAGGACGACAACGGAGCTCATTCGAGTAGAATTGAAGGTTCTCTGAACGCGTCGGGTCATCGCCATCTCGTGGGTAGTTATCCAGGAACTCTTGAACATCTCTCGGAATCGATTCCATGTCGTCTTTTGGTATACGGACACTGTGGGTATAACCAAGTCACTAGAATGAACTTTCCAAAATCTTTCAATGAAGTGTGAGGTCAAAAGTTAGTTGGCCTTGTTTGCTTGTTTGTGCACACTTTGTAGAGCAACTTTTGAAGAGACACGCTAATTTATGTAACAAGCCCACAATAGCCCACGATACGCACGTAGTCCACAATCTCTAAGTTTCATCCATTTTTATTTCCTTTCTTCGCAAACCCTGGACCTTTTTCCCTCATCGTAAGACTCCTGCTACAATTCCCCACAGTGGTCACAATACCCGTTGATATCAAGCATTCCTCCGTTCAACACGCACACAGCCATCATCGACTGACTCTATACGGGTCATTCTGAAACTGCGAAAGTCCGGAAGAAATCACGGTAATTGCCTCTTTCAGGGAGAGCCTGACCCCACATTCCCCACGTGGTGTTCGCGTGGCTAAAAAGCGATCGTGTTTTGACAAATTACTATAGATATTTCCTGAAGGGCCCTATAAATCCCTGCAGAGCCCTGCGGCATCAGACGACAGCTAACATAGCTGAAACACAGGTGAAAGATAGGTTTGCATCAGCAGGCCGAAAAACCTTGAGACCAACAGTGGCCGGAACCTTAGAGGGATGTGTTCAGGAAAGGGTGCGAGGGGCTTCATGTTCGGTCCTTAGACTCGCCCGACTCGGTTCCATTTAGTGCTCAGCAAGGGGAGTATTTATTGAAGGCACTCCGCAACATTTATTCGTTGTGTGAGGTCGACCTTAATCTCCTGTAATTGTAGACGGATTTCCTATTGTAACAAGGTTCATCCATGTGTAGCAGTCAAGCATGGGACTCAGAGCGTGGTAGACTCCGCATCATGCATGCGTCATAAATGCGTTAACTCTCTTGTCGGGTTCGACAGGGTATGACACAGATGAATCATGCGCACGATACATGAATGACTGCTGCGACTCCTCAGTGACAAGTACGTCAAAAGCGTGCAGTCAGATTATCTTCATACGTCGATGATGATATGAGGCGTGGCGTTCGCCTGGTAGAACTCCAAGCTAACATCTGTCAGTCGAACGAGTTATCAGTACGATAAACTCAACTGATCGTTGGTTACACAAGCCATACGTTCGGTAAAACACATATGTGCCATCTTGATCCAACATGACAAGGGCACTTTGGCTAAGCAGAGACGACAGCTTGCCATGATGCGGGAGAGAACGGGAGAGCACCGGCCAATAATCAAGCTAAAAATGCATTCGACCAAAAATAAAGAACCAATAATCCGACGAAAAACCCGATGTGACCAGAACACTCCAGAACACCGCCGAAAGAAAGCCGAGGAAAAATTTGCCTTTTCTCGATGACGACAAGGAAGACACCGGATCATCGACAGGGTGAAGGGCGGTAAGACTAGGAGCGCGTTAGTCGCCGCACCAAGTGAGCCACCGCGGAAACTGTGCGGCGGGAATTACGCGGGCGTAAACCTCATTCCTTAGTCTAGCGCCTCGGGAGACGCAAGGCGTCATTTACTCGTAGCTCCTAACTTATGTACGCCCGATTATGGAACGTGAGTAGGTATTCATTTCGTTTTGGGGTGCAAGATAAGCAAGCAAGCACAAGATGATAGCAGCGTCGGAGTCGGATGGGTGCGAATTCAACCAGTTAGAAAGGTGTAGTAGGCCGGAATTGGGTGCAATGCAATCATGCGGGATGCAACTTATTGCATACATGCCGTAGCGTGGAGCTGCGCAGTGGTGGCGACGCGTTGGGATGCAGGAAGAGTCGACTCCGATGAAGACCCGTCCGGACGCTGTGCGACGTAACCACGTAAAAAAGCGAGTTACATCCGAGACCAGGTGCTCCCGGTCGCCAAGTTCACCGTAGATAAGTAGTAGGAGGTCAGGAGTACTTATATGTATTCTTGTCAACGAATAGGACGTCATGCCATGACCGCGGCCCAGAGGCTTTCTTCGAGAAACAACGATACTGGATCAGACCCAAATTCATCATCATTGGCGAGCGCAGATCGAGGGCCAATTACTCGAACTAAACTTGGGAAAAACCTATTGGAAGCAGAAGCCCAGCTCGGACCCCACACCGCTCCTCTCCTCGGAACTGACGCGTGGTGCTTCTGAGTCCCTGAGTATTGCACCCCGGTTTTTGAAAATAATTGCACACGGTTGTGACACCTTGTTGTGGAGGGTTCGGACGTCATCGTTATCGATAAACATAGGGCGATGTCGGCAAAGATTTTTTAGCCTGTAAAGACGGTGCAGCAGAACAACAGTAGATAGCGTTCAAGACATCTATTCCAAGGTCCAGAAGCGTCGCATTTGTGGGGAAACAGAGAGCTCTCAGACCACATCCAAGAGGAGAACCCAAGAAGCAGTGTCAACATTGATTTCCAGCTGACTTCCTTTCCAGGGTTCGCAGAGGCAAACTGACTAGGCAGGATTTCCCCGGGGAGAAGAAGAAACTCCTGAAAAGTAAAGATTGTACTTGGCGTGCCTTAGTAGATATTTGGCAGGTTGTTTGTTGGCCCGAGTAAAAACAAAGGTATTATAATAAGCTGCCCGGAGTGGGTCATTGTTTTGTTGGTCGACTGGTAATTTAGGCATATGACTCTTGCGGGGTATGATCAAGTGACGGTGAGCGGGGAAGATCGACACCCAAAAGGATAGGCGCGCTTGAAAGTCCGTTTGTTCGGCCGAGGTGGGCGCCATGAATTGCGGAGTCCGGGGTAGTAGGACATGACGAATGCTGAGGGGCACTGCTTTGCGGGGATGAATAACCAGCGGGAGAGCAAAGGGCGTTCCGTTTTGCAAGGGCGTTGAGTGAGGCACGGAACGGGGGGAACATCACCACGGAACGATCGTGGGTGATTCAGGTAGACATTTTAGTGTAGCAGTGACAATGTTGTTGTGGATGTGGAAATGATTGTCGCATTCACGCATGTTGTTGACAAGGCATTCCGAGGTTGCATGTGATGGTTGGAACTCGGCTATTGGGGATCAACAAGGAGTTGGTGCAGTTGAGGTCGGAGCTGATTTACCCGTGACTCTGTTGATAAGGAGTGTAGAAAGGTGTTTATAGGTGGTTAGATGGCACAGACAGATGACCGCAGTCAACGGACAAGTATGAGAGAAGGCTAACAGCTCGGAACAGGACGGCGATGATTGAAACACCGGCGAGGTGGACCGCGAGGGATTTGGTGAGCTTTGGAGAGGTCAACCGTTCATCACATGTTTCGGAGTTGGATGGGTGATAAATGGATGAGTTGAATGAGGTTGAATGAGGTTGCATGTTATTGTGATGATCATTGTGGTGTTCTGAATTGACAAAACAACAAAAGCTATGATATGGACAATAGAGGCCACGGCGAGCCACAGCCAGTGGAGATTGTTGGGATTAAACCGGGAGAGCAGCGGTGGCCCAGAAGAATGTGAAAAAAAGGCGATGGCGGACCGTGACCTCATTGATTGGGGCAAGAGAGGACGGGACGGAGAGATTGCGGAAAAACACGGGGATTACCGGTTATGGATAAACATGAGCATAATATTCGGAAAAGATGGGAATTATTAGATATGATGCCGACGAGACATTCATGGATGGAAGCAAGTTGAAGAACAAGTTTGAACAAGGCGAGTTGAATGTGTCAAGAGAGAATAAATGGATGTCAAATGAATGGAATATAGGTGGACCGACTGGCCGAATGAGCGGGCGGGCAAACAGGGCAGCCGCGGAACCTCGGTCAGATATAGAATAGTTCCGGCAACCGGTACGAAAGGGCGTGGCGCACACAAGTGGGGCACTGTTACAGAAATGGCATGTTACATGAGCCCGATATATCTCTGAATCGAGATCTTGAGGTAAATAAATAATAAATAAGGGCGTGGATACTTATAACAAGACTGATTGTTGATTGTCATTTCTCCTTTACCTTGTCCCCATCGCCGCAATGGACTTCGACTCATCCTGGTGTCCCGTATGCGACAGGCAAATCCTCCCCAAACGTTATCAAGTTCCCGTTGCTCCTCCTCAACCCTCCACTCCTGTTCCTCCTCCCTCTTCTCCCCAGTCATCTCGTACGTTACTATTCATTTTACTCTGAACATTATACTAAACCTTTTACTCAGCCACCAAATCACAAAGGCCAAAGGTTTCTGCACGACGAAGGCAAGGCGGAGGTCTTGTCCAGGGCACCGGTCGCCTCAAGCCAAACGGCACCATCAAGCGAACCGACTCCATCACAAAGCCCGCTCCCCAACCACCCGCAAAGCCAGCCGCTCCGATCAAAACTCGCACTGTAATAGACCAGGGCCCAATTCCTCTTTACTGCTCCGACGCCTGTCAGTTGGCTGACATACACGCCCTCAACCGCGGTCTCCCCATTAATCCCAACCGCGAGCACGCTTCTCCATGTACCCGCACGAACACCTTTTCTATGGACGGCAGTGATCTCGAAAGCGATGCCACCGGATCATCAGTACAATCCACATCCTCAACGTCATCCACAGCCACTCCATCCATCGCGAAACTTGCTGCCTTCCTCAACTTCCCACCCCTGCCTCCTCCTGCACCCACCTACGTTGACGACAGCAACTCGGATTCAGAACCCCTCGAGTACAACAGCGGTATCATGATGGCTGGCCGCCTCATCGATTCTTTGTGCCCAAAGCCCGCCAAGGAGCAAGCCCACGGAAACTATAGGGTGATTCCAGAGCCACGCGCACCAGTTGCAGGGTGGACCGATGGTAGCAACGCCTGGCGGGCATCGGTCTACAGTTTCAGCTCACAGAAGCTTTCCCGTGCTGATGACTCCACCAAGCCATACAGTACAGTTCCTGCATTATCTCACCGCTCTCGTGGCACGCATTCGCAATTCTCTGCCCCCACCCCCACAAATCACACAGCCTCCCTGCCGTCATCTTCCACCGACATGCTTGCCAAATTTTCAGAGTCGTTCAATCGCCGTTCAGAGCTCCGCTCTGCTCTTCACTCTCCTCCTTCACCCACATCGCCAGATTACCCCGCTACCGCACCTTGCAGTCAAAAGCGCGAGCGATCACTGCTCAGGCCCGGAGCGGAAGGGAAACTTCTCGTTCCCGACGTCAAGCTCAAGGTCAACAGTGCCTCCAGCGCATCGCTTTCCAGCGCGTGGAGCGGACCTGCTACTGCGAGTTCAAGAAGGAGTGTTCGCAGCCCACTATCATCGACAATGAGCGATTTCAGCGACGAAGAGGCCCAGGCAACTCGCTATGGCAGCGCTACATCTCTTCCACATCAAGCAAAGAGGCCAGTGGTCGAAAGTGAGCCTCCTTTCGCACATTTTTTATTATTATCTTACTCATTTGTCTCTTCCAGCCCGCTCGTGGTCGTATGACAACCTCAGAACATATCCTATCATGAAACTTCCCCCGAAGATCGTCAAGCGAATGGAGCGACAAATCGTTGATGGTGTTGAGGTCGAGGTCGAGATCGAGGAGGTCGTCGAGGAGCCTCGCAAACGCCTCTTCTTGTTCCCCGCACCCATTCGCTGCTCATAAGCAGTATTCTTTATCCTCTTCCTTTGGGGGCTCGGGGGGTCATCTGGGTTATTTCATTCTTCATCGCTCTGCTTTCTTGCTGCACTGCCTATAATATTCTCCTGCACACCATACCTTGCACGCCAACGACACTTTACGACCTTCTACTCCACCTGCATCGTTGCGACGACGACGACGACGGAGACACAGCAGCATCATCATCTACTTGCAATTCTCATCATAATGATACCCTACATCCATATCCTTATCGATCCACACACACAACCTGCATCTTATTATCATCGCCGCGAATCCTCATCGTCCTCGTCGTGCCAACGACCCCAAAATGTCCATACGCCAACCGCACTTGCTGTCGTGTCAGGCCTCTGGCCTTCAAACTTCCTGTAATACCAAGCCTTGTACTTTTATCTGTTTGTTTATCGTCGGTCTGCAGAACTCTTCCCTTTTCCTCATTGTATTTTGGTGTAACTTTTTTACATAGCATTATTACCCCAGCAGCATTCACATAGCCTGCCGTTGTTGGCAGGCATGATTAATTCCCTTATACCATTTTTTGCATGGCAAGTTACCTGTACAAAGTTCATAGGAATTCAAAAACACTTTGAAAGTCACTCATATCTCCGTGAACTTGTCAATTAGGATGAACGTTTATCGACATCGATGAACTTTGAAATGCAACACAGGCCCGAACAGGTCCGAACTATACGCATATATCGACCTCACGGCATGTACAAGTAGGTACGAGTCTCCTAAGGGTTAGATAGGGTCTAATACGTGAGCGGCGGCCCGCTGATTGAATCAGTGATGGCAGGAGACCAGGGCAAGCAAGCTCCTTAGCCACACGAGATCCCCGCTTTCTTTTAGGCTAGGCACGTTTTTTGTTTGTTTGTTTTTTTTCGAAATTCCTGTGACGGGGGATGATCATGCTTGGGGTTGGGAATATTCACCACCCTTTTTTGTGGGGTTATTTGGGGTGCGAAGGTGCGGGGACCTGTTTCAACGATTTCTCTCACAAGCGCAACCTAGTTGGTTCCTGGTACTCTTGGTCTGAACGTTTGTTAAAAAGGTATTCAATTCAATGTGCGAGCAGGTCTACGTGTGGGTCGACCGTATACGTGAGCGCATAATTTTTTTTTGGAGATGTGTCGTGACTTCCAGATTAATTTAATTTCAGCGATGCCGGTAGCTGTTACGCAAATCGATGCGAACGACCGAGGACTAGACACAAAGGAGGTAAGTCAATTTGCTACAGTTGCCAGTCTGAGTTTGTCCACGGAAAGTTTCGTTGTGTTCGATGTCCCTCCTCAAGTTAATTTATTGCTTCAAGTCATGGCTCTTTTTTGAAAAGGTCCCCTCGAAATGAGGTCATCAAGTCGTGTATATACTTTCCTTGCATACCCGGTTATCGAACCAATAAAGTACTCGCGTCGCGACATCAATCCAATCCGACACGGCGTTCCGGAGGTGTAGAGGATCTTGAGATGCAAAGTCAGGCGAGGCTCATCGCGCCTGATATTTCCTGCAAGCACCAGTGGTGATGTCTGCGAGTCGAAGCCCGAGACGCATGTGGAAGTAAGAATACAACAACAAAACGCCTCACGCACCAAAGCAGACCGAAGCCCATCGCCACAAGGAGCTGCAAATCAGGTGATCGCGATGGCAACTCCAGATAAGCTAACAACCAGCAAAGGTCCTAGCACCGAATAAAACAACAACTCTAGCTTCGACCAATGGAAGCTAATATACCTCTATATGTTAGGTTGTTGTTCGAAGCGAACAATCAACGGAGGACCGAGCACCGCAAAAGTTAAATTGAAAGACACAAGAATGGGGTCACATGAACGAAGTTATAAGTTCATATAAATTCGGCCTTTTTGAAGTTTTTTTGTGAGCGAGGCGAATATGTTCCGGAGCATGTCCCAAGGAGTAACAACTGGTTGTGAAGGCACCTGCTTCGTTTATAAATTACATCGTGATTGACCTGCAGTGCTCGTGCCAGACTCAAAGCCACCGTTTGAATTTTTTGGGGGTTCGTTTCACAGCCGCATTGCAGGCTGCTAGTGATAAAGCCTCCAGAAAGTAACCGCAATTGCCGAAGTCGCTTAATTTTCTGACTGCCAGAGTTATATCTTCACCCTCCCTTTTCCAGCAGTTTAATTGTAGGTCAAGGGATGAATACAAGTACTTACTTAACAGCGGGAATCCGGAAATGAAAGGTCACTTGACATACTTTCATAACAAGACTCCTGCCTTTCAGTACGTCGATAGCTGACACGAGGCCGGAAGGCCGCCAAAGACTGGTGTAGGGTATTTAACCTTAAAAAGCTATTGAACAAAGTACAAGCTAGCACAAGCTATCAGCCGTCCAGAATCGAATGCGTCAGCGAGCGCTTGTCAAGTCAACTTCGAGTCATAAAGTCATCGGTCAATCGGTCATCCTGCACAGGAGACTCCAAAACCCCAGTTCATGTGACCGTAGTGCCTATTAATTGAATCCAAGAGGAGTCGATAAACGGGAAATCGTTGACGGGCATTTGGATCCGGAACAAGCTCTAATTGCGGCTGTGGATGGTGGTGACAGCGGCGGAAACACATCACATGTGGGTTCATTACTCTGGCATGCGTGGATTTTGTCTTTTAAGACATAACGCCGCAGGAAGGGTTGTCCGACTGCGTGGACCGTATAGGCACCAGGTAAGCTTGAACATGACGTTGTCGTCGTAGTAGTACCCTTAGCTGTCTCGCAGCAGACACGTGTGGCGAAGTGGCCACAGAGATCTTCCAGTGCTTGTTTGCCCGAGGTACACGAGTTCGAGAAATAAGACTTTGCCGACAGACCTTGAAAGAATCTCGACAATGTAAAGATGGTCCAGCTTCCACGCTTCTGAACTCGAGAGATTACTTGACTTTCTGTGTAGGATGAATCTAGGCGTATCGTCACCACGACAGGGTTTGGCAAGAATGGCGATCAAAAAGATACCCTCCAACCAGGGACTACCCAACTGCTGGCTCTGGGATTCCTGACATGGTATTGAGGACGTAAGTGCGTGTCCAATAGATCATGAGAGGGAAAACGTTGAAAGGTTGATATGTGCGTACGGAAGTTGTCGCGGAATTTTCATTGAATTTCGGACCGATGAAAGCAGACTCCAGGCACTTCTTGGTCTGTAGGGCTAGTACACATCGTCAAGATGTCATTGTCGTGAGGGGAAAACATAAGGGACGGAAAACTGTGACGGCTAGAGGCTGAGGTTGCTGAGCGGTGCACATGGTGGCGGCTTCAACAAAGGCGCCACGACGTCATTGACGCCTGCCATCATCCACGCTATGCGCTGATCCGCTAAACCATCTCCAGCGATTGTGCCTGTAACTTTCACTGCACATGCGATACATATGTATTCGACAGTGATATCGATATCCCAATAAAGTTGCAATATACCCACTGGGGTTTTCACCTTCAATTTCCAAAGATTTCTCTTGCAATCAATCGATAACCCTCAGAGCAGCTCCATTGGAAACAATTCTAGCAGTTCATTATTGCATTTCCTTCGAATTCTTTGCTCTTCTAGAAATCTATCCCTGGATCGCGACGAAGATGAAAGTTGACGACATTTTGAGTCTTGACATCTCACTAATCCATATGCACTCAGGCATTTCTGGTCTTGACCACGTATGGCTATCAGAGTGACGAGAACGCTTGACGTCCGCCCATGTCTGCTGATCAGGGTTTAGAGCCCCTTCAATGTCCAAAGCTCGGTGACATGATGTAGCGGTCTTGAGAATGGTGCAAACTTTCAAAGTAAGCCCCGACCACAAGATGGCGACGACCAATAGGGAAAATGTCTATCAACTTATCCAACATTCCCAGCAGCGAATGCTGAACATCGTGTGTCCTTTAAGAGAGCCATGTGGATGGCAAACCTCTTCGCACTCCGTGCCTGCACGTCAATGGTCAAGACATCTCGTCTATATGATGAAATTACATAAACCCCGTTCGTGTGGACAGAGCCAGTCTACATAATGCCGTAAGAAAATAAGGTCATGACATTTGACTGACGTTTGGTACCTATGACGAGTTCACCGCCTCTCTCATGTATGCCGCCTCGGGTTTATACGGACTTCGGGTTTAGAGTGATTGTTCAGCCACAAGTGTAAGTTGGGTGGACCGAAAAGTTTAAGTCGGAGGGGAGTCGACGAGACGTCGATTTGAGGTTTGCACTGATTTTGAGTTCAAGGGTACCCATGTAGGTTCATGTAATGACGAACAGCGCCGGTACGTCAGCTATGTAGGGTTTGTCGACTTGGAATTAATTAGCCAACTAATGATAAGGGTCGGTATCAGCTATCAGAGTCAACAGTCTACAGACAAGGGGACCAACCTATGTGTCCTTGCTTGGGAAAACTTTCGGACAAGGGCCAGCTTTCCGTAACACAACCATTCTCGAATTCCCCGTGGCGATTCGACGAAGACGGACAATCGCTTTTCAGACATTAACTCCCTTGCAGGGTTAAAGTCGAAGTTGGAGGGTACGCCGATTATTGTTTAACCACAGGCTTATCGGTGTCGTGCTAACCCACATAGGTCTCCTAGCCCTCACGTACGTGCAGCACGCAATTCTAGATCTTCTGTGTGCCCAAGCTTGTGGAGATCGGAAAATCATCCGTGTGTTCGCACAAAATGGAATATCAAGCCCTTGCACGATATGGCCCTCTCAGAATCTGAAGGATTCGAAAGGGAAAAGATCTGAAAACCTTTGATGAATAATTAGTACAAGAGAGAGTTTGGACGAAATTCCGAGTTACCCTGTCAGAAACGCGTTCAGAAGTACGTGAACTCGCTGAAATAATTCTAATGCCAGTACCGTTAGAAAAAGCATTGGATTGGTTCGCAGATGGGGAATACCGAATACTTACGACTTGTGATCTTGGAAGAGTCTGGAAGAGTGTGTGTGACATGTCACAGTCATTCTGCTGCGAGTGAATGTCATCGTCATCGACGTGCAGCATCGACATTTGGCACCTTTGCTCAAAAATCTAATTTGTTCTTCTCGTTGACCACGATGGACGTCGTAAAAGCGGTCGAGACTTATGTCACCAAGCTGGTGTCGACGCCAACAGCCATGAAAGTCCTTCTGCTGGATACCCACACTGTTTGTCGCAGTCACCCAAACCCAAACCCTACAGCTAACTAACTTTTTATCACAGACGCCGATTGTATCTCTTTCATCCACTCAGTCAACCCTTTTGTCTCACCAAGTCTATCTAACCGACCGCATTGACAACAAAAATCGAGACCGTATGCCGCATATGAAATGTGTTTGCTTCCTACAGAACAACGAGGATAGCTTGGAGGCCCTCGAGGAGGAGCTAAGGGAACCGAAGTATGGAGAGTATTACCTTTGTCAGTCGGTGAATCATATCGGGCATCAGTCGGCTTTTTGATAATATAACTCACACTTTCCTAGACTTCAGTAATATATTAAGCAAGACTGCTATTGAGCGACTAGCGGAGGTTGACGAGTATGAGGTAGTGAAAGAGATACAAGTGCGTTTTCGTGCTCTGTCGTCGGTTCATGCTATACTTTTGGCAGGAATACTTCGCGGATTATGCACCAATATTGCCGTCTTTGTTCTCACTAAACCACGCCCCCACCAACGCGCGACCGTTGTTCTCGTCAACACCAAATATATGGGATCCGAAAGCCCTCGAGTCAGCTGTCCAGGGAATCACTGCAGTCCTTCTTAGCCTAAAAAAGAAACCTGTTATTCGGTACGAGAAGATGAGTTCCATGGCGAAGAAGCTCGGTACGGAAGTTCAGGTATGATCAACCTGCCATTCTCTACGTTGTATTTAAAATCCTTTTGGCGATAGCACCGCATACATTCCGAAGTTGCGCTGTTCGACTTTCGGCTAACACAAGTCCAGCCACTCCTGTTGATTCTTGACCGCCGAAATGACCCCGTCACTCCCTTATTGTCACAATGGACCTACCAGGCAATGGTGCACGAACTCTTGGGGATACAAAACGGAAGAGTGGATTTGAATATGGTTCCTGATATCCGACCAGAACTGTCTGTCAGTCACTCTTCAGGATGGTGTCATTTCGCTTCTTGATGAACGGGTTTAGGAAATTACATTGACAACAAGCACGGATCCCTTCTTCCAGGCCCAATATCTATCCACTTTTGGCGACCTTGGCTCTTCGTTAAAGGTCTATGTACAGGAATACCAGTCTCGGTCCTTGGCTCAGTCACCATCATCAATAAACTCTATTGCCGATATGAAACGATTCATGGAAGAGTATCCGGAATTCCGGAAGCTTGGAGGGAACGTCAGCAAGCATGTAGCGCTGGTTGGCGAATTGAGCCGTCTGGTTGGCAGAGACAAACTCCTCGAAGTCGGCGAGGTGGAACAAGGACTTGCAACAAGTTCGGGAGCGGACTTCAGAGTAAGACTTGTCTAGATCTGCCTGCTGTCCATGAGTTGAAATGGTTTGTTGCAGAGCGTGCAAGCGATGGTCAGCGACAAGGACGTGCCACCATGGAACAAACTCCGCCTCGTCATGTTATTTGCCCTCCGATATCAGAAGACGCAAACCGCCAATATTGCATCACTTATTAATATCATGTTGTCCAATGGTGTTTCTCGAGAAGATGCAAGAGTAAGCATGAGCGCCTTTTTTTGCAAGCTTGGACATCTGAATTTTTGTGAAGCTTGTTTACGTTTTGCTGAATATTGCGGGTGCGGATCAACGACAGGATGACCTTTTCTCAACAGAATCTTTGCTCGCTAAAGGGCGCTCTGCTTTAAAAGGCCTCAAGGTATGCCTCGAGAGCAAGATTCAGATACAAGGAGACAATCTGATGTTTCAACAAATCGCAGGGTGTTGAAAATGTCTACACACAACACACGCCTCATCTTTCACAGACACTCGAAAATCTTTTCAAAGGGAGATTGAGGGAAGCCAGCTACCCTTTTGTAGAATCACCTGGACCCAATTCTAGTCTTCAAAGGTTGATAATCTTTTTCCTTACTTGTCAAGGCTGATTTTTTGTCCAGACCACAAGATGTTATTATATTTATGATTGGTGGGACTACGTATGAAGAGGCCAGGACGGTTGCTCTCTTCAATCAAGACCCTGTAACTGCGTCCAATGGCGGCATTGCAAACCCAGCGGGGGTGAGGTTACTCCTGGGTGGCACTTGCGTCCATAACTCTTCAACGTATATGCTCGTGTTTCATCTCATGGCTGTTCTCACTGACGCTCGGATAGGTACATCGAGATGATCCGTTCAGCGGCTCTAAATTTCCCGCCATCCGTCTACGACCCGCCACCAGAATCCGCATCTAACGCGCCTGTCCTCAATCTTAATCTCGGAGGGGTCAATGTTAGCCTGGGCGGGCCGGCGGGAACAGGTGTCTACCGGACCAGTAACGAAGGTGTTGGCGTGCAAGCTGATGGAATTCGAGACGGCGTCATGAATCTTCTGGGAAAAGTAAAGCAGGGTGTCGACCGTATGGGTATACCTTGAGCAGTGATTAGGGGGCGAGAAGCAACCATTAATTATTATTTGCAACTTTCTCCACGCTCTGCATCCGAGCGCCTACACGTGCGTTGTGTGTGAGCAGCGGACACGTCAATGCAAGTCACGCGTTCTACTCCAGTCTGCAGGTCAACACTACTGTTTTTCCACTTTCCCAACACTTTCTTCTCTCCAACTTTCTTTTTCTGTTTTCGGAGGCTGCACGCCTGCATAGATTACAATGGCGAAAGGCTTCTTCGCCAATCTCAAGGGCGTCGATGCCTTTGGTAAAGTATGTTACATCATTTGCTTGGCTGGTGGGACGTAAGCTCATTCAACTTAGACGACAGAGGATGTCAAGGTCAAGACACGAACGGGAGCTCTATGTATGAAATGGTTCGTCTTTGGTCGGCGAACATAGTCGCTCACCAGTCTCGACGACAGTGACAATTATCTCTGCTGCAATCATCCTGGCTTTTTCTTTCGTTGAATTTATCGATTATCGGGCGGTGAATATCGACACATCAATTGTTGTGGACAAGAGCAGAGGAGAAAAGCTGACGGTCAATTTGAATGTGACGTTCCCGAGGGTACCATGCTATCGTGGGTGTAGCCAACATCTGCATAACATCATTCTAACGGCGCCTTGCAGTGCTCAGTCTGGACATTATGGATATCAGTGGCGAACTTCAACGAGATATTTCTCACAATGTGATGAAAGTCCGGCTTGACACGCACGGTAAAGAAGTGCCCAACTCGCATAGCGCAGAGTTGCGAAACGACCTGGACAAGATGAACGACGCGAAAAGAGAGAATTATTGCGGCTCATGTTTTGGAGGTCTGGAACCTGAAGGAGGATGTTGCAATACTTGCGAGGATGTTCGTTTAGCGTACGTGAACCGGGGGTGGAGCTTCTCCAATCCAGAAGCCATCGAGCAAGTTCGTCTCGCCTCCATAGCTCTCCCTCTCTGTTTAACAAAATTTCCATCATAGTGCAAAAATGAAGGCTGGGCGGATAAGCTAAAGGAACAAGCGGATGAAGGCTGCAACATCTCGGGACGGATTCGCGTAAACAAGGTCATCGGCAACATACACCTCTCTCCCGGTCGTTCATTCCAGACCAACGCGCGCAATCTGTACGAGCTGGTTCCTTACCTGCGTGATGACGGAAACCGTCATGATTTCTCTCACACCATCCATCATCTTGCGTTCGAGGGTGAGCACAATCGCCGGTTTTTCAGCCTTTCTAGCTCATTCCCGCTTTTCAGGCGATGATGAATACGATTATTGGAAAGCAGCGGCTGGTTCAGCTATGAGGCAACGTATGGGATTGACAGAGAATCCGCTTGATGGGGCCATTGCCAGGGTATGCTCAATCTCTCCTTTCGAAGAATGGTAGCTTAACGCTGTTTATTAGACCGCAAAAGCGCAATACATGTTCCAGTATTTCCTCAAAGTCGTCTCGACGCAGTTCCGGACGCTCGATGGCAGGAAGGTAAGTGCTTGCTGGCTTCTTTCTCGACATTGATATTTATTCCGCCTCCCAGGTGAACACACATCAGTACAGCACGACACAATTTGAACGCGACTTGACCGAAGGCGCTGCTGGGGAAACAGCTGGTGGAATTCACGTCCAACATGGTGTTAGCGGTTTACCAGGTAGGAAACGTTTCTAGTTCAGCATGTTGGGGGAAAAATTGAGACTTTTCGACAGGTGCCTTCTTCAACTTTGAAATTTCGCCAATTCTTGTTGTCCATGCGGAAACGCGGCAATCATTTGCGCACTTCCTGACATCGTGAGCGGTTAACACAACCCAAGTCCAGCTTGTCATTGCTAACTATATTTTCTCCTAGAACATGTGCCATCATTGGAGGAGTACTCACAGTTGCGTCGATAATAGATAGCATTCTTTTTGCTACCAACCGTCGCTTAAAGAAGTCAGGTGGCTCCGCTCCGACTGGAAACGGTTATGGAAAGCTCATGTAAACTATTCATTGGTACATGTACGACACATTCGCCTGCTGTATAAATTACAGCAGTGGAGCACAAAGCGAGGGCAGGCAGCACATAGAGATAAGGATAAATAACTCGAATAAGAGAGTCGAAACAGAGGGTATGTGGCTCATCAGGTTTTTGTCGTTATCTTGCGTTTTTTCTTGGGTGGAGCGGGGGTTGGGTGCTTCGTACGATGAGTTTGCGTCGCTTCTACTGGCGGGCTCATCATGAGTTCATCCTCTTCTTCGTCATCCTCGTCCTCCTCGTGATAGTCAATGGCATTCCGACGCTCTCTCAACTGCCTCGTCTCGCCAGTCTCCTCTTCTTGTGGTTCATACTCCTCGTCCTCAACAACGCAATTCCTCCGTCGCAAACTCCGTGGCCGTTTAAAAGCGGTGATAATCTCGTCCTCTTCCTTTGGTTCAACAGATTCCTCTTCCTCTGAATCCTCCTGCTTCACATTGATCACGGCTTGCACGCGACGAATGACAGTCTGCTTGGGACCTACCCGAGCCTCCTTTGCTCGATTGCTTTGGCCGGAACTAGATGGTTTCGGGGGTTGACGCCAATGTGAAGCCGCGCTCGTAGTTGTGCCATTTTGGTCGAGTTCTGGCTTTGTATCTGATGTCTCTCGGGCAGGATACGCTGGCGGATCCGCATGACTTTTAGTTTTCGTATTTTTGTTGACACCACGCTGTTTCGGAGCTGACGCTGCGGCCACCTGCTTGCTACCGGAAGCGTGCAAGTCAGAAGGACTTGGGGGTGCTGCAGATTTGTAGGCTGGCGGCTGCGTTGGTGATGGTATTGACTGGCGCTTCGCAGCGATCGAGGAAGGTGCAGATTTGACAGCATCACTTGTAGTGAATGCGGATATAGCAGAAACTGCCGTTCTACTCCACTAAAAATTAATTAAACAGTGAGCCTTGGATGAGTGCGATATGAGATGCTGGTCAAGTCACACCTGAAGTCTCTCTGAAACCAATTCGTCCATCCGCGATGATAACGCGCATCTCTCTTGCTCAACACGAAGGAAATGTTCTTGCCAATTCCGCGACTGATCTTTCCATTGTGTGACCTCTCGGCGAAGCTGGGCAATGGTCTCCGTTTGTTGTGCGATTGTGTCTGTTTGGCGTGCGATTGTGTCCGCCTGGTGTACAGTCTGAGGTGAACGTTTGAGTAACAATCCGAGCATATTTACTGGTCCAACTTGCCGTCAGTTCCACTTGGGTAAGCTATGGGTTGAATGCGTCATATGCATATATCATGACGGCCAAAGATACACGTACCGTAGCCTTCACCGCATTAGCCTCCTGCTTCCAAGTCTGGATCTCCAAATGCGACGCGTGAAGTTCCTTCAAAGCTTTGTCGCGCTGTACTCTCGCTTCATGCGCTTCGTTATTGGCGTGCGCCACCTCTTCACGGCAATTCGTGTCGACATCTAGGAGCTTACACAACAATGTTGGTTAAATTCCGAAAGGGGAGGAGGGGTGAGCTCACTGCTTTATATGCTGTCTTGGAGAACGCAACGAGGGATTCCGCCAACAGGACGGGGGACGTCGAACTTGCCATTAAAGAGGTTTGAAAGGAATGACATTGTTCTGATTCAAAGGTACAGGGAGGTGATTATGTAGCTTTTCCCAGCACGTGATTATGTGAGTTTCGCGACCTGCTCCTCCATCCACGTCCAAAGCTCTCTGCCAAGTTGAACATCATCCGTCTCCTTTCGTGCTTTGCCCTCCCGGGCCCAAGGAATTAAAAACTGATGGCGAAGATGTTACAAAGACAAGTTTAGATAGCATTATATATACCTTTCCGTTGAGCTTCGCTCCTTCAGGTGAGGTACCAGCCCATAACTGGGTCAGCGCACCCCATTCTGCTGGGTATATTTGAAGAAGAGCCTAGAATCCTTGAGCAATTGTGCTCGCCACGTAATTTGTACCATACATACCAAAAAGAGCTTCTTCGGCCAGTCGAGGACATGTCCGTTTAAATTAGTTTTTAGATTTCCTAATCATCAAGCCTACTCAATTGGATAATCCAATGGGTTAGACAGATGCGGACCTGGATTGAGCGATGTCGAGACAATACCATGATCCCCGTACCGTCGCGCGAGTTCGTTTGAAAAGACGATGTTGGCCTGGCATGATTACTTGGCATGAACCCAATGATTGAAAAGAATAACACGCACAAATTTGCTTTGGCAGTACATGTCTTCAGTTGTGTATTTCCGCCTAGCACCTCCATCGATAAACGAGTCAAAGTTTAAGGGATCCGCACGGGCGACGTAATGAGCAGAAGAAGCGGTATTGACTACCCGAGCTTTACCATCTTCGTTCGTCCTGGCGGTCGAAATGAGGGTAGGGAGGAGGAGAGTCGATAAATAGAAGTGGCCTGCACATGGACCGAGTATGAGTCGACGATATAGTTATTGTGCAAAACCACTCACCCAAGACGTTCGTGTGAAATTGAAGGTCGTACCCAGCAGAGAGCTGTTCCATGGGCGTTGCCATGATCCCTCTGCAAAGCACCTTAAAATTGATAGGATCCAAGGGACAGGTCGGCTGACCCATTGTTGAACAGAATATCCAGTCTGTTCTCTTTGCTTTGCAAACGTGAGCCAAGGAAGGTGCTCCAGGACGACAGAATGCACCTAATGAATTCCCTGGTTGCTTCCCTTACGGAATGTAGGCTCGCCAGATCCAACTTCAGGAAGCTAGCGTCCTTGCCCGTAATTGCGTGAAGTTCAATGATGGTTGCCTCGGCTTTCTGCTGGTCCCTGCATGCTATGTAAACTTTTGCGTTGTGTTCTAGCAGGGCCTATGGAACCAGCATTAACTCGATCCTCATCAACAGATGGGTCACTCTTAGTTCACTTTTGCGGTGTACATCCCCACTCCAGCATTCCCCCCGGTCACAATCGCGACTTTTCCTGCAAGGTCAGGAATCTGGCTGGTGCTCCAAGTTGGTCTACCACAAAAGTACGCTTGCTCTAGAAAGGGCCAGAGAGATATTGCTCTGATATCTCGCCATGTGAATCGAGGAAACCCTAGAAAGTACGGTGAAGGGTGCCGATTTTGGAGGTCATCATTGGCAAAGGACATAGGAGATATTTGTTTGTGTTGTGGTATCGTTGAGTTCTGATAGATGTAATGATATTCTGTGGGCATTCATTTCCTTGCTCATTGGTATTATTTTCCATTTCCCAGCGCAAGTAACGCCCAAGATTTTAAAAAGCCCCAATTTCTGGCTGTACGATCGCTCTACGCGACTTGCGCTTTTCTTTTCTCCACCGGATACCTTTGCCGAACACACGTTCTCTTCGACAGCCCTCATATTAATTCCTCTTGCCATCTGGTACCCTCTCCGTGCACGAGTAACGTTCTTTTACTTTTTTTCTGCTCGTTGTTGTATTCGCCAATCTCTCATCCTCACGACTTCGATCTTTTGACTGTACTTTTGTCGCTCGGACGTCACATCGCCGGCGATTGTATCTTGGGAGGAAGGAAAACCATCAGTGAAAGTCAGTGAATCACTGGAATATTAAACTATCAAGTACGTTTTCTGTCACTAGCTTGCATTATTTGACATCATCTGCCGCCGAGTTGCCATCTTCATTCTCATCATTTGCATCCTTAGCCCCCGAATTCTCTGACCTTCTTCTCAAACACAGCTTTTTCAGGAAGCCATATCTTGCCGATCACACAATCTACGCGCGCCGACGTCTAAGGAATGCATTCACGACTGGCGATCGACACCACAGTTGGGATGACTGCTGGCCCATCATCCGCCAAGTCGCGTTTTCGTGATAAGAGAAGTGTATCCCCAATGCCTGGTTCTCCGGGGCCCAGTAGTATTGCTCAACGAGGCAGAAGCGTTTCAAACGCTTCCACCACTTCTTCCTTGTCAATCATTTCCCCTAACTCCTCTTCCACCAACGCGTCCACTACATCCCTAAACATCCCAACCGCTACTCAACACTACAACCGCTCACGGTCGGTGAGTCCTGCTCTTGAAGAGACTGTTCGGCTCGGTTCAGAATATGTTCTCGCAATGCATGATTATGCGCCACAACACCAAAGCGCCACATGCCTATCTTTCCGCGCTGGTCAAGTGATCCATGTTTTGAACAGGGACACTAGTGGCTGGTGGGATGGCGAACTTGAGGGGAGAAGGGGGTGGTTTCCGAGCAACTATGTTAATACCGAAGTCACTTCACTCACCGAGGAGCAACCACTCGATCAAGCTGTGAGTTTTCTCGTGTACTTGAACATTGATTTATATTCAATAAACTACAGCGAAGACGTGGGCATGTTAACAACGGCTCCACAGCTTCCGCAGCTTCCTGGGCCAGCACTGCGTCAGGCCATCATAATAACCACACTCGCCATCCCTCACTATCCGAAAATCTCGGCCAGGACCAGGACGTCGACTCATATTGCCCTCCCATAATGGTTCCCTTGTTGCATGGCCTTTCGTTGCTTCAAAATGCTGTCCGTGCCAATCGTATAACCCATTTTCAACCTTCAACAGCTTGCATAATATCCTGTGTCCGCTCCATCCTCGCCGGAACGGAAACGCTCCAACGAGAAGCTCCCCTATTACAACAATTTGCAGGCTTAGCAGAAGAACGTCGACGAATATTAACGGTGTTGGCTTCACTTGTTGCGCAGGCAAAGAAAGCATCGGAAGAGAATCTCGACCAGGGAAAACAGGAGGTTGAAATAGAAAATATGTTGCGTTTGGGAGGTCAAGTGTTTGCGCATGTGCGGCGGTTTCTGGCCGTTGCTGTTCAATGTGGTGTGGAGCTTCCAGAAGATCAGGATTCGACAACAAATTCAGGTTCCTGGAATAACCAGCGAAGTGATGGAGTGGAATCGCCGACTGGCCTTACCCCGACCAGGTTCCGCGACGATGATAATCGTATCGCAACCTTTCCGCCGAAGCACCGGTTGAGCGATCCGACCCAGCTTGCATATATCGGCAGGACAAGGCAGGAGCAATATCTTCTCCGTGAACGAGCTATTGTGGGACGGCACAGACAAGGGGCCTCAATTAGTAGCATTGAGTCTGCGTCATCATTTTCGTCGCAGGACTCGATGACAGCCCCAGCTCCACTACCATTCCCTTGTGGACCCTCGACGGCTGCCCAGGTCCTGGAAGCACTGCGCCATACCCATGACCATTATCTATCCACGATTGCTGCCTTCATCGGACACGCCCATTCTCATTCTCGAACATCACACGCGTCGAGCACAGGCCACCTATATGACCTCGTTAAAGAGATCGTTGAGATGGTTTGTAAATTACTCACCATCGTGGAAGCCGTTATGCTTCATCCCGATGTGCCACCTCTTCGTCTCGGAAACTTGAGGTCGGCCAAGGAAGGATTGTATAACGTGACGAGCTCGTTGGCGGAATCTGTTCGCCTTCTCACCTTGTCGCTTCCGCCGACGATGACTGATGAAGGCGAAAAGCAAACCCTTTTGCGTTCAGCGACAGGGGCGCTCAAAGCTGGTGCTGATTGTGTGGCAGCGGTGAAAATATGCCTGAGTCGTTCGGCAGGTGAAAAGCCTTTTATCATCAACATACCAAGCTCTAGTGACTCCGCGTCACAGCCTTTGACACCAGGCAAGTTCTCTGGGTCTCAGCTGGTGAAATCGATCAGCATGAGCGGGCTCAAAGGCTACCCCAAAGGATTCGAGGATGAGGATCTTACCATTCAAGCGCAAACCCCTTCTCCCGTTACGCGTCCAAGAGAGATATCTTCTGGGTCAGATAAAAGCAACTTTTCGAAATTATCGCAATACTCTGTTGAGACACGGGCCACGTCTCCGGAAGAAGGCGGCAAGCCATCGTCACTTCCTCCATTGACCATTACAAACGCGCCAGTCGAACCCGATTTCCCTTCACCGAGGTCGTTTGCGCCCACAGATGACGGCACCACTTGGGAAGGGAGTGGACGAAGTCATGAAACACCAAAGGACAACGTCGTGCATGGAGACTTGCCAACCGTTCCTCCCGAACCTATTCCTGAATATAACCAAGACTTCTCGCATGATTATTCGCTCGAAGATGTCGCATATAATAGTGATGGTCACCTTGTTGGCGCTACTATGGAAGTGTTGGTCGAGAAGATGACACCTCACGATAGCATTGTCGACCCTGCGTTCTCCGCTGTGTTTTTCTTGACTTTCCGGTTGTTCTCGTCACCTACTGAGCTTGTCGATGCTATTATCGCGCGTTATAACCTTCTTCCTCCACCGAATATAACCCCAGAGGATATGCAACTCTGGCAGCAACGCAAGGGCATACCTGTTCGTCTGCGTGTTTCGAATTTCATCAAGATCTGGGCTGAGCTTTACTGGCGACCAGGGGTTGACGACCCTGTGTTACCTGCACTGACCTCGTTCACAAGAGATGGATTAGGCGCAATCTTCCCTGGACCAGCTCAGCGAATTTTGGATCTCCTCAATATGCGAAGGCGGTCGATCGCGGACGTGGCAATCAGCCCTAAGGGTGACAGAAGCCGCGACCCGGGAATGTCAATCAACCCGCCGTCAGCTATCACACCGACCAGTGAGATTCCTAGACCGACGATGACGAAGACTTTGCTCGTGGCTTTGAGGAAGAAAGACTTTGCCAATATCACTGTCACGGATTTTGATGCGTTGGAACTCGCACGCCAGCTTACGATCATGGAATGCAGTTTGTATTGTGCCATCACCCCTGAGGAGATCCTAGAAACGGGGCAGGAGGGTGCTACGCCTCCTGTGAACGTCAGAGCTGTGAGCTCACTAAGCACGGTCATTACTGGCTGGGTGGCGGAGAGCATACTGAACGAACCTGACACCAAGAAGAGGACTCTTTTAATCAAATTTTTCATCAAGGTTGCAGATGTGAGCTTTAGTCATTGCTACCTGTCACATTGTCCTTCTTGTTGATGACCCGTTCTTTTCTAGCGATGTACCACACTCCATAATTATAGCACATCTCGTTCTATTCTGGCTGCCCTAGATTCATCTACTATTTCAAGACTCCGTCAAACATGGCTGGTGAGTCCCCTGGTAGTTGGAGCGAAAGAAATATGACTGACTTGCTCTAAATTCTGTTTAGGGGCTACCGCAAAAGTATAAGACGCAACTAGAATCTCTTCGCCGACTAGCAGACCACAGCCGCAATTACCACGAATACCGAAGTAAATTGCGAAATACAGCACCTCCAGCTGTGCCATTCCTAGGTACAATGACTCCCTAAATGCTACGACTGATAGGCTAAACGCGGTCCTGAACTAGGTCTCTATCTCACCGATGTAACTTTCTGTCGGGAGGGTAATCCTTCACATCGAGCGTCACCGATGAACCAGAACAAAAAACTACTCAACTTTAACAAATACCATAAACTCGCAAGGATTGTACAGGGTGAGATTTCATTGCTTGCCTTGCCGTCGTCTTCTCACCAGTTTCCCACTCAGATATGCAACGATTTCAAGTCCCCTACAACCTTAAAGCTATTCCAGAAGTCCAAGAATACCTTAATGTGGCTTTCGACAACTCCCGACACCATGGGGATCTTCAAGACCTTTACCGCAGGAGGTACGTCAGGAGGACGCCCTTATGGATGATGACTCACCTCATGCTCCCCCAAGTTTACTGGTTGAACCCAAACAGCCAGCTGATAATCCTCCCACTGGCGACGTGCGGCAACTTTTCAATTGGGCAACTCGATCCCAATCTCAACCTCAGGCAATAACTCCCTCATAGTTGCGCTGGTTTGGTATGCCCCTTCCATCCATCATGGCACAAAACCCACCCTATGATTTCGCCAATCTACACCGTTAATACTCTAGTAGGTCATACCTTTCTTTATTCTTCATTTTTTGGCCTGTCTCGCTCAACTTTTGGATTTATACCTCATGTTCAAGTATCCCTCGTTTTGTTGATCTTATTTATACCAATTCCTTTGCCTATTGCAACTCATATATTGCTGTTTTTCTATCAACTATGTAACGAGCTAGCTCAGAACATTTACGGTTCTGTTAATACAGGAGAAATACCCTTCGATGTAGAAGAGTGATTGTTCGAATAATAGTTAGTGGCTGTGTGGAAGGGTCATGACGGTGAAGCTGAGGGAGTTTTTCTTCTGCTTGAGCCCGTCCATCCCCCGTACATGTGGAAGGGGTGGATACGTGTTCGCCGTCAGTCCTGGGCCCTGATCAAGATGTAAGATTTTGTTCCAATAGACGTCACAAACTTACAAAGTCGTAAACAAAGGGTCTGCTCTGAGTCACGCCAAAGAACCGCGAACTCTCGAGGATGACCGAGTAGACGGGAGACGAATCATTGCCTGGAGCGTACACTTTCCAGCCTTCCTTGGGGTAACGAACATCCCAAAAAGAGACCACGCTGTGACGAGCTGTCCCAGCCGCAATGTGACTGGAGGAACCTCCACCACAGGAAACGGAGTAAATGGGTTCCTCCGACCATTTGTCTGATAACGACATGACGGGCCGCAATGGAATTGGACCAGAATTCTGCGTGCGGCCGCCCTCCAGTGATGTACGAGTAGATGATCGTAGATCATAGCATCTCACTACACCGTCGAACCACCCAGTGACGACAATTTCCTTGGATGAGCCCCAGGGAGAAGACAGAGGTCCATGTGAGAGACCGTAGACCGCTGTGGACGGAAGACGATCTGTGGGCAGAGTGACACCTTTGTCCGTATAGAGAATGGCGGAAGGTGCAGATGATAGCTGGGTGTTTGTGATCGGATGAATTGCGACGGGGGTGGTGGACGATGTACCAAAAGCTGCGTAGGGTGTAGAGGAATTTAAGGAAAGCAGCGAGACCCAGCTCCGTGACTTGAGCTCGATGATTGATGATGAGCTTTCATCGGAAGCGGAGAGGTTCTCCAGCTTTGCCAAGCCGGTAGAGGATAATGAGAGCAACAAATCTCTATCAAACGAAAAGCTTTCGACAAAGTCGTAATTTGGGAACGAGGGTACGATCGTCCGAGTCGCAGAAATTGCAGTTTTACCGTCGACCTCTGACGCCATGAGCATCACTCGCTCGATAGCACCGTCTTGGAAAGCAACGTAGAGGGTTCTGTCATGCCCACCATCTTGCACAAACGTGGCCCCGGTGATGTTTCGACTAGGTTCATGAGGTTGTTCTACAAACGAGAAAGTTCCTTCCAAATGGATAGAAGGAGAAAGTCCCTCCCCGAGATTCCCAAACTTGTAGGAGTAAAGTGTGCTGCCTGCTGCCACAACAAGTCGTGACGGACTGATGGCAAGGGTGGGTTGAAGTTTCCCTTTCCATGGCCGAGAGAGAGGCCGCGCTACGAAGTTGAAATTCTTCCAAGCAGTGTCCGTAAGGTAGTCATATTGTACGCGACATCGGGGCGACCATTTAGGGCGTAAGGACGAAAGGCCGTAAGAAGGGCGAGGGTTGGAGCGCAGATATCCAACCCATCCGAATTCGGATACCTAAAAATTGAATATTACTATGGACAAAGATCGACAAGGGTCATTTACGACTCACCAAGCTGTGCAGCTTGTGACATGTCGAAGATAGAGCAATGAGTTCTAGAACACCCAAGCCGTCAAGAACCAGGATGAGAATGTCGGCCGGAAGGGTAGTCAGGCTCATGGTGTCAGCTGGTTTTTTGAATTCGAGGTGAGCTTTAAGTGGGCAGCGGATGTAACCCGCACTACTGACGCATGTTCCGATCTGCGATTAGGTGTAGTAGTCCAAAGGGTTATAGAGTTTGAGTGATCTTCAAGAGAGCGGTAGAAAATATTTGCCCACCTCATACAAAATCCGCAGAATTTAAGGAAAAATCGGAGGCTGTTTCCTAGATCGGTGCCGTTCCAGTGGCAGTGATTTGACAGTCTCTCGACTCGCCGCTCGGACGCGATAGAGAGGACCCTGAACGCGAAGACTCGTGAGGAATAATCACGTGTTCTGCTTCTTTCGTGTCGCCCTCAGTAACCGCCGTGCCGACAACCATTAGACGTACAGCGCTGGCAAGAGTACTCAGTTCTCCCCCTGTTATCGACCTGTGCCCTCATATTTATACAACGGAAATTTTATCAAGGCCATGCGAAGGGATGTGCGCATCCTTCTGGTCGGAGATGGTGAGCGCATCGTTTTCAAAAATCACATCATTCGCTTATATGTTCTGAATTACAGAGGGTGTGGGGAAGAGCACAATTGTAACATCGTTGATCAAGGAATCATTTGTTGCGCATGTCCGTATACCGCCTACTCGCCCTGTTTGCAAACCGTAACATTCGCCTTAGGTTCAGCACATTGTACCCGAGGTCACCATCCCACCGGAGGTAACCCCAGAGAACGTTACAACATATATCGTCGATTCCGGAGGTGTGTCTGCGGTGTTTGACGCGTCTTTGTCACTCTAACATCTCTTCCTAGCTGGCCCACAAGACCGTACCCACCTCGAGTCCGAAATTCGAAAAGCACACGTCATTTGCGTCGTTTATTCCATTGACAACCCAGGATCTTTCGATCGAATACCCACATATTGGTTACCCCATTTTAGGCAGCTTGGCGTTAACGTATCTCTGCATCTCATTTCTTGGCGAATTAACCGAGCTCACTGATAGACCGGCAGGTTCCTGTCATTCTGGTGGGCAACAAGATCGACTTGCGTGGTGGAGAGGTTACAAATGAGGCTTTGGAAGAAGAGATTATTCCGATCATGAACGAATTCAAGGTGCGTAGTGGTTGCGTTCAACCTCACTTACCCTGACCCTGTTGTCTTTTCCTTTCCAGGAGGTAGAGACATGTGTGGAATGTTCGGCCAAAACACCAGTAAACGTATCTGAAGTCTTCTACTTTGCACAAAAGGCTGTCTTGCATCCAACTGCTCCGCTGTACGATTCGCGTGACCACGTACGACCTTGCCCTCCCTCCGTAACATACCGCCCTCACTTACTCCTCACAGGTCCTTAAACCGGCTTGTATCAATGCACTTCGGCGGATATTCAAGCTTTGTGATGCAAACAAGGATGGAATCCTGGACGCTTCTGAGCTGAATGAATTTCAGGTGACCTCTCCTCGTCTCGATGTGTTCGCTAAAGCTGAAATGATGGTAGAGGAAATGTTTCGATGCTCCTTTGCAACTCCAAGAGCTGGAAGGGATAAAGACAATGGTCCAAGAGCATGCCGAAGGCGGCGTTCGCGACGATGGCTTGACAGAGGCTGGATTCCTATACCTGCATACCAATTTTATTCAACGTGGACGACTGGAGACGACCTGGACAGTACTCAGAAAGTTCGGCTACGCTGAGGATCTCCGACTAACAGAATCTTTCTTGTCACCCAAGTTCGTGTCCTCAAGGCAATCGACTTCAATTTTTTTACTCAATAGACTTTTCATTTAGGTTCGATGTCCCCCCAGACTGCTCAGTCGAACTTAGTCCGCTTGGTTATCAATTCTTCACTGACATATTTGAAATATTTGATAAGGTACAGGCCTTGTGACCCTCGGGAAATGACTAGTCCTTAATATAAATTGGTCTAGGATCAGGATGGCGCTCTGAACACTGCCGAACTCGACCAAGTCTTTAGCACATCTCCAGGTAATCCATGGGCTGCGCAAAAATTCCCCGACACAACTCTTTCCGATGAAGCTGGTGCGGTCACGCTACAAGGATGGCTTGCGCAATGGAGGCACGTCTTGCTTCGCCCTCGACGCAATGATGTCTCCTAACATTTCTGTCCGTCAGTATGACAACGCTACTAGATCACAAAACTACTTTGGCATACTTGGCATATCTTGGATACCCGGAAGAGCCACGCACTGGAGCTCTGCAAGTGACAAGGCCGCGGAAAGTCGACCGTCGAAAAGGCAAAGTCGCAAGGAACGTATTTCTCTGTTTTCTTTGCGGTGCAGCCGGATCAGGGAAGACATCGCTGCTACGCGCATTTGCTGGAAAGCCATTCAGTCCTGTTTATGAACCCACGAGCAAGATGATTAGCGTAGTGAACTCGGTTGACATTGATGGCTCTGAAAAGTATCTTGTGGTGAGCCCTTTAGTTTTTGGGCCATTATATTCGTACTGACAACCTTCTCTAGCTTCAAGAATTTGGGTCGAGATACGAAGCGGAAACTTTGCGCAATCCTAAAAAGACGGATATAGCGGACGTAATCGTCTATGTCCACGACTCCAGTGACACCAACTCTTTCTCATATATCAGCAACCTACGGGTGTGTTTGTTTTATGCGGCTGCGTGCCCCTGGAGATTGATTTTTAGTAGCAACAATATAGCCTTGACCATATTCCAACACTCTTCGTTGCAACGAAATCAGACCTCGACCTTGCCCTGCAGGTGAATTATGACTTTTTTTATCTCATGAGACTCTGACTCACCATAAATCCCAGCGACATGAAGTCCAACCCGATGTATACTGCAGGAGACTGGGACTCCAGGTGCCAGTTGCCGTAAGCGTGAAAGCCGGCCAAACAGCAGATCTCTTCCACGCGATTTGTAGCGTTGCCCTCAAGCCGTAAGTTTATGATTCCATCGCATTTTACGCGATTACGCATGCTCCACGTTCTTCTAGGCACACGGCGATACCAGGGGGTGTAGACCGTGCGATGACGGCAGCGTCGAGGCTGCGGATGTACATAACCATAACTGCAATATTGGGTGGGTGTACAGCAGGTCTTATTATGCTTATACGGACGATGCTGCGACCAGGGGGAGCAGGGCTGCCTAGTTGGAGCCTGCCTTGGGCTAGCTGGCTGGTTGGAGGGAAACGATGATTGTATTTAACTTAGAGCAATACTACTTAGATTTACTAGATCCGAAGTCCGACGTGTAAGATCCGAATCTGCTGCATGTTAACTCGTGCCCCTCACATCTTACACCTGACATTTAAAAAGGTTCAATAGGTCATTGCGGCGTGTTCTTCCCCTTTAACCACTTCCCTCTGGCATCGATATTCGTTGACCCGATTACTTCTGAACATTGTTGAGCACCCAGTACACGCTAGTCTCCAACTAAATTCCCCCTACCTAATCATCTCCATCGTGAACTGAGTCATATTATGGATGAAGACATGAACATGGACTCTGGCGCAGGCCCTGGCCTCCAACCGGCCTTTGTCGAGCAGCCGCAGCAAAGTGTCGATGCAGGATACCAGGGAGCAGTTGACCCTGGGCGGAAACAGCTGTATGCCTCTCTCTACCTTCTTAATCGCGCCTTGATGACTCGATCTCAACGCATTTAGCGATCTGGTGTTCGTGCAGGACTGTACAGGCAGCCAAGGGAGCTACATATCGTCTGCGACCAAGAACATCGAGCAAATTTGCGCACACATATTTGAGTCTGGGAAACTGCAAAGCCAAGAGGATCTACGTGTGGGGCTGGTCGCTTTTAGAGATCACCCGCCGCAAGACCATACGTATATTACGAAGAATTTTGGATTTTCGTCGGACATTAGTAAGGTACACAAAGATTTGTCGGGCCTGTATGCCTCTGGAGGAGGGGATGGGCCAGAGGCAGTTACGGCGGCACTGGCGGAGGCCCTGAATATGGATTGGAGGGAATACGCAAGCAAGATGGTGGTCCTCATCGCAGATGCACCACCCCATGGTATTGGAGAGTACGGAGACGGTGAGTGAATGCCCTTTGCTCGAATTGGGGATGGTGCTTATGTTTCTTGCAGGTTTTGATGAAGGGTCTCCTGATGGGTTCGATCCTTTGCAATTGGCGCGTCAGATGGCCGGGCGTGGAATTACTTTGGTGAGGTATTTCAAGATTATGTCCGTATTGCTTTTCAAACGATGCGTATAGTTCTTCGTTGCTTGCGAGCCTGCTCTCAGCGGGTATTCGGTGAGCCAGATTGCCGTCTTTAGATTGATTTATCTTAAGCGACTAATAGTACGCGACGGATTTCTATCAAGCGATCACGAATATCACTTCTGGCCTTATGCTTCCATTGACCACGGCGGACCTGTTGGCTCATGCTATTGTCGGAAGCGTCCTGGAAAATCTCGATATGGAACGCCTCGTGAGAGAGGTCGGACATGCTGTTGCTCAGCGAATTCTTGGCAACAACGAAAGCGTAGATGATGTAGCCCGTGAGCTGCACGAAAAGCTACTGCTTCGAAATGAAAGCACAAAGAAAGTCGTGATTGAAAGCATATACAAGGACTCGGAAGAGGCGAGGCATAATGTGAACGTTTTCACGCAAGCTCCTTCTCTAACTGAGGCTCGGCCGTTGCTCAAGAGGGTAATTCATATCTTCTGTTCATCATAGACCTCAAGTATAACGTTTACTAGGTGCATGGCACGCGATTTACGGATAAATACCTACAAGCACGCCAAGCATACACGCGATCCAGTTATTCACCTTACGGCTCTATTCCTCCCCGACCTACCCCAGTCAAGGCTCCTGCCTCTCCGACGAAAGCTGTTCCTGGATCTCCTCCGCGGAAGGTTGTGACAAACTTTGCATCGTTTGGAGCATCGCCGACTGCCAGCGTATTCGGTACCGCTGTTGCTTCGACACCGTTTTCACTTGCTGGTGGTAAGGCCGCATTCGGAGGCATGAGAGGCGGTGTCGCTCGTCCAACGTTTGACGAAGAAGAGGAAGAAGATGACGATGGCAGACAAAAGGTAGAGCTTCGCGAAGACTCTATATCACTCGACCAGGTATGCAGAATCCTCAGACCGTGATGTCAGAAATTTATACTATTTTTAGGCCAGGCGTATTGCAATGCAAAGTGCATGGAGGAGTGCCCGCGCCTGAAGTCTACCACATGTTTTTTTTTTTTTGATTTTCACCTGTCGTTCAAGTTTCCCTTCACGAGCTGTATAATATGTGCAAGCTTATCCCACCCATCTCATCACGTAGCGCACACAAACAGACCACATTCTCTTCTCTTTGGAAAGCGTTGATCGTTGTTAGAGGTAGCGGTCGCATAATGAAAACGCACTGTTACGCCTATGTATTTTCTCTCTCAGCAATGTCAAAAATCGCCTGGATGTTTCTGTACAATAGTCATCATGTCATTTAGTCAACGATCCAAAAAGAACGCTTCTATGCAACCAGGGCTAGGGTATCACAATGTTTCCGTTTCTTCTTGCTGCGTTGTTTGTCTAAAATTTCGTCACAAGCAGAATTCGTTGTCCGTGAGGAGTCCATCTTGCCCCCCTCGACAATCTGTGTCTGGGCAGCGGTCCCCGTTCTTTCCAATGATTTGGATTCCTTTTTCAAGCTCTTTTTCTCTTTTCGTCGTGCTCGGTCTTCGCTATCTGAACAAAGCTGTCCAGCCTCAATCCCTGATTGAAGTCTCTTCTTCGCTTCCTTCAACTCGCGCCTAAGCCGTCGCCTCTCTGCTTTCCCTGCAGACTTTGAATCATCCGCATCCTCTTTGTCTATCTCCTTCCGTTTTGATCTTGATTTCTTTGGTAACTCAGCCAACTCCTCTTCATTGCCTTTCTTCTTCTTTTTCTCCTTCTCCTTTTTCCGTTTCTTACGTTCCCTTTCTCCATCGTCGTCGTCTGTCTTTTCCTTCCGCTTTTTCACTTTCTCATTCACAGTGGTTTCCAACTTGACATCCTCGGTGCGAACGGTGTTCTTCGTTTCATCGCTATCTGGACCAAGCACAGGGCCGCGAAAGAACCTAGCGTACAATCCGCGCTTTGCAGCTTCGCGTTTCGCAGTGACTAGTAGACTGAATTGACGTGTCTGGTCGACGGCGTCTGGAGTGGTGGTGCCTGAGGTGGCGGGTGTTCCATCAACTGGGCGACGAGTAGACAGAATTCCCGTCGTTGTGCGTTTGAGTGTGGATACAGAGTTCTGAATATAAGGGCTTAGATCATAAACAAATTTTAAGAACCGGTGGAGACCCTCACAGATGGGTCGCTGTCGTTCCCATCTTCATCATCATCGCTCAACAACTTGACTTGTATGGACTTCGCGGCTGCTGAGAAAAGACTTTAAGCAAAGTGAGGTGAATTTTTTATCCCCAGGTATTGCGAAACGACGTACTGATCCCAGAACGGGAACGCCTCGTCGCGATTCTTGCCTAGTCCCGCGAGATTTTTTTTCTGGGGGATGGCAAGGGGTCGACTGATAGCGCCTTGGCGGAGTCCAGTACCTTTACCACCCCATCCCTGGGCGATTAAGTAGGAATGGCCATCCAAGGGCATGCTTTGATCGTAGGGAATGTGAGTGAGGTTATTTTTGGGCGGAGTCTTTTTCGCACTGTGGGAAGCGTTTGCACCCCATACTACTTACGTATCAGTGTTCGGGAGTTTGATATGCTTCGGCAGTTTGAAATCCTTGTTTTCCTCCCTCGATATTGACACAAGCTTTCTGGGATTTTTTTCTGGACTAATTATGACTCTCACTAATATGAATGTCAACTTTTTTTCTGCAACAACTGAGTTTGACGAGCCCAGGATTTTAAAAAGTGGTTTTCAGCTCATCAAAATGTGGGATGTATGCAAATGTTTTCCTAGACACCCAAAAAATTTCTGGTCTCTGCCTCACTTTGTGCAAACAACTGCTTTCAGCAAAAGTCCGTATAACCTTGGTTGGAGCATGGAGCACTCCATTACATTAGCAGTGTTCATGGTTCTCATTTTTGATTCCATTCTTCAGGAAAATGGGACGATAAATGGAGTGAGAAATGAGACCAAAAACAACCCAAAAACATGATTTTTTGAAAAACATCTTTTGACGTTTTTCTATTTTTCATTCTATTTTTCATCCATTCTTTGTCGTCGGGTTTCAAGTCGCTGAAGGGTGTTTTGGCATTGTCCATTCTTTTCATTTCTTTCCAATATGGCAATCACATCACTGTTCTCACTACAGAATGAGCAAAAAAATTAAGATAAAGTAGTTTTAATAGACTACTATGGTCAGCTAGCCCTTGGAGAAGACGGGGGTACTTCCGAGCTCAAAGCTTTATCAGCATGTGAGTTGTGAGAGACTCACCTCGTGTACAAGCAAGGACAACAGTCCCCATCACGTAAGGGTCATCTGTTGGTTCCGCGTCATCTCCCCCTTCATCGTTGTCATGAATGTGTTCCACTGGCGCAGGAGGTGGCGCGTATGAGGGTGGCAGCATGCCTCGGTTGATAAAGTCGATGCGGGCCGCTGTGAGTTTGTCGAGGCGCTGATTGGTTACAAGCATTTGATGGAGGGCCTCGTATCGGTTGGATCGCCGCCATGGCTTCTTGACGGCAGTGATGTGGCAAGACTCTGTGATGGAAGAGCAGATACCTCCAGGGGCACCAAACTCAATGAGGTGGCGGTAGTGAGAGAGAGCGTGTTGACGTGGCAGATTGAAGCCATCAGGTCAGACGCCGGTGGTTCGGAAAACCTCACAGTGATGATGGAACTTTGCAAGAGCTGTATCAAACTCTTTCAGGGTGTCGACGGTGATATCAGCATGCCGTATGATGTAACAAACATCAAGGAAGGTGCTGATGCATTGTACCATCTCAGTGGGGACATGTCCCGCAATGGCAGGAAGATACACCTGTTAAAGATCAGATGTTAGCCACAATAACAGGACAGAGCGAGCATTTTACGTACCTTCATCAAAGCCTTTGAGTCATCTCCTGTCCACTGTTTGAAACGATGACCATGAGGAAACTGATGAAGACCCGGAAACGGGGGTGCTGCTGCAATCCTACAAAGTCAATTAGAAAGAAAAGACTTTTCAGAAAGTGAGGCGGGGCTCACCGTCGATCAATATCATCCATTATTTCGTTTGCGCGTGCCTCGCCATGCTCAAGCTCCAAATATTCACCTACCCACGTCACAAGATGATCTTTGAAGGTTCCTTTGATGACTTGGTGAAGGAGATCGGGGGTGAGGATTTCGTGAATGTCGGCTCTGGGGAAGTGAAAAGTGAAAGGCTAGAATGATTTGGAATGAGACAAAGGTGAGGATCAGAACCAAGGAGAAAGACCCACAATTATATCGTCATCAATGCCAAACTCATCCCAGAGCTTTTTGGAGGTGAGTGTATCCATTAGCAGCTCTGTCAGCGCTCGCGTACGACGGCCGCGTACCCCATCCAAATCGTTGGGGAGAGCCATACACCTGATGGAAAGTGAGAAAAACATCAACTGAAAGAATGTAGAACAAACCTAGGACACCAACCAAGGGGCAACCACCCGAGCATCCGGTTGGGTTAACTGGTCCCATCGGGGTCGTGGGATTTAGCCTGATTTGACACGTGCATCCAAATGTCACAGTAGTAGTCACAAATTCTTATCTGTACATAGATCAGTTAGGTGTATGGCTCTTTGCCTCTGTAGCACGTTCCATAAATTCGATAAAATGAGAAGAATACTCGAGCATTTTGCACTCTGCGCAAGGTGGGTAGTCTGTACTGAGAATAGTTTTGAGGCATCTTTTAGATCGAAGATATATTTCATTTTCTTCTTCTCCAAACGAGACAGGTTTCCATCCCATCACTTTCACCTCATGTCGATGATATGGATAAGTTTCCCAGATCGAGCCTGGAAGCCACTTGATACCCAAACCTGAGCAAGGAACTTCTTGCACTCCAGTAACCACGATCTGAGGCACAATAGATGGTGGAGGAGGAGGCGGTGGAAGACCTTGATTTTTTTGTGTTTGTAGGCATGGTCCCATACCACGGTGAAGCAGAAAGTTCCATGGATTTGCTGTTGTCATCGGAGAAATGTCTGTACTGCAAAGATCACATTGAATACTGTGCTTCCCAGTAATATTATTGATTGTGGTTGTTATCCTAGGAGCACCAGGGAGTTGAATTTCCTTTGGATCTTCAGCTGCGGGTCGAGGTTTTGGCATTTCTTTCAGTGAGAATGGGGGGAAGGAACAACAAATCAATTGAAAAGCCTGTCTATGGTGAAAACACAACATGCAAGGCAGATATTTTACATGTTATGGTAAGGGTCTTCAATTGAATCTGTGGAGCACGTTGAAGCAACGTTGAAGGCGCATGCTAAATGAGCGTGGGTGTGACAATCATTTTGGGATTGCACATGTTGACTCCCATGACCCCGATGGGACCAGTTGTCCTAACCGGATGCTCGGGTGGTTGCCCCTTGACACCAACCCTGAACGATACCTGCCAGGAGAACTTGTTCAGGGTAATCTGCTATGTATGCAGCCAGATCATAGATAACCTGACAAAAGTGTCCATCAGGACAGCGACGAACAACAGGGGTGGTCATCCCTGGGTGCAAAGACTTCAGAACGGCTGCAAGAGACGCATGGTATAGCTGTCTCTTGAATCTGTGAAACTCGGGATCTTTATCATACTTGTGAGCAGCTGATGTTCATTTTGTTAATAATGTATCAAATGGATTTCAAAATACACACCCTTAGGGATTGCCAGAAATGCTCCAGGTGCTACAGCACCATGGTGCGCTCGCCGAAGAGTATTGTGGACACCACCAATAGAAAAATACACTGGGTGGTATTCCACCTGACCAGTAGCAACCGAAACGGTGGTCTTGTCACTACCAACAATGACAGGGCAATACATTGCACCTTCTGTAGATTCATCAGCTGCATAAATATCATCCTAGTTGGTAATAAGAAATGGCAAAGGCCCTCAGAAAAGAAGGAAACTCATGCAATGTCTCCAAGAAAAAATTCCGGACATGAAATTATTCCACCTACGTTTTCCTGACTTATCAAGCTCTATGTAGGGCACATAGTCAAATTGTCCTTTGAAGTCAGGATTGTCGAGCATGTTCCAAATGATAGCGTCGGGATCATGGTAACAAATTTCAGGCACAGGAAAATCTGTGTGCCATCTGCAGACACCTGTGGACACAGGTTGTGTGCCAGTTGCAAACCGAAAAGAAGTATCTGAAGTCACTTGCATGCAGACCAATCCAGTTGTGTGCACATTAGACCTAGTGAGCCGAGTATCTGCAGGCATCTGCAAGCATCAGCGCACCTTGCTGAGATTTCATATTTCTTGAGATTTCTTCAATGAGCACCATAATTATCCTTCTAGTTTAACGTATCTGAATCTCTCTGATTCTTTCTGACTTGTTGGTTCGTACCTATAGGTCTGTACTAAGACCATTTTTATGCTGAAATGTACAAGTAACACAGTGTCTGAGGCTATGACTAGTCACAAGGGGGTGGTGGAACGTGGATTTTAGATATACAGTCGCATTATGAATTAAGGCACCCTCAGTCTACCCCCTACCCCCCAAAAAAGGAAACTTCCAAGTTCCTATGTCAAAAACATACTCAAGTAGGTATGTAGTATGTTACATTTTTGGCAAGGGGTATGTCAGAATTTGCCAGGGGACACGACATAGGGGAGGGGGAGAGCAATTGAGCCTTAAAGGAATTTTTTGTTAATACTGTCCAACTGCTTTGGAAGGCCAACGTCAATGATTAGAACATTTTTCAACCATTTTCAAGGGGGTAGCAGGACATGGATCCCGAACCAAGGGTTGGGGGGGGGGTCCAGCCGCAGGCCGAAAAAAAAGAGTGACCCCCATCAATTTCAAATTTTCATTGTCAGTGATGTTCCATGGATGATTGATGAGATGCATCCGAAGCAGAAGTGCTGACAGTCCAAATCAATTGCAAACCTAGTGTGGCGACATACTGTCTATGTCGAGTCTCAAGTCTCGACACACCCTAATACACTCTGCACACTGCCCTAAGGGCCCAAGCCAAGAGGCTCAGGCTTCTCATGCTAGTCTACTCATAAGTAAGTATCCAACAGCCTTTACACTGACCTACTAATCAGTATTTCTACACTCCACTTGTCACAACTTCTTTGGGCTTTCTTCGACTCGTATGAGCCCAAACAAGTCGAAACAAGCCACAAGTCACAAGTTGACAAGTAGATCCAAAAATCTTGCAAGTTGAGTTGCGAGATTGCTCAACGAGCTCTAACAAGCTGACAAGCTCAGAAAAGTGGTAATCTTATTTTTGGTATTTCGTAGCAAAAAATTAGGTATAACTGATCATTGTATGGTACTAGCACAATACAGCGAGAATACAACAGTACACTATTAAAGAATCCTTTGCCATCCACACCAGCGACGCCAGGAGGGACACATCCCTCCCCCATTGGGTCCCTTCCACAAGCTCTGTATACCCCCTTCTCAAACTCCCTTCCTGCCCCTGCAAGTGCATACTGGTACATATGCCATTGAAACGGCATGCACAGCAGAGTGACATGGCAATGGTTGGTGTGTGGTGTGGGCACCAGTGACTGGCTGGGGACTTGTCAGTTGAAGGGGGGGGATATCAAGGGTTGCTGACCTTTTGGCAGCACTCGTTCCTCCACAATCATTTGTTGTTGTTGTCATTGCTGCTGTGGACTTTGTGGCACATTGGGAAGGTTTGGCTTGGAAAGTTCTTGGGTGCACATAGCAGTGGGCTAAAAAGAACAAAATGGCGGATGCGATGGCTTCTGTATGACTTCGTTCTCTAATTTAACAAAACCAGGCTCCAGCCTAAAAAGAGTGAATTGGAGAGATGGGTGGACGAGAAATCTAGGAGAGACCAAAGAGCCAAAGATGTAACGTACCGTTGACAAGCCACGTGGTCACCGTGGTGTGGCATTGAGTCGGCTGGTGCTTGCCTGGTTGCTATCGCTGCTAGCGTGGCGTGGCGGCATTGGGCTGACTGGTGCTCATGGTTGAGGCTGGTGACATGGCGTCACCACATCGTTTTGTCAGGGCTGGTGTCGTCGGTGTGAGCTATTGTGGTTGTGGGAGGTCAAATGGTGGTTCCGGGAGGTAATGGTTGGTGGTGGTGGTGGTGACGCAGCAGAGGTGGGTGGTCACTGTGGATGATGGTGTGGTTAAGATGAGAGGGAAATTACAGAACGGACATGGCTACCAACTGTTACATAAGCAAGTTCACAAACCACTTTTTTTGCTAAGTCCCCTCATGGTCAGGCACCTTGTCAGCTTGTGAGCTTGTGTCGACTTGTGACTTGGTGACAAGCTGTCAGTCACAAAAAGTCATGAAAAGCTGACAAGTAAAGTATAGGTTTGCTGATGTAGTTGCAACCAGTCACACCACTTTCAACACTTTGGATTCTTACTTGGCACCATTACCCCCCCTTCCCAGCTCCGTATTACAATCCCAGCAACCATAACTGTGATGCAGCCAGCCATGGTGCAATGTATGAGATTTGGAGTAACCACTGCCATTAGGTCGAATTTACTTGTTACATGTAAATTTTCTGTGAATTTTATGAATTCAAAAAAAAAAAAAAAAAGAAAAAATAGTATGTGAAAAACATACTCTATTAGGAAGGTAGGTGGTGGGGGGGTGTCAAGCGGAACTCTGAAAAAAAAATAACAAGTGTTGGTCTCTTTTCCACATTCCGCCACCCCCTTGACCATTTTTTCACTCTTTTCTCACACAACTCAAAGGAGGAAAAGGTCTTTGACTTGTCCATCTTCATGTTCTCAATATGGAAACCATGAATCCATGGCATTGAGTACTTGTTATTGCGTGACACATGCAAAGTCAATGTAAAAATTGGCTTCTGTGGAGACGCAAACATGTCGATAGCACAAAACTATGATGCCTCAAGGCTCCACCCATGCTTGAACTCAAGAATTCGCAACCTATCTTAATGCCTGAAGGAATGGCTGATAATTGTCTTACCCAATATTCTGTGCATCTGCACTTCGAGCTTGAGGATGGTGATGCGTATTTTTTGACCAATTTCTCAACCAGATAAATGGCTTTGGTATGACACCTGAGGTTATGACAGAATTTATATGACATGAACCTCATGGATGGATGGATTTTGTTGTTGCATTGAATGGACACCAATATAATTAGAACTCAGGGCCCACCTAAAATGGAAATAGATACCCAATTAGGATGGGAGGAGGGGGGGACAGTCAAATTTGACGTTAAACAAAAAATATAACGTCGTGTACTAAACAAATTTTTTACATACCCTTTGATTTTTGGATCCATTACTACATGAGACGACACTTCACCCCCATAGTATCCATACAAGTCGATATGCCACTGCAGATTTGCTTGACTGCCTGTTCCAACAGGAATCTCTTTCTCACATTCTGGGCAATGAAACTTGGTGTCACTCGTAAACCCTGACACTTGTCTGTAATACAGTATTGCATTAGAATATATATCTAAAATAGGGACTTACTTCTTCTTTGCCATACTTATTGTGAACCTGAGTGGCGTTATAAAAAAGTTTGTTGACTTTTTTTTGGCTCTCAGTCAAAATTTCGGACAGTAAATACATACTATCAAAGGTCACCTACTCGGCCACCCTGGGTACTTGGCCATTTCAGTATTTAGGGTCTAGACAGCAAACCACTTACCATAGTGTATGCTTAAATTTGAGGGCTGTAGTACAGGAAGTTATTGGCATGAACGTGAATTTGCCAAAGATCACCCAATTTGAGATATGATGGGTTGATGGGTGGCCACATGGTGTTTTGGCATGTTTTCTAAGACCCCCACCCCCTGATATGGCAATGCTTCGCCCAACATCAGTGTTTTGACTCTTGGCTTGAAACTTGCTGATGTTGTAGATCCTCGTAGTAGTATGTATAATTGCACCCAAATTTTATGTTTCAACCCACATGAGCCCCATGCTCCTCTGATTGGCTGAGTTCTCAGGTTTGTGCAATTTCCCACCCTCTGTCAGAGAATCCCCATCACAGTTACAAAGTTGATTCAAACATCATGGCAAGTATCTTAGGTCCTTCCTAACGTAGCTGCCAAGCATCTGACCAAAGCTTGAGATATATAAGTATTTTGATTCACTGTTATTCCACAAGGAACCCTTAGGTGGCCGAGTACCTGACCTTTGATAGTAGATTAAGTGTTTGCTGTGCATCTGAACTTCCCAACTTCTTTGGGGAGCGTGATTTGGCTTATTGGCAGGAATTTTGCAAAGTAGGTCACAAAAAAAAATTTCAACCCCCAAACGGAGCCCCCCCCCTAACCCTATATCCGGGATCCACATTCTGCCACCCCCTTGGTCAGCCACTGGCTTCTTACCATTATTTTCCTTCTTTATCGGACATGATTGTTGTCGATTTTTTTCCAGAGACTTCAGGACTCAATAGCCAAGGTCTGCCATTGGTGAGTGATGGAGTCTCACCTCTCATTCAGACTTGCTCTCTTCTTCCCATTCCAACTTGATTCCACACCAAACGAGGGACATTAGGGAAAACCAACTTCAGAAATCAACGAAAATCTCTTGTTATTTCCCAACTACTTCCCCAGAAAACCTGGATTCCAGTGTTTCCCCCAATTTCCTCGATTAGACCGGTGTCAGTGGATTTGAAGGAAATTCTTGGGACATTCATAATGTATTTCACTGTCATTTCCCTCACATTTACAATGTATCTCAATGACATTTCCCTCACATTAACTAATTTTGGAACCATTTCATTCATGGGATTCATAAATTATACTGGCAACATATATTGCTCTATGAAATGACCAAGATGTCTTGCATCCAATCAGCATTCCACCTGTGATACACTTGCATTCAGCTTGTGGTACACTTGAGATACATCTGCGACACACCTGTGACACATTTAAGATACACTTGTGAGAGTTAGTATCCATTGCGAGACTTGCATACACTTGCGTGCAACTTGCACATCACTTGTGATACACCTGCAAGACCAATGCGAGACACACTTGCGAGAATCTGCACACAAAATGGATGTTTGTGAGCCACCTGCAGTCAACTTGCGAGTAGGCATGAGTAAATAAGAACTGAAACTCTTGTGTAGAAAATTGAACACTGTATTCCAGACTCGTATTGCATAGCAGTGGCCACATTTTAAGTTCTCAAGTGAAGATTACATTTCTTTAGTTTAAATTTACTAAGTACTATGTTGTAGTAGACTATCTATCTGCGTGACACCTGCAATACCTGCGATCCTTTTTGATTATCTGCGAGACACTTGCAGTCACCTGCGAACAGGTGGTCCGCAAGTGACCGCAAGTGGCACACAGATTTCTATATGCCCACAAATTTCGTACTCCTCTCTCTTCCACGTCGGTGAGTCTGCTGTTAGTTCCCCTGCCCATGATATCTTGAAAGACTTCCAGGGCATGTCACCATGCTTGGTTGAGTCAATCACAGCATACATGTGCTCAGACGAAGTGAATGCCGCAAGCCCGTCATGTTGCATCTTGTCCAGAGCCCATATTTCGAGTAATTCATTACAATCGCGACCAGATAACTCTGCTTGGTGAAAAGTGAAATCAGTGAGACGAAAAGTGAAATCAGCAAGACGAAATTGCACCTTGTCTATGTAGGGAGACCAGTCATTGTCAGCCGAATTCGTACGAGGTGGTGGTGGAGTTCCTGGTGCAAGTGGAGTCCCATCTTCATCACATGGAACAGCTTCAGTTTAACGAATCAGATGATCGTCCTACTATGCGAGAAGAAACACATACCAGTCAAATGTGGATGAACTTTTTTTTGTGCCCCCAACGGTTCAGTGAAATTGTTAATTGGAGAATGAGATTGACGATGAGTAGGTGGAGGTGATGCACTACCACCAGGACTATTTGGGAGTTCTGGTTCAAGGAGTTGATCAGGGATGGGAGCCAGTATTGGCGGGTGTGGGAGTGGCTGGTACGGGTGGAGCAACCACATTGTGATTTTCGTGATGTGTTCAGACATGGTAGGTGCACCCGCCTTGGCTCTTAAAGTGACGCAGGCAACCAGGGACTATGCATGGAATACTTTGTGCAGACATCCAAACTGCAGAAAGAAAGGTGGGTATGGGGAAGACACGAAGAGGGAATGGATGTTCTCACTCAGGGGATTTGAGCTCTGCATTCCACATCAAATTTACAAGGCATAATCGTTGGACCATCGGCCAGCTGACCATTGTTGCATCAGCCCAGCTTTGAAATTTGAAAATGATAAGGTCTAGAATGGTGTGAATCCCGGAATCCCCTTACCTTCACTACATCAACCTCCTTTCTCACCTCCCACCAACTTGAATCACTTCCCATCTTCATTCAACTCACTGTAACTATTCCACTATGTCTGAACGACCAAAACACGACAAAGCAAACACAAGACCAGGACAGATAATCATTGACAACACCCAGAAGCACCGTACGTCTGCTCAAGTGAAAGAAGACACCTTGGCTGCAGCTGCAGCCAAAGCTGAGAAGCAAGCTGCTAACGCTCAACTGAAAACCACAAAAGTTATGAAGATCGCCACTGCTGAGGATAGACTTCACCAGGAAGATGAGGTCAGTAGGAAAAATGCTGAGCGACCCGATTTGGTGGTTGGCAAGACAGCGACCAAGTAATCTGTCCCTTCGAAGCAGGTAAGAAGCAGTCTGAGGATCATATGCTTACTCACTGTGTTGTCAGCTAGGGACAAACTCCAGAGAATGAACCACCTAGATTTGCAAAGAAGGTAAGATGAACCTGCACGCACCTCATGATCTCAAACTTACCTGCCATAAACACATAGATGCAGGCATCTGTGATAGAACTGCTCAACGATGAAGCTGCTGGGCAGAAAAGTGGATGGTTTGACCTGTCAGCAAAGAGAATACTCACATCTGCAAAGACGGTAAGACATGCATTCATGCTTTGACTTATATTGCTCACTCACCACTGGTAGGCCCAAGCCACTGACACTGTAACACACGAAGATGAAGCAGACACCTCTCTCTTGTTTGAAGGCAACATCGATATCCCAGAAGACTCTGTCGTCGACACTGAGTCCAGCAATGGGTGAGATTTTGCTGAGTTTGACACCTCTGACCAAGATGATGAAGATTATGTCATCAACATGGAGGAGTTGTCTGCAGCCTTGGCCGAATCTGAACCTGACGTGGTTGTCAAGAAACCTGCCAAGAAGGAGGTTCGTCAATCTCCAATTCATCTCTCCTTCATCAATACACTCACCAGCGGCCTTTTCTCAGAAGCCAAAATGAGGAGAACTCAGGCAAACAATCAATGATGCTTGCCAAGTTGCTCCTGCATCCGGCATCCAAGTCACCAGTGCAAAACACAAGGAACCAGCTGATCACAAACAACCGTGAGTTTCACATGGTCCCAATGTCCTTCTGTTGTCACTCATTCACCTTCCAGCACCCAACCCGACAAGAGAGTGAAAAAGAATGAGGCCATTGGGTTGATGGCAGATTGGAAAAAGAAAGTCGGCCAGAAAGGTGAAGTCATTCAAATGCTCGACACTTCGAATGCACGACAAACGACAAACTCACAGGTTATAATAAGTCAGAGCCAGACTTGGTGAAGTCTGAGGTCAAAGATGCACCAGGCGAGTTTGATGAGGATGAAACAATCGATTCTGTCATGGCCGCTCATGCCGCTAAGGGAGGGAACACTGTCAAAGTTTGGTATGAGGTAGACCCCTTTCTCTCTTTCACATAATGTCAATTGATACTCCTCTATGCTGCAGACCCCATGGCCATTGTTGAGACACCCTCTGTCACTATCGAGCAATTCCGCCAAGGGCATGGGCAGGGTCGGAAGGAGAAGTACAGTGTCCATGATTTACCTTTTCCCTCTGGACCTGGGAAATCCACTTACCACCAGAAGTGGTGCCGACAATTCAAGCACAGCTTGTACCATTGGGCCGGTACCACTCTCGATCTGTTTGGTGCTAACACCATCATGGGGCCGAAGGTATGTGAGATTTGGAACACAGTGTACCCAACTTTAGTCTTCGCGGATGATGACCCTGCATGGACCATCATCCGTGCTGTGGTGAGTGCGCGTTTTTCATTCACCTCTTGAGTCTGAAAGTTAGTGCTAGGCTGGGGATGCACTCCTCGATTGGTGCAGTTCAGCTGGGAAGGATGCTATCAAAATTGTTGTCAAGGCATTCAAGGAGAACAAGCTTTCGAATGAAGAAATACCTGAGGTCACCCAGCATTACCTCGAGGAATTCCGATATATCTATGGTAATCCCGATGCATCAGACCTGGTAAGTGTTTTGTCCTCTTCCTATTATTAATCCATTCTCATCCTAATACTGTGGGAGGACAGGCAGCTGTTTCTCAGGCTGTTTGTTCTTGAAATGTTTGCAACACACCTCAAGAAAACGATTGCGTCTGTTGGAGGATATGGCCACACTGTTGGTGGTCTTGCTATGGCCATAGGGGCCATATGTCTCCACTTTCATCTCTTGCTCCCATTGTTCAACTATTTTTTCAGCTTGAGCATGCATTTGAAGTGATTGGCAAGGGCCTTGTAACCCTGGACAAAGCTGATGGCGACTTTGATAAGAAGAAGGTTCCCCAGTTCAACAATACTTTATGGGGTACGAAGGTTCGCAAGTGGGTCATGTCCACAAAGAATCTCGAAGTGAAGAAACACTGGCCACCCATTCTGCAAGCAGCTGCATTGAGGATCTCTGATTGGAATGTGGATGAGATGGATGGTGATGAGGACCTTCTCAAGAATGATCCCTGAGCGATGATTGTCCTTTATGAGTTCAGTTCACTTTTTCACTATGCTGCTCGGTTTTTCAACCCTTTTTTTGAGCTAGAACATTGCCATAAAAATTCCCTGCTACAATTGGGGTTTACAAACACAAAATTTCAGGGTCAGTCCAGTCTTTTTTCCGGTCTAAGACCGGAAAAATTTCCTTTTCTGGTGCCCCAGATTCATTGGGGAATTTTAATGGCAACATGCTAGCAGCAAAACTGACCAAAAAGGCAAAAAACCGGACTTCCAAGCACTATACTCACTGCATGCTGCGTCATTGATAGAACCCCATAATCATGATCAATACATATGCTCCTCTCCCTGTAGGGCTGTATCTTCTTCCGTAGAGTACCATTGGCCATTGGATTGTCAAATACAAAACTTTTCACTGCCCTTTCAGATGAAATAGCAAAATAAATGGATTTAATTCTGTGCTAGGATAGAAATCACTGTGCTAGAATATTAACTGGTCTATTAGAATAAGTATGTGAATAGTAGCCCTAGCCATCTGACCTTCCTAGTTTGGTGTCTAGAATCTGATAAGTCCGTTAGCCCTAGTTGCGCAAACTAAGGCACTAGAAACAGCTAGAGTTGCTAGAGATACTGGCACTAGTGTCTCTAGTGACCATGTTGTCTTGCTGATGCTAAAGACCAATTAGTTGAGACTCACAGAGGAATTGAGGCTGAAAGATAATATTGGAAAGTGATAAGATAAGGTGGGGTCTGCAATGAGATATGGAGTTTAGAACAGACAGGTATGAATAGGAATTTTTCCTTGTAACACAAAGATAAATTTGTAGCCAAAATATTTGGTTTTTGATCAGTGTTTTACATCATATCACTTTTGTGCCATTTTTTAATCAAAGTAATTAAAAAACCTACATTTCAGAGCAGTTTTTCTGCTGTGATGAGTAACCAAGTCCAAATGATCAAGTACTTTTTTCTTCTCTTCTACACTAAAACATATCATAAGAAAGAGCTGACAACCAACCTAACATAATTTTGATACATGATCAATGATTTGGCTCCTTAAATATGCTAAGTACCTACAAGGCCAAACCAACTTGATTCAATAGGGGGAGTCAGAGTGGCCGGTTCAGGGCGATTCAGCAACGATTCTAGATTGGGTTCAAAGACGATTCCGAAAAATTCTTTTTGTCTGAATCGTCGTTGAACCGGGTCTAACTCTGACCCCCCCGGTTCAGCTTGAGGGTAAAATCTCCATTTCAGCTTGGTTCTGACCACCTCTAGAATCCAAATACATGTTCCACACTCACAATTGTGCACGACGTCAACAACGTATGCACCTGAGCAGCCAAAGTATGCAGTGTAGACGATGGCTTTGGACAGTATTTTTGTGAGGACGTTGTAGGCGGTTATTGCAATGATACCGAGCACAGGGAGAAAATTTACGGCTGAAAACATATTTTCAAGGAGATAAATAGATAGATATATTCTGGATCCATCCTAATGAGGAACAACCGAAGTAAATAAATATTTACAATCTAATGGATTAGGGTGTTATGGTACGAAGGAGGTAGAACCGAAACTTGAACCGACGGTGAAGCGCCTCGAGAGGCGCTTCACAACCGGTTCAGGTTCAGCGACGATTCAGCGTGTTCCCATGGTTCAGACGTGAAATCAACACTTTTGAACCGTTTCCGAACCGTTCGTTGAATCGTCGCTGAACCGCTCACTCTGACTCCCCCTAATGGATTCAAGATTGTATAAACCAATGTCAGCCAAAGTTGGGATTCTAATAAGAACCAACTATGTTGCATCTTCTTGTGAGTGGAAGAAGTTCATATGGGGACTAAACTTGTATCGAGATGGACGCTCAACATCAAAGAATGTTGAGCTGGAGGGTGTTGCCTTTGCAACAGCTTTGTAGTAAGAACTCTCTGGTAATTGTGAGGGTAAATCCAGCTCCATAACCTGGCAGAGATTTGAATAAGGAGTGGGTGGATTCATTTTTGAACTTCCAAGGACTAGCCAAGATGGCAACAAAGGGGAGGAGTTGCTTTTTAATGGAATCCATGACCAGCAGGACATGACCTCAACACAAAATAAGTCAGGTGCTGGGGGAGGTGGCTCATAATCTGAACTTCCCATAAATGTACAAGACACAGATGGAAGGGTACCCAATTCTTGCAGGTCTAATCCCTGCTGTTGCTGGTAGGGGTCATCAACAACAAACTCCCAATAGATAGCTCCATTACAATCTGTCTGTATGATCCTTGAATTATAGACTTTAAGTTCTTTTGTTGATGATGATTCCTTTGCTATGGTTCCAGAAATTGAAATTGAGCCAGAGGGCTTGAGATTACTCATTCCAAATGTGGACCCAAGAGTACCAGCATATGCTTGTTTATTCCCTTCAAGCACTTTGCTCTCAGGATCAACTGCTCGTGTGGAGGCTGGTTTGATGTTATCAAATGTAGTGAATTTCTCTCTTGTGTTTATTTTTGCCCTCAAGTGAGCAAGGTGGTAATAATCAGAATCCACCTTTGATTTGCCTTGGAGCTTAATTTTTTTGAACTGAATACAAGAGCTTGCTAGATGCCTTGGTTTCAGCTGTGGAGGTTTTGTCTAAAACAAGATTGAATATTTCATATGAATAAACTTATAAGAAAAACCTACTTGAACAGTAATGCTTCCTTCAAGCTGTAGTAATTGGAAGAACTTGGAAGGTCTGGATGAAGAAGGCTGTGAAGCAGGCACTGGTGGAGCATAGGGATAAATCTCAGTTTGAATGTTGAAGGAAATTTCAGGAAAGTCAGCACCAGAGCTACCCCCTGAGTTTGGATTATCTGGGTCATCCCCCTCAGAGTCATTATCATCTCCTTCAGATTCTTTCTCACCACCTCTCTGAGGATCATTATAAGTCCCTCTGCCTTGAGGTGTATTTTCCCCTTGCCTCTCTTCATTTCCATCACCTCCACCTCCACTTCCAGAGCCAGCTAGAACTTTCCCTTCATTGGGGTAAATCTTGGCTGACATCAGTTCAATTTCCTTCATTGAATGTCCCATTTGAGGAGTTGTATGTGTGTGAGCTTGTGTAAAGACAACTTCATCCCATTCCTGGGCCTTTCCTTCACTATTAAATACTGGTGTTTTAAAGCAGTAAGGTGGGCAACTTGTGAAGATCATTCCAGGAAATGGTGAAAAAATTCTACCAAGAGAAGACAAGAGGGCACCATTAAAGGGGAATTCACCCTTCAAGATTACATGGATTTCTTCTAGATATCCAATACCAGAGTGGATGATAGATTCATTAAATCCAGCAAGAAGTATGTAGTCCATTTCAGAAATCCCTGAGTGTGACAAAGCAGCTTTGATTTTAGTTTCACATTGTTGAAGATGCTGCAAAGCAGTTTTAGCTACAAGTACAAGTTGCCTGCTGTTTGGTGCAGGGTTTGTTACAGCTCCAGTCATGTGTGGGTGTTCTGTTTCAAATACTTCCTTTCCAGCATCTAGCACTTGAAGCTCCAGCTTCTCTGCTTCTTCATATTTTCCCAGGCTTCCAGATGTTTTTGCAAGATTTCTCATGGCATGAATTGTGTGCTTCTGTGTATCAACCCAAAAGGCCTCAGAGTGCTTTGGGTCAAGACATTGACTCCAATTTGTACCATGGACAAAGTTACTAAAATCCAGTATGGTTGGGGTAGTATTCAGCACATTGATTGTCCTTGGAAAGAATAGACCACATCTACTGCTGGGTGGTACCCAGAAGAGATATGACTTGGAATCTTCTCCCATCATCCAATTTCCAGGCCAATCACCAGGATAGAAAACATTAAGTTTACTCTTGAAATTGTGAGATACACAGTGATGGGTACTAGTTTCTTCAATGTTATATCCAACTTCAGACAGCAAAAGTGTGGATGGCAACACAACTGAAGAAGTTAAGGGATTAAGATCTGTACAAGCATCCCAGAGTCTAATAGTATTGTCTGCAGATCCAGAAGCAATATATCTACCATCAGGTGAAAATACAACTGATAGAACAGCATCATGATGGCCGATAAATGAATCTCCCACACTATGACCTGTCAGAGCATCCCAGAGTCTAATTGTTTCATCAAAAGAACTAGAAACAATGTATCTTGCATCAGGAGAGAATGCAACTGAATATACACAATCACTATGCCCTGTGAGAGAATCCATCACACTTTGACCTGTCTGGAAATCCCACACTCTGACAGTTTTATCTGAAGATCCAGACACAATGTACTTTTGATCAGGAGAAAAGGCAACAGACAAAACATTGCACTGATGACCTATAAGAGGATGCATTATCATTTGACCTGTCAGAACATACCATCCTCTGATTGTCCTGTCTCCAGACCCAGAAATGATGAATCTGCCATCAGGAGAATATGCAACTGAAGAAACCCAAGCACTATGACCTTCGAGAGGATCCATAACACTCTGCCCTGTCCATGCATCCCAGACTCTGACTGTCTCATCATAAGATCCAGAGGTAATGTATCTACCATTAGGAGAAAATGCAACTGATGTCACTCCAAAACCATGACCTTTGATGGGATCCATGATACTCTGACCTGTTACAGCATCCCAGACTCTGACTGTACAATCCTGAGACCCAGAAGCAATGTGCCTGCTATCAGGAGAGAATGCAACTGATGTAACCCCTTCATCATGACCTCTAAGTGGACCCACAACACTTAGACCTGTCAGAGCATCCCAAATTTTGAGTGTTGCATCATAAGACCCAGAGACAATGTGTTTGCAATTAGGAGAAAATGCAACTGAGTTTATCCCATCACCATGGCCTCGTATATGATCTACCTTACCATGACCTGGTACTCTCAGAAAACAGCTGTCTGACCAGTACATTTTCTGACCAATTTGAATTTTCAAAGTCTTTGCAAAATATATCATGAAATGCAGAGATATTTTAGAACTCTGTGGTGCAAATGGCAGTGCTGAAATGTAAATGTGTGGCACTGCATCAGATATTGGCTCAAAGAATGTCACTGTAAATTGGTGTGCATCTTTGGCAAACTCTGACATACTAGGTTTCAATACCTACATTTAATTTGTTCATGTTAGTATTATGGTAGTATATTTTTATAAGACACTCACTCTGCACCAATTTTCAGCCAAGAGCAGTAACTGAGCAGCATGATTTACAGCACCCATTAGGCTCATTATTTCTAGCCAATGTAAAAGATGGTTCATTAAAAAAATCTCCATCTGAACCATTGTCTCCATTTCTAATATCTCATCAGAAGACTTTTGCAGATAGATTGCCCAGAAGTAGCTTGCATGGTCTAGAGCAGAGGATTTCACATTCTTGATGTGATCCCTTAGGTTTGGAATATCTTTATTTAAGATATGTGATGTTTTTAGATCAAAAAAGTTGAACTTGAGCTTTGTATTCATAAATTTCATACAAGACCCAGCAAGACAGAGACTGTGCTTCTGAGAATCAATCCAAAAACCCTTTGAGCGCTTTATATCAAGCAAAAAATCTGTAAATGACTGATGACAGATCTGCACATAGCCAGTTTCACTGATAGACAAGACTGAACTTAGTCGACTGATCATTGACAATGCATCTTGAATACCCAGAAGCTGTTCAAGATCACTGCAACGAAGAGGATTTCTTGCAATGACAATTGAGCCCAAAACAGATGACAAGTAATTTTTCTCTGTTACTCTTAGACCCTGAAAAGCAGCTGAAGTGATATGATGATACAAGAAATCAATGGCATCAGCCCCTTCTCCAGAATTAGAACATATAACTTCCAGCCTCTCTTGAATGTCACCAGCTTTATAGAAAATGAAGTCCATTGCAGATTTAGCCCAAATGAATAGCCCAGTAGCTTTTTGTACAAGAAATGAAATTTTTTCTAGACCAGGCCACTTCAGATATAGAGCTGAGGTGTCTAACTTTGTTTCATCAAGAAATCGTGTTGTAAAGTATTTCCAAAGATCATTAGCAGTCCAATCAGAAACTTCACCTCCAGCATGAAGATTTATATGATAACTAACAGGTTCCAGTGCATTCTGAATATCAGGATAGTGACGACTTGTAACTAGAAGCTTTAGAGACTTGGAGAGTTGAGACCAGGATTTTAGTGAAGGTAAGAGTTTCTCATATGAATCACATTCATCCAGAGCATCAACAACAACAAGAAATGGCTTCACAGAGCTTTGACACACCTCCTGAAGTGGCTTGACAATGAGATGCTCAAATTGCTTGGGAATATCAAGGCCTCTGATGTTAGCTTTCTGTGCTGCTAGTGCTTGGGCTATAGATGTTTTCAATGTCATGTTTCCCTGAGCAAGATCTAAAGCAAGGCATCTCCATAGATTATCTGGGTTCCGAAGCTCAGCATGATCATAGTGGAAGAAGAATTGCGCAGAGACATATGTAAAGCCAGCCACAACAGTTGAAGCAATGGTTGTCTTCCCACAGCCAGGACTGCCAGAAAGCCAGAGAATGTTTGGCATACTCAGATCATTCACCCATGCTTCAATGTCTGTGAGCACAGCCACTCGAGTTCCCGCCATGCATTTCTCTGATGGTTTGCTATGTAATGGGGCCTTCAGCTCTTGCAACCATTTATCTGCCTAAGGATTTGGCTGATGTAAGTTATGAATATAACTAGAATGACATGACTTTCCTTAGATTCCTCCATCCTGGCCTTAATTTTTTCATGAAGTTCCTCAATATTGTTGTAGTGGACCTGCAGGATGTAGATGTAAATTAGCATAGAAATGTTGAAATGAATGTTTAATAACAACTTGTCCAGCAATAGTTGCACTATGATCCATCTGAATATCTTGTGCTCCACCAAAGACAGTTACTTGAGCTGCAGTATCTTTTGAGAGGAACAATAAGAATGAGAAAATTTAGAAGTGAAGTTTAAGCTGATTAAAATTTAACTTACCATCTTGATTGGCCTCCATGGTCTTGAGTTGTTCAACAGTTGTTGTACTGTCAACTGTAAATGATAATAAATAGTGAAGGATACATAAATGTATGCCTTGACATACTTTGGAAGTTTTCCTCATACCAAAGAAGAACCTAAATTTCAATGTCAGCAAGCCAATTAAGCAGAGGGGTATTTTACATACATGGAAAGAGCTCATGATGTCATTCACTTTTTCCTCAAACTCCTCAATATGTTCTTGATCTTGTGTAAAGCTGGGAAATCTCTTTAAACTCTGCTGGTGAATATCTGAAATGCTTTCTTTGAGATGGTCCAAAGTTCTAATAGAGTATTCAAATTCAATGGCATCCATGACAACAGCCAAAGTCACACACCCTTTCAAATCCTCAAGCCAAGACTGCAAAGCAGATGGAACCTGATCCTTGCGAAATTGACAGGTATACTGAATGATCTCCTCAACCTTCCTGATAAGGGTATCTGAAAAAGCAATCCAGGCTCTCTTGTTGGAGTAGAATTTCTAATTTAATCATCAGATAGGTCTAGCAGATTGATTAGAGCAAAGCCAAGCACCCTAATGATCTCAACAATACCCAAGGCCTTGACGACAGCCAACCTCAAAGGCGGAAAGACATCATCAGATGTGACCACGGCTTCGAGTGTATGAAGACTGCCGCCCCCGCCAAGAGCTTGCAGACGTCTGTCTGCTCCGGGATTCAATTCACTAGTATTCATATTGTTGGTGTTGTTGTTACTGGTAGTAGCGTTTGCTTTTGCGTTCGTGGTGGTGGTGGTTGATAAGAAACCTGGAAAGGAACGATACCACGCTGCGGTGCCGCATTTGCCTCACGCCGTGGTCATGCGCCGTATCTATTTTGGCTCTGGTGCCATGTCTGGGACACCTTATGTCCATATATAGACATAATTTATGTCTATATTGAGACATGTCCAAAAAAAGACATAAGGTCGTCCAAAAACAGACATAAGCGATCAATCTCACACCCACGCCCAAATAGGCAGCTACTCAAGCAATTGACCTCCTACTGGCTTTTCTCCCTGTGCTATGCGCCACAGGCCAGAAAAATATTTGAATAGCCCACTTACCTTGTGGGAATTATAGGATACACTAATATGAACCTAGAATGCATTTTTAAACCATTGAAAAGAGAATTTGTGCTGTTCTGAGCATAAAGTCAGTTCCACTTGTTGCAATTGCTCATCAAAGTATGTGTCCATGCTAGTAGAATATCTCAGAGTATGTGAAAGCACTTTACATGCACTTCTTCCTCCTAATAGCAGGTTGATGCACTAAAGGCAACAAAAAGACAGAATCAATGGGTAAAAAAAAAGTTGTACTGCTTTAAAAATGCTGATACAGGAGTGCTGGTATGTTGTTAATATTTCCTCACATAGTCTTGACCTTCATATAAAAAGAATTTGTAACAATCTAAAGATCTGGACTGTGTTACAATAAATCCATCTAAAGTTGACAATAAATCTGTCATAATTGAACAACCCTTGCTATTTATCTATAATTCTACATATATAACCAGTGTAAAGTACCCTGCTTCTTACATGCACATTTTTAAAAAGAATTGAAACATTCTCAGCTGTTCCAGACATGACACTAGAGCCATCATTATTCCTCTTCATTGTAATTTTCAGTACTCTGTCCTTGTTAGCTCAACATGAGGAACTTGAACATAAATCTGCTTTGCAATTAATCTGAGCTCTTGGCCTAATCTCCTGTCTTGTGATTTCATGTGTAAAAATGCATGCTGATGGGAAGACTTACTCATGATATCTAACCTGTTTCCTCATAGTTGTGGCCCCCGATGGGTGCCTGCCCCATTTTTAAATGGTAGATAGGGAGAGGATATATTTCACAAATTTTCATAGCAATCTGTCAAGTTTCTAACAAGATACATATTTGTGATTCAATTATCTCTGTGAAAAAAAAAAAGATGTCAATCGCTGGAATTGAACTTAGGTTGGCCATAAAAGGAGATCAAAAAAGCGCAATAATCCACTACACTATACAGCCCTATATAATCTTTACTAATACATGTAGTTACCATATATGTAATTTTTGAAAAACGGTGTCCTTGTCCCAGACATGACACCAGAGCCTCTATTTTTGCTTCGTTCCAGAAGAATGCTTTGAGACGCTTACGGAAACCGATTAGTTTTTGCGGTCCGAAGTTCCTTGAGATAGGGAAGTCAACGTGTAGTCTAACCTCGATCATCAATTCATCCACATCAAGTTTGGCAACAAACCACTGTTCTCAGATATCATGGTTCTCCATTCTTTGTCCATCCTCATCGTCCTTACACTTTTTCGCTTTTTCGCTTTCTTAGTCACACAGTGGATCCTCGGTGTGAATGGTGTTAGCAGCCGCCCTCGTTTCAAGAACGTCACTATCTGGACCAAGCACAGGTCAGCGAAAGAACGTAGCGTACAATCCACGCTTTGCAGCTTCGCGTTTCGCAATTACTAGTAGACTGGTTTGACCTGTCTGGCCGACGGCGTCTGCCAGTAGGGTGTTGGTGCCTGAGGTGCGTCCCTTCTACTGGCGACGAGTGGTAGAAAAATCCCCGTCGTTGAGCGTTTGAGTGTAGTCACGGTGGATGAAGATACGGAGTTCGGCTTAGATGAAATCAGTGGACACCCTCACAGCTGGGGCGCCGCAGTCGCTGTCGTTCCCATCTTCATCATCATCGCTCAACAACTTGACCTGGATGGACTTCGCGGCTGCTGAGAAAAGACTTTGAGCAAGGTGAGGTGAAATTTTATCCCCGTATCACGAAACGACGTACTGATCCCAACGGGAAGGCCTCGTCGCGATCCTTGCCTAGTCCTGCAAGAGCTCTTTTCTGTGGGATGGCAAGGGGTCGACTGATAGCGCCTTAGCGGAGTCCAGTACCTTTACCACCCCATCCTTGGGCAATTAGGTAGGAATGGCCATCCAAGGGCATGCTTTGACCGTGGGGAATGTGAGTGAGGATATTTTTGAGCGGAGTTTTTTTCGGTCAAAGCTGCTTTCATCCGTCATCCTACTCACTAAAGTTCTTGCCGCTCGTCAAGAGAATGGTTCCCCCGTCGAACAATGACCGGAATAGCCATTTCGCCAACTGAATTAGTTCATCGACAAGACCAAAAGACTTTTCTGTCGACCCAGGACGCAGCGAGGCTGCGAACTTACTCTCCATGACCTACTGGGAGTCCTCTAGCTTACCCTTCAAGCTTAAGCTCATGAGAATTCGACCTGCCTAACGCGGGACGCGGTAGTACCGTGCTTCTCTACGCCATATTTGCTACGTACCAGTCGACGTCTCTCTCGAGCTGGGATAATATGAATATCACTCCTTCTGTGTCACTGCGATTCATGGTCCTAGCGTTTTGTGGCGGTGTGGTGTTGTTCACTGGTCAAGGTTACCATTTCAGGATTCCCTATCATCCTGGTCCCCTTGGTTCACTGAGGGTAGGAAAAGCGAACGACGTTCCGTCGTCCAAGGCTTGGGAAAGATATTCTGAATGGGCAAAGAGTTACGGTAAGGCACTTGTGCACTCGACATCTTCTAAAATGATATATGAACCCGTGGCAGGCGATACCATACGTCTCCTTTTATCCAACCAACACTTTGTGATCCTGAAGTCTAAAAACATACTCTTGAAGTACTTGAAAAAAGGCTTAACCAACTATCCCGACCGTTTATATAAACTGTGAGTGTTCACGAATCGTTCTGTAGAAGAAGAAAAACATATTCTCCATAGTACGGGGTAGGCATTTAATGCTGGCTGCCTTAACCCGATCCATGGCGTCAACATAAAGAGATGTTTGAGCGATCATGCCGTTGCCGAGCCTCTTGCAGCTCCAGACCTGTCCAGACGAGGGAAGTCAACGATATGCTCTATGGTATACTTTGTGCACTCGAAGCTACAGAGGTCATCATGAAATATCAGCGAGCTTCGATGACCTCAAAGTTGAGAACCTGTTTTGTTGCCGTTGAAAAGTTCTCTCTTTCGGTGACTCCAGGCTCTCGGCTTGTAAACGCGATTCCTGTTCTCCGCCATCTGTCCGCTTAGTTTCCTGGCGCTGATTTCAAGCACTTTGGGAATGAACTCAAAGCAAAACGTCTCGTTCAACTTTGTGTAAAGCAACACAATTGAAGTCATAAGTATCAGCTCCGTTTCAACTTTCCTTCAACCCTTTCATCTCTCAGGATAAGGGCATAGCAACTCCAATAATGGAGTTGCTACCCTTGAAAAACGTAGGTCGCACAACGGATCACAAAAAGAGGAAGATGCGATCAAGGAAGTCGCTGCGACGAGTTATTCGAAACCGCTGCGGAAACGGTATGATTCAATTACCGTTGTTTCGTGCTGAACAACTTCAGTTACCTCGTCAATAGACTACTTCGGTTCTTGGCACGTCCTCTTATACTTTGACTGTATTCTCAGAGGCGCAGAAGCGAGCCCAAGAGGACATCGACCGTGTCGTCGGTGGACATCGTCGGCCTCATTTTGATGATCGTTGCCATACTTGGAAGCACTCCTTCGGGAGCGGTTACCCGGAGATCTTTCGCCCAGAGAGGTTTCTGACCAAGCCTGGTTACGACTAAGGAAGTTTTGGTTTCTGGATTCGAGAGGGGGCATGTTTTAGACTGTTAGTATCTTCACTTTTTCATTCGCATCCCAGCATTCGCCCTGGGCGAGACATGGTCAACGCAACGGTGATTCTTTTCGAATACCATTTGTCTTTTCGAGTCTGACCAGTTCCATAGCTTTGGTTTTCGAGTGCCACTGTTGCAGGTTCAACATTGAGAATGCGAAAGGTGCAAATGGGGGCGAAATCCTCGTTGTCGTAGGAGGGTACACCATCGGACTAATCTCGTTCGTACTACGAATTTGACTTCACCCGTTTCGCCGGACACTCATGCCCTGTGAAGCCGTCCTATTCTCCCTAGCTCGCATTGAGCCAAGGACAGCGGCGGTTGCGTGGCCTGTGGGCGCTCAGCCACGTACATGTTTTGGACCTACATTGGTTTATAAATATCAGTGACCTGCTTCGAAGAAGCTCGCGAGCTTATTATCACGGCGAGGCTATCATTGATGCTGTGAACCACGGGTGTATTATCTCTTTGCACTGTATGGTTTTTAAAATAAAATGAAAATACCCTGCCAAGTGCTTGTTCATTGCCTTGCCTGACTGCTTGTCCACTTCCCTGCCTCTCTGAACTGTGTATGTTGGAGCGCTAATTATCGACGCGTTGAATGTTAACCTCGTGACCGCGTTGGACAGCTCCCGGAAGTGCCGGAGCCGGGAAATGCCATTTGGAGGAGAATCCGGAGCCAAATATGGTAGTGGTATCCGGGGACCTTGTGCATCGTGGTGATGCATGAGGTTCAATTTGCGGTTGAATTTGGTTGAATTTCTCGTCTGCTTGTCGCTTTGAATCGCTTTCGTCGCTTTTGCTTTGCTCTCGTCGCTGTCGTCTCCGTCGTCAAACCCTCTTTTACAATGTCAACAAGCCCCTCAACCTCCCCCCCACGCACACCAGATGAACGTCTCGCGTCCCATACAAAGGCTTCCTCAACCCCCAATTCAGACGACTCGTCTGTAATCGATGATCTTTCCTTTGACTACGTCCTCGACGGTGAAGGTAACTTCATCCGTCTATCCAAGGGTTCGTCTTCAAAATCAAATTACTCATCGCCACCAACGCCCCAAGAGGCCCCCCTACAACCCGACCTTCCTCCGACCCTCAAGCCCCCAGCATCTCCCTCAGACTTGCCCATTTCACGCATATCTCTTTCACGCTCAGAAAGCGCGTTTCCTATACTTACGGGGGGCTCAGCAGCTCTACAGAATGATAAGCCAACGAGATCCTTTCAACGCGTCGCGTCAGGTCCTGCTCTTTCAGTTCCAGGATCCTATCTTGCATCAACTACGTCTTTGTCCAAACCGCGGACGATACCCCGTCGCGTTACGATGGAGGAGCATGGCGACCGTCCCGAGGCCAATGGTGCTTCGCGGCTAAGACAAACATTAGAGTCGGCTGCGTACACCCTCCAAGAAGAAAAAGAGAACATCAGCGAACCTGATGAAACTCCCTATGCACCTTCTATTGCCAACAAACGCCGGCATTCTCCTCCTTTGGCCACCCGTTCCGTCCCTTCATCAAGAGCTCCTCGTACTGCCTATTCAGGAAGTGCAGCTAGTAGGCCATTAGCTGAGGTCCCTGTACCTCAACGGGGGTCGCATGCTCGTCAGATCATGCCCGGCCCCAACCGTGCAGGTCGTATCATGAAGTCTTCATCTAAATATGGCGCCACTGCAAGCGCAGCACCATTCGACAGAATATCTGAACACGAAGCAAGTGAAAGCGAATACACCCCAGGCGATGGCGATTACCATGCCATAGGAATTGCATTGGGCGGAGATGATACAGACCCTGAAGACGAGCCTGCGCGTTCCGTTGAGCCTGCTTCAGTGCCTCTGCCTTCTTCAAATCCAGCCACATCTCAAGTGGGAAGTGCGAGATTGAGAACTCATCTCAGTGTCAATGTAAACGTTGGAACCTCTGCCTCCCTTAGACAATCTGGAGGTGCACGACCGCGAAGATCTGCCAGCTTAAGCGATGCTCTTAGTACGTTTCACATCATTTCATGTTGCCCTCTTCTTACAGTCTATTCTGTAGACCACGATGATTACCAGTTGCAACTGCAGCATCAGTTCCAGGGTTCACACTCTCGCCCAGGAACGAGTTTAGGTTTGTAATGCATACTTATGGCCAAACAATTGCTGATATCCAACGTAGGTTTAAATGGAAACGAAAATAACACCGCGGGGGCAAGACGGGTGACTCCAGAAGAGAAGGAGAGAATGGGCAAGGAAATGGAATCTGAATATGAGAGTAAGTCTCTCATGTTGTGTGCGAGAACCTTTGTTGATACTATCCTTTCCCTTTTCTTTCAGGGTATCGGAGAGAAGCAGAAATTGCCGATCGTACGTTTCCTTTTTTTCTGTCCAGAAACTCACATCACTGACCCATTCACGTCTAGAACATGACATTCACCGACAATCACCTTCGCCGACGCATAACCAACAAAACCAGCATCAAGGACAACGAGCATATGTCCACAGACGTCGAGATTCGGACACGTTACGGAGTTTGGCGCCATCTACATCAGCATCCGGTCTTGGTTCACCCACAGTTATGGACATGCCCCCTAGGCCATCCCCTACTGCATCAACACGGTTGCACGGACGATCTTCACCTCCCACGTCGAGGGGCCGAGTCTCGCCTCCTAACACAAAAGGGCGAGTTTCCCCTCCAACGACTAAGGGTCGGGTTTCCCCTCCAACGACGAAAGGTCGTTTATCTCCTTCAGGTGCTAGCAGAGCTGGAAAGGAAGTAGCAAAGCACAGACGGAGCCCGACTGCCCCCGAGCCTCCGACGACCAGTGGCATGATTGGGAGTGCGGGCAGTAGCGTTACCGCAGCGAAGACATGGGCGGTTGTTGAGAAGGATGACGATTATGAGTACGGAGGCGCGGCAAGCTCTGGGGAGAGAGAACGTGAGAGAGACAGGGAAAGGGAACGAGATAGAGACAGGGAACGAGAACGAAGGGTTCATCAGTCACAAGCATCGTTGCAGCAACAGCAGCAATATGCCCAACAGGCGGCGCCAGCACCTGCACAATTAAATCGCCATATTGTTGTATGCATCGTTTTGACTCTACCTTTCGACAAAGTAAACTCATCACTTAACATACTAGGTGAACAAAAAGGCGTACGCTCGACTCGATATGATCGGGAAAGGCGGTTCCTCCCGCGTTTTCCGTGTGCTTAATCATGCAAACGAGCTATACGCTATCAAACGGGTATCGCTCGACAAGACAGACTCGGAGACGATGAGTGGCTACATGAACGAAATTGCTTTGCTCAAACGGCTCGAAGGGAATAGTCGAATCATTCGCCTGATCGACAGCGAGGTGAAGGCTGGACCAGGAGGGAGCAAAGGACATTTGCTTCTTGTAATGGAATGCGGGGAAATTGACCTAGCAAGGTTGCTCCAGGAGCAGATGAAGGAACCTGTGAACATGGTTTGGGTTTCCTATTATTGGCAACAGGTGCCATTTTTTTGCGAACCTTCTATTCTGGGAAGTAGTCTGACAGTCCACATCTAGATGCTGCAAGCCGTGCATGTCATTCACGAAGAAAAGATTGTGCATTCTGACTTAAAGCCGGCAAATTTTGTCTTAGTGCGTGGTCAGCTTAAGCTGATCGATTTTGGGATCGCAAATGCCATCGCCAACGACACGACGAACATCCAGAGGGATCATCAGGTCCTGAAATAACACTCAATTATGCCGCAGCGCTAATTCTTTTCATATAGATTGGTACTGTGAATTACATGAGCCCAGAAGCCATCGAACTTCCAGATGGTATGCGACGGCTTAAAGTTGGTCGACCGTCCGACGTCTGGTCACTAGGTTGCATTCTATACCAGATGATCTATGGACATCCACCGTTTCAGCATCTTTCGGTGTACCAAAAGATGAAAGCCATCCCGGACTCGGCACATGTTATTGAGTTCCCAGAGTTCGCTACGCCTTGCGTCCCTACACCCAGACCATCGAGTTCTGGTGGCAATCAGGTCGTCGAGCCTCCGAAGAAACTTGACCACTTGAAACGAAAGGTCAGGTTGGACGTGATTGCGGGTATCAAGAGCTGCTTGTGCCGGAATCCGAAAGAGCGGGCAACAATTCCAGAGTTGCTTGACCAAGATTGGCTAGCTTTGAAAGAACGTGAGTTGCCTGCTCGTTGATAACTCCCGTGGTGCTTAAATCACGTCCATTCTCTTTAGCAGAAGTTTCCCCCGTGAAACCGTCGTTGGCATCTGACGAAACCATCATTAACCCTTACTATATGCGTCAATTACTGCAGTATGGGATCAAACTGGGTGAAGCGCAGGGTACGGCTATGGACGACGAATCGCTACTTCGTGAAGCTGAGGTATTCATCATCATCTGGACTATTCAAATGCTCTACTAACCAGCATCCTTTCCCAGCGCCTCGTTGCTGAGCTCAAATCCATCCAACCTTAGTTTTCAATATTCCTTTCTCAACACCTCGAACATCTACATTCCTTTGCATTCTCCTTTTTGCATACGTCCAACCATTCCACTGAAACTCGCATTATAGATTCCCATCATTTTGGACATGACTCTTACCATCGTTAATTTGCTTTCCGTCCCTTTTTTCAATTGTCATCAATCCTTAAAATATCGGGTAAACCGGTCTCTGTGCTATCCCTGTAACATCATGTATGGTTCCTCTGTACCCCCCATGCCCCATTCCATTTTCGTTCCCCGATTAACTCTTTATGACTTACCAGATCCATGGCCCATTCACTCCAATTGTTTTCATCCCGTCTTTCTTACCTATCCCAATCCAGCATCATTATTTGCATTTAACTTTTATATATTTTCTGTATGTTCGCGTTGGGACCCATGGACGTCAAACTACCCATTCGCTCCTCTTTGGCAGGTATTCTCCTTTTCTATGTATATACACCCTTGTGTCCCTGTTTTTAATATCAAACTGGCATTAATTGCCCGATGAAATGCAGTGGAAAGTAGAAAGTAAAATGACATCCATTGGGGCAAACCTCGACCCTTCCAACAAGTATATGAAGGCACAATTCCTGAGACGTGAAAAGAACAGTCCAAAGAAAACGCAGATAATAGATAAAGATTTCAGAACGAAACCGCGTCCGCAGAGCTCGGTTGGAATTTGATTGGAATTTAGAGTGCAAGGTGAACTTCAAGTGCACACTAACTCACATGATTGACTCGGACGCATTTACTAGGGTGAAGCAGGCGATGGAGGGGCGTGGGTTATGAGCATCGCGTTGAGAAAGGGAGAAAAGTGGCACATTGACGCAAGAATATACAGAATGACCGAACTTCCAATAAGGTAATCGGTCGTTAATATTTTACTCGAGGAAGTTGTTCAGCCAGGCTTTCATACGCCGACATCCAATATCCTCAATATCATCCAACAACCATTCCTCCGCCATGCGACAAAACGTGCCGGCTTTCAAAGCATGGTAATATTCGGGATCCTCTTTTTTGACCATCTTGAAATCAGGTAAGTTTCATTGGGAATGTTAATTCAAATTGAGATTGTGAAAGCTTACTGCATCGTATTCCTCTCGTAACAATTTTGCATCCGCCGGACTAGCCATCCAAAACGTGTGAAATTGACCCATTTTATCAACGAACTTAACCGGGGGTCACCGGTCCCATTGTAGCGAATCCAAGTTGGATAGTCTGCAGCTAATACAGCTGGCTTGACCACGTGAAATTCCCAGTCGATAACATTGGTGATGAGGCCTTCGTCATTGATGAAAACGTTTTGTCCGCTGAAGTCTTGATGTGATGGGACGCCTCTTAGAAGTTCAGCGTCATAGCCAGAGACAGCCTCCAAGATAAGGTTTTCGAGCTGCTCCAGGGTGACTTGCGCTTCGTCGAGGTCTGGTTTCGTAGTTCCCACAGCAGTCGAGGTCTTTTTGACGGAGATAAGCCACCTGAAATACTCCTCGATAGATTCGAAAATATTGGATGGAGTATGAAAACCAGAAGGCGAGATACAAGGACCCAGAATGGGTTTATCTGGCCGAGCATTTGCGGTCGATTTGAAGGAAGAGATACTGCCGATTCCATCTGGCGCATTTATGCGAAAAAAATCAAGTGCAATACGCGCATAGGAATGGATGTTGGCTATCTATTCATGAATCAAATCAGCAAGAAATATAGATAGGCAATGGGGAAATACAACTTTTGCCTCAAGGGGAAGAATACCAAAAGCATCGATCAAAAAGTTTCCTTCGCACTTGTACGAAGAGACCCATAGCATGAACTCGCACTCGCGCCGAAGCTTGTCTTGCAAAAGCTCACGCGATCACTGCCAAATGAGGGGACACTGTCCCTTGCAATCCTGACGATGAAGTGCCTGCCGTCCTTCGTGGACGCGTCAAGAACCTAGATATTGGGTTTTCGTAGTAGTGAGAGTTATTGGGGCATTAGAGAAGATTATAATTACAATGTAATGATTCTGGGCCAGTTGATGGAGAGCAACGATGTCCGATTCGCCGATTTCTTCAAGTCTACCAACAATCGTGTCCAGATTAAAGGCAACGTCTTCTGGATGACGGAGAATATCATGAGGATACTCGTCGCGAATCTCGTTGCCATCAGCATCCCAGAGTACGAACATGTTTAATGGTTGATTCTGTATTTGTTCTGTATGCAATGTGGGGCCCATTCCAGCTCAACAGCAAACAGGCACCCTCCGTTGGCATGTTACTTCGGGGACTTTGAAATACCCCCATGGCCAGTGATGTTCATCGTTGGCCACTGGCAGCAATGAAACTGAGCGAAAGTATTTCACTCCTTGAGTCAGATTTAGATCGTCCTATGCCGTGGCGTCGGTGTGGTTGCTTTTGAGTAGCTTCTGGCATGGCCTGTAGCGCTTCGCGAATTTGCTTGCCCTCGCGTGTCGTGATGTATCAGTCAAATTTCTCCGCTTTGGTAGGGCGACGATCGTATGGCTTCGTATGGACAAAATCGGAGGGTTTGCTCAGGATATAAGGCGGATGTGTTAATGAAATTTCGTGGGTCTGTCGATCAAAGGCCATTCATTAATCATGAAAGCCAAGTGGAAGAGACATTTAGGAGGTCATCAAGAGCAAGTTTTACATTGATGTAGGTCTATATGATAATCCAGAGATGGTAACATTGCGTGTTATCCGATAGTTAGAGGTACAGGTACACAGAGTAAGTAAATGGTAGCAGGTATAGAAGGGGTAAACATCAAGCATGTACGTCGCTACACGAGCATCCAAAAATAAATTGCAAGGTATTTTCCACCGTGCATCCGAAATATATCACTCCATCCAAAGATCAAATAAGGAAGAAAAAAAACTACTTGCGGTAAGCCCTATTATCATACCCCACCTCCCGATCAATCGTAATCTTGACACCCACGCCAGGTGAGAGGGTATCTCTGTCCTCCGGGCTACCCACGAGCCCACCCACGGGACCTTTATTCTCCGTATCGTTGACGCTCGACTTGGCGTCGGCGTCGACGACGCCCCACTCGCCCTCGGGCTTCGACTGCATGTCGTCGAGGGTATACGTGTGTGGGTTGGTAGTGGAAATGTTCGTGGGATGGCCCGAACGCCCGGAGATAACGTGAGTCGTGCGTGAGGAGGTTCCGCCGGAGGAAGCGGAGAGTGCGAATGAACCACCGTGGTCCAAGGATCCACGAACGGAGAGAATGATCCGGAGTGTCATTGAAGTCGTGAGAACGGCAGCCATGCTAATGGAGAATTAATTAGCGCTGCATCTAGAGAGTTGACATTGTTTTAAAAAACCTTGTGACAATAGTTTTGACGGGATCCTTGTTGTCGGTTGGCTTCATGACAAACCAGAAGAGCATGTTGGCCATGTTGACGATCCAAATGGCCTATCCGGAGAAAGTGTCAGGCTTGCCCTGAATCGGATGTTCGGAGGAAAGCTTACGCCGTAGAGGTTCAAGCCATCACGAAGCATCAGTTTCCACGGGCTCAGGGGTTTGGTTTGCAGAGAATCGATGGAGCGCATGAGGGCGAGACCGAACTAGTTGTGCAGTTGAGTAAATTGGAACAATCTGGCATGTAAGGAAACTTACAGAAACACTGTAGAGGAGTGTGGGCGCTACCCAGTAGATTCCAACCCAATTATGTTGAGGTCCAGCGATGCATCCCTGGCCGACAAGGAGAGGGACAGCTGTGTGGGGTACTTAGCAAGGTGTGGGTAAATATGGATAGAAGCCGTACTTCGGTAGAAACCGCAACAGATGGCGGTTATGACAACTTGGACGGCAAAGAGTGTGGACATTACAGCGAGAATTGAGCGATTCTTGTCATAAATGGCATGGATCCTAATGACATGGACCACTGGGATAGAAATGTAAGCAGCGCTCAGCGAAGGGAAGAAAATACACACTGGAGGCGGCAGCAAGGAGAATAGCGGTGCAGATGGGCTCAAAGAGATAGAATTTCCGGCAGGTCTAGGTTGGGACAGGTAGGTAAGAGCAGCGGAATAAACGTTGGGAGCTTACATCCTGTGACCACTTGGTATCGAAGAAAGCAACCGCTAAGATAAAGATTAGCAAAGCTCTGGGTTGTATTGAAGCATAACGAACCAACGACAATAAATTCGGCAGGCATGAAAATACGCATGAAATGAAAGAGAATTTTAAGAGTTGGCCATCCTGGTTGTCGAAGCAGACGCCAAGTCCTTGGAGAGAGAACAAGGGTATCCCACGCTGCGACGGTAAGAGTGCAGACAAGGAAGTACTTGTGTGCAGAGAGATGGGGGGGGAGATTGAGGGAAGGGGGAAGGGCGTCGGCAAGAGACATGATGGAGATGGGAAAAGACGGGGATAAATTGAGGCAGTTATAGGATTCTTAGAGAGGGGTATCACGACAAATTAGTTGCCATCAAATCACTACAACTTGAAATTCTTCAAAAGAATTCAAATTCTCCGCTTGGCCCAGTACTCTGTTAGACTGTCTGCATGGCCTCAACTTCAATTGACCCATCCTTCTTCCCAACGCCCTCACCTCCTCCCCCAGGCCAGCAGCAGCCAGTCAAGCCACCTCCAAATTCAAGTAATCTATACCTGTCAGTTTCCTTTATTATCTCATCCAGTTTTTTTATACTCACTCCCCTTTCAAGTGTTACCTTTCTTGCAACTCTTTTTCTCCTCCTCTTCGTCTCATGCGCCATCGTTCTGAGGTCCTATGTCATGAGACGCCGTCTGCGTCGTCGTATCGAGGAAGCCCATGCACTCGGCATCGTTCTCACTCCACGTGCGCAGGGCTCGAAACGCAGACGCTTCGGTGCAAAACCAAAGATGTTTGACGTCTGGATCTCAGAAGGTGGTTGCAAGTGGAACGACATAATGGTCAGTCCCGCTCTCATCTCATCAAAACCATCTATCCGTCCAACAAGTTTTATCTAGCCGCTCATGGCACAACCTCTCCTTGTCAAACGCCGGTACAAAGACAAACCTGCTCCACCATCATCGGATCCCGAGGCCCCTGCAAACGAATCTCCACCAGTTGACGTCCCCAATTCCACGATGCCACGTTCAGCTGTTGTGCCTTCGGCGAGTTCTCGGGCAGTCACCATCATTCATTCCCTTTTCCACCGCCGCACATCTCCGCCCCCAACACAACCGTTGATCGCACAACCAGAAAAACCACTGTATCGGATACGGACCGAAATGCTTCAAGTAGGCGTCTTGGTGGCGATGCCATCAAGACCATTGTTAGACGACAATTCCACGGAAAAGCAGTCCATGCAGGATGGCTACGACGACGAACAAAATTTGCCAGAGCTTGTTATAGGTGTTACCAGGATGTATTACCGCCCTCCCAAGACACCATCGTGAAGACTGCCCTCACGGATTGACATTTACCATATACCACATATCGGATATACCGTCAGACATAATTGTATGTACTCTAGGTCTGTACATTATTACCACTCCCCGGAAATTCCCCTAGTCGATACTCAACAATTGCATGTTTCTTGATCACTTGGAGTCAACCTTATTGGCTTTTACTTCTAGGTACCCATCAATCACTTTCCGCCTTTCATCGAGCCCATGGGCCATCACCAAGGGTGAAGAGAGGTGAAGCAACGCGTTTAGCCAGGTATGATCTCAGTTGCCTGACCATCAACAGCCTATTGATCTCTCACCAACTAATCAGACATATTATCTATGTAGTTCCTTGACCTGGGTGAGTTATTTATATCTCGATGTTTGGGCATATGATATATCCCTGTCCCTCAACAGGTCCTTCGACCTTTGCGGCGTCTTGAAACACACATGCTGAAGAAAGAAATTCTCAAGTACCTGTCAGCTAGTCCAGAATCGGGTGTAAACTTCTGGACTTGAACTTTTTTGTTATTCTTTTTCTCTCAGATCATAACCTTTTTGACGTAGTTTCATGAGATGCTACGGGACGGCACTTTGTGCAACAACACGGCTATCTATGAGGTGAGGAATATCCACTTGAAGTATGGGTGCCCGACTCATGTATTCTATAGACCGTTTATCTGCGAAAGATCCAAAACCTGCGTCCAAGACGTGTTGATAGCAAAACATGCTGCCTCCCCCGACTCTGATAAAAAGTCATCTTCTCGTGATTGTTTAGTGCAGAAGGCTCGTACAATCTGCGTATAATGAAATACGGTGAAACATGTTATTTAGCCAATTTAGGCAGCATAATTGCCTTCCAAGGACGTTCGATCGATCCCACTGTAGCGAGCCAGTTGCAAACTTGTCAAGATTACCCAATTTCGACAGTTTTCAGTGAGGTTAACGTATGGGAAGTGCCCAGCTCTTGATGCACGCATCTTGCAGAACAAGTGAATGACCCACTTACACAAGTTACAGTACATATGTAGCCTTGGACTTAGGGGGTCAGGAATTTAAGGCATTAGGGGCCGTAGGTAGTCTACAAAGTTGTAACGTCTGACATCGCCCCAATAGACTTAAATTTTGACACAAAAAAAAAACACATGTAGCCTGAGACTGAACTACAACTTGAAGAACATCTGTGAGGCGCGTCAGATTTATGACTTTTAGCGTGGTGAGCAAAATAATTGCGTTCCCTCTACCTACGGTATAACATTTTATCTGGAATGGTTTGAAGTGATGCGAAGTATGTCATCCAGCCAATTCAAGGAGGCAAGTTACTTCTTCAGGACACCCAATAAAAACATTTTAGATACATCTATAAGTACCGTCCAACCAAAAAAATCGAGGCTTGCCTCAATTACGATCCCCTAGTCAAGATTCATCAAACTCGGTGGTTCCTCCTGATCATCATCGTCCTCATCACCCTCTTCATCGTCAATCTCAACATCAATTTCCTCCTCAGAATCAGACGGCTCGAAAAATTCAAGCGACTCCAAATTATCTTTCAACCACTTCTCTTGTTTCGCCGAAATTTCATCCCGATCACACATCAACACTTTCTTCAAAGGTACCCCAGCGGCGCGGCGTGCCTCTACGAATTTCTTCATCCTCGCGCCGTCAACTCCCGTTGTGGAGATCGTGTGCAGCAAGGGACAATACGCTTTTGCGCTGGCATGCCCCTCTGCGGGAGCAGCAGATGAACCTGCCTCAAGCGGATCCTTCTGCGCCCCCATCTTGTCGAAAATCGCTTGCTCGGCCTCTTCCGAGCAGTTGATGTTCAACGTCAACAGCCCCGCAAGCCGGTCCAGCAGCACTTCCACCGCCTTGTTATCAAGGGGAAGCCCAGAAATCTTCATATGCTCCAACTGTGCAAGGAGAGACTTCGTCTTGCCCCTTATAGGTTTGGCAAGCGCTTTGACGACAAACTCGGAATAATCCTGTTCGTCAAACGCCAACGCCAGCTGAGTGACGTTGGGCACGTCGAGGTGCTGCATGAGCGCTGTGGCGTAAGGTGGGGGGTGATAGCATAATACGAGATCCTTGAGCGACGGGATCTCGTGTGCGTGCGGACCCCATTCCTCGTCCGAGTCTGCGAGGAGAGGCGTACCAAGTGCCGGACCGGAGAGGCAGAGGGTGAGGGTTTCGAGATCGGGGCAGTTGTCGAGTATCTCGAGGAAGGTTTTGTAAGAGGGCCGGACGTCATGGGCGTGATATGCGAGTTCGAAGTCTTGTAGACCACGGAGGTAAGAGACGGACGCCTCCCAGTCAACGTGAACGCCCCACAGGGAGACGTGCGTGAGGTTGGGGGCGATGCCGTGGAAGGGGACGAAGCGGGTATTGAGTTCTGCGGGGGTGAAGATGTCATAGTCTTCGCAGTCTTCGTAGTGGTAGAGCTGGAATATTTCGAGGAGTGGAGCGGCGGGGCATTCGGCGAGGCGCGTGAGTGCGGCGTAGACGTAAGGGTAGAAGCTTGCGGAGAACTCGAATAGTCGCCATCTAGCGACGTGGGGGATGACCAGATCGAGGATTTTTGCAAGCTCGTCTCGTGAGAAGAAGGTAGGTTCCCCGCATTCGTGGTCCTCGTCCCCGTCCTCGTCGTCGTCGTCGTATTCATGCACATGATCTTCCTCCGTCTCGCCGTCTGGAATTGTACAATCTATAAAGATATCAAGTGGGAGCCCCTCCGATCGCTGAATGTACGCCTCCAGCTTGTCAAATCTAGCAGGAGCCACAAATTCAAGGGTTGTCCAAAGGGTATGGGACTGGAGGGCGACTTCGCGCCAGTGCCGACACACATGTGAGGCGAGAATCTGGAAGGGAAGGACGCTCTCCACTTCAAAATCTTCATCGTCAGAGTCGTCATCTTCTCCGTCAGAGTCGTCACTTTCTTCGGCGCTCTCCTCATCTTCCCAGTCCTCATTATCGCCATCATCAGCGTCATCAATGATTTCTTCATCCTCGCCTAACCGCAGAACCGGGCCTTTTTTCAACGGCTTTGCCAGACGAAAACCATCATCATCAGAGTCGCCTGGGTATTCAATGGTATGTTGATCAATATAGTCCACATCGTCGTCGTCGTCTGCGCCCTCCTCCTCCTCCATCTCGCGCCCGACCTTGAAAATATACGCAAGAAGCTCATTGGGAAGATCGTTGATGGGACATTTTCCGTCGGAGGGCGGGTTGAAGGGGTTGTTGGCAAGCATTTCAGTAGTGACCTTCCACATGGCCTCTTGGGGAGTGACCAAGGGCTTGGTGCGGAGGACGTTGGCGAGGTTGGTGGAGATATCGCTTTTGAAACGGCGTTCATGGGCGGAATTTGGTGCGACGACGCGCAGTTTTGGTGGCATTTTGTAGTGTTTCGTTGCTGGTGGGTTTCTGGTTTGTAAATGGGACTATATATAAGAAAGTTATGTGGGGGGGCGATGATGAAGAGAGTCGATCAAAAAAAATCTTATCAGTATACACGTGATGGATAGCCTCTGCGCTCATCTCTAATTCTCTCTTGAAACCGTTCAAAACACCCTGGCGACACAAGAAATTAACAGAAAACCCCTCGCCAGTGCGATGCTGGCCATATTGCCGTAAACAACGTGCGGGATCGCGCTGGACGGCGCTAATATGATCGTTTGACGCGGCGACGCCCTTGTGAGCTTGTTTTACATAAAAACTCCAACGATCGTCATTCTCACTGAAACCTTCAACATGCTTCCAACAGTGAAAACCCCATTTACCGGCCCAGAGCCCATCCTACTCATTGACCAAAGGCTCACCGACCAAAATGTCTGGGGTCGACTCAGCCACGCCGACCACGCCATGATCATCAAGCTAACGGAACAATTCATAGAAAGAGTCATCGCAGATGGGTCGCCCGAGTTTATGGTCAAATTAGGGCTCCCAAGTGACTTCAAGAAAGACCACATCCTTGAGAAATTTTATTGGCAGTTGGCTCAGTTTTACAGAGTGCATTTCAACCATATTATCAGTCCAAAGTTGTATTTCTGACGACGTCTTAGTACTCGACCCCTTCACGAATCGCAGATGCTGTTCCAGCTCTCGAATTTGTAATTGACGTCTATAAACGCTGCAATCCGAGCGGGAATCAGATCGACATTTTCCCCATGCTTTACCTTGGCGTTGCCCTCAGCAAGAAACCAGGTGAAGAGGAGAAAGCAATCGAGACCTTCGAAGAGGCGCTGGACAATTTGGACAAAGCACCTCAGATGCCCGTACGTGGCTTGATTTGGGCCCGTGCATACTTTAGCAGGACGTTGAGGAAGAAGGGGCGCGTTGAGGAGGCTAAGAAACAAGAGAAGTTCATTCGGTAGGTTTTCATGTGCCCCCAGCTATTCAATTCGCTGAACTGTTAGTAGGGAATGGATTTTGGGACATCCGTACAGCATGCCTCCAAGCGAGTTGAAGGAACTCGTAGTGGAAGATGGCGTGGCTGATTATGTCTTTTCTCACCCGGACATGAAGACTGTTTTCGACCATATGGAGGAGATCAAGGATCCTGCCACTGGTGCTACTGTGGTCGTTGACAGGATGATGGCCAGACAACCTTTCCAATAGCTGGAAAATCTAAGTCTATTCAAGCCAATTGTACAACACATAATGCCCAATGTTTTCCAATGTACGCGCAGCATGGTATTGAAGAGCTCACAATACGGCATGACCTCGCGACAACACGTGATGGATAGTTTTCCTTGAAAGTTGAGCGGTCATTGAAGAACCTCCAAAAGCCCGAAAGAACTCTTCGCCAGTGCAATGTCAGTCATGTTGCCGTTACCGCCGTACTTTATGGCGCTGGGCGGCTAGGATGCGTCATGGTGCATTGGTGCTAACTGCATTACGGTAACTATCCCACACTTTACATAAAACCCAACTCATTGTCTACCACCAACAAATACAGTGTTTTGCATGTGAGATTAGAATTCGAATCTCACGAAAACTTGTTTGTTCTTGTGGTCTGTGACTGATGGGAGTCAAGGTGACCTCGAAGTCACTTCGATTCGACGGCAACACTAGAGTCAACATTCAATCATCGACGTAAATGCGGGTTCCAAGCAAGTTCCAAGGGAGGGGACTCCTCCACTTCAAGAAAATATGGATCTAGTCGGAAGACTAGATCCTTTATCGGCTACCCGTGACTTCACTAAGAGCGCTCTGGCAGAGGAAGTTCAACGTTCAACGCTGTGACACCGAGGAAGGCAACATCACACATTACAACTAATACAAGAACAAACAACTTTTCGTGAGATTTGGATTCCAATCTCACATGCAAAACACTGTAAATGCTTCCAAGAGTAACAACCCCTTTCACAGGGCCGGAGCCCGTGTCCCTCCTTGAAAAAAAGCTCCTCGACAATTGGAAGCGACTGACCCCAGAAAACCAAGCCGCGATCATCAAGCATACGAACGAATTCATTGACAGCGTCCTCGCGGATGGGTCACCCGAGTTCATGGTCAAATTAGGTCTTCCAAGTGACTTCAAGAAAGACCATGTCCTTGAGAAATTTTATTGGCAGTTGGCTCAGTTTTACAGAGTGCATTTCAACCAGTGTAATCAGTCCAAC